ATGCAGTTCAACTTCAGTTCCTTTCTGCTATTCTGGATGGAAAGGATTTGCTTTGCTGTACTGCAACTGGAGAGGGAAAGTCAGCGGCCTTCTCAATACTGACTCTTGTGCTACTATTGGCGTACAACAAACACCCAAACATGTATGTAGCTGGCCTTCCAACTTAGAAGAGACCAATCAGAGTGGTAGTCACACCAACCAAGGGACTGGCAGATAATATGGTATGCCAATTTGCCATTTATTGCTGTTCCCCTCCCAAATTTCTGACTAGGTTCACAAGCTTTCGAAGCTCAACATTTCCGGATTCTCGTACTGCACAGAAACCCTGAGCAGGGTATGCAAGGCTGGCATTCAGTTGACAGGAGAAGTCAAGGAGCACATTAAATTTCATGTCATCTGTGTGGATCCCGAGCACCTGCTTGACAAGGAGTGGAGGGAATTACAGAAAATCCAACCTTTTGGGCCAACATCTTGTTTGCATGTGTCAATGAAGTCCACCTGTCCACCTTATCAACAAATAGGGTCTTGCATTTCATTTAGCATTTGGGACCATTGGAATCCATTCACTCAAAATTTGCGCCTAGCTTTTGCGTGTCATCAGCCTTTGTTGAGGGCTGTAAGGAGAGCCGAGAGTTCATCACAAGGTAGAATGTGAAGAGGACCGAAAGCTTTCAGGGGAAGATAGAGCAGGTGTTGACACACCAACATTTGACGAACTAGGTACAGATTGCGATAGGAAGGCTGAAATGAAGTCAGGTGTTCCTGGAACTTGGATTATGGGTGTTTTCTTGTATGATCGAATGCTCAAACACTTTCTTCCACGGATAACACATGTCAAATAGTGAGTGAAGTGAATTCGAACAGTTAAGAGGGGTTATGGAACTATAAACACGTCTAGAGTTGGGGAGAGACGAGGGAATATTGAGGTGACGTGGTTTTAAACTCCGAAGATTACATAAAGATTTTGCAGCGTGGTTTTGGGGGTGCGGTAATTATAAACACAGGACTAACCAGGGTCTGGATCAGCAGGCCTGGTCATGTGCAAGCAATTAAAATTAATTGTGGAATTGCAGAGGTAGAATTTGATGGTTCACAGGCAGGAGAAAGTAAAGATCATCAAGGTCTTCTTGTTCACTGTGCCAAACAACAAGCATGAAGTATTCGAGGCTATGACTCATGAGAAACATCCCGTTTGAACATGCACATGACCCGGCCCTGATTCAGACCCTGGTGGATACACGGACAAACAGGTATTTCGAAATTTTGGTTGTGCATAGTGTTTGAAAGTTAGGTTAGTTAACCGGAAAATAACCAGAAAATAACCGGACCTAACCGCAACACTAACCTAACCGCGGTTAGGGTTAGTTGATTTCGAAAATGGAATAACCGGTTATTTTGTGGTTAACTAACTGTTAAATAACCGGTTATAACCAGCCCTATTATACACCTTCAAAACGCACTTGAGAATGTCGAAAACACTTAAAATTTGACTAAGTTACGGTCAAATCTCTAAAATATCACTCAAATGTGTAGACTTTCAAGGATAATTGCATAAATATGTCAATTCTTCATCGATTTTAGCGTTCTTGGGCTCGTTTTAAAGCTAGAATATGCAGAAATAATATCTATCAAGATACATATGAGCATATTAGCCTTGTTATAACCGATTCTTTATTTTTCGGTCCTAACCGGTTAGTAACTGCAAATAACCGACCGTAACCGGTTAGTTGCAGTCCGGTGTTGCAGTCCGGTTAGGTTATTTTAGGTTTCAGGACAAAGGCTAACCTGTCTCGGTCTCGGTTAGAGCCCCTGGGCACCCAATAACCGGACCTAACCGGACTTTCGAACACTAGTTGTGCAAAACAATTAGGCTCGTGACCAGCCGTTTCCTCAAACTCCACAAGCTACGTTCAAGAAACGGCTGGGAGAAACAAACACACTTTGGCAGGGTCACGCTTTTGTGATGCGGAACTTAGTGAAATTTCAATGGTTCACGTTCTGTGCTGGACAACAACAACAACAACAATGCAACTTGACTGCTACTCATCCCTTCCTCTGAGTCTTCACCACCACCAGAAGATTCTTTCTGTAACATCCCATCCTCTCAACCTCACTTGAAAGCTCCCTCTGGCTCTACCATGGTAAGGTTTTCATTGGGAACCTTTCTACATGCATCTAGTCCTGAAGATCCACTTTCTCTTCCTCTAGAGTCTTTCCAGGAGTTCGATGGCCATTGGCCTTGGAGTGTTCAATGCGGCCCAACAAGCCACCACAGGATTCCGATTGGGGGTCGCAATCTGCGGTGTTGAAGAGCTCGTCTTAGAACAATGTACTTTCTCAACTGTATTGTAATCACATTATCAAAACTATATAACGGTGTAGCCAGAGAACTACTTTTTGCGATGTGTTGGACAGGTGTTGTCGAAGTAATGTTTGCGGAAATTTCTCTAAGTCAGCGTCACATGCAGGGGTCCCTGCCAGACAGTGTTCATTTGTCCCAGTCATTCTGAGGTGTTCTTATTTTTCACAGTCTGCCTGATGTTTGACCCCACAACAAAGCCACAACAAGTGGCAAACACCTCAGAACAACTGGCTGGCAAGTCTACAAAACAATATGCAAAGCACTGTATCTTGGATCATTCTTATCAGTATTACTAATCTACCTAAATCACTTAGATGAAACATTGCGTTCCAGCTATCGAGGTATCAATAGACTAGTTTCCACAATGCTCTGCTCAATGATTTTGTTTAGTTTTGGAGCTGGCCAAACAACTTCCCACAGCTAGTTGGCAGGCATTGCCTTCCTGCCCCTTCCCGCTTGTTGCATATATAGTCATACCTTCCTGGTAAGGTTGTTTGCGCATACCCTGAGGCTCCATGGGCCGCCCGTGGTCAGGGAAGGGCAGGACTCATGAGAGGGTAAGGCCAGACTAGACCAGCACATACACCAACTCACCGATGTGGCCAACATCAGTGAGCAGGTGTATGTGCAGACTTGGGGAGCGATAGTAGGTGGTGGTTACAAGGTTGGGAACAAGTCCGGATTTGCAAACTTCAACATGAGTCACATGTCACAATATTCCGAACTCAGCCGAACCTACCCGATGACTCCATCTCTGCTCAAAAAGTCAAAAATCTACTGACAACAGCTGACAACTCGAGTTGTATCTCTGTGATACTGTCGAGAAGTGTTCCCGTTCATGAACACCTGAGAAGTGCTATGGTTTGACCAATTCTTCCTCTTCACACTGTCTCATAATTAAACATAAGAGTTACATATATGGTTTTATCCAACCACAAGACTATGATACTCTCCATCCATCCTCATGAGGAGCACACAAGGATTACAATGGATTGTGTGAGGGATTGTGATCTGCCATCATCTGAGTAATTTCTCATGAGAAATAAAAGGTCATAACGGAACTTCACCGATTCGCTGATGTCACAAGTAAATAAAACCACTAAGCGGAGCATTTTGAAATTTGGTCTATCAATACCTCAATAGCTGTCACCCCCCAGATGACTCAACCACAATGCAAATGGGTAGGAGGCTGGAGATATGGTCTCACTTGGATGGACAGACTTTGAACAGGGAGGTCAGGTCACTCCAGGGGGCCCCCATCAGAGCATCCCATGAACACAACTACCTCTGACATGTACCAGTTCTATATCAGGAAAATGCTTAGTAACACATCCAAATCCATGCGTGTACATGTCGATTAGATCACATCAATATGATTTGTCAGGCTCTTACCCAGCCGTCGTTTTGGGGTTTACAAAAAAAACAAGTTTCATCAGAGAGATTTGACTTAGAATAATTTCATGATTTTTGATGACAAATACAATCACTGATCCAATCATTTATTTTAAACAACGCAACTCTTATTTTTTTGAACCCCTCCACGACGGCTGGCATTTTACAAATGTAAACAATCAGCCACCGTCGCCTGACGCTCCAAAGGTACTTCCTTTTTAAGAACTGTCATCAGGAAACCCTAGTTCGGACCACGTCGACAGTTCTCCCACCCTGCCCTCTTAGCCATCGCCCAATTGGCAAATATCACCCCCGCGCAGGCTGTTTACCGTATATGGCAGATGGAGGGGATTGTGCCACTGTCAGGCACAAAGGATGAGACACATAGGATGGGTTGAATGGGCTGGGTTGGGCATTTGATGAGGTTAGCATTGACGAGGGGAAGACTTTTAAATAAATTTATGTATGTAACTTGTAAAATGTATTACTGTATCACTCGGGTACCAACCTATCCACAATGCTATGATCTATCCCATAATTCTCACAGACTGCCACAACTCTTCACTTTTGTAGCCCACGCCGTAGTCAAATTCCATGAAGATAGCAAAGTACACGTCTCGGATAGTCATTACTGGGCTCTCACATAGGATGGTGGTGATTTGGTGTTTTCACTGAGGACAGGTGCCAGAAAAGAAGAAGAAGGAGCAGGAGCAGGACACATGTGTCTGCGTGACAAGGGATACTTTTGTGGTTTTCCTGCCGTATGTGATCGTTATAGAGCAATGTTTGCGAGCTGGGAGAGTTGTGCATTTATAGGGAGACATAGTTCTCGGACTCCATGAGTAGACGCGATTTGGAATACAGTAACTTTTTCACGCTGCTCAATCAGATCAAACGGTATTGATTGGTTATCCACCAGTGGCACCCAAAGTAGCCCTGTCGCCGACGGTGGCTGATTGTTTACATTTGTAAAATGCCAGCCGTCGTGGAGGGGTTCAAAAAAATAAGAGTTGTGTTGTTTAAAATAAATGATTGGATCAGTGATTGTATTTGTCATCAAAAATCGTGAAATTATTCTAAGTCAAATCTCTCTGATGAAACTTGTTTTTTTTGTAAACCCCGAACCGATGGCTGGGTAAGAGCCTGATGATTTGTCCGCTCTCACCCTCCCAAATCTCTTACATTTTAGGTATGGCAACAAAACAGGTATTCAAGACACAAATGCAAGTTCCTCACCACGATGACAATGCCCAAACTCAACTGGGTTCCTCAAGGTTTCATTCCCCTTCGGGACCTTGTCTTCATTTCGCAAGAATTGAGGGCGACAGAAGTTAAAACATTAACCCCTTGCAGGATCGTGTTGTTCGTGTGCCGAGTGTCTCCAATCCGTTCGAATACGTCGAGAATCTCCCTAGTCAATCTTTCCAGTACCAATGTCACACTCGTGCCTATTCTAGCTGTCGAAGATACCAACAATTCAACTTCCGAGTTTTTTCACATCACTTGAATTGGTTCCTCTTGGAGAGGCGGAGACGAAGGCTAGGACGCGCTTGGGTGATAGGTATGTGAAATGGCATTGTTTGTGGCAGGTTGGTCAAAGCCAACGTCGGAAATTTCCCAGGCACCTGATAAGGCTCCGGCCTTGCAATGTTGATCGCCGACATAATCAGGCCTTGCCCAACCCTTGCCAGCCCTTGTCATTTCACAGCAAACCTGACGAGATGATGCCGGGAAAATCCGGGGGGCAGTTGCCTTACAAGGCGACCAGACCTCTGATGTAATGATTATTTCCACATTACAAGCTTGATGATCTCTGATAAGGTGTGATAAGGCAAATCGGGTCTGATAAGATTTGTCCAGCCTTGTAACATAGGCTCCAATTGCCTCTGCAGCCAGGTCAAGGCTATGAACCAATTATTGATTTTTTGTGTGTCTTATAACATTATCTGTATCCTTTTGATCATGTTCAGCTCAAAATGATACCAAATTCCATACAGAGAGTAAAGATAATGCTGTTGTAAGGTAGGCTTAAATACTAGATATATGAACGACCTTGGGAAGTTTCTTATATGCCTTTGTAGTGTAGTGGTATGTTGTGACTACAAATTTGTAGTCTTCACGTGAGGATCACACAAGCCCCGAGGTTTTTGGTTCAATCCTTACTTGTTGCATTTTAATTTGCCATGTAACATTGTTAAGTCTAGACTGTGACTATTTATAATTTGGATAATCTTATCAGGCCTGATAATCTGATCTTATTAAGTTAACCCAAAACTTAATAAAATAACTGCAACGTTGTAAGCCATTATTAGGTTAGGGGTGCCTTGGGTGCCTAATAACCCTTATTAGGCGCCAGGGAAATTTCTGACAAAACGCTATGATGTCCCCCGCTTCTTAAGAATGGTGTATTTTATGTAGAACACAGGGATTTTGTATTTGTAGATGTACGATTATGGTTGTTCGACCTTGTTCATGAGGTGATTACCTCTCTGATGTATGCACTGTATGTACTTACTGATTTGATCTAATCGACGTTGAACCGACGTGTACGCGTATGGATTTAGATGTGTTACTAAGCATTTTCCTGATATAGAACTGGTACATGTCAGAGGTAGTTGCGTTCACGGGATGCTCCGATGGGAGCCCCCTTGGGTCACTCTCTTCGTGACGTGATCTGGGTTTCTCCTTTCTTTTCCTTTCTTTTCCTTCCGCTGCCATCCTCTCATTCTCTGTTTCCTGGAAGCATCATCATTCATCATCTGGATTATCCATCACCATCCACCAAAATTTACTGGGCATCATCATTGCACACCGTACCACTATCATTCTTGTCTTTCCAGCCGAATGCAAAACCCTAGACACCTCGCAGAAATTTCTTGACTCCACCTCGCTTTGTGTGAACAACCATTTGAGGAAGGAAGCAGGCATCAATGATGCAAATCCTCCACCAACTCAGGTATATGGAGTGCTCCACACTCCACTTGAGGTTATAATGATACGGACTTGTGCCAAATGCGGTTGTTTGCACAAAGCGAGGCGGAGACCAGAAGTTTTCGGGAGGTGTCTAGGGTTTTGCATTTGGCTGTCATCCACCCTCAGTGTTGTCTTGACCTGTTTGACCCCATCAAGAAAAAGGTTAAGTCAAAGGGTCAGTCAAAAAAGGTCAAGGGGTCAATGTCACACAGAAGTCACGTTGACCATGATGACATAATGTAATTCAGGACAATGTAGTACCTAGTACAAGGGGGTGCTGGCCCGGGAATCCCGTACCGGGACCCGGTTAGTTAGTCCAGCCGCAGGCTGTGAAAAAAAAAAAAGGATGCCTTGGGCAGAAGGCCTTCAATCATCAAGTTGAGTACCTTGCAGCATAATATGGTAACTACAGAATGTACTGGGAGGAATACAGCTCCAATAGAGGCCATCAAGCACCGTGATATAAGATATTCATTAATTCCTGCCATATTTGGGCATTTTTTTGACATTACTTGAATTACCGTTGACCAACAATATCCTAAAATCTACAGTATGTCTAACATTGGTTTCACACATTCTATGTATCACACCATTGAGACGGAGCCACCTGCCCTTGATGCGGAGGGCTTCGCAATCTGTGGTAGCTGTGTATCCTCATCAAATCCTCATATGCAAACAAGGTGTGCGAGACACACTGGGTAAGTACATTGTATTATGAGAACTGAGTGATTTTCCAACTCACGTTATTTGCCTAGTTCCATCTAAAATGTGTGGAACATGTGCAAGCACCCCGGAATTTTGCCTGCATGACTTGTGCAAGACACAGGGGAAGCACTCACAAATGATGTCATATTACTATATATAGACATGTTCCTGATTACGTTAGTTAGTTAGTCCATCTCAAGTCGCCTTAAAAAAAAAATCGACCCCGGGTCTTTTTTTTCAATGCCGGCACCCCCTTGACCTAGTACAAGCGTCAAGACAAGCGTAGCAATAATGACATTGGACACGGAAGGGGTACTGAATACGCTAGCTCAAAGTGGGAGGGCATGAGTGCTGAAGTGCTGAAATCTGTAAGCTGTCATGCCCTCAAAGTCGCATCTGTGGAACCACTCTGACATAAATTTCCAGAACAAACACACACATGCTAAAAAATATCGTGTCGGCGTGTACATCTGAGCTAAGCAAGCAGCGGATCGTGAAGCTTGCAGAAGGGAAGAGTGCCAGCCTGAGTCAATCCACGACGGCGCACTCGCAAGATAGCTCATGCCGACCTTTTTTAGTATATCCCGAAGCTTCAACTGCGAAATCGGAAAAAGGGTTGGTAAGTATTCTATTGAATTCGAGGTAGCTACTTTATACTGAAGACATTTCTCGTACTTCAAAACTGAGTCTACCTTGAGTCTAACGAATCTCTGCAAGTGTAAATATGAGGCACCCTCTCGGCCCACGCTTTCCGTTATCCCACGAAAACTCTTGACCCAGGTCAGTCAAGCTTTCAAGAATCTTGACTTGACCCCCCTTTTTTGACTGACCCTTTGACTGACCCGGTCAGACCCGGGTCAATGACAACACTGTCCACCCTGATTATCATGGTGTCCATCACCGCCATCACATTCATTTTCGACCCCTGTATTACACACTCCTTGCAAGCCCTCCACTCCCGACTCGACTCCTTATCTCATATATTCTGACACACCCTATAGTAGTCGGTCCTTTTATTTTCGACAGATGCATCGCTCGTTACGGTTATGTTCGTCTTCTCTCTTTCTCTCTGTCTCCGTACCCACCCTCCTTGGGTTCCCGCTTACTTATCTAAGAGGAATGCTGATTCAACACACCCAAGTCAAAGTACCCATCCCCGTCGACGTCGCGATAAAGCGGTGATATTTTGCAGAAAATTTGTATATAATGTGGGTTGTAAGGAACGTTGATAAAAAGAGTGCAAGAAGAAATGAAGGTCGGTAGTTCGATTTGAGAGAGCAACGAGGAAAAAGAAAGCAGAAGACATCAAATCTCCGGTCAGGGATAGATGACTGGCCTGAATCCGGTGGTAGCAACCATTCGCATTTTTGACGTCAAGGAGATGGTCAGCCTGTAATCAAGGGCTGCCCCACTATGTTGACGTTGCTGAGAGAACCTAAAATGAACGTGAACTTGTGAGCCCCCCTTCAATCAACAGTGTACTGACTTGTAACGCCGCCTTTGACAGACAGGTAGTGCCAGTCCCATGTACCTAATACAGCGTCAGACCATCACATATGAAATGTTAAGAAAAAATGACTGTCATACCTGTGCAAGAACCGTGTCCACAATTTACCGCAACCTGCTTTGCCCCGCTGTTCACGGCAATGTTGGAAGTGGGGCTACCAAAGTTGACGTTCTAACCCTTTGTCAACTCCAGTCAAAGAAGACAGTTTCATATAATACCGAAATAATAGTGCCCGTTCCAGGAGTACCAAGGGTGCTGGGATAACTCTATTATTGGGCGTATTAGTGAGGAATTATTAGTGAGGAATTCAGAGAGGTACCTGGTCGATGATCACGCCAAATCTTCGGATTCCTTTCGCAGTGTTTCCCTTGTAATAAATTCGTCAGCCACGAGTTTAAGATGCACGGTTAGTACTAGTTACAGCGTATGTGACATTGTCAACGACACTCCCAATTGCTGTAGCATCGGTTTTAATACGAAGAGCCTGGTCACTGCATTTGATTGTCTAACAAACCAACTTCGAAGAGGTGGGACCGAATTCGCACCTTTCGGTGATAATGTTACCTGTAACGATGACGCCAGAAACAGCGACATTGGAGCCAATAGAGCCCTATAATGCAGATCAAGTTTCCAGTACGAGAAGGGGTGGGGAGGGACAAACAATTGAGATACCATGACCACCAATGCAGGTGTTGCGATCGAAGATGATGTTTTTCCCTCTGTTGATTGCAAGGCAATCGTCCTAACGCAGTCGTTAGTCACAAACAACCTGATTGTGTGGATTGGTGTGCCCACTTGATTATGAACCGTACTAGGAGATAGTAAGCGAAAGTACCCAGCATTTCATTTGAGTCTTCATACCAGTTCTGAATCGTTACGTCATGGCCGCTCACGTCGAATCCATCGGTGTTGTGGCCTGAAAGGATGGATGGATTGTCCATCTCTGTTTACGAAGTTGAACGAACCTACCAGCGGCAGTCCCATAGCTCCTGTTATTGGGGTAGTCTCCTTGAGCTATACGACGATTAAATGGATAGTCGTGGAATAAATTATATGCCTCCTACAGTTATCGACTGTCAACTTTGTCATCAACAAGGGTGCGGGATTCGACACAGAGAAAACCCGCGCGGGCGAGTTGACCACTGTCACATTCTAAAGCATGTGTTAGCAATCATTCAGAAGTTTGAATGTATGCCAAAGAGGCAAGAAAACTGACCTGAAAAGTTCCTGACATTCTGATCCTGCCAGAAGACAATGAGAACTTGGCGGGAAGAAAAGCAACACAGAGCAAACCTCATCATAGGATCTGGCTTTTGTATACTGGAATTGAGACCCTTGAGACCCGTACCATCCTAAACGAGGTCATTTAGCGTTCAATGGTATTTTACTTCCGTTATCGCATTTACCCAATAGAAGGGACCTCCCCCATTGAAATTATGGCCATTCCCGTTGACTATTGCAGAATTCAACTTTAACTTGTCCAAGGCGTATGGAAATACGCACATGTGATAGAAGTTCCACTAAAGAAATGTTACTCAATCAAGGTGGGCTTGCATTGGAGAAATTCGCCTACATTATGGTGAAAAGGGGGCCTGCCCAGCTTTTGTTGCCAAATGAAATATCACCAGCTATAATAAGGGTGAAATAAGCTGATGAATCGTAGTAGAATGTATTTGAGCTACCCATCGTAACCGTTGTTCCTGGCAAAAGATTCAGAATTAAACCCTGGCCAGCAGGAACAGTGAAGCCCTGAAGTGTAATTGTGGTGCATTTGACAGCTAAATCCACGTCTTTTCGTTTTCTATATTCAGATGGGTTGGAGGAGATCGTAACGCAGCACTTCACCAGACAAAGACGATATGGACCCCTGGCATGCTAGCACTACACCAGCGAAGAGCAATACGGAGAAAACAGAGAGCATGTTGAATGTCGCCAAAGTTTCCCTCGAGCATTTATAACTCTTCAAGTTGAGTTGATTGGCCGCTCGGAGGAACAGATAAGTGGAGAAAGCATCTCGCTAGATCCAGGAATCGCGGATAATTCAGATCAATGATTTCCGGATATCAGAACTCTGTCGTCATGAGGACAACTTCATTAACGATTCCGGTTGTAAAGATGCCCACTTCAAGATGGAATTCATAAAATTCAAACCAAAAACACAAGTTGAGTAGCGCCTTCAGGTGCAACCATTGCATCCACCTGTTCGCCATTTAGCTTTTGTGTTACCGCGAGATTGTTGCGTCGCTGCTATTCTAGAGCTTATATCTGCGATTGCGACAACGCCTCTTCGACCTCTCATAAACTTGATCCAGTAGATATAATCGGTCGTAAGGTTCCTGGAGTCCCTCGACCCTAGTAGCAAGGATAACGGCAGTGGAGACTGAGGGGGTTGAACGTTCTGGCATTCCAAACTTCTGGAGCCTTCCCCCATCGTGGCAGCCTCAAAGCCTTAAGATCAAGTCAACCTGAGACGACCAGCATAAAGCCAAGAGAATTTCACAAATTACAATTGAGTCGGAATTTTCTTTCTCCATTAATTAGAGGCGGGCTGCAGTGCGATTTATCGGCTGTCCAAAATCAAGGGCTGCTTGTCGTTTTTCGCCGTTTCAGCTTTCAATATGTAGCTCGAGCCTTTTGGAGTTTCGCGCTATTGAGAGGTTCAGAGTGACAGGTTTCTAACAGAAGATTTTGGAAATCCGAAAGAGCGGTGTTTGCTAATATTTGACCATGTGTGGCGACGGACATAGAAACAACGATGCCTTAAGCTGAACCTGAGCTGAACCAAAAATGTCAACCCTCCAATATCTTACACAAGAACAGGTCGACCAGGTGAGATCCATCTCGCGTTACTTGCGATATTCTGACCCAAATTCCAGTTTCATCGCAATGGGTGAGATCCTAGCTTAAATCCTACAGGCCCATACAAAACAATCCATTATGCAGGTACCTTATTATTCCCGGATTTCTTTCCGCTCAGGAAGCGGAGGAACTTTTATCCCGCTCCAAACAATTACTAGATGACTTCGACATCAACGACCATCCGCTTGTGCGTTTCCATGTTCCTTGGAAATAGGGATATATCTTGAGTATTTCACAGACGAAATTTACAACAGGAGAAGATAATCACGTTGGAGATGATTATTTTCTAACCTCCGGGGATAAGGTGTACGTGACTTCAATGTTCGCTGAAAGTCGCACTACTGAACGAGGAAACAGCCGTTACTTTTTAGAAGAGGACGCTGTCGACAAACACGGAAAGTTGATCAGAGAGAAGCAGAAATCTGTGAATAAAATTGGACATGGTAAATACAAAATCGCCCCCTGGCATCCGTAGCCGTGACGCGAGCACTTCAAAGCGCTCCACGAATTGGATCCTGTTTTTCGAAAGGTAACGCTCGAGAATGAATCTCTAAGGGCATTAGCGCGAGATTTGAAGTTTCATCGCGACCCAGTGGGTGCGTAGTCTTCTGCTACGCCTACCGAGCATTACCGACCACCCTCTCAAGCTTTGCAATCAATGGTGATAACTAAACAGACACAAATCGGGGGCGAAGGTGTGTTATTCAAGTACAAGGGTCAGGGCAGATTGAACTTGCTGTTGAACAATAGTTAGGGAGCATAACGACTCGTAGGTTCTTCCTGAATTTTTTATCGACTCTATTTGATAGACCATGCACCAGTACATTTCTGGTATGCACTTTGTCTAGGCTTGACACTGTGTCCCTTACTTGTGAATTGTTCAGTATACCAATCCTCCGTCAGCACTTGGCTTCTGGATTGCTCTCGAGCAATGCACTCAGCATAACGGCGCCCTCTCCTTCCTACCAGGGTCTCACCTAACCGTACCACTCACGAAACGCTTCATTCGCCTACCCGAGTGTAAAGGAACTGGTTTCGAGCTGCTAGTCACTCCAGTTGAGGAACAGAAAATCAAGAATGGTATCAAAGGCGACTATGTCCTTGAACCCTGCAAACCAGGTAATGTCACAATCATTTTCGATGAAAATCAGTTCTTATTCACTTGCAACAGGGGATCTTGTCCTTATCCATGGGTCAGTTCTTCACAAATCGGAACGAAACACGAGCGCGAACACCCGCTTTGCGTATACATTCCATATGATCGAATCACCCCTGTTCGCAGATTATGATGAGAAGAATTGGTTGCAGCCAACGCAAGCCATGCCATTTTCCCATATATTGGGAGAAGCGACACACGTAGATAATAACTATGGACTGCAGGGGTAAAGAGCGAGATGACCTCTGGAATTTGTACACCATATAGTACTACAGTATTGAATTGATCGTTCCTTCTGAGTTTTTAGCATTTCTTATCGCAATGAACGACTAGGAAGCGAAGCCTCAAGGTTTTAGTTGGGCTTCACGCGTCCGTAACCTACGATCGTCGCAAGAACTTGCTGAAAGTTGCACATAAATGGTTCAGAGCCTCGGCGGACATAACGTCTTCATTTGAACAACCGTGCGCAACAGGCTCCAGACATGTGCAAAGAGCGCTCATTGCATCGTGGGCGTTCCCTTCTTGCCTTCACTCAAAGTCTCAAACAACTTTCGAGTGAGCCTAGACGCTACCAGTCGTCTTACAACCACTTGCCTTCAGGTCTTGAAGGTCTTCTGGCTTGATTTTTTTTCATGGCTGCCTCAGTTCACAGTCTGCGATCCTTAACCAAACACGACGACCCAAGTAGGGTACCCCTTCCATCTCACCGACACGCAGCACCCTCCGCGCCTTGGCCTTGGATTGACTTGCAGGACGGTCCGTTGATCATCTCTGAATTCGTCAAACTCTTTCCTCGGTTTCCTGACGAACCAATTTCGCAGAGGTTGATCCTGTCCAGCTCGATAATTCAGCCCCGCCCATACCTGACCTATGCGACCATGGCACCTCGTGCGACGAATGTTGGAAAGGATACCCTCAATCACGATTCCCTAACTGGACAGAGAGGCAGGTGAAAAAGGCGAGGATATATGATGCGATACACCACTACTCTCGTCATCAAAATTGCATCATCTACCATGTTGATGTGGATCATAAAGGTTTCTTCACAAATGCTGAAGAATTTATAGCAGTGAATGGAAGGGAGGTCGAGACTTGGGACGCAATAGTTCACGAAAAGGTAAGATGAACGAAGCAGCCAAATTTACCCGAAAGTACTAACTATTTAGACAGAGACCCACCGACCTTCGCGTCAGGTGTTTGTTCTTGGAGAACTTGAGCGGACCTGTCCTCCAAATGTTGGGAGCAAAGTGAGGGATAGAACCCATTCACATCAAGCTTTCCTTTCTAAACTTTTGCAGGTACAATATAGAACCGTTTTTCTGGTCCTCATCGCTGAGCTGGATCCCATCACGTTTTCAAGAAGAAATCTTCCCTAAGGAAGGAGATCGTGCTGCTGTCCTTTCCTCATAGTGACCCCAAATCTAATCATCGCACAGACATCACCGTTACTTTGACCTTTTTGCGTTCAACGGCGAATGAGGAAGCCATTGCGGCTCGCATGGGCAAATCTACAGACAGTCTTCCATCGACTTTGTTAGGTTCACAAAAGATTGATACTCATGCGCCTCTCGCCCTTTATTCTAGTAAGGCTCTCAAAAGCCCAATTAGCTGATGCTGATCAAGTTTTTGGCAGACCAACGCCTCCTTTCGCTTGACCTTCTCTCCGTTCACCTCATCCGCAATGTCAAGGGCAGCACCATCATTTCCTACCATCCCAATCTCAAAATGTCTACAACTACGGCACCGTACCTTCACACACGTATTCGGTTTGCAGGTACTGTCTTTTGAAAAAAACTTCGTCGCCATGATTTCTCTGATCTTTACATCCAGGCCAAAGTGTATACTGGCAGAGCATGTTCCAAAAATCACCCGACCCTACATTCATTCTACTGACCTTCATCTGGCATGCGATGTACGCATGGGATGAAGCGCTGGAGCACCTATATGAACACATTTGCGCCTTGGTGAGTTTATGACGTAATGTTGTCAACGTGTCGCTAATTCACTTACAGGAAAACCGTGTCATAACTACGGCATCCATGCCTTTAACGCAAGAGCTTCACGTTATACGTGCTCACCACCTGCACTACTCCTCCCTTCTGGATGACTTTTCCAAGAATGTTAAATTCATCAAGGAGACTCGAAATCCTGCCATGGAATCTCCATTGATCCCAGAGGGTACTCGCAAAATGAGCCGGAGTTTGCTTGATCGTGAATGCGATACACTGTTAGCCGAGATCAAACGCCTTAGCGTTGAACTAGCAATGCAAGAGAGACGCTTGAGGAATGTCATGAATCTTGTGAGTGTTTTGGGCTTCATGTGGCGGTTGTCGGTGATAAACCGAGATCAGGTGTTTAGCAGCGTCAACATTAACGATAGTAGGTATATGAGGCAGATGACGGAGGCTGCTGTTCGCGACAGTGCAGGTGTGTGTTATTTCTCTATCCCAGCATCATTTTCCGTTGATACCCCTTTTCTTTTCTAGCTGTGAGTGCACCCTATTGACATTCATCATCCACTTTTCTCATAAGTCTTCAGATGAAGCAAATCGCATACCTGACGATGATCTTCGCGCCTGCGACATTTGTTGCAGTAAGCAAGAAATTCCTTTAATTCCATCTCCCATCTTAATCACTCTGCGCACCAGGGTATTTTTGGCATGAACATTCACGAAATAAATCCCGGCACGCTCGGTTCCCTACCGCACTACATTGCCGTCGCCGTCCCCCTCACCATTGTAACCATTTGGATAATCATCGCGTTCCAGAGCAAGTACCTCTTCACGGACGACGTGTCCATATGGAGACGCCTCGCGTGGCCGTTTTTCCTCGCGAGGCGGATGCTTTCCACAAAAAAGGGGCAGCGGGGCCAAGACGAAAAAGAGAAGAAGCTGTTGGAGAGTTACAGCATTTCGAGTCAGGAAGCGATTATGTCGAGGGAATTCTTAGATGACTGACGGATATGGCGATGATGACTTTTTTCTTTGGGGTTTTAGTGTGCTTCATTTGAATTTACGACTACACACGTATCACGGATGGATATATATCTATTTCTTCTGCTGCATAGAACGGAGTGAGGGAACGATCGCGACAAGGTATAGAAACCGCCTCTATATAGTTATGGTTTGGTTACATAAACTTAGCGACAATGGTGGTATAAAGATACATGGTATACGTTTTGGTTTCTCCATGATCCACTTATTAATATAAAATAGCCATCTCTGCAGTCACAATTGCCAAGCCGATCCCAGTCATTGCCAGCAAAGGCAGCATATTCCAGAAAGCAAATGTTCTCTGCTTCATTGGTATTTTCTTTTGGGTTAATATTGACTTCCACAACAAACCCGCCAAACTCGCTGAGAATGTGAAACTGACGGCACCAATATTGCTGGCCACGGCAAGCGCAATGGCCGCCGCACGGGTGCTCTGATTAGATAGTTCGGCAGCCCGCACAACTTTCGTAAGAAGGATAGTAGCGCCAATATTGGTGCCAGATACGTTGCACATGATCACACCAAGAACGCCAATGACCCAAATGGTAGGCGTGGTGTGACCATGGGTGGCTTTTTCCAGCCAATGGGCAAAGACGTCGATCCAGCCCTGGTGTGAGAGTGCTTCGATGAGGATAAACTGGGAGAAGGCGAATGGTATAAGGGCGAAGGGGAGTCTTGGGAGAGCTGTCATAAAAGTGGGGAAATGCGCTGAGAGCGATTTGTATGCAAAGTTAAACCTGGCTCGTTGAGAAGGGAAGAGACCCCGTCTCTTGTTTTCATCGTGAAGGGTAGATGAGCTGTTTTCTGAGGTGGAAGCTTCGGCATTTGTGTTTGGTATAATGGCCGGGGATGAGGTACCGCTTTGTTCAATGTCACTCATCGTCAAGGCTCTGACGAGAGCGGCGTTCATTGGATCCTCCTCCGACGTGGTCTTGTGCGCTTCTTGTACAACAGAGCGCCTCTTATAGCGATAATGATCCCAGCAAAGATCAAAAATGAACTTGACAACGGCGAAGGGTAACACAACTTCCCACACATCAACATGGTAAAAGGACAAGACAATGATGACAATAAGGCAGATCAGAAGCAAGATACCCCCGAACATAGCACTGACAGGATCGTTAAGCACCGAACGAACATCGAGTTTTCCTGTCCTGCTAAGTTTATAGGGGACATGTTTTTCACGACGGAATTGAAACATAAGGGCAAGGTAACAGGCGGCGCTACAAGCCAAGAATGGGAGAATGGTGTAGGCAGTAAACGCTGCGTTATTGACACCGAAGCCTTCGCAAATAACGACGTTGGTTGGGTTGCCCACAAAAAGCACCATACTCGCTGTGTTTGCGGCCGCAAACTCCGAGATGAGCCATGCGATGGGTTCAAGGCCAGTAGCCGCAGTGTAATACACGAGGAAAGCGGTCCCAGAGAGGATGACGGGGTCGTTCCCCACAACCATACTGACAAGGGTTAGAAGAAGATAGAAGTAGAAGTAGAGCTTGCGACCGTTCGAGCCGCCTTTGTTGCTGACCCAGAATGCAGCGGCTTGGAGGATCCCCGTCACGTCCAATGTGATAGCCATGTATGCCAGCGAGATAAATAGAATCAGGATATTGTACGGCTTCACGTCATCTAAGAAATTATTTAGAGTGAATATTGACTGACATCTGGAAAAAAAGACGCCTGCCTCACCTGTTCCAACTATGCCGTTACGAATTTGGGTAGCGCCGATGCACTGTGATGCCCAGAGAACTGCGATGGCAATTATAGGCGCCGTCATCAACCCAATCGTGATTCTCCTCTTTCCCAGGACAGGGAGGGGAACATGGAAGGACACGGGGTGAATGACGAAAACCGTCGATAGGAAGAAAAACACCAAGGTGACGATGGAGAATCGGTTGACCATCCTGGGTCCACCTGGATTGACAGTTATGTAGTTTATAAACGTCACTAATTATAGCCGCAGGTTAGAAAGAGAACAATAAGTGTCAGAGGTCTTGTGTTCTTACCTTGTCACCCCGACAAGCACCCTGTCGCCTACAAGTCGCCTACTTGACGAGCACAGGCGCACACAAGACTGGAGGGTGCGAAAGTCGGTTGCAGTCGCTTGCGTCAAGTGCCAACTGGCCGTGGTGAAGCATGGGATCAAAAAGAAGGGGGCTGTGTCCCTGCCAGTGCCATCGTTTTCTTGAAATTTTCGCCAAATTTTTATCTCCTTCTCTCATGCCGTCCGCAGCGCTTAGATATCCAGTAGCGGCGCAAGCGCCAGTCCCCGACTCTGTGTCAATGCCAAGACTATGCCCCAACTACTTATGCCCAGCAGGCGCATACCTAACAGTCACTGCCAGTGATCGTCACAAATCTGGTGGGAGAAGCGGCGTGACTAAGGTGTGACAACTTGAAAAACAAGATTCTTCGTATTTTCTTGACGGTAAAAAAGGGGAAATTGGATTGTATTAGAGCTAGGAGGTCATGTACCATTTTTTGTGGAAGGTGTACGATCAAAATTGTGCCAACTCATGCTTAGGGTGCGCCGAGGCATCTGTCGGACGTTCCCGAAATTTATGGGAACGCCGAAGTGGCAAGGAACGCCATCAGACTTTAGCGAGGTTCAATCCGAGAAAACCCTCCGTTGTCTCCACTGTCCAGGTGAGCATAGTGAACACTTGGAGAAAATCAGCCCTTATTGAAGTTATTCAGTTGTTAATCAGAGCGACGTAACTTGGACAGACCAAGTAACAGTGTACAAAGACCCCGCCATCGCGAGCTAAATATACACACAGTCGAACATATCATACAATTTGCCTCTCCACGTCGTAAAATCCACGTCGTAAAAGTCCAACGTCATCAATGCATCAAGTCGTCGAGTCATTAGTTGGTTGAATGCCAGGGAATACCTCAGTAAACCCAGGGGATCAACTTGTATGGAACTTTAGCGGCCCATTGGTCCCATTCCTTCGGGAATGTTTCTCGCAACGCCGCGTCTTCCTTTGACATGCGGCTCATCAATCCCGTTGTGATAACTGAAACCATGCCCAGATATATCCCCGCCGCGACCTGTCCTATTGTCGTTTCCAATGCTCCACACTCTCTCGCCCATGAACCCTATTTGTCCCGAGCTTTGTGAGTTCTACCATGCAGAATAGTAAAAGGACGATACTTACGGAACTAGCGTGCCAACAGATGATTCCAGTGATTGTAAAAAGGATGCCAGTATACCCAGGATGCCTCACTATGCCGTACGGACCGTCCGTGATCAACTTATGATCGTTCCGTATGCTCATTTCGAATGTGAAGAGGCGTCCGAGTGCGCGATAGCAACGGTATCGGATATATCCACCCAGGCCGGTCAAAAGGGTACCGAACACGAAGAGCGGTGATAATTGGATGCGGTCCGAGCCTCTCCCGCGTACAAGAGTAGAAAGAACAGTCTGGGAGAGGGTAAGACTGGGCGCGTGTGTGGCAAGAATAACCGCGGCTTCTGCAGCGGCGGCAGCCCAGCAGATCGACTGTTAATAAAACGGTTAGATTTCCGTCATTAATCATTTGAGATGAATCGAGCTGATTCTAGTCTATACAAGGTCTGCATTTCGGAGATTTACATACCTTGACCAGGAAAGGTCCAGTTCGCTGCTTAACAATCACTTCTAGCCTGGTCGATGGTGCCCTTTCGTCTGAACTTGGCGGAGGATGGGGTGGTGTTACGGCGATCTGTAGGCCAACCATCGCGACGAGGATACAAGGTATTTTTATCAACAACGACATCTTATCTTGCAATTGTGGTCAGGACCGAGGAGAGCGATGGGGTCGGAATAAACCCAGCTGAAAAGGGGACAGAAAAAGAGTCAAGACCGTGAATGAAAGTGTGGGGCGAATCCAGAAGTAGGAAGTAGATAGTAGGTCTTTTATCCAGAGTCGCACTCAGTCCAGGGACCGTAGAATCTCGATACTCTGTTTGTTGCCGATTTTTACTTCCGTGCGATATGATCATTCCAACTTGCGGGGTGAGGTTTCGAAAAATATGTTGCTTTTCCTAGCCAAGTCTGATCTTCCGCCCTGTGATAAGGTCCTTTGCAGCCCATGGGTTTCTAGAATGCCGCTTTCCCATTTGGCGACGACATGACTTGCAAGAGGTTACCTCATCATAAGTCATTTAGTTCTTTTCGCTCTCCGACCAGGTTGTCAAGTACAACGGATCAGGGCGCGAACCTCGGCATTCACTCGGGAAATTAGCAAAAATTAAAATAGTGTCCAGTTCACACTGTTTGGATTCTATTCAAACCATCTCCTTTCAAAGCCTTGTCAAGCTCGATGAAAGTGGCGGAAAACGTGACCTTGGGTGGCTGAATAAAAGCACAGGGCTGACTTGCTTGAACTGGAAAAACGCAATATAGAGTATTGAGGACGAAGCAGGAACAATTCAAAATCACTTCGGTGCTGCAGAATAACCAATGCCCCAGTCAGCAATTTCAAACATCCATCGCTGATGCCTGCTTCTAGAAATGGCGGGTGGCTGGCAAAGCTGAGAAAAAGTATCTTCATTGGGTGATAACCTGTGGTAACAAGGAGAGGCGTGCTGATGTTAAGGCACCTCTCGGGGATTGATATAATGACAGCCTGCGCCACAACTCACGGGTTTTCCAGAAGGCATGGCTTGGTATGGGGATCAGATATCAAACCTAACCCTTCAATATCAATGCGCGCATGTACCCATCAGCGCATGCGTGCTTACCAGGCTTAGAGATGCCTCGTGCTAGGTACGTGGGTGGCTGAACGACGAAATCCGACACGGAAAACATAGGATGTGTAAGCCCTTAGGTATCAACGAGACGATGAAAGACACACATGTACACTGAAGAACGCGCTCCGAATGATGAGAATCTGTGTGCGAGCGCGAAAAACTATCCATTTCAATGCTTCGGAGGGAAACGCGTGCGATAGACGGGCTTTTAAGAACTTGGTTTACGCCGGACTGTGTGTGCGAGGAAGGGAATGAAGGCGGAAATGCTTTCCGCCGTTGATTTTACTGCCGTCATTGTGTGGTCTTTGTGTGAGGAAGAAAAGGGGGGAAATTCTTCTGACAAAATGTCCAGCTGCCAATTTTTTTTTTGGAACTCCCTAACCGCTTCGAAGGATTTGTGGGGCCAGTTACAGATAAAAGGCTGTGAACAAAGTGGGGGATGAAATCAGTGGGGCGGATAAATGAATCAGCGAGTAACCAGTTAAGAGTGATAATGATTGACTAGAAGCCTTTTGGCTTGTAAAGTGAGCGGGTCTGGTCCGAAACTTCGACCATTATGGTGGGGATACCATTCCTCTTATGAGCTATTCCCGCATTAAAATTCAAATTGAATTGGTATTTTTCGACCACAAAAGTATGGCATCTATTCAGACGTGGTTGTGCGCGTGGGAGTGATTGTGTGTGCCAACGGTGATATCTATCAACGAGCAAAGAAGCATCACAAATTAGACCGATTCTAGTAGACTTATCAGTCAAGCGAATAAAGGCAGAAGAATGAGTTTCGTACGCGTAAGAGCATTGTTTAACTTGGTCACACGCGATTGTACACTCAAGTCGATGGTTTTGTCTCCGAAGTCAACAATCAGACCACCCAACACCGCGGGGTTTACCTGTGGGCAACTTAGCAAAGAAATATAATTTGAGAAGCATAATTCGCACCTTGTTGGTGATCTTGAGCACCTTGGCAGCCTGGGCGGTTTGCGATTGCTTTAGTGTCGTCTCCAGACGAGTAAGGACGTCCTTTGTCAGAGGCGTAGCGGACGTGACAGTGACGGTCAATTCTCCCTTGTACTGCGAAACGAGCTCGTTGAACCCTTCAATGACGGCCTGTGTCTCTCCCAATCTCCCGTTCTCCGACAACACTGACAGCAAGTTTTTGGTAATTTCCGAAACCTGTTCCTTTTTGGGTCCGGTTCCCTCCAATTTCGAGAAGAGCGACTCTAAACCCTTCTTGCGCTCTTGCAAAGACAGTGTTGGGTTGTGGACGAACCCATCAACTTCCGGCCGAGTCTTGATAGAGTTGGACACGCCCGCGAGCTCGGTGTGGACTTTGGTGAGGGTCGCTGGTGACTTGGCAAGGGCAGCGCCAAAGACCGCCTTGGAGTATTTTCCGGCAATGACAGAGGCTGCACGGCGGCCCAGGCCGGGGGTGGCGACGACTGAGCGTGCGGAGGATGCAAGTAACATGGTTGGGGACGATGTGGACGACGAGCAAAAGTTCGGTCTCTCTCGGGCTGAGCGGAAAGTTCCGATTCGTGGGAACTATTCGACCTGTAAATATTAAATATCATCTCTTTGTCATCTCTTTGATAATTTCTCTAACTTACGGTCTCATTGATTATCGATTACTGGTTGAGACAACTTGCTATCCAGAGACTGTCTACAAGCAAAATGTTCTACCTGCGACGGTGTTTACGGGTCGCCGAGACGAAAGGATTTTTGATTGTGTGTTACGCGCCGCAGCTGCCGAGAAAAATGACAAAGGCCGATGACAAAGGCATTCAAACGCCTCGTGTGCTGGGCACAGCAGACGAAACTTGGCGGCTGTCGAATGTTGAGGACTAGATGTGGAATGAACACACTGAGCGACGGGGCGCGTTGGTGCTGCGTTGCTGGTAAGAACGGGGTAGAGCGGTGGTAAGCGATGACCTGTCTGTTCCAAAAATAGCATCGAATAGTACCATCAACTGAACAAATTTGAGCCCCATCCTTACACGCCGTATGAACGTTGCGCTCCAACCCTCACTTTCGTTAACGACGTCAACCCATCTCCACCATACATATAGCCAAGCCCTGGCTACTCACAGCCCTCACAAAACTGGTCGCTGGCATCCGCAGAAAGAACAATAGCACGGCAATATTCCGGTACGACAACAATGCACCCCTGATGGCCTTTTATACTTTATTGAAAAGACACTTTCATAGCGTTCACCCATAATCCGACGCGTTTCCCTTCTTTCTTCTCCATGTTTTCTCTCGCCTGGTTGCGAGCCATCGCTTTCTTCCTTCTCTCTTTCGCGTCGCTTTCATATTCGAGGGAGGAGTCAGTTTGTAAGTCCTTTCCCGCCTTATTCCGTTCTCGTCTAACGCAGAATTGTAGTTACTTCTTCGGTTACCTATTGCACACCCCCAGAGTCACTTCTTATTTCGCGCTTTGAGGTCGCCTACTTTCCATCAAACCAATCGGTCTCTTTCAACATTTCCGCTGCCAGCGTCGTACGTGTCATCACTTTCATCATCCTACCCCACACGATCTAACGCAACTCCACAGCAAGCGAACCTCAATGTCACTGCCAATCTTTTCCTCAACGTGTATGGAATGAATCCCGTCAATGTAACCATTGAGCTCTGCAACATTCTTGACGGAGCCCTTTGCCCCCTCCCCGCTTACAATTTCACGGGTGCCGATTCCCTTAAACTTCCTAGCACGCTAGGCGTGGCCTCGATGATACCAGGCATTGCTTTCAAGATTCCTGACCTAGAAGGATTTGCGCAGCTAACCTTGAGAGATATCCATACCGGTGCTCTGAAGGCCTGTGTTCAGGCAACCCTCTCCAATGGATGGTCTGCTCACCAGACTGTCGTCGAATGGACAACAGGCGGAATTGCGATTGCCGCCTTGGTATTGGCGCTTTTGTTGTCTCTACTGTTCACCGACGCGTTGGCTCCATTCCGCTTGCTTGAGCTGATATATCTCTATCAGACCATTGCAAGCAGCGCTCTCCTCAATCTCAACTACCCTTCCGTGTACACTTCATTTGCTCTTAATTTTTCCTGGGCCCTAGGTCTCTTCTCGTCGACCAGCATCCAGAACTCTATCGACCAGATGCGCCACCTCACGGGGGGCAAACTTGCTGATGCAAGTGCTGGACCCGCTGTTGGACTGGTAAATCGGAAGATCAGCCCTTACAACTTCCAATCCATTTTTTCTCCATCGCTTTCTGCTTTGGACCTCTCCAGTAACTTCGTTTCAACCGCGATGAAGTTTGTTTCTGGCACAGATTCATCAGGGTTGAACGCCGCCAGTCTTATCAAACGCGATACCATACAGGGCGAAGTACAAACAGTCACAGCGCAGTCATCGAACGTCTTGCAAGCCGGCATTCCGATCTACGTGAACTTGATTCATATCGCAACGGCCAACGCGTTTATGACGATTTTCTTCTGCACCCTGATAATGTTTGCAATTGGCTTCGCAGTTGCCATTCTTGGGTACGGCCTTCTTTTGGCCCTGCGACACATCAGGAGAAAGAAGGACCGACACGCGAACCTGAAGCACGACTACCCATCCTTCGTGAAGTCCTGGTTTCTGCGTATGGTAAGATCGTCCGTTGCTGATCCGACATGGTGCTGATGTAATGTTATCACAGGGATTGGTTGCCTCACTTCCTCTTCTCATCTTCATCTTCTACCAATGGACCCTGAAGGATTCATGGCTATCGATACTAATTTCGGTAATCACACTCTTGGCCATCGTGGGTCTGATTGCGTACCCCATCTTCCTTACACTTCGTCATGCTCGACGTGATTCTGCCTACGGGCTGTACACGCCTGGAGAGGCACACATAAACTCATACGGCGTCTTTTATGCGCGATACCGCCCGCAGCGATATTATTTCTTTCTCGTCTTTCTGGCTGCCACCATTCTTAGAGCTCTCTTTATCGCTTTTGCCAGGTATCGTGCAGAGGTCCAAATCGCACTCTTGCTGGTCGTCGAATTGGGCCTGGTTGCAGCACATGTGACCTTAAAACCGTTCAAAAACAAGGGAGGGGACGTCTTTTCGACGTTCCTGGCAATCATTCGACTAGTGTGTACGGGGATGATGATTGCGTTTCTTGAGAGCTTGCAGGTCAAGGCCATTCCGCGAGTCGTCATTGGGATCGTCATTGCCATCATCTTCTCCGTGTCCGTCCTTATCGTCATCTTCAACCTCATCGTTCACTCTGGCCTCCTTTTGCTGTGGAGAAGAGCGAGGAACCCACGGTCATTCGATTCACCCCGTGATTCAGCAGGCTCTATACTTGAGAAAGGTATGCCAGAAAGTGGCAGCCGTCACGAGAGTCCGAACAGGTCCAGAACGGATCTGGAGTCGTGGGATCATGCCTATCCTGGCGGACGCCCCACCAATCCAACACCCGAGCAAAGTTTCTCAGTAGATAATGAGCTCTTGCAGCCCTTCCCGATTTCCCCAACTGCGACGACAGTGACAACGATGGAACCGCCAAGTATCTATTCACGGGAATCCGGGACGATGACGTTAGGTTCATTGTTACCGAGAAGATGGTCTTTTTCGCTTTCACCACCGATGTCACCAGCAGGATCCAGCGTTGCGCACGATAATAATGGGAGGAGTAGGCAAAACTCTCTACTCCCTGGCTCATCAGTAAGGCATCACTCCCTCTCGCCTTCTCCCTTCCCCCCTGCTTCACCATCGGAGATTGGTGGCGGGTCAGCGTCAAATCATGGCCAACGTCAATCACATCTACAAGATCAACATATACAAGAGCAGAATGATCAAGAATCATAGAGATATTATTTTTTAGACACCACACCCACCACATCCATTTGGACTCTTAGCTTATATTTGTTAATTGCACACACTCACTCGGGCATTTGTATCTTCAAATTCAGTTATTTGTATATTATTTACTTTCAAGTTTTGTGTTGGTTTAATTTTGTAATACTAACAACGCGACGCGACGCATGCCAGTCACGCGTCGCGTTCCTCCTCTCAAATTACATGTCAGTTTCGAAATCCCTTCCTGCGTCAAGTACACAGGCGCCAACGCTTCTGCTATGCGAAGCTCTGGGGTTCTCACCTCAGATTCTGCTCGACGACATAATAAACATCGCCAATAACGCCGTGCAAGATGGTGTCAACGGCATGGAAGAATTTCTCGAAAAGTGGGCTGAGGAACGCGCTTCTCGAGGCAATACCGCTGCCATCGACAGCACGCACGAGGTAGAACAGGGCTTGGTCGCGTTCCAGACGTTGCTGGAGTACCACACGGACATTGCGTTCGATTTCTTTGAGGGATGGTCGTTGCGAAATATCTTCCATATTCCACCTGATTTACCCATTGTCCTTCCGCATCAAGAGGGATTGGATTTAACAGTGACGGCTGAGAGAGAACAAGAGCTCATGAATGAGATGGAGGATCTTAGGAATCAGCTTGATAACGTGCGTTTCATTTTGTTGCCATTTACCTGCATCGTACTTGCTTGACTGAAATACAGCAAAGGAAACTTAATCGACTCCTCACCCGCGCTGTGCGCGTCTCATCACAGAAACGAAAGGTGGCAGAGATGCGTCTGGGTAATCTCTCCCATCTCGCATCGTCCCCTTCCGTTCCTTCGCCTCTCGACAAAATGAAGGCCATTCCACCGAAGTTTCTGAGCATGTACCAAGCACTATCTACACTACCCCAACCGGACCGACAGCTCGACACACCCGTCGATCCGGGGCAGAGACAATGGGAGACGAACAAGAGTGGGTATGTTAACTGGGCAGTAGATAGGCTGTTGGCCAAGGGAGGCGCAGATCGGGGTGGGAGCAGGGCGGTGGATAACCTGGAGACGGCGGCTGATGAGCTGGGGACGGCGCAGGAGTTGAGGACCGCATTAGCAGCTGTTGGGGATGTGAAGGCCGATTTGGAGGAGGCAATGGATGAATCTTAATCTCGAGCCAATAGTACTGAGTAAATATATAAATAGAATCATGTATAATATTCGGTTCCTCCGTTCCGTTCTGATCCACAATGTCCGACGCTTTCCAACATTAATATTCAACTTCTCCAATGCTATCACTACCGACGAGGCTTTCAAGTGTACGAGGTTGTGTTCATCGTGCAGCAGTATGTCGGAGACCTGCCCAACGAGCAAATTCAACAACTGCTTCAGCCTCCACATCGTCTTCACAGCAACCTGATTGCCAGTTTCCCTATCCCACCAACCGCAATCCAACTCCCTACCAAATCTTCCACCTCCCCCGCGGTGCGTCGGAGAGTGATATAAAAGCACGATGTGAGGCTCATTTCGTTTCGCCTTGTACATCCATCCGTGCTGAAATGTGACTGCCAGATTTTGACCTCGTCCGGCTATATCATCCAGATAAACCTGGGCTATCTGTATCACCCGAAGTAGCTCATGCCCAATTTCAGGCCATAACGGCGGCGTACGACGTGCTGAGGGATAAGACCCCGTCAGGCAGCGCACTTAGTCCCTCGGGAGCCAAGGCCGCGGACTCGACGTATCGATCAACGGCGGCTTGGAGGGCAACCCGTCAACGCAGGCAGGAGTTGTATAACAGCGGCGCGGCGGATGAAAGCTGGAAAGACAAGATTATCATCTTGGGCGTTGTCGGGGTGTGTTCTACTCTTCTCTTTGGAGTAAAGAGTTTTTCAACTGAATTAAATTACGTATAGACGATATTGATTGTCGTCTATGAAACGACAACCACGCGACGCGAAGCCATGGCGGAGGCTGTTGCGCGTAGCCGTAATTACGGTGTGCACAGGGAGTACCAGCAACCACAGGTGGACGAACGGCTTGCGGAACCCACCAGTCATCAGGAAGCGAAGCTCAAGTCGTAATGATATTTCCCATGCAATGATGCTACCTGGCAGGCAGGATCGTTTCGAGGTCCAACAACCTTCGCAAAACATGAGCCAGGCGCTTACTTAGAAGATGTCCCCACATGCTCCAAGTGGATGTTCTCCTCGTCTTCCAGACCCACCTATCAACCAATGCTGTTGCCGCTCACCACCTAACGAAGAATCTGCCCTGGAATTTAGAACAATTTAAATAATAATATAGAAAGCGACAAAAGGAGTGTGTGAGTGTGATAAGTCCAACAATACAATCCACCTTCAATTCCAGCAGCTCAGAAATAGAGCCCAGTCCAACCTCTCGAGCTAACTCGAATTTTATCCGCACCATCTTTATTCCCAGCAAAGTGCGTCCAATGTACCTGGCCCTCCTCCGCCGGAGGACCACCAACGAGTCTCTGGCCTCCAATGAGAGTGTACGATTTTGATTCAAGCTCGATCTTTCCATTAAACTCCGCTTCTTTGTAAGTGAGGTACACCTCTGCGTTCCTCGACGACATATGTGTGCTCTCGATGGGTCTCTTGAACGCTTTGTTGCCAATGTAGAATATGTCTGTTCGTCCGGCGCCAGTGGTCGTTCTAAGGACCGCGACTTCGGGATTGTTAGGGTCCGAGGGGGCCACGGGATGGACACGGACGTTGGCTATGCCATCACCGCGCTGAGTGGTGATGGCAGTATTGTTCGATAGAGACACGTCTCCCACGATCCAGCCACGGAACACCTCCAAGGACAGATGTTCACGAGCTTGGACGTGTTGGCTGGTTAAAATCATACTATTACTCGAGTCCAGAGTGAAAAGCGTCACGTGAAAGTCGTCCAAATCAATCTGAGCGTCTTCAGCGAATTGAAGGTGCATGACCGTGTGGGATAGGATGTGCAACTTCTTGAGGGTAGGAGGGACGTAGAGCGTGATGTCGTAGCGCATGCACGACTTGTCGGCAGGGCCATGACGCGGGGTGTCAATGACGAAACGGCTGTCGGTGACCCGGTTGTCCTCGTCGATGTCCGGGTAGGTGAAGAAGACGTTTCCGAGCGTGGATTGCTCGCTCGCACGGATGGTCAGCTCGTATTTTACGTCGGTAGCGTCAGCTTGGCCGGCGGCGAGCTTGAATGTCCCAACTGCGCCCCCACGGATGTCGAATGTGTGATCGTACTGGGCACCTACGGGAGCGGTCACGGTCACCTGGGAACCATTGTAGATGTGGGATGCGGATAGGCACCCAAGAGACGTGCTGAAGGCTGGCATGCCCTCGAGACCTGTAGGAGAAGCCTGATACGCGTGTATAAGTTGATGTCCTGCTACGACTAACTGGAGGAAAACACACGGTGAACGCCCATCGGATAACCCTGAATACCCCGTACAAGGTGAAAAGAGCGACAACGATGCCGAATGCTTTCCAGAATAAGCCACAGCTGAGGTCAGAGTCAGGAGAGCGTCTTGTGAATGAAAGGTCGTAGAGACGTACTCGACCCCGCAACACATGCAGCACTTGCTGCGCTTTCTTCTAGGCCTCCTGACGGGGATCTCGGTGTTCAAGAGCCTGCTACCAGGCTCGGCCCCGTCGTCATCACCGTCAGTGTATGGGCTGTGCAGCGCGACTCTGCCTTCCTCGTCATCGCTGGCAACCGGCTTGTCTGGTGGGATAAACAAACTTGAATCAGTGCTCAGAGCACATTGACTCATAGACCAACAACGTACACCTGCTGTCCCATTCATCCTTGAGCTTTAGCATCGCCATAACCCCGCCTACTAGACCGAAAAACGAAAAACCCGTGCGTACGCCGCCTGGAGCCATAGATAATGCTGGAGAGAGGAAAGGAAAAGATGCAGGGGCACCGGTTGTGTTGTAGTGATGTACCGTCGATGCATGGCGGGGATCATGGGCCGTCGGATGTTGTCGTGCTTGATGACTACCAATACTTTCTTCCGTGAGCGTCGGCAGTCGGCAAGCAAGGATATAGTTATTTATATAAATAGTCAAGGTACAACAGCCTGCCCTCCCATACTCAGTACAAAGGTCCTTTACCACTCTCGAAAATCACGCCAAGGAGCCCTTGAAAGGAAAAATCAGAAAAGAATTTGTGATTTCTGAGATGACATACCATTGGATCCCACGGCGGCAGAACTACGGGGTTTCCAGATTCGTAGACGTGCACCAGCTCCTTGGGAGCCAGAGCTTTGGGAACGACCACTTGGTAGACGTATCTGTAAGAGGAGAAAACGACGTTCAGTATTCGTTAGTCGAGTAAGAGTTGCGTAGACGTACTCAGTGAACCACTCGTCGGTCATGATAAAGTATCCGTCCTTTCCTGCAGTCTCACCCCACGAGTTCTCAACTTTGTAGCGAACAGGTCTGTCCTCCAGATCAAGGTGAACTCCTGAGATTACCATAGCATGCGTCATCGATGAATCTCCTAGTTGGAGACGTTCGGCTTTGGTCAGACCCAGCTTGATGTCGAACGCGTTCTGACAAGACAATCAATTTAAAGATACATCAGAGGAAGAACAAAAGAAAGCGCACCTCGTATTCGAACAGAGCGGTGTCCATAATACCAGCGTCCTTGTCAGAGAACTTGCCAACATCACATCCAAAAAAGACGGCTTGACCAGCTTTGATTAACTACACAGATATTAGCAGATGAAGGATCAGGTAACAAGACGCCTCACTTTAACAACCGTTTGCTTCATGTTATCGATTTCAGTGTTAACATCTGGAAGGTCTTCAGAAAGGCGAGAACGGCAAATAACGGACGACACGTACACAGAACAGGCCTGCCATTCCAAATGTTTCCCAGCTTGTCGACGGTGTAGAGCTTAGAATACTCATTCCGGGGATCATTGATGAGCGAGAAGGACTCTGCTGGCTAATAAATTGGTCAAGATAGGACTGAAAGCCAAAAGAACAACCATCCTTACGGAGAAGGGCTTGGTACCAAATTGTTCATAATACTCCTTGGGAGATCCCTCCCATCTACCGGTCTTATCATCGGCATCAATGTACTCCCAAACAAACTTCTTGTTCGGGTTAGGGGGCACGCCGAGGGTGGCAGTCATGATGTTGTAGATCTCCTTTATAAGCGCTTCCTTCTTTGCCCGAAGAGTAGCAATAACAGTTTCTTCGCGGATGTGGGCTCCACGAAGGGAGGCCGCAAGGTCGCGAAGAATGAGCGCGTGCTCACGGAGTTTAGTCTTGAGGAGAGAGTTGAGAGGACCAGAGAGGGAGGAGTGGGTAGATTCAGGATAGATGGCCTGTGGAACGAGGCCATATTTCTCGAGTAAGTTCACAGCCATGTCCCATTGGCCACCATCGCTAATAAGGTCGCCAGAGAGATGGTAGATGAGGCGGTCGTCAATGGGGAGATCCGCATGTTGAATCATGAGCTCAAGATAGTAATTGGACTTGTTGAGCTTATCCCAGAAGAACAGATAAGACTACCAAAGATTGTCAGCTTGTTATGAGTTTATTTGACGTTCGTTCACTGACCTGTGACAGCTGAAAGTCTTTGAGTTTGAACCTCTTCATGATCCCATAGCGGATGACGTTAGTAGTGGCAAAGAGCCAGCAGCGACCACTGCTCTTCTGGTTAGTGATAGGACCAGTCTTAAAGTCGACAACATTGTTGAAGATGTGTTGGTCGGTTATTCGGCTTGCGCGCGAGGTGAGGACAGAACGAATATCGGTCTGAGATAGAATAGTCCGGGCAAGATGTACTTTAGAATCGTTCTGAGCAGCCGCTTCCCAGGACGCAACATGGCCGAGGGTGAGTGATCCGTCCTTGGACTTTGGTACAGCTATCTCCAGCGACGACAAGGAGGCCGATAACTCGGAGATGACATCCTTCTCATCGAGAGTGTGAGGGAAATTGGGATTCTTGGGAGTGGGTATCCTGGAAGAGGCAGTGTTGCCCATGGTAGTTTGAGTTGAAGACGAGAAAGCGAAGATAGCACTTTGTTGCAACGGAGCCTTTTTCGGTTCACCGCCCTAACCCCAATCTGGGGTTGCCGTTGCTTTATTTATCATTTCTATAAAACACTTGTCACTCGCCACGACGACATGATCATGAATATAAACATGGAAGCCACGTTTGTTTCCTCCTCCTCTTCCTCCACCCCACTCCTATGGCGCGCACAATTCTCAATATCCTAGTCGTTCTTGTCGCCATTTTGGGGGGTTTCTACCAACTCTACCTTAGACCTACCCTCGTCAAGTTCGGTCTAGGGCGTGTCGTCGAGAATATCGGCAATAAAGATGCCTGCATTACCGTGCCAGAGCTATCAGCTTGCGAGAGTGCGTTTTTTGTCTCATTCTTATTTTAAAAAACTTCTTATGTGCTCCAGAAATGGTTCTTTACCAACCAACGGGGCTCATGTACTTGGCATGCTCTACTCCACAAAGTCGCGTCCACTGGACTCCCACTATGGGGCGCCTGAATGCGACCGGCGCATCTCGTACCGATTACGTCGCGACTTATGATCCTAAAACATCGCGCATCACCCGTCTGAACGTCGCCAACTTTGCGACCCAATCGCGCGGCCTCTCGCTACACGGAATGGATGTCGTTTCATCATCCTCGAACCCTAATGATCTTTTCATCTATTTGGTCAACCACCGTGCTCCGCTTGGCAATCTTCTCGCATCTAAAGTCGGCGCAGATTCTGTCATTGAGCTTTTTAAGACTACCGTTGGTGGTTCTATGATGACCCACATTAAGACCTTCCAAGATGAATCCGTCATCATCACACCCAATGACATCGTCGGCTCTCCTGATGGAAAGAGCTTCTACTTCACGAACGATCACGGTGCTAGAGTCGGTTTGGTAAGCATCTATTCGACGGCATATATTTCTTTCTATTTTTAACGACAGCATCAGACAAGAGATCTCGAAATGTTGGGCTATGCGGTTACATCCGTGGGCTATTGTCACATTGATGAAGGATGCAAGTTCGCAATCAAGAACATGCACGGCAATAATGGCATCGCGCAGGCCCCTAACGGAACCTTTTATGTTGCTAACGCTGTTTGGGGTGGTCTGACAATTCTTGAGCCGCAAGCCGATAAATCACTCGTAATTACAGACTACGTGAAAACCGGTATGGAAAGAATTAACGATTTCTCCGGGGCAGTGTACTTATCCTTTTGCAAGATCGTGGAATGGACAACCTATCCGTTGACTCGGCGGGACATGTCTGGGCAGCGGGTAAGCATCTGAAAGTTAATGCCCTTTCCAACTCGACTCAATCCATCTCCAGGCTTTCCCAACGCGCTCATCCTCGCTCTCCAACACTTCTCAGATCCCACAATCCCCTGTCCATCCAACGCGCTTCGTTTCTCCATAAACACCGGCCCAAACGCGTTCTACGGTGAAAAATATAAAATGGACAAGGTCTTCGAAGACGATGGGACCTTTGCCTCGGGCATCACTACCGTTGTACACGACGCGGAAAGGAAGCTGCTCTTTCTGGATGGTCTGTCCACATATTTCCGTGGCTTTTGTTATCGAGGTTCTGATTTCTCCTTTTGCGCAGGCGTTACCGCTCCATCGTTATTCGTATGCAAGCTCTAAGTGCGCTCGTATTCTCACGACGGTGACAAGACTGAATTGAAAATTAGCCATTAGCGTCTGAGATCTGAACAGTTATCTATCCACGTAGCTCTACTATACTATGACGCCTGCCTAAACCTATTTCTCGACCGCCACCGCCGTGCCGTGCACTGCCAATGCGAACTAATCAAACGCGGTTTCCGGTGGATTCATTCGTCTTGAGGATGAGGAGAGCGAGAACATCGCTACCTCTCAATGCTGGTTTTTTCGAAGCACCGCTTGGATCGCCTCTCAGTCTTCTCGACTTCATCTCTTACTATGAAGCGGCCATCTCCGACCTGGACGGTCCGAGCAAATCTGCGTACCATAGGCGGAAGCTTGAACAGCTGTATCCCTCCAGTCCTCGGGAACGATGACCGGCTTCTGCAGCAGCCCGGTACAACCTCAATTCATTAAGGTCCACTTGAGGTCCACATCTAAGTAACTCAAAATTAAGGGACGATGATGAGTCGTCTATCGCGGTGGGCATTTAATATTTAGTGTTGGCATGCTCTAGTAGCGGGAGCTTGGAGTTTGGAAGCCTACCAACGTTCTGGCTATTAGTCTATGCAAGGTGTTTTCCACCATATGTGGCTTCGTTTGCCTATATCGACGTTACCGCCTCCTTTGTGTCCTGTCCCGAATCCCTCACCGCTCTTGCATCAATTTCTCTTCGTCTTCTTCAAGCCTGAGAGAGTATCGTACGCTCGTTGCATTACACAAAATCAAGCTTAGGCAGTCATTCTGTTCAGGTGAGGAAAGAATGCATATCATATTTTTTTCTCATATTGGAGTGAAGAATGGGCACCCAAGCCTACATAACGATGAGATACCCACGCCTTTTATTTAAACATCCAAACGATTGACATAGAAAGCGTAAACCTAATCCCAACCGGCGGTACCAGTATCCGCACCCCAGCCGCCGCCAGCAGCGGCAGCAGGCTCTGCAGACCAGTCAGTTGTTGTTCCAGGAGCGGGATCCGCAGCCCAGTCGAGGGCACCTGCGGAACGTCAATCACAAAATATACCCAAAGGAAACTGATAAGCTCACCTCCTTCTCCAGCGACGAGAGCAGGGTTGATAGCTCCCGCTTGGGGTGCACTTGACACATCCCACTCAGAGAGCCCGGCAGGCGCCTCGGTTTCTACACCCTGTTGTGCAGCAAGCTTGGCTGCAGCCTCCTCCTGTTGCTGCTTCTCAACCTCTTCAGGGTCCCTGTAGAAGAACATGTCCACCATGACATTCCAGCCGTCGCTCGTCCTTGGGATTGTGCCGCGGAGTCTCAGCACCTCGCGGGCAAGCAGCCACCAGATAAGACCAATCGAGTGTCTCGTTTTGTTGTTTGTGGGGATGGCAACATCAACGAACTTGAGGGGGGCATCGGTATCGCAGAGCGCAATGACGGGGATGTTGACGTATGAGGCCTCACGGATAGCTTGGTGGTCCACGCGAGGATCAGTGACGATGATAAGACGGGGCTCCTTGAACGAACGAGTGATGTAGTTGGTGAAGGAACCAGGGGTGAAACGACCAGCGATGGCTTGGGCACCGGTGTTGGCGGCGTATTTGAGAACGGCACGGTGACCGTAGGGGCGAGCGGAAATGACACAGACATCGTTGGGATTCTCGACGGCAGCAATAACTCGGGCAGCCAACACAAGCTTCTCCCAGGTCTTGCCGATGTTCAAAATGTGGATACCTATGCAGCAGGCGAAATTAAATATGTCCCCATTTCGAATCAAGAGAGCCAGCATACCATCTGCACGACGTTTCCAGACGTAAGGTTCCATCTGCTTATCGCAATTTTTTGTTCCGATATGGCATTGAGCAGCCAAGAGCAGCTGAATCTCCTCCTCGGTCGCAGCGAGGACGGACGGTAGTTTCGAAGCCATGTTGTCTGTAATGATAGTTTTGTTAACATCCAAACAGGCCAAGTCGCATCCATCCCGAATCGCAACGAAATTCTCTCGTTCTTTCGAGCGGGAGACTGACAATACCAAATTAACGCACCTGTGAGCTTGCGTTAGCTTGAAGTCGACGGGTGCGACGTTCACAGTCGGCTTTTGGTGATTTGGCGGTTGCGGCACTCGATGAACAAACTCTGCCAAATTGAAACAGTTCACTTTCGCACGCCTTACAACTCTGGCATTTCTTGGACATTTCCTTGACATTTCCCCTCCATTTGCTTTACAAAAATGCTGCGCACCTAGTAAGGAGATTTTATTTTTGTCATTGTCAATCTGAGCATCCGCGTTGTGAGGTTTTCATGGAACGCAAGCCATATTTTGCGATTTTTCTCTTTTGCAATTAAATAATTGGTCATGGTTTGAGAAATCAAAATCCTAAATCGCTACACTGGTGCCTAGAAATACAAACGAATGATGGTGAAGTCTCCCTAAGGACGGTGCTGCGCTTCCAAATCAATGGCCTATATCGCTTCCATCTTTTCCTTGAAACGTCTATGTGAAATGTGCGTCGGAGTCCGGAGACAAGGTCGTGAATTGTATTGACAGGCATGTGCTCGACTCCGAACAGGATTGTGTGGGCAAATTTTGCATGTTAATGATTAATCGGCTTCCCTATTAGCAAGGTGTGTTAGATTTTGACGGTGAAAGGCAGTTTAATATTTACTGCACATGCGACGATCGATAGAAACCAGCTGAGCCAGGGTCAGTATAGAACCAGCGGAAAAGGGAGACCTTACGAATTTCCAACCGGCGCGTATTCATTTGGCAGCATGGTAACAATGATCGTCATCATCGTCACAACTGGAAAGAAGAGCAAAAATCAGCAAGTAAATGACGACTGTTCTGCATTGATGGTATACCGAGCAGGATTACAAAAGCGACGATTCCATCCCTGACCATTACGAACATGATCGGAGCGTTTCCCCATCCTCCTTTGACGGCAGTCCTGTATTTGACCAATGTAAGAACAAGGATGGTAAATTGGGTAATTGCAGCAGCAATCCTATAGAGTCCAAACCGTCAGTGTTTATCTCGTCGGAAAGATCACATAGTCCGGACAGACCCAAAGGATGTATAGGCGCTTGGACTGTTTACCAGCAGATTTTTGGCTTCAAAGTCTTTGCCAGGAGCGGTCATTGCGATGCCGATGAGGACGGTGAGGACCTCCCCGAGAAGTAAGACTAGAAGGACTCCTCCGATACACATACTCTTTTTGTACAGAGCGTATACTTTCCACTGGTTAAAATGTCTGCGTTACAGCGTAGGGGTAAGGAAGCGCACCTCGTGCCATCAATACTAACTCCACTGCGATCATGAGGATAGTTGCGACGACGACTTGACAGCTAAACCAGTCCCTCAATAGTTCGGTGTCAAGGTATAAGTTGGACCTTATAGCGGACTCGATGGATCGATTTGCCCTAGAGTTGACGTTGAAGAACTGGACGGCGCGGTAACATCAACAAAGTCTTACAGCTGTGCCGCTAGTGCGAAATACCTGATGAACAAGAATGTCCACTTAACCCAGCAAGACTTCGGTCTCCTAATTTTGTGAAGTTCATGAATGAATGAAAGTTGCGACAGCTCACGACCAGATAAGATTGACTTCATCGTCGAATGTGATAACAATCTCGTAGAGAAGAAAGACCAGAGACCCAACTATCAAGAGATAAAATCAGAGTGAGGAACCGACAAGCGTCAATGATAGACGTACGTTGCCAGCTCGTGATTACTAGAAGTTCATCATCCTGCTGGCTCATTGTTCTGCCCGCCTCGTTCGCAGCAACTGAAGCTCGTCAGGATTCAGAAATATAAGGAAAGGATGGTTTGAGTGCGGTCTCAAGATAAATGAGAGGATTGAAGTCGGTAGACTTTTGAAGAAAAGTCTTCTCTAGGACGGCGAGGAAGTAACGCGACGTTAAAAAAATACTGTAGTCCGATGCAACCGCCGAGATCTCCTCGAGAAGCGGCCCTTGTCCATAAAAAATATGCTTACCGGAGGACCGTGTAATTTCTTACAACTTATCAGAGCCTCTGGAGAAACCTCGGGGTGAGGGTTGATAAGTCGCCAGAAAAGATCCACGAGGTCCGAGAAACATTCAACTTTCTCACTGCGCTGCTCGGTGGCAGAATAGATCAATCTTTCTTGATCGGAGAGGTTTAAGAATAGGTCTCAGGCGCCTGCAAAAGCTGAGTGGCCAAGCCTAGTTGAACTTCTCGGAGTTTCTCTCATGATACGAGAAAAGATCTTTCGGTGGTTTCGTTACAAACGGGTGAGTTAGCTCTCCGGCTCGGGGTGACCACGCAACAGGGTTTGCCTTTGTGTGCAACGGCCTGATTCAGCTACCAGAAACAAACAAGTTAACTTCGCAAACAAAAAAAACCTTGAAGTTTTAACTTTTGGAGAGTTTGGACGGTCGTTTGTGTAACGAAAAGTACTTATGTAGTCCCAATTTTATTGGCCTATTAATTACCAAATACTCTGGAATCAACCCACAATGCCCCTCCTCCCCAGGTCAATCTTTGTTCGGCCATGAAATACATCAATAACGACTTGCCCAGACGACACTGATTATGAACCTTCCAGTCGAGTGGACCTATTGTAACAATTTTTTAAAATTTCTTTGACTTTCGTGAGCGCTGATTTTCTCCCCCACCGGGTAGTATGAGGTCCAAATGTACTCATTTCACAGAGATAGCCTATTCTGTTAAAATGAAAAATGAAAAATGAAATTATCGGCGCAACTGACTTGCAACTGACGTGGAAGTAAAGGTGTGCTCCAATTTTTTTTACGTTTATGAAATCTCAAGTATCTTGTGGGCGCTTTGTGGAACTTCAGAATCATTGTCAAAGTGACTGACGCGACGGCGTTTAATATCACGTGACCATGAAATATTTGTTGGCCACTGTCACTCAGGTGCCCTCAAGTTGACGAAGCGTGTCGATCTTCTCCGAACCAAGCAGTCCATACCCTCCTGTCCCATCCCGAGGACTTGTTCTCGCGATTACTTCGGTCAACTCCTGGGTTTTGTTCCAGGAGCTCAGAATGGACGACATTCCCTCAACTGGGCGCTCAGTCGACATCGAACTTGGAGGACAGGAAGTCATCACCATCGACCTTGACAACCTTGATCCAAATCCAGAGGATGTTTTGGACCTTCTTAAGGAAGGACAATGTACGGTATATGTTTGGATGAAGCTTGCTGGTGAATATTGGCGAAGGGGATATCTAGAAGCTGCAGAAAAGATTGCCTATTGCGCTATAGAATGTGAGTGGACTTGCCATTGTTGATGAACGGTTTCAAACAGACTTTCTGGTCAAGCATTTCAAAGTAGTGGTTTGACCAATTCCCTCCACCCTATCTACGCATTGCTTGCGAATATCCAGATTGCGTATGCTCGGAAAGCGCCCAAGTTAGTCCTAGCGGATGCTCGTGAGTCTCATTGTTGTGTTTCTATCATTTTGAAATATTAATTTCATGTGCAGGCCAAGATGTCATGAAGGACGAAAAGTCCAAGGAGGACTATTATCGTGAGGCCGCTCAGTTTCTCAACACTGGCGAGAGATTTGGCGCGGAATCCGGAGAAGGAGTCAGTGGGACGTTAGCTTTTTTGACACGAGGTACGGGATAGAAAGCGAGTTACCTTACTGTTGCCCATCACACCAATTTGGCAGGAATCCAACAGTTGGCTACACGGTCGATGGATGACGCTCTACGGTCTTTTGAAGGAGTGTTGGTTGAAAAACCCACCAATTTAGTGGCCTTGTTGGGAAAAGTAGAGAATTTTCCTCCCATTCACTCCCTTGAAGCTGACGCCAAAGTAGGCACGAATCCTTTATGCAAAAAGAAACTATCGGGAAGCTCTGAGATTGTTTCAAGACGTTCTCAAATACAATCCTCAGTGTATACCTGATCCTCGGGTAGGAATTGGTCTCTGTCTTTGGGCCATGGATCACAAGGCAAAAGCTAAGGCAGCATGGCAGCGAAGTTTGGAAGTTGTGAGTTGTTTTTCACCGTAATCATCCAGCCACTCATTTTCTTTGCTCTGTAGAACCCTTCCGAGTGGGCTGCGCAACTCTTACTGGGTTTGGAATCGATAAATTCGAGCAAGAGCGAACACCTTACGGAAGCAGAGAAGACCCACACCTTCTTGTCTGGAACAAAAATGATTGAAAAGGCCTTCAAGGCCAACCAACGGAGCGCAGCCGCTGCTAACGCTTTGTGTGAACTTTTCTTGAGGAAGGGCGATCATCAGCGGGTAAATTTATCTTCTTTTCCTGTGGTGTTGGGGTGGCTTACCTTGATCGATGAGGCACTAAAACTTGCAGAACGGACGATTCAGTTTGCAGACACTCTTACTCTGCTTACAGAAGGATATCTGCGTGCAGCTCGAGTGTCGCACGCTGAAGGATCCTATGCTCAAGCCACCAAGTTCTATACTGCTGCAGGGGAAGGCCAGCCGAAGCACATTATTGGCGCAATAGGGATGGCACAAATGCAGATGCAGAATGGTAAACCACAGCTGTTATGAATATGATTTCATAGAAATTAATGACTTACAGATGAAATGGCGGCCGCTATCCATACCCTCGATACGTTGCTGCAGGCTCCTAATCCCCAACGCTCGCTAGAAGCCACGGTGATGCTGGCTTCTCTGAGAGCACATCCTCGACCAGGGGTATCCAGTTCCGATGTTGCCCAGGAAAGACTCCGCGCGCGGGAACTCTTCGATCGGGTTTGCAAGGGCCTCGAAATTGAAGATGCTCGCGCCAACGGCAAAGCTTCCAGTCGCAGTTCGCGTCTCATCTCTGACGATGTCGATATGCACGTTGAGATCGCTCGGCTATGGCAAGGAGAAAGTCTTGACCGCATGGGAAGAGCCTTGAAGGAGGCTCTCAGGATTAGCGAGGCTACCGGTGAACCTGACCCGAGGTTAATGAACAACCTTGGGGCACTTTACCATCTCGAGGGCAATTTCTCTGAGGCCCGGTCCTTATATGAAAGTGCCCTCATTCGAACCTCGAAGTTGACTTCGGATGTTTCAGAAGCAATGTCAACATCAATTCTTTACAACCTTGCGCGGGTGTACGAGGATGAAGGAGAGGAGTCGTTGGCGAAAGATGCTTACGAGAAATTGCTATCTCGACATCCAGAATACGTTGACGGTAAAGAACTTATCTTTGAATAATCAGGTTCTGATCGATCTTTGTTAGCCAAAATTCGACAAGCCAAGATGCTGTCCAATCTTAACCGAAATAATGACGCTCATGAGCTGCTGAAGCAATCGCTGTCTTCGCAAAACCACAATCTTAACTTGCGCGCCTTCTACACATATTTCCTCATCCAAACCAATCTTCCAAGGCCAGCTAAGGAAATCGTCTTTGCGACTCTCAAAGATCATGACAAACATGATATCTATTCACTGTGCGCCGCAGGGTGGATTATGTACCACCAATCGCGCGAAAGCCGCGACACAAGCACCAAAGGCGTTGAAGAACGAAAGCGAGGATTCCAACGGACGGCTGAATTCTACGAAAAAGCATTACAACTTGACCCGATGTGTGCTTTTGCTGCCCAAGGGCTGGCCATTGTCACTGCGGAAGACGCGCTGGGATCACTTGGTGGAGCCTTCGGACCTGACGACCACCTAAAGCGCATGACGAATTCTCGTGACGCGTTGGATATATTCGCAAAAGTCCGCGAGTCAATGCATGACGGGAGCGTCTATTTCAACATGGGCCATTGCTATTACGCCCGCGATGAGTTCGATCGCGCGATCGAAAGTGTGAGTGAAGCTGAGCTTTTCTTTTTTTGTACTCAACTAATCACGCTTTCCATTGATAAGTACGAGACCGCTTCGACAAGGTTCTACGGCGGCCATAATGTCCCTGTCCTTCTATGCTTGTGTCGGTCCTGGTACGCCAAAGCTACCAAAGATCAGAACCCTTCCGCAATGAACACCGCGCTACGATATGCACAAGCGGTAAGCGCCTTTGAATCTCTGAAATACTCGCAACCAAGAGTTTACATTTATAGGCCTTGCACCTTCAACCGAATGATAAAGCTACCATCTATAACATTGCCATGATTCAGCAGAAGTCTGCCGAGATGATGTTTAGCACCAGCCCAGCCAAGCGTACGTTGAAAGATCTTCAAAGAGTCATCGCCCAAGCAGCCCATGCCCAAAAGTAGCTCTCTCCACGTTCATCCCATTGTTTTGGCTGATATGTCCTTTCTCAAAGGCTTTTTGCATCTTTGGCGGGCGACAAAGCACAAATGGTTCCGTATAGCCGTGATATTGCTGACCAACGGCGGAAATATGGAGACAACATGCTGCGGAAGGGCGATGAACATCTCGAGAAGCAACGGCAATTTGAAGCAGATACCCAGGCTAAACTCGAGGAGGCAAGGCGAAAACGACAAGAGGAGAAGGATCGTTTAGAAGACCTTGAGGTGAATATGGCATGCTGTTGTACACTACACGACTAACCGCCCGCCAAACAGCGAGCACGCATGGAGACGTTGCGAGTTGAGGCCGAGAAACTTGCTGAAGAGCGACGCTTAGCCAGGGAGCAAGCGATGGAGTGGACAAGAGAAGTCAAAATGGAGAGTGATGAGGAGAGGGAGCGCAAGACGAAGAAGGTGCGGAAACCTAAGAATGATGTCGGGAGTGGAGAGGAAGCGGAGCCCAAGAAGAAGCGACGTGGAAAGCTAAAGAAGGCTGTGAGCGAACAGGGAGATGAAGAACAGGCCGTCTTCAGCGACGAAGAGGAGGTTGAGAAACCGACAAAGAAGGTTAGTGGTTGTGCTCACCTGTTTAATATGCCCTTGAAACTCAACTCGTAAATCTAGCGGCCAGTAAAGAAACGGGTCGTTCGCGATGATGATGACGAGGACGTTGCAGGTCCTCGGAAAAAGCAATTGTGTGTATCGTTTCTTTCCGCTCGTGTCAACTTCTTAGTAACGCTTATCCCTCGCTTAATAGCAAGAGTAAAGAGGTGCTCTCTGACACGGATGACGAGATGTCATGATACCTTATGTACTTTTTTACTACTTAGATTTTTGTATTCCTTAGCAGTTGTATTCGTACCATTTATACTCAAGAGTCAATCATTGCATCGCATGCCGATGGTCAATAGAGACAAACATCGGTGTCGTTCTAATTCTATCCACCCAACGGAAGTACTGCCACAACTCTTGCAAGACGATCGCAGGTGGACGTTAGAAAATTCACATTCTCCCCGTGAATTGTTCTTCGGCGTAGGTGTCCCAGGAGTTACTCGTCGTGCAAGGGGCTTGACTCCTTGTGAATCTCGGAATGACGGTGACACAACGTAAACCTCAGCATTTACCTGATGAGATCCAGCGTAAGTTTCTCTTTTACCCTATTTTATGAACGCGCTAATTGTGTTTTTGTCGCCATCTAAAGCCGTAAACGAGCCAGGCGTACAATATCAGTGCGATTCGTGCACATGTGACCTAACTCATACAATTCGAATTAAATGTGCTGATCCCGAATGCGAGCCTGGAGACGGAGTCGACCTTTGCCCTGCGTGTTTTTGTGCTGGAAAGGAATTTGGAAAGCATAAGAGATGGCATAAATACCGCGTCATTGTGCGTCACTTGTCACTGACATACGAGAAGGTTTTGATTGGTCGAAAGGAAATGAATTCTTATCCCATATTCACGGAGGACTGGGGAGCTGATGAGTGAGTTTTTTGCTTCGACATTGGAGTGTTCTCTGAGAGAATATTCTAGGGAGCTTTTATTGTTAACGGGGATAGTCAGCCAAGGCATAGGCAACTGGAAAAAGATATCCGAACATGTTGGTACCCGGACAAAGGAAGAGGTGGAGAAGCACTATAATGAAGTATATGTGGACTCACTGGACTGGCCCTTACCAGTTAGTATCTTACAACTTAACAACTGTGCTCCCTTATGACTGAGAACGTACAGCGCATGGACCTCCAATTTGACATCGGGCCTGAAGAGTTCCAAGATCGAAAGCGAAGGAGAATATCAAAGATGAACAGCGACGTACCCCCCCCTCCGAAGGTAGCACCTACTTCAGCCCCTGGCGTCCACGAAATCGCCACGTTCTTGCCTGGACGACTTGAATTCGAACATGAACTTGACAACGAAGCAGAGGACCTGGTGAAGGACCTGGAGTTTGGCGTTGTTCTCGACTACGGAGGAGATCAGATTATTGAGGATGAGGCAGATCTCGACGTGAAAGCTCGGGTGAAGTGGGAAGAGGAACGCGCTGGTTCTAGTCAAGGAAAGTCAATACCTGGGAAGGGGCCGATGATCAACGGCCTCAATGGACATCACATTAACGGAGATGTCAAACGGGAAAACCAACTGAAAACTGAAGATGTGACAATGACCAATGACAGCAATTTGGCAGACGACGAGGCCTTAGATGAACCCACGCAGCCTCCGCCTCTTGAAACTAAAGACTCCTTTACTTTCAAATTAACCCTCCTTGAAATGTACTTCCAGCGAGTTGAGAAACGGTTGGAGAACAAAGGCTTTATGTTTGACAGAGGGCTGCTCGAATACAAGAAGGTGAGTGCTCTTCACCTCCGTGAAACCTTTTCTGATGCGGTTTATCTAGATGCAAGCTGCTGAGAAGAAGAGGCCGCGAGAGGAAAGAGAGCTTCTTCATCGTCTGCGTCCCTTCGGAAGACTGCAATCCTCTGAAGATTACGAGGGCTTTGCAGCCGACATGCTGTGTAGGTCGCCTGTTTTCTGAGGATAATTTTCTCACCTTAAGTACGCTTCAGATGAGGCCATCCTTCGCAAGCGAATACAAGAACTCCAGCACTACCGAAGGCTTGGGTTGTGCACACAGGCCGATGTAGAAAAGTATGAGGTCGATCTAGCGAAGCGGGCAGGTTTCTTTTTTCAAGCTCGCTGTCACGGTCTAACCATTTTTGCAGACACAAGCAAAGGCAACACCGATCCGTGACTATGCCTCTGATCGATTACAGCATCGAGCAACTGGCCGACAATCCTCTGGACCTGACCCTCGTCGTGCAAGCCTTGCGTCCTTTGGTGGGGACTCCGATGATCGCAAGTCGCGAGAGCCAACCCCAAGGCTGGGTCCTGGCCCTAGCTCAGCACCACCAGTTCGAAAACCCCGTAAGTAACTTTAGTCATGATCGACATATGTTAATCCGCCACTGCGCAGCCGCACCCCTTAACCTCGCCAACAGCCCCTCACTCCACTTACTCACCCCGGCAGAACAAACTCTGTGTTCCCAACTTCGGATTCTCCCCAAACCGTACCTTGTCATCAAAGAAATCCTGGTTCGCGAGTATGCGCGTAGAGGTGGGAAGCTACGACGACGAGAAGCTCGTGATTTGGTCAAGATCGATGTCACCAAGACGAGTCGCGTTTGGGATTTTCTCGTCCAGGCTGGATATCTCAAGATCACTACCGAGCCTGCAGTCACCACTGCGCAAGCACCATCATCTACGCCCGCTGGTTCTCAAAATCAAGATGCTGGGTATGGTTCGGCCTTTCTAATTCCCGCCATCTGACTGATGATCTGTTTTAGTGCATTGGCAGTACCCCACCTTAATGGTTCCCCTCACAAAGATACCCAACCTCGATTTCCTCCCAAACCATCCATACCCCCTGCGATATCATCTGCGTCCAGCAGCCGAAGTGGGTCTCTTTACAGCACTTCTCTGCACTCGGTTCCGCCCACCTCATGGCCAGCCTCAAGTAACAACTAGGCTATTTATTGTATTCCTGATATCACTATTTGCTGCATTTGTATATTACGCATCCAGAACATTACACTCCATTATATTCCCGGATAGCAATCATCCAGTAAACAGCCCATGTTTGAGCAGTCGTGCGGTTACAAGGCGTCAATACTGTAACAACCCCTACCTCAATTTCCCCTTCTAAACTTTTTCCAGTTGTTGCTCTGGATTCAAAGGTTGTATTTTTGAGCTGGCATACAAATACATTGGCGAGATACTCTGCTGTCCACGTGTAAATAATGACCTGGCTAGTATTGAGATACAGAGAGGGGCGACACGTCAGCGAGATGGAAGCCGTCCAAGCTCATGCTCCTCCTCGGCATTGATGTTGGATCCGGAAGCCGCAAATTCCTTCGGTTGGAGTGGTGGAGAAGATGGGGCAAAACCCTCATCGTCGCGATTGAGCCTACTAAAAATCCCAGATTCTGGACGTGTTGTAAGAAGGAGAACGGCGTTGCAAGCGCCACTGAGTCCAAAAATTGTAATGGAGGCGAATGTAGCCGCGGGAGGTACATGGTTGCTGTGCCCACCACGTTCTTGTATAAAGCCTATCCACCGTACAACACTTAGCGGCAAGATCAGACAGCAGTAAATTCCGGGGTACCTATTGGGGAATGAAAATAAATTATGTCCACATATTGATGAACAATCCTGAACTTACAAGAGCATTATTAATGAACGACGTCGGATACCTTTGAGTCCTTCTGATTGATCAGCACGTTGTATGGTAAATTTCCACCATGAGTCGTTGTCAAAATTGATGTTTCCACGGCTCCAAAAGTAGAGTGGGATGTACGTGAGGGTGGAGACCAGAAGCGTCATCCAGAACCACACGTACTCGCCGAATATGCGCCACTTGAGGTACGGTTCCCCAATCCAGCACCAGTACTAAAAAAATCCATCAGCAAAAAAGTAGAGGGAAGTATGGGATAGGTGTTCACTGGAGTGGGCCTCTCATATCCTTTCCCAGATCCGCGGTTGAGAATGGCACCCAATAATGTCAGGAGGGCAACTAAACCCCAGGCAAAGCCAACAACAGCACCCGTAATTTTGTTTGACCGTATTCCTCTACCCATCCAGACACCAATGAAGGTGTATACAGCGATAATCTGCCATATCGTACCACTGTAAGAAGCATGCCATTGAAACAGTTGGGCAACTTACGAGAGTGGTTATTGCGACATTAACTTCACCCAGCTGTGAAATAATCCCTGATGCGACGATAATGTGGGCTTGCTGAGTCGGAACGCAAATAGAACTCACCTTGCGCTGAGCAAAATTGTCCAGCATTGACCTGTCCAGCGCCAACCCATCTAACGTCCATGACAGCGCCAATGGCCTGTAGAGCATCTGCCACGAACAAGGAGAGCTGCATATGAATTCAGTAATTTACCAACAGGTTAAATGGGCAAAAGCTACAACATACCATAAGGATATCCATAGGTTCTCGGAATATGTGCCATTTTCTCGCGCGCCGGTACCGATAAATGGCGTTGCGCTTGGGGAAACAACAGTGCTTAGTCTTTCTTCCAACAAAATAAACGCCAGCTGCCACTTACAATAATGATGATGAATACGAACAGAACGGCAACCAAGCTCAGAAGACCTGCTTGGGAGGTAAGCTACAATGAAAGTGGCCGGTTTGAACGATGATATCATGAAAATTTATCGCAGCACATACCGTGAGGCCAATGGTATCCGCCCTCGTTAGACAGTGAGTCAAGAAATTGGTAAGAGATGCAGCATATTCTTCAGGTGTGCAGATAACGCCGCTTCTTGTTGGGATGGCAGTATCCATCGTCAATGAATGCAATTAAGGGAAAAGATTGAACATCGTGGTACTTAAACAAGACTTAGACGCTGGGTTTTACAGCATATAGGTCCGTCGCCCACCAAAGATAGCAAATTTGTTATAGACAGCTGTCAAAGTGGTTAGTTGTACAGCCTGCGACCCTCTGCGACCTTGACTGACAAGCGCCCTATGGCGGTGAGGCACTGCCAAACGGAAGTCTGGTCCGATTTTTGCAGGCGCGCATCGAATCGGCTTTTGAGAGCGAACGAAACTTTGGCGCTCGACTGGCGCTTCGAGCTGAAAATTCTTTGCATACACAAGACGAGCTTGTGGGATCGCTAGATCTGATGTCCTCCTCCAGGTTGAGACTTTTTATACAACTTGAACTTATGTTACTTCAAAGTAAACAGAATTATAACTTACCTTGACGTGGATTCACTTCGTCCAATGTGGCAGACGACGCAAATGGAGACGGCAGTTGGACGCTAGTGTGTGTGACCCAGAGGATTGTTCTTTTGTTTTGCAAAACCAGATAACCAGATACAAGCGCTCGCGATAAGAAGGAAGAGACTCAATCGTGACAGGTGCACCAATTCCAATTCAATTTTAGAGGGACCCGAATACGCATCAAGGTAGTTGGATCCAAACAAACCCAAATCATGTCAGACGCACACCACTCCAGACTGAAGAACTTGCTGCCGTGCTGCCACGATGCCATTTATTCTACACTTATTCATAGAGATGTCCAAGAGACGTCCAACGTCAGTGACTCCCAAATAATCTTCTTCCCACCTTCAAAAATAGTTTTAATGATCATCTGTAGATTCTGGTCTATTTTTTGACTGTTCGAACAAGCAGACAAGACATGCACAGTGGCACGACTCTTCTAGAACTGCCCGGCCAAATGGGAGCTAGATGCCGACCTTGGCGCCCTCCGCCTCCTGGCAGTGAAAATCGCTTTATCCCGTTACCGCCTACTCGGAATGGTTAGGAATTGGAATTGCATAATGGTCCTGATCATAAATCTCCGTTCATGCCTTCATCGGCCTCATGCAATGAGGGTTTCCGCACACAACAACGTTATTTAAAACATATACCCCTTCTTGTCACCCTTCCCCTCTTTCTGTCCTTCTTTCATGGGGCGCCTTCTTCGTTTCTTGGGTTCTCTGTCAGTCTCGGTCACACTTGTAGGCTTATCGCAAGCACAGGCAGCAACCCTGCCCGCTCCTGGGCAGCCGACTCATACGCCTGTTCCCGGCTCTTTCGAAATTATTGGTAGCAGTTATGTTAGTGCTCAACAGGTACGAGTCCGTTATACTGCGTGATGTACACCCTCGACTTGACGCGATTCGTAGATCTTTCTTGGGAAACCGGATAAAGTATATTTCATAGACAAGGTCGAGGGCAATCCGACACTGATCGATGGTCATCCTGCCTGGGCGTCAGGTGATGTTGTGGATCAATGGAAGGACTCAAGGCTGACCATCCAATGACTAGAGTGGACTCTCGGATCCAACACTCAGCGAGCAATGGATGCCGTTACGAACACTTTTTGTGCTGTAAGGCTTTTGCTTTGTGCTTCGACTTCCAGTGTTCAACGTACCAGGGAGGCAATGTTCTGGGCAACGGGACATGGCTCAACGTCGGTGGTAATCAAGCCGTGACGTACGGGGGACAGCCCGCATCCAACCAAGTCGGTAATGGTGGTCCATACTTCGATCCCGATGGCAGAAACTCGTACGTACTTTCATTGGGCGTTCTGCGGTGACGATCACCTACCTCGTGTCGATAGCATTCGGTATGTTATGTCCGATTTGCGGTCGAGAACGCAGGGGTTAACGTCACTTCAGGTTATTAACCCCATGCGAAGACGGAAGCTGTGATTGGTTCTTATCACCCTTCCAGACGCTCCAGCGCTGGTACCCAACGTTGTGTGTATCTTTAAATAACTCGTAACGCCGCCTACTCATAACCCTGCAGGGAAACTTTGGAAAACGGCACGATGATCATCGTACGCAGATCACTAGTTTGACATGACACTGACCTCATTTCTGCAGCTTGGAGGATGTACTAATGGAGGATACGTGAACGATGCAGGCCAAGATAATCCTACGTACGAGTTCTTTCCGCCTCAGGGACCAGCCATACAGTCCCCTATCCTTGCCCGAACGCTACCTGTTAATTTGTTCCCACTAACTTGGCTTCTCCCGTCTGGAAAGTTACTGATTCAGTCTAATTGGGCCACCGCGACGCTGGACTACAAGAACAACATCGAGACACCTCTCGACAACATTCCAGATGCAGTCCGTGTATATCCTGCAAGCGCCGGGAACCTTATGCTTCCCCTAACGCCTGCTAATAACTGGACCGCCACTATTCTCTTTTGTGGAGGATCCAATATTCAGCCGAATGGGTGAGTTGTTTGTCTTATGATTGGAATAATAAAATATGACGTCGTCGATTATAAGATGGACAGCACCTGGCTTTATCATTCCCACCTTCCCTGCTTCAACGTCGTGCGTTAGATTGACTCCGGATGTATCGTCATCGTATACGGAAGACGACCCTCTTCCCGAAGCTCGTGTGATGGCCAGCTTCATCGCACTTCCTGATGGCACAGTTCTGAACCTTAACGGTGCTGGCTTGGGTGCGACATCTCTGTCCTTATTCTTCGTCCGTGGGGATCTAATGACTGCCATAGGAACGGCTGGATATGGGAATGATTCCTGGGCGATTGGTCACTCCTACGCAGATAAACCGGTGCTCACTCCAGCGATCTACAATCCAGCCACCCCTCCTGGGAGTAGATGGTCCAGAAATGGTTACTCCGCGAGCACCGTTCCCCGCATGTACCACTCTTCTGCTACGTTGTTGCCTGACGGTGAGGGTGTTGCATTCATGATCTTTTTGGAATATGACATTGAGTGTGGGTTTAGGATCCGTCTTCGTGTCTGGATCGAACCCAAACCCCGACTACACTGTGGGACCGACTGTTACATACCCCTCCGAATACCGGACAGAAATACTTTACCCTCTTTACTACAATCAGAGGCGGCCGCAACCGCAGGGATTGCTGGCTCAGTATACATACGGTGGACCGTATTTCAACGTTCAGTTGAACTCTGATGACTTTTTTGGGAATGTTCAAAATGTTCAGAATACATCGGTGGTGATCATACGGACGGGGTTCTCGACCCACGCGATGGTGGGTGTATCTTTTTTATGGTTTCCTACCGATCTGACGTTTTATTTGTATTTTCAGAACATGGGCCAGCGGTTTGTCCAGCTCAACTCCACCTACACCGCTTATCGGCAAAACAACACCGCGACGTTACACGTCAGCCAACTGCCTCCCAACCCTGCTATTCTCGCTCCTGGCCCCGCGTACATCTTTGTGGTTGTCAATGGGGTGCCTTCCATTGGGTTGCCGATCATGGTGGGCTCTGGACAACTGGGCACACAGAACATCCTTCCTGTGGCGGAACTAATTCCGTCGAGTCTCGTTGAGCAGACGAACAATACGAGCAATGTTCAGTCTCCGATCACGAAGACGTCTGGGACTTTTGTGTCTTCGTGTTCCACCCTTGCTTGGCTATCAGCGGCTGGACTCTTCCTTTTCGTCTTGGCATCGTAACGTAACTTGGACTATCGGATTTTTCACGTTCGAACTTTGCTTTCACTTCGTTGACGATTCAGTACATTTAATGAACTCTTTACGCTATTACTGGGACATTCATGGATCTTTTGTAGATACGAATTTGATGACGATTTTAGGGACTATTTGTAGAAACAGTTGTTACCATACCTATCACTCTGGACGCACATCTTGATCATGACAATGACTTCAAATTACTTCACCTCTCTCTGTCACAATCGAGCCATCGCGAGGAAAGTGCGAAATCAAGGCGAGAAGAGAGAATGTCAGCAGACTGAGTGCGTGCGCACATGCGTGACTACCAGAAATAGGACGAGTTGATTGCTTGGAGATTGCTGCTCTCTCCCGCCACTGGACCTGCAACGATGCAGCAAAACCACAGACCGGGCTTCTCCCGTGCTATAACTGTCAATACATCGACCGATGTACAACCCACGGCAGTACCCCCAACACCACGGCCAAAGGCCATGCACGTCAAGCGCGTTACGCTCACTTCAAAGAAGAATTGGTGGATGGGTGGGTGGGTGTCTTTCTGGTTGGGATTAAAACTCATCGTAAACGGCAGTTGAGATGGACGAAGAGGAGGAACAGCCTCTGGGCAACTCTATGAATTCGTTCTCGTCCTCGGAAGAAACTATTGTGGAGCCTGTTGTATTTAATGCATACAACCACGGCGCAGATGAACAGCATCATCATCACCACCACCACCACCATGCTGGAGATCTGAAACGGACGGACACGCCGCCTCCTTCGCCTATCTACAACCCACCGCGTCATCCGACGTCCATCTTTTCCTTCCCCACGCCTACGGCGTATTGTGCGCCGCCGAATGCGACTGCGAGTCTGGCGCCGTTTGCGCATGGGTCTGCGTCTGAGCTGTTCAAGTGCGTCGTGAAGAAGCCCGATGTGATACAGCTCGAGATCAACGGGGAGATGCAGTCCAATGCGTCCGATGTGACTGTACAGTTCCTTGCTGAGCTACGGGTATACACTACGCTATCACGGCACCGGAACATCTGCACGTTTCTTGGGTCGTTGGAGAATGTGGGTATGGTGCTGGAGTTTGTTGACGGTCGGACGCTTTATGATGTTATCATTGCTCGACCGTCATTGACGCCCGTGCAAAAGATCGATTACCACAACCAGCTGCTGGATGGGCTTACGCATTTGCATTCGTATCGGCTGAGTCATGGAGATGTTTCGCTGCTGAATATACAGGTGACGACGCCGACGAATACGATCAAGTTGCTTGATTTTGGACGGTCTGTGTCGGCGGACTCGACGTTCAAGTCGCCGGATGACGAGCCTGTGGATCCGTTTCCGTACCTTGGTAAATATGCAAGCGCACCGCAGAAGATACCGCTTGTGAAGGTTGAACAAATACACCCTGGGACGAGGCCGTTTAGTGCGCCTGAGATATTGAGGGGGGAATGTCAGGACCCTTTGTTGGCGGATGCGTATAGCTTTGGGATGATCTTGGTATGCCTGGATCGGTGTCAATCTATTGACGTGAAGCCGTGGGATCAGAGGAAAGATAAGCTTCCTCATGACTTGTTTGACGATTGTGAATTATTCATGGATAGGGCGAAGGAGTATTTACGGAAATGGGATGGGGGTAGGAGAAGATTAGTGAAGGGGGATATGATTCCTGAAGAACATCGTTAATTTCCTGTATACCATGTACTTTACTTTGTACCTCGTGGAAACCTCATTGTATGACATTTGTCTTTGTTTGTCAACTCCCTTTTCATCTTTCCCTTTCATGTCCTCGGTTGTTTCGTCCCGCTCCAGACGGGCCAATGCTCGCCTCTTCACCATCATGGACTCAATATTCGCAATCGCTTTCGGGCTCGGTCTCCGCTTCGTCGTCGACGCTGTCAGCCACCACGACTTTAAGCTCACAGGAACTCTCATCGGTCTATGGGAGGGCGTCATTACCCTGCATTTCGTCAAGAAAATGCCCTCATCTTTTGATCCTTACGTCGCCTATGGCGTTCGCATGTTCGTCGATTTCCTCGTAACAGAGAGCCTTTCCAGGCTTATCCTCGTCGTCGTATGGACCGGCCTCGGAATGGTTCTCGCAGATATCACACCAGCTATTTGGGCGGATGTAGGCCTTCATCGCATTTGGAGGCGTTTTCGCCGTGACCTTTATACCATGTCCAGTTATATACCCAAAGTCGCTTTTTTCCCTAAAGCGCGCATAGTCCGATTCTCACCTTCCCGCCCACCTTCCGTCCTCGAACCCACCAGCGCCCCCGCTACATCTGCTGCCCCACCACGAACCCGTAGACGACACGTCCCAGGGGACTTTCCAGACTTTATTTCAGAAGCGGATACAGACCTGGGATCGATTCTAGGCCGTCGCCCTGCAACCACGCTGGACACCTCCAGCGTACCTCGTCCAAGGACTGCACAGTACAGATACTCAGGCATACCCATAATACCACGCTCCGACGACGGGTCTACAGATGTTTCCTCTCCCTCCACCCAGAACGACGACCTCGACGACGGGAATCTCTCCTCCTCCGACTCTTCCTCAACGGAAGTCGACCCATCCGCGTTCAACCCCTCAGAGATCCCCGACGAAGAACACGCGGCCGCAGCGCAGGAGGTGGTCATAGTTGAAGCAAGTCCAGGCGCAGCCGTAGCCGCAGACGATCAAACCACACCCAAGCAGAAATACGTCCCATTTCCGTTCCCTCCAACACCCTCTGACTCTGCCGCCCGGTTCGACTTGCGTATCCAACCCAACCAACGCGATCTGGAGCCTGATTTGCCGGTGCCGCCACACACGGCGGGGCTGGAGCAGATCCCTGACTTGTCGGATGATTGGGAGAATATAGCAACGGAGGAAGCGATCATGTCTTCTGACGAACGGCCGCCCACTCCACCTGCAAAAGACGATTTACCAGCTGCGTATCGGGACAAAGGCAAATCTCGACTAAAAGTTGAACATCCTTCCACGTCAACGTCATCTTCAACGTTAACGTCGCGAGATTTGGCTCGTGAGTGGGGTGTTCCGAATCCAAATGCACAACCCGTGGCCGCGGCTCCGATCGAGTCGACCCTTCTTCCCTCGACATTTCTCTCAAGCCCACTTGTTCCTCCTACCGGCGATCTTATAAGTCTCGAGAACAACAGCGACCCTTCACCTCCTTATGATGACGACTTGTATGTCATTGACGATTTCACGCATAACGATAACCCCAACACCAACACCGCGGCGGGACCGTCTCACGTTTCTGCGAGCGGCTATTTGAACGAGAAACCTCCTTATGACGACGAGCTGTATGTTGTCGATGATTACGATAACCCCAACGCCAACGCCGCCGGACCATCTCACGTTTCTGCGAGCGGCTATATGAATGAGAAAGGTCCTAATAACGAAACACTTACGATGCATACCGATACCACTGATGATAGTGCTGCTGATGGAGATGCAAGAGGGGAGTCGTCGACTGTTGTAGTTGACCATGAGGAGGAGTTTAGGCGTATGAGGGAAGAGAATCAGAGGAAGTGGGATGAGCAGGAGAAGAGGGAGAAGGAGGAGTGGGAGAGGAAGCAGAGGGAAGAAGCGCGACTGGCGGAGGAGGAGAGAAGGAAAGCGGAGGAGGAGAAACAGAGGGCGGAAGCACAACGGGAGGAGGAAGAAAAGAAATGGAGAGCGGAGGAGGAGGGAAGGATTGCAGAGGAGGAGAGGCAGAGGGTGGAAGCACAGCGGGAGGAGGACGAAAAGAAAAAGAAAGCGGAGGACGAGAAAAGAAAAGAGGAGCAGGAGAAAATTCGATTAGCGAAAGCAGAGGAGGAGAAGAAAAAGAGGGAGACGAGCAACGAGAGAAGGCGGAAGTTGTCGGAGAAGAAGCGTTTAGATGATGAGGCGAAAGAAAAGAAGCGTTTGGAAGAACAGGCGAAAGAGGTCGCGAAGCGTTTGGAGGAGGAAGCGAAGAAACAGATGGAAGAGGAGGAGGCGGCGAAGAAACAGAAGGAAGAAGAGGATGCGCGACTGGCAGACGAAAAAAAGCCAGCGGAGGAAGAGGCTCTGAAAGAGAAGCAGCGTCTTGCAGATGAGCAAAGCCAAGAAGCAGCGAGGGAGGCCCTTGCATCCGGCACAACTGGAGAACAAACCGAGGAACAAACTCAGCAGGCAGGAGGTGCAGACCAAGAAATCGTGCATACACCCAAGCAACAAAAGGTTCCCTTTTCCACATCCCAAGAACCAAGCGCTGAAGACGACATTGCGGAATCCGTGATCACGGAGGCTAGTATGGCCCCTAAAGATGCAAAGGAACGCCTAAAGCAAGCAATTATTCTCCGTGCTCAGATGTTCGAAACTGAGAAGGCTATCGAGGGTCTCAAGGACCAGCCAGATAAGGAGGACGAGCTGAAAGGTGCAGAAAAGACGCTTAGGAAGATGGAGAGGAAGGCTAAGCGGAGATATGAATGTATGTGCTGTGTATTATCTTCCCCTGAAGTTCTTTGCTGACCGTTGATGTTTTTAGCCGTCATACCTACCCTCAAGCAGGAAGAGCTTAGCTTGGACCCATTAGCGCCAAAGGATGCGGAAAGGATGTTGGAAGCGACGTTGGAAGCGCTGATTACGCCAGAGAGTAGGGCTCTCAGTTTGGACATAACTCTGGGCAAGTCGAAGCTAGGCAGTAAGCAGAGGCCTAACATTACGAAGGTTCTTGATGAGTTCGTCATGTCTTCTTTCAAGTGTTTGTGGATGGTTAACCCATTTTCTAGATTCCAACTCTTCTCATACACGACGGCGGATGCGAGGAACGGGAAAATACTCCACGTCACGGTTTCTGATGCGGATTACTCCACATGGGTTGCAAAGTACCGACAGGAGGCGTCGAAGCAGGATGCAGACGACGACGATGACATTTGGCGCTAGGGGTCTTGTGATGGTGAGGTGTCACTTGTAGTACTTTTTTGCTTTGATCTTTGTACATATATCTTATGCTTTGGGATCGGATTATGATAGTTAACGGCTTTACTATTAGACAAACGAATGAATATAAAAGAAAGGCTCTCCATACGAAAAAAGAATGAGCATTATAAATAGGTGACCTCACCGCGAACTCTCAAATCCCCCTGTGGAGATACTCTCAGGCACCAAACCCAAGCAATCGTCTGCCTCCGTCTTGTTAGCGGTCAGCGTGATGACTATCTCCCCACCCAGTCTAAACGTATCATAGAAATCAAAGTGGCACCGAGAGGCAGAAGGCTGTCCATTAATAGTGACATTCTGCACATACGCCGCCGTTCCTAGTGGGATGGTCTTTTGGATTGATTTTGGATCGTAGTTGACGACTGAAACGGTGGTGCTAACGCCCAAGAACGAGTTGTGGATGGTGTATTTGGGCACGAAGGGTGAGAGCACGAGGAATTGGGTTGATGAGGGGACTGCAGTAGCGAAACGATGAGTTATTTGAGTGAGGCATGTGAGATACCCTGCTTGCCTGGATAGATTCCTAAAAGATGGAATGAAAGGAGAGACGCCATCGCGGCTTGGTCGTCGTTCCCTGGAAGACCTGCTGGTGCTATTGTGATACTTAGAGTAAGGAATGGGGGTTCCAAGAAATGATCACCAACTCACTGATGTCAAAGTTTGTGAAAACGACTTCTCGGACACGATCAACGGATTTGGCTGGATGATTGACGTAGTGATAACCAATGGGAGTCTGAATTTTGAAGCTGCTTTAGTAGTGAGCTATAGTTGGGACATGGGGAAAATTGACCTGAAATGAAGGTTCGTTGCCAGCGAGATAGTAGCCAGCCTAGAGATAGTGAGCATTGCGAAGGAGTGACCAAGGAGAGAGAGAAACGGGCTTACGTCAAAGAAATGATCCAGCCGCTTCACAAATGTTTCATTCCCTCCCATAAGTTGGACCAGATGGGCCGTGTCATGAGGCGCATACCTGTAAACCCGTCAGACAGGTAGGCTGTTATAGATATATGTCGTGCTGACCAGCTATACTCCCATGAGGAAGACTCATAGAACCCATTCACATTGTTACCTTGAAGAGAGCATGGCCTGGTATCGTTCTTATCATTCGGCGAGCAGTCGATGGGATCGGTGTATGCAAATGTGCCGTTTGGGTAGCGCTTCTGAGCGAATCCTAGACGAAAGATTAGAACGAAACAGATGGTTTCAAGGGTGCTTTTCAACCTTTGAAACCATCGCTAGTAACAGAAGGATCCCAAACATTGCGATACGACTGACATGCTCTTTCAGTATTACTCTCTAAAAGATAGTAAAAGAACAGACTTACCAGTGACCGGTTGGTGTATTTTGCGACGTCGTCGGACTTCCCCAGGAGTTGAGCAACTTGGCGGATACCAAAGTCCTCAAAAGCATACTACAAAAGCTACTACGTGAGAGTCGTCTCCGGACACAAAGAATCCTAGGTCACCTCAAGAGTTCTGCTACCCTCTCGTGTCTGCCGCCCAGTACTGGACACATCAAGAACAGCAAAAGGAACGTATCCATATTGTCTTACGGGAAAATCAGCACACCACACAAAAAGAAGAAAAAAGAAGCAGACTGACTCGTAAACATTGACTTGTCGGCCTTCAATATTCCACTCTGGAGGGTTAACCTCTCCATCCGTAACCAACGCAGCGTAAAGCTCATCTAAATCAATTCCTAATTTCTTCGCCTCATTGTGGTAGTTGACAGCAAAGTGGGACACGATATTGTCTGCACTTGATCCGCCTTGAGTCCATCCAGGGAGATTGTTCGCACGGCATTCAGGCATCCATCCGTTTTTACGCCACCCATCTATGTAGTTGTCTACGATTTGAGCGAATTCGACGGGGGAGTGTAATGCCATCAGGGGGTAGAACGTCCGAAACTGTGATGTTAAGATGAGAAGGTATGATATGACAATGGAGCGATGGCTCTGACCGTGTCCCAGCTGTGAAGGGAGGTTATTATTATGAGCTGAAAGACTACCTCCAAAGTCATGGAAACGAACCTGCAATACAACGAATCGAAATAGAACGACGTCGTATCCGCAAACACGCCCTGGGTCTCTCCAGTAGCATTATTCTGCGGAACCAAAGTCAATCTAATCAGACGACAACTCCAAGGACCACAACGTACCGGCGTCAACGAAGCGCGATACAACGACGAATAAAGCATCTCCGTCACGTTTGGCGGGGTATTCACCACGTCAATCTCAATCTTACTCAGCTTCTCCAACCACTGCTTCCGTGCCTGCTCTACGATGTCCTCAAACGACGACTCGCCCACCTCCTCTTCAGCGTTGGCGCATGCTTGGTCTGCGGATCGGAAAGAGACTCCAACGCGAATGTTGACGGTACTGGGGTTGTTCTCGTATGAGAAGAGGGCACCAGATTGGTAAACGCCACCGATGAGGTTGAGGGAGAGGTTGAGGTGTGTTTGGCCAAGTCCTTTGGCATCTAGTCCGACTCTGTTGGTTTCTAGTCAGTTATCAGAGGAAGAAATTCTCTAGATGAATACCCACGTATCACCAGTCCATACCCCATATTCCGAAAGCTTCTGCGTCCCCCCATTTAGCAGATCATAACACGCAAACGCCTGGTAATTGAACCTGCCCGGTCCAAAGCTACATCAAGCCATACGTAAATCATTTGGCAACGAGAGACGTCTTGAGCCATACCTTGATCCCCATTTTCCGCCCATCGTTATCCTCCCCTTCTCCGGGTTAATGTTCATCTCCCCACCAGCAAAAGAATTCGGCAGGTCATTGGCCAGGTCCAGCACGAAATAAGGTTTTGATCCAGCAGGGAACGTAAATCGTTCGAGCCCTGCTCGACGCGTTGCAGTGGCTTCCATCTTGATATTGTTGTCCAGAGTTTGCGCGAAGTACCCCGGTGATGCATCTACACATATGGAAGGCAAGTTTGAGTTTTTTTGCACGAAAAGTGAGAGAACAGTGTAAGACCATCTGTGTTGGGTTTACGGAGCCGCTGACGCGCTGCAAGGATTGTAGTGCAAGTGTTGAAACCCCCTGGACAGAGTAGAGGCATGATCTCAAAATTTCCGTAAGTTCCTAGTCATGGGGGTAAGTGTACTTGCAAATAGCTTAGAGCGGTTCACGGACCTAGAGAGGACCCAGTTCCACTATCGTGTAAAGGACTGAGACCGCGAATGAACTGCGTTGGATCAGTGACGTAGCCTGTTGGTAGTCAGACTAGGGTCAATCACAAGAGAAACTAAGGATGAGTACCAGCAGGCGCGTAACCGGTCATATCAGTCGAAAACTTTGCCTTGAAAACACATTCAATGGTTTGGAATGATGATGATCGCGTGTATATAGAGGTACCATTCCAAACGGAATCGAAGCGCCAGGGCTAAGAAATTGACGTTGAACACGTTGATTCGAATGGCTCGAACGTGACCACTGACCAGACATCCCCAAAGTTATCTTGAAAAATAAATGTCAGCCACCCATTCTTCAACACGAGAAGGTCTCCAACGCGCCTGTGCCAATGAAAGGGTTCACGAAAGCGGTATAGTCGAGATTAGACTGGCCAGCTGCATTCCTAATAGCTGTCGATATTCTCTTCTGAACATCTGGGGACGGTTGTGCGCACGCCGACAAGGCAAGTGCCACCGCAACCAAAAGTGCCTTGGTCATAGTTGAAATGGTTGTTGGCTAACCGTGGTGTTAAATAGCCCTCGGGAAGAAGAATCGAAGAAACTCCACGGGACCCCACGGGCGGGCAACGGCGAGCGGGTGACGAGTTCGAAGTGAATTCGTAATAAAAAGAAGTCAGAACCCCCCATCGTTGCCATTGCACATGGAGCACTGGTTGCGAAGAACTCAATCACGGGTCTTGTGTCCCCAATCGCGTTGGCAAGAAGTAAGAAGTGTATGGAGATATGCTGGGATGTTACTTACATGATTTTCAGCTTCCATTCAAGTTGTGTCGACTGGTGTGATCAGATATTTTGATATTGAGCTGGGTATATACATGTGCAGCGCGTTGTGCAGACGATATAACGCATCGTCAGATAATCTAGAGGATACCAAGGGTATTCCCGAGCCCCGAAAGCTGTTTCTGACGAGACAGATAGAGTGAGCCAGAGGCATCCAGATGGAACCCATCATTTGCGGTGTAATTCTCTGGGTTGATGGAAAATTGAGTATGACGTCACCAAGTTGTGATTTACAGCATACCACGCGAACTAATTCCGTCGAACTTTATCCGTTCTTACGCGCAACCTTTTCAATTTCGGTGAGGATGAGATCCAGTCCGTCTTCCGTCCAGTACCAACGTTCGTGAGAAGACAGCCTTTGCAGCACGTAAGTAGCAGCATCCGTGTCGTCGCGTCCAATGCCAACGCGAAAGCGATAGAAACCCAAGTCGCCTCCTAGTGCAGAAATAATGCTCTTAACCCCGTTGTGGCCATTCGCAGAGCCTCCGAGTTTGACGGACAACGCTTCAACCCTATGAGAGAGGGAGTCTGTGATAACGATCATCGAAGAAGGAGAGTTTACGCTTTTGCGATACTCTGCAGCAATGGAAGGGCCAGAGATGTTCATAAAGGACTCTTGGGGTACGTGAGGGAGACATCAAGGTCAGGTGTGGTCTTATCACCCACTTGATTTGTATAGCGTCAAGTTGACCGGAGTATCGCCAATCAAGACGTCGCTGCGTCCTCTGAACCCGCCCCTTTCAGACGACATGGAGATTCCCAGCCTTGAGGCCAGAGCATCCACAATAAGCTGGCCAACGCTAGTGAATGGACGAACGTGTCAACGGCGTAGAAATTTGATTGGTAAGAGATAGGGAACGGACCTGTGCCTTGTTATGGGATGGGATATATTGCCGAGGCCAGCAATGAAGACATGAGGGGTGGCGAAAACCATTTCAGTATTGCTTGGAACTTGGAAGGGGTGGGACGGACGTGCGCGCGATCCGGCTTAGTCATGCCTCGGTGCAGGGCCAAGCATATTCCCTGCTCGTTGTGACACTTGTGATTTTTGTTTTCTGATTATCTGTCGACTATTCTACTTGTTCTTCCTTTCCATTCTTTCTTTCATTCAAGTGCTATCTTTCTTATGTCTTCTTCCACAGCCTTGCCTCGTCGTACTCGAGACCTCCGTCCTCGTCGCACCGCTCGACGTCTCTCGGCCCCTACGTCAAAACGGCCAACATCCCTGCAGCTATGCAGAGCCCTGCCTCGTTCCCTAGAAGCACTAGATCTGTCTACGGCGTCTCCTACACAAACTCTAGCATCTCTCCGTTTTCTTGTTCTTACCTATCTAGCGGACCTCGAGCGCCGTCTATCTCAACTAGAATCCCCCGACTTCGGCGCCTGGAAGCTCCAGGGGGAACTCACAATAGAAGAGGCGAAGCAATGGGCTAGGACAGCCCTGGAAATGCTCGAGGGCATTCGTGCAGATGTCTGTTCACATCTGCCAGAGTTCCACCTCGCCGACCTCTCTCTAGAGACATTTGTCAAATCCCATCTTCCTGACATCCCCGATGTACCAAACTTCACGGAAATGCGCTCCCGTCTTCCAGATATGGAAGGCGTGCGCTCCCATTTTCCTGACATGGAAGATGTCCGTTTTGTGTTGCCAGATATGGCCGACGTGCGCTCGCATTTCCCTGAAATGCCTCAACTACCAGACATGGACGATGTCCTAACAGACATGCGTCTGAAACTAGATGACGTCCGTACCCGCTTTCAGGACCTTCACTTCCAACAACCTTTACGCTATATACCCACACTTTCCAACCACCTCAAGAATCTACATTCTCACCTTTCATCGATGGAACTTCCATCGGGGGGCATATCAGTCGGCCGAAGCGCGATGCTTTCAGACCTTCTCGACGCGCTCCTTTCCTCTGAGGTTGTCGCCGATATCCTCAACTCAACCCCGGAAGTTATCCATGAAGGGGAGGGGATGCTGGAAAAGGCTGCTCACGAAGTCGCCAGCGCGGTACGACGGTCTTTAGACGGTGTCCGTCTTATAAAGTACCACGACCTCCCGCACCAGTGGAAAAACAACCCTTTTGTTACCCAAGGTTACCGATTCATACCTATAGAGCGATGGCCGCTTCTGGTCATGTCCCTATTCAAATTCCATAACGAAACCCGTGAGTGAACCTCTCTTTTGACGACTTAGGAAATTTAATTTGATATCCCGAATAGTAAACATTCACACTCACCTAATTCCATTTGTTCTCTGGGGAATTAGCCTCGTCCCACTTATTAGCTCTGCCACCCATGAACTCGATGCTCCCGAGGTTTGCTTCATGGCTTTTGCGTTGCTCTGCCTCTTCTTCAGCGCAATTTGGCACACCATGTCTGGATGCGCGGACTCCGCTAGCATGGAGTTCTGTGCGAGAGTCGACTATGTCGGCATTGGCTGGTGCGTGCCGTCGCCCTTATTTCCGAATACTAAGTGCTCATGTCATTTAACTCGCAGGTTGATCAGCGCCAGCATTGGCACGGTCGTGTACTACGGTTTTCAACAATGCTACCCCCAAGTTGGACATGCGTTCCTCTGTCTATGCTTCTTGACAGGGCTGGCAGGTAACATATTTCCGTTCATGGCCTGGTTTAACCAGCATAAATATAGAGTGAGTGTTTCCTCATGTGCATCTTCAAACCATGGACTAAAAGCGACTCCCGTTGACAGATGTACCGCATCGCCTTCTTTGTCTCGATGGCGTTCTCCGGCATCGGCCCCATGGTCGCTTTTGCTATGCTTCATTCACGTAAAGAGATGTTTGACTTTGTTGGTACGTCTTACAATTATCTCTTCAAGATATGAACTCACTCATTCACCTTCTTTCTCCAGCTCCAGTTTTCCCATCTCTCTTATCATACGTAATCGGCCTCTTCTTCTACGCTGCGCACTTCCCCGAACGTATCCTTCCCGACTCCATCCGGGATCGCCTAGACTGTATCGGGGGAGGTACGTTTCCTATCCCCGCCCTACTCCTTCATCCGTGGGCTGACAATTTTATACTCAGGATCTCACGCAATCTGGCATTGTTTCATCGTACTCGCTGTGAGCCAACATAAATTTGCGATGCAATCGATGAAAGCAGGGGTCCAGTGTCCTTCATGATATGATATTCACGTGATACTTACGCTTATGGCCATTGTAATGTAAGAATCCTGTGTGTCTGACCTTGGTGTGATGACGGGCATATATCATTCGGGGTACCTGGACCAGTTAGCCTGGGGTTTGTGACTCCGGATGACGAGGTGACGTGAGGTAAAACGTGGGCCGGAAGGGATGCATTTTGACGAATGATCGGAAGTAGCCTTACATCCCTCGACCCTCCGAAGATGAAATCACGATCGAAGGGTCAGAGCTTGAGAGGGTAGCACACCCAAGTTCACTCATTATCGACTTATCGACCGAGGGTCACAGTTTTGATAAACAAACTGGACAAATTTATATTAGCGATCGAAGGACAATAACGTGGAGGTACTCAGGTACTCTAAAGATTGCCACGCGCTCCTACATATGAAAAATTACAATGCAATTATAACGATAGATCTAGCACTCGCAGATGCCAACCGAACTGGACCATAGGCACCGAAATATCGTGCACATTTCGACTTCAAACTTTTAATTCATCTAGAGGCCACTAAACGTAGGAATATCGCCGACATTATGTCCTTTGTTCTTCCAGCCTGCCTCGACATCCAGCAGGCTATCAACAGTATGCAATAAAGTCTATCAACCGTTTGTCAGTACGTGTCATAGAAATGATCGGAAGATCTACACACCTCTTCAAACGTATGGAAATCCCCTTTCTTCAACCCAGTCACCCTCTCTATCCTCTCAAAATCCACAGGATACCTATACGCCGGAAACTCAGGCGGAACCTGCGTGATCAGCCTGTCCTTCAGCTGTGGTCGCTTCTCACGTAAGAGCTCGACAGCGTTCTTGAAGTTGAAGTCGTACGGAGACGCGAAAATGACGCGTTTGCGCCCCACCTCCGACGTGGGGGGTGAGTCGAGCGCGGTAACGTGAGCTAGAGCGACGTCGCGAACGTCCGCGTGACCCGGTCTAGGGGGAAATTTCCCCTCGGTCGTGATGACGTTGTAAATGGTCAGATTTGTTGAGAGAGCGTCAAAGTCAGGTGTGGCTGGAATGGGAAAGTTTGTAGTGAAGGGGCCGTAGAGGAACGGAGGGTTAACTGTTCATGATTCAGTATTATGAGGGATGTTTCGCAAGAAAGTGGACTTACTAGTTGTCACTTCGACATGTGGGTGTGCCTCTGCCCATTCCCAGACTGCGAGCTCGGCAAATTTCTTGGAGGCTGCGTAGGTGGCTTCATCTTTACCAGCGTTGATGGCAAATTCCTTCGTGACAGGATTCCAATCTTTGATAGTATGGTAGATAAGTAAATCTGAGGACAATTATATATACGAAGAGCATACCTGTGTCTTTGAAAGTTCCGTTGGGATTTCCCGCTAACGTGGCGATGGAGCTGGTCACCACAAACCGCTTGACACCAGCCTTTTCAGCTTGGCGCAAGACATTCAGAGAACCCTCAATCGCCGTCTACCCTCATCGTCAGCAAGAGCTAGAACGGGTATCGGACTAACGAAGAACGTACATTCAACATCTGTTCAGGTTCCATTCTGCCTGGAAGGGGCGACGCTGCGTGAATGACAGCGTCCACGCCTTGCAACGCCTCGGGAAATTGGTCATGTATGATGTCTGAGATTTCGAAGACTTCAACGGCGGCGTTCCCGCTGTAAGCTGTCCTTAAAATCGCCGCTTTCTTGCCCCGTGCGGATCTATGGCAACAGTCAGCCACGATGATGTCGTGGAATTAATCTGAAAACGCACACTCGAACCCGATATCCCCGCGATAGCAGCTGTTCGACGATATGAGAACCAAGGAAACCGGAGGCTCCACTAATCTAAGAAATTTGTCAGTTTCGAACGATTGAATTTGAGGTGTAACCTACAAAAACGATTTTGGGCGACATGGAAAATTGAAACTGATGAACACCAAGACACCCATGACCTCTCTACTTATATCCCAACGAGCATTGAATAGCAGTAGTAATACCACTCGGCAGTGTTACAAAGCCCGGGCCTCGCATGTGCGCTTATCAACGAGCTACGTACATTTGTCATCTCAACGCAAACCAATCAATCGCCCCAGTTCAACCCGAGAGCCGAGGAGTTTTCACCTCTCACAGCAGCTTCGATGGCCTCGGCTAACTCTCGTAACGCCAATACGTCTTCGCCAAGTTCTTCAGGTCTCGCCTGGTCATTGATTTCGGTGAGGCCCAGGGCGCGTTGAAGAGCTTCGTCACGGCCTGCCCCTCTTAGTTTATCAATAGAGGTGAGTAGCGCTGGTAAATTCTCGTGATCTGCTAGTATTTTACGAATTCGAGCAGATGTTGCTAAGGGTCGCGTCATAAGAAAGGGGGCAACTAAATGAGCAGAAAATGGACATACCTATTGCCTCGTATTGTGAAGTTTGAAGCGTCTTAGGGTCATCGCGTTTAAGAGGATCGGGATAGGCCGACTCTTCAGGAACATATGGCCATCTCAGTGAGGTCAGCGGACGTAGAGGTGTTGGATCCTTGATCGACGGCTCTTCTTCTCTGGGGCCTTTCGTAGGAATAACACCTGAGGGACTTGTTTACAAAAAATGAGAGGTACAATATAATAGATTCATTCTTACCGTCATTTCCAATAAACGCGCTCGGCGGATCGCAGGATTGACAAGCCGATCCTGAACGGCGTCAGGATCCTACGAAACCTCACCTAACTCGACGACGAACCTTTATGCTTCTTGTAACATGGAACTGAACAGCTATTTCCTTGTATGAGTGCGTTGAAACGCGTAGACGATGGGTTGGACAGACTAGGGCGCCATACACTGAGAACATGTATATTTCGATTCCTCGACGTTACATATTTTGCACTGAACAGGCAGTCGCCTTTTAGGCGCCATAGATCTGGTAAGTGAACGACAGTCACTAACGACAAAAGTGCATGGAGGAGAGAAAGTAATAAAAAGCCCGATGGGATCGTTTGGCATCGAGGATGATCCAAGCAAGGCCATACACAAAAACGTGCCCCTGATCGCTCCTGATCCGGGTCTATCCAGTGGCGAGCACCGAGCAGCTTTGTCCTTCTATTGTTCAACGTGGCTCTTCAAAATCTAGAGGTTCTGTTTTCTTGTTTGCTGAGACATGTCAGGCCGTCCTATGTGCTATAATTCGACTTGGGGGGCTAGATCGTCGGCTTCTTACTTCTGCTGCCAGTGACTGGCGTGGACCGTGCTTTTTACACCTCGTATAAAGCCCTTGCGGTTTCTTATTCTCTTGATACCCCTACTATCTTATGCCCAGCGCTCTTCAAATGGATTGCGCTCTACTTCGCCTCTTTTTGATGATTGCTTTTCTAATACCGACCGTCTTTGCACACAAGTTCCACACTAGACGGGAACGTCACAATCGTCGAACTTCAAGCGGTTCGGCTTGTTCGCCTGGAACCTATTCAAGTAATGGGAATACACCCTGTACTCCCTGCCCAGCGGGATCTTATTCGAAAGGTGAGATGACCTCAAACGTCGTTTTGCTCAATGTTTACGCCTGGGCACAGACAGTTCCGCCAAGTCGTGTGCCCCTGCAAGGGCTGGGTATTATATACCTAAGGAAGGGGCCACGTCCGAGACAAGCTGCTCGGCAGGCACCTACAACGATAACACAGGCTCGACCTCTTGCAAGACTTGTCCTGCGGGAAGTATGTGTCCCAATGACAGCCTCACTAAACCCCAGGCCTGCTCTCCCGGTCGTTACTCGACAGGCGGGAACGTCGTACAATGTACTCTATGTCCTGCGGGATACTTCAACAATATACAAGGCGCCACTGGCTGCTGTCAGTGCGCTGCGGGGTGGTTCAACGTAATTATATCTCTCTGCTGTGATAATTTCATGCTTTGACCCGTAGTAGGGGAATCCAGGAAATACAAATTGTCAAATGTACGCCTCGAAACATCCGGTGTCCCATTATTGTTTTTAATTTATTTAATTTAGGTGCTCGAACCAATATCCGTACTCAGACCCTGGCGCCCCAAGTAGCGGGTCTTGTTCGGCAACGCCTGGACATTGGGCGAAAGCCGGCAGCTGCCAACAAAGTAGCGATGGGACGTGCCGTGAGTTCAATGCATTCCTTTTTACTCGACGACTCTCATCGCTTCGTAGCTGGTTCCCAACCAATGGGAAGCTCCGTTCCCAGGCGGGCCCTTCACGCTCCATTATGCAAGCATTTTCGCCAAAAGGCTTGCCCACTTTACAGCCAAGGGAAAACCCTGACTGGGTATGATTGCGTCGACGTCGAAAATGATTTAGAGTATGTTTATTTCGTTTGTAACTCGGATAGGGAAGGTAACGACGTCTTTCTAGGTCATGTGGGGGCTGCGTTACCCACGGTCAGACGAGCAACGATGGCGGTCAGGATTGCAGTAACATTCCCTGGGTCAACGCTGTCCGGTGCCAAAAAGGACGGTGTCTCATTGGTACGCATCCTCGTTCAAACTGGCTCCGACGTTCATGTGACACTGGCTTTTCAGAATCGTGCCAGATGGGTTATGTTACGTCGGCCAACGGAGATTCCTGTATTCCAGTGTAATATCCTGAGGATATGCTCACTTCCACTCATTAGCTACAACTTATACGTACGATCTCCAGTAAATTAATTATTCATACTTATCCTCGGTGTGAGTGGCAAGTCAGTGGAGACAAATTAATGTGGTTTGATGTTATAGGTCCGAATCTACCTTGAATGCCCATCCGGCGACTTTGTTTATTGAAGAACTGAAGGAAAAGAGAAAGACGAGAAAACGACTGCAGCTTGGTCGGAAGGTCCTACCAGGGTTCGAACCTGGGTTTCGGGAATATTGATGGAAGTCAAAATCCCGAGTGATAACCACTACACTATAGCACCTTATTCGAAGGATCTTGTTAGTGCCAGCTCAGTGTTATTGGCTTTGCAACACTCATTACTAGCCCCAAACTGACGGGCCATTCCAGACTCGGCCCGGTTACCATGGTTGTGGGAGTATAAAAGGAAAAAGATAAAAATTCCCAAAAAGGAAAGAGAAAAAGAGAAAAAGGAGGGATTTTCTAGTACCATGATACTTTCTATTCATGAAAATTTCAGAAAACTACCACAAAATATATTGATTCTTATACCACTTTTACATAATACATCAGATGGTGAAAAAACTATGTGGATTTGTCAGCATTCTGAGCTCTCAAAAGAAATTCACAAGGACGAGAGGGGTGCCTGCTATCCTTGCCTTTACACTCCTTCACACCACATGAACCACAGGCATTCATGCACTGATCCTTCTTGAATCTTCCACCACATCCTTCTTCTTCACATTTCCAACACTTCCTTGCTGCACGTTTCATACCAACATCCTGTGTAGATTTTTTACTTTTCTGCTGGGTATCCAGCTGCCCTGAGGTATTATTCTCAGTAGGCAATATACTTGGTCCTGCAACTGAAATATTCTGAGGTGGAAAATGGATATTATAGTATGGTGCCTGGACTTGATCAGCAGAATGACTGCTAATTAGTTGCTTTCCTGATGTTGGGGGCTGGGCCACTGGTAGAGTTATTGCATGATATGTTTGTGAAGCTTTATTTCTTTCAGGGTTATGAATCTGAGCCTCAACTCCTTTGCATTGAGATCTAGTCTGGGATTGTGTTGCAAGATGTGCAACATTTGTCTGCCAGATTGCATAGTATGCAGTTAGATGTTCCTCAAGCTGGAAGTATAATTGGTAAGTAATATTTTTGATATGTCAATATTTGGGTCTCTTACCTTGTAAAATATGGTTTTACCATCAGCATGGTCGCGGTTCCAGATTTGGACAGCAGTCTTCCAGTCAGGTTCTTGTTTATCCCGATTAAAGAATGGGTCTGTTTGAATAAGATGAGAAAATAGCAGTTTCTCTGGAACAGTGTGAACAGCAATGACTGCAAATTGTGTCTGTTGTCGTTGAGCAAGAAATTGATGAAGTGACTTTGAAATAACTCCAGGAATATTTGGCTGCATCAAGGCTTTGGTACGCAGTATGGGAGGGATTGGCAAAATTCCTGAGACCTCACATGTGTCCACATAGAGTGAACCATTAGTCCAACCTTGAATCTTGTAGGAAAGTGGGACATGAATTCTACTTTTCTCAATCATTGTTTGCAGTTCATCATAAAGCCAAATATCATCATGGCCAATAAATCTCTGTCCAGTTCTGTTTTTGGTTCCAACATGAAGATTGTGGTGAAGTTGAAAATCAGCCAGTCTGTTGACAGCATTGCGAGATGAGATGGTAGAATCTGGAAAACAAGCTCGAATAGAATGATGAACACCTCCTTCTGTAAAGTTTGTGCCTCTGATACACCGCCAGACTGGCAATCCATTCTTCTTTCTATCAAGGCCAACTTGATAGTAAAGTGGAATGCCAGGGGGATCTGAGAGATATCCAGCTTGAATCACTTTCAAGATATTTCGTGCACTCTTCCAGGCAGCTGGGGAAAATAAAGATTGTCCAGTTATAGAGTCTTTCAAAGGCCCATATGTTTTGAAGATGTTTTCAACTAAATCATAGAGTTGTTCTGGAGGTGGTATATATCGTCGAACAAGTTTCCAAAGTGATTTTGGCTGGAACTTTAATTTCTCATTCCATGATGATCCCTCAGATTTTAATCGTGCTTCAACTAATGCACGGTCCTCTTCATTGATTATGAAAATTGCATCTCGCATTGCTCTTGCAAATTGTAGACGAAGCCCATGAGTTTTTGGAATTGATATTCTGTCAAAAATATGCCATGGATCCAGAAGAACTCTACTGCGGATAGGCCATGCACTTGTCATTGGGTTACGCACACCAGTAAGTGCTTCATGGCCAAGTTGAGTGCTGACAGGATCATGTTCTGGATTTTGAGCTGGTGTTTCTGGGACATCATTTGGATGTACCTCAAGATCAGCATCACCAGTCCAAGAGTCACCAGTAGAGTTTGGAGTTTCAGCATCCAGTTGCATAGCATTTACCAGTATATCTGAACCAACAGTCTCTTGAACTTCATCATTCTCAATTTCTTGGATAACTGAAACATGCACTTGTTTTCTTTTACAAACAAGTACAAAAGGTGGTGGCCCAAAGTCTTTGAGTGCCTTTTTATTATGGCTCTCAATGATTGCCCCTGGGACAGACACTTTCTGGATCTCAATTGCAAATAATTTATCAGAAGTTTGTAGAGCAATGCCATCAACAACTGCATTTTCCTCACTGTTTAATGAAGACCAAGCACCATATGCAATTGCTTTTTGCCCATCCTCCTGATAAATTATAACTGGTAACCCTGGTGTTGCATTTTGAGGCACATTTCCATATTTTTCAAGCTGAACAAGTTTCTCATATATACACTTTGAGGCATGTGCATCTTGGGCAATATACATGATCTGATCCTGAGAAAGATTGATCTTCTCCCATTCAGTGCTCACTCGAATAGCATCATCCTTGTTTAACTTGAAGCCTAGAACCAAAGCTGATAACTCTGTCAAGCTTACTCTTGCATTTGGGGCTATGCGACACTTTTTGGCAAGTGGAGCAAGTTCAACAAAACTTGGAAATGGATCCTTTATATTTCCTTCAGTCTGAAGGCGTTTCAGATCATTTTTAATTCCCCTGCCCACTTTCAAGATACGCTCATCTGCAAGTATATTTTTGATTGCAACTGGAAGCTTTCCAGCCTTTGTATATTGGGATATTTGAAGGACAAAGATGTGGCTCTCAAATGAGATAGCAACCACTGCAGTCTTTCCCTGTCTTGATTTTCCTGGAGTTCTGTCAACATTCCATTCTGTATCAAGTCCAATTACTACTGAGCCACCTTCATCAAGTTCTGATAGCTTCTCATGAATACATGCTAGTGCAACTTGGAATTGTGAAGCATTGGACTTGACATGAATTGATACACCATCTGGAATAGAATAAAGTGGATATTTTGCATATTTATCCACTGGCTGAACTTTTTTTAGTAGTGATGGAAAGCATTTTTCCAAGAATCCTTTATCAGAAATATTATCTGTGTAAAAAAGTTCTGTTTCTTCAAGTCCATAGAGCTTCAATGACTCTCTCATATTGACTAGTGCAATCTCGAATTGAGCATGTGCCTTTGTAGCAACCAGTGCAATTACTCGTATTTCACCCATTTCATTGGTCACTGTAAGCAAACCAATAAACACAGGAATGCCATTGATAGTAACAATATGCTTTGTGATTTTATGAGAATGGTCAATTGCACAGACTCTTGCAGGAAGCATAGCAGAATACTGGTATATTCTTGGAAGATGTGCTTCAATAAGTGAATCATAGAGATTACGAAACCAAGTTGAGGATGGAATATATCCTGAATATCCTTGAGGATCAGAAAACTCTGAAAATGGTCGAAATGATTGATTTTCCCAAGGACTTTGTGTCTGGCCCTCAAATATCATATGTAGATACTGCAGATGAATTTGATCAAAGCGACGCATATGCAAAGTGGTCAGAATGCTTGAGAATTGCTTTGCTCCCAGTCCTTTTTGGAATAGAGATCGTTGTAAGGCAAGAATAGGAGATGAGAGAGCACTTCTTCTGGTGAGAACTACAGGAAATTCAGCTGCAAGTGCTTTTGGCAAAGCTGCTAAGATTCTGGAGTCCCAGCTCATAAATGTGACTGTATGCTTCCCAGTTTTGGGATTTTTACAGGTTGGACATTTATATCGTGCACCAATCATCCAAAAGCATTTATCAAGACCAACACATCGACGGGGTATCTTTTGAAGTCCATGACGAGTTAACCAAGAGATCTTGCAAACTGGGCATTTTATTTTGGCCAATAATTCTGGATCCCAGTAGAATAGCTCAAAGTCATAAAGAGATTCAGGCCCAAGAGACTTTGCCTTTATCATGACAAACCATCCTGCCTTTTTAGGAACCCAGAAGGTTTCATAAGTTTCATAAAATAGAAGCTTTCTGTTGCTGTCTCTTTTCTCAATAATGGCTAATTTTTCCTCAAGAGCTTTTTTGAACCAAGGGGGAAATGATGATGATTTCTGAGGTTCTTCTTCTGGCTCTTCATCATGGCATTCAAGATGAGGATCTAATTCATCAGCTTCTGTTTCCCTTGAATCATAACTCTCTACTCCAATCTCATCACTTTCATCACTGTCTTCAACAATAGTGCTTTCATCAGAGGCAGAGTCAGGAATAATAGTGCGAATTGGGATGTCTTCTGGACTAGACAAAACTGAACTGCCTGTAGAGTTGTTCTTGCTTTTATCAGAAAGCCACTGAGAAACTGATGTGTATTTTGGGCCACGAGGTGCATCTTTATCACGTAGACGGGGGAGTTTGGCAGAATTGTTATTCCCATTAGAAGAGGGTGTATCAGGTGTGTGCACTCGCTTCTGTTTACCCTTGGACTTTTTAGATTGTTCACTCATTTTTGGCCGACCTCGTGATCGTTTTGGCTTATCTGAGGAGAAAGCACCACTTGCCTCATCCATATTCACATCAACAAATTGAAAAGAGGTCCCAGCCAGATTATCAGAATGCTGTGCATCAGCATTGAAAGAATTCTCAAAAGTATAGAGACCCCCAAGATCAATAATCATGTCTGAGTCACCATGACTCTGAGATGGAGACTGTGAAGAGCCCTCAAGATTCCCAGAAGCATTAGATAGATAATTACTAGACCCAGAGCTTTTCAGATTATGAAATATATAAGGCCTCAAGCTCTCAGAATTATCAGCCACAGTTCTTTGGATGATCTGATCACCAGAAGAATCCAAAGATGGATATACACAAGGTTCTAACTCAGGAGACAAACTCATCTGAAGGTGGTTAGTAGAATTGGGTGGATCACAAAGAGGAAGTGATGGGAGTTGTGATGTGGAGGATTGATTATCTTGACTGCAAGAGCTATAATATATCATTAATATACTGAACTATAATTCAGATTACTGATCTCTTACCCAAAATTTGCAGAATAACTATCAGACATGATGATATCACCTTCTGGCAAGAGGCTGCTTGAGGTTGACCTGCATAATGATATAGAAGTTACATAGAGCAGATTCATAATCCTAAACCAACACATACTGGTTTGCAGCACTGCCTGAAACCCCATCCAAAATAGATAACTCTTCATGTGTCAGATTGCTGAAGAAGTTGTCATCAAAGTCATGGGGGAGTGCATCAAATTCTAGATTTAAAATATATGAGGAGAAGAGCACCAATGGTAAAAGCAAATTACCATCTTCAACTGGGTCCATAGCACAATCAAGATCAGTGTAGATCAGTAAGATCTAGAGGGATCTATCACAAGTTCCATGAGGAAATAGATAATAAATAGTTTAAAATTAATGAATCTTACATATGGTGATGAGTAGCACAGAAAGTGATGCAGTACACAGTGTGGTGGAAGAGGAAGATGTGAAAAACATCGAAAATGCAAAAAGAAAAGGGGTGTGGGAACTATCTACCAAATTAAGGCAGCAGCCGAATACGGAAATCATAGCAGCTGCTATGATTTCCATTTTCGGAATTATTGTGGTAGCAGCTGCTACTAGGGATTTCTGTATTTGGAAATCCTAGCAGCTGCTACCACCCACAGCCATGGGAACTCCGCCCCAGACTCCGTTAATGTCCCTCCGTCCCATCCTGTCCCACCCTCGTACTCAACATGGTGAATTGCACCCCTTGCGGGCTGGTTCGATTTTACAACAAAGGTAACGCTTGACGCCAAGGAGTTCAAAAAAGGCAACTTCATTGTCGCAGGTAGACAAGACTGTTCTATATAAAATGCTGCCCAAGATGTATAAAAAGGTCTGCGTCACTACGATATAAAAGCGTTTATCAATACAGCTATCAAGGTCCGACAACATCCCGACCCATAGTTCGTTGGTCTGAATAAGTACTAATGCAATATTAGTAACAGTGAGTATATAGCACCTCCACATTTAACGCGTACAAGGACATCGAGAAAATTTGAGTTACAACAAGCACATGAGAACAGAAATCATTACGGTGGTCATCAGGGCAGGCAATGTAATTTTGGTTGATGATCCGCCATCTGCAGCGAAATGAGATGTCAGAGATAGATGGGCAAATATTAGGGGGAAACGTACTGCTGGAGCCCGTGGTTGTCGTTGAGGAACCATTGCCGCTTGGAGCGCCTGGAAGGGGGTGGGTAAAGATGAGGTCACCGGGGAAGACCAAACTGCACTCTTACCTGATCCGCCAGCCACGCTAGAAAGCTGCGCGAACCCAACTGAACCAGGGTTACCAGCACGAAAGACAGAATATACGTTCTTCTGCAAGGCGCAAAGGAGGGGAATCAACATATGATATGCGTTTCGAAAGGAATCAACAAACTAAGAAGGAGTCCCCGACAACCCAAGAGGGATTACCTGAGCCAGAAGGAATGTTACTCCCGAGGCTGAGGTCAAAGATCGCTCCAAGGCATTGCGAGCTCCCACGCGAAACCTGGCCGATATTCATGTCGGCCGCACTTATCGGCCAGGCCTTGCCCCCGAAGGAAAGCGTCACTTCAACCGAGGTAGAGCAGGCTGTGGCGTGGATGAGGCATGTTAGAGATTTTTATAAAAGGGGAGGAGAATTGTAACTCACGGAAAGAGAAAAATCCTTGCTGGTCCGCAACGGCCGCTGAGCCCGGAACGGCTGCCCAGATGGCATTGACGTCAGCGGTTGGACCACCGATAAGGGTAGTGCCAGTGTCAATGGCCGCTAGAGCGGCGTTGCCTGTCGAGATTTGAACGGACTGTCCTTGCACAGTGATCGCTACACGGATCAGACGACGTTAGCTCAGTTTTGCATGTTTTCCCAAGACACTAACCGGACATGGTGAGAAGCCAAAAGGTTGGTGTACCCGAAGGCATATTGAGGAATTCAATCTCGCCAGTAAAGAGCGTCGAATTTGTTCCTCCGAGGGTAAACACACCTCCGGGTTCCTCGTCCTTGGCACTAGCATCACCGTTGAATCGTGTAAGATAGAAGGCCATCTCAGAGACAGACAGCTGGCTTCCTAAAGCCTGCCAAAATGGAGTCGATTTCGTGCTAGCAATGGCGGGAAACGCGAGACCCATGAGTCCTGATGCTGAACCTTCAAGAAGGCCAGTCGTGAGGCGGTCAACGGCCACTGGTCAACGTAAGAGAGTAAGCATCTGACAAACTGAACTCATAGAGAAAGTAAACATACAAAACGTTTGGCTTTGAACGTTAAAGTTGCCCATGGAGACCACGTCTTGTGCTATTGTTCCAGCCACCGTGCCGGACCCATAACGGATCGTGGTATCTTGACTCGCTGAAGTGATTGATGAGGATTTTGAGGGGGCGAATAACGGTGTTGTAGAATCGCAGGAGGTGCATGACGAGTCTGCAACCCAAAGGTCGGATGATCCTGTATCGAGGACGACACTGAATGATTGTGGTCTGTTGAACAGGATAAAAACATTAGTCAACAATTATCAAAACTAGGCTTGGCATTCAGGGAGAATTGGAATACCCCACTGGGGCTCAAATACAAATGGTGCATATGCTCGTCATGAAGCGACGTCATCGAGTTGAGGTGGATTGAACTTACGGTGTCCCTATGCTCACAGGTCCAAGATAACTCGAATCTGATAGCTGGACAGACGGTGAATTTGTTGAGATAGGCGGCAACCAATTGATGATATACCTGGTTAATGGTTTGTATTGATTCAGAGCTCGCCCTCTTTCCACGAGGTGAGTAGGTTTTCCCCGTTATGTTGTACTTGCCCTGCAGATGCTTCGCTGCAGAAATGTAATAGTTGATGTCACGATTAGTACCTGAGGAGCGACGAGCGAGTGGGATGTGAATGGGTTCCGCAAGGGCAATAGGGGAAAAGAGGAGGAGGGCGAGTACGAATTGATGGAGGGAAAACATGGTGGTGGTGAAGGGAGCCATCAAGGCGAATGAAAAGATGAAGGAGGGAGAGTGGAGTTGTTGGAAAGAAAGGTGAGGAGACAACCTGTGCTACCTGTGCCGTTGATCCCGTCCCCGTCACAGCGGTGTAGCACGGATGGTGCAAAGTAAAATGGTTATTTAAAAGCGCAGCAATGGCACGCGCTCACGGTTGCAATCCCTTCCTTCTCACGTCCCCCTTTGCAACCACTTTGTCAATGCCTGTCATTTGGTCAAACCACACAAAAACATCGTTACCCTCTACATCATACCATGCCTACAGAACAATACCGTCAACATTTTTGAATGGCCCATCTCGTTCGAGTTTCATTGAATTTCCTTCCGCAGCAGAGGCTGTTGTTAACCTGTAACCTAAAAATAGCTACTATGTGCTATTTATATCTTCGGCGTGCATCACTCCGCCCTATCCCTTCTACATACTGGATTTCCGATTTGATTAAGCTCCTAGATGATGGAATCAAGGCACACTCCAAGTATGAGCGCATTACAAGGTATTGCCCGATATTGAACAGAAGAGAAATCGAAAACGTTGTTGGCGATGTCATGGAATCGTCGTAATGACTTGAGTTAACGCTGGAACACGAAAGAACAATACTTGATCCAAAACTGTTGCTGGAAACAATGTTTTGTGATGACTATTGTCAGTGTGTCCTCGCAGATCCGAAAGGCGCTCATATAATTATTGTAAGGCAGATTGAAAAAAAAAATCATGAGTAACGCTTTCATAAATCGAAAAGCTAGATATGTCATACAAGGGTAAAAATCCAACTGTGGTGGAACAAGCAACGAGCCAATTACTCCTTCGGCTCACCCTCAACCTTATTCCCCGCCAAATCGATTTGGTCGAGTGCATTCTGAGTATCCCCCAGATACCAATTCGGCATGAAGAAGGACAACGCGAAGGGCACGACGGCGACAATAGTCGCCACAATCGTCATAACTTTCATCACGTCGTCGTATGCTGCATTAAGAGAGAGAGAAAAGGTTCAAAGCCAACGGCAGAAACAAAAAGTATGGACACGGACCTTGAATCACACCCTCGCGAGTCGGTGACCCACGCGGGCTAGAAGCAGCAATCACGATAGACCCGTACAACGCATCCCGCTCCTCTTGCGTCAAAAAAGGGAGGTGAAGAGCTAGTCTTTTGGGCATCATGTTCGTCCATAACGCCCCAGCTATAGGACACAACTTAAATCACCTGAACAATCCTAACACGAAGAAAAAACGCACCAACAGCACTCCCAATAGCACCCCCGATTTCCGTAATAAGCAGCACAACAGCCGTGACCATCGCGACGTCCGCATGCGGAACAGACGCCTGCGCTCCGACTTGCGACGCGACCGCTGCAAATCCACCTCCTACGCCTTGGAGTAGCTGCGTCCATACGACTTCTGCGTCGGAGGCGTTGGCGCCGCGGGAGTGGATCATCAGGCCGACACCCAAGAGACGGATACCCAAACCGACGACGAGGATGTACTATGAACATATTAGACTGGCAATTCACCATGGGAGGGGGGAGCTGTATCACTTTGTAGCGATGCATAAAGCGCATGGCGAAGCCAGCTGTGATGCCAAATATTGTGAGCGCGACTGTTTGCGTATATGCGAAATACGAGGCGTTGACGGGGGACCTGCGTCGCATCATTTGGATCGATATAGTGCCAGGGAAGAAGAAGGAAGGGCTCACCAGGGTTTGACGACAATGATGAACGAGTACAAGTATGTGAATGTAAGATAAAACGAAACCTACCGAAAAGATATCAGCAAGCTAACCACGCGTCGAGTTTAAACGAAAGGGCTTACGAAATCAAAAGCCCCAATGAGCGACGCGAGCACCACGCTCCTATTGAAACAGAAGCGGGGCGCAATAACCGGGTGCTTCGCGATCTTGAAGTCCCACAACAAAAATACAGGGAATAAGAGACCTCCAATTACAATCATAGCAATCATCGACGCTGTCCGAATTACGGGTCGTTTAGTCGTTTGCTCACGATACAATGCGAATCCAAAAGAACACACCATTGTTCCAATGTCCTTTTGCATTATTCGCCAAAGTAAGAGGGAGAAGGATGAGCGCGACAGATGTCCCGATGAGGATGAGCCCGGGGATATCGAGCTGGGACGCTGAATCAAGGAATCTCTGAACAACGCTTTTGTCGTCTTTCGTTTTGGTGTCCACGAGACCAAGGGCCTTTGACCTCCGCTCGGCCCATATGAGGGTAATAATCAGCGGGGAGAGGGACACGGGTATCAGGATCGCGAACATTCCGTCTGGATTCACCCCAACCAAATCAAGATCAGCATTAGAAAGAGTGGAAGAGGAAGAGGGAAGACGGACATCCCCATCTCCATCCCGCGCCCTTGATGACGGCCGCGGATATGTTTGAGCCGACGAAAGCGTTGATGACGAAGGGGAGAGAGATGAGACCTGAGACGAGGCCCCGCCATTTGAGGGTAGTTATGTCAGCGATGATGATTTGGGTCAAGATTTGAAGGCCGCTGTGGGAGGGTTATGAAAACGGAGCAAGGTGAATTTGAAAAGCAACGTACGTATATCCACTAACAAAAGGGAAAAAAGGAGTGTTAGGATGTAGGCAGAGGAAGGGGAAGTTAAGACGCACATCGCGTAAAGAATAATTCCTCCGGCGACGGCGTGAATGCTATGCGCCGAAGCGATGACGATGTACCCTGTGCCATTGAACAAAAGTTAGTTGATGATTTGGTTGCAAGTGGTAGGAGACTGACCGATGACGTAGAAAAGCACTACACCCCATCAAGTAAACGAATCAACAAACATCCACATCTTTATTACGGAGACAAAACTCACGAACGAAAACATAAGCGGCGCCTCGTGAGCTGACATCAGCTATTTTCGCAACTACGGGTTTTCCAACGGCGACTACCCGATTTGAAAGTAAGTAAGGTCACTGAGTGAGCAGTAGGAAAAGCGTACTAATGATAGACTGCGCGACCTGGATAGGGCTAATAAGGCTATGATCGCTGAAACTTGACGCCGCGTAACTGAGGTAGACGTAGGTCGTCGTGCCGTCCAGTGAGTAGATATACGCGGCTAGGCCAAGCCTACATATGGTTTGTCAGCAGGTATTATGACGGATAGAGAGAGTAACTGGGGGAGAGAGGATAAAAAATGACGCGTACCCAATAAACAAGAACCACCTCGAATACTTGCCATAGACCTTCTGCGTCGCTTCGACGGTCTTAACGCCGGCGTGGCTTTCCACGTCGAGTACGAACACGGAGGAAATGTCTGGGTTCTTCTCCGAGTACGCGGCGGGGTTTTTCTCGTCATACGACATTTCGGGGGGTATCTAATGGGTGGAACGATTCTGCAGAGGTGAAGATGACGGGCACAAGGCGGAAAGGGGATACAACGGCGGCGGATGCGAAGGCAGAAGGGGAGGAGGGAGAGGGAAAAAGTTATCTGATAACCAGATGCCGGTATCTGATAAGATTGATCTCTCTTAAATATCTCGCCCAAGATGATGCGTTGGACTCGGGCGAAATCGGATCATGTGCTTCAAACTTCATTGGCGATTCAAATATTATGCGTGCCAAGGACCAAGGCTGACCAAGTTTGAGTAGGGTTGATTGAGGCGGAGGATGATCGATTTGGCCATATGAAAGGATCAAACGCCTTTTGACATATGAAAGGATCAAGAGGTTTTGACCAGGGAAAGTTGTTGCCAGTCGTTGCTTGTTGGACCATGTAGGCCCATCGTTATGTGCGATTTCGAATCAGTTAACATTCTGGATGCTGGACATCAGTTTCTCAACTACAACCTTATAATTACAGGTTATTAGCACCAACCTTTTTCGCAAATAGGCACGATTCACATCAGGTCCCAGGAGGTCCCAGGGCAGTTTAGGTAACTGATCCTTGATGTCATCTCTGAGGTAGCGAGATGGGGAACCCGTCTTGCCAAAAAAGCACGAGAGGACAGAAGGGTTCAGTGAAAACATGGGAAACAGAAATGTTGAACAGCGCCGAGCAGTGAGTCGCGACAAAGCAAACATACACCATGAGCATCTTTAAAAAACTGACAATTCCGATTTTAGATGTCGATGCCGCCGAGTAGAATGTGTAGAGCAGAGAAGATTGGACAAACGCCACCCATAAGTAGATCATGAAAGTTTCAGCGGATGAGTTTAGTTCAGGGCACAGCAGATGCCATCGATGATCGCAAGTGTCGGAGAACTTGGCGGAAGTGGCATTATGTAGTAATTCATGAAGGACTCGAAAAGTTACAAAGCCTGAAAGCAGCAAAAAATTCAACTGAATAATGACGAAGTACGCACAACCCCATTTATGTAGGGACTTACGATTTTAAACCTGCTGTATATACGAGGGAGAATTTTGTTGATTGGAGGAGGCATCCAGTCGGCAAACTTGTCATACTGACATCTTTTGGTCCTGTCTGGGTTTAGGCTTGGGACATACATGCCTGGGCACACGCACCGTCAACGTCATTAGGTGCAGGGCCGTGAATTTTCAACTGGGGTGAGGTGTTCAACTTTCAAGGCCGTTGAAGGTCACACGACAAGGAATGGCCGATTTATTGTTTCCAAAGAGGCTAGCTGGGCACTTGGCGAAGACGAGGTTTAGGTACAGTGCTAGTTGATGATTGAGGCAGCGGGTTGAGATATCAGTGTTGTAGGCCAATGATCCATGGGCCAGTCGAAACCATCTGCACGTGGTGCGCGACTAACTTGAGGTGGAAGTTGCTCTGATTCTCGGAAACCAAATGGTGAAAAGAGTTTGAGTAACTTCTAAATAGGTCACAGCGTGACAACAAAACTTTCGAGTTTATCGCACTCAGCCATGGCATCATCGTACATCTCCTTCTCAGCCCTCTTTCCACTGCTAACCACTCACGCAGACAACAAAAGACTTCCTGGGCGGACGATGTCGACGAACAGGAACACAAGATCGAAGAATCAGTTGATGAGAACGGCGTGCGCACAACAGTAGAATGGTCCGTCAACGACGAGGGCAAGAAAGTGAAGGTGTGCTTCCATACCCTGTTTCGTCTCCAGGACTCCGGGTGACCGACCCTACTCAACACAGATCACCCGCCGCATTAAACGCACCCTTCAAAAATCAGTCGTCGAGCATGCTGTTGCAGAGCGCCAGAAATGGGCCAAGTTCGGCGCAGAGAAGGGGAACAAGCCTGGGCCGGACAGGGCTACTACTACCGTTGGGGAGACGGTTTCTCTGAAATTGAGTGTGGGGAATAAGGTTTGTCTTCGATCAGTGGGTTGGTTGGTGTTTACACAATTGTCTTTTTTTCTTCCAGCACTCAGAAGCGGAACAAGCCCCCGAAGATAACGTTAAAGCCCGTCTCGTGAAGGCACCGGGTGCTGGGAAAGTCTCGTGTAGGCTTTGTAAAGGCGACCATTTCACCGCAAAGTGTCCTTATAAAGATACTCTGGGAGGGTTGGAGAACAGTGGTGAGTTGTTTTACCCCGCTTTAATCCCTCATCCTGTCCAATATCCGTTCTCCCGCAGACACGGGTGCCGGCCCAGACGACGATACCCCCGCCTCCGTCGACCCCTCCTCCTCCCTCCCCCCTTCTACTTCAACCACCGGGAAATACGTCCCTCCTTCCATGCGCTCCGGTTCCCGTTCCACCCCCGGCGAATCCATGCGCGGCGCCCCCGGCTCCAACCGGGACGACCTTCCCACTCTCCGGGTCACCAACATCTCAGAAGATACACAAGAAAATGACCTCCGGGAGTTGTTTGGGATGTTCGGGCGGGTCGCCAGGGTGTATGTGGGGAGGGATAGGGATACGGGTGCCGGCAAAGGATTCGCTTTTGTCAGTTTCGAGGAGAGGGCGGTTGCACAGAAGGCGATGGAGAAGGTTAATGGGAAGGGGTATGATAATCTGATTTTAAGTGTCCAATGGAGCCGTGAGTGTTTTTTTTTCAATCCTTTTTCCTTGAGACAGGGGGGACTGATCGTTTTTTGTAGAGCCGAGGCCAGATGGGAAGTAAGTGAAAGCGGGAGGTGAAAATTTGTGGGCGTTGTCGGGCTGGAATGGCCCCGTTTGCATTTTGTTTTGGTTTTCTTGGAATCAAATCCGACTCTTATTTACGACAATCTCAGCACAAAGGCATGAGCTATCCAGGGGTGGTTGACGTATTTTTTTTCTAACGCCTTTTTTTTTTTTTGGCAATCCAGTGAGTGATTGACGCTCTTGGATACGTACGATGCAAATCATCGATCCATTATTTGGAAACCTACGATTATTTGGAATCGAGGTGCTTGCATTCGCCGCGCTGATGCTGAATTAAGGGCCGTTTCAATGCGTGCAGTGCAACACGCGAATCACTAAAATTGACGCGGCCACGTGGATTGCGATAGGCTAGGAATGAGTCTAATTTTATCTCAACATTTCTTGAACATGGTCGTTCAATGTAAGTTTGAACAAATTCTGAGACCCATAACTTTTGATGCTTTAATTTCTTAGCGTCTAAGGACGGCATCTCGTACTTCACCGAGGTTTTATCGCGGGAGAGAAAACGCTCCAATCCGTACGGTGTATGCACCGGATGCAAAGGAGCAGTAACCCTGATTTCGACAAAGTCTAAGCAACGACAGGACTCGAATTGGCATGAGGAGTGTTACGAGGTGTTTATTGGCGGATTATGGGTGCAACGAATGTAGCTGAAACGAGAGGCATCAATAACAACACAGGAAGAATTTTGTACGAGATTTTTTCGTCGAATAAAAAAAGGCCTAAAGCGGGTGCAAGTAAATCACGATATGGTGATGGTGAGTAGCTTGACGATCCCATCCTGAGAGATTCCTGGAAGAAAGGAGAGAATGGATCAGCAATGAGAGGATCAACCTGGATATATGCGCAAAGAACACACCATGGTTCACCCCTTGAGATCCGGGCTCAAGAAGATTGGTTATATCTTGAATGGTCGTGGTGTAGCGCTTCAAATCTTTAGCTGCTTGCACGAATTCATCACTGAAAGACATAATTATAAAGCCTTTCATCGAGGACTGGAGAAGGAAAACGCACCGTCCGATATTATAACCGTTGGGCGCAATAGTGTGCTTATGCGCGAGATTCTAAGTGACTCGAACAGTCAGACGTACATAACTCTTTGGTAGAGGCATGTCACACCTCTTCTCGAGAAACACTAGAAGTACAAAAGTACGTCAACATCGATATGTGAAAAGGCAAGTTTAACGCTGACGCTAAGAATAGGGCACCGCTATTCGCGTCGGGCCTGTCTTGCTTCCAGACCCTGGCTCAATGTAGGTAAGTAAATGAGGTTGCTCAGTGAACATGCTGGTAACCTGAAATGGCTCCCTCCCGTGAAAGTCTCCAAGCAGGAACCAAGACCAGGAATGCCGAAAGATTGTCGGTAAACTCCCTGGCATACATATGTCATCAATATGATCGACGGTTAAGGATGTGGACGACGTGCCATCGTGCCCACTAGACCGTGGCCGTCGCCGAGATTTGCTTGCTGTTCTCCGCTAGTGTTGATTCCAAGACATCCGTCCGAGCTGGGTTGCATAGATACATTTCACCTTTGTGGTCAAACGGTCTAAGAAATGAAGTAATGGTTACAAGCCAACAGCCTGCGCATATTTCAGGAAGCCACTGGGAGTAAGGATTTGCGGAGAGCTTTTTCCTGAGATGATGACCTTTTTATATGCGCAGGGTGAGAAACGCTCTGATTTCGGAGTAGGGCAATTACGTTCAAAGGTTCACCAAGACCAGCTGAACTATCAAGCAGAGAGCCTCCTCGTTCACGGGGGTCAAAGTAATCGACTGAACTTCGCTCTTGCAAAACCTCCGTAATGGGGAAGGCGTTGACAGCTAGAGCCAGAAAAATAAATAACAGATGCATGAGGTGGTGCTGAAGGTGAAGGATTGAGGGAAGGAGCCAGAAAGGAAAAATTGAGAAGTTGGAAACGTCAGGGTGGTATTTGAAGTAGCCAGCGGTGAAAATGTAGCTGCGGAAGGTGTAGCTCGCGCACTCAGTGGAAATATCTCGGCACCAAGAAGCCATGGTGTCGGGCCCCATCTGTAAAAATTAAAGTCAACGCGGCTCTAATCCCATGAAGTGAAACCCGAAGCTCGGATGCTTTGGAAAGAGTTGCACTTTTGTTTGGCAAATATGGCAATCATAAACAAGACGTTTTACAGCAGTTCATCAATCGCATCATTGACAGCGGACAGTTCGATGTTCCTTGCCTGTTCCTTGCGATAGCAGTGCAACTCAGCCATGCCTTTCTATTCAATTTCTTTCCCTTTCTTACTTATCCCAGCTCTCCGTCTGTCTAACAGCGAGCAGTATGGCTAGTCTCTTGTGCGCTGGCACCTCCACCGACGTCTCGGCTACCCAAGGAATATCCGAGCTCGACCTACCACATGAACTTCAGCGCCCAATTTTTGAGATGGCGACAAGGATGGATCGTGGAACTGGTCTCAGTCTCGTCCTAGTTGCACACTATGTGCATACCTGGTGCGTCTTGTTTTGCAGTCTGCAGATTTTCTCAAAGGCCCCTCTATGCAGGATTCAACCCATTCTCTACGAGAATATAGAACTCCTGAGCGCTACAGCCGCGTCGTCTTTTCTTAAACACGTTAGGAGGAAACCCCGTGGATTTTTCGACGGACGCATAACGACCTTATCACTTTCAAGCGCCATTAATGTCCATCAGGCCAAACCCATTTTACAGGAATGCTCTCGAACCATCACCGCTTTCTCAGCTTGGAGTAGAACGATGAATCCCACCCGTTATCTCAATCACATTTTGTCCTCGTCTATCCAGCAGCTGTCATTAATATCCGGGCCATCCGCACATCGCCACGGGTATGGTGACCACCCATTCAACATTCCCACCGACATCCTCTTCTCGTTGACACATCTAGTCGTCGTAAGCGGCATACCATGGCTTCATTGGGAGGATCTGTCCAATGCACTCAGCATGCGATCTTCTGGCCCTCCCTCCCCTATGGGGCTTGCATCTCTTGACGCATTTCAGAACCTGACTCACTTTGCTGTATCGTACAACCTCTGGGAGAACACCGCACCGTTGATGAAAATTGCCAGCAACCTCCGGTATTTCGTTATTCTTGAGAACAATGATGCTATTCAGCATGCTCCTCTGATCAAGTCCGTCCGAGAGTTGGGCGATCGTCGCTTTATAGTCATGAACCTGGCGCATTTTGAGGACGAGGCCAAGGCAGATTCTCGGAATATACCAAGGTTCTGGATGAGGGTGGAGGAACTCGTTGAGATGCAGTACCTTTCTGACTGCAAGGACAGGTGGACGAATAGCCTAGATATCGAATGAGGTTTGAAGGGTACAAGTAGAGGTGAGTAGGAGGCTCTCTTCTGTTTCTTGGGGTAGTACTCTTACGGTAATTGCCAAATTCCTAGATTTTGGTTTTTGGGATGAGTTAGAGACATTATAATACACCTGACAAGAGCTGAATTTTACAGCCCGATCCGGGGTACTAAACCCGCAACGTACCAATAAAAATATATTTCCACCTTCTGTCCAACTTCTGTCACTCTAAGCTGAAAGCGCTTTTGTTTGGCAAACATGGCAATCATAAACAAGACATTCCATTGACGGTGGACACCTTGATGTTCCTTGCGAGTGCAGTGCAACTCAGCCATGCCTTACTGTTCAATTTCTTTTCCTTTCTTACTTATCGCAGCTCTCCGTTTCTCTTACAGCCAGCAGTATGGCTGATCTGTTGAGCGATAACATCTCCACCGATGTTGCAACTGCATCCGAGCTCGACATACCACATGAACTTCAGCGCCCAATTTTTGAGATGGCGACAAGGATGGATCGTGGAACTGGTTTCAGTCTCGTTCTAGTTGCACACTATGTGCATACCTGGTGCGTTTTCTTGTTTTATAGTTTGTAGAATTTCTTAACGGCCCCTATGCAGGATTCAACCCATTCTCTACGAGAATATTGAACTCCTGAGCGCGACAGCTGCGTCATCTTTTCTGAAACACGTTAGGAGCAAACCCCGTGGATTTTTCGACGGTCGCATAAAGACGTTATCATTTTCAAGCGCCATTTATATCCATCAAGCCAAACCCATTCTACAGGAATGCTCTCGAACTATCACCGCTTTCTCAGCTTGCAATAGAGCGATGAATCCCACCCGTTATCTCAATCACATTTTGTCCCCATATATGCAACAGCTGTCCTTAGTATCCGGGCCATCCGCACGACACCACGGGTATGATGACCGCCCATTCAACATCCCCACCGACATACTCTTCTCCTTGACACACCTCGTCGTCGTCAGCGGCATGCGATGGCTTCCATGGGAGGATCTGTCCATTGCACTTAGCGTGCGATCTTCTGGCCCTCCCTACCCTACGGGGCTTGCATCTCTTGACGCATTCCAAAACTTGACTCACTTTGCTGTATCGTACAACTATTGGGAGAAAACCGCACTGATAAGGAACATTGCCAGCAACCTCCGTTTTTTCGTCATTCTAGAGAACTTTGATGCTGTTCAGCATGCTTCTCTGATCAAGTCCGTCCGAGAGATGGGCGATCGTCGCTTTATAGTCATGGACCTGGGGCATTTTGAGGGTGAGGCCAAGGCAGATTCTCGGAATATACCAAGGTTCTGGATGAGGGTGGAGGAACTCGTTGAGATGCAGTACCTTTCTGACTGCAAGGACAGGTGGACCAATAGCTTAGATATCGAATGAGGTTTGAAGGGCACAAGTAGGGGTGAGTAGGAGGCTCTCTTCTCTTTACTGGGGCAGTACTCTTACGGTAACTGCGTTCGTTACATATTCTCCCTCAAGTGTCACGTACGGACGAATTTAAATTGAAGTTTTATCATTTATTCGCCACCAAGCGGAAAGTCTCTTCCCCGACTCTGGAACAGCGAGGGTGTTGTCAGAACGACAAACCACATCCCCTGTTGACCGTCGTGTGATGGCGTTTGCACGAATTTCGGGCACGATCTGTCTAGAACTTGCATCGGCTGCGAGGAGTGAACCGCGCAAACGGTTCAGCGACGAGCAGGCGACTACTATAGAAGACTGTTTAGGTGCTGTATAATTACATTATCTGAATGGTCGTGGTGTAGCTCTTCGAGCTTTTAGCTGCTTGCACGAATTCATCGCTGAAAGGTATCATTATAGAGGCTTTCATCGACGACTGGAGAAGGAATACGCACCGTCCGATATTATAACCGTCGGGCACAATGGTGTGCTTATGCGCGAGATTCTAAGTGATTTAAACCATTAGAGGTACATGACTCTTTAGTAGAGGCATGCCGCACCTCTTCTCGAGAAACACTAAAAATACAAAAGAACGTCAACATCGATATGTGAAAAAGGCAATTAAGAGTACGACTCAGAATTCTGATCTCTTCTCCGGGCTGAGGTTTGCACAACTCTTTTCGAAACACTCCCAGCTGCTTCTGGGGCCTCTGATGCATCTATTGTTCTTGAAAGTTGGGAGCGATGGGCAGTACCGTCTCCACGGCGGGGTGTTCTCTCTGAACGTGAAGATCGACTTTCCGCTCTCTCGTGGCCTTGCTCTCCTGAACGGTGTCGTTGATCCGACCTAATTCTGCGATAGATAGATTGCTTGCCCCGTAGGCCTTGCAACAAATTCGTGATGATCTCTCGGACGGTCGGCAAATAAATTTCAAGGTTTGAGGTGGCATCCTCCGCTAGACATTGCTCCAATACATTGCGTAAATCGTTAGGGACAGACATGAGCTCTCTGTGTCAAAAGTTACGCCGCCGTCAGAGAAGCAAGAATGGATATCATTCACGCACGCCATATCAATATCAAACCCTGCAAAAGCTGTGACGGCTGCATTGAAATCGTTCCCCAAGCGGACGTATACGTCGCTCACTTGGGTCTCGTCCATCTTTATTTGACTCCAAAGCGTAAGGGCTTCCAATAGTTGTTTGATAGATACCAAAAGTCGGGTCACTGCTGACTCTACTGGAGGCTGAATTCGATTCATAGGAACATGAGAATCCAGTCAAACCGAATTCAAAGGCTGCACCCTTACATTCGATGGGTTCCGTGACCCTCGCTCGCTTCGGCCTGATGCTGAGGTATTGGATGAAATTGAATGATTTTCGCGTCTTGAGGGATGCCCATTCTGAAGCTGGGGTGGACGCGAAGCCATGGTAAAGGTAGAAGAGAGCAAGTGGAGATGCTCACGGAGAAGATTCGAGGGCGCCCCTGGCCCAGCCATTCAATCAAACATGACGTGAGAATTCAAATATTCAACGTTGTATTCCATCAACCTCCGAGTCCCATTTCTTGGTCTCAAAACACGATTACGCTATCTAGCACCCTACAAAACACCTATTAAGGTTATACGTTTAGCTGAGGTGCCCCTTTCCCCGCTAGAATCATATCGTCTACAATATCATCCTTCTCCGTGCGCTTATACGTCCGAATTGTCTCCCCGTAGTCTGATCATATACAAGGAATATGCGGTCAAACCTACAGCTAACATTGAGTTTTCCGTAAATCATCCGAGCAGCCAATGAACTTACCCAATTTTTCCGTAGCCAGAGTATGATCCTCCACCACCAAAGCAGAACCACACCCCCTTTACGCGACGACAGTTTTCCGTCACTTCATGGAAACATGTGTCGGCCAAAATCAAGGAAGACATCAGAGAAAGGACTGTCGACATACCACGGCAATGGCCATTCCCAATAACTTTCACTTCTTGAACAGTGTTGGTATCATGATGGGGTCACTTTTCAAAGCTTTTAGGATGCCCTTTTCGAAAAACCCGTCGCTCTTCTTCGCGTTGCCGGCCGACTCCAGACCGTGCAAGCCCACATCAAGGGGCTTCTTCATTTGAGAATCTAAGATTTTGGCCTGGATAATCAAGTCAGGTTTTCGGAAGCAGTTAAAATCGGTCATACATGCTCGCACTGTGCACAGCTCCCGAAATTCCAACACTATTTGGCCGCCGATGTGTCGGTCAGGGAAACTACAATTTTAAGTAGCCGCTGTGTAACTGCGAGCCGCATCGGAAGAACATTTGGGTCGCCGTCGCATTCGCCGGCCGCCTTCTCGTATTTGATGGGATACGAGAAGGCGGCCGGCGAGTGCGACGGCGACTCAACTTTGAACCACCCATACTTGATTCTTGTAAGTCAAACGCACAGGCCATGATTTGAATTTGCTGACTCCACGTTTCTACAAGTTTCTTGCGCTCTTTCGTCACGCGACGGACACCTTCTCATTCTTCCGCCCATTTGACGAGAACGCATTGCTAGCGACAAGACATCCAGGCGTTAGGCTTTTAGGCCTCATCTACTTACAAATAGCCACCTCATCACGAAATTTTCAGCATGTCAATCCAGGGCCACAGCAAGCGAGGAAGTCGCGAAGTTTTGCCTTTGGCCAATCCCAATTAAAAAAATAATGAAATACACCTGGCAGGGTTGAGGTCCTAAGAGGTCTCTAAGTAGGAGGGTTTTCCTCCACTCTTTGTTATTCATCCTTCTTCGTTCCCTTCGTCCACTTCCTGGCAAGTCGTCTGGCTTATCATGGCCCCCACTCTCTTTTACTATTTATCTTTCTTGACAGCGATAGCTCTCGTCAACGCCGGGTTGCCGAGTAAAATATATGGTGTAAACTTGGGTTCATGGTTCGTCAACGTCAACTTCACATTTTTCATCCTTTCTAACCTATTGACCAGGCTCGTCATGGAATCATGGATTCTTCCGGATGGTATGCAAATATACTTTGATCGCAGCCGAGCTACTTACACGCAGCAGAATGGGTGCGCATGGGTGGCGACAACTGCCAAAATTGTAGTGGAACTTGCATCGGATCTGAGTTGTGCGTTCACCCTAATTGACTTCGTGCTGTCCAACTCACGCTCCCGTTAGTGCGCTTGCCCAGAAATATCCCGAGACCGTGGACCAGATCTTCAATCAACACTGGTACGTCATGGCTTTAGTGTCTTCAATCCACACTTGAAGTCTTGAACAGGGAGACTTGGTTCAACCAACCTGATGTTGACCAGATCAAGGGAGCTGGTCTGAACACCGTCCGCGTTCCTGTAAGTACTCGCTTGAGTTCCCCTTGGTTGCTATTAAATATCTTCACTCATCCCAACAGTTAGGCTACTGGATCGTTGAACCACTTGTCAACAGAACTACCGAGTTCTACCCCCGAGGTGGTATTTTGCAATTGGTAATCTTTCCGTTCTTTTCTGGTTAATTTGAATACTTAAGCATTTCGTTTGTCCTCCAGCAACGTGGCTTGACACATCTGAGAGACGCAGGGATTTCTGTCATCCTCGACCACCATGCTCTTCCTGGTGTTGCTTCCCCCAATCAAATGTTTGCAGGGAGGTTCGTGGACTTGCTACTCCCTTATAAGCACTCACAAGACATCTTTGATAGATGCACCAGCGATGTTCAATTTTACGTACGTTGTCTACTCCCCACCTTACTTTGTCAAGCGATGACGTTACCGCATATAGACTCCGTACAATTACCACCGCGCTCTCATCTGGACCGCCGTCATGACGGCGCTATCGCACCTTGATCCCGCTTTTGGAAGTGTCGCAGCTATCGAAGCTATAAACGAACCGATCCTGGATGCTAATAAAACACCCGGCTACGGCGATTGTATTTTGACCACATGTTACCTCTTTATCACAACTGACATTCTGTTAGTTCAGAAGAACTTCGTTCAAGTCATCCGTGCCGTCGAACTGACCCTTGGTATTCCACCTGTCTCTGGTGAAGTTCCTCCCATCCTCGCATCACAAGTGAATGTCACCAGTGCCTTGTCTGCTGCTGCTACGTTGCAGAATAACTTCAACCCAGAGGTTTGCAGAGTATTGAAGGATGCAGTGCCAATCTTCGCCCAGGTCGCCCAGCAGTTGGTGCTGAATACGTCCCTTGAACTGGGTGGATTGAGTAGTATTTTGCAGCAAAGGACTGCGTTGGTCACCAAGTGAATTGACAACTCAAATTGTTGATGTGCCAGAGGGCTTATTATTGATACCTAGCTTCATGGATATCGGCTGGCAATACAACAACCCTTCAAACCCTGCGGACGCGGCAATTGGTCCTCAGATTTACGACAACCATTTGTATTACTCGTAGGTGTCTTGCTTTATCTTCGATCAAGTTGCTTTCTAACATTCCGCAAACAGGTATGGTGTACTTGTCATCTCTGGAAACCAATGGGATAGAATTGACCTTTGACGGTATAGGGCGTCGCCGATGCAAACGAACAAGCTTACCTTACTTCTATATGCAGTGGGTTGTTGTAGTCTCTTGTCTTCTTCCACTTTCTGACCTCTTGAGTTTCAGATTTAAAAACGATCCAAACCCACGCAGCTCTCGGTAGCAGTCCACTCTTGATCGGAGAATGGAGTCTTGGCACCCAGTTCAATGCCAATGCCTCCGACGTATTCATGAAGCAGTGGGCTGACGCACAAAAACTCGCCTATGGGAAAGATGCAGGATGGATTGTACGTGTTTTCTCCCTTCTCTCTTGGGGGACTAACACCGTTGCAGTTCTGGAACTTTAAACTGGAGAACTCCACTTTAACTGCGGATTTGCCGAGGCAGTGGTAGGTACTTTTCTTCTGCCCTTCCTCTTTTCTATCTCATCACCATCGGTTGAAGGTCGTACATGGAGGGCCTGAGGAGGGGGTACTTCACTCAGGACCCATCGAAGTTCAATGATCCCTATGTTTGTGACGCGTACATCAACGTTACAATGACCACAACCACAGCCACCTCAGGCCTGACGCTTCTGAGTGACAGAAGGCCTCAGAGGCTAGCGCTAATTCTTTGGCTGATAGGAATTGGCCTCTGGGGGTCATTCCCGCTCTATCACTACGTGTCAAATCCAAATTGATTCAGTGATCGCTTCCTTCAATATAAATGCTGATATTTTTGAACCCTGAGCATCGGAACGCCTCCGATAGCGAAGATGATACATTTACAACAACAAAAAAGTAGATATTCATGTAGAAGAGAAAATTTTATATTCAGTTGTCAAAAAATTTAAACGATTTGAGGAAGTGGTGAGTCAAAAATCGGACGTTGGCCACCCGGGTCCCGAATCCCTGACAACACTCCCTCACTCCGTAAGTAAGTACTGAGCAAAAGTACTGCTATCATATCCAGTCACAACCCTTCGATCTCATGTTTATACTCACCCAAAATGGTTCACTCACTATTAGATGCACGCTTACAAGTTATCAATCATCGATGATCAAAAGCGATAGACATCGATATCTCCCAACTACTACTTCCCTTCCCGCACAGTCAAAACAAAGCTTTGCTATTCGTTAAAAATTTCATGAAACATTGATTTGCTTTCGATCGCTTATCAGATCTGCTTTGGTGCTCATAAGCATGTGGGGAATAATCACGGGCTATCGCAAGATTGTCTGTCGCCCTGCGGAAAAGCTAGAGATCTGCAGGGGAACTCTCGGCGTTCGTTCAAGTCAATCTAGTACCTGACCATGCTACGTATGTTGAACGCTCTTCAGCTCTTTATCTCTGGGCTGATACAACAAGGAATTTTCTGTCCACAGATCAATTGTTTTGACGACATTCCGCCTTGTGTTACAGCCGTTATCAGCTTTAAAGCCAACAGGCTTGGAAGTGGATGGTCGCAGCGACGGACAGTCAGGCACACGACGCTTTGTAACAACTAAAAATTCCTCTCTCCATGTGGAACGCGTGCGCCTGACCCCAGCTTCCCCGCACTTGCATCTTTCCCCGCTCGTTCCTTACAAATGTGATATATTTTTTGCGCTCACCTGACCTCACCAACCTGTGTACTACCAAGAAACACCAGAGATATAAATTATCTTCAACACACTCAATACCTCAGTGTTCGTCCTCGCCTCCACTACCCCAGCCAGTCAAACTCCAAGATGCGTTTCTCGCTCGGTGCACTTCCTCTTGGTCTTGTCTTCAACATTTTTCTGGGGACGCTCGCCTCTCCTTTATTGGAGCAGCGCGATGTTGGAATTACGCAAGTGACATGGGGCGATCTCGGACGTTATTCGAAGTACTCGTCGGCGTCGTATCAGCTATTCTGTCCAAAACCTCTCGGAAACACGCTCATCTCTCAGGTGAGTTGCTATTCAGGATTATTTTTCCTCTTCCCCGATGGCTGATTACTCTTGAAGTTCTCGAAAAAGGGCACCCAGGGATTTATTGCCCGCGACGATACCCGCCAAGAGATAGTCATTGTGTTTACAGGATCATTGGAACCTATCGACGTCTTCACTGGTAACGCCATCTATCATCCAGTCGAATCCCAGTGCTGACTTACTTTTTATCTAGACATACACATTATTATGTCCCCACTGAAATCTCAAGGCCTCACGAATGTTGGTGACGCTTACGTTCATACTGGATTTTTGCACGCCTACAATGTCGTTGCGGCGGATGTCCTCGCCACCGTCAAGAAACAATTAGCGTCCTACCCAACGTACCGTGTCGTTGCTACAGGTAGTAAACTCTTCTTATTTTTTCTGTGCATTTAGTAACCGTATTCAAATAATAGGACATTCACTAGGCGGTTCAGTCGCGTCCGTCGCCGCGCTGACTGTGCGCGCCGCCCATCCAAACGTACCCTTGGAGTTATACACTTATGGTCAGTTGCTCTTGTTACAATACGGTGTGTTTGAGGCTGATTGAACCATAGGGCAACCCCGGACGGGAAATCAAGCATTTGCGACACTCGTTGAGAAAACAATTGGTGTTGACCATATCTTTCGAGGTGCGTTTGTCCCTCTCTCTCTCTCAAAAAAAAAAGGTACTGATTCGCCATAATCAGGTGTTCACACTTTTGGTGCGTGTAAATTGAAGTCCGGGTTCATGACCACATAATTGACAAGTGACTTCAAAAATTAGATGGTATACCCACTATTTTATTCAAGGCTCTTGGCTACCGTCATTTGTACGTTTATTTTCAACTCTTCAGAGTCGTCGAGTTGTTTTTCTAAAACAGGCTTATTAGCGGAACTGAATATTGGAACTTTCGAGAGCCGGGTACGAAAGACAATGTAAAAATATGTAACGGAGGCGAAGACTCCACTTGTAGTGATTCGATACGTGAGTCTACATTTTTTCAAAGAGTCTTCCCTCAGAGATGCTCACTCATCGACCAGCCTCGACTTTTATCAACGTGGCTCATGTTGGTCCTTACTTTGGTCAACGTACGTTCGTTTACCTATTCTACATTGATTCGCGGCGCTCACTAAATATGTTTTTAGTAATGGCTTTGAACCCTTTGCTTTGCCTCAAGGCATAAGGCCATGATGACTATGGACATTTCTACCTGTAACGCTGTATGTATGTGTAACTTACCACCGTCTTTGTACAACTGGTTGTACACTATATTTCTTTCGAGTGTACGGTATTTCTTTTCGAGTGTGTAACATTTTTGCAATTTATACCAAGGGTTTTCGAGGGTTTGGATGCACCGATTTCATTTTGTGGTATTACAACTGTGACATAAATACTGAGGTGGGTGTCATTGTAACTGAGGTGGGTGTCCTTGTTACTGAGGTGGGTGTCATTGTCAATCCAAGTATCCAATCAATTCAATCCCTTCACCCTGCCCCTAAACACCACATCCCCCAACTTTACGCTCTTCACCGCCTCACCCCCTCTCCACTCCTGCACCAGCCCCTTGGCCTCCACAGGCGGCACCTCTCCATCTCTAGTGCCCACAGTAATATGCAATCTTCCCCTCACATCACCACCCAACCCCGACACGAACACCGCACCCTCCTGCCCCTCTCCGCTCTCACCCTCCTCAACCCCTACATCATCCACAGACACAGCCATCACCCTCCCATCCCAAACCACGCTCCCCAGCTTTCCCTTGAACAAAGGCGGAGAGGCGGACGCGTGTAACCCCGCACACCGATCCCACAGCTCCCTTGACGAAGACAGTTCAAACTTATGCACGATAGTGACATGCGGCCTCTTCGTCACCCTCCCAGACTTCTTCAGCTGATCCCAAAATTTCTCCCCCTCCGTCCCCTTAAGCTGCGCATCCAACAACTCCACAAGGTCCACCTCGGGCAAGAGCCCATAATACCTCGCCTCCGGCGCCGCTTTCTTCTTGGGTTCGTCGGGTTTCTTGTACGAGGGCTCGTACCCCTTCACCACCTCTATCCCCTCCTTCACTTTTTCCTCACCAGGATGAGAGATCCCCAAGATTCTCGCGACACCAGCTACAGCCCTCTCCACGGCCTCTTCGAGCGAATCCTCCAGCTCCATCTCGATGCACTCGTCCACCTCGCTCGGAGCGAGTTCTTCGGTTGTATTGATGAACATCCACACAACCTCTTCATGCGCTTTGTAGGTGGACAGGTCTGCGCGGAGGGTTTGGTGGTTCGCTCCGCGGGATTGGATGCGGTCTGCGCAGATGCGGTGGATTGTGGCGTTGGGTTTGTCAAGGGACCAGTTGAGCGCGAGGAGGCGGACGGGAGTGGGGAGCTTGGATGTGGCGTCGCGGAGGGCTTGGCGGTGTTGGCGGAGGTGGTTGTTCCTACAGAAGTGACAGAGTTAATGCAGTTTGGTAACAAGGAAATGGGAACGTACTTGTCTGCGATAACTACGTCGTGTGTCTGGAGTAGTGACATGACGTTCTTCACAAAGATGGGTGGTGCTTTCTTGACATGCACATCGTCGCTTTGCGTATGCCCAAACCCAAATATATGCGCCAATGCGACCGACACCGCCGTCTTGCCACACCCAGGTATCGCAATGGGCACAATGATCGTCTTCCCAAACACTTTCGCCTTTCCATCCTGCTCCTCCTTTACCTCTTTGTCCGTCTGCTCCTCCACCGCCTTCAACTCTGCCTTCCCCTCCCCAGCTAACCACGCCAAAAACTTTTCCCGCGTCGCAATGATCCCTTTACCCTTTGAATACTCCGCAAACTCCTCAGGGTGCTTCTTGATCTCCTCGATCACCCACTTGACATACACCTTTGTCTCCGGGCGCTTCATCTTTGATTTCGGCAGGCTGCTCGCTTTCATCTCGCCTTTGCTGTTGCTGGACAGCAGCGACTTTGTGACTTCCCGCCAGTCACGGTACATCATGTAGGGCTCGTCAAACTTTACCTTGAAGAAGAACGAGGAGCCCGGTGCGTAGGGCGACTTGTCCGTCCGAGACTTTCCCGTAGGCGGCTCTGTGACGTGCGTGCGGACCACGAAGCCTTCGACGCTCTCCCCGTTCCATTCGCCTGCTTTTGCCACAGAGTCTGTGAATTCCCGGACCTCTTGGATGGTGTTCAGCGTCGTGGTGAGGGTCTTGATGAACCCCCATTCTTCAGCGAACGCGTCTACGACGGTGTGTGGGAGGGTATGAAAGTCCTTCGTGCAGGTATTGAGGCCGTGCAGGTGGAGGCCTGTCTTTTCGGGTGGGTAGGCAAGGACGTGTTCTTCGAAAGAGTCATCGCATAGCTGTGTGTAGTGTAAGTAAAGCAACAACAAAAAAGTGAATGAAACGTACCTCGGCAATGGCAGTCCAATTATTATCCCAAAGCTGCTTTGCCAAGTCTTCCTCGGTCTTGCCTACTTTTTCGAAATACTTCCTCAACCAGCCCTCGCCAGCCTGTGCGTGGCTTAATGTGCTGTTCCCCACAGGCCCCAGGGAGTGTTTAGACGTGACGACGATCTTTGTGGGTGTAAGTGCCGCGATGAATATAATGCATCCGTTCGATTTGAGTGAGAGGGTATAAGGCGCGATGGTGTGCGATTCGAGTGACGCCCAAGTCGTCCATGGCACTTCACCAATATTGAAGAATTTATCGTAACCTCTAACCACGATCCTATGCCTCTCCTCCCCGTCTTCTTTTTCGGTGAGTGTGAAGAGCCCGCGGGCGAGTGTGGGAAAGGGGCTGGGGATATCGTAATACTTGAATTCGTTCATCTTCCATGATCGGAGGGAGATGTCTGGGGATGCGGGTGCGGGGTAGACGGATGATTTGACGAGTTTTGGGGATTTTTTGGAGAGGGATATGAGTGAGGAGATGAGGGCTGAGTCGGGTTGGGAAAAGGTGGGTGGCATTGCGGATGAGTACTTTCGTTTTGGGATGTTGTGGAAGAAAAAGAAGGGGCGAGTGCCCAGATTGGGGAGGATGCGGGATAGAATGGTGAAAGGAGTGGTAGGGAAAGTAGAACGAGTTTTGAGAAGGACTGTGACCGCGTATGATTGTCGTTGACTGTGGGCGAGTCTTGATGAGACTTCTTCAACTTGTGACTCGATGACCCGCTACCGACTCGGAAGACCCACACGATACCAAGACATCTTGGAGGATGAAGAGATAAGATAACGCGAATTCACGCCGTAACTGCAACGAACTGGAAACAATTTCAGTCACGATCTTGGGAGGTTGATCTATTTTGAGACCTATGTAACGCTCATTTTTGAAAATCTCAGGCGCGCCCAGCCGGGTACAATCTTATCGTTTGCGATGATTATCTCTATCATAAAGCTATCACCAGAGACACGTCGCGGTTGATTTAATTCGCCGTTAGATCGAGAATGTCCACCAACTTGAAGGCGCCGAGTTGCCTGCCAATCAAGGTCGCGCCTCAGTCTCAGGGTCGGCGTTCTTGGTTGTTTGCTTTTCACGTTCAGGCGCTCTTCGATGTTCATGTTTTCGCCATCCCACACCGTCTTTATTCTAGGCTTATTACCCCTTTTCATGCATGTCTTCGTCTATGCAGAGACACATATCGTCAGGTTTGATAACAGGTTGGTGAAATTTCATTGTTCAGCAGTCAACTGGTATCTTATCGACTGCCTTTAGGTGCGGGCGCGGGTCTGTAAGCCATGCATTTTTTGGGCTCCTGAATTCAAGTTAACAGTTCGTGTTTAGCCACGGTTGATCCAGACAGGAAACGTGCTCTCTTCAGGAGAAGACTTCATTAGCGCTGGCCCGCTTTCGTCTGCTATTGCGTAGGGTTTTCCCGATTTCTTTGAGCGCATGCAAGGCCTGATGTTAACACGAACTAGGTATCTTCAAACAGGCAAGGAATTACAATTTTTACCTTGCTGTGAAAGCTGATATTCCAGCAGGAGATTGTAACCTTAACGGAGAAGGCTGTACCCTCGTGGAAACGACATTGAACAACCCCACCTGCCCTGGCTGTGGTTCGAGCACAGACATTTCATTGATCCCTCCGTGAGCAATCATGTTGAAAGTCTTCACAATATCTACTGACCTAGATCGCTTCATTAGACATGCCTATTCCGTGCCTGTGACGTTCAGGTAACGTTAATATCGACCCAAGATTCCTCCTAGCGCTGATGATACGAGGGTTCAGCTATTTTGGAGGCTGTGACGGGCAGGGAGCAACATGTAAGTGTAGCCCTTGTGCTTTTAATGTGACCAAAATTTGGCTCACTGCGCTCGAACAGGTTCATCAGCTACATGCAACACCGCTTTTTTCGTACCGGATGACAATCAGGTCCAAGTGGCCTGTCAGGAAAACAACGTCCGTCGCTCTCTATTTTTTTTTGAAGGGAAAAAATACTTGAACTTTGAGTTTATAGGTCAACCTCTTGATCACATTTTGCGGCGGTTCTGGAAACACGACCGTACCAAGTAGTACGGCCATAGCTGCGCCATCCACCACTGCTAGCAGTGTGTCTTCGAAGGCTGCCGCCCCCACGGCTAATAAGTGTAATCGCACTCGAGCCGAGCGCCGAGCGGCCTTGCGAGCAAGGAGGGGTCTTCAAAATCACCGCCGACGTACAATCAGCACGTGATAAATGTTTCTCTTCTTCTTTCTTGTCTAGCTTGCACCTGGTGTGCTGCTATTGTAGAGTTGTCATGGCTCGGAATAGAAAAAACATTACTATAATCAGGGCTCGAAATTCAGTCAGGATCAGTCAGAAGCACCGGAAGCACCGGTGTCTTTTTCTCTTTTGTCGTTGATCAATGAAGTGTTTGTGCTTATTTGGACATGGTTCGAATGTCACCGTTTCTAAATTGCTGTTCAACTTGGATTACTCCACTCGACTGTTGTAAACTTGTTATCTCCACCTGCGATATCCTTCCTACCAGCCTATAACACATAACCCTTACCCGCCTCTCATTCCCCCTTCCGCCCTTGCTTTTACCAAACTCCTCTACGCGCCACCTTGAATCATACGCCACAGAAATGTCTGCACTCGGAAACGGAGAGGTCTTGTCACCTATTTTGCTTCGCTCTTCGACGCCAGGTAACGGTATCTTCACCTTATTATCTCTACACAAACTCACTCTTTGTTATAGGCGCAAATGAGAAAGGTTTGTGCGACCGAGTTAATGCCTCGCTCTCGGCTAACGCCCATTGTAGTTCTCCAATACCTGGAGGGCATGTCCAGAGAGGGCGACGAACCAGATACCACAGCTCCGCGCTCAATAGCAGATACCGACGATTATCAGCGCATGCTCGAGAACCAGAATAGTCCCCACTCACCACAGCGAATATATTCCCCAGCGCCCAGAAGCCAAGCTAACCATACTCTTCCCGAACTTCCCAGTTCACCCACTCGTCACACGAACGGAAATAATGCCCATCATGATGATATTAATGGAGACGATGCGGACTCTAATGTTCAGGAGGGCCTGAGATCCGAAGGTGGAGATACAGCTCTTCCCCTTGTGAGTCTTTCCAAAAGATACCTTTCAGCGCCTTCTGATATCCACTACAGCGCGAACCCGGCCCTCATGACCCACCTGGTCCCAAATATGAATCTTACGACTCTGGACCGTCCTTTGGAAACTTTGGACCGTTGCCAGTGGACGATGGAGTTCCTGCTGCACATCTGTCCTGGAATGTATGTTCATTCTCAAATTATGTCCGCGTGTTCTTCTGAGTCGATACAGCAAACCTGGATGCACAACATGGGGAAGCCAAATCCTGCGGTTCCCTGGTTGGATATGAGGATGACATCAGGTCAGCCTGCCAAAGCTCCCGTATCAGACGTTGCGAAAAGCCCTGCTTCAAACTTTCGTCCTCTCCAATCTAAAGCCTCAAACAAAGCTCAGTCGACTTTCTCTGGCCAAGGAGCGCCCACTGTATGTTCTTTATTCAAACGAAAAACCTTTATCCTGATGAAAGTTTCTTTAGCCTCCCAAAGAAGGTTCCCGATCACAGAGTCGGGCAGGCACCAACCGAGAGCAGGGACCTATGTCACCCGTCTCGGCCAGATCAAACTTGATGCGCGGAACTGAGAAAGGATCTGTTTACCCACCCCTGCCTGAGAGTAGAATGGGTGATGGCGATACCCATTTCGATAGACCCACCTCACCCGTGTCTATAGCACGTGCACGGTCCAAAGCAGCTTCGATCTCTCCCTCTGATTCCCCTTCTCAGATGAAGCTGACACTGAATGGTCAGAGTACGTGATTCTGCTGATCATTTTGTATTCCACGAGTTTGATCTGATAAGCCATTTCTGCAGGTCGCTCCCCCCATCACGGATCGGTCTTGTCTGGAGGTGGTGGTCATCAAAGCCGACCTTTCTCCCCATATCGTCACGCTCCGACAACAGAGGACCTGTTACACGCTGCGGTGAGGGGTCGTGCACTCGTCATCCCCGAAGAAGAAGAAAAGGAGTCGACTAAACCTCCCTCAAATATGCCGTCCAGACCGCCATCTAATTTGAATGGCGGAAAGGCACCATCACAACTTTCAATCGCCAAGCAGCCCTCAGTTGCCAACTCTAAATCAGCTTCCTCTATTAGTTCCCCGTCCCGCGTGAGCAAGGATCGCGCTAAGACACCAACACCAGGACGCCCCCATTCACCAGAAGGGCTGGACCCTGAGGAAGCTCAAATCGTTCATGACGCACTGATGGGCACTCGCACTCCTCGTACTTCGTACTATGCTGCCTCCTTGGAGCCAGAGTTCACAAGCCACTATCATGATCCAGATCTTTGTGCCTTGCTTCACAAAGAGGGCGATGACTCTCTCCATGAGGTTGTGCGGAGGGCACTGAGGAAAGCTGTGAGGCAACGGGTGAAAAAGCTGGGGATGAAGTACGATACCGAGGTATGCCTTATTTTTATCTCGCTCTTTTCTTGTCACCTACATCGCCCTTCAGTCAATTAAGCAGTACAAGAAGTCGTACTATGATCATGACCCTAGCGTTCACCATCGGTCAGATCAGCCGTCAGATGTAAGCATTGTTGTCACCCTGATGTGCAGAAATCTTATGAAGTTTATCTAGGAACCACCTACATGGGCAACGGATATCAAGCGCGAACTTGTGCTGATGCAGCAACGGATTGAGAGCCTGGGACCAAAAATCGAGAACCTAAAAACCAACCAAGATCGTTCGTTCGGTGGTGGAGGTTCTAGATTTGCTTATGAAGGGGATGAATACACCACCACCCCGAGGACACAAACCGTCAACATTCAAACACAGCCTACTGGGACTTTGGCTGACTCGATGTACCACTCGCCTGATACAGAGGTCGTGTTGGACGAGAATGGAAATGAGCGCGAGTTTGATGATATGACGGAAACGCAGACTCAACGGCCACCACGTACTGACGGGGAAACTCGGTCACAGAAGAGCTTTGTGTATGGCATGTCGGACGATCGAGATGATTCCCCCGGTCAACAATTCCTCGAGGAAGAGTTATATAAACTCCGACAAAAGAAGCCTCAGGAAAGTCAGCTTTCTCATCACACATGGGAAATTGCTCGGGACGACGACCAGGATGATTTTGAGGAAGACAATGGACACCCAGTTGCTCCCTCTGGCATACCTACAATCCCAGATGCTAATGCTGAAAGCCTGGACCGCGATGGTTCTTCTTCGCCACCCCTTCCCGCACTCCCTGGAGAGAACGATGACAAGCAAATGGCTGTTCATCCACAAGGACCGTGGAATTTGCTCGACTATGGTGCTGAATCACAGCAGCTCCCACCTTGGCAACGCATTCATGCACGACTTCTTAGCTGGGCTATCATTTGGTCATCAAACGAGTTAGAGCACGCTTTGAATAGTACTACACGTGGACAACAGGTCGACGAGGCGGCGCTGAGCATTTGGTCGACCCAGACTTACAAGCGTTATGTTCGCGCAAGGCTGACTGACAGTCCGCAAGGTATTGTTGATCGACTGTTTGTACCACCCAACATGGCCGATGCTATTAGCAATGCCGTTTTTAATGGCAGGCATGGCGATGCGTGTGGAATGTTGAGGGATTTATGGAGTCCGTTTGGTCTGGAAGGCATGCCTCGCCTCATCGTCGTTCTGGCGAAGCACCGTTCGGATCCAAGTCATTGGGTGGTACACAGGTATGTCCGCCTGGAGTCTCCGTTTATTTCTATCACTAATGCGTTGCAGGTTCTCCCTTCCTGATGGTGCTTTGACGACGTACGACTCGTACCCTGAGCGGACCCTCCCTGACGGTCGAGTGAGTTTTTCATTGTTGCCGGGTTTCAGACTTTGAAATTGACGACCCGTTCTAGCCTCTTGGATGGTGGTTTGCGATCCGTGTTGCTTGGCCGAACGCAATGTACCCAAGCCCAGACCACCTCATGCAGAAAATGGTTCGTCTGCATCGGCCTTTGCAGCTCCCCATTGACAACTCGGTTGCGGCTGCTGGTATCTGGCGCAACATTCTGATGGGCTCTCGCGCCGAGAGAAGTTTGGACCTTGAACGTCTTCGCGATCTCATCAATACTGAAGTCAAGAATCTCAAGCAGAGGAAGTTGATGGGCAAGCTTTCTATTGGTGGGCCTCGCCAGCCACCTTGGGAGGATATCAATTAGGTGCTTGTGCTTCGCTTTGGTTGGGATTGCTTGATCGTTGTAACTTCGTATCTCACTTTGCTTTAATGCGGTTCTGGATTTTGCTCGTTGGTGGACAGGTCTTGGTGTTTTCCTCTTCGTTACCCTTGAGTGCTTTTTGTACCAGTACATACATATATCCACCTCTCTTTATGATGTTATGTAGGAAATCGTTTGAATGGATTTGGTTCTGACTCCAGATTATACAGCAGAAGGTTGAGTGCTATGTGCTAAATGCACCGATGTGATGTAGTCTCCGTGGTCAGACTATCAAATTCCTGTCTTGCTGAGGGTATGAGGGCGACGACATATCCAGGAAATGCCTCTTGACATTTGGGGTGGTACCAGATGTGAGGGACCAGAATCTGCGACAAGATGGCCATAAGAGATGATTACAAACTGACGACGTAGCGACAAACCTTGACCTTACAGGCTATGAGGGCACAATCGACTCTGTCGATTGAAGTTCTCAAGTGCGCGAGATTGCCAATCAAAGATTGCGAAATGTTGCGGCCAAATCATTCAAATTATTCAATGACTTTGACATGTTTCGTGAGGAGTCCTCGAGGTAGATTTTTGCATTATCATGCACCTAAACTGTGGAATGAACACCAAATGAAGTGTGGAGAATGTTTTTGAACATACGGTTGACAAGGAGTGGAGGGACTGAGCCTGGCTGTCGAGATAGCCTCGTAATTCGTCGTTTTTGCATTTCAAGGAAGTTTTCTTCTTTTTACTCAAAGCCTGTTTAGCCGCGGCTTGTTTTTTCCCTCCGTTAACGGTGGATTTTGTGCGCTTCGGGTGCGCCATAGAGTCACGACGAAGAAAAGAGAGGTAGAGTGCTTACATCATCGGATATTTCCTTGCCTTGAACGTCCACGACAATAATCCCTCTACCAACTTGGAAAACTCAACGCCATGGCTGACGCCCCTACACTAAGTGTGACAATGCTGGGTGCCGGCCAGGAAGTCGGACGATCTTGCTGTGTGTTGCAATACCGTGGAAGAACGATCGTTTGCGACACTGGTGTTCATCCTGCTTACAATGGAATCGCGTCCCTTCCGTTCATCGACGAGCTTGATTGGAGCACTGTGGATGCAATCCTCATTACTCAGTGCGTATGACTGGTTTCATGTTCAGCCTCGTCCTGTGTTAACGTCGACTTTAGCTTTCACCTAGACCACGCTGCTGCTTTGACATACATCACAGAGAAGGTAATTCTGTCGTCTTGATGTAAATATCCAACTAATCACCTTCAAGACAAACTTTCGCGACGGAAAAGGCAAGGTATACATGACACATCCAACAAAAGCTGTTCACAAGTTCATGATGCAAGACTATGTTCGCATGGGGTTCGAATGACCAGCTCTTCCGTGACATCTTCTGATTTTTTATTTGCGTCACCATTAGCTCTTCAACGTCCGATGCGTTGTTCTCTCCTTTGGATATGACTATGTCTCTGGCATCTATTATTCCGGTTTCAGCCCATCAACTAATAACGATTTGCCCTGGTGTTTCCTTCACACCATATCACGCTGGTCACGTCCTGGGGGCTTGCATGTTTCTCATTGACATTGCCGGTTTGAAGATACTCTACACTGGAGATTACTCGCGGGAGGAAGATCGACATCTTGTCAAAGCTGAACTGCCACCAGTGCGACCTGATGTTCTCATTGTAGAAAGTACGTATGGTGTTCAAAGCTTGGAAGGTCGGGAAGAGAAGGAACAACGTTTCACAAATCTGGTTCATTCCGTCATTCGTCGAGGTGGCCATGTTCTCCTCCCAGCATTTGCTCTCGGCCGAGCGCAGGAGCTTCTTCTTATCTTGGACGAATACTGGAAGAAGCATCCAGATCTCCATAACGTTCCCATTTACTACGCTTCCAGTCTGGCCCGCAAGTGTATGGCCGTGTACCAAACTTACATTCATACCATGAATAATAACATTCGTTCAAGATTCGCCAAACGAGACAACCCTTTTGTTTTCAAGTGCGTTTACTAGCGCATCCGTCAAATACACTCTACTGACCTTAATTCCAATCACGCAGACACATATCAAATGTGCCGCAAACAAGAGGTTGGGAGAAGAAAATCGCTGAAGGTCCTCCCTGCGTCGTCCTTGCCAGTCCAGGTTTTATGCAAGTCGGACCGAGCCGGGAACTGTTTGAACTTTGGGCTCCCGACGCTCGAAATGGCCTGATCATTACTGGATACTCGATTGAGGGAACTTTAGCCAGGGTGAGTGACAACTGGTCCACATTTGGGGGTGGTTATCTACGATGTTTGATGTTCACTGTATATACCATAATGCAATGGACTTTCTTTCTCTCGCTCAAATCCCATCTGGCGCGTTCTTGGTCATCAAAGATTATGAGCTCAATCCCCCCTTCGTCTTCTAGGACATTATGACTGAGCCTGAAGAATTCACTTCACTGAAAGGCGCGACGATACCGAGGAAGATCTCCGTTGACTACGTTTCGTTCAGTGCTCACGTCGACTACTCACAAAACTCTGAATTCATTGAATTGGTCAAAGCCCAGCATGTGGTGCGTCTCGAATCGTCTGTTCAGCCATGTGTACCCAGTGACATTTTCCACTTCACACTTCAGGTTTTGGTTCATGGCGAGCAGACAGCGATGGGTCGACTGCGCGGGGCTATGACATCTCGGTTCAAAGAAAGAGACGAGGATGTGAAGATTCATACACCTCGTAACCTTGAGACCCTACAACTATCTTTCCGTGGAGAACGAGTGGCCAAGGTATTATTATATTGTCCACATGAAGTGCCTTGATGACCGTGGCACAGGCCATTGGTACTTTGGCGGACAAACCTCCTCAGACAAACGACTTACTCTCCGGATTACTGGTTGCTAAAGATTACTCATACACTCTTCTTGACCCTCGTGACCTGCGCGATTTCGCTGGTCTTTCAACATGCACGGTTACGCAACGGCAAAAAATTATCGTTGGCGTGCGATGGGATTTAATCCGGTGGCACCTAGAAGGGATGTACGGGTCTGTGGAGGAAGGTTTGAGCGCTGACGGTGTTGCCACCATGCGGGTATGCTTTGTTACTGATTTGAGAGACTGAGACGAACCCTTGTAGGTCATGGGCGTTGTGGATGTGAAGCAAAGCCAAGAACACGAACTAACTCTGGAATGGGAATCAAGTGCAAGTAACGATATGGTGGCGGACTCTACACTGGCCCTGATTACTGGTATCGACAAAAGTCCTGCATCGGTAAAACGTATGTTCCTGAAATGACTGTGGTGAGCTCGAGCTTTGCCGATTGACGTTCAATCCAGTGACTACACAACCTCATTCGCATTCGCATTCACATTCGCATTCTCATCCGCACGCCGACCCGGAAGGCGACGCAGCGGGAGTGATACGTATCAGACGCCTCGCCCTATTTTTGGAGGCACATTTTGGCGAAGTCGAGCTTCACGTGCCTGATGATCCGGAAGAAGAACCAGAACAAGGCGAAAACGACCGCGAAGCATCCTTGTTGGTCGTCCGGCTTGACGAAGCGATTGCGCAAATTGATCTGTTGTCATTAGTGAGTACTTGCATTGCAATGAACCAGTGGTTGGTGTTAATGGTGCTGGGCAGGTGGTTACCAGCACAAACGAGGCCCTGAGAAAACGAGTGGAAGCCGTTCTAGATATGGCAGTGACGACGGTGAGCTCACTGACTGAATCTTTCTTTTCCGGTGCCCCCGTCCAGAGCCCGGATTATTCGTTGAAGGAGAAGGAAGTGGGGATGATGGAAGCCTCTTCGGAAGGAAGTGCTATGGATGTTGTATCGAAACCTGAGGCTCAAGGAGACACCGGTGGTGGTCAAGCACTAAAAGGAGACGCTGAAGGTGGGGAGAGTGAGGAGTCTGATTTTGAATTGGAGGTCCATACGTAGTTCCAGTGGCTTTTTTATGTAGTACCTCGTTTAGGATATGAATGGTTCAATTAGCGGTCAATAATCACTAAATAGGAGTCAGCACAAGGTCAGTGAGCGTGTGGTTGTATGTCACACATGCGATGACCATGTGACAAGCGTGTTTTCCCTTGACGCGCCTACACAACTTGTTACACTTCTCCTGCTCTGTGCAATGTCAAAACTAATAACGAGCTCATCACATGGTCAAGGACACACATGTTTGGCGTTTTCGAAGGATGGCGCGTACGTTCGCTGTTTTAAACATCATAACAACTGCGTTACTGATGTTTTTTCTCGTAGACGTGTATTCACTGGTGGCCAAGACTGTATCGTGCGCATATGGAACGTCAACGAAGGAGCTGAGAATGAGCCCGACACCGCTGCTGAAGCGGAAGGAGCTGTGACTTGGGTGGCAATTGCAGTGCGTATCAAGGATACCTACTTTTACTTCGGTGTACTCATCCCTGTGTTTCGTTTCCGTAGGATGATTGTTGGCTTTCTAGCAGTGAAGATACTGAAGTACGGCGGTATTCTAAGGATTCGGTCGTGTTTGACGCACCATTGACCTCTGCCGCCGGAGTTGCCGTACGATGCATAGCAATAGACCCAAAGGGAAGAAGGGTAGCGGTTGCCTCAGAGTGAGCGTCTCCTCGCATTGTGACGTTCTCATCTCTTGATAATGTATAAGCGAGCTATTTGTGAAGGTAGTTGATATGGAAGACATCCTCAAAGTCAACAGACTAGAGGGCTACACATCTCCCGTACGAAGCGTTGTCTGGCACCCGTCCGGAAACCTTTTAGTCAGTGGGAGCAATTTTGGTTGTTACTTGCCCCTGAACATCGTTCTTTCAGACAACATGTTCCTGCGATGGCAAGATTACGATTTGGGATATGTCAGTGGACCAGCCAAGGTTGGAGAAGACGATAGAAGGACTCATCCCCGTGGTGATTGATCAAGAGTAAGGGAGACGTAACAGTTCCTTTCAATCGACTTATAAGTCCTAGGTCACCTGAATTCTCGTATGACTGCTCAATAGTCTGGCATACGTCGGGAGAATACTTCTATGTTGCTTCCAAGGGTCACGGTACGCCTACCCTTTTGCACCATTGACTTGTTTTGAAGCTTTTTATGCAGAAATTGTGACCATATCTCGCTCTAACTGGGCCAAGATGCCCGGTTCCACTTTCACCGACAAAAATGTCATGGGCGCTGTTACCGCAATGACGCTTTCTCCTAACGGCGTCTATCTCATTACCGCAATTCAATCATGGGTACACATATGGTCAACCCAAACGAGGCGGGTTGTTACAAGGTAAGTTGATACACGTTTATGTCCCACACCGTCGTTACATTGTGATTTCTAGCCATATTGGAAATCCTGGTTCAACGGTCACGCAGATCGCATTCAGCCCACGACAGAATCTCATTGCATGGACGGATTCTGAAGGGGTGTTTACTCGCTGGCCCAAGCCCATCCCCGACACACTCCCTGACCCCACTAAGCAGTCGATAGTCACCAATAGTTCGGCCACTACCCAAGTAAAACCGAAAGCGAGCATCAACCTTTTTGGAGATGGTGGCGACGACGCTCTAAACGCTCTGGGAGATGATCCGTTTGAAGTTGATCTGGATGAAGCAATGCTGGACGACAACTGGATTGTTGACGATATGGATGGAGCGTTGAATGACGAACCGGAGGTGACGAAGATTAGCAACGGGTTTGTCAAGGAGATGGGTGGGCAGGCACATCTCTCAAGAACGATACTTGAACTTACATTTCCCTCTGCTAGTAAGCATAACGAAGGCTCAACCGCCCTTCCAGCCTGGTTCAACGCCCATGGAACACAGGAAGAGGTATCTGGGTAATATATTTTCCACTCGTGATTATCTGTATGCTTATCTTCGTTTGCGAAAGCTTACAACATGCTTGGGGTCATTGAGGTTACGGACCAAGATACCCACCATATTGTTACTGTTGAATTGTTTGATCGTTCGATGCGAAAAGGATATCATTTCACCGACCATTTCAAGTATGACCTTGGTTATATTGGTAAGAATGTTGTGAAGTGTCCCACTTTGTAAAGGCTAACCGAACCTACTCTTTAAGGCGAACGTGGTACAGTCTTCGCCTGCCAACCAGAGAATGACCATCCAGCCCAGGTGCTATTTCGACCTTTCAGCTCCGAAAACTCACAAAAGGAGTGGACCTACCCATTAAAACGGACAAATATTCGAGTTTTGGGTGTCGCAGTGGGCGGCCTACCGCCCGTACGCAACGCGGGTGACAGTGACTTGGAGGGATTGGGCCATGTCGTCGTCGCGACGAGTGAAAGTGATTTAACGTTTCTGAGTGGCACAGGTCGAGAAAGGCGTATTATGGCACTTGGGGGCGATTTTGTCACCATGGTTGCAAGCGCAGAGTGGGTCTTCGTTGTCCACCGAGCTGGGTCCACGACCATCGATGGTGGGTTGTCGTAATAATCGCTGTTTCCTTGACTAAAACGCATGGGTCATTATGATAGGCTCCCAAAATCTTTCTTACACCATCGTCAACTTTGAAGATTTCAGCGTTCGACAGAGAGACATTCTCCCTGTGCCGAAGGGACATACGCTGAAGTGGATTGGTATAACAGACCAAGGTGTACGTTGTGTGAATCTCATATTTTAACATCAAGTTCAAGCTTTTCTACAGGCTCCAGCAATGTACGACAGCACAGGATGGGTGCATGTGCTTACAAAATATCGAATTCCCCACCACGCGTCCTGGGCTAGAGTCATGGACACCAATCTCCTTGAACGACGACAAGGAAAGGACGAGTCATATTGGCCAATTGGTATCACGGGTAGTAATTTCATGTGTCTCATCTTAAAGGTAAAATGAACATCCCTAGTTTGAAATTTCCGAATAGACTGACAGCTATCATCGCGGCAAGGGAAGACAAGAACATCCAGGGTTCCCAAGGCCTTTGATACAAGAACTTCCGGTTCGTATGCCTTTCCGAAGAGAAGAAGCACGAGAAGAGCAGTATGTTCCATCGACCTCACAACAGATCCACTCGCTGATGGTTCAGATAGAGTGGAGCGAGAGCTTCTGCACATGCAAATTGCCTTGGACTCGCTAGACGATGAACTTACTACAGACGACATTGTTACGCGGGAACGAGCTATTGATAAAGAATTCATTATGCTAATTCAAGCAGCTTGCAAGGCGGACAACATCCCTCGAGCTATCGAGCTCACCAAACTCCTCCATCACCTTACATCCTTCGATGCTGCCATGAAAATTGCAGAATTCTATCATCTCATTGGTTTCAAGGAAAAAGTGGAGATGTTGAAGAATGAGCGCGAGGAAGGCGAAGAGAGAGCCGTTCTGGCAAGGAACAAGCGCAGGAGATGGTTGAAACCCGATCCTCCTGCCCGTCAAATTGTTGCTCCGAATGGAGTTTCATCATCTTCACGCTATGACCCTCTTAGTGATGTGCGGCCACCTCCTACAATTGAGAGGCCAGGAATGGCGCGGGTCACAGTACCTATCATCGAAAAAACACGATATACTTCTGTCGCACCTGCATCGCAAACCCCGGAACGAACAATAGTAAATGATGCCTCAGCGTTCACGGAGTCTCCGACCCCGCTCGATAAACGGAAACGGACTGAGATGGAAGATTCCTTCCCTGGCTCTGACTTCTCAATGCCGCCACCAAAACAAAGTAAACGCTATTGTCTAGATTCTCCTTCGAAAGAGAGCTAACTTTCCTTACAGAAGCTAATCCATTCGCTCGTAAACCTGGTCAAGATTCTACTCGAAACCCTTTTGCCAGAAGAGTGGAGAGTAAAACCATTCTCAAAAGCGAGAGTTTCTTTGAAAAGGTTGACGCTGTGGAATCAGAAAATCCTGTCCGGAAACGTAAAACTTTTCCAGTCTTGTTCAACCCATGTTGCTGATGAGGTGTTGCATCACAGGCCCAGCGGCGAATGTGAAGGGCAAGGAGAAGGAGAAGAAAGATGGACCCCGACAAGCAACCTTGTTTAGTATGATGCCTAGCAAAAGCAACAAGCCGGTGGTCAAGAAGAAGGCGGAGGAACATGCATCTCCTCTCGAGCCAGACTCCCAGGCAGACATCACGATGTCCGATGCACTGGCTCCTTCCGACGCCGGCACATTGGTCGAGACCCAGATCGACAGCCAATTACTCGCAGACGACTGGGAGGAGACGCAAATCGTCGAAGAGGGCACACTTTCATCAAGCATATCCGAGGTGTGTTTCTCAACATCATCTCTGTTGAATAAAGATAAAAGGGCTGAACGTCACTCCAGGATTTCAATTGATTGGATGTTCCTGTATTGTAACATCATATACCTGCTATTTATCAAGTTGAAGACAACCGTGCTCCAAGTTGGAGGAGGGTGTTATGTATTCTGATTTTTCTCCCGAAGATTCCACTTGTCCCATCCTCAGTTGCTGATTTTCTTCCGAGTTGTTCGCTTCCTAGCATTTCTTTTCGATCCTGGCAAAGATTTCTCGTCCATCGTTTCGCTGCGATAGCCGTCCCCTGGATTGAAATTTTCAGGCCTTGAAGCCTCGTAATAAGTACTTACTTCCTGTCGCTTGTCTCATGGCCATTGTGTTCATCAAGTTTGCCTAAGCCGTTTGTCATTTTTGAGGAATCTCAGGTCGAACAGCAGTATACCAATCTCCCAATCCTCTTCACACCTCTTTGACGACTTTGAAATCATTCCAACCAGTCATGATGAAATTTGTCCGGTGAGATAGTCAACGATTCAATACTAATACATACATTACATTAGGATTAAATGAAGTGTAGTGACGTTTCCTAGTATTTCTTTTCGATCCTGGCAAATATTTCTCGTCCATCGTTTCGCCGTCTCCTGACCAATCTTCCAATCCTCGTCACACCTCTTCAACTTTTAAACCATCCCAACCAGTCATGATGAGATTTGTCCGGCGGATAGTCAATGATTCAATACTAACACATGGTTCATCAGCGTTAAATGAAATGTGGTGAAAATCCCCTACCTAAGCTTCAGGTCGTTCATCGCCTGTCCAACCAAAGCACTCGCTTGTCCAATGTCTTTGTCGTTACGCTTGGTTCCCGCAGCCCGGAACTTCCCAAACGCCTCTTGAGCATGCTTTAAGGCTTCATCCCACTTGTCCAAACTCTTTATAGATTTCCCCTCCTTTCCTTTCCGTTCGGATCGTTCATGAAACGACATCAAGCTCGAGATGTAAGCGCCCATGAACAAGTCAAATATTATCTCGCATATTGGACGAAGACCAGCTATGAAACGGTCGGGACCGTCTAACGTAAAATCGACGAGTCGTAGACCACGGCGGTGTTCGGCGGGATCTCCGGGAAGGCAGCCACGGGTGAATTTGCGTGTCTTTCCATCGAATGAAAAGAAATCAAACGACCTCCCACCACAGAGAATACCAATGATGGACATGCCAAACCCTGCCGCCGCATTATTCCGATCGCATGCTGGGGAACTCGAACGAATAAAATTCTACATCGGGCAGAGGACAAAATGACCCACCAACACATTCCGCTATGACTTGAGCAATCGCGTCCAAACGCTCAGCTTCGTTGCTAATTTTAAACTTTACCTCAATGAACAAAAGAGAGATCAAGCCAAATGCTTTAAAATAGTGCTTAATCCTGCCCCGTGTGCTAATGTGCCCTTCGATAATCGTTTCAGGAAGGTTTTGAAAAGCAAAGTCGAATTGAGCTATCAGGCGGTTAAAAATCTGTCGTTATATGCTTTAATTTGGGCAGTGCGTATGTAAAAAATCATCTCACCGGAGAGAGAAAACGGGATGCTGCCTCCTCATTACGGTGGGCGGGCAGTGGACCATATTGAACCAGTAGAACATCCATATCCTCTAAAATAGACCGGAAAAGGTCGGTGGGGATGCGAGAGCGATGGAGGTTGAACGTCCCGATGTCATCTAACTCTAGCTGGGGGTTCAGTTCAACAAATTCGGCCATGTCTTCGAAGTTGACATTGTAAAAATTAGGCTCCGCGCGTTTATCTACTAAAAAGATTAGCATAAAACCGATATAAAAAACGAAGATCAACAACAAACCTCTAACGGACTTCCGCAAGACATTCCGGTCAAATCTGTATGCATTCAGGAGCCAGAGGAGAGCTGCTTCAGCTGATTCATAATTCGAAATAAGTGAAGAGAGCCCAGTGCGGCAATCCTGAATCGGCAGCTCCTCGTCCTCGAATTTTCTCTTGAGCGCCATCGTGAAAGAGTTGTGTTAGACTGCATAGGAGCTTATACTAAGACGTAGATTTGTCGAAGACACGCACATCACATGACGCCATGTTTGATTCCCGACCTGGGGCCCCCAAAGCCCACTAGACCGGTGACCGTTCTGTATATGAAGGAACCTGCGATATACACGAAGTTCTCATATACAGGCTGGTCACGAGCCTAAGGCCTAAGGGCCCACCTGGCGATCCACCAGTGGAACCTCCGCTACTTTTGACTAGTAGATGCTAGATCATGACGTTCAACTTGCCGCACCGTGACGGACTCTGGACACAGAGACATTGTGAAGGGATGCCTGTAAAAGGATCCAATGAAATCCCACGATAACCTCTTAATGCTACCAGTGGAGGAGCGTCAGTCAACCCCCCTCGGGGTCGGGGCCGGGATTAACATCTCAGTCCTCGTCGTCTTCCTTTATAAGTGAGAACGCCACCTTACCCAATGACGCTGCCCGGCTGGATGATAAGCTTTGTATAGGCCAGCTAGAGTCGTTGGCATTGCACTCTTACAGGACTGTGAAGGGAAACGGGTATGAAGTGAAGGTGTATGGAGGCATTCAACCACAGCAGGTGAGCTCATGCTTCCCTCGAGGCTTTGCAGACGGTTGATTTGCAGAGAACTTTGCTGCTTCCCAGGTATCTTCTTAGAAGGGCAGATCACAAAGACCTTGAGAAGCTCCTTTATGCCCATCTTCTTCAACTGGAGGCTGAGACGCGGCTTGAAGAAAGATACGCACCGGCAGCCTGCACCCAGTTGAACTCGGAACTGCAGCTATATATGTTGAAGGTGTGGGGAGACAAGGCGAGATTTGATGTGCAACTTCTCAACCAAGTCCTTTCCAATGCTGTAACTTAGGCAAGTTCTTCGTTACACACTGATAGGTTTTGGGACACTCATTTTCCTCACAGGAGCCGTTCGATCACATCATCGTGACGTTGTCTTTCATCCTGTACTATGCGCATCGGACTTGGTCGTTTTTTAATGCTTTGATTAATTTAGGGTACGGGAGCCCATACCCTAAATTATTCCTATCTTTCTCCCTTCAAAAATCTATCCAAAAGTTACTTAGAGATTTTCAGACACATATGATACTGGCAACCCCGTCAACTCAATGAACTGCCCTTTGCTCTGACTTGATCGATGCCATTCCCTGTCCTTGACGCCTGTTCTGAAATCCACAAACAGCTCAGCAGAGCTGCTAAAAATGCCTGGCAAAGGAACCCGCTTCAAGACCACCCTTCCAGCCCATTGGTAATAGGGCTCAACGTCACTCAAGGATTTCAATTGATTGGATGTTCATTACATCACATACCTGCTATCTACTATGTTAAAGACAACCGTTGGAGGGTGTTATGCACTCTGATTTTCCTCCTGAAGATTCACGGCTTCCGTTAATAATTCACTCATCTCATCCTCGTTTGCTGTCTTCGTAATCCGACTCGTACGAGTGGTCCGCTTCCTAGTAATTCTTTTCGATCCCGGCAAAGATTTCTCGTCCATCGTTTCGCCAATGTGGTCAGGTAGGTCATCTGGTGATAGCAAAGCATTTTCATCCGCGGCCTTGACTTGGGCGTTTTTGGTGGATTTGCGACCCTTCGTTTCTTTGGTGGGATTAGCATCTGCTGGGCGAAGGGATTCTGTGGCCGAACATAACTTAGCGAAGGGAGAATCATTGAAAACCCACTAACCGTATTTGACGGGGTGAAGGTTGTACATTCGATGCAAATAGAGAACCGCTTGCTCTTTATCCTTTGCCTAAGAGTCTTTCATTAGGATGCACACAGCACAAGAGGTATGTCTGTACCTCGATCATCAGATCTACAAAAGATAAGAATGAGTTAAGAAGTCCAGGGATGCTGATTCCACACACCCATATCATCAGGCAGATCTGGTGGCAAGTTCTCGCATCTATCTGAGTGCGCTCTTCGTTCCATTATAGTGACAGCGCCCGGTCGTTGCTCGCTCAGGTGCTGCTTGGGGCGAATACCGCGTCGGGCCCATATCATATTGGCTCGCTTGATGATTTCTGCGGGTGGGATAGAAGAAGGGAATATCGCGTCGTGGTGATAGTCTGAGATCGGGATAACCAACGGAGGGACTAAAGAAGAGAATAGAAGTCGTACCAAAAACAAGTGGGATGTCTAGTTCTTCGCAAAGAGGTAAGAGATCCTCAGCATTATAGCACATCTGATAATGCAAAGAAATTAGAGAAGCACAGCGACAGAGAAGATACATACTTCATCGTTCTCAAGAACGAGTCTTTGTCTGACATTGCTTGGAAGAAGATTCGTGATCGTCGCTTTGACACGTTCGAGAGTAGCAGGTTTATCGCCATACATCCCACCTCCCTGTATGCAGTTAATCTAGGGGAAAAGTGATGAGAATGGTTATGATACTCACATGGATGATCATCACACCGTCGGCATCCACACCCATTCGATCCAGCATTTCGCAGTGGTAAACTAGCTCCTTGATGGAGGCTTGGATCACTGCGGGCTTTGGGCTCCCCAGCTGGGTATACTGGCCAGGATGGACGGTGAGCCTATGTCCGTACTTTTTCGCAAGGGCGCCGGCCTTCGCAAGAAGCTCGGAACAGTACTCCAGGGTGTACCCATGTACTGCATGAGATGCGAAGGGGAACATTTCAGAAGAAAGCCGGAAGAAACGAATATTCTAGTCCAAAGGATAAGAATCATAATCATGTTAACAAAGAAAAAGGGCTCGCGTTATCCTCGTTCCATTGAATGACGGTCATCAGATCCTCGACGTTCTTCTTGCCGAGTTCTTTCACCCAATCCAGACCATTCTTCTTTATCGAGTCTATTCTGATAAAATGTGAGCCTACAACAGCTAGTGGGAAAAACAGGCATACATACCTGCATGTTCTTGAACAAAAGACGGCCTCACTGGCGGGCTTCTTGTTTCGCAAAACGGTATTCAAGCAAGCATATCCTACGCTGTCTTAGAACGACGTTCTCGTGCGAGGAGGAGAGATCGTACCTAGCCTGCCCTTGTATGTCGTTTCTTTCCTTTGTACATCTGGAATGACGTAGGTGACTGCCTCCACCTTTCCTCTTCGTTTCGTAGGTGGGGGCTTTGACGAAGCCCCCATGGAATATTCTCCACTGTCTTCGTCCGACAGTCCTTGGTCACTTGACAGCTTTCGTTTCCTGACGCGTTTCGGTGCATTTCCATCAGCAGACTCGAATTGAGATTCGTTTATGAGCGACCGTGTTGAAACGTGAATCGAGTGCTCAAGGGAAGTTGCAGCCAATAAGCGGGTACTGCGGCGAAGGGCCATGATCGTAGTGGGGATCCATTTTTCTGAGTAAAGCTGAAACTTATAGGAGCCTTGAACGATCTTGGGACACAATCGAGATCGCGTTGCCTTTAGGAACAAACACGTCAACACAAGAATTTGGCAGTGGCCTTCTAAAATGGAGTACAGCATTGTAACTTACATTATATAGTCCATGAAATCCATGCATCACGTCTCAACCCCAGCATCCCAGTGCCGTTCGATATACGTGTCACTGTCCGCCTCCGAGTCGCTCTCCAACCAAGTTAAACTAGAACCGTCAGAAACAGTCCCATCCATGTGAACAAGGTCATCCTCCGAACAATAAACGAAATCAGCATCTTCCTCGCTATCCGATGCGTCTTCCGGCCATTCAGGCTCGATGCAGCGCAAAGATCCTGGGTCGTGCCTGAGGAGTAAATCCAAGAATTTGCATTCAAAGGTATCAGCGACGTTGAGCACAAGGTTTGGCGGGATATTCGTAGGCAGATCGGTCAAGGCTGCCATAGCCGCACCCAATGTGCGAACACCTCTGAGGGATGGGAATGCCTGCTGTGTTAAACTCAAGCGCACCGTGGTCCACTCCTCGACACAGACTTCACGCACATGGGGCTCCCAGATATCTATCCACTTGACTTTGGGATGCGTCAGTGGCGGCGCGGTTCGAGGATGAAGCACAATATGTTCCAATGCTGGACAAAGATCCAGCAACGGTTGGACGGCGATGGTAAACTTTGCCATGGACCACCAGTATTCAGGGTGGATGTGCAAAAACGTCAGACCTTTTCCGTGAGCTCTACAAAACGATACAAGGCAACTCGCGATTAAATCTCCACTCCAGCTAACCGGATTTCCGTTCAACTTGAATGTTAAGCCCCCAAGTTTGGGCATGGACCACTGTTCGACCACGACCAGGTATGTTCTAGTGACAGCGGTTATTCCACAATGGAGATATTCCAACCGGGGAAGTCGCAGATTGGGATCCATCATTATACTATTCGCTGGCGTGCCAGGGACCTGGAAAGAGAGCGACACTAGCTCGCTACAGACCTCCATCAATGCAGCCGTCAAAGCATCGTGTTGAATGGCATCACTGAATTTCAGGTGCGTGAGTGCGGGTTTGAGGGAAGGGAGGTTCAATGTAGGAAGACGGCATGGCGAGGTATATGCAAAATTTGTCAGGTGTGGACAGAGGTGGAAGACTCGGCGTATATCCTGATGAAATTGGTCGCTATATTGTTGTGGAACAAGACAGTAGATGGTGAGTTTCTGCACGTGGTCCCCAAAGTTTGTCTGACCACCCTCAAGGGTACGAAGGAGGGCAGGAAGCTGTCCAGCTCTCCGTACATAGATATCGTCGTAAAGAAATGGCGAAGCAATAGTATGCCATGTTCTGCAAACCCCGACAAGAGCCTTCTGCTGGCGCAAAACTTTGCATGCTAGGGAGTCAGGTCCTGGTGCTGTCGAAGAATCAAGAAGGTAGGACGGGGGTATCGTTCGCTGAAAAATCATGTAGAGGATTTCAGGAGGTGGTTGGACGAAAGGCTTGCGGATAGCTGAGATTTCATCTAACAGCTTCTGTTGACGAGCGAGAGCTTCCTGTTTATATCGGGAGGTAAGACTCAAGGGCAGGTGCCCGAGATTCTGGCAAGGTGGCTAAACGTACTCGCAAGTCGTCCAACTCGGCAAGCAAGTCCTCATTTTGGTTCTTCAAGACCTTGTTGGTGTATTTGAGGCGCTTCAAGGCAGAAGTATTGCCAGTGTCGCTGAGTTCGGTCTGTTAAACAGTGAGATATAGATCCTCGAGCAGCAAGAAGTGGGTGTACGTCGCTAGGAGCCACGGCAGCATCCTCCATGACTTTGAGGACATTGAGATCGCAGCTGAGATCATCAGAGATGCTCATGAGGATGAAGTGCTGACTAAGCACAGTCACTTCCTCTAAAGCGACAATGAGTTGGGCAGGGTGAGTGTCCATTAATTCATCATCCACAGCGTACCCCATATCGCACACAGTTTTAAGAAATCGGTAAACAGAGCGGGCACTACGGTGAGCTTAGACCTTGTCTTTATACCAATCAATGAACTCTCCCCCAGCTCCTGCAAAAGACAGGCCAGATCGAGAGGACGGTCGATCGTGAATTTACCGATGAGGAGGCCAAATATCGGACGTGCGCGACTCTTTCACTTTTACAACGTGTCGCATTTATGTTCGGCGTCCAGCTATGAGAAAGAATGTCAGGCTCTTCAAAAAGACAGCAAGGCATACTGGGACGCTATGCGTGGTGAGTCCGTCTCACACACCGTTGTTGGACGCTCGCTTTGACCACACGTAGCGATGACTTCTGCCCAGAGCCGCATCGCAGAAACGTTAGAGGTGTTCTACGGTGCTGCGGATCAAGCAGCTGAGGGAGCTATGGCGGGACATGCGTACAAGCGGTCAGTCGACGATCTAGATACGAGTTTCAGCCGGGAGCTCGTGCGTAGCGCGCCTCGTTCACATGAAATGAATTCACGGACCCCACTCATCAGGAAGCACCTTACCGAACCACAATATCGGAGCCTTTGGGTAAGATGTGTGCATACTTCCCCGTCGTAAACGAGCATATTTCAAAACGGAACAAAAAGGCAAGCAATAGGTTTGGAGATTATTCCATTGCTTGACCTTCTTATCAGCTTCTGGATTATGACTCGGCTCGAAGTAAATTGCGAAAACTTATCGACAAACCCAGTGAAGACCCAACCAAGCTGCCCAAGGTTCTATCAACTGCACCTTGAAGACTTGCACGTTCCTGACACATCCCTAACCAGGCTCAACAAGAACACGATGACGCCAAAGAGGTCTTTGATATGCTGAACGACCAGTTGATCACTGAACTGCCTCAACTTCTGGATCTTCGTGTGCCATACTTCGATCCGAGCTTTGAGGCCATGATTCGGATGCAGTCTAAGTTCGCGGAAGAGGGATATGAGAAACTTAGCGGCGTGCAGCGGTATGTTTCATCCCCCTGCGTTTCGCCTTTTGTTGATTGATGTGCAGATACTTTGCCGATAACGTTCGGGATGATTATGCCGCTGGCCAACTCGACGCACAGGTAAGTCACGCTCCTCATAAGATCCTGATGACCTGATTCATGCCCTGCCAGGTGGAGGGCGTTCTACAAGAGATGAGAGAGCTTTCTATCTGCGGGGGAAATTAAAGGTGGGGGGATCTTGCGTAGATAGCTTTGTACTGTACAACAGGTTAACAACGGACTTGGGTGGAAACTTCGTTTTTGGCTCCAACTAAGCACTTGGGTTTATTGAAAGAATGCTCAAATATTGTACACGTGAACGACACAAGGAGAATTTTACTTATGTAGAAGAACTGGTTTTACAAAGGGAAAAAAGGGACGCTGAGTAAGAAAACCATCCACAGGTGCGTGATGGACTCGCACCTACATGTATTTATTTTTGATCAAACCCAATCAACTTTCAAGACGGTGCATTAGCGAGGAAGGTTTCGAAGAGATTCGCTGCTCCAAAGATTGCGGGGTACCTCCCCTACCCTTTCCATTATAGCGATTTCGTGCGGGTTTGCTGGGAGGTGGATTAGCTTGAATCACGGTAGGATCTGTAGAATCACTGAAGCGACTCAGTAGGCCCGGAAGAGAGCCTCCAGCTACGGGTTCCTTAGGCGGACGATACTGATTTTTAGGAGGGCGAGTCTTGTTTGTGATAGCAGGGCCAAGTGGTATATCGCCATTCCATAGTTGTGCTGGTTGCGACGGTGGCTGCGCTTGTTGCCTACGACTCTTGAAGGGCCCACGGATGGTCGTGGAATAGCTGGGTCTGTAACTATCTCCCCTACCAACGGCATATGCATTAGATTCCCACTCATTTGGTCCAGGTGCAAGGCGAGATGCAAGACCAGGACGACGGTCAGGAGATGGAGATCGTCCATAAACAGCAGAACGGCTCCAGTCATTTTCATTGGTCGATGGCATCTGTGGAGCATGGGGCATCGAAGCATATTCATCTCGACTGGGATTGTCTTGATCGTATCTGTATCTGCGGGCAGGAGGCGCCACTGGAACCTCATCGTCCCGAACACGCTTCCTCCCAATTAATGGAGGAGGGTTCCCGGGAGCAGGAGCATTATATAGTGGTGGACTAGGTATTCTGATACGTGGGGGAGGCGATCCCCAACCGGGTGGTTGAGGTGTTCTACTCCGGCCTCTAGGCGAATAAGGCGATGACCAACCATCAGGCGAGGGAGATGATCTACCTCGACCTCTGGGAGCATCGGGGGGAGGCGGTGATCTAGCCCAGCCTCTGGAAGGTGAAGCTGGCCTGTAGCGATTTGCCTGCATATATACGTTACCAGATGGAGGAGAATAATGATCATAAACACGTCTCTGTGGCGGGGCACGGGACGACGCAATGTTATCAGGAGGTGGCGGGTAATGATCCATAGCTCTTGGCTGATCCCGCATCGTGACCCCGTCATCACGGCTTGGACGTGTCCAACCATCAGTGTCCGCTACGTCGGGGCCCATCTGCGTAGAGGAAGCGTCATATATGTCGACAGCAGGCCTAGGCGCAGAATCATAATACCGTGGCGGTGTGACCGCTGCACTGGGAATAACCGTAGACACAGGTTTGACTGGCCTTGACGGAGGTAAAGTGGTAGTGCTGCTCATCGGTTGTGCAGCTGGTTCGTTATCCGCCAAGTTTTTCTTGAAATTCGGCAGTTTTTGCTTGGGTTTGTTAGGCAAAGGGGGATGATTTTTTTTCGAAGGTTTTGAAGCGGACGTTGATGAAGGCGCGGTAGCAGGCGCACCTGCTGTCCGTAACTCAGGAAGCTCGCGAAACGAAAAAAGAACCTTCTGTGACCTAGTGGGACCAGCATTTGCTTGCGAAGGAGCGGCCTTCTCGAGAGGTGAAGCCGTGCTTACACTATCAGGAGGAAGCTGATCTGGCACAGGCTCTGTTTTCACAGGTTTAGCACTGGCTTTAGAAATACTTTTATTGCGCCTGATGGTATGTGCGTCCAGGAAACGGAGATTGGTATGTTGTGCTTCAGGAGAAATCGGACCGGTTCGAGAGGGAGGGACAATAGGCAAATTCCCTGGATCGGATCCCTCACGATGAACAGAGATGATCGCAGGCTTCAGTTGAATAAGCGAGGCCGGCGAGGTCGGTGAGAGAAAGGGTGGTGTGGATGATTGTCCCGAAAGATGTTTGATTGGTGGGAGACTAGAACTATCTGAGCCATTCCCATAACCTTTCAACCCCAAATCTTTACTATCCAGTACATTCCGTGGTGTGGGCGAGCGTTTGATGGTGAGTGGAGAAACATTATTTAGTTCAGTAGCAGGTTCGGCATTATCTTGACCAGAAACTAGTGATTGCGTGCTTGGTTGCAAAATGGGGTTTTGCACAACATCACTCAAATCATTCGCACTCTGCGACGAGGAGTTAACACTCGGAGTGGGAAGTGTCAAAGGAGGGCAGCTCGACGATGCCAGTGGCTGCTCTGATTCGGCCCCCAGCATAATGCCACCAGAGATAACTCGACCTTTAGCTTTACTTTTGACCTGCGAACCGGAGCCAGAAATCAAAGTTTTTCTTGAAACGATGTTTCCAAACTCAATAGGTGGAGGCGCCGGAAGAGTAACAGGTGCTTGTTGCTTCTCCGAAGTAGGAGACGCAGAAGTAGACTGGCCCAACTTTTGAGGTGCCTGTTGCTTTTCCGAGGTAGGAGATGCAGAAGTAGACTGGCCCAATTTCTGTTTCTCCCTCTCCGCGATAATTTTAAGAGCCGCCTGCTGGGTAGCCAGTTGTTTCTGCGCCTGAATCTGTTGACGTTTCATTTCTTGTTCTTGCCGCAATATCTGCTGCCTCGCTTCTTCAGCTGCGATAGCTTTTACTCTTTCAGCCTCATTCTGCTTGATCCGTTCTTCTCGCTCCTGAATTTCTTTGTACTTCTGTTCCTGCTCAAGCAACAGACGAGCTTCCTTCTCCTTCTCTGCCTCTGCAGCCTTCCGTTTGGCTTCTTGCTCTTGTTGAACCCGTTCGTCTTCGGCTTTCTGCTGCTGCATCGCAAACATGGCAGCCTCCTTTCTCATTGCCTCCACCTCGCGCTGACGGCGTTCAATCTCCCGAGCCTCGTTTGCCTGACGAGCTTCCTCCAATTCCTCTGCCTCTATGCGTTCAGTACGAGCCTTGGCTAGCTTCACTTTGTGAGCGTCAGCTTCAGCTTGTGCGCGAAGCCGTTCTTGTTCCAGAGCAGCCTCGACATCACGACGTTTGCGCAACTCCTCCTCGGCAAATTTCCGCCGTTCTGCGCTCCTCTCGCGCTCTTGATCCCAAGCTATGGCGGCGGCATCAGCCTCCTCTTCAACGGTTGGTCTAACGACACTTTTTGCCTTTGGCTGAAGCTGGCATACACGCTTTGACTTATCATGAACCGCCCGCAATTTGCCACGGTCGCGAGGGGGTATTACTGCCTCCTCTACCACCATAGAGACTGACTCGTCTCCTGGTGTGTGGGTTCGATGGTCGGCTTCATCGGCTTCACGTTTATTGATCCATTTGTCAAGTGCATTCAAATCATTTTTCAAGCCTACAAAAACTTCATAGTCGTCGCGACCAGATGACAGAGATTTGATGGCAGCCATCGCGGCATCCGCACGTTCCTGAGCTTCCTGGGCCGCTTTCAGACACTCTTGTGCCGCCAAAACGGCTTCTTGTGCAGAAGTTATAGATTGTTGAGAAAGGGCGTGGGCATGCTGCGCAGATGATAAGACTGCAGCGGATGTAGTCTTGGCAGACTGTGCAAGAAGAATGGCGTTGGTAGTGTTAGGGGTATTGAGTAACGAAAGCGCAGAGGAAAGTCGGGAGTGGAGAGTACGTAGGACGGCAAGGCTGACATCGTCATTAACGGCAGAAACGGAGGGCGTAATGGGTGGCGTAAGTTGTGGTCCATGATTGAGGGTTGTCGAAGGTTGAGTATTTATGTCTGCGGCCAGCTGTTTCAACTGGGCTATGACAGTAGGCAAAGGGTCAATAAGAAGCTTGGGCCGTCCGTCGGTTTGAGATGAATTTGATGGGTCTTGAACGTTGCTGGATGGCGTAGGGCTTGGGTTGGTTTGGTTTTGATCAGTAATAGGGGTCACATCAGTCATGTCTACGTCAAAGTTCCCAATTCTCTCAGCGAGAGACTGCGATGAAGTGGGCTTTGAACGTGAATCTGGATGGTCTGGGAGCAAAAGCTGGTCTTCGAGATTAGGAGAAGACGAAGAAGATCTCGAAGGCTCATCATCGTCATACTCTTCATCTGGATTTGGGGCTGAAATACGACGAAGTAGGTCTGGTTCTTTGCCGATTGTATTGAACTTGAAAGAAGAAAAGGGTATTGGGGTGAGTGGCGAAGTTGTAGAGCTGGCCGGAAGCAGAGTGGACTCTGGGTGGCCGAAGATCATGTCTGGATAAGAGTTAGTGAAAAAGAGGGTGATCACATGCACAAATAAGCTACCTGGTGATCGTCGTCGAGCGCTAAGTCGTGGTGGGCGTTAGAATGGCGCTTGTGCTTGTGCCGTACAAGGGCAGACCATAGGAATGTTTTTGAGACAAAAGTGTGAGTAAAAATATAACAACATGCGACAACAAAAAACGCGACGACCATTGATGTTGGGCAAGTGGCAGCAAGCTGCAAGCGAACTCAATGACACCCTCTAATATTGGATGTCATTTTTATACTGGGAAGTTCCCCAAGAATCTCGGTTCTTGGACCCGCTTGAAGAATTTGATTTTCCCCTCGGTCCGTCATGCCATTCCCTACACTAAATCGACTTTTCTCTCGCGTTTTTAGCGTTTCTTCAGTAGCAGAGATGATCAATATCTTCCATTAGGAGGGAAAAATATTTTTTGACGCACAGCTCGTTCCCTTGAAATGAGAATTCTAGATAGATTATAAAAGTTACACTATCTCCTATAAGTGCACGATGATATAGTAGAGCGCTTCTACTACATCATCATGCACTTATAGCAGAACGACTCCGTAGTATATGAATGAAGCAGCAGGACTCAGAAGGGTATGTCTGAAATGTTACACTATGATGAAAAAATGGTCGCAGAATCACTCTAAATATGAAAAGGGAGGAAAATCAAGAAATGGCAGCACTGAGTCTCCGCAGAATGCCTCTAGATGGCGGTGTAGCTGTCTTTTGTTTGATGTTAGTGGTTCCCGAAGGAGTTGCAGCGTTCTGAGTCGCCCTTAGTTTGTTGGAGTCATCGGTACTCGAAACCCCTCTCGAAGACGGGGAGAGGGACATGCGCAATTTTGTTAGCGGTGAGTGGATATTTTTCGCGTCGACCTGGAATGAAGACTGAGCATTCAGTCGCATCGGCATTTTTGTTGGACTTGAGGGGGTTGATGGGGTAGCATTAGTGGCAAGAACTTCGACCGCCCGCGGTGACCAAGTGACTTGTTGTGCTCTCGACGTCAAGGAGGAGATACTGAGGCGTAGATTACTTTTGAGGATCGGCTGCCTATCCGACGCCAACGGTGACGGAGCGCTGTTGGAGTCTAAAGCAGGCCGAAGAGATGGGGATGCAAGTTGCTTTTTCGGTCTCGCCGTAGCAGCCTTGTTCGGGGTATCATCGTTTTGTGTCTTTCGCGAAATCAACTTAGGGATCGAAGTCAGGGGAGGGGTTTTAGGAACTATTCCAGCAGGCCGAGAGGGCGGAGGACTGTCTAGTGGGGTGTTTCGAATGATTGTGATACTTCCGAAATCGTTACTGTCAATAGTTTTGTGAGTAGGTCGGGTTCGCGGTCGGGTCGAAGCGGGGTTGATGACAGAAGCTATTCTGCTGATGGGCCGATTTTTCGACGCCGTAGGGGGACGGTTCTCGTTCTTACTGCCTTTAGTATTTACCTGTACAACAGCTCGTGAACATACGTTTCGGATATTCGATTCTGGAGATGTAAGACTTACAGAAGGGGGTTTGGATTTGTCTGTGACGGTTGGTTTAGCTGATGAGGTGGGAGCAGCGATATTTGTAACGTTAGACAGGGGTGGCCTTTGGGTCGCCAAGAAGGCCTTTTGCGCCGACTTTTTCACGATGCGAAGGGGTTGTGTTGGTTGCAAAAGATATTGGATCCGCCGTTGAACGGGATTCAAAGACTCCGCCAGCGGGGTCTGAGAATTGCTCGAGTGTCGTGTATGGCTTGCGGCGGGAACGGGGTCGTGATTTGATGGAATGGCTGTATTCGTTGCAGGTCCAGAAGGATTTGAGGAGCTGCTTGCAGTAGGAGGAACGACGTCGGATAGAACTGAGCTTTGTATGGCTGAAGAGGGTTTTTGTGCCGACTTCTTCACGATACGAAGTGGTTGCGTTGGTTCGAGAACGTAGTGAATTCGCCGCTCAAGGGGGTTCATAGACTCCGCCAGCGGAGATTGAGAAGGAGTAGGATAAGTCGATGGAGTAGAGATGGCATGTCCAGAAACACGTGAAGCGTTGTTTCCAATAAGAGGACCGACAGCATGCATAGAAGAAAGAGGCATACTTGGAATGTTTGGGGACTGCTGAATGCGATCAGTCCTTGGCTTTGGGGAAGATGCTGGGTCGCGGAAAACGCTGTGAGGTAGTAAAGGGGATGGTCTTGGCGAAACGGCTTTTGACAATGTGGCGGGGGACCTGTACGATGGCTGCTTCATTTTACTTGAGGGAGGGGTGGGTGTGGAACGAGGTGATGCAAACTTCGAGATTATTGGAGCTTTTGGTGTTTCGTCCTGGTCCACGACGTTCCTCTTGGTTTGGGGTGTAGTTGGGCTTCCAGAAAAGGATGCATTGCCAGCGTAGTTGGTGGAAGAAATCTCCTGTTCGAGTATCGAAATCAGGCTCTCAAGATCTGGTTCAGACTCAGACTCAGACTCAGTCATTTCTAGCGACCCAAGGGTGTCGCTGCTGAAGGCCGCACAGATTCGCTCAAGTGACTGAAGTGCCTGTACCGCAAGTAGCGAGCCTTCGTTCACGGCTGGCGCCGAGGAATCTAAAGTGGTCTGTAAGGCAAGCGATGATGGACCAGGTTTGGCAACGACCCCGGAAGACGAGAGAACACATGGCTCAGCCAGCTGAGCTTCATCCTCGGTCTTCGTGAAGGGATCACTAGTGTCTGACTGTGCGGCAGTCAAAAGCTTGGTGTTGGGAACAGCCGTACTGGGTACGTCAATGGCGGGTTCGCATGTTGGCTGAAGATGAAAAATAAGAAAGGCGAGATATTGAGCGGAAACGCGAATCACTGACCATAGTAGACGAGGCCAAGCTGGTGTCAAGAGAGGTCACTCGCCGACCTTTTGAGTCTGTCAAGGTGAGCAACTCGTCTGGGACGCGCGGCACAACCTTGCGAAGTTTCGGTGAGCAAATCGGAGAGGTGGAAACGCGCTGGGCTTTCATCTGCATAAGGGTCGAGATCAGAAACATTGAGCAAAGAAGCGATGTTTCCACTTACCATAGTTGCCCGCCGCTTACCCAATGCCTTTGCGGAAGATTTGGTAGGTGTTTCGATAAAACTCTCCGAGCTGGAAAAGAAATCGATCGATCGATTTAAATCGACCTCATCAAAAGGCGATCTTGTTGTTTTGTCTAGAGAAGGTGCAGTAGCCGAGCCTGCGTGCCTTGAAGGTGTTGAAAAGGAACTGGGGAAAATGTCTTCGCCATTTTTTGAGCAATTGAACGGGTCGTCGAGAGTATGGGGTTGATGTTGTTGCTTTTCAACAACTGCGTCACATTTTGCATCATCGACGTCGTTAAGCGAGGAGGGCGTGGCGGTGGACGATGCAGTTGGGACTGTCTGGGCCGGCTGCTTGGAGATTTGAATCGCGTTTTCTCGATCTTGGAGAGTCTTTTGGTGGGAATTGAATGGTACCAAAGAATGGTTGGGTGTCCCAAGCTCAACGATACCTGGCATAATTCGAGACCGTACTGGTCCGCCGTTATTGGTAGCATCCTTGATAGAGTCGACGAGGGCATCTTCAGCGGTTTTACCATCCTTGAAGGCCTGGGCGGCACGGCGGAAGACAGGCTCAGCAGCGTTGAGTTCGGCCATAGAAGAGATGAACTTTTCAGCCTGAGCGAATTTATCCCTTAGCATAACAAGCTCGTCTTTATCGACTTTAGCCCGTCTTCGGAGGGCCCGCCCATCCGAAAGCTCAGTGTAGTACTTGGCTTTGAGTTCGACCATTTCGTGCTCCAAAGCACCAAGGTCGGAAGCCAGCATCATTTTTGCGTGGTCGTGATCGTCTTTGGCGTCGATAAGCTTCTGGTCCAGATATTGAACGGCAGTGCTGAGCGTTTGATTGTCGGCCTCCAGCGAGCGGATTCGGCGTTTCAGAGAGAGGTTCTGCGAGGCCAGAATGTTGTACGAGGCACTAGATGGAGCAGGCCTAGCCTTGCGAACAGCGGCGGCGTTGGGAGTAGGAGCGATGTACCTGGGAACGATCGGCTCGGGCCCGCCAAGTAGCTTTGGGAAGATAGTCGAACCAGCCGACTCGAGGCTCTCCAAAAAGTAGTCAACGTCGATGGCACCGAGGCTGGCGGCAGAGATAGATTGGGACAAGCGAGACCCACTGATCGCGGCACGGACCAGAGACAGAGGTTGGAAAGAGAACATGTTTGGAGAGAAGATATATGGGAAGTTTTCCGTTGTTGAGGATGACGTTCTTGTTCAAGATGCTTTGGTAGAGAGATCGTGAAAGGCGGGGCATTTTGTATGGTTTTGGGAGGCTGACAGTCTATTTTAAACTGAGACCGAGGCTGAGTGAACCGAAGAAGGCTTCGAGGACGAAACTGAGTGGCTGTGCTGATCCTCTGCATCACCGCTCCTTCGTATTGAAGCTTGATTGAAGCCAGAATGGCTATCGCCAGAAACACGAGAGGAATTCCTAGCGCGTTTTTAGCCCCTTTTCTCTTGTCGGACATTGACACATATTTTCTTACAATTTTTTGGGTTTCCACAGCCGACATTTTGATTTTAATTTTAGGAAACTCGTTATTCTGACAAGATTTCATGAATTCATCGTAATCATAAGTACTGTATAATCACCGCTCGACCGGTAGAGGTATGAATTAAATAAAGAGAAGGGCATTTCTTAGAGCATTCGGTTTCGAGTTTGACTTCCGCCACCTTTGCTGCTTGCCCTCATCCTGGGTGGCCTTGCCTGGTTTCGGTTTTCTTTCCGGCCACTTTCACTTTGATGCTCAGAGTTCGAGAACCAACCGTCGATGATTTTCAACATATTCTAAGAGCTTCAATTGAATAGTCACATTCATCAGACTTTTCGGAACGACCTACCTCAACAGCAACGGAACCATAGACATCCGGGCCCCAAACAAACTGGCCAGACACGGGACACCTCTCGGCGAGCATATCCCGGAGAAACTTTGTCTTGATTTTACTCGCATATCCGAAACACATTTTGTCGCCAGCTTCAATGATGATGGCGTGCATTGCGCGTAGTCGATCAAAATGAACAGCGTGGTGACGTAGGACGTCCAAGCATACGTGGACGTCGTCGCCTGAGAGAATGCCAACCGCGAATAGGGCGCCTAGATAGCTCGCCATGTTGATGCCTTTGTGTTGAGGTTGGTTGACCAAGAGTTCGGATTCGATTCGCCAGTCGCCGTCCTTTGATACATAGAGCGTATGAACTTGCTGTTAGAGAGCGAGATGGGTCGACGTACCCATTTCCAGTGGGTCTTGAACGTTTCCACCACTTCGGTCCTCAAAAGTTCCTGGAATACCTCAGCCTGCGGTAAACCAGCGGCTTGCAGTCCCTGGACGATTTTTTGAGAAATAACGGCCGTTAAACAAGCCAATTGGTTATTTCTAAGAGCGTTCGATATAAGGCCTTGAACCAGAACAGAATTTCCTTGCCATAACAGGATATGCAGGCCTTCCTGAATGGAGATCGCAACGTATACCTCGCTACTGAGAGCCTTTGGATTGCTTGCAGACTGGTTGCCGGTGGGTACAGGTTGCAAGAGCGGCAAGCTGGCAGCTTGGATGTAAGGCGTCGTCGCAGTCGATGATTGTCTGGAGGGAGGATGAGGCGTTATCGAGGGAACATTACCTTGATTCACCGTGTAAGCTGGGGTGTAGGATGTTCCTAAAGGCGTGCCACTGTAGCCCTGATATGTCGTGGTTACGTTCGCCGCTTGATTCCTTGCCCACTGGGCCCAGGCGTAGCTGTGATCGTACTGATTCGGATAGACAGACTGGGGTACATAGTAATGCTGTGGTGCGGCTGGAAGCTGTAGTTGAACGTTCTGGGGTAGGAATGGAATCATCGATAGTAAAGAGGGGTTCTGAGAGGAGATTCCATTTATGATAATCGGAAGGCAAGGTGAGGACAAAGAGCGGCGGACAAAACCAAGGGCGCGTGACAAGAATGCCGCGTGTCGTCACACGTCTCGTGACCTTCTCTGAAGGCCACTCTAATTGTCAACCCTGGCTGGTCGATGCTTCTTCTCATTTATAAACCAGTTGGAACTCTGTTTCCACTCCCCCTTACTATCATACACTTTCTACAACTTCATTCTCATCCTGTGAGTAGCCCTGTACGACCACAGAGCCAGGGCTGACACCAACTTGACCTCGCAGATACAATGTCAGTCATCACAGCAATCACTATGACGCACGACCCATTACTTGCAACCAACGAACTGGAGCTGGTCTCCTCAGGTGGTTCGTCCACTGTAAAAACGCCCTTTGTCAATCTTGACCTAACGTCAGCCTCATGCGTTTTTCTTCCAACCCTGATTGATTGAATGACTCCATTTAGCTCACGGAGTAAAATTGTCATTCGTCCTCGTTGCAAAGAGTACGCATTGAAGCAACGCACTGCCCGCCGGACCCTGGCATGTTTTACGTCTGTCAATTCACATGTGGAGCACACGGAAACAGAGTGGCAGAACTCCTTTACGAAGGAACGATCGGAAGAGGGGACGAAGGAGGGGCCTTCAAGTCCGAAGAATTCCAAGGTCGCAGAAGGGCGCGTCGATAAGCCGACAAAAGCAAGCCTTCCTAGAGTTACCCAGAACTTGCCGCCGCCAGCGCCGGTGCCAACTCCCACAAGTTCAACCTACGCCGAAGAAATCGCAAAGTGTGGCTGCACAACAACCAATGGAAGCGAGGAGTGTAAACGATGCAGGATATTGAGACTTGCCGACCGGTATGTTCTTGGTGCCCTGACTAGAATGGGCTGGTAACTGATAAATCCATGTTCAGTTTCTGCTCCGTTGTGACAGCGCAGTGCGAAAAATGGAATCTGGAATCGTCGCAGTCAGGTCGGGGAAACCCTTTTTGAGCAATACACTGTAAATAATCGTGTTAGTACTTTGAGCACATACTATCATCTTATCGACGAAAGTGATGAGAGTGAGAGCGACTTCAAGAAATGTCCCAGACTCCCACGCTTCAGTTGCACGCGTTAGCCTCTGTTGGCCTCCAGCTTGAACGTCTCTGCTCACCATGGCCTCTCCAGTGGCCGCTGGGGCAAGCTATTCCAGGCTAATATCTCTCAAGCCTTCTGCCATGAAATCCCATGGCGCCGTTCTGGACAGATACACTTTCATTCGTTCTTTTTTCAAGCAGCAAATGCCCACTCCACAAGTGCGTGCTCTCCCATCGCGGTCCACACCCCTCCCATTCAAAGCCATGCAAAACTTTCCAAGACGCTATCAACACATAGTGGCGCAGCCCGCTCGTCGTCAAAATTTCCACTCAACCACGAAAAGGAGTTTTCCCCAGCTAGGTCAATCCACGGACAAACCACCGCCCAACTCCGACCCTCCAAAACCACCAGACGATGCTAAATCCACTCCCCCGGCAGACGGTACGGATCATGCATACCGTAACACGGAGGATTACTCTCGTTTCTTTCGACGCCTTGCCATGTCGTTACCTCACCCTCACCGCCCGACCCGCGAAGACTTTTTGAATGTCTCAACGGGATTTTGGCAGCGCCTGCGTATCCGCTTCAAATGGTTTACAATCAAGTCCTTTCGGAAATTCAATGCGGACGACATGTCTGCGTTTATTACGTGGTTTCTGATGAGCCAGACGTTGTGGATTCTTGTTGGAACGTAAGGCCGTTCTTCACTTCCTAAATTCTCGTCTCATGCCTTCCTTTTCGCCCAGAACGACTTTTTTCTCTGTGATCTTCGCGACTGCCAACAGCTTACGACTTCAACGTGCGACATGCTTTTCCTATTAACCAGTGACAATCTAATATGTGATACACCCACAGGTTATATAGCAAGTGGTATCAGCGATTATCTCACATCAGAAACAGGCGTCACCATCATTTTCGAGTCCGCCATCGTACCTAAATGGAAAGACTCACGTATATCCTTCAAGAACGTCTACGTCTCACGTAGACCGCCCGACTCACCCGCGCTGGTACAGCCACGCACGAAAATTGGACACATGGCTGCCGTTGGATACGATGTGAGCAATCATCCGGCATATCATCGAGTTGGGGAGGACGAGGATGAGGGGGAACGACCTGCGCGAGACTTGGCAGAAGAGGATTATAACATGACGATGTTTGATCTCAACATTGACTCCGTCGATGTTACTTTGTCTCTGAAGCGGTGGTTGGACGGCAAGGGTCTGGTGGAAGATGCTGTTGTGAGAGGTGTACGTGGCGTTATTGGTTTGTGTCCTTTGTCTAGCTTCCACGGTCCCTTATCTCACCAACTCAAATATAGACCGTCGTAGTGTTTTTTGGGACCCCGACAACCCACTTGACCCCGCGCTATTCCGACATTCAGCCCAGCCAGGCGACTTTGAACTCGAGCAACTGCAGCTTGAAGACGTCCTCGTTACTGTATATCAACCTGGCGACTTTCGACCGTATACCGCATCTATCTTTCGTGCAGACATGCAAACGTTCCGAAAACGGTGGATGTTTTACGACTTCTTGTGTGCCGAGAACGTGGTTGGACAGTTTGATAACTGCTTGTTCAGTCTGCACAGACCGCAGAGCATAGGGCGGACAACTGAAAAAGATCTGAAAGATGGTGATTGGGCTATGATGGTGTGTATCACAGTATCACAGTTTCTATGCTCTTATTCAATATCTTTTGCAGTCTCGCATTCGGATCGACGGAGTCAACGTTGATCATCTGCAAAACTCCACCACGATGGAAGGCCCTATATCATGGATCACTTCCGGAAAAGTCGATGCTGTCCTCGACATCAAGTTTCCCCGCGACCCACACAGCAAGTTCCCCTTCAATGCCATCCTGGGAGAGATAGCCGACGCCATCACAACCTCGCTCTCTCCCGAACCCAACCCCGAGCTCCAACGCATTCCGGGACAAAGGGAGTTGGCTAAACCTGCACTCTCTGTTCCGGAAGAGACCGTCGAGTCGCCTGCAGACGAGAAATTAAAAGTGGTAATTGATATTGACTTGCGGTTTAGGGATCTGAAAGCTGCTGTTCCCATTTTCACCTCCGATTTGTCTTATGTGAATAATGCGTTTATACGGCCAATCGTTGCTTTCATGAAGTAAGTCCACTGTTTGATATATCAAGTTCTAAACTTTGATCACAATTCAGCGCGAATCGGACTTTGGTGCCAATTCACTGCAGGGTGGTCAAGGATCTGAGTGACTTTGACGGCGCGTGGACTGTGAGTGTCCCTTGCTTCCCTTGCCCTCCATTGTTTGACCTGTGGCTTTTTCAGATGTGGGAAAGTGAGGACATTCTATGCTCAATTCATGCAAAGTGTATTCTGACACAATGACCCTGTAGCTGGCCTGATGGACGAAATTTCATTCAAAGTACGTCTCTCTTCCTTTCCGCCAATCGGGGCTCAAAATCACTTTTTATTTTACAAAGACTTATGAAGCACTCGCGTATCACGTATCTCAATCAGCCATGAATCGACAACGCATGAGGACAGTGAGCCTGTGGAGTCTACAAATGACGGCTAGCGCGGCGTTATCTGCGCTTCGCAACGTGGTGGACCCATTTTCTGCGCATCTGAAGGAGGTTTATTTGAAGAGTCATCCTATGCGGGGGCTCTACGAAACCATTCCCATGGGACCCGACGTCAACCTTTGATTGGTATCTTTCCTTACGTCACAGACAGTCTTGGATGACGCCTATAGACGTCGCGCTTGCTTTGCTTTTACCATCTAAACTGAGTGTACCGATGTAAGTACGTTCTAGTACTCAGTATAATCAACTGCCTCACCATCGAGTCTTCAAATTAACAATGAGAACGCGATTAGAAGGACCGCTTGATGCCCGAGAGTTCCGCATCGTACGTGACGTCAGAGTGAGATGTAATAAAAACTGCGAAGTTGTGGCTTCCATGCACACTGTCTTCTTCCTCATGAACGCCCTCTCGGGTATCGCCTATGACCTCCTTGACAAAGTGAGCAATTTACTACTAACATCCAAAATACAAATTAAATAATTCTGGGGCAGGGTCTCGTTCCGGACTTCATCCTCCGAAGAGCTATCCGGGCTCTATGCCGTCAACGCTTGCGCGAGATAGACCACGGCTCCCTCGAGAAAAACCATGCTGCCAAAATGAAATTTATTGAGGAAGTCCGGGCTAGAAAGGCAATTGCTGATGTACCAGAGAAGGCGAACGAACAACACTATGAGGTTTCAACCGAATTTATACTGTCGACCTTGGGGCCATACGCAAAGTACTCGTCTTGCTTATACCCGACGGGGAATGAAACTTTGGCGGAAGCTGAAGTACTTATGTTGGAAAGCTATTGCGAGAAGGCACAGCTGCGAGACGGGCTTGATGTCCTGGATTTGGGATGTGGTGCGTGCAGCGTCACTACCTCATCAGACTACTGTTTATTCGCATTGTTTTTTTTTGCAGGCTGGGGGAGTCTCTCTCTGTTTCTCGCTCAAGTAGGGTCCACTACGTTGGGCGGCGCTACTTTTGTGCTAAATTTGGACTCGCAGAAATACCCCAACTCAATGATCACTGGACTGTCTAATTCGTCGACACAACGACAACACATCCTTTCGGTCGCGGAGCAACGGAATTTGAAGAATTTGGAGGTATGGTATATCTGCCTTTGCCTTTGCACTGGAGCTACATATTCACATTCGCAGATCATTACGGCAGACGTGAACACCTTTGACTTTTCCGGAGACAAGCGGTAAGGCCCCAGCCCACTTGACAATTAACTGAGATTGACCATTTCCAAACCCATAGCTTTGATCGAATATTATCTATTGAGGTGCGCTGCGTACTCAATGTCAGCCATCAATCCATTCCCTCACACGTTACCAAGCAGATGTTTGAACACATGAAAAATTACGAAGCACTGTTCAAGAAAGTCTCTACGTGGCTGAAACCAAAATCCCCAAAAGAAGAAACCAGCGCTCCGAACGACACACTGCTTGACGAGTCACTCTTGTTTATCCATATCTTTTGCCACCGCACTTCCCCATACCATTTTGTTGAAGACGACGGATGGATGGCAAAGAATTTCTTTTCAGGTTGGTTCGCCGGTTAACTTGGTAGGGTTGACGTGCTTAGATTTTTCCCCTGTGACAGGCGGGACAATGCCGTCCCACGACCTTTTTGTACGTCCAGTTTATTTACACAACTGCATCTGACGGCCGACTGCCAAAAAAACCAGCTTTATTTCCAGAATGATCTTTCCCTTATTCGCAGTTGGTATCTTCCTGGCACGCATTATTCTCGTACTCTCGAGGATTGGCTCTGCCTTCAGGATTCAAATCGGAAAGGTACATAGGCCTTTACATGTCGAGTTGCCTTCCTCCAATAATTCCCTTCCACCCGTGACAGAAGGTCTAAAGCAATTGGAAAGCGACGCTATTGCAAAAGGCAAGCCTGCAATTCAAGGAACCAAGACATTCTACAGGCATGTTTTCTTTCTATTTATGACTTTAGACTCAGTAATGTAGTGTGCAGATTTCGTGTTTTCTACATGGCATGCTCGGAGCTGTTCAATATGGATGGTGGCCAACAGTAAGTATGATGTGTCTTTATCGTCTGACACGCGAATTTATGCTCCTTGTTTTAGGTGGGGTGTTGGACATTATCTTTTCAAAGCCAAGTAGCAGCCTTAAGGAGTCACCAGATAGAATTTATATTGTGTCAAAACAAAAGGCGATTACAGAACACCAACTTGAGGATGAGCTGCCATCTTGAAGAAAATATCACAGCAATATGTATACAACTAGGGTCCAACAGTAAACTCAGCCACGTTCAAACACGCTAACGATCTTGGAGATCATTGAGGAGACGGAGAATGTTAAGGACTGCCCCCCAAGAGTCAGCATGGGTCCGAAAAATTAAAATCAAGAAACTCACATAAGTTTATGAAGCTGAAAAGTTATACAGGCATTGAGAAAGAAGAAGCATGGGAATCAAGGGGGACTCACTCGAGGTAAAGGCTGATTGCGCCCATGATGAACTCGTCGGGAGAGAGTCTCTTGTTGATGATGTAAGTATCGTAGACGATGTAACCACTGAAGATGAGGCAGCCTCCACAGGCGAAAATAATATCCATAGTGCGGCTGAAAGGGATGAAGATTCCCACAAAGCCAGTCATGCCTTGATACTAGATGAGATACCTCATATGCATAAGAGAGGTGGAGGGTGGGCTTACAGAGAGCGATGAGGGAACCAAACAAAAACGGCCCCATTCCGGAGAAGTCATACTATGCAAAACCGCTTTGTTAATAGATAAAAATGCATTGAGGATAGATCAAGCTGACCTTGGATTGGAATGTGAATAGCGTCAAACCAAGGAAGACACCCAACGTGATGAGCCTTGACACGATCTGAGTGGCGGAAAGAGACGATAATAAGAGAAGACATACAACGCTTGTAGAACAATGACGTTGTCGTAGAATGCGACAACAATCCCAAGGGTGAATGCCTCCATGACAGTGAACGTCGAAAGGAGAACAAAGTTCCAAGGAACGGCATGACGCTTCCAGTACAAGAGACCGAGATTGACGAGGGTGCCGAAGAGGGGTACATAGAATGACCAGACACTGAATAGATGGTCGTGAGCGCACAAGAGCCAACAAGTCAAGAGGCGTACTGCGTTTGAACCCAGAGAATGGTGGAAGGTGATTGAGAAATTGCTCCTCCGACAATGCAAGTTGCGAGCTGTTTAGAATGTTCAAGATTGAAATGGGGGATAGCCGTTATATCAACATACTATTTGGCAGACTAGACTGGACTGATTAGAGAGAAGGTGGCGGAAGAGCGGAAAATGGTCTTACAAAGAATAGTATAGACCTTGCGAACGAAAGCGTTGCGGATCGATGGAGAGCTTTCAGAGACTGATACGCCGTACTGAGTTCTAATGGTCAGCACCAAAAGGATGTAGGAAGCTGGGTGTGTGTACCTTGAAATCGTCTGGAAGGTCGTCATGGGCTGGTTGATCGTAAATTGCACCTCCAGAGGCAGCATTGCGACTGGATCCTGTCAACAAGGGATCTCTGGAGTCATTTTCTCCAGAATAGAAGTTCTTTTGGCCCGTTGGACCGTAAGCTGGAGGGGGGACGGGATAGCTCATTCGTACTATAGTAGTGGGAGTATGGAAGTATGAGTCGGCGCACAGTCATCTTGTCACCGCAGCACAGCCACCCGATGACATCCTTCGCACCTTCTTGGTCTACATAAAATATATTGCTCCTACTCCAATCGCCGCTGCTGTTCGCAAGGCTAAGCCTGCTCTGTCTGATTCCTCGCCCGAACCCTCTTTGAAGTACCGGAGCCGCTCACTGGCGCTTAGCACTGCTGTTCAATACCTGGACCAGAAAGTTATCGAAGATGATGCTGGTTTTCGACCTCAGTGGTCTGGAGCACGAAATGACGGATCTCAGGCCAGTTATTACGTCGAAATTTATGAAGGGCGTTCCTCTGGAAATGTGTTGGAGGAGATGATAATGACCAGCTCGTTGTGTTGATGGATAAACTCGCTCAGGCTGAAAAGTTCATCTCCGTTCTGGTCGACACCGACGCTGAAGAGCCTGCCTTCCGCCACGCTGCCTTCAAGCATGGCAAGACGGTTGAAGATACCTTCAATGAATCTATCAAGGACATGGGCAATCATGTATGGTTTCGAGTTATACAAGTTATCGTCAAGCTCGGGACAGACATTTGATCATTCATTGGACCAATCAATCCCCACCAAAAGACTACGCGAGAATTTCGGGATCGCAAGCAGCTGGCGCAAACAGTTCCAGTTCCATCGTCCACCGCCTCACCCTCCTCGCTTGAGGACGTGGGTGACTTCTGCAAAGGCATTGGGTAAGTGGCGGGCAACTATGATAAGTGGAAACATTGCTTCTATGCTCTATGTTTCTGATCTCGACTCTTGTGCAGATGAAAAACAAGCGCGTTTTCGTCTCTCCGATTTGTTCGCCGAACCTTGGCAAGGTTGTGCCGCGCGTCCCAGACGAGTTGTTCACTTCGACGGACTCGAAAGGTCGGCGAGTGATGTCGACCTACATACGTGAGACATCACGCCCGTCTAAGCTCCAATCCGTTTCCGTTGTCGGGTTCTAGCAACTTCTGTCCTTTGCTGCGTTACTCGAGGACACTCCTGTCCATCTCCGCAAGGTCTGGTGCATATTCATCTCCGCACACGCTCAGAGCACTGTTACCGAACCCAAAGCTTCGAATCCCGAATACGCCAGGCGCAAGACGGCGTACGGTGCAGTTGGGAGAATTCTACATACCATTTCTCATTGCGTGAGAGTCGTTCACGCCCTTGTTCTCTTCCACCGCCCATTCCCCTTGCTCGCAAACAGCCTTCCATTCCTGAAAGAGCCCTTTTTGCACGGACCCCTTGGCGCCGCTTCAGACGTGGACCAAGAAATCCATTTTGCGTCTCCACATATCCTCCTGTTACTCCCCTTTCTATATCGTGGCGAAACTCACTTTAAACCTCAATTGTGTACACGATTGTAAAATGACATGCAATATCTCAATCAGACTGCTTTTCTAATACTTATCTTCGACATACTTTCGCTTTGCTTCTCAGTAGTCTCGTACCCATCCGCTATAGAGTGTGCGGTCCAGATGGGAACGAGACTACTTTTCAGCACTTGATATGCTCCGCCCACAAGATGAACTTTCAATCCTCCACCCCCTCCAGCCCTCTCTAGCACCAATTTTCGGTCCCGGTACCAAAGTGTACTCTCCACCCTCAAGAAAGTCAAAGATCGACGCACTAATGACCGCAACAGCCACAGGCGCCCACGAAGCGGCAACACACCTTAACGGACCATACCCAAACAAGAAAGACATAACCTCTGCCTGACCCTCCCAAAGTCGACCTGTCGAATGCCGAGCGGGATCAAACACATGTGCATCGTCACCCCACACGCTGCTCCTCTGTATTTCCTCGACATCTGCATAACCTCGCTGGAATTGGGTGCCCGGCCAGAGATGCTCCATCGCATTCAGGAGCACGCCAGGTACCCAACTCAAGCGTGGTTGCATACGGCTGATGTGCCGTGAAGGGGGCTGTAACCGCATAGTTTCATCTACAACCCCCTTGACGCTCACCCCGTCCATCCCCTCCGCTCTAAACACCTCCTCCTTTGGGTCCACATACATCTCCAAAAACAGTTCCTTCAAACGTGGATTGTCATGCGTATACGCGATTGCAGTTGCCACGACTCTCCATAAGGTTTCCCAAGCCGGAACAACAAAATCCAATGGGTTCGGGAACGTGTCTTCGTCTGGGACGAGCCGCCGCATATGATACTTCAATTCCACTTGGAGCTTGCGTGAACTTGGGCCTGGGTTTTTCGATAGTGACCAAAGCTTGGTGATACCTTCCACGACGACGACGATACTCTCACTGTCCAAGCTATCCACAGCAGTGTGGACACCCATGATACCCACCAGCACAACGCGCAGTGTAACACACTGCACGAATCTGTCGAACAATCTTCCTTGAGCTCCACTTTCTGAATCCGCTAGTTCAGCATGAATAGCTTGTGTGGTCAAGTCACGAAAAGCGGTCCATCCGCGTGTCTGCGGTGTCTTTATCAGCTCCCGAGCTTGCCTCGTGAATTTCTTGTGGACTGTACGATCGGGGCTAACAAAGGTGTTGGACAAACCCATGCCTTCACGAAGGTGGTTGTTGGCTAGTGCTCGTTCTACGAGCAGATCTCCAATGCCTTTGTTTGAAGGGTTTAAAAATGCTCGTATCGATGCAGCTGATCGATGGATGTGTATCGTGGAGGAGGAGAGTATGTTGAAATAACGTGAAGCTAGGGAAAGGGAAACTATTAGAGTCACAAATGTGATCCACAAAACCAAAGGACTTGAAAACATTGCAGGGTAAGTCAAGCGTCTCTTTTCTTCGTTTGACTGAAGCCTTTATCTTTTGTACTTTAGCCTGCATCACATGAAGAAGCTTAACTATCTAACCTTCGCCCACGAGTGTGAAGTAGTGGACAGCCATCTACAGCCATACCCCGCTAATCACCCCGGCGCCTGATAGGGCCAGGTCAGCTGTCCAGCCATATGTGCCGTGGTGTAGCGGTTCAGCGCTAGTATATGCGAACGCTGAGCACAATTTCAACGTTCTTACAGCCATGGGACTTTACTTCAAAACAGGTGGCAAATGCCAAAAACATCAAGGACAGGCTGCACCAAGGCTACACAGCTCTGTCGGCGAGTCGTTGAATATTTCCGCAATATCGTACCTGGCTGTTCAAGTCTTTGAAGACATGTATGAAGCAACTCCTCAAGTCCTTCTGGACCTGCAACGAACTTAGCCACTCTGTTCAATCGTAACTCTCCGCCAACCGACACACGAAAATCCGCTGTTTCTCGACCTCTGCTGGCGTAGTCTTACAAGCCCCCCTCGGCGACGGGTTTTGGGGCTAACGCAAGCACTTCGCCTGGTGAAAAAGTCGGTACAAAAACCCTCCCTGGCAACACAAAGGCCACCCCTATCTAAGGTTACAAATATCGCTGCTCCCACCTCACCAGCTAAACCATCCATACACAAACCCCCTTCCGTAAGTGTCACATCACCAGAATCGGAAATTTGTAGCAAACAATCATGAGCTGTCGAACAGATGAGTACTGGAGGCAGTAAGAACGAGAACCGTCACCCTACGGCGTCAAAATCCACAGGATAGCTTCTGTCATCGAACCCGCTCTAACCCGATCTGCTCGCGAGGCTATTGACAGTAACGATCCTGGAAGTATCGCAATCATACGAAACACCCCAATAGACAGTTTTATACCCTCTCGGCCTGCTGTAACAAATCCTCAAGCCCCCTCCTCTGACTTCGATCCCCAAGTTGACTTCACGAAAAGACACAAAACGATGATAGCCCTAACAAGGCTGCATCGACAAGACCGAAAACGCAACTCATATCCCCACTTCAAGTTTCGGTCGGCTTTAGACCCCAACGATGCTCCATCACCGTCGGCGTTGGATAGGCAGCCGATTCTCCGAAGTAATCCACGCCTCAGTGTCTCCTCCTTAGCGTCAAGAGCACTGGCAGCATACAGTCCATTCACTTAAGACATAACGAGAATTCTTGTTGAGGGAATCACTGGGAATCCATCCAGAGTACAGACACAGGCATCGAAAGAGCCCGAACGGTCCATATTTGCGGCGGTCTATGGTATTTTCAGGCACAACCTATGATACACAGATTTCAACTCCTACGAGAAACTCAACTAGTAGGAAGGTACGATCCAACTGAGAATACATTATTTCGTGAGAGGGACTTGCGGCGCTCAAAGGGTGAAAGAAGTAGTAAGCTGGAAATGGTGACTGTAGATATCCGAAGTCCTAGTCCGTTTGAAATTTAAAAGTGAAAGAGCATACGCAGCTGTCTCCAAAGGCGGCAGTCCCCACGCCTTTGGCACAAACTCCTCCAATGATTTGAGGATTTGATCACTCATGTAAAATCGGTACCACCGTCCATATATGTAGTTTGGGTCGCCTTAGAAACATAGGAGGACTTAGGAGTCTTCTCAACTAAACTCTCGCGGATGTCACGTCGAACGGCTTGGAAAGCACTCCAAATTTCCTCTACCTCCGTTAACTTATTCCCAGATCCGTAATGTCCAAGAAATCCAAGGTTGGAAAAGATGTGATCAATATAGCGGGAAATGGCGATGGCTTGCGTCGTCGTCAAAACCTGCCCATTAGGATTGACATGTGCGATGTAGAGCGCCTTCAAAGGGTGGGAGCGTTGTCGAACTGGAACAGTATTATTGTGGAAGGATGGAATATCATCCAGTGGATCGATGGCAAGCTTGAGTTGGATGAGATCGAGACAATTGGAAGCCAAGGTATCGAGGGAACGGAAAGTAGGATTTCTCGGCAAGAACTCAGTTTGATGCCAATCCGAAGGTAAGACGAGTGTTTTTAAAATGGGGAGATTGGATGATATTTCTTGAATCAGCTCATCTCCACCATACATCGAAGAAACGCTGATATCCAATTCTTCAAGTTGTGACAGTGTTAAAAGTGGACGGATATCGGAGATGGTGAGAACAATGGAACAATTTTCAGTTTCAGCGATATGAATTGACGACATTGATGGTGAACGAGCGATGCCCTTGAGGCACTCCGGGTCCAACCGCGTGAAAGGACGGTGTTCACTGGTTGTCTCGGCTCGAATTTTTACGACCACTGACTTCAGGTTGAGTGCACGAAGGTGGCCGAGAACATGGGAGAGAGCCGTTGGACTTCCTGTGATCTGTAGATGGTCGAGCTGGTCGAGCTTCAACAATGGCACTCTGTCTGTGACTCTTGGTATTGCCCTTCCTTTGCCCCCTCCTCTGCCCATTCCTTTACCAAATTTACTTTTAGGTGACGGTGAGGTCAACGGTGGCGCAGAATCAATGATAAGGTCCGACAGATATTCGAGACTTGCGAGCGTGCCGAGCAAATCCGTAGAGAAGCTTAGCGTAGGGAAACTAATCTCCAATGTACGAATATTGCGTAGATGCCCTAAGGTAGTCAAGAACTCCATGCAAGGACTGCCACGGAGAATCAGGCATCGAAGTGTGGGGGCTGATTCAGCAACTAAAAACGAGAGGTATGATGCAAAAAACTGTGGATCAGATGTTGCCTGGGATTGCAACTCAACAGATTCCAGCGATGGAGAGGACACGAGGAATGCGGCGGTTAAACCAGTACTAGGAGGGTGAGGAGCGTCGGGAATGCGAAGGCGTTGCAGTGCGGGAAAAAGTGGAGAGGATGAATATGACAACCGAACCTGTGCGATACGCAGGTAAACATAGTCAGACACTGCGACCCTGGTATGAGGCCAAGGTGCTATTGCGGTGAGAAACTTGACGCGGCGAGCGTAATAATCGAATCGTTCCCAGTGTTCCTCTTTGACTCCTCCAGCAAAAACCTGAAACATTATCAGCAGAGATGATCAATAAATTTAAAACTTTGGCTCACGTAGACAGTATTGATAGGAGCAAAGGATGGTAAGAGGTTCAGGAGGGGCATGAGAGAATCAAGTGAAGACCAAAGGGAATTCATGGCAGGCTCCAGAAATGCCTTACTAGTCAATGCTGCAAGACACAAATTCTTCCGAGTGGCCTCCAGAGATTCATCATGTTCAAAGTGTTGGAGTATAACACCAAGAATATCTTGATTTATAAATATTTCAGATGGCGCTGGCACTTGAGGCTGATATTCAGGTTGAAACAGTTCAAAGTCGGGAAACTCTTCGCTAACTTGTGTGAAGGGAGAATGACCTGAGATTGGGGATTCAATGAACATGGGGAGCGGGTTGAAGCGTGCACACCACACGTTTTCCACATGCTGTCTAAGGCTCTAAGCAATTGAAACCAGAAACTATCTTCCACGAACTCGTGACTGTCAAGTCTTCGTAGGGCAGCCGCATTGGCCCCGCTACGGCTCATTTTCAACTGTTGGCCAGGTTCTTGATTCTGATTATATTTATGATCGTTTGAAATTCTAAAAGTGAAAGAGCATACACAGCTGTCTTCAATAAGGCGGCAGTCCCCACACCTCTGGCACGAACTCCTCCAACGATTTGAGGATTTGATCAGCTGTTTCGACTCCCGAGTAATTGACATCGAGGAGATTGGAATCTGGGACCCAAACAACTGCCAAAGAGGTGAAAATCTGAATTATTATAGCGTGAGCATGACAAACGCAGAACACCCACCTGACATTCCCGCTCGTTTTGCTGCCTGCATCCCTGGCAACCCATCCTCAAAAACAAGACCCCTTCTGCGTACATCCTGCTGCTCGGAAGTAGGTTGTACATCAGGGAAACCAACGTCACGGCCCAACAGCTCCTTCGCAGCGACAAGGAAAATATCGGGAGCGGGTTTACCCTTGATCCGTTGTGAATCGTCGCCGCAGATAATCTTCTCTCCAAAGCATCCAAAAACATCCTGTAAATGCTGGGTTTTCATTTCAAAATTCCTCCGTCGTGAGCCAGTGGCAATCGCAATGGGTAAGTTGTGCTTCTGGAGGTGAAGGACGAGCTTGCGAACGCCGGGTAAAAGGGGAACTGTGGGCCACAATTTATCCTGGAGCGCGTTTCGTTCAGATAGATACGTCGCCATATCGAGAGGTATATCTGGAAAGAAAGACAGCAGATGGAGTGCAGCCTCCTTTTCCGCTGAAGCGCAAACGTTAGCAAGGTCCACAAGCCAGCGACATGAAAACTGACGTTTTCCCATGCACCCTGCTTTCATCTCCCATGTCATCTCTTTTCCGTACCTTCCAAGTATCTCATCTGCTGGCTGAGATATCCTCGAGTATCTGAAGGTTCCAATACTAACTTGTAACGAGTGTGTAGATCCTTTCGGAATCGATCATGAGTCCTGTAGGCTTGTATGGTCAGCAGGACGAGGAGGCTAGAAAGACTTTCCCCACCATCCATATCAAAGAGAACATAATCTATCTTGGGGTATTCAGGCATGCTGAGTCTATGTGGTGGAGGCTGGGTGGAGGTTCAGAGCAAGTTCAAACTTCAGAGAATATTCATTGGTCACATGACACTAATTGCGTTTTCTCAACGCCACTGATAACGACTTGCCTTCGTTCTTTTTCCGGGGAATGGTTGCTTCACCGTCGCTCCTTGCCTCAATTCGTCGGCGACGTTGCGCCATTACTACCTCCATCTTGGTTGGCTTCCTCTTCCTCTACTTCATTCCATGGGGAGTTCCCTCATCGCTGAGCATATCGCGCGCCAGTATCGCCCAACTTGTGAAAACGAAGAAACCACCGATGGAAATTGACGAGATCTATGGATTGCTGCATTTAGTGACTGGAGACAATGAGCACGAACACGTCTTGAGCAATGCTGTACATCTGGACCCAACACAACCGATAGACATGTCTATATACGCGGCCGGAGAAATAGACTTGGATTGGGAGAGAGAGACCAGGTTTTTGAACAAACAATATCCTATCGTTGTCTTCAGCAAGGTGCATCAAGTTGTACACGGCTTGAAATTTGCTAATTTGTTACCAGACGTACTGCCCGTAAGCAGATGTCAAGGATATGTATGTTCGAGGCTGATTATTACCCTATCTAGGTACTCCAAACGAGCCAAGGAGCTCCTTGCCGCGTATAATATTCAACCAACACCAAAGATCGTCGAAGTTGATATGAGAGGTGAGCTATCACCTACATCTTTTACTCAAGTCTGTAAATATCTTTAGACGACAACAACGTGATAAAGCTCCTCCTAAGCCGCCTGACGCATCACTCGACGTTCCCAAATATTCTTATACAAGGCAAGTCAATTGGAGGTTCAGACGACCTCATTGCGCTTCACAACGACCGAACACTTGCGAAAATGCTGGAACGTGCTGGTGTAACGGTACGATTGGATGGGTCTTTAAATCACAATCAGTAATTATGGCAAGTTATACCTTACACACAACTTACACATCGGAAGGAATTATTTACAGCCGTTTTCATAACGATAGGCCAAAAATTCAAAATTACAGATACAGTCGGACCTCGAATTCTAATCATGTCCACGAAAATCAGCATATATTTCAGGGATGACGAGCACGATAGATCTACAGTTATACTAAATAGAGTCATCAACCGACAACTTAGACGTCCAATTTTAGATTCCGCTTGTACGTGTATTTGGTCGAGATTAGGCCTATCGTTATGAAAACGGCTGTAAGAATGCTCCCGCTGAGCGCTTCATCTTGTCTTGCCAAGAGTTCTTGGCATTCTGCCTTCAAGTATATGTACCCAACTTGTTGTTTGGATTCAAAACGCTTGCCATACGACATCGGTGACGATTCACGAAATCCCTACGCTTTTTCATGAACCTGGAATCGTCCTACATAATGCAGAGGATGTCGGGAATCAGAGCGGCGGCCGTACTATCTCCTAAAACACAAATTCGCCCCTGTACCTTACATGGGCGCGATATTATACCAGGCTGCGAGTCCCAGCCGTGCCTTATTGGTGCCTTTGTTCAATGTTCAACATTCAACCATTTGGCAAGGCTATCCAATCAAGAGGAATTTCCGCCTTCCCTGAAGGGCCACTTCTTGCTTCACGTCAGCCGCCTACACGTATAAGAGTTCCTCGAATCGGAAGTCTCAGTCTCTCAGACCCTTGTAAAATTTCTCTCAATCTATCACACTCATTTACCCACTGTCCTTTTTCTAATGCATTTCCCTGCACCTCGCGGTCTCGGTAAATATTTGACGGCCCTCCTCCTGTTTGGCGGCTTCGGCTCGCTGCTCGTCTCGAAACCACTGTATAGACATTTTCGTCGGGAACGCGTGCCGGAGGCGGACCTTCATGCTCAATTCCCTTTAGAGGCGACGATTGACTCTCCACCCTTCTGCTTGCCTGAACCTCCCAGTGCGCCAGAGCTGGATCCATGGGACGCGTCACACGTCGTCGTTGGTCCGCCAACGAAACATTTTAGAGGTACGCGTCCTGACTGCGCGTCATTGGTGGAAATTAAGGCCTGCACAGATAATTTATTGAAGGACAAGAGATATATTACGACTTGGTCTAATGCAGGGTTTAGTGAGTTTACAATCTTGTTAATCCCCGATCCATGTCTGATATAACCATGTTATAGCAAATCAATTTATGGGTTATGTCGGTCAACATTCCATGCCCTTGTCGCCCCTCTTTGCTCATGGATCGACAAGGTTAACATGATTTACCTCGGGATGATCTCGGATCGAATACCCATAATCTCTCCCTTCGTACCCGATCATCACATATGTAAGTGCTACACCACTATGATCCCATATGTGCCTATAATTGGGCCATTATTTTTGCAGCACGCGACGCCGGAATACTCACATTCGGTGAGGTATTCAATCTAACGCACTTGCGCAGTGCACTTCGTACACCCCTGCTTGAGTGGGCGGATGTTAAAGACGTCGCACCTTCTTCGTCTAAAGACCCCTATTCCAACGAGAACGTCGAGGAGCTGGGATGCTGGTCGACTCGAGCCATAAATGACGCGGAGCCCATTCGAGCTGAAAACGTCGTTCACCATCTTGGCGTGGATGTCTCATACACTCGAGTTCCATTGTTTACGCGCCAGTATCCTTCCTCTACGTACGATGCGCATACTACTTTTGACAAGCTGTCCGCACTCATCTATCCGAACAACCCTATCGCCCCTCTAGACAGCTACCCAAATATGGTGCCTTCTCGTCTTGGGTCGGATGCACCGCCCGAGGACCAGTTGTCTTGTTTTGACCTCCTATACTATCTGACGTCGGGGGCTGATGAGTACGAGTGGCGGTTTGCGTGGTCCCCCGCTTGGCGATTTGTCGGTCGGTATGTTGTCTTTAACGAGCCATTGGTGAAGCTGGGAAAGGAGTATCTGCGACTGGCGATTCACAACGGAGAAGATGCGGGCAACGAAGAAGAAATACCCCCAGTAAGTTTCGTGATCGCAACTCTTTCTGTTGTCTAATAATACCCTAGTTTATTGCTGTTCACATGCGTCGCGGGGATTTTGGCCGCGAATGTCCTGATAGGCCTGAGGACTGCTTGGTGCCCCTTGATAGGTTTGTAGGAGCAGTGGAAGATGTTCAAAGGGAGCTGCAGGAAAAGCACGGTGTTCATGTTCCTCTGGTCTACGCCACGTCTGGTATGTGATTAAAATCATGTTTGATTACTATCTAACCCATGTGCTATGGAAGACGAAACAGATTCCGAGTTCTGGGCTAAAGTTTCCGGGCTGGGGTGGAGGTATGTCAATCATACAGCGGCTCAAACGGTGGAACGGCTTGGGGAGTGGCACGGTCCGCTAGTGGACATTGTTGCGCAAAGCCTAGCGATAGGATTTGTGGGAACTCTGGACTCTACGTTTAGCCTAGTTAGTGCGAAGCGAGTGGTGGATTGGAATGATGGGGTGTCGAGAATGGTTTGAGAGGTATATTTGTCTGTATTTACTGTTGAAGATGTTTGAGATGGGCACAAGGCGGACAGGGTCCCAGCATAAAGCCAAGCAAATTATATTGAAATTATAAGTGTCGTCGGATCAGTTGCAAGTCTGTCTGCCTCTGATCTGCCTTCTTTTCTTCCAACTATAGATCCACTCCCTCCTTAATTCAATCCTTTGCATGTCTCTCCCGCGCATTAACAGCCGCACCCCATTGCAGCAGGACGACGACTTTTCAATGTCTTTTTCTTCTGCTTTCCTCCATCCGAGAAAGCACAAGTACCGGTCCACCTTCCTCGCTCTCTTATTTCTCATCTTCCTCTCCACCTACTTCTTCTTCACCTTTGGACCAACTCTCGCTCCGTCAATATCTCAACAACACAACGATTTTCCTGCAGACCATCTGGCGCTGGCGCTGGAGTCTTTGAGAAATTCACGGCTGGCTGACGCGAGTGCCGGTTCGCATGGCATCACGGTGAAGGGCAAGGGTCGCCACAGGACGCAGGTTCGTCTAGACTCTGCGCAAGAGCTTGCAGCCATATCAAGCTTTCTCGCAAGTCTACCTCAAAACGTCCTTCCGCATTCTGTCGACCCATCTACGCCGCTGGACCCCCAACTCGTTCTGGACTTTGACACGCGGGGGCCGCGTGCTTCTGACGAGGTGCGCGCCATGGTCGAGGAAGTATGGTCGAGGAACCCGGTCTTCGTGTACTCCAAGGTTCGCAAATGCCATTCAAACTTTCTGTCAATAAACTTATCGTTTTTTCCTTAGCTTTATTCGCCGACATCGCGCGAACTTAAAAGCATTCTTGCAAACTTGTATCTCAAGCCTGCGCCTACAATAATCGACATCGACGTCCGCGATGATGCGGCCGTCTTGAAGCCCATCCTCGCCCGTTTGACATCGTCAACAGAACTCCCCATCCTTCTAGTCAATGGCAAGCCCGTCGGGTCAATAGAGGACATCCGGGAGCTAGTCAAATCCGGCGAACTTCAGCAAATGATCGGGGCGGCGGGTGCTGTCATCAACGGTGCAAAGGCGAAAAAGCACAGGAAATAAATTTGAAAAATCCATCGCTTTTTACCTCGTCCTTTGACACTCATGACAAACTGGATGATACACGAACGACCTCATGCCGACATTTACGCTGTGCAGCTTCTGCACCCCCTCACACTCGTTGTAGGAATCTTTATTACGTCAATTATACTTACCGTTTTTGCCCTTAATTTTATTTCACCTGCATGCTTTCCCGCAGAACCGGCCCTTCCTTACTTCTCTTTCATACATACGAGTGCTTCTGCTTCGTCGGCTCGGCATCGCCAACGACTTAATTTTTTTTTTGCACGGACATCCCAGCATCGTTTCTTGCTTTCTGGCATATCAATCGCATAGAGTAAAGTACACACATACAAAAGCCATTGGAATAGGACATTTTCGGACTCGGACGGGTAGATACACTTCTTGATGATTGTTAGCGCAGCGGAGGTGATTGACCGTCTTTCGACAAAAGATGGAGCTCGGAGGCCCGTGCTTCAGTTCAATCTAGATCACTCGCTTCAACTTTCAACAGAAGATTTGTCGGTTTGTAATGGGGTGAAAAGAAAATTTATGGAAAAACATAATGACATCACTCCAGTACCGCCAAAATAGATGTGGTGACCGGTTACTACTTTTAGGCTCGGTTCGGCAACGAGAATACTTCCGTCTTTATCTTATTTGATGGCAGATGTATCTGGAGTAGCTGCAACATGTGATGGCAGGTTAAAATTCGAGGGAGGAGGGAGTATCTTTTTTGGTTGAGTACGAAGACCGTAAGTACTTATGGCGACTGAATAACTTCATCGTTATTTAGCAAAGCAACATCACCTGTATGCGGTAGCACTAGGCTCCGACACCTTTTATGCACTCTGCTGTTTTGCATCGTAGGACCTAGTGTCTACATCTCGGACGGACTTTCGTTCCACAAGCAGCTTCGCAATCCTCGCAGTTCATCACACATCTGTTTTTGAGATGAGGCTGCCTGATATCAATCAAATGAGTGAAGTGGCCATGTACCTTGCTCCCCTTGCAAGTGTGCCTCCCGCCCTCCGAAAAGTCAATAAGGCAGAACCCTCCTTCACGAGTGCGCGCAATGTTCTGGGGCTCGAGGTCTCCATGACTTATCCCAAGACGATGAAGGTCCCGCGCCAACTTATACACTTGAGACCTATGGAGAAGCATGATCATCAATGAAATCAATTGCTTCGACATGATTGCCACTGCTTACCGCTCAGAATCGCTAAGCGCACCCCATTCATTAAGAACGCCGTCACACAAATCAAGAACGAGAACGGCCACGCCGTTGCCTTCGAATGCACCATAGCACCGAGGAGCGATACGATGATGTAGTTGACGAGATTGATATGCCTGCTCCAAGGCAAGGTAGATGTTAAACTCATCACGGAGCCGTTGTCGCTTGTCCGCGTCAGCAGGGCGTAGCACCTCGACAACCTTGACGGCAAAAAAGTCACCGCTGCCATCGAAGCGACACTTCCAGACATTGCCAGTTGACCCAGACCCTACAAAGCAGGTCAACCACAGGCGCCGGTTCCCAATCTTGGCGCACTGCGGAAGGGGGAGTGTATTGTTCGAGAAGGGGCGGAGATGTATCCAAACTTGGGAGAATTCAGGGGAATGTTGAGAAGACGAGGTGATCTAGGAAATAAATGAGCAAGGCAAATGACAGGCAACAGGATGCATGTGCAAACCATTAGCCGGGACTCAGCCGTCCTATGGCCAGTGCGGTGAGTATTACGGGTATTCGAAGAATCATTCGCTATTTCTTCCCCTGAACTAGCTGAATTCGGTGAACCATCGTCGATGTCATCTGTCGGTGAAGGACCCTCGTCTTGTTGTTCAAAAAGAGTATCGAGTTCCATATTGGGATTGAATTCATTAGGCTCGACAGGAACATTCCTGACGACGGACATGATGGCGCCAAGGAGTGCTCGAAAGGGCACTGACGAGTGATCGATACTGATCATTGGCGAGTAGGCAAGGAAAGGGTGGTGATCGTCCCTCACAAGGCGGCACACAACCCAGTAATTATGGCAGGTAATAAACAGCCATTCCATCTGTCTTAAACCCAGAATCAATGCAGCCTCAATGCATTTCTTTAACGCCAGACGGTTGTAGGTGACGACAATAGCATACTCACCTTTGTAAGCACCTTCGGCGCCAGCGTCTGACCACGAGCCCACGTCAGCTCGATACCATTCTGCGGTAACAGCCCGCGAACATTATTCATCACCGATGGGGATTTCACCTGAAGGAGACCCCCGTCCTTGCCATCCACACTCAAAACGTAGTCAATCCTGGAGCTCCCTCTGAACGCAACTTGCTCTGTTTCTGTCAGGAGGTTGTACCCACCATATTCACACAAGCAGTCGCCTAAAGCTTCGAGTACGCCTTTGGCGAACAAAACCCAACTCTGCAAGATCAGCCTGAATTGATGGACCTCAAACGAAGAGCAAAAAACTTACGTGGCTTTCACTTGCATTCCCAGTCCAATCTGGTTTTTCTTGACCATGCCTATTGAACTGTATCTTAGGTGAAAACCGCGATAAGAGGTCATTTTCGGCATCCGCTCCTAAAGTGGTATCTCCAAGGATGTTCTCCAGAGTACTGCAAAGTTTCTGAACAAGGGTATGGTCTCGCACAACATGGTTGGCTTTCCATTCCCTCTCGAGCAATGGGACTTCAACTAGAGATATGTCAGTGGCGTCGGCAGATGTGCCTTCGTTGGGTTGAGGGAATGGGAACATCGCATGTTCCACCAAAAAATCATGCAGGTTGGACATGATGATGTCGGTATTGGACGGGTTGAATCACAGTAAAATCCCCGCTGGTTCAGAGTGAATCATAACACGTCGAATCCCCGGAAACTGTGGGCATTAGTAATGCATAGGAAAAGGAGGAACTTGAGAGGAACCGACATCACGCATTGTAAAAATGTCGAAGTGGTGTGTAATAAAGAACTTGGGCTCCTAATGAAAGAGCACAAGGGCTTCGCTGGGCTTCGTGAGGCTCCACTTTCAGTTAGCGGGACCTTGTAGTTAGGTCACTTGACTCAAGTCACAAATACCGTCTGCATCGACAATATGATCAGGTACATATCTTTTCTCACCCACATATCCCCCTGACCTCCAGGAGTTCCTAAAACTTTAATACGCGGCATATTTCGAACCAAATTCGAGCCTATTCGAGCCCTATGTCGTAAAAGACAGCCCCATCAGTCCTTGATTTCACTTGGGGCGTTGTACCCTAAGTACTTATTCTGTTAAAGGCAGCTTCATTTCTGGAGCCCCTTTTACCCCCCCATCTTCACGCCAGCGTTTTCCGAACGATGCAACGCGCCACTTGCACTGGGATTCGCATCCGGTCGCCCTCAGATGCTCGCGTCATTTTCCACGGTGTCGTTCTAGACATCCTACCTATGGTCACCCGACGGTTGGACACCGAGGAGAGGAGTCTGATTTCACCAGGCCATGTGTATGTTTGGGAGGAACGGGGACCACACGCTGAACTGACAGGAGTGAGTTTGCGTGATGTAAGTATGAAACTCGAGATTGACAAATGTTGTAATTCAGGTTGGTATTGAGCGATGGACAGACGGTAAGATGGGTCGCCTCTTCCATGATGCAAAGTGATCACGTTTCATAGGCATTCGATGGGGACCGTCGAGAGTCCGAGAGGTAATCAAACATCATCTTTAGCACCTGCGCCACTTCATGTTTGTTTTTATCCAGGGTTTCTTATTCTACCACGAGAAACAAGCATCGGGACACTTTTGTTCGGACAGCCTGTACGACCCAGCCACTCCGCGTGTTGTTGGTCCCCTTCTCACTCACCCCCCGTTTACATTCAGATCCTCCTCAAGCGATTATTCTCGGACAATTCTGATAAAGCAAACGTACACCGTATTCGTGGACACACCACGGGGACAACAGAAATGGCACCTCAGTGAGTGAAAATAGGCACAGGGATGACCCTATTTGATAGATTTAATTTCGTTCACAGTCGCCTATTTCACTGAGGAATCCCTTGATAGACTGCAATCTATTGAAGACATTCCTGAGTTGGCCTCGTTGCGCGTACCTCATGGGAAGTACAAAAGTGCGAGATCTGCCAAGGGCAGGCCAGATCACATCTTCAACCCCGAGAATGATGAAAACCCGGAATTCTCGCGTTTGGAGTATGTCCCGTACGCGCCTAACCTCAGGAGTGCTTCTGACAATCCAGAGCCACCGGCGACTAACCGACCTTCAACACGGATCGATTTGCCATTGCGGGATCACAAGGGATCCACAAAGACCGGCTCCGCAAGTTCTGCCTCCTCAAATGTCAAACCCAACAGCTTGGCGCCCCTAACTTATCTAGAAAATATCCCTCCACCTCGACGTCATCCCATGGATGAGAAGGCTTTGATGCTTTTTCAAGCTTATGGCTTATGAGTTTGATTGTTGTTGTGTTATTTTCTTACACCCATCGCGACGACATTGAATACATAACACATATCTGATGGAAGGTTGAAGAAGGGCTTCAGGGTGGTTTGGCAGGTTGCTTGAATCTGAATACCGGTACCTGCTACACTACTAACTACTAACGTGAAATAGGCAACGGAGATGCAGAAGGCTGCCCAGAATTGGCCTGAATTGGCCCAGAATGCATCTCGCCAAGCTCACCGCGAACGCACAACATTCATGACACCTAAGGGTCGCGAACTGGATGTGAGCATTGAATACCATCGTACTTACTGGCAGACGAAATCTTCGGTTAATGGAGTGTACATTACTTATTTGAGGCATTTCTTAAGACGAACCTCCGCCGAGTAAAGTCGAGGCAGTCTAAGATGTTCGATCAATCACGTTTGCAAGACCGTAGACAAAGACTTGAATAACATCTATGCCCATGATTGTCCGTATAAGCTGCAGAATTTGCTGTGGGCAATCAGAAATTCGGATCGCGCGCCGAATGGCAACGGAAACGCCCATTCAATGACCTACAATTGTATTGAAAACCCTTGGAATGAGAGGCGCATATACATAATGGCGCTTTCCCGCTTCTGGGTGATTAAGAGGGTGGACTGTGTGCGGTGGAGCAGGTATCGGTAAATCTTCGGCGGAATACGACATCACTGTCGATGAAATCTTCCTCCAAGCTGGCGGTTAAATGGCTATCACACTAACTGAAAATCTATCAATCAGTACATACGGCACCGACACGGGTCCTGTGGGGACCGTGAACCCCCGCGAACTTGCCGTGAATGTGTCTGATAGCATCTGAAAGCTGTGATTGATAATTATGAAAGATTCCACGATGTCGGTTTTGGATGCCGAAGCCGCGAGCGCTCTAATAGACAATGATAACATTGGGTGACTTCCCGTAACATAAATTCGCTAGATTTAAATAAATCGACGAGATCTAGGGTCTTTTGCCGGGATGCCGAGTCTTGTAAGGGTTCGACTTTGATGGAGGCCCTGGTTGGCACCCAGTTGTAAACCTTACAGCCGTTTTCATAACGATAGGCCAAAAATTCAAAATTACAGATACAGTCGGACCTCGAATTCTAATCATGTCCACGAAAATCAGCATATATTTCAGGGATGACGAGCACGATAGATCTACAGTTATACTAAATAGAGTCATCAACCGACAACTTAGACGTCCAATTTTAGATTCCGCTTGTACGTGTATTTGGTCGAGATTAGGCCTATCGTTATGAAAACGGCTGTAATCTATTCAGAGGGTACAGACCCCTCGAATAGATTTCAAACGCTGGAATCAACCCTGCCATCATGACACCTTTCCTTCCTGGGTACGTTTTCTTCCCACCTACTTAGTCAGCTCTACTTCATCCCTCTCTACTCTCCTACGGCTGAGGGCACTCTGCTCTCTCGTTATAATTTGAAGCCATTACGGAGTTTATTAGTAGTGCCAACGTCCTCTGGTTCCAAAATTTCCTCTCCGAAGCTGTTTTTCCTTCCACAAACAATCTTCTCAGCACATAACTCACAGAACCACAGCATGTTCAGCTCAAGTTGACATTTTTCGGCTTCATTCTTTGTGTGTCCTACTTTCTGGCTGATATGATTGAGCATCAACTATAATACACCCATCCATGGGCCTGTGTGTCCTCAAAACAGCTCAGATGAGAGGGAAGTAAGTTTATTCATGTCAGGTGAATAAATCTAATCAGTTGGCATTACGGTTTATTTGCTTGATTGAATCGCAAGCCAGGGTACCCATTTCAAACTCCGATAAGGGTCAGATTTATTCGTTTATATAGATTTATGTTACGGGAAGTCACCCATTGATATGTTGTTCAGGATAGGTGTTTGTTCTGAAGATTCGCAAAAGTTGCGTAGGGTTGGTTGGTTCAGGAGAGAAAAATCCAAGGAAGGATTTTTTTGTAAGGCCAGGATCGATTGCAACATAGGTGTAAAAATTCGCAGAAGTTGCGTAGGGTTGGTTCAGGAGAGGAAAATCCGAGGAAACCACCGCAATTTTTTTTTTTGAAAAGCCAGCATCCGTCAGCACCATTCAAGAGGCAAGGAGAAGATATGAGAAAATATCGATACTCCTCTCACAGCGACCAATCAAGGATCCAACGGCTTATTAGCCACTCAGGGAGCAGAACATTGCATCAATTAATCCTTCTTCACGCTCACAGAAGTGGCTAAGAGAATGCTTGGTAATGCTTGGTCGCCGACGCTGTACAGCAAGGTCACAGATCCAACCACCAGTAGAATCATCGCAATAACGGTGCCTGTCAGCAACACAAAGGGTCTAGAGAACCGTTGACCGTCAGCATTCAATTATAGTACTTGAATCACGTTGGCATACCCGCTGACGTCTTTTCGCTCGCAGCTCTGACCAGCCCATCTTTCCGTCTTGACTTTACTTCCCTTGCCAGTCTTAGTCACGCCGCAAGTGCAGATAAAGCATGTCCGTCCAGCTTTAGAGGCCTCAACGCACTGTCCCCTCCCAGAACACGAAGTTGTGCTATTATTGCAGATATCTAGAGTCGTGAAACACGTCGAGACCGAGCCAATAGGTTGCTGCGCGGGAGGGTTTGGAAAAGGAGATTGGCTTTGGAGAGGTTGAGCTTGGCGTCTCTCAAACGAGGATGACGAAGATGAATCGAATGTAAGGATTGCGAGATTAAGCTCAGCGGCATCGACAACGCGCTCCAAAAACGAGCGAACGTCATTGACCAAATGGGTATACTCGTCGCTAGAAGAGCCATGAGTTTCGCGAAGCTCTTGGAGCTTAGTAAGTTCCACGGCTGCGAAAGCAGAGTCTTCTGTCGAGTCGAAAAACGACGAAAGTACGTCGATGTCCTCAAGTTGCCCCAAATGAGAATAGAGCGATGAATAAGTGTGCCTAGCACGATGCATGTAGGTGGAAATCACGGAGGAGAGGGAGAGTATAGGGTCGGCTTGGGGCATAGGCAGCGTGAACGCAAGTTCGAGTGAGGATGGCAGGACAGCTGGATTCCGTAGATGAGCAAAGCGTCTATTCGAGATGCAAGAGCAAACCTTGTGCATCAACTTGATTAAGAATGAGCATCAATGCGCTGGTTTCCCCCTGACCAACGAAGGTCTCTTCCTGATAGCTGGTGCCCGAGATATCTCTTAGAGTTTCGAACACCTCCATTCCAAGATGGCGTGAAAGCGCAGCACTGGCGTCGTCTGGCGATAGAATAGTGCGTTGATACGACGCCGGGGGCGAAAGATATACATTTATTGCCTGTGAGACGTGTACTGCTGCTGATAACAACAGACATAGGGACACTGAGGCCAGCATTGTCGACGGTTGTGGCCTGGCAGGAGAGATTTGTCTGTGTTTATGTACCTGTGTCCACTTGATTTAGGACTTGATTTATTGTATTCGCTCTACCTACTACTTGATTTCCACCATGCAATCGCTACTCGGCCGTTTCGAGAGACTTGCTCTTCCGTTCAATTGGTATACATTGGCCATTCAATCGCTCGCTATTTACCTCATCCTCATTTTAGCCCCTTTGCTATGCCTACACATAATCGCCACCAGAAGCCACGCCGTGCTCCGCCTGAACTGCCACTCGAGCTTTGGTTAGAGATATTCCAGTTTGCCACCTATGTTCACCGCTCTGTTACTATCAAGCCCTTGGACCCCTTTACCCTCAAGCGCACATCGACAAACGCGATGGGAGCGAACACCCCAGCCCTCGCGATGCGGACAAAGCTTGCCCTGGTGATGGTGTCTAAATCCTGGAGACAGGTTGCCGTTCAGATGCTTTATGAGCATGTAGTCATCCGGAGTCCAACAAGAGCCGATGCCGTGCTGAGAGCACTCATGTCAAGCAATCACACTGCCGACTCGCCCATCGACAAATCACGATACGGGCAGTGGACGCGCCATATTGAAATATATACGTATTCGCGAGGTACGGGCAACATCCAGTATTTGAAAATCCTCTTCCGCATTTTCCAGCTTTGTCCAAACCTGCGAGTGCTAAGTGGCACTTGGATCCATCCATTACCACTTGATTTTCTGAACTGCATATCCCGTTTGTACGGGCATTCACTTCAGGGGTTATATTGGAATGAGCAACGGCCACAGGAGGTAGCTGATTTCTGCACCCTTGCCGGACCGGAATACCTGGCGTCATTTCGGGCCCTAAGGGTCTTGGACCTTCGACACTTCGTTGGGGTTGACCTGTCCAAGCGAGATAAGTCAGCCCCTCGCCAAAGTCTCCCTCTTGTTGAAGACTTAATCGTCTCAACTCACACTCGAAGTCTTGCAATGGCATCTGCCCTGTCCTTACCCAACCTCCGGAATGTCACCATGAAGACGCCAATATCAGGTGTTCCCGACCTTCATCAGGTCTCGATTTTTCTGCAAGTTCACGGACATTCGTTGATCACCGTTGATTTACCGTCGCCCTCTCCCGACTCTGAGCCTGAGCCTGACAGCACCCTATCCCGGAGGACGGCTCACCACGTCAATCCGGACGTCTTCCTGCAGCCCGACGTTTGTCCCAATCTCACCTCACTCACATTTCCGATCACCTCGCCGCCGCTGTCTCCCTACGTTCATAAAGCGCTCCGTCGTATTGGTATACGTGGTATTCGCGCGGATGGGCTTTATCCCGATAAACCGACGACGGGGAAGGCACACTTAGTTGCCATTAACTCAACTCGATATCCTAATTTAGAGCTGGTTCAGACTGTTGGTTTCTTGGTTGACGCAGACACAGACGGTTTGATCAAGGATATTTTCATCTGGTGGGTTGAGAAATTCGAGAAGCTTGGGATTGATTTTCTCGACGGAGAGGGTGTCTTATGGGCTTACACTGAACCCAGCGCCGAGGAGGCCATGAAAGAGGTTAAAGGCTCAGACATCTTTGTACGAGAGCGAAAACCTGAAGCCAAAAACGAGAAGGAGAAAGGACAATCGGATAACGTAAGAGTATTGTCAACTGCACAGACTAATTCTCTGATGTATTTATCAAGTAACCCTTTAGTCTACGCTATATAATCTATACACAAACCGCAATAATTGCTTGTGCTGGTGACCTTTGAATTTCGTTGAGGCGTGTCGGCCAACTTGTGTTGAAATCAACATCAAATGTCAAAATAATCCCCATTCATCTAGTTGTTGTGCTGTCTAAATTCCTGAAGAAGCGGAGAGAATACTACATAAATCCCCGCCAATAATTAATCCATGGGTATGAGGATCTCGGCCACCCGCTACTGGTCGAGTTTCTCGGTTCATAACCGGTCCAAAACGCGCATTGCCATCTCGAATCCAAGGAATGTGGCACCATTTGCGAATGGTGATCTGCTCACTGGTAAGCAGGTACCGGCAGAGAATAGCGAAACGCTCACCGAATCAATGTTGGGCCAAGTCCACGTGTAAATGCCCCAATACCTTCTGTCCGCCAAACAGTGCGTACGCAATCCAAGGTAGACTTGTATTTCTGTCCAGTCGACGGGGAAAATCCATCGGTTTGCATCCGCGACTTGATCATATCTATGGGGTATATAACCGCCCAGAGCTTCGAAGTGCGTCAGAACTGAGAACTTTGAACGTTGTGCGGGAAACTAACAGCATAGCCAGCTGAAGCGCCATATAGAACAGCGTTCGCTGGGCTGATTTGGTCTCGTCTAATGCCCTTCTTGCCCATCTCCCATTGAACAAGTTTCTCATACGCCAGGAAGTATACGCCGTATCCTGAAGCTTCGCGCAAGAGTGTGACTGCCTGGCCTTTGTAGATGCCGGCAATGCCATGTTGACTATATATCTTCTTTATGGCGTCATAGGGTCCCTTGTAAGTCGGATTCGTGTTCGATTGGGTTTGGAGACCTAAAGTTACCCATTAGAAGAAGAAAAAACAGAATGATTAGGGTACGCACGAATTCGAATATGCTCCACTGGGCCTGATACAACGCCGTTCGCTAGGCCAGCGAAGACTCCTGCTGTGAAGAGCTGACCACCACCAAGAGTCTTCCCCGCTTCACCTCCCTTCCCAGCCGCGAGGTTCTGTGCCGCAAAGAGACGTTTGGCATATTCCAGTGCACCAAACTGTATTGAAACGCAAACTCCAATTCCAAGGAGTGGCGTCAATGTTCCCTATGCGATGTTACAAATATAAGAGGGAGAGTCATACGTGAGCTCTTACCTTGTAAAAAGCCAGAGGTCCTTCATTTTTCAGAATTCCTCCAGCACAGTGCAACATCCCGGTATACGTGCCCTTTGAGGCCGTTTGCATCCGCTGGAATTTGGTTAAACTTGACAATTGAACATTTCTCTTATGACTCACTACTTTGACGATATCGAAGGGTTGACCAACAAGAACCTGGAATAGTGTGAACAAGCCACCTCGCGTGCAACGGAGGAAAGCACTGACCTGGGCAATACCCCCAACGGTTCCAGCCGTTAGATCCTTGGCAGTCTTCGACATAGTGGGAGGAGACGGAAGTTACGGTGTTCTGCTCAAGGGGGTCCTAGGATTAAAAAAATAGACCTGGGGTCGATTTTTTTTTTAAGCCCCTACTGGCTTGACCTACCTACCTACGTAATCAGGCACGTGTCCATATATGGTAAGATGACATCATCATTTTCATCGCTTTGTTCAAGATGCCTCGCAAACCCAGTTTTGTGAATCTATTTCCTACCAAATGCAATGTAGATGATACTGGAATATAGGTGAGTGACTTGTAATTTTTATTGTATAGAACATATTTTAATGTTGGCAGATCTAAGTCTGTTGGCAAGTCTGGCTTATCCAAGTTTTGCAATTGGGCATGTGGTGTTTTACATAATTGGTATCAAGAACAAGTTTCTAAACAACTTGCCAGTAACTTGTAAGTGATGTTTAGTGACTGTATTTCTTTGGTTGTGCCAGCTTCCACCTTCAAGATGAGCTTTGTGACATTGACACTTGGTGGAGATTAGATAAGCTTGAAGAAATATTATATAATGCTTCAATATCATTGAATTCAGACTGATCTACATGCTTTGGAGTGCACTAGCACTACTAATTTGCAGGGGATGGCCTTCCAGGACTGTTTTTAGATCATTTTGTAGAGGGTTCCATATTTTTTTTTTCTCAGCCTGTGGCTGACCTACCTACCCAACCCCCGGTCGGACTTTGGAATCCTAAGACCCCCTTGGTTCTGCTCAACCTTCTCCATCCGAACATTTTCATCTTTAGAAACAGAAGCAAACTAAACTGATAAGATAACGGTCACACATAAATACCCGTACACAAAACGCGCAAACCAACAAGGAACAGTTTTCGAACGGTTTTCCGTTTCTTGTTTCCGCTCCTTGTTTCCTTCCTGTCTATTATTGAGGAGAGCGATGTCAGAGGAAATTCAGGTTGAACATTCAGCCGACAGCAATGGACATAAACGATGGGAAGAAGAGGAAGAGGAGGAGGAAGACTACGATGAGGTCGAGGATGACGATGATGAAGATATAGACGCAGAGGCGGAGGAGATAGCCAGGCGGTTGGGAGAGCAGCTTTGGGCGGACATCAGCAAAGGCACTGTCGAACAACCCTTGATTTCTTCAACGCATCCGACCTCACCACATTCTTTCAGAAAGGGAGAGGAAGCCGTGGTTTCCACGATGAGAACAATACTTGCTCTCGCTGAGAATGACCCAATCGCCCGGACAACTCTTGCTTCCACCGCGGTCCCGAATCTGGGTGGGGTTTCGGTCTTCGATATTCTGCGACAGAGTGTGACCTGCGCCCATGTTGCAAAGGAAATTATATCACCTCTCAGCCAGATTCTTGTTACTCTCGCCATGTCCGAAAGTTTGTTTGGGAATCTTCGCAACTCCGAAATTGCTGCGCACCAGCTTGAAAGTGGGAAACGCAAGCGTGAAAAAGCCGACGAAGGCAGCGTTGATTTTCGAGCGCACAAGCGCCCATATGTCGCGGATAATGAGCTGCAGACCTCGGTAACTGAAGCTGTACACATCGTATGCCAGGCTCTGGGCACATCTGCCCCTCAAGCTCTTGACCCTACTTTTATTTCGTCGATACGCCTTCCGTTACACCAAACTTTTCTCTTCGCCGTAACTTCATCTGCGGCGGGCGGTCCAGAAATGCATGCCCTCCAGGAAATTAGCGGTCTCATCCAGGTTATTGGGGTCCTCAGCGGCATTCAGATAGGACAGCCTTCAGACTCTAACATCCAACTTCAACAGCCCTTCCCACAGGGCCCCGCGTACCCTGGTAAATCGTTGACTTTAGCAACAGACATTGGTACAGCAGTCTATCCCTGCCTTGTGGCCGGCTGTAAAAAGGTGTTTTCTCGACTATATAGCTTGCGCGCTCACCAACGGAGCCACGCAGTAGAACGACCCTATCGCTGCAGCGTGTGCCCAGCGTCGTTCGCGCGAAACCACGACCTTAAACGTCACATCAAGCTTCACGATAAGAAAGCGTGGAAGTGTGGCGGATGTCAGAAAGTATTTTCCCGAAGAGACGCCATCAAACGACATAAGAATGGTGGGAAAAATCGTGGCCCAAAGACAGACATATGCCTTGCAGCAGACGTCGTCGAGGTTGAGTTAGAGGAAAGGCAGGGAGAAGATTTGCTTCGTGAAGAGAGAAGAGCGAAATTGTGGAATGGCATGGCCGTAAGCCACATTGGTGTCTCGTCACTTTCAGCTCCATTTGCTGGTTATGGGGAGAATGCGATGGAAGAGGGCGAAATACACCCAGCAGTAATCGCCCAAATTCAAGGCTCCGTTATGAGTCTCCATGGGCTTTTACAAGCCTATGTTGGTCATGCACTTGGTACGGGACATCCAGGCCCTCCCCTTGCAGATGCTGCAGCTGGCCAGGCGACCTTGGCCAGTGTGATTGCACGGGCGCAGTCGCAGAACCTTCCTGCCGCAAACTTGCCAGCAAATTCAGCTGGCGAAGCAGTTAGTCGCACTGACCATGTTCCGGCAATTTTGCAATCGACAGATGAAATTGCGGGGTCAAGTACGGATGAGGTAGCAAAGAATGGAGACAACGATACTGTTGTGCCATCCCTGTCTATGTATGGCTTATCTGATGAGCAAACAAAACTACTCGAGCTGGCGATCGCCAACGCAGCCTCTGCTGCACAAGCACAGGCAGAAGCTGAAGCCGCTCTGGAAGAGGAAGAAGACGACTACCAGGATGATGAAGACTACGATCAAAGCGATGGTGAGGCCAACGTAGATTAATGCATACAAATGATTTCAAGATGCTACAAGTAAGTCCGTTTCTTTGTCGATACAACGGCCTTTTGACGCAATAAATACAGTGTAGACGAAGTTCAGTCCATTCAAATCGCCCGACGATCCTAACCGTTAGCTTTTTCTTCAAGAAGGCGAAAGAATAAAAATTGAAGCAAGTCTAACGGAGAGGTGGCGACAAAAATCAGAAACGCTCTATATCGTTTTTGCCGTTGAGATCTCACCATTTACATCTTTGTTTTTCCTCCATGGGTCCGCCGAGAATCGTATCGCGCCCCCACATTGGCATCCACCCTCATCCACTTTTCACGGCTCTCTAAAGACTCCCGTTTCCATGCCTCCGCTATTGCCTGTGCCGGAGACATGGTTGGACTGGGTGGGCACACATTCTTTTGGGCGCTATGCGGTGATGGTGAATTGGATTTCATCTGTCCAGCAACAGGAGCATACGCTTCAGAAACGGAGAGAAAGACTTAGAGCAAGGGCGTACAGCAGTCGGCGTTTCGTCAACGGGTAAAAGAGAACAACACCTATCCATTCTTAAATCAACATTTCGGCCAAGGGGTGAAGAGAATGCTGGAATCAGTATACTTGAGCTCGTCGGACGGAACAGTCCAAGAACCAGGCGTTCTTACACCCGCAAAATGTAGCACAAAGGGGGTCCCAAATGAGGAAGGTTGAAAGGAAATTCCTTTCCAAACTTCAAACGTTATGCCGCTTTGGGAATGTTGCCCGTGCTGTCAGTGCGGACAACGAGGCAAAATGCAAGAGGAAATTTTGTTTATGAAGAGCGGAAGAAAGGCTCGGGACGAGGAAAGGCAGAACCGCACTTATAATCAGGTAATCGAGGAACGCGGATGTCGCATTTTAATTGATGGCTCCACAATCTTCCTTGTCGCGAATATCGTACAACTACACGCGCTCACCGAGTTCAATAGAAAACTCGTGTTATACGCAAGGTTGTACCCTTCGATTGTCCCAGAGCGGCGCGAACGAACTAGAGCTAATTGAAAATAGTCGGTGTGACCGGAGGCTGTTGAATTTTGGGATTTGAAGCGTCAGGCAGAGCAGAAACTCTCGAACAGATGATCGTGGAGGGAAAGAACGTAGGCTCCTTCGAACAACAAGTAATATAGTCTTCATAGGTTGTCGCATAGCGATGCAGATGCCGAGGCTACGGTGAGGCACTCCCTTGTACTGTAGATCCAATGATTTCAATTTTCAATCCTGGCTATCTATGACGCTCTTCACTCAGTCACCACCTCTGGGTGACAACTGCGAAATTCGAGGGAGGTGGAATTTTTTTTAGAAGGGTCTGAGCAGGGCCAAAAAATTGGCTGATGAAAAGTCAAAAAACAAAAAACAAAACCTTGCGCTGGGATGGATATATTTATGGATGGTTCTGGGACTTCGATTAGCCAGAGTTCGCGTTTAAAAATCAGAGTACAATTCACTGCAGTCTTTCCAAGACTTCCAAAGTGAGTCATAACGTATTTGATCAATAAATCAAACATGAACAATACTCCTCAAAAAACAGAACTTCGTCAATTCTTTGACGGAAAAAGCGGATATAGATTGGATTAGACACAGGACGCCCTGTCTCAAGTTTTTGTGGCAGGGGTATCGAGGTACTGGTACATAATTACTATAAATAAGACCCAATACATGTCAATGATATCCGGGGTCCGGGGATAAACTAGACTCTGACATTCCGTCCACAAGGTGTTGCTCATAGAATGATCAGTCGCCAGTTGATACCATAGTCAACGACTACAAATCCAGGCGCACAGCGCGATGACAGTGAAAAATGAACGCCACTGGCCTCCATTATGATGTAGATCCGGCGCAGATGATGATGCTGTTGGGCTGGCTGACGAGTGAGATGCGGTTGTATTCGATTGGTATGCGCCACCAGTTAGAGTTGCCTCCCCTGGAGCACCGGCGTTAACAGACGGTATTGCAGCAAGCGGAATGACACACTAATTGAATCGAGCAGGGTATCATTGTAGTCACCGCCAGCCTCCCACATCGAGAAGCCTCTCAAACCTTTTGAATGGATGAAATCACCTTTCGCCGCGAAAGATTGAGCATTATCGAAAGACACATAAACTTGAGAGGTGGCGTTATACATGTATGGCTAGAACAACATGTTAGCCTTTTTTACACTGAGTGTGACGAAAAGTACCAACTGTTTGACTGCAATTATCGTATCGATATGCGATCCCAGTTTTGGTGGTTCCATCTGTGTTTAAAAAGCCTTCCTCCATTAAGCCCCAGTAGGTGTATTCCCCGCCAGGCCCTTCGCTAATTCCACAGACGTCGATACCCCCAACTCCGGACCATTTGTCACCAGGTGGAGTGTTACTGACATTGTATGCAGGGTATGGAGCCAAAATTGATCCGGACGTGAACGCCAATTTTTTGGAAACACTGTATCCATAACCATACGCAGGAACACCCAGTACGATTTGGTCAAGATGCATCCCCGCAGCAGACCAAGCGTCAACTAGTCTTGCAGCTGAGCTCCGCTGACCGCTGACAGGGGCGCACAAATCATCGAGTGGTGAGTTCGGACCTACTCCGAAAGAAGGATTTGATCCCGTATCATAATTCATGACTGTGATATAGTCCAACACATCGCCGAAGGCCGAAACGTTTGTTGAAGGAGAACCGGATGCGTCTGCAAATGGGGCTGCCACTGGAACCGATATGATGAGCTTACTCCCTGTTGTAGTGGTGCGTAGTTGTTGAAGGAAGGATAGAAAATTAGCTGTATCTTTGGGATTGACAGTGTTACATCCGATTCCTTGCATACCAGGGTATTCCCAGCTTGGAAGAGTCAGCGGAAACAGGTAGGCGAGTTAGGTAAGATCGTTTACTCAAAGTCCAGGCCATCCAAATCATATTTCTTCGCCAGGGTTGTGACAGTATTAACGAATGTTGTTCTGTTTATTGCCGAACCAACGTTCGACGAGTACCACCGCGACGCTGTCCATCCACCTATTGAAAGACTCGCTTTCACATTCTTCGAAGAGGTAATCATACGAACTGGCGCTTGGGAGAAAAGTGGACACGACGCACGTTTTGGTGGGCCAATGTTACAAACTGTTTTAGAAGTGTATCATCGGGCACATCCACTTCGACTACACTCGCGTTCGGTGTGGTTGACCTGTTCTATTTCAATGATGGTAGTTTCAAGTTAACAAGGTACTCACGCAACAGAGTATATCACGTGGGTGTACTTGGACCAGCTGACATCAGACAAAGGATAGTCTTCTGCGTGCCACCCGGTATAATATGCGGAGAAGATGGGGTCGCTTTGCCCCCTCTTCATGGCATCCGAAGCCAGCACAGACGTTGAAAAGAGAATGAGAGGTATCCAGCGCAGCACATTCGCCATCCCTATAGAAAGAGAGGATGGCCGAAGTTGAAAATTCTTGACGCTGGAAGCCATTTGAGGGTCGGTGATGGTGATGCCGGGTGAGAAATGTGGTTATTATTACCACCGCCATCATATATGTTACAACAGGCTCCGATTGTGAAGTAGGTCGTCGCCTTGAACAAGGATGCAAGGACCACCATAAATCACTCGACCTTCCAATCCATTAGTTTTCACAAAATCCACAACATTGGCATCCTCTGCGCCTGGCTGCAACCAAAGTGCCGGGATGGACTGATCTTTGGCTGACCGCAAGATGTTGAGAGTAACCTGGGGTGATATTATTCTCAATATGGTCATCATTCAAACATTCGAAGACCTACTGCGGGCGGTGTAATAATGCTCACTGATGTCTGAGTGGGAAAGTCAAGTTCGGTGATGGACTTTATGGTTGACAAGCCCTCGAGCTCTGTCTCTTTCTAGTCACCTGTTCAGCAGGGGGTTACATAAAGTTTCATCCCTTTCAACTCACAGGGTGCACAGGTTTTACCGACAAGGATCGGTCTTGGTACCATTTAAGAACCTGCGAACTGAATCAAGTTTCAACAAGAATGAGAGGGAATACACACCTTCGTTCCGTACTTTGATTTGTCCTTCGATGCACCGACAACCGCAAAGTATGGGGAGCTCACGAAGAGTTTTTGGATTGAGGTCATGACAGTTGAATGCACACTGACCAGTCTTATATAACGTCACGATCATCATCACGGCGCTCCAAATTATGTGTTATGTGCGAGTCTCGTTATCGCGGCTCAAAACATAAGAACAAGATAAAAATTGTGTCGATATCGACCTCACTCGTTATGTCCTTTCTTCCGCCCCTCGACTCCGTACTACCATCGTGGACTTCGCGAGTATCAGTCCGCTCTGTCCTACTCGGCGTTTTACTTGGGTTTTCACTTTCGGTCACCTCGACATCACTTGCTCTCTACTTCCAACAAAAACGACGGGAACGTGTGGCAGCGAAGTTCACCCCTCGACCCATTGAGTTAAGAAGCGACGAGGTAGTGGCTGGAGTGACGGGACTAATAGGTGCGCTAGCTCAAGTGATCCCCTTCTTTACTTACCGTCGTAGGAAACACACCTTTGGTCAGGATTAACTCCCTGAGTGATGCCCTGGGGGTTGAGATCCTCGGGAAAGCAGAGGTGTGCCGCTCACTCCTCTGGACTTTTGTATTTGCTAATAGCTCATCCAGTTCTTGAACCCAGGAGGAAGCGTCAAAGACCGAGTCGCACTGCGAAGTGGGTTTACGCGTGTACAGAGGCTTGCGTTTCTTGAAAACCGTTCTTCTAGTGATCGAAGACGCGGAACGTTCGGGGTACCTTCGACCATACACAGGTTCACGGATATTTGAAGGAACTGTGGGCTCAACGGGCATTTCTATAGCTACAATCGCTCGTGCAAGGTATGTTTGACCATTTCCCCAGTGACGTTTCTTCCAACTGATTTGAATGCAGAGGATATGATACGAGTATGCAGCCTGTTCATGAACTCCATTTCGACTAGCCTTAGGATAACTCTAGCTATCATCATGCCCGATGACGTCGCTGAAGAAAAAGTCAAGGCACTTCACGCTCTTGGAGCTGAGGTCCAGAGAGTTCGCCCCGCGAGCATCGTTGACAAGAAGCAGGTCCGTACTTCCTCGGAAACACTTCATCTCTAATAATGTGAATATTTAGTTTGTGGTATGCTTCTTTCCTAGCTCCTTCTAGCCCCCTCAAATGGAAAATTCGTAGAACATAGCCCGACAACGCGCAGCCAAGTTTGGACAGCAGGACGAAATCGACGGTAGCAACCCCAGTTCAAAGGTAGTTCACCCCCACACACTCCAGTCCCCATCAGCCTCTGTGCTCGTCACAACAACTTCCCTCAAGGTCGAGTTCGACATGGAGGATTGGCAAGATGATGAAGATTTCTTGGCTAAGCCTAGAGGTTATTTTGCGGACCAGTTCGAGGTTCGTAAATTAGTTGCTTGGTGAATGCCCTTTTTAAATTTAGCAAACAGAATAAGAGCAATTTTGATGCCCATTTTTTCGGGACCGGACCTGAGATATGGAGACAAACAAACGGGCGTGTTGACGCCTTTATTTCGGGAGCTGGTCGGTGATTCGTCGCTCATGGCTTTTTCGTCTGACCCCCGTGCTTTTAAGGCACCGGCGGCACCGTCGCAGGGGTAGGTCAATACCTCAAATCGGCCAATGAGAACGTTCGAGTTGCCGTCGCCGATCCAGAAGGAAGCGGCCTCTATAATAAAGTGGTTTTTCCGAGCTTCGTTTCCAACAGTCGATATCTGATCGCCTTTATGTTTCAGGTTAAACATGGAGTGATGTTCGACCGGAAAGAAAGTGAAGGGACAAAAAGAAGGCATCAAGTCGATACTGTGGTGGAGGGCATGTACGTTGTTCTCTGTTTTGTTGAGATAGGCTGAAGCATGATCAGTATAGTGGTATCAACCGCCTTACAAACAACCTCGAATTAGCACTTCCCATCCTTGACGATGCCTTCCGGTAAGTATACTCGCTTGTCCTTAGTTCTCCTCCGACAAGCATTCACCAGAATAACCGATGCCGAGGCTGTCTCCATGTCTCGCTACCTCGTCAAAAACGATGGCTTATTCTTAGGCTCGAGCAGCGCATGCAATCTTGTTGCTTGTATAAAGCTCGTGAAGAAAATGGGTTGGAAAGACGGAAAGACCGTCGTCACCATTCTGTGAGGCTTGAACAGTCTTCTCTTGAAGACATCAATTCTCACAAAATTCTACAGTTGTGACTCAGGGAATAGACATTACTCAAAGGTAAGGTTTTTTTTTGCCTCTCCCCTCGCAGATATGAACTTTGTGAATTCTCTACAGTTTTGGTGAGCAACTTGTTTTTATTTCATGCCTTGACCTGAAGTGTTACAGGAATGACGAGTACCTACACAAAGCGGGCATCCCCGTGGATCTACAAATAGTGGAAGATCTGCTGCGGCCTGAGAGTCCCGTCTAGAAACTGCGGCACATTCATCTCCATGTCGAATGCATTTTCAGACTAAAAGGATTGCTTAGACGTCGAGCATCATCTGGAGAGCAGAATAGGTGGTTTTCGTCCCAATGGTATTATAGCTAATACAATAAAGTGCCCCGATTTCTATTCTTGCACGACAGCAGAGTTCTCATGCTGTTTTCCGATTGCTATTCGTAGTCCCGCCCAGATGCAGTCAATGAGTGCGGCCCCATTCGCGCATGCAAAGACCAACGTCGAGGCGTAAAAGAAGTTGGCGTTGCCTGTGCCTTGTACAAGCCACAAATGGTGGAACAATGGTAGCAGTAGTGATGCATGCAGATGAAGCAACGTTGTCACTATTGGATGTCTGAAATCTACACAGCAAGCTCAAGTCAGAGAGAATTCTTGCTGGCTGATGATAAACCTACATGGATATACTTCTGGAAACAAAGAGATCATACTCAGGAAAAGCCCTGGATCTGATAACGTTGGATACGCTTTAAAGGTCCCCAGGACGCCGAGGAGGACAAATGTGGCGTAAAGCGGGTCATATCTATTGACCAGCATCAGAATTTACTGGTCACCGAGATAAGGATACTGACTGGAATTTGATGCAAACAGGGGCTATATATATGAGCAGGTGGATCTATGACAAGTGGCAAGGTTAGCTGATTGCATTGGAGCAAGTTGGGTTGACGTACGCTGAAGACCATCAAGAAGAAGGGGCGAAAGTGATCAAACATTTCTGTGAAAAAATACCACCACATCCCAGGATTCGGTGTTAAATCAGGTAGTGTCAACCTTCGGTAAAACGGCTGAAGATCATTTTATGGGGCTAGGATGAGTGACATACGTTGCTCCCCAAGTCTGCGGTATCCAGGCCCAGCTACCAGCCACAAGCGTCGATGCCAAACTGAGTATCAGGGTATATGCAGTGATCTCTCCGAGGAGAGGAATCGTTTTCCGCAGGCTTACTGAGATTGGCCTAGGCGACGCGAGGTGTGACAGAGGATTGGTGATGAGGAGTAGCAGAAGCGGTATTAAAATCACGAGTGACGAAAGGGATAATTGGATGAGAAAAGCGAAGGCTAGGAGGGCTGCAGAGATGTTTCCTGAGGCAATTGATCAGACTGTGTAGCTGGGCCGCAAAGGAAAGGATGCACCATGGCAAGCAAACATGATCGAGAAAAGCGTCAAAGTATTCTCGAGCGAAGAGGTTGAAAGCGCGAGGGTTGACATAAAAATATAAGGATTCAAAAGATAGCTGCACGCGTAGACGAGCTTTAGTTGGGGTTGGCAAAGAATCAAGCAAGTCCACATACAAAGCAGCGATTAGACTGTCTCTCGAAGTGCTCGTAACGTTTTGTCGCGCCCTCCATATTTTTATTAAAGCCCACGCTCCTGCAGCGTCGCAGAGGGTCCATAATGTTGACGACAAGGTTTGTGAGGTGGGAAGGATTGTCGCGAATGTTGCGAGAAGAAGAGGTGACTGGAGACCAAATTAGTCAAGGACACTGATGATATTTCTACGAGATCATACGTGGCGGAAAGTCCCTCCGGAATAAATATCTATGTCATGGTTGAATAGATAGATGCCTTCCTGCACTAAAGGAGAGTGTAAGCTTTAAAAGTCGCGAAAGACTTTCACTGACGTTGGGAGAAGGACGTCAATGGCGAAGAAAGTTGATGGTTGTGTTTCAACACGTCTGGAAGGCTACTGAGAGCAACAAAGAGCCTTGCAACGACGAGAGCGGGAAAGGCGACATTGAGAGAGGGCATGAGCTCGCCTTGGGCTCAGCACGTGCGTCGATGTGAACAATATACGAACCTGGCCGGTTTTACTATCTCTTCAAGCTGACGACGATGTATGTCTACGAACTTCCTACAACAAGCGCAGTCTCCTTCTCTGAGCTTTGTATTGATCAAAGCATCGACAAAGGCTATACCTATTGCATACCCGAGGCAACCCAAGCTCGTGCCAATTTGCACGCCCTACTGAAAGAAAGCAAGCGCACCGAGCATGGCGCTAAAGATTTCCTGGCTTTAGTCAAGGTAAGTTTGCGATCCGGTACCACTCTAGCTCTCTGAGACGGACACACAGATTTTAGTTCATCGAGGAGTATTTGCCTCACCTACGAGGGATCATGAACTGCGTTGCTCATGATGAAATTGGCTTCAGAGTCGAACCTAGTATGGCCATGCTGGTTCTCTTAAAAATGCTGATCCTGATTCAGCAGATGGGTTATAGCCTTCTGCTGGCGATCTACTCTTTCTGCAAACTTGTTCAACAAGTCTCAGAAACTTGCTCTATCTGGTGTCCACGCAGACTACGCCTTCACTCTACTAACCTACGCCTTTGCCCTATCAAACCTATCCAATTCGACAGTTCTTTCTCTTGGTACATATGAACATGATCATGCGATATCAGACACTGAACGAAAAACAAAGGAGGAGCAGTTGAATGTTGCTGTTGGATTCCTCTGCAAAGCTAGTGGCATCTTCTCGTTCATCAGTGATTCGGTTTTGCCGGAATGGCAAGTTCATCGTGCTGGCGGACCACCCGTCCGGTTTAACAAACCTCCAGAGCTTAATCGCGAGGTTGTCATGGCGCTAGCGAGGTGACGGCAGTCCTTGGATGATGGAAATCTGCGCTAACCTTTTCCGCAGGATGTCTTTGGCGGACGCTCAAACACTCGCTATCCGTAAGCTGCTTTCTAAGTCTGCCTACGACAACAACGTCACACCAGGTCCTCCGCTGCCCACATCCCACCCTTCTCCAGCACTCATCGCAAAACTCCATCTCGAGTGTGCGTCGCTGTATTCCTCTGCGCGATCCCTTGCAAAGACTCCTGGGTCTAGCAAAAGTCCTGAAGGACAAGAAGAGGTTTCTACGGATCTTCGAAAGTACCTGGCAGACGAAGCGGCTTTTCATGGCGCACTTTCGAGAAAGTGGTTAGGCGTCGACGCTGGCGAGAACGGCGGTCGGGCCAAAGGTGGAGAAGCGGTTGAATTTTTACGGTGGGCCAAGAAAGACTTGGAAGATCTCAAAGACTCAGGTAAAGGTGTTAGCCTTGGAAAGGCGGAAAAGGAAAAGAAAGGGCAAAAAAAGGAAAAGGTGTTGGACGAACTTGCCAAGGTGACCGTTTTTTATAAGCATTATAAGAAAATGAATGATTCTGTAAGTTTTCTCTCTTATTCGCTGAGAGACAAAAAGCTGATACCTTTTTAAGTTACACTTCCAACCTGTCCCGTCTCAGAACGACCTACAAACACGCATACCAACAGGCCGCCTCGCAATTGCAGCCAGACCTTTCACGCCTCCAGCCCCCTCGTTCGGACCTGGTTCTGTGGACTACATCCGCAAACAAGCAGAGCAAATGGAAATCGCGCGAGAGAACGGCAGTTCACGAACAGATGAGCCAGCCCCGGAACCTTCAGCTAGCAACTATGCGGGTGCTGGAGACTACTTTTAATTGCATACGTCCCTCTTTGTTGATCTGCTTGGAATTACCGACATACTTACATTCAGAGTATCTGGTCTGTGCGCGGGAAAATTGCAGTTTGACTATACGTCGGAGTTTGAATCCTCCGGGCTTGTCTGTGATTCACATCAAGTATAAAAGGGGACCCCTCTTGTCTCCCACCACCTCGCACGTCGGCCCCGCGTTGTAACCACTGTCACAAACGTCGACGACGCCAATTACCAGATGTCGAATAAGATAGTGGTGAGCTGCTCACCAACCCCTTGTCTGTAGTAGTCCATAAAGGTTTTAACATGAATATCTCTTCGTCTTCTTGAGCCTACCATCTACCGCGCTGTCATTGACGATGTCATTGCGGCTATTAAGCCCGAGTTCGACGAGTTTGGTGTTGCTGAAGACGTTCTAGCTGAACTCCAGCATGTAAGTGTGCCTTCGAAGTCTCTCGAACTTGACGCTCAATCAATTGATCTGACTCCCGAATGTCTTACCCTGGGATTTAGAAATGGGAGAACAAGGTCATTGCTTCTCATGTGGCCGAATTTGAAGCACCCCAACAAGCACCCGCCGCGCAGGCGGCTCCTCCTCAACAGCACCACCACAATTATCCTCCGCACCCTATACATATGGTACAAACCCACCCTCATTATGCCACCCCTCTCAACCCCTACGCAACATTGTCGGCTCCAGGTCAACCAACAGTCAAGGCAGAGCCAGTTGACACCCGATACATGCTGAACCCCGGCATACCTTATGCCCTTCCTCCTCTCCCTGGACCAACCCTTACAGCCTCAAGACAACTCCCGCCACCTTTGCCTCCGCATCCGCATCCAGGAGGTCAGACGGGCGTACTTTCTTTCTCTCGACCAGGTCAACCTCAGCCTCCTCCTCCTACTGCCCGGACGTACGTACCGCCGGCGTCGAGTCCACAGCAGCCGCACCGCATACCTCAAGTTGATGGTCCTTCGGGATCGTCGGACGATGATTCCCCTTCACCACCTCACTCCGCTTTTGCTCCGAGGACGTCACATCCATCTTTACCACAGCCTGTTGCACCTGCGCCTCCTCCGCCAACTACTTCCTTGGACTCGGAGGCCATCAATAGTGATTTGGATGACTCGGATACAGAAGGTGAGGAGGACGCTGAAGAAGGTGGTGCTGGAGAATCGGACATCGTATTTTGCACTTATGACAAGGTCCGCGATTTCCCGATGATATGGCCCTCCACTCAATCCGCTATCCAGGTTGCGCGTGTTAAGAACAAGTGGAAATGCATCTTGAAAGATGGTATGATTCACATCAATGGCAAAGATTATCTTTTCGCCAAGTGTACAGGGTGAGACTAATAACTCCACCGCTTTTCAACTTGACTTATACCGCGCAGTGAGTTCGAATGGTAGATGCGCAATTTGCATGAAGTCTCGCCCTTGTACTGTGCCATTGGCTTCTCTTTCTCCTGGTATCCTCACATATATAAGTTTGAAACTGCTCTCGATACATTCACGTTACATCTACCGACCACAATCTATTGCATCGTTCAGGATCTCCCCTGTATACATCACACGTCTCCCATCCCGCACTGTACGTACAATATGCGTCTGCCTGTAGTAGACATGAACGCACCAAAATGGTTTATAAACAATCGCTATAGGGATTTGATATCTAGCATTCTTCCACAACATACGAAAGTGACTAAATAATGTAATACAGGTGAGAACAGGACATATACGCAGCTGATGATGTGCAACAGACAAAGCTTGAAGAAAAAAACATACAAGGGAAAAGGGGATTTATTTACGGAGAACGAGGTGCAAGGAGGCGAAGTGCCCTGTCGTCTAGAGCCTCTCTTCGGTAGGGATGCGATCTAGCGAGTGCAGTCAAAGGAGCAAGAGCACGAGAAGGGCCCACAGTTGAGCGGCAGGTCTCCGCTATCAGAGTCGGGGAGCTTGTGGCTGGTGTTAAATCTGTCGTGCCTGGGTATAACTGGGATGGAATGTTAAGAGGAGGGAGAGGAGAGTGACGCGGCTCCGCCACGGTCTCAACACTGAGTTGTGGGAGAGGTTCCGGCTGCTGAGACGGGTAGGGAGAGTGGGATTGAGGTGAATTGTAGGCACTGGAATCGTCCGAGGTGTACACATAGTGGGGAGAGCCCGTCCTTGATTGTAATGAATTGGTCGTTGGGTGATATGATGGATAAGATGCCGGCTCTTGCCGTGGATAGTTCGTGTGTTCTTGTGGGGGCTGGCGTCGAGGGTGGGCCCATTCAGCCGTTGCATAGGATCCCGGAGCCGAAGATGGCTGGGCACCGCGATATCCATGGTGTCGAGTGATTTCTGGACTAGATTCCAAACTTCTAGGTGAGATATCGTGTGGGGTATGTCCATAGCGCATAGATTGTTGATGGTATGGTTCGGGTCCTCGGTAGTACTGTTGTTCGCGGGGGTGGGGGATCGTCGTCGTAGGAGGAGAAAACTGGGGAGGCGACTGGGAACGATGGTCCCGATGTCCTGAGGCATTTTTGTATGGCTCGTACATGAGAACGGGTTCGTGCGAAGATGAGCCGTCAGGATTGCTTGGATATTGGACGGGGTATGAGGGAAACGGGGCGTATGTTCGGGTCACAGTTGAAGCGGACTTGGATGGATCAGCACGCCCCTGGTCGTCGAGCTTCCCGCGATTCTTGGCGACTCGTGTGCTTTTGAAGAGAGCGTCTGGAACGACGAGATCACGAACGTCTCGAATGTCGTCGATCGTGCCAAGCTGGTCTATCGTTGCTTGGGTAAAGTACGCCGCTTTGAATCAAATCAGCCTGGGGTCAGAAATAGCCAACAAGCCTTACTCAAATGCCATTTCCTACGTCCTTTCTCTGTATCGACCCAGACGGAGTACGTCTGTTTAACGAGCGGGTCCCAATCGCGGGGTGGCTGCCGCTCTGAAGCTGACCTAGGGCACTTAAATATTGAGTTCTCATCTCATCTGTGAACACGCAATGTACATACCCTGCCTCTGGTGTGGGCGAATATTTCTCGTAATAAAACAGAAACTCCTGGAAACATGCAGTTAAGCGGAAAGCGGTGCTCGTATTGTTTTGTTCGGTCACTCACATCACGAACGCGCGACGGCGACCACCTTCTACCTTCAGTGAAGCGCTCTATGCCCAAGCCAGTGATCTCACTGTGGGGGCCTCTCTCTTCCCAGGCGTAGATACAGCCCGACTTGAGAGCTTGCCGCTCATCAGCATCTAGACGCCGTGTGACCATATGCATGAGCTTCTGCTGGACGGCGAAGAATATTTTGTGGGCATCCTGTGTGGAACGAATGCGAATGTTGGAACAAGTTGGCTGTTGCATTGGAAGATAGATGGTGGCACGTCTCAAGATAAAGGAACGTTCATTTTGTGGTGAAGATGTAGTGCCCCTGGTCTGTCATTTTGACCAGTGCTCATCTTAGGTCACGAGTTCATCAGGATTGATCCAATTCAGGCGGAAATGAAAAGCTGCCACTGCCAACTCTGGAGGAACAGGATCCAGCTAGTTGGCTCTCATACGGAACCAGTCCCGCATCGAGATTGCTTGCAGAACTTAATTACTTTAACTACTCAAAATCCTTCCTCTGATCAGATCTTTTATCTTTCCGTTCACTTAGCATTTGTTACCCCCTCTGCAATGATTCATTCTAGTACAAAATACCCGTCTAACAAAGTCGAACAGAGCCACACCAACTGGCATGCCTCGTTTCTGGAATAGCTCGGCGGAATTCGGTAGAACGTGAGATTTCTCAATGGAATAGATTAGGGACTCACGTTCGCGGACTCTGGATTAACTGATCTCGCTTATTTAAATCCCACATCCTAGGACCTAGATGCTAGGAAATACCTCCGTACTCACATCTAAATCCATCCTTCCTTCAAACCTCCGAAGAATGTTGTTGGTCTAGGAAGCAACCATTGAGAACGTGTCTCCCTTCAAATCTCCAAAAGGGTTTTCTATCTCTACTCCTTGAGCAGACAACAAACACCTGCGCACCCCTGTTAGTCGCCGCGCGTCAGCTTCAGGCTGAATTCTGACTTCGGGCTTATTTCCACTCTATCTTTGGAAGATTCGTTACCTTGCACTGCCTATGACGAAACCATTGCTTGTCACACACCTGCCCATACTCTGCTCTCCAGTTACCTCAAAAACATTCACCGTTCCGAATCTTCCGTCTGTGCTTGCGTCTTGCGAATGGGCGTTGTCATCGATAGTGACTATTACCACCTGTGGATAAAGGGTGGCCACCTTGCTCAGGACCGGGACCAGAGAGAGGAACCCCAATTCCTCCTTGAACGACGCCCATGGATGCGTCTTCCTTCGTACCCTGGGCTTGCTTTGGTAGCTTCTTCCCCTTGAACGAACGGAGTCCGGTGGCTTAAGATGCATCTCCTACATGCTGACCGCTTTACCTCGGCGGGTTTTTCCAAGACCTCTGCTTTTGTCTCTGCATGAAGGTGCAGGATCTTTCAGCCACTGATAAGGCGATTTACTCCGGCAATATGCGTGGGAGAGGAAAGCGTCGGATTCGCCTCTTTACTGATGTTCTGGCATAATTGATGATTACATGCAGCTAATGTACGACGCAAAGAAGTACGGGCAATAAAGCGAGTCTAGAATCAATGATCACCCACAGGCTACGCGTCAGGCTATCTTAATTGACATATGATGTTATCTATCGTTCAGCGAAGCCCAGCGGTGAGGGACATCAAGGCTTTCTCGTCCATCGGATGTCGTCGGGGAGGAGGTATATTTTGAAGGTACGCCAACGGAGCGAGATTTTTCATTCCGATGTATGGTCTCGAAGGCGGCACACTACGATACTTGTCTTCAGCTGCACTGATAGTCTAGAAAAGTTATTAGTGTCAACAAAATTCTATACACTAACACATCGAAATAAAGACCTGCCTGGATTTTATTCGGAGGGTAGCACTGGTTTACAGGGGCTACGAAATGCTCATATGGAGAGTCAGGTTCGCGACGAGTTTTCGAGGACCGCGCGCTTTTATAGACCCCGGGCGGGACTTCTAGGGACGAAAGAGCAGGGATGTTGTCGACAATACCAAGATAGTCTAGTGTATCCTGAGTAAAATATGCAACTATAAATTCCAGTGAGCGGTATTTTGATAGAACAAACCAGCCCACATCTTACTGAGGTGCCACTTCCGACGGCCCCGGACTGTGTCCACGAATACAGAATACGTTTGCTTGATTAAAATTTCTCGGCGGCAGCCCTGGCGTGATTGTACCCTACAATACAAGCACGCCGATCAGCTCGTTTTGGAGTCTATGTTAGTAATAATAAAACCGACGTTGTGTCTGAATCCGAGTTGATCTCCAAATCTGCCGCCGTTGGTTCCTTTTCATGGTAAAATAAAAATTCCTGCGAATGCATCGTAAACTCATGCGTCAAAGGCATAGAATCCTGAGCACTCACGTCCCTCACGCGACTTGGGCCCCACCGAATGGAGTCGGTCCATCGTTCAATTCCCAGCTGTCGAAGGTATAGTTAGGAAATGATACTTTTGGCATGCTTTAAAAAGAGCGCACCCCGGTTGCCTCTGCATGCGGTCCCCGTTCTTCCCAGACATACACACAGCCAGAAGAGATAGCACGGCGTTCTTCTGTATCAAGTCTCCTCAGAGTCATAGGCAATAATTTTAGCGACACGGCATGGAATATTATATGAGCGTCGGAAGTCGACCGAACGCGGAGCCCAGTACAAGTTGGTCGCTGCATGACAGGAGGGGACAAGCAATCTCGAATGAGTCACAAGGGCACCGTCCTAATTTATATAGATTCAAGCGCAGAGGGGATGATGATCAATGAGTCAAGCTTAATGTGCGTCTCATCCCTAGAAAGCGCTGGGCAATGCAAAATAGCATTAGTGCAAAGTTCCACAACAACTGCTGATTTCAAACTGCTGTGCTGGTGACGGCAGGACAAGGTGGTTAGACGCTGGGTACGCCGCGATAGAGTTTTAGGGCGATGACATTTTGACGAGGAAGAGGCGGGGTGATTAGGGAAATAAGTTAACGTAGACCATTTAGCTTGATTTAGACATGTTGCGATCACCGATTCTCTTGCTCACCTGATAAGAAAAATGGTGCACAAGTTGTGTGTTCCCCCTCTTTTGACCGCGCGCCTGTGTTCAAGTTGTTCGGATTGGTGTTAGATTGTAGTCATGCTGTTACCCTCGCCAACAATCCTGAGCCGCGATCAAGTTCAAGTGTGCGAAAAGTAGGTATGCGATTTCAGCTCACAACAGCGGCGCTCCAGGAAAGTCCCAAACGAGAGACAAAGGCTGAGAGATATATGCCACATGGAGATAGAAGACTATATTTGTAGCGTTTGGTAGGCCTTTGTGTTCACGTTGAAAACGGGGTTTGGAAGGTTCGAACGGACAGGGAACACCTCATGGTAGAGCATCTGTGACATGAAGCCTCCAGCTGAAAGGATTGAAGCAACTGGCCACCAAAAGGGAACATACTATGGAAAAAACCAGGTCAAATAACATTATACAACCTGTTGCGATGTTAATGTGATGCCAATCTTAGTGTAAGTATGACGTATGATCGGCGTTGAAGATTTCCAGAAGAGCGAGCTAGTAAACGTTTTGCGGAATTCTCGGACGCAGGATCCGGGCAAGGGTGCGAGACATAGCGGTCGGCTGAAATCATCCCGAAGAACAATTGGGACCACAGAAGACCACAGAATGATACAGAGGCTTCCGCAACTGGATTGCGAGGATCTTTTTCTCAAGGGAGTCTTGGAAAGGTCACTTGATTTAATGATTACGGTTGACCACATTGCACAATAATTGAATAAAAGCAAACAAAGTTTCGATCACGTGACTGATCGATCTTGTATGATTTCCTGTCCTTGAAGTCTGTAGATGATTCTGACTCGGACTTGGGCGCCAACTCGATTGAAAATCCTATCCTCCACCGTCATTCTGAAGAGACTTAACTCGACCAACTGCCATAAACTTGCGACATCGATGTCTGTACAGCAACCTCCTTGGTCTCCACCAAAGCGGCAGGCAGAGGAACAGGTGCTTCGGGTATACAACTCATTAACTAAGACGAAAGTAGGTCAATTGCATCCATTCACCGTCGCGCGTGATCTCGAATCGCTATAGACAGAGTTTGTTCCTACGAACGGGCGCCACGTCAAATGGTACAACTGTGGCCCTACCGTATATGATGCGTCGCATATGGGCCATGCAAGGTAAGAAAGCCTATCCTTTCCAATCCCTGATTTATTCATGCTGCTAGTTCCATAGAAACTACGTGACCCAGGATATCCTACGTCGAATAATGTCAGATTATTTTGGTTACGATGTGCACTTTGTAATGAACGTAACGGACATTGATGATAAAGTGCGTACCTAACAAGTTCATATGCCTCGTCCAATTAACTTGGCAGTGGTTTCATATAAAAGATCATCGAACGCGCTCGCCAAAACCATTTGCTTGACACGTTCCGAATTCAAACTACCACTTTGTCGGCGGCCTTGATAGATCAAGTGCGAGATGCTTGGCGAATTTATGTCCGTGAACGCCTCAGCAAAGGTCTACCAAACAATGGAAAACCATTGGAAGGCGAGGAGGATGCAGCGTTTTCCCGCATCTGCGACTCCATTACGAACCCAGACTGGAAGCAAGAGTGCTTGAAAAGAGATGAAAAGTTTGACATGCACTTTTCCTCCGCGGTACGTCGGTTTTGCAATATACTCAAACTCTTACTTAAAAGACTACTTGTACAGCGTCGCTGCCTGAATGCCCTTCAAACGGCTCAAACGCAATTAGGGACCGGCAATGTGGGCTTGGACGTAACACATCAGCTGATCGAGGATTCGAGGGATATTCTCGCAATCTCGTTGGATGCACAGGTTTGTATATCCCATCCCTGAAAACAAAATGTATACCATATCTGATCGTTTTCAGTTAAAATCTACGGTTACCGACCCTGCCATCTCCAGAAGCCTTGCTGCCTACTGGGAAGGTAAATTCTTTGACGAAATGGCTCGCCTCAAGGTCCGCGAACCGGATATCGTAACTCGCGTGACGGAGTACGTTCCGGAGATCGTGGCGTACGTAGAACGTATCATTCAGAACGGCTATGCGTACGAGGCCGAGGGGAGCGTTTATTTCGATACTCTGACTTTTGATGGTACCGATGGACATAATTACGCCAAGCTCGAACCCTGGAGTAAAGGCAACCGTGAATTGCTGGAAGGCGGAGAAGGTGATTTCTTCGTTCTTTACTTACTGTCTGCTCCTGACTCCTGAAGCTCCCAGGTGCTTTGTCGAGCCGTACAGGGCGACGATCGCCGTCTGATTTTGCTTTATGGAAGGCGTCAAAACCTGGAGAACCTTCCTGGCCATCCCCATGGGGTCCAGGCCGTCCTGGATGGCACATTGAATGCTCTGTCATGGCTAGCGCGATTTTCGGGGAAAATATTGACATTCACTCAGGAGGAAGTGATCTGGCGTTCCCTCATCACGACAATGAGATGGCACAAGCCGAGGTGCGCTCCAGCCGACCGCAGTTTCTGGCAAAATAGATGCTGATCTGCGCTAGGCCTATCATAATTGCAGCCCCTGGGTCAATTACTTTCTTCACACTGGTCATTTACACATCGAGGGACTCAAGATGAGTAAATCACTCAAGAATTTTATCACAATCGACGTAAGCCTTTTCATGTAAATGAAGTGATGTTTTTAACAATTTTCTTAGGAAATACTCCAGAAATTCACTCCACGACAGCTGCGGTTGGCCTTCCTAACGCAACTCTGGAACTCCAAGGTCGATTTCTCCGAATCTTTGATGACGGGAGAAGTTCGAAACACCGAAACCACAATGAATGTGAGCTTCTTTTGTCCAACCGAGAGGTTCATCTAACAGTCACTAGAATTTCTTCACAAACGTAAAAGCACTTGTAAGCCAATACCGAGCAGAGGGAATGGCATCAGACGGTCTACACCACTATGAAAGCCACGAACGGGAACTCATATCAAGGTATTGCTTTTATTATTATTTACTGTTGCGTATATTCTGACGAACTCCTTCGGGATTTAGCCTCCATCGTAGCCAATCGGCTTTCCGGGCTGCGCTTTGCGATTCGTTCAATACCCCTGTTGCTCTCGATACCTTGCGGGATATCGTTTCTCGCACCAACGTGTATATAAATTCACGAGGCAAAGCCCTAAATGTGCCAGTGGTCGAAAATGTTGCGCGGTGGGTTGGAGAGATGCTTCGTATGTTTGGTCTCGGCGAAGGTGAAAAGTCTCAAATAGGGTGGGGGCAGGTTGAAGAGGCCGACACCAATGTGAACGTATGCCAATCTGACGCGATAGTTTCGCATTTCTTGATGACTGACTGTTATCTAGCGAGAAGAAATTCTTACACCTTATATTCGGACCCTCTCCTCCTTCCGCGATGGTGTTCGAGCTCTCGCTATGGCGAAGAACGAAACGTCGCTGAAGGACATTCTTGCTCTCTCGGACAAGCTTCGGGATGTTGACCTAGTTCCTTTGGGGGTCGCTCTGGATGACCAAGAAGGTTAAATTGTTGCTTTCCTGCGACCTCTGAATATTTGACACGATTCTCTCTTTGCGTAGATGGTAAAGCCCTCGTCAAGCTTGTTTCGCCTGCCGACCTCGTTAAGGCGAGGGAGGAGAAACGACTACAAGTGGAAGCCAAAGCTGCCAAAAAAGCCGCATCTGTGGAGGCCGAACGCCAAAAGCGACTACAGAAAATCGAAAAGGGCAGGGTTTCACCCAAGGACATATTCAAGCCTCCCAACGTGCCCGAAGGAACCTACGGGTCATGGAACGAAGATGGCATTCCTCTTACTGATGGGGAAGGCAAGGAGCTCAGCAAGAATCAAGGGAAGAAGGTTCAGAAGGATTGGGCAACCCAGGTGAAGCTGCACGAGGACTTCCTAGCGTGGCATAAGGATGGTTAAAGGTCGTCTATATGATCACCAGTCACATGAATTGACGATTAATTTTGCGATCTTCTCCAATCCAACCTTATCTTCATCATTGAACCCACCCACTGCAAGACAATCCAAATCCAACACTCCCAGCACGGTTGTAACACCATCATGTTCCAGCACAAGTGGACATACAATTTCACTCTTCGTTTCTCCGTCGCAGGCAATATGCCCAGGGTATAGATCGACCTCTGGCACAACAATGGTAGTCGGTGTCAGATAAGAGTCCGCGCAAACGCCTCGAGCTTTCCCTGGTGCAGTGTGAATAAACTGACATGCAGGTTTGCCACAAAATGGACCAAGGAGTAATCGGCTTGAGGTTTCGGTAGTCGTGGTACTTGTTTGAATGCGCGGCGCAGGGAAAAGAGCAGAATCAAGATAGAAACCTGTCAATTTTCCGCCGTCAGCCGCTGCCCTTCCAGTGATGCATGTCATACGAGGAAAGAATCCCACCACACCAGTTCACTGCCCTATCATCTTCCCTCCCGAAATATTTTGGAAAGGCGAGCAATGCATTGAAAATGATGGACGAGGCATTCGCGAGATTTGTGATCTTTGACGAATGAGCCATGAATGATTTTTAAAACATTGATTCATACCCAGTGTCCCTGTCCATCTAAGAGAGCCTCTAGTTGGGTGTGGATATGCTCCCAGAACTCCGGTTTTGTCTGAACGCTAGATAAATATGATGAGATTATTTGATACCGTTGTACCAGGTCGTAAATTACGTGCCTATCGGGGACCAAGGAACTATCGGCGTGTGGCATAGCGGAGGCCAATGCTGCTATGAGTTCAGGTCAAGCAAAATTTTAAAAACGATTCTGAAAGACGTTTCGCCATATGGTCGCCATCGTACTAGTATTGCGATTAGATTAGATCGAGTATCATCGATCACTTTCAACTCCGTCTTGAAGTTGCCTCACGACGACCACAGTACAATGGCCCCCTACCTCGAGACCGTTAAGGCGAGCACAACTGAAGTTACGATCTCGATAATAATGAACACTTACCTCTTCTCTTCAGTCCTTTGCAGATGTTCCAATAACGGACGCCGGAATTGATACCGTTGCCTTCTTGGAGGCCTCAGACGGCCTCGTTGGGCTCTTCGGTGAGCAACGAAAGTAAAATCGCGGAAAGATACGTTGTTTAATACTTTGCATTAGATCTTCTTGGATCGGCCGCTTTCTCTGTCGTTCAGGCAGATATAAGAGGAAACATCACCGTGAGTTCGATCCCACTCGTGTAAGCACAGGGGGGACTCATTGATGGCGTTCGAACTTTACCAGAAAGTAAGGACACGATACCTCGCGACTCCCGAAAAGTCCGCAACCTTGGAGAAATTGGTGGAGAATGAAAAGGACGAGAAGAAACGCACTGCTACGGAGGGCCTGATGTGGCTACTTCGAGGCCTCTCATTCACTTGTCAAGCACTGCTGAACGCGCAGGGAAACAAGTCGGAGGAGCTTGCGGCGGCTTTTATCAAATCTTACGAGGGGACGCTGAAAAAGTTCCACAATTTTGTCGTTAAAGGCATTTTTTCGGTAGGTGTAGTCGAGGCTAGGCGTTGTGGCTTATCTCTGATTCCGTTTTCTAAAGGTCGCTATGAAAGCGTGCCCGTATCGCGCTGACTTCTATGCTAAACTCGCTGCGGACCCGACTGGAGGGCCGCCGGCGTCGCAAGAGAAACTCAACGAGGAACTAGACAAGTGGCTTGCTGCTCTCAGCAAAATTGTCAAGGACATGGAAGCATTCTATGAGAAGGGTAACTGGGGTAAAGGACTGTAGATCACAATGGGGCTAAAGGACTATAGATCACAATGGATACCTCGGACTCCCCAAACTTTAACGCACAACCGTGGCCCCTGTAGTGACATGTCATTGAAGGACGTCATACTCGAGTATACCATTCAATACGTAGTGACGGTACGCCTGGAATGAGTGACATTGTACATTATTGGGTAGTATACTCTAAGGGCAGCGCACGCCTGGTAAGATCCAAAATACATCTCCCAAACTAAGATCAAAGCCATGGCCCTATTTCGCTACCAGGTGCTGTCTCACCAATACCATGTAAACCCGGACATCTTCCAGGCATGCCAAAGAAATGCAACGCGTCAAACGAGTTAACCACACCTGCAGGTGTGATCAGCAGGGACTTTGGGTTCTCACATAGTGCCACAAAGACTCTGCAGCACAAACACCTGACCGGCAAGAAGTGGAATAGACTTCGCATATTCTGTCAAGGACGGTGCAAAGATAAGGCGTGACGATAATCTCTAGATTGATGAAGCCCCTTGACAAGATAAGTGACAGATTGGCGTTGCATTGCGGATCCGAGATGGGATCTCGGAAAGGATTGAGATGAACCAAACGGTGGGGAACATTAGGCGCGCTCGCACGCAACCCAAGGAGATTGGGGACAGGTACGCTGTGTTTACCCCGCAAACGGTTCGTCCGAGACAACCTTCACCCATTGAGACAATTTGACATCTTAGGACATTATGTGTTTCGAGGGTGCGAAAGCCACAGCAAGCATTAGAGAGAGCTGTCAGGAGACCTTATAGCTTGACGCCAAAAGGTGCGGAGATGCCGCCCAGGGATCTGTCCCCACCTGTGGGGTGTGGTCAGCTGGGAAGCTTGGTCTGCATTTCATGTCCAGGGTCTAAGTCAATTACTGAAGGCCTCTTCTTACCCTTCCCAGCCGAAACACTTCGGGAAATAGTCAGTTTTGTTGCTTGGCCCAACGAATGTCCAACGGCACTACCCCGCAACGCCGGGAGTTGCATTCCAGGCGATGGTTCCAATTGGACGGTCCGAACGTAGGGGTTATGGCTGTGGGGAACATACGATGACGGAGGGGACGTAGATAACATGGGGCGGTTATGTTGCAACTGGCGAAGAGAGGAAGGAGGTTGAGAGGTCGTCCTGCTGATCAACGGAATAACTGTCGTTTGGTGAGAAACCCTGGGTGTTGACATCGATGGTGATGCACTGGTAACTGTATCATCTTCCTGAGCGTGCTTATGTTTGCGTTCGGCAACTTCATTGAGCTCATGCCCGCCCTCGTCGTCTGAATTGACGCGAGACCTATCACTGTAGCTCGAGCTGACACTGTCGAACGACAGCCGTGTTATAATCTCGTCCCGAGTAGAGGCTGCCAGTGGGAGCGCCGTTAGGATAGAGGTAAGGGAGTTGTTGGCAGGAGATCCATATCGACCGTTGCTTGCAGAAGGTCTGAGATGATTGGGATACGAACGATGTCCACTTGTCTCCGGGGAATTATCAACAGAGTCGGAGCCGCTTTTGCTGGCGGTGGAAGAGGGCGGAAAAAATGAGAGTTGGGATGCGGGTATTCGATGGATAGTGCTTGATTGAACAGGAATCGACGTTTCACTAGAAGTATCATGACCGCCGTCATCTTCTGATTCTGAACTGAGGGAGATTAAACTTGGTTCATTGATAAATTCCTGGGCACGGGTAGCGTGCTCTATGGGTATGTACAACACCTTGCGAAGGTGGATGGAGTCCGAGGGCCATAGATGATTTGCCTTTCTGAGGGCGGGAAGTGGAATTCCATATTTCAAAGAGACCCCAGCCAACGATTCTTTGGAAGTTACCTTGTTACGAAAATGTTTGGTACAACTGGAGAGAAGTATGCCGTGATCACACACCTCATGAATCAGAACGTCCTTCTCCGCTTCCGTCGTCGGAGACGAAGTGATCGATACCTGATCTGCATCAAGCGCTGGTGCGTCCACCAACGTCCCCGTGTTCACAATGCGGGATAGATGTGGTCTTGTCACGCCGACGTCGTGAAACACGGTCCTCAACGCTGCAGACTTGAGCGGATGAGTTGCAGAGCCTGGTTGGCCAATATTGGTATCAGTGTGAGAGCGCCTATGAGCTTTACTGACGACGCCGCTGGTGCCCTCCGCGTCAGTAACGGAGGATCGCCTCTTGCTTGTCTCTGCTCTCATGGCTCCGTAAAAGGAGTGAGATGCAGCCGTTGGGGTCTCCTCGCCCTCATCGGCGAATGGGTTGAATAAAAGGTCATGATCATGGGTGACCATGGCGTCGCACTTGTCAACGACGTAGTGCACACTGCAGACCTGGTATGTCAGCCATATGTTATCACGTGATTTCGGCAGAGACGCTCCATTTTACCGAGTCCGTCGACAATTTTCTTGACGACTGTGAGGCCTTGAGGCCAGGCTTCAAGCGTTTATGAACTAATCGTGTTCGGAATGGGATCAGACAGCTTTATGATAAGACGGCTTTATTGTTGACATGTCGCCCTATTACGTCCAGCCGCAGGGGGATACTTCTGAAATGATACGCCTGCATACATACATACATACACCTAAAAGTACACAGCAACGTCTGTATCGTTTTCTAAATACATAGGATGCCATGGCAAGGAGGGTTGTAATGGGTGCGGGGCATCCTATGTGCGAAACAATAATATGAATGAAGTTAACCTTGACCAGTGACCCTTGACCCTCGCTTTGCTTAGGAATCAACGTCTCTGCGGCGTTTCGACCCGGAAGAAGGCACCGCAGAGGGAGCGGCGACCACTGGTCCTTGAGCAGCACCAGTAACGCCAACGACGAGCCCCTTTAACCAATCATTTTCCCTGCGCAACCCATCGCATTCCCTTTCCAATTCATTGACCCTTGTCTCTAGCTCTTTCGCCTTGCCTTCAAGAGCAGCCTCCCTCTCCTTTTTCTTCAATCTGAACCGAGCACTGGCGGCAGTATTTCTCCGACGTTTGTCCTCAGAGGCATTTAGAGGATTACCTCCGGCACTGGGAGTTTCCTCGCGATATTCATCGGGAGAAGTAGGCGATGAAATGGAGGCTTTGCGAGATCGCGAACGCTTAGTAGTTGGGTAGCCATCATCTGAAACGGAGGCAGGAGCAGCGGGCCGAGCAAAGGTACCCCTATCTCTGGGTGTGCTTGGATAAGGAGACACGAGTGGGGTTAGTGCAGTGTGGAACCCTGGTGCATGGTTTGCATGCAGTGCAAGAATTTGTGCAAGAGATGGTGCCGTGGATGCAGCTGGCTGCTGGTGGGGGGGAGGTACGGCGAAGGGGTCGATGCCGAAGCCAGCAAGGAATGCATTGAGGTCAAAAGACTGGTGCGACGGATGGACGGTGGTATGTTGGGCAGGCTGATTACTGCCCAAGTTGGTACCAGTGACGACGTTGACATGACCATCATGGGTCGCCTTCTCCCTGGTCACAGGGGACCTTGTACCCTCGACGTCGTCTTCAATTTCAAGAGATTTTCTTCTGTATTTGTCTTGATCTCTGGAGCCCAAAGACTCATCAGAGTCGAACGTGAGGTTTGTCCAGAGATCAAGCTGGGCTGCAAGATCTGGGTAAGATTGGCCCGAGAGCAAGTCGTGCCCATCGGACTGGGACTGGGCTGGGAGAACGATGTTCAAGCCTTGAAGGTTGGGCATACCCTGTAGTAGCAGCAGCTAGCGATGATGGTGGTAGCTGATTAAAAACCTGACCAAGCGAGCAGCAACAAAGGCCGAAATCGGCATCGGCCTTATCTTTTCAATTTCAAAGACTGACTCAGCGCATCTACTACCGTACTGATACCACAGTCACTTTACCGCCTTTGCACCGCTCATACGATGGGAACAAGGTCAGAAGCAACGAGAAGAAGCGCAGAGCAACAACAGAGTTCAATGGCGCCATATTCCTCAGGCCTCATGACCACGACACCTTGTCTCTACGCAAGGACCAGCGAAGAACTCTTTGAAAGTTACTGCAGAGAAGCCTGCGTAGATAGAGATATTATTCCCTGGTCAACGCACATAGCATTTAATTACGGCGATCGAAATGAATTCTGGACGTACATTTACTCATTCACAACACATGCACCTTGCGATTCGGACAGCCAGCGGAAGCGGTGATCGACACTTACCCTTATCATTCGGCCCGGAATGGAGGTAAAGCCAGAACATGAATATTTCATTGTTCGAAGGCGGGATGTTAAAACCAAGTCGAAGGTCATGTCGAGATGAGAACTCAAAACAGAAACACAATGAGGTCTGAATTGAACGGACGGAATGGACTGAGCTCTGTCAAGTTTATGTACCGCTAATAATAAACGACGTGATTGAAGCTGACTCAGCGCTAACGCTCTCTAACCATGACCACCGTTGATAATGTCCCATTCTTCAAGAAGAAAAAGGGCCTCTCACGTCCTACAACGACAAGGAAGCGCTCAGCATCACCAGGCCCATCTTCGTCTGCGCAGGCGTCGTCTTCCGCCGTAGTTCTTCCAAACAAAAAAACATCAAACAACATTCTTAGTGCAGGCACCAAACGCACTGCATTTCAGCGCGATGGCATGGATGATCTAGATGCTCCAGAAAAAGAGGGACCTGACGTCAAGTGGACGGCAGCTGGCTCGCACGTAAACGCTGCGCTGGAGATTCTGGCTGGAGATGAGGCTGAGGACTTGCTGGCAAAGCGTCGCCGCAAGGAGAAAGTAGATGCTGGCGAAGATGACATAGAGGTTCCTGACGACGGCCAGTATCGGGGACAGGCCGCGTATCGAAGTCACCTCAAAAAGAGCACTGAGGTCCCGAAGGCGATGAGAGTTGGCCCCCAGCGGAGCACTAGTACGATTCGGACGGTCACTATCGTAGATTATCAACCAGATGTTTGTAAGGATTATAAAGGTGGGTTGATTCTTGTCACCATTTCCTGTCAGAAAACTGACGATCATTATCAGAAACTGGGTATTGCGGCTTTGGAGATACATGTAAATTTTTGCATGACCGTGGCACATGTAAGTACTCCCTCCTTCTCACTTCGTGTCCAAGTCGGTTGAATATTTGGAACATTAGATTTGGCGGGCTGGCAGCTTGATAAATTGGCAGACAATCCCAAGAAGCAAGTCGAAGATGATTCAGGGTCCGACTCTGACGACGAGGACGTCCCTTTTGCGTGCCTAATTTGCCGAAAACACTATACTGATCCTGTCGTCACGCGCTGTGGTCATTATTATTGCTCAGCTTGCGCGATAAAAAGGTTCGCTAGGACGCCCAAGTGCCTCGCCTGTGGGGCCCCGACGGGCGGTATCTTCAACCGTGCCGACAAAATCATTGAGAAAGTGGAGAAAAAGAGAAAGGACAAACAGGACAAGGAAGACGCGCTTAACAACCATGACGTCGAGATCGAGATTGAGGGGCTGGGTACTACAAGCCGAGAAGAGGATGCACAGTCGAATTCTTCTGATTGATTTTTGCGCTCATGATCTATGGTGGGGTGACTTGCCCTGGTGCCTCTTGATAATTGAAGGACCCTTCAATGTACAACTCCTCCAACTCCACCGCCCGTTGCAAAAGGCGAAAAGACTTGCGTTGGACTTTTTGACAGTGGTCGTTGCAACTGCCAACTGTCAACCATCCCACCCTAGCGCTCGCGTCATTTGTGACGCAAGACGTTCCTGACCGCTGATAAACGTTGGGTCCATGTATACGATTTGTGGACGCTAGGATATGTAGAGACTCGAGAGGTATAGTACATAGCACTGTTATTTCAAATTCAAGAGTCTTTTTCTCAATTATCTCGATTGAGGTATAATGAGGCATAAATAAAAGATCTTATCGAGATGTCCATTTAGCATGACAGCATACAGGAACGGGTCAGTTCTCCATCAAGCAAGTCATCGCCCAGCCTCCAGGTCAACCAACCTTTCAAAGGTGTTAGCGTCAAACCTTGCTCAACTCGTGGCGTACTAACTGCACTCATATTGGTCAAAAAGTTTTTGGGAGTCACCCCCGGGATACAAAACTGCCACCGGCCCAAGGTGTTTATTTCACAATGAGGAAAGTCCAAAGGTTGGCAATTTCAGTTCATCAGGAGATCAAGCAAGGAACTGAGGGCGCACACTTCATTCATCTATCTTTGGATTTCTTACTTGTTCGGTTATCATGCAGGTCAACGGGTTGCTTATCCCCATGAGCTGATGATGCCCTGGAAGAACAATGCACGATGACGACAAGGGTTCTGTCAACTTTTTTTTCTACATCCGTAATAGCTAAGATATTATATAACCAACCGTGTTATAGTAAGGCCTAATATATGGGGTATAGCAAGCAGGTGGTGACACGATGACTGGCAGAATGGACGAGTAATAAGGAACGTGCTGCGGCATGAACGCGCTAGAACTCACCAGGACGGAGATATGCCACCTCAAGGCATTTCGTCACAGCCATTATCTAAGTGTCTTTTAAGCGAATCGGCTCTAAACGGATATATTAATGACTTAGTTTTTTTTTCGGACTCCACAAGGTTGAAGGTACAGACCTGCTAAACTCTTTCTCGCAGAAACGACACCGGTGAATGACTGGCGACGCGAGATGTTGAGTTTCATGATGCCTTTTTCTATCGTGGGATCGAGAAAAAGTCTTGCCGCACTTGTCGCAGGGAAACCGTTCCCCGGAAGGAGAGGACGCGGAAATCGGAGAAGTGCTGGCGGCCGAAGAGACGGTTCGTGGTCGTCCGGTCATGACGCGAGGACGGTGAGAGTGAGAGTGTTGCGAAGGAATGTGAGACGAGGCATGATAGTCAAGAGAGGGGGATCTGTAGTTCTCCGGAGGAGGAACAGTAGGGGAGCGGGGTATAGACATGTGGTGGGTATAGTTTGAGTACGAGTGTGCTATCTCCGACGGTGTAGGAATAAAATGTGACTGAGGTGGTGGGCTGGCTGGGGAGCGGTGATCCACTGGAGGATACGACGCATTATAGTATTGGCTTTGAGGGGCGTAGACACTAGAAGGAACGGCTGACGATGAGCTGACGACTCCTTGTGGATTATAATAGCGGGGATCACGTCCGGCAGTCGTCAAATAACGATGGGGAGGAGAATGGGCTGGTGTCATACTGCGATAGTATGGATTATTTGCTACAAAATATTTAGTACGGCGAAGCAAAAGGTCAGAAGAGCACATACCCTCCTGAATGGATTGAGGCTGAGGTGCATTATAGTACTGACTTTGTGTATCATAGTTAGGGTATGAGGGTGATATTGGATAGTCTGAGTGATGTGAGACTACATGACCAGTTGGATAGCTATTGCCTTGATCGTCGTATGGGTGATCGCGATGAGAGTGTTGCATTGGAGGGCAAGCTGGTCTGGAGGCACAGACGGGGAGATTTTTGAGAGAGACGTCAGTGATGGTAAAATTGACCGGGTGCAGGATTTGAAGTGTGTCCTTTAATAGGTCGGAACCGCCCAGATGTCATTAAGCAAACTTGGCAAATTGGACGTCGGAGAACAGGAATTCGATCACAGCCAGGCGTTTCGATCCCTGTGTTCCGAAGGAAGCAAGAGCCGTTATCCACGGCCGCCAAATATATAGTAGACTCTGAGAATGGGGGAAGTGTTGAGAATTAGTGTGTAAGGGAAGCTTCTGAACCTGCTCACCCGAAAGGGGGCAAGAGGATATTTTGAATTGACGCCTGGTTTGCCTGGAAATTCATTTATGGCAACCGTGCTCGAAAAACGATTCGAATGGCCGAGCTAAACCGCTGGATCTACAGATGGAAACGAAAAGAATATTATGACCCGAATTGGTTAGCCACCTAACCACGTCAAACATGCCACAACGCTGCCAATCCTCTTACGGCAGAAACGTTACATGACATTCAAGGACAATTCCAGAGCATTCCCAGATTTGAAAAAAAAAATCCCCACTTCAATGCGTGCACCGGAAAGCGTACCTTTCAATGGCGATTCAACCCAGAATGAATCATATTTCAAAATGGGTCCTAAATTTAACCTTCCAAAAGTAGAGTATCACCAGTAGTTTCCTTAGTGAGTGCTGTCTCTTCACCTTGTACTCCAATTTCTCGCTCGAAGTCACGGGTGACTTGACCACCAAAGTGGAGGATTCAAGGATTGGCTAAGAGCAAAAGTATTCGATGACGCGGTCACAGGAGACAGGCACTATCTTATTCTGGACCTACCTCCGCGACGCACCGAATTTCACCTCGGAAGCATTAATAATAAAGTGGATGGAAGTCCGCAAAACATACCTTATTCCCCCAAAGGTACCTTTGAAATTTTGAACCTCTCCGCTTTCAGGAAGGCGACATGCGCTGGAATACCAGGGATTGTTGAAGTTCACGGGATTGTGGGCACCCTGCCACTCCTATGTAGTCTTTGGATGGACTATTTCGATAATAATAGACGACGAGAACGTGTATAGAATCCCGGTAATAAGCACTCCCGGATGCGAAAGTTCGCTGAAATGTTGTGCGATGGTTCGCGGGATGTTGAAAACGAATGTTGCATCTCGGATGTACACTCGGCTAGCGTGGATGCGGAGGCTGATGCCAAACGTGAACAAAGAAGGGAAACGAAGTATGGAATTGCGATATTGAAAACAGACATGGCACCTTTTGACCTTGACGCGTGTATCCAGCAATTACTCCGCAAACAACTTCTACATGAAGCACTTTTACGCGAAATTTGCGAGAAGACGAAGGAGGTCCTCATGAGGGAGTCCAATGTTGTCCATGTTAGCGCACCAGTGACGGTTGTTGGTGATATACACGGGTGAGTCACATCCACCTTTGCGGGGCTACTGAATTCATTGGCTGTTCAAGTCAGTTCTACGATCTTATAGAAATATTTCGCATAGGAGGATACGCACCGAATACAAACTACCTCTTTCTTGGTATGTGTCGTGTTCCAAAGCAACCTAAGCTTCGCTCATGGTTTATCAGGCGATTACGTGGACAGAGGGCTCTTTAGCGTCGAAACCATCTCTCTCTTGACGTGTTTGAAACTACGGTACCCGGACAGAGTACAACTCATAAGAGGGAACCACGAGTCTAGAGCTGTTACCCAAGTCAGTCACGTACTCTTCCTTGCATTGACGTTCTCTCACAATCACCACAGACATATGGATTCTACACAGAATGTGTTAGGAAATACGGCTCCTCCCACGTCTGGACATATTTCACAGATATGTTCGACTTTCTAACTCTTTCAGTGGTCATCGATGACCGAATATTTTGCGTGCATGGAGGTAAAACTAGTGAGTAGTTTACCCGAAAGTACTTGCTCACTAGGCTCTCCCAGGACTGTCACCTTCAATACACTCCATTGATCAAATCAAGGTAGTTGATCGATTCCGAGGTTTGCGTCTTTACCGTCTCGATCGCCAATTTCCCCGTCATCATTTTTTACAGAAATCCCGCACGAAGGACCAATGGCAGACCTCGTTTGGTCAGATCCTGACCCCGAGAAGGAGGATTTTGCAATTTCACCTCGGTGCCTTTCCATCTCCATCCACTTCTAGCGTTCGCACTCACACGACCTTTAGTGGAGCAGGGTATACTTTTGGTTCTGGGGTGGTGCACAAATTCCTTGATCAAAACAGGATGTCACATATCCTTCGTGCTCACCAGCTCTGCATGGAAGGATATGCATCCTTGTTCGACAAGCATCTGTCAACCGTCTGGTCGGCTCCGAATTACTGCTATCGATGCGGAAACTCTGCTAGCATTCTTGAAGTCGGACCGGGAGGATCAATGTACTTTAATGTATTCGATGCAGCTCCGGAAAATGAGAGGGATGGACCAAGCCAACAAGCCGCTCAAAACGCAAGCGGAAGGGTGCGTCTTCTCATACCCGATCATTGCTCCGATAGATTTGAATGGAGTTTCATTAATGGCAGCTACCAGAATACTTCTTGTAGACTTCCAATTCCTGGCCGTGAATGTATGGGTTTAACAGATGCGTCTCCAGTAATTGTACTTGCTATTGTTATTCGCTGTGTAAGCCTCTGAAGCACAATCCTTCAAGCTCGAGTGACTCACGATCTAGAAGTTAAGAAAAGGAGTATACATATCACGCGCGTGTCTTCCACGCCCCATACCATCGGTTAGGAATATTATTGGCGCCGTTTAAAAAAAATTCGAAGTGAGCCTAACCGACATTTTCGGATTGCAAAGTTAATCGTCAAGGCAAGGGTTATTAGACAAAGTCCAAAGGTTATGTAGGAGCGCCAACGAAGCCATAAGAGCCATATCAGAGTTCGGGCCAGGTCCCTCTTTCGACGACGACCATGCGGGAATGACGGTGACCGAGATGGGGAAGACAAGGACGACACTGGGTACCCAAAGAAAGGATTCAACAAGGAGGTCGGAGAGATCGACGATACAGAAGATTTGGTTGCAGTGGAAGGTATTGGTTCGCTGATTGGTAAAACAAAATGCAAAGGTGACGGACCCTCCCCTGTCTGTGATGGACCTTCCGTATCTGTCAAGGAAAGTAGAGATCCGCCATACTCTGTTTAAAATTTATTAGCAAATGGAGCGCGCGTGACGTTCGACAGGTTCAATTACCCTGTGGTAACGCCGAAGGTGTGAAATAACTTGTTAACTGAACCTGGGTGGGGAAAAATACTCGTGAAAGAGCAGCTTCGGGTAGGAGGTGCCTCGAGAGCAGTTTCAATTGAGGGCCAACGGTGAAAAAACGAGTGCCTACTTGACAACATTCCAAACTCCTGAATGGGCCCATGAGTAGTTGAGCATAAATACTAGACACCCGTCAGATTGGGGCGAATACCTGGCGCAAAGCACCTACCACCGGCCAGCATGCCTGGAAAACGTGGAATAACTTCCCGAAGTGTCCACGTAAGTACGTCAAGCCTCTGAAAAGTGTTCAATGACAGGGAAAAGCAAGTAATTTTCAAGTCTCACAAGACTTTGGTAAGACACTTTCTTCAGGTCGCATAGAACAATATATTGGAGGGGAGGCTCTTCATTTGCATCTGATGAATTGTGAAGATCCTGAAGGTGCTGCCTGCATTGTTCGAACGCTTGAAATATGAGACGCTTTTGGACTTCAAAATCCTCTGCGAACTCCATAACTTCAACGACTATGGTCGGTCGTCCAAACGGATCTCGAGCGTGTGCTGGCAAGATGTGCACGTTGGGCAAATTAATGGGGGCAACGGGAGGCCACAAGGTGCTCAGACGCCAAACCAAATTCTTTCGAATAGACTCCAGTGTGAATGACGTTGTAAATTTGTTTCGCTATTGGAAAATGCCCCGTAAATACGAAAATGCAAGTATAGCAAATTTGAAATATCACTCACCCGGGCAATTCGGAAGATTGAAGCTAGAAACAGTAGTGGTAAACTGCATGCTGTTGCCCAGAATCACAAATATAGTACGTACAAGTATCGCTTAGCCATTCTCTTGCCCATTCCGTGGCATCCGGACTAAGGTTAAGTTCGCCCGTCACTGAAGGCAAGATGTCGCGAATAAGGGTGGCTTGTAAATTACGTGTCTCCTCCAAATTGGTGCGGTACGTTTCGAGTAATTTGTCGCGATTGGCCCGCAATCGCTCGTAGATATCCATGGCCAGAGGTAGGAGACAAGACACCTGATAATTATGTAATGGTAATGTCACTTGCAAGCTTCCCACGATCTGCACCTGTCAACATAACCGTAGCCTTCCTTCAGGAGCATTCTGCGAACATCTGTGCGGAACTCAAGAGGGCGTTTTTAGTTCCACACATATTTTGATATTTTATAGTACAGTGAGCAACTTTTTGAAGAAGGGACGCCGATAGCCCATCCCTCGAATCCTGTCGGGCCGTAAAGCAGAGATTCGAGGGCTAAATCTCGCAGGCTGGCAGACATCGAGTATGGCCATATGGGGGACTCGGCTGTCGAGGAGAGCCGCAGCTCATCACTGGAAATCAATAGGTAAACATCTTAAACTCCCCAGGTTTCCCCGGCGGGATGATTGCGGCTTCTTTGAGTCAACTCAAACAGAATTTGTTATTGCGGAATCTAGACAGGTGAAAAAAAAAGGACTCGGCGCGAGACTCGAGACAGTTCGTGATCAATTGAATACATAGGCGCCTTGCAAAGATCGGCCATAATTCTGATAATCGAAGCTGGTTCTCGCATACAGAATATGGTGACCTTCAACAGATCTTGAAAAACCCTCAAGGAGCGAGTGGAGAACCAATCAAGGTGAAAAAGATGGTGATGGGTCTTGCAGTTGGCAATCGCCATTACCTCATCTTGGAACTTCTTGTCTGCCCTGCTGGTGCTGTACTCGACCAGAAAGGGTAACACGCATCCGGTGACCCCGTAGAGCCCGTGGCCAAAAGTGTCTCCAGCCTTAGATAGATCCAGTTGATGATACATAGCCATACGAGACTTGCAACGTTCCACCAGGGTGATAATCTAGATTAAGCGACAGATCAAGACCTGTAGGCTGTGTCCTCAGTCCTGGGCCGGTTTTTGGGAGAACCCCTTTTTGCAAGTGGTGGATGCACCAGCGCACAGGATCGGCTGGAGTCGGACATACATAATGCATGATGGATGGGCGCCGACAAGTCACATCGCTCGTTGACAAGCAAAACGAGGCCGTTTCTATGGAGCCTGGACCCTTTGGGTAGAGCTCAGCTAGACCCGCTACGGAAAGAAAGGGCCAGGAACCCATGTTGGCCAAGGTATTGAGGCGACACAAAGCAACCCACATTAAGCGGATCATGGAGACGACATACAAAACTTTTGGCCGAGAGATAACATATCTCGAAGCAAGATAAGCCAGAACTGAACTTGACATTGAACGGAGTCGACCTAGCAAGGAATTAGTTTACTTCTGGTTCGTTCTGGTCATGAGGCCAGCGAAAGCGTCACAAGCATATGCAGCATGATCACTGGGACATCGCACAACCAGCCACGCGACGGGAAACCCGATATAGATCGTCCCAGAGTCAATTCACGGCAAGACTTTTGGGTAAAAGGGAGCTCCTAGTCTAATTGTGGGCGAGAATGTTGACAAATCGACAGTTATCAGATGCGTCTATCGGTTCATGGTGTAGCTCAAGAGCAAAAATGGGTAAAGCGGCTTTAGTTCCCGGATATGTAGGCGTGGCATAACCGGTTTGCCAGTCATAGATTTCAATTCCAGTGTGGTCCAGAACAGATTGTGTGCCACAGCAGGTCCAACGCCATTTCTTTGGTATGGTACAACTTGCATGAACGCAAAATTCGAGATATAACCATGAGTTCAACCCGAGTAAACGATGTAGTATAATAACTTTTCACGAGATGGCAGTCCAACATACAATGTAATTTGGATTCCGGTCTTGTTTTCGATAGCCTAGATCAAGAGCAGCAAATATTGGTTCTATCCAGTTGCAAAATATCACAAACAGGGAGGGACGCGTCTAGTGGCTTCAAAATGCCGACAATAAACAAGATACTTGTGGGATCGAGGGTGGTCGGAGTTGGGAGAGAAGATGCTCGAGTAAGTAACCAAATATTAGTGTTTGTGTGAATTTAGATTCAGGGAATTTTCTTGTTGGCCATCGCGATAGCTAGCGTTAGGAATGGCGACCGTCGTTCCCGAATTCTTGGATTGGTTCCAAGCACATCAGGGTACCATTGACACGTCTTCAGTAGATGTGATAAACTTTCTGCCTTCAGAAGGCGGCCGAGGAGCTGTGGCAGTAAAAGACATTCCTGTGAGCCACCATCTCATTTATTGATTTAGAAAATTAACCAACCTTGGTGGTGTACGAAGGAAGGACACGTCTTATTCACAATTCCTCGTGATTTGACGTTGTCGACTCGCACGTCCTCACTTCCCTTGAGGTTCGGAATGGGGGCTTGGAAGAACGCCAAGTTGCATGAAGGCTGGGCTGGATTGATACTCTGCATGATGTGGGAAGCAGCCCAAGGAAGTTCTTCAAAATGGTCAGGATATTTTGGTATGTTTCAAAACATTTTACACTCGGGACTGCATTATTAAGTGTAGCCCAGATATTCTCCCAACATCATTTGACACGCCCATGTTCTGGACTGAGGAGGAACTTGCCGAACTTCGAGGTACATCTGTGGTAGGTCTGTTTGATGCGTACTTGATTAAAACTGGACATGTAATCTAATTTTGGCTCGAGTAACCAGAAAAGATAGGCAGAGCAGACGCAGAAAAGGACTACAAAGAAAAACTGATTCCCGCGATTAATGTTCGTCAGCCCGTTTTTGTGTGCATTTGGAGCTTTCATATTGACTTGTCATTTAGAGTCGGCCCGAGTTATTTCTCCCTAGGGATATCCATACGCGCTACTCTGTTGAGATGTATCACGTCATGGGTAGCCGGATACTCTCCCGAAGTTTCAACGTTGAGAAATGGGCACCAGATGAAGAGGAGGTTGGTGACGGAGCTGGAGACGTAAGTATGGGAAGTGGAATGGATGTGGACCTTCCGGATGGCGCCCCAGCGCCTCCAACCCATTCCTCCCATGGAACCGATGATCTTGAACACGAGGGGGGGGAAGAGGAAGAGCAAGAAGATTCTTCTGACATCGCTATGGTCCCCATGGCAGATATCCTGAACGCGCGATACGGATCAGAGAACGTTAGGCCTACTCCTTTCGATGAACGATCTCCATTTCTGATCTAGAAAAAATATACAGGCAAAGTTGTTCTATGAGGAAAATTATCTCAAAATGATTTCTACAAGACCAATCAAAGGCGGAGAGCAAATCGTAGGTAAAGCCTGTCTTGTGCAGGTTCCAATGCTTATCAATTATAACATGTTAGTGGAACACCTACGGAGACCTCCCAAATGCCGAGCTCCTCCGTCGTTATGGCCACGTTGATGTCATCCAATTACCCAACGGTGGACAAGGTAATCCTGGTGATGTCGCAGAAATTCGGGCAGACCTAATAGTCTCCGTCGCCGCGGAGCAACATTCCCTGTCCACAGACGATACCCACGAGAGGATAGACTGGTGGTTGGAGGAGGGAGGTGACGAGTAAGATTTTTCTTTCTTTCTCAGAGTTTTTCTCATTGCCTGTGTCGATGCAGTGTTTTTGACTTGTATTTCGATCTTGAAATCCCTCCGTCTATAATATCTGTCATCCGTCTCCTTCTCCTCCCCGACGAAGAATGGGAGAAAATCAAGGAGAAAGCCAAACCTCCGAAGCCCAAGATGGATGCTGTAGCTCTGACTGTCCTTCATGAGGTTCTGCAAAGAAGGCTCAAGGAATATCCCACAAGCATTCAAGTAAGGGTCTTGCTTCCTCTAGTTTACCGGAAAAGGCGTATTCATATATACACCAGGATGATGAGCAGCTGCTTATGACTGCTCCGTCGTTGAACTTACGACACGCTATTATCGTCCGCCTCGGGGAGAAGAAAATATTGGACGGCATCCTGACCAAGACTGCGGCTGCGTTAGCTATGGAGAGTAACACAAAGAAAAGAAAAACCACTCATGAAGATCGCCCCGCAGCTGCCTCCACGTTGAAGAAATCGAAACGCCAAGCGTAATTCCAAGTTGCACGAGGCAACTGTAGTACCATCTAATTAGAGATAGTTATGGCGGTGGCTGCGCAGTCACTATAAGTTAAAATTGGTACTACGTAGCTAGAAAACTCCACTTCTAGACGACCGTCATGACCGATAACGAACTGGCTTCTGTCCCACCGCAAGTGCCTCCTACAGAAGGTGCTGCAACTTTGCAGGGTCTCGAGGACAAGCGGACATCGAGCAGTGCATCAGGTGAAGCGGCCACAGATAATCTGTTGGACGTCGACTTGGACTCTCCGACCCCTGCTGTGGCGTCGACCACTTCCATCACAGAGGAATTGCGACAATTGTCCCTGTCGCCTGTTCCAGCGGCATCTTCACCTATTCAACCACCTGCAACATCTACCAGTCCCCGGCCTGCGACAGATGTGTCGCTTGATCCACGGATCGCAGCGTTGCGCGCCATGTTCCCTGATTACGATGACCTAATATTGTGTGTATACAAATGCAGTTCTTTTCTTTTTCCCGCCTAACCGCTGTGCAAACAGGCAATCGGTACTAGAATCCGTTAACGGAAGTCAAGATGCAGCTATAGACGCTCTATTGGGCATGAGCGACCCCGAATACACAAGTGACACACGGCATCAAGAACCTGTTCTCGTACATACTTCTCCTGTCTCATTTTTCACACATCCCTCATTCAAAATCCGTTTTCCAGACACAAACTGATCTAGATGAGCAACTTGCCCGTCGGCTGATGCTTGAAGAGCAGGAGGCCCAACAGCAACAATGGGCAGCGCAGCCGCCACAGCCTGCTACCCCGCAGCGTCGCAATACCCGCCCTTATGAGGTTTACCAACAGCAATACCATCAACAAGGCGCTCTGCCACCTGCTGGAGAGAGAGATACAATGGCAGAATTCCAAGAGCAAATTAACAAGATAGCCGAGAGTATGTTTCATCTCGTATTTGTCCAAAGATGTGGCTCAATTCTGATGGTAGCTGGAAAGAAGACATTCGGGAATATCTTCTCAAAGGTCAAAGCTAAGATCCAAGAGTATGACCAGGGCAGGTGAGAATCTTGGATAACACAGGAGCTAGTGCTCAAAAAGTTGTAGACCTGTTCAAAGCTCAGCTGGAGGGTACAACCCAAACCAGCAGCAGCAACAGCCTTACTACGGTCAGGCTGAGCCAATGGCCACGCAGTCGCGGCCGCAGCAACCCGCGTACTACGATCCCAACCCGCCGATGTCTCCACCCACAAGTTCAATCACTCCACCAGCAGCGGCTATTCACGGCTATGACGTGACCCCACCGCCTGCGACTACTTTTGCGCCTCCATCGGGGTCTCCCCCACCCGCTTCGACAAGCAGAGGAAGCAATGACGTACCTCGTCCGCCTCAAACGGGCACGGGCATGCCCATTGATGCTGGTGAGTAATTTGAACGAGTTCTTGAGCATCACGTTGAGCTGTCATCCAGGCAAATTGGGATTGTTGCCCAAGCGACCCGTTTCGTTGTTGCCTGACCCTGCCGCTGCCCCAGCTCATGTCCAGCAACCGACTGATGATGACGATGGTTTAGAATATGTTGAGAACCCTTTTGAGGACCCAAGGAAATAGGGATATTTGTTGTATGCTATTCCCGTCTGTTATTTTGGAGATTTTCTTATGGACATAACGCACGAGAGAGCCATTTGTGGTATATTAAACCGATTAGTGCACGAATGGAGATACTACAGCTTTGGCAGTTGTTGCAGCTACTTGAGGAGCAGCTCCAACAAAGTCATTCGCAGAACCGATCATGAGCAACCCAACTACGCAGAAAGATGAGTATGTGCAGAGGGAGGGTTTCAAGCTGTCACGCACCAATAAGACCGAAGAGGCCCAGAATACTGCCAAAGACCTCTACAACGAGAATTTTGACAAACAAATCTGGGTCTGCAGCGTCGGCGAGCGCCGCAGTAGACCCAGTGACGCCAACACAGACACCACATATCAAATTACACGCTCCAACAGTCAGACCACCCCAGAAAAGCGCGAATCCTTTGCGTAACAGTTAGCTTTGTTTATTGGAGGGGGTGGGGGCAGTAGTTACCTGTGAAGTAATTTTCGCGTGTGTATAGAACGCTTTCGGCGACAGCGTTCAGTTTTGCAGAATATACGATGCCGATGATCTACGAGATGGTAAGGTGGTGCTGTTGAAAGTGGGGAGAAGGAAGAGCGCACGACTCCGTATATGGCGACAACTTCGCAGAAGATAATGCTAGTTCAGAGTATGAGGAAAAGAAGAGTAATCACAAATCCCAAGGTACCTGATAAGATTCTTTGTCGTGATGCGAGGAGTTCTGACGCCTCCTCCAAGGATAGATGATCCCGTTACAAAGATTCCCCTTCAGTGACATCAGCAGCTGGGCACCAAGGAGCGATACGAGGAACGTACCACCCCGCACCCAAAACACTTAGACCGATGCAAAGGCCAATTCCAACAGCGCCCCACGCATATGGGCTTGATTCTTCAAGAAAGCGACCAACGTTGAACGCCTCTCCGGAGTCTGGTAAAGGGTTAATAACTGCGGATTTTTCGTGTATGAACACGTACCGGTAAAGAGAAGATAGAGTGCAATAATAATTACGAGAAAGGTAGGGAGGCCATAGGAATAATAAGTCGAGTAATAGCCCATGTCGCAGTCGACAGGTAAGAGGGCTGTTTGCGAGTTGTTTGGTCGCACTTGACCATGTACCATTTATTGAAGGGCCTTCATGAACATCTAACAAGGTTCGTATTCAATGTTTCTTTGCTATCATGATTCACCACCGTGTTTTAGGAAGGAGGAATTCTCAGTAATCATCATTGGTCTCGATGCCGCGGGCAAGACCACCCTTCTGGAGAAAATCAAGACTCTGTACAACGAAACACCAGGCCTATCTCCGGACAAGATTGGCCCAACAGTTGGCCAGAACAGTACGTCACTGTCATACAACAGATGTTGAACTTACTCACTCGTATTTAGCTGGAAAGATAGTACTCCCCTCAACCATCCTGCAATTCTGGGATTTAGGCGGCCAACGAGGTATTCGCAACATCTGGCATAGGTACTACGACGACTGCCATGCTGTAGTCTACGTAATCGATGCGGAAGACCGGGAAAGGCTGGCTGAGGGTTGGGAGGTATTCGGTACGTTGTTCAGCCTGATGCGCGTCGAACCTTCATTCATTTGACACCCAAGCACATTAGACTCTGTCCTATCTGCTCCTCAAATACTGGGCATACCCCTCCTGCTGCTCGCCAATAAGCAGGATTCACCGCAGAGCTTGTCCGTTGAAGAGATAAGACACGACTATGAAGACTGGCATCAAAGAAAGCTCGAAAGTGCCCGAAGAAACCGTTATGGTGAATCAGAGAACGATGGGTCCGCCAGGAGGGAGAGAATAGCGAGCCTGGATGTAATGGGTGTATCTGCTTTGGAAGGGTGAGTACTCTTGGAAGTTCTTGATGATGCTTTCAACCCCGTCAGTAGGACAGGCGTTAGAGCAGCAGTCGACTGGCTTTTTATCAGAGTCCAAAACAGCAGAAGGTATACTATTATACTCGAGTCACCAGGGCTACTCACTGACGACAATGCAGACAAACAGAAGAACGGTAATAATTCATAAACTCCCAAACCTGGACAAATTAATCACTGGGGGATATACGTACGTGCATTGTGGAGAATTAGTTCCTTGTTATCCCACACAGTTTTTGCCAAGAAAACACCTAAACCGGTGGTCACGATTGGCTTGCCTGCTATTCGCCACAAGTCACACAGTAAAGGAGAGTAGTATTGCAATCCTTTTGCACCCCTGCCATTTTGAGTGAGTGAGCTCGAGAGATATGTAGAAAGGATGAAGAGTGCATACGCAAGAAGGGAGTTCACCCTGTCATCTATCATTTTGTATACCCCGAGTTTGAATTCTTCCTTCGGTACCAGGAAGACGGGGCCATTGTCGGGCAGAAGCCATGCACAACCGTTCGTCGTAGAATCGGGGTTGGTAGCAGCATAGAAAATGGCACCTGCTATGCGTGGAACAGGCGTAAGTGGGATTCCAGCCAGGAGAAGCTTCACTGGAATTGGAACTATGGCCGTGTCTAGTGAAGTGTCACGATAATTCCAAAAAGCAGGAGTAGAATACGCCTGACCAGCGAAGAAGGGATGTATGACAGCAATTCTGATGCCCTTTAACTCGAGGGGTATATGGAGGGACCTCATCATGCCCAGGACGGCGTGCTTCGAAGCTGTATACAATTCCGCTTTGGGAATTCCCGACCAAGATGCTGAACGTCGATGAGCGCGAGTCATGTTAACAAGGTACTACCCACCCATAGACCCAATAAGAACAATTACTTTGAGGTCACCATCCCTTTGATTCACTAGCAGATAATGTTGCGCCAGATGTGTAGCTGATTATTTAGTCTACTCGTTAGAGGTAGTGTTGACACCTGAAGACTCTAGACTCACTATACAGAACCGCTAGCAGGTTGACTTCAATTGTAAGCATCCCTGGTTTGATGGGTCTGCCGTCCTTGAAGTTGACTGTCTCGAAGTCCCCTGCTTCCGAAATGCCTGCATTGGGGACCTAATAGGTAGCGCGGGAATGACAATCAACTCGATATTGAACCCTCCGGCAACTCTTAAGACGCACGACGATGTCCACTTGACCGTATTTTGCGATTGCCAGCTCAAACAGAGCGACAAGATCATCCCATTGAGTCACATCGCACTTGATAGACGTGGCTTGCCTAACAATTGAAGCGTCAATAGCAAATATAGAAAGCGATGGAAAGACGTACCCGCCCGTTTGTTCAATATCGCTGACGAGCTTTGTAGCCCGAGCAACATCCAAATCCCCAATGACGACTTTGGCACTGGAAAGTCATGTCATTTCGTTGAGCGGCTAAGAATGAAGTAGGAACGTACCCATATGACGCGAAGCGCAGAGCAGTCTCTTTGCCTATTCCATTGGCGCCACCTTCCCGAATAGCGCATTGTTATTCAGGAGTTCATCATCGCCATTGTTGGAGGAACTAACCTGTGATGATGGCTACCTTGTCTTTAACACGGTCGGCATAGGCGAACAGGATGTCGTCGGGAATAGCAGTCATGACAGGACGCGTTTGGTAGGGCCAAAGAGCGTTCTAGGGAAACTCCGCACAGGAAAGACAAACATTGAAGTAGATATAAAAAAGTAGCTTTTGCCCTCAAATACTTCCTAGTGCTGTTGAGTTTTTTGTAGACATTGTATTACTCTGTTCCAAAGCGACGAATAGTCGGGGCTCGATCAAGACTCGAATCACTCGATCATCATCGGTAGCAAATGTTTTGTTTGGTAATGCTTGGAATGAAAGCCAACGTGGTCCGAGCGCATTCCCCCTTGGAATTCTTCTCCATCACGACGGCTGAGCCTATTCATGTGAAGCAGCATTGATAAATTCGCACCACTCCATAAATAAAGGTCGATATCGTACCACACCCCATACATAACCTGTACCGCTACCATCCCCGCCAAAATGCCTATCACTGGAAGGAGGAGGAACAAGGTCAAGGGTGTTCAATTCACAATTATGGTCGTCGGTAAGGAGTTCTGTAACAGCTGGACGTGAAAGCAGTGCTAACTATAACAGGCGCTTCTGGCACCGGCCGCACGACTTTTGTAAACACCCTCTGTGAAGCTGACGTCCTTTCTCACAAGATCTGTGACAGCCCAGAGTCTGCGCATCTTGAAGAGGGAATCAGAATCAAACCTGCCAACGTTGGTCAGTCCATCTATTCTTGTTGATAGCGCCTTTTAAATCTCATGTATTTGCAGAGCTCGAAGAGGACGGCATTCGTATTGCCCTTACTATAGTCGATACCCCTGGATTTGGAGACAACATTGACAACGAGCATGCGTACGTTACACCTCTGAGGCGGCGACAATGTCTTATTGCCTTCAAACAGTTTCCAGGAGATCATGACTTATCTTGAACGTCAATACGACGATATTTTGGCAGAGCAGTCCCGTATCAAGCGTAACCCTCGCTTCAGGGATAATAGAGTACATGCTCTATTATATTTTATCCCTCCGACAGGCCACGCGTAAGATCTCCCCTCATTTTCTACATTTAATTTTGCCTCTAACCGAGCAACTAGTTTGAGGGAAATGGACATCGAGTTGATGCGACGGCTCTCGCCTCGTGTTAACGTTATTCCCGTCATCGGCAAGGCTGATTCCTTGACACCGAAGGAATTGAAGGCATTTAAGAAGAGGGTACGAACGCGTACTTCTATCGTTGGCACTGATTTACATTTTTGTAGATAATGGAGGACATCGACCATTACGAGATCCCCATCTACAATTTCCCTTATGACGTTGAGGAGGACGACGAGGAAACTATCCAGGACAACATGGAGTTGAGGGTAAGCTTCAGTCCTTTACCTTGGCGGTTAATAGTAACTTTCAAAAACATCAGGCCTTGTTACCTTTTTCCATTGTAGGCTCGGAGGAAGAGATAGAAATCGACGGAGAGCCCGTTCGTGCTAGAATATACCCATGGGGCATCGTCGAAGTTGACAACCCACACCACTCTGATTTCGTCAGACTCCGTGGCGCTATTCTTGGGTAAGCTTACTCTTCTTTGCTCGTACGTTAAGTAACCATTATTAGGTCTCATTTGGGTGACTTGAAAACTTTGACCGAGGATGTCTTATATGAAACTTATCGTACCGAAAAACTGTCGAGGAGTGTTCATTCGGATATGCGGTAAAGTTGAACTCACATAATTCCTCTCCCCTTGTTAATCTTTTTTTCAAGTGAATCACAAATACTTCCCGAGGAATTAGCCTCTCAAAGCGTTCGTCTCAAGGAGGAACAATTACGCCGCGAGGAGGAGAAGGTCCGTCATTCACATGCTTTGTACCTCTCCCAATCTGATTCTCCGTCTAGCTGCGTGAGATCGAGTTGAAAATGCAGAGAGAAATCAACGAGAAGAGGCAACAACTCATGGCGAAAGAAGCAGCTCTCAGGTCAGTCGATTTTTCTTTAGCAGATGGAATTGGAGCTGAATCCTGGCTTAGGCAGATGGAAACTCGGATTGGTATCCCCGGAGATTCCAGCTTCTAAACTCCTCCCTTTGGACTTTTTACGATCTATATTCTTGAAGGATGGCTTTCTTGGGACGGATAGAGCTACGATATTTGAATATATACATACGTATACCCTTGCACAGTATGTAAAGATTCGGCGAGTCGGAAGCATTTCCTGGTTTACCAAATCGGATCAATTTCACACATGTAACTTTAGCTGGATGGCGAACCAGTTTGAAGACCGAAGCAATGAATTGTCCATGGATCCTGTAGAGTTAGACGACGAAGAACTTGAGCAGATACGGTATGATCCTACCTTGACACTCTTCATCTGTTAGCTAACCTATTTACTGACAGCCGCTATGAAGATTTTACGACGATAGGTGCGCCATACAATTCCGTCAAACTGTCATTCAACTGAAGTTCTCTCCCCAGACTGGATACAGGACTCAAAATTGGAACGAAGTCAACGCATAAGAAATGCCCGCAACAACTATGCACCGAGGCGCGGTCCTCGGGGTGAGGTGACGATACCATGGGTGTGGGCGCGCGTCCGAGGCGCCGCAGACGCTGCTCAAACCTGGTTCGTAGTGAGTCTCGTCGGTACGTCACCCACGTTATTCTATAGCAGAACCGAGCTATATGTTTGCAACTTATAGGCGTATGCATTGGAGTAAACGCTGCCATCATCTCCATCGTCAGCGAATGGTTCTCGGACATCAAGATGGGATACTGTTCAGATGGTTGGTGGCTGAACCAGCAATTCTGTTGTTGGGAGATGGAGGGGGATGAGGTGGACGGTTGTGAGACGTGGCATACGTGGAGCACGGTGACGTTGGCGAGGTGGATTATATTTATCATGTTCGCGGTGAGTTTTTTTTGGCCATTGTGTTCCCTCTTTCGTATTCACTTTTTTCGGTTGTCATTTAGGCTATCTTTGCTTTCATTGCTTCGCATCTTGTGCGCTCTCTTGCGAAATATGCTGCTGGTTCTGGTATATCCGAAATCAAGTGCATTTTGGCTGGCTTCGTTATGCAAGGTTACCTGGGATTCGCAACATTCTTCATTAAAAGCGTTACACTTGTAAGCGGCTTGTTTTCTTCCTCCCCATCAACCTTCCATCGTTGAAAAAAACGTAGCCTTTAGTCATCGCGTCGGGATTGTCTGTTGGGAAGGAAGGACCTTCCGTTCATGTTGCTTGCTGCGTTGGATCATTAGTTGCAGGCGCATTTGACAAGTTCAGACGTAGCCAAAGTAAATGTCGTTCCCATCGTTGTATGTCTTGCTTATTGTTTTCGATAGGCAAGACTCGCGAAATCATCACAGCGGCAAGTGCCGCAGGTGTGGCCGTCGCGTTCGGCTCTCCCATTGGCGGCGTTCTATTTTCAATAGAGGTATTTACAACATCTTTAAATCCTTTATGTATACGCATTTTCAAATGTTGCAGGAAATGAGCCATACTTTCAGCATCAAAACGATGTGGAGAAGTGTCTTTTGTGCTCTCGTAGCCACCTTCACCCTATCGGTTAGTTTTACAGTTCCCATCCTGTCTGAACCGCCTCAAAGTGAATCATGCAGGCTATGAACCCTTTCAGAACTGGAAAACTGGTGTTGTTCCAAGTCACATATGACCGTGATTGGCATTTCTTTGAAATTATATTCTTCGTCATCCTCGGCATTTTTGGCGTAAGTAAGGCAAGCTTTGGGTTGATGTTGTCAATTGATGATTCTTGCAGGGACTTTATGGTGCATTCGTGGTGAAGTTCAATCTTCAAGTTGCTGCGTTCCGTCGGAAACACCTGGCAAACCACGGCGTGGCGGAAGCAGTCACCCTTGCGACTATCACAGCAATGATTGGTTACTTCAACCGTTTCTTGAGGATTGATATGACTTCCAGTATGGCAATTTTATTCAGAGAGTGTGAGGGTGGAGGTAATATCTATAATCTCTGCCAGTCAGTCCAAGCCCTTCCAACTGCCCTAGATTGTTGAAGCTAATTACATCTTGGTCAGAACTCACGCTCAGTGGCGGATATCCAACTCATTGCTTCTTGCGACTATCATCCGCATCGGATTAGTCGTCATCACGTATGGGTGTAAAGTACCGGCAGGAATCTTCGTTCCTTCTATGGCCATTGGAGCCACCTTTGGAAGAATGGTCGGAATAATGGTCAAAGCGATGTATACGTCCGTGTTCCTCGTCTTCTTTCACGAATCATTCTCACTGTCGCTCTAGTGCGTACCCACACTCTGGTATCTTTAAATTCTGTGCGCCGGACGTGCCCTGCATTACGCCTGGAACATATGCTTTCCTTGGAGCTGCAGCTGCTCTCAGGTACGCACAATTTATATTATTCTGACGTTTCTCACAGTGCTGTAGTGGAGTCATGAGAATCACTGTTACTGTTGTGGTTATTATGTTCGAGTTAACTGGTGCATTGACATACATCTTGCCAACTATGGTAGGCTCCACTTGATGAATGGTGCAGCCGCTCGCTGACACATCGTTGCCCAGATCGTTCTACTGGTTACTAAAGCTGTTGGCGACTTCCTTGGGACCAATGGGATTGCGGACGAAATGATTAGGTTTAATGGATTTCCTTTCTTGGAGAAAGAGGACCATGTTTACAATGTATCAGGTGTGTAAATTATTATTTTTCCCGAAGTACCAGTTCTAAATTGTTCTTAGTATCTGCTGTTATGCGAAAAGATCTCCAAACTTTGTCAGAATCGGGCATGCGTGTCAAGGATGTCGGTGAGTCTTGCTTTCCCCAATTATTACATCAGTTTCTCAACATGTATAGAGTCGATGCTATCATCGACCGACGTCAAGGGCTTCCCCATCGTGTCAGCGGATGGCTCGCTGACTCTCGTGGGCTACATTGATAGGAGCGAGCTGCGTTATGTTCTCGGTATGTCCCTCTCTGTTTTCCACAAGAAAAATCGTTCACTAGTTATTCGGTAGAACGTGCACGAAAGACTAGAGGGAGATTTTCCCACACACCTTGCTTATTTACGCCGCAGGGATATGATCATGACTTGGACCTTGCTGATGACGGCCTCGAGGACACTCCCGAAAGGTTCTTCGCTCCAACATCAGAGGGAGAGCTGCAATTTTGGCCGTGGGTCAATCAGGTATTTACATCTCTTAGCTACTTCTCCCAATTAATCAATCATCTACAGACACCCATGACGGTGTCTCCACAACTACCCTTGGAAATTGTCATGCAAATATTCAAACGACTGGGGTACAGAGCGACTCTCTCGGAAATAGCATTCGCTGACCAACGATCATAGTCCGCGCGTCATCTTAGTTGAGGATCACGGAGTATTGTCCGGCTTAGTGACGGTGAAAGACGTGTTACGATTCATTGCGACAGAGAAGCCAGAGTACAGACCCTCATGGGATGAGCGTGGAGGGCTGGATGGTTTGCTCGAGGAATTGTGGACGTGGGGCACTAACGTCTTTTCCAGAATTCTGACTTGGGGCCGCCGGATTGTCCGACGATGATATTATACAGTATGTACCATATAATTCTCTAATACCCATTTGTGGACTTTGGCCTTCTTGACGCGATAGACCCCATGCGTACGGCACGGCGCTTGCGCTCCGCCGTTCCTCCGGCACGGGTCACAGTCTTGACACTTCGATCACGACGTCATATTTCCCGCGGGGCCGGAGACTCCAGTTGCAGGAGTATTACAATCGCACAACGTATAAAAAGCATCCCCTCCGCTAAATTTTTACTCTCAACAATCGCCAGAAATGACCGTCAACCCAGATTTCGATAGACGCACTCGCACTCGATACTCACAAGAGCTCGCTGCTTACACTCTCCGCCAATTCTCTACTGCTCGCGCCCAGCTCGATGAAGGAAAAAAGGAAGACATAGCAAAACTCCCAGCTGCGTATCAACGCGTCGTCAGTGCTGAGAAACTCTCAAGTCATGGCATGTCTATTTTTGTGGGCTACCTGGCATCCACTGAAGTTGAAATTTAGCAGATGGGGCTCGCCCTGTCAAGACGTAGTAACACACGTGCAACGTGCAGCGATAATGAGAGTTGAATATTGAATGGCGAGGATGCGACTTGCTGAGATCCGACCTAAGCTCCCCCAACTGCAGATTCGTGTTGAACCTATACTTGTATCGGACAAGGATCAATATGTAGAATGTTTTTGCCAAGTTGCGCTGGCGCAAAATAGTACTGTAGACGACTTTTGGCTAGCCAATTTATCGAAAGAAGGGATACTTTTTTTACTGACTTGTCTTCGAAATCGTGGGCATTCTGAGACAAGGATCGACGAGAAAAAGAAAGGGGATTTGGAGACAACCATGAAGAATAATGATTTCGGAGGGCAACATATCTCCGGACATATTCCTGAGATCTACTCCTCCATAATTTCCGAAGGTAGGGATTGGGTTCTAGACTGCCCCGCAACCCACAGACTAGCCCACTTGGGAAAGACGCGTTTGTACAATGACATACACACCGTATCCATCTGATTGATGGGGCCGTCGAAGTGGGCTTTGAAATATCCGTGGGTACCAAGAGATTCACGGATATGACCAGTTCGCCCGTGTTTGGTATGGAGTTGGATTGGCTTGAAGTATTGGACGTCGTCTGTTTTTGGAGATTAAAGTTAGAAAAAGATGGAGTCGGAGAAGAAGCTGAACGGTCACCGGAATTGAAGAACATATATCGGACCGTCGCGGTCTTTTTGTGGACTTTGAAGGGGTGACCAGTTAAAATTGTCCTCTTTGCGATAACGCGCGTGGTGTCAGGATTGAGGAAGGAGCCCATAGCCACAAGGTGTGGAGCTGAATGGACAGGTAAAATTGTCAGAATTGGAGAACCCTTAGTGGAGCGCGCATACCTTGTTGATCAGATCTTTCCCTCAGAAGAACACAGGGCTGTCGACCATAGACAACAGGACCATATGTAGTAGCCACATTAGTGGTGCCATGCCGCAGATATCTTTCGAATTTATGAACATTGTTAGCGCCTTTTCCCCCACCACGAGTATGTTGGCTGTAGACGGGGTTCACGGCGAGTCGACGAGGGCCCACACATAAAATAAGTGGGTCCTATTGATGGATCAATTAAACCTTCAGAGATTGAGGTGTATAACCCGTGTATTGAGCTTACCTTGGATCGGACAGAGCCATCATATTCAGTGTTTCTTTGAACCGTCATGTTAAGCACAGTGATTTTATGTTCATGCTGGAACAAAGAGAAAAGAGCGATCGAGGATACGCTGGCCGCTGCTTGAGGGACATCTTTTAGGTAAAGCGTCACTCGGACGCCAGGCTATGAAAACAAGGTCAAAATAACCCATCATTAGCAAAAATAAAAAGCACCTCTACAACCCCGAGCTCTTGTTCTGCTCTTCTTCGAACGCCACGCTCAGTTCGTTTAAAATCCTCAAACTGGAATATGCGAGCATAATCCCGAGGAAGATTTTCATATGGATCCCATGGACTCGTGCGGAAAGATCGCATGCCACGGAATCGTTGGAATCGCACTTTCGCAGGGATGTCTTTGGGGGTATCTAGCTCGTCTGGGAACGCCAAATCGTCTTCTTCTTCCCTTTTGCGATTCCGCCATCTCTTCAACCTGATTGTAATAAGAAAGAAAAAACCGTTTGGAAGCCAAACTGACACTCACTGTTTTTCTTCCTCTTCATTATCGAGATCCTGGAAAACAACACTTTTTCGGCTATCAATATCCATTTCTTCGTCCATAGGCATGTCCACCATTTCTTCCTTTTCAAAATCTTCATCCATCTCACCTTCGCCGTCAACTTCCCCCCCTTCCGCATCTTCCTCTACGTCGTCTTCGTCTGTCTCGTCGATGATCCATGCAGCCTGGTATTCACTCATCCCTTTCGGTATCCGCCGGACAGCTTTAGGTGTCGTACCGTTCTCCGCGTCAGGGATACTTGGTTGGATGGAGTCGGGGTCTTCGTTCATCTCTTCCTCCGTCGGCCACGTTTGTTCGTTAGCGAGGTCATCCGGTTCATTGCTTGAAACCAATGAGTCTGCTGATGATGAATCGGGTTCGGCAAGAATTGTAGGTTCTACATCCATGCCCTGTGCTGTCGTTGCTCTCAATGGTCGAGCAATGGGGCAGGACATGATCTGGACTACCCAATCAATAATCGAAATTGAAGAGACAAACTTCATAGTACCTTTTCAATTTGGTAGTCACCGAAATTGGGTATGTGAACAAGACGATTGGCTGAAAGCGATGTCCCTCGAACAACACCAGTTACCCGCAAACTTCCTTCTTCCCATTCCGTAGATTCGCCCAACATCCACGTTCGTCCGTCCCTCCACCGTACGTCCCCAGGTTTGCCTTCAGATAAGGACCTCAGGGCGTTCAATCGGTCGGAAGCTGCGTGTAGGTCGAATACTCGTGATTGACTCGGAATGAAATATTGAATGAAGGACAACAGTGACTTTAATATGCCAGATCGAGCTTTAGGATCCATTGCTGCATCAGGTGAGACGACGGTGACAACGTCTGGCAGGCCTTGCGCCTGGAGGGTGCGCAACAGGGTATCACCCCAGCCATCGACTTCGACTGTGCTGGAGAGTGCGAATACGACGTAGTCAGCGACTTTGCACGCATCAAGAGCAGCATAAAAATTTCTGTGGGCGATGTTTCGAAATTGTAGCGTTGTTTTGAATCGATCCGCCCTTTCATCGTATTTGAGAATCCTATTACTGATGAGACAAAGTCGGACTCACCTCATTTTCCAAATGCCATCTTCTGGGCAGTCTTCCGCCGATAGCTCCAATGATTCCGCCAGAGCAGCTATAACGTTACGTGTACTAACATCCTCCGTGAGTGGAATAACTGCCACAATGCGTGGCGCTCCGTCGACGCCGTTAAAAATACGCGTCGATGAGATGAGAGAATTTCGTTTCTTGATCTGCGACTGTTTTGCATGATTGCGGCGATTCGAGCGAGCTTGCGCGGCTGCGTTGGAAGTTGGAGAAGATTTCAATAACTCCCGAGCTATACGACCTGTAAATACGATCGTCAGTCACTGTCGTACAACTGAGAATAAGATCCAAAGGCCGAAAGTTGCACCTTTTGCTGCGTCCTTGAGAGATCCTTTAGATGCATGCTTAGATTTGAATGGTTTGTTTTGCTGAAAAAAAAGAGAACTTAGTGATTTAACATTTGAATCGATTATCTACAAACCTGCTTTAGCGTTGGACGATGGTGGTGAACACCTTCGACCATTTTTTGGTTCGCAGTGAAAGGTTTGGATAAGGATCAAAATTTTGGCGTGTCCCGATAAGGTTACTGTCAGATCTAATCTTATCGAACATAACATTTCCTAAAGTGCAGTAATGACATGGGGCAACCGAAAAAGGAGACGATGTTACATTAGGCACCCACTCAACAAGGCCTGCATATCGTCCGCCAGTTTAGCATGATCCAAAGTCTTCATCCCCCTCAAGTCTCCGACCTCGGAGCTAAAATCCATACCAACGTTCTCCTCGACCAATGGCTTGAAGGTCTTCCAAAATTCCGTGAAATCCATTTCTTCAAGGTCCATATTCACCATTGGGGCTTGTTTTCCTTCAGATTGGTCTGACGGAGCATTTAAATTCGTGAACTGGTCAAAGACATCCACGTCAGAGGAAATGTCTTTTCCCAAATCTTGGTCGTCGGAGAAAAAGGCAGAAAAATCGCCGTTGGCGAGACAAGCAGCGAATTCTTCTTCGGAAAAGGCAGGAGTGTCCTCGCTGAGGCCTGCAAACTCGGATCTGCTACCGTCAGCGTCAATGTCTGACGTTGGGAATGGAAGTTCCAGATCCCCCATTTCCTCATCTTCTGGATCTTGGGGCATCAAAGCAGGGCTAGTTGGCGGTGGGGGAGAAGACGGAGGAAGGCCTTCCCAATGTTGGCGAACACCAACATTATCAGAATCATCAGCGTCTTCAGTATCAGGATCTTTTTTCTCGCTGACGTATTCATTCGCAGGAGTTACTGCCTCCTCCACGTCGACGTCACTGCTGGTAAGTGACTGGGAATTTGGTGGACACTGAAGTTCCTCAAAAGCGCCCTCCAATCCCCAGCTCAAGACAATTTCATCCTCGTTGTCTTTGCCAAGAAACTTAGATCCTTGGAGGACCTGTTCGGCGTTTGCAGTTGCGAGATGTTGTTTCTTTAGTGGAGGCCGACTCGGCGACCTTTTCACCGCCTTTCGGTTACTTAGCGGCGACGAGCAAATTCCAAAAACTATTTTCGGCGAGAATAATGGTGTCCGGGCACTACCAAACAGGCTTTCACTTCTCGATATAGGCGTGAAGAGGGAATCGGCTAATCCACCAGAAGTGACGCGGTTTGTTCGCCCTTCTCGTGTTGGCGTCCTCGGGAAAGGCGGGGGATCGGGTGGTGGAGAAGAAGCTCGGCAGTGTTTAGACGAGAAAGATGAGTATAGGGGCAATATACCGGCCGCAGCGACTAAGGGGTAGCTGCTCGTTGGGGCGACGGTTACAGGCTCTACGCGTGAGGGGGATTCCTTAGAAGCTGGAGCAGCGCAGAATTTGGTATTTGTCTTCGACGCTGCAGCTTTTGTTCTCTGTCTTGCATTCAAACTGGCAGCTTTTTTCCTTGCTTCCAATTTCTCCTTCTTTTCCTGCTCAGCCCTCTGCATGGCGCGTTGTGCCTCCTCTGAAAGCCTGGGCTGCGTGGCTGTACTTGTTCTGGCCCACGCTGGAACTACGTATTTTTTCCGAGCTTGGAGGTGGACAGAGTTGGACCTCACAGGTGAGGATGCTGATATTCTATGAGATTTTGGAGAGGCTAATGGGCGTGGTTGTGCGGTTTCTACTTCACTTTCCCATGAATCCGACATGTCGACAAGCCGGGGTCTCGGAGGAGACGTCCAAGGCTCTACTCCAGTTCTATAGTAAGAAGTTGAGGACTGTTCTGGGCGCGGCTGCTCAACCAATCTTGAGTAATGCCTTGAGCTGTTGTTGGTGGAAGTCTGTTGGCGGTGTGACTTCGCATGGCGGTGAGCATCCCTCCTCTCTGCCCGCTCTCGTTCTCTTGCTTTGCTTCGGTTGCGACGAGAATCTTCCCCGTCCAAAAAGTCACTCAATGTTCGCTTTCTCCCAAGTTCAGGTGCGCCACCTGATATAGCTGACGGAGTTGGAGCTGGTTTGCTTGGGGAGTTTTCATTAGACCGGCTGCTCAAGCGCGGACCTTGCGCTTGCCGCTCAACTTGGCCAGCCGTAGCAAAAGGGGTCCCTAAGCTGGGACCCGCCGGGGGAGGCGATCCACGCAGCTTCGCCTCCTCGTAATCACGTTGTGCTCGTCTTCGGAACACGCTCGGGTTGACATTCTCTTTATCCAAGACGACGATCTCATCCTCTTGTGAGCTGATTGCCTGTGGAGTTTGATCATTGCTCAACTGGCTCGGGGACTCTTCACTGCCCGACAAGGGTTTGGAACAAATTGATAATAGTTGTTTGAGAGCAGATATCAGTGCAGGGTTAGGTTCCTCTATATGCTGATCATTAAGTTTACGAGATGAGTCAATGGAGTTGAGAGCTGCTAGTATCGCTGCATTCTGTGACCCGGGATCCGCGGGTGATGTGGCGGAGAGTAATGCAAGGACGTCAAGCAGCGTTATGTCCTTTTGCGTTTCAGCTTTCGGCTCAGCTTTGGGTTGGGAAGGGGTAGGAAATATAGGAGGTTCTTGGGGGCGTCTGATAAGTGGTGCCGTTGAGAATGGAGGAATCGATGGGTCAGGAGCCGACCGTTTTTTCTTCGGTTTCGGCTTTGATTGTGATATTGAGGGTTTCGAAGAACTTCCAGATTGGTCCGAATGTCGCTGAGAAATACTGGATGGCCGAACATCATCGCCGCCAGGTACGCTTGTGGCATTGTCATTGCTGTTGTCGGAGACGTCAATCACAATTACGTCTTCATGATGGTCAGAGCCGGAACAGGATGCAACTGAGGTCCCATCGGTTGGAGCCCAACTTTTGTGTGTCGATTTGGGTCTTCCTTTCTTTTTTGGGCCCCCGATGTACGTTTCCGCAGTGTAAAACAGTTTATCGGATTCAGTGAAAGGTATTGTTGAAGGCTTTGAGGTCACAGTTTTCTTTCGCTTTATTTTCGCTTTCGCAGTCGCAGTTCGTAAGTGTATTGAAGCTAGCGTTGAAACAGAGTTCGAAGATGTCTCTGTGGCTCCCGGTGGCGGGAGTATCGTTGATGAAGACGAGGGAATGTGAAGCGTCGTCTGGTACGATGATGAGGCCATGTGTGAAGACGTTATGGAGGTCACGGTTGTGTTGGAATGCTATAATTTCTTGAGTTCAATTGTTCAGGTAGAAAAATTATTGAGCCTACGCTGGTCGAAGACCCGAAAGAAGATATAGGATGGTTAGATTTAGGAATATGAGCAGCTAAGGCCCCCCATGTTGGGTTTTTTACTCCGGAAAACTAAAAGACCAAGGTCATCAGCCCGACAACAACTAAAAATGACGAATACAAACCTCACGGAGGGCAAATATCACTTCAAGAGCCTCTAGAGGCGAACCTTGCTTCACTAACGTCCCTACCACCGATGTTATGTCTCCCTCTGGCGACTGCAGCGCTAAGGACATCAAACCAAACCCAACAGCCACTCCTCTGGGTTGCTCTGCAGCTTTTCGGCTTGTGTTAGTGGTAATTTCGCCATTCGTCGTGTTGGATATGTGCACGGGAGCTGGCGCAGAATTGGACTCCAGAGGGTCGAGGACATAAACCGAAAAATCTCGAGACGTGTCTTGAGCAAGCTCTGGACTAGACCGAGCGATGGTTTCAAGACAAGTCTTGAGATTAACCGTGGCGTAAAGAGTATTCGAGTCGCTTGTGTCTGGTGAATGGAAAACCGGGGAGACCGGAACAGGTCCCTGGGATCGAGCAAGTATGTACTGAGGCGAATTGTTGATAGTGTAGAGGATGCGAAGGGAGATTTTCTTCGTGTAGGACATTGCGCGCGTCGAAGAAAACGTCGCACGATGCCACCTGCCGTAGATTCGCCAGCTGGCAGTAGACTTAGACACGTAGAGATTGAACAAAGGGTCACGCTCAAATCCGTCACGCGTGACGTTTCGCGTCAAGTGACATTTAGATTGGGGCACGCGTCTTTCACGCGTAGAGCCACATCTACTCAAACAACATCAAAACTAACAATTATAGACGTCCTCCTTTCTGCCGCATTAGGTATCCTGACAAGAGAAGAGGGCCCCAGACTTCCGCTATTATCCGTCGCGTCGTTCCCAGCACCCGAAGAGCGAACGTGGATCGCGGGAGGAGATCCGACCGTCTTGTTCGAACAGTTGCAGTGAGGGAGGCAAAACGAGGACGTCGATTGGCTGCATTCTTGCTGTATGAGAGGCCGAGTAGCAGAGAACCGAGTGGAAAGTAGAGGAAACAGACATGCGAAAAGAATGGGGATAGAGAAGGGTGAAGGAGAAGAGTCTATGTCACGAGCCCAGACGTCTCTGTCGTATGTAGCAAGAGTCAATATAACAAAGATTATGAGGGTGGCGGTGTATATCATATCTGCTCAGGGATCAGCGGAAGAGACGCAAACCGTTGCGGAGAGAACGTACGGATAGAGGTACCAAGGAAAACACATACTTTGAAAATTATTATTTCGGTGTGAACTTCGACTTTGGTGAATGAAATTATCGGAACGATGAGGGAGACAACTGCCGGACCTCGCAAGAACGTTTTAATTTCGCAGTAAAAATGTACTCACTTAGCTGAAAAGGAAGAAGGATGAAAAGGCTGACCACTTCAGAGCCAACGGACTGCGGATATTTGAACAATGGCTTTCGAGTGATCCTGTGAAAACAAGCAAAAATGCCAATGGGTCATAAATGGACGGAAGATAAACTTACGACCAAAAACATCTGGCCAAATTCACTGAGTAAAATGATATCAAAAACCCAACAATACCCCGCTGCGATGCTTCTGGTGATAGAAACACGAATAAAAACAGAGAGGTGGCGGACAGGAAGACGATGAAGCCTACAAGACGAAACAGGATTCAGCAATCAATGCGATGTTAGGTTTCTAGGGACATACAAGAGATGATAAGGCGAAGTGTTTGAAGTCGTAGGGCCATCGTCGGAGCAGTAAGAATGCTGATTACGACTCAACATAAAGGGTACAGAGGCTGACCTCGATTGGTGTACGTTTGAAGTGTTGAGGGTGGCTGACATCTACACATTGATCACAAATGTTGTGGCCCGGGTCGAGTGAATTCTTCGTTAAATAGTCATGGGTCCAGTAACGCCCTAGTTGAATAACAGTTGGATGCAAATTGCAAAAACGCGTGTGTCCATGTTTTGAAGCTATGGCCATCACGTGTACATATATGCCTGCTATTTTAATTTAAGTTTTTACCAGACGGTGACCACGTTCATTGACATTTTGCGTTGAATGGCTTCTAGCACGACAGTGATCCAATCCAAGACCGTTCTCGGGAAGCGCAAGGCGTCCAGTAGCAAGGCAGCTTTGGTTTTACATCTTGCTTCCAGTCCTGAGCCAACGCGCATCCTGTCAGAGTCGGACGACTCATACCAATCCCCAGCTACATTTTCTGCGCCTCCCATTCTTATCAACGGGCGCCTCGTTCCATCTACCAAGAGGCGCTACAAATGCACTTACGATTCTTGTGACAAGGCCTACACTAAACCGTCCCGCCTGATTGAACATGAACGAACCCACACAGGCGATGTATGTCGCCCTTTTCCGAATATTTCTTATACCCTCTAACTATTTTTTCAGAGGCCGTTCGTATGCGAAACTTGTCAAAAATCTTATCTTAGAGAAACTCATCTACACGCTCATGCACGCACGCATCTACCTGATTCTGCGAAGCCGTTTTTGTGCGATAAAACTCAATGCGGGAAGCGTTTCTGGACCTCTCAGCACCTCAACGTCCATAAAAACTGGCACAATGGAGTGAAACCATTCTCGGTGAGCAATATCTGTTGACATCTCTACTTCATTCTCATCAAATACGGCGATAGTGTTCTGCTGAAGGATGCGATGAAACATTTCCTAAACACCATCAACTGCGTGCCCACGAATGTTCCGTACACGCACCACCTGGAACAAAGCCCTATCAATGTGATCATACTGGATGCGCAAGATCTTTCGACACAAATCAACACCTACGAACACACCAGAGAACTCATGATGGTTGGCAGTCTACTACATCCCTTCGCATGCACTCTTATATCTATCATTCAGAAAATCGTTACACTTGCGCTCATTTGAACTGCCTTGCACAACATGGGGACGCACCGGTTTTTTTCCAAACTTGGACGGCGCTCCAGCACCACATTCGGTCCTCCCACCCTCCCAGTTGCACCCACCCTTCATGCAACGGCCGGGTATTTACAACGCAAAAAGGTCTTCGGGCCCACCAGAAGCTGCACGAACAGCGCGATCTCGAGGCGGAACTAGATAATGTAGCAGCCGATTCCGAACAGGACGATGAGGATACTGAATTGCCTGCGAAAAAGAAAAGAAGAGGCGGCGAATTGGGAAGAGACTGGAAGTGCGATGTGGATGGTTGTGGAAAAGATTTTAAATCTGTGGGTTCACCACCTTCCACATTCGCTCTTGCTAATGCACAGTACAGAAAAAAGCGTTGGTCACCCACACCAATGTGAAGCATCTCGGCAAGCGGGATTACATATGCCCTGAAGCTGATTGCGGGCAAGCATTTGGATATAAACATCTACTTCAACGTCACCTTTCGAAAGCGCACCCTTCGTCGTCATCAGAGGCTGCTTCTTCGGAAGAAGAAGAAGAAGCTCCCAAGCCTAGTGGCTCAACGGCTTTGGGCATTGACGTCATTACTGGTGTGGCATACGAAAATCACGCGAAGGCGATTCTTGCAACTGCTAGAGGATTGCGATGCCCGTACCCAGATTTGGACGACCTGGTGTATGAAGCGTTGGACAAGACCTTGTCAACGACGTCGAACTGTGGATATGTATTCAGCCGGGCGTATGATTTCAGACGTCATTTACGGGGTACGCACGGGATTGAAGCTATGAAAGGGAGTGTAGAAAGCTGGGTTAGAAGTCAGAGGCAATAGAGAAAAGTAGTTGCTACGGGTGCTATAGTGTAGTGGTTATCACTCGGGATTTTGATCTGAAAAAATAACTCCGGTAGAGATTCCCGAAACCCAGGTTCGAGCCCTGGTAGCACCTTGACTACTATTTTTGTCTTGCTCCTATGCCCCGCGTTCCATTGATTGGTCGACTTTCTTCGAGTGATTATACCGCCCTCGTTCTAGGTTTTACTTTTCTGGCCTTCGAGTCTCTTTTACGTCTCGTCATCGTTCTCTTATTGCCAAAGCCGGTAATTAATTGGTTCTATCGACGATCCCGCGCCCTCTTCCACCACATCCGCGGCAACAAACGGGAAAAGACCGACGAGAAGAAGGCCTGCGACCGTGTTCTCAATGCAAGAGACTTTGGCGAACTCTGTAGTTTGTATGGGTACACCCATGAGGAACATGTCGTCCTGACCAAGGATGGCTACCTTTTGGGACTCCATCGGCTCCCCTCCAAGATGGGTGAAAGGAGAACCAACCCAGGGACGAGCACCGGGAAGCCCGTCGTCTATCTTCATCATGGTCTTCTCATGAACAGTGAGATATGGGTCTGTTTGACGGATCCTAAACGCTCCTTGGCCTTTGCTTTGGTGGAGCGAGGATATGATGTATGGCTTGGGAACAACCGGTAGCGTGCTTTCTATCTCAATCCATGTTTGCTGCTCACCAATGATATCGACGACAGAGGAAACAAGTACTCCAAGAAATCTATCCACCACAGTCCCAGGTCGTCAAAGTTTTGGGATTTCAGGTTCGATTTCCGCATGACTTTTGAATTTCAACAACGCTGAGACAGAGTTATGTACCCAGCATTGACGACTTTGCTTGGCATGATATTCCAGACTCAATCACCTATATTCTTCAAGTCACGAAAGCCGAAAAATTAAGCTATATCGGTTTCAGTCAGGGCACTGCTCAGGCTTTTGCAGCCCTTAGCATACATCCTCAGCTTAATGAGAAAGTCAATGTTTTTATCGCTCTAGCACCTGCTATGAGCCCCGCCGGGTTGGCAGCACCCATTGTCGATGGTCTTATGAAATCATCGTATGTCTGCTCACTACATTCATCCGGAATAAATATCTCAATAGTCTGCCCACAGGCCAACTTTATTATTTCTTTTCTTTGGCCGCAAATCAATTCTATCCTCTGCCACAATGTGGCAATCCATACTCTACCCACCTATATTCGCCCAAGTTATCGACAGATCGTTGGTCTGGTTATTCAACTGGCACAGCCGTAATATCTCGACGCAGCAGAAGATCGCCGCATACGCCCACTTGTACTCTTTCGCGTCGGTCAAGTCGGTTGTGCATTGGTTCCAAATAATGCGAAATGGGGCGTTCCAGATGTACGACGACGACGTCCTCTCCCCCGTCGCCCGAACTTCCGTCAGCTCTTATCGACCGGCACGCTTCCCCACACGTAATATCGTCACTCCAATCGTGCTGCTCTATGGTGATTCGGATAGCTTGGTGGATATTGATACGATGCTAGCTCAACTGCCGGAACATACTCTGGCCAGAAGGCTTCATAGTTACGAACACTTGGACATTCTCTGGGGCAAGCATGTCGATAAAGACGTTATACCCGAGGTACTGCTTGCCCTTGATCAGTTCACGGGAGATCAGGAGGACATTCTAGCAGAGAACGGGACTATTGTAGATGATGCCATCTCAAACGAACTCTAATTCAATATCAAGCTGTTCGGACGCGGTTTCGGAAAGACAGTCCGGTATATATATGTATTCAAGCTAATGAAGATTGTTTTCGGCAGCTTTTCTTGCCTTCTTCTCCGCCTTTCGTTGCGCTTTCCTCGCCTTTCTATCCACATCGTCTAATGAAGCAGTCTGGAGGGTATCTGGATCCTTGACTTCCGTTCTAGTGACTTTATCCTTCGATTTCTTTTCTTTTTTCTCATCTTTATCCCCTTTCTTTTTCTTTCTCTTTTCTTCACTCGTCTGCTCTTCCTCCACCATGTCCAGCTGGGTCGTAGCAACGTCTTCACTTTGAGTTTTCTCCGGAGGTGTAGAAAGGGTTGAAGTAGCAGCAAGGAATTGGGATGACATGAGTGAGGAAAACTTTGATAACCCGACACGGCGTGCCCCCATCTCGGAATCGTCTTCTTGAATCTCAAAACGCGCACGGCCGGACCCCAGGCCGCTTCTGGGAAGATCATACGCGTCCTGCTCGGATATTGGCGTGGTTGATTCAGATTGGGTTGCCCGTACGAGAAGCTTCTCTTTGAAATAATCCGCGACGCTTTTGGTGGAAGTGGTCAACTTTTCGATTGTTGCATCGTCCGTCAGCGACGTTAATTTCCCAGTTGTTTGGGTGGTGGTAACAGAGAGCCCAGAGGAGGGTGCGATACCTAATATTTCTGAGATGGCAGCAGCTGATTTGGAGGTGATAGATTTGGCAGCGATAGCTCTCGCGCGATGCCTGGAAGGGTAGTATTAGCCAGGGAAACAATACAATAGAACGGAGAGGACGCATACGCTCTATATCGAGGAGCAACCCTCACGGGCGCAGGATCGGCAGGTAATGAATCCGGGACGACCTCATCAGCCGACGGGCTGCTGTCTTCAGTTTTCCGTCGTTTCTTCTTCGTGTCCTTCTCCTCGTCCCCTTTTTGTTTCCGCTTCTTTTTTGGCGTCTCCTCCTTCACCACATCCTGCTCCTCCTTGCCGTCCACAATTTCCGTTGCATTCTCATTGAGCCGTTTGAGCAAATTTTCAAAATCCTTGTTTTGCTTCCAAGCGATCCCATTTGGGTCTTTCTGGTGCGCTGCGCCAATACCGAGCATATCGAGTTTGTGAGAGACTTTGATGTGGGATGTTCTTCCCTCGCCATCCACGCCTAACCCTTGAGAGGCATCCCAGCCAAACTTTGAGAGGTAGTTGGAGCCAAACCTAGCAGCGTCTGTGTGATATTAGTAAAGGGTAGAAAAGGAGACGACGAGATCATACCGTCTGCCCACGACAGATTCCTGGGGTCATCAGGAATCCGCTGCTTGATTTTCCTGCCTCCGAGACCCATTTCAATTAGGAAACAGTGCGTCAAGGAAAACGAATCGAAAAACTTTGCTTAGTCATAACTGTAGCAGTACACAGTAAAGGTACAAATTATCCAAAATGTATGTATCTTTCCATCCAATTCCCAAAAATCTAGAGATCCATACACCACAGTTCCAATCTACCCTCAGGCTTCCCCTTCGCGCTTTCGCGAGCTGTTTCAATCGCGAGTTCGTAATCGGACTCATCTCGCAAGGTAACCTTTCCGCCGTCTTCGTCCTTGAATTTGAGGCCAAGCCCGTTTATCTGCTTGCCAAATTTCGCCGTGACTTTATCCATGAAGTCGGCGAAGGGGGTGTCGGGAGTAAGCGTCATGCCTCTTGTGTCATCCTGATAATGGAGCTGTAAATAGAAGATCAAAATTTACGCGGTAACAGAACGTCAACAATATAAACCTTGACACGGATCAGCGTCAGTTCAAATGGCCCGTCTTCATATTCTCCGCTGACGTATCCTTCTTCCTCCTCTTCATATGTACTTTGTACTCTGCTTGGCGCCCGGGGATTATTTCTCTTCGTAACTTTGCGCCGCAATGACCCACCGCCCCCATAGGAACTTGGTGTATATTGGCTGGTAGGCGCACTACGGGAGCCACTGCGGACGAGAGGATAATTAGGATTTGCATTTGTGCGGGCCCATGCAGCTATACGGTCAGGTCCAGGCTGTGCAATTGGCGGGATAGGTGCGTCCCCTCCATAAGAATCGAGATAATCGTCGTAAAACTCAGTCAATCGAGCGTCATCTAGAGGACCGTTTATGTGTCATCGGGCGCAACAAGATAAACGATGGCAACCTACCTTTTGGAGGGGCCCTCGGGGGAGAAGAATTACCCGGAGACGCGTTTCCAGGGCGTCGGACGCTCAAACCTCGTACCGGTCCGCCAATGGTCGCATTGGGAGAAGGGCGGCTTGGAGTAATATTGGTATTACTCCTTCCAATCGAAGCGCCTGCTGACATTGGTGGCCGGGGAGGTGGTCCCTTATTGGAGGCTAACCTTGCACTCTGCGGCGGATTCATAGCCGTCCTGGACCGCTCAACTCCAGCCAACCTTACTCCGTCGGCGGGTTGCCCTACAAAAAAAATTGAGAACGGCGCTATAATCGTCAATTATCTTTGACTTACTCGATGGAGCAGTGCTAGATGGCACCGAAGCACTGCGCGTCACAGAAGGGATCACGGCGCTCTCTATGTCGGGGCGATCGATAAAGACTCCCGAAGGCGAAATTCCTTGCTTCAATCGTGTTGAACCCGTGAAAGTGGTGAAAATGTCGTTGGGGTCACTTGCTGCGACGAGTTTCTGAAGAGACATGGTAAGAGAACACACTTTATAAACGGGCGTAGGATAATTTACAGCCTTTCCCATATAATCTTTTTGCATCGAATTCTTAAGTTTCTTTTCGGAGGGACGATAAAGCACCCCAACTGGCTAATGAGGGAGTTAACAAAAAGGGTTTCATGCATTCGACTGGACGTACAATACTGAAGACAGTGTATCCTTCGCCACGTTCTTGAATTGCATCGTCAATAACATTATGTTCATCAGTCGCTTTCTCCCGTCTCGCCTCTTCCATGTCCGCCAAACCTTCTTGTGCGCGGCCCATGTAGATTTGGGCTAGGCCTTTATTGAATAAGACCTCGGCAGAAAATAATCTGAATTTGAGCCCAAGTTGTTCATAGTTTCTGTGGGCGGGTATACTTGAGTAAGGCAAATATGGTTCAACCATGAATACGACATACATGGCCTGATTCCCACGAAGATACAGCAAGGCTTCCTCAAAATCCTTGTACGCCAGCTCGTAGCGCGCAAGGAGAAAGTTGGACACTCCGCATTGGAAATATCTACAGGAAAGATTAGAAACTGGATGGATAAAGATAGGCGGAATGTCGGAGGTTGTCAACTCTAAATGTAAGAGACCTGACTCGCTACCAGCGCCGAATCTATGGAGACTCACGCGACAGCCAAATATTGATCGAAGTTTGTGGCTTCAATGAAGCGCTGAACGGCGGCTTCGTGCTCTCCAAGAGTCGCATAAATCAGGCCAATATTGGTGAGAATCTTGGAGGAATCCGCAATACGCTTTGATGGAAGGTGAGTTGAGCAGGCGACAAATAGGACAACAAGACTCACAGAGAAGAGATCCAGGGACTTTTCAAAGTCCTCCTCGTCGTATGCCTTTAGGGCTGCTGCCCAAGTTTCGAGCTCTGCCTTGAGAGACATGGTGGGTGGTGATTAGAAGAGATGAATATCAGAGCAGCGTTCCTGACGCGAGATGCAACGTGAATGATCCGGCCAAGGATGAGTTCAAAGGGTGAAAAAGAAGTAAAAGAAAAAAGAAGAAAGAAATAAGAGACCCAGTCTCGGGAACGACGTTGACAACGGGGAAGCTGGGGATGCGCAGCAACAGTAAATTGAACTATGTAGGTATATATTTGTGAAGCCTGTGGCCCTGTGGGACCAGCGAGGGTCATCGCGTCCTTGTATCAACTTTGTATCACTGATTGTTGTCGTCCCGGCAACTGCTGCCGGCACGGGAAGGCCAAGCCCATTCCCCATTGAACCCACCTTATTACCAGCTATTTTGACATTGTTCCAATAGCGCAGTAAGTAGAGCAGCCCTACTCAGTTCCGAGTTATGCAACCTATTGTGCCTCCGCTCATTGCATCAATACTGGCCCCATTTGGTCATCGGAGCTGGAACTGATATCCTGGACAAGCATTTTTGACTCTTGAGGGCAAATGATTGGGTATAATTGAGTGAAGAAGTTTTGAAGGAAACATGAGGCTAGATGAGGCTGGCTCAACTGAAATCTCTTGGCACCCACCGGCCATGCGAGGCCATACTTACGCCACCTCGACGTCGAAAAATATCTGAGGTTGCCATGGCCCATCACCATCGTCATCTCGTTGCAAGCCACCACTCGTCATTTCGTACGTCCTGTCACCCACCGACCATAATAGGAAAGTAAGATGTTCTCAGTTAATACACGGTCCTGGTCTCTAGTCTAGTAACCAGACGGCCTTGCATTCGATGTATCGTACGCTCGAATGATCTTGGCCTGCTCCTGTTTTCCTGCACTCTCCGTCTGGCTGAAAGCAAATCCACGATTCCGCCGCATGCGCTGCGTTGCACGGACTTTCTTGATTGCCTTTTGAAACCTGCAAGATGGGTGAGAACCGGAATTTGTGGGAACATCCAGTTTATACATACTGTTCTTGCCTCGGCCGGTAATCGGGGATGTTGTACTTTTGGAGTTCCTGTGCGATGTGATACGATGACGGCATGTACGTTCTGCGATAGCTGCGGACAAGGGTCAGCTTAAGCCACTACTCACCACAAAGACACGAACTATTTCCAGACAAAGTCCCGCACGAGGCAGAAGATCGGGATGAACATGAGAACAAAATAAAAGACACTATTCGTCCACAGCCGATGAACGATACCAGAATACTCCGTCGAAAAGCCAATAGCAGGAGCGACAACCGCATAGAGGGGTAGAAAACACATGGTGAAAATGAACGACCCAGGGATAGCTAAATCAAGGGTGAGAAAGTGTACGAGGTTACTTTCCTCAAGGTGAACATACCAATAACCGTGTACTTCGTCCATAAACTTGAGGGGAAGGTCAGTGGGAACGTTTACCAGGGTTCAAGTGCAACAACTTACTCAGAGATCAGCGCAGCCTTTCCCAGCACAGTGAGGAGTACAGCGAGGTACAGAGTCGTCCCCCAGAACCAATGGCCACTGTCAAAACCATCGGACAGCTTGAGGTCTCCCCAAAACAAGATCACAGAGAAACCATATAAAATCTGGGGTCGGAGTCAAAGAAGCCCCAATCAATTAGAAGATGAATAGATATCTCACAAGGCTATGATATAGAGCATTTGCAACCCAAAGCCAAAATGCCGTCTTCGTGAAAAACTCATTTCTCTGGCCAAGGATATAAAGTTGCGGGTATCGGTCCAATATTCTTGCTGATACAAACTGGTCGAAAATTCCGATAACAAGTGGAGGGAGGACAGTGAAAACAACGTTGTACATGGATAATGTCCATGACTCGTAGGCAATTTGGCCTGAGAAGTTGTTGAAAAACGAATACTGGTTTGAGTTTAGCTCATAGACGGAGGGATACAGATATTGGATACATACCCAGAATTGCGTCATGTACAACACAATATTCTTGTAGAACGAATCTAGTATAGAATGTAAGCGTTGAAACGTTGAAGGTCTAGTTTAACTAAGCACTTACAAAGGATAAGTTTGGACAACCGTCTATAACTCCAGGCGCCATGAACTAGAAGAAGTTTTTTCAAAAACCGGAATTGCGAGATGGCAATATCAGCTGAACGAGCGGCTTGAAGTCCCTGGATAAAGAAAGTCATGTGTATATTTGAGTAATGTTGAAAAAAAACTTGTTTACCTCAACTCCAGAGATGCCGACACCGACGTGGGCTGCCTGAATCATGCTGACATCGTTGGCACCATCACCAATGGCGAGGAGAATAGCCTTTTGATTTTTCTTGACCAATTTCACGACAAGCGCTTTCTGCAGCGGTGATACTCGGCCTAGAATAAATAGGTCAAGACGTTTAAAAAGCAGGTGTTTCGCCCGTTACCCACAACAGATTACAGCCTTGCACATGATAGCAAGCTCCAAGAATATTTTTGACAAGTCTTTTTCCAGAGCAAAGCCAAGACTCTTCCCATCTAATGAATCGTCAAATTTTGCCAAGAGATATCGTGATGAGACTGACCAATGATAAGCGCAAGGTCCTCAAGTTCACCGGAGTTCCGTTGGTTTTTTATGGCAGAAAGGCGTTTTGTCAAAAAATTCTGCGTATCTTTGGAGTTCTCTTCATTGACAATGACCTGGTGTATGATAAGTCCAGCCCCCATCGATGGCAATGAAAGACTTACTAAGTTCATGGATTCTGAAATCAGTCGGCAAGACATTCCGATGTTGATAGCAGTCTCTTGTCGGTCCCCAGTCAGAACCCACACCTTGCAGCGATTGATTAGTGTCTCAAGGTGTCTTCAAGCTCCACAATTTTACCTTGATCCCGGCCATTTGTAATGTGTGAATGGTATCGGGAACACCATCTTGCAACTTGTCTTCAATAGCCGTGGCACCCAGGAGAAAGAGATCCTTTTCGATTAGTTCGGCAGCCTGATCAAGGGCTTCTCCACGTCCGTTGATGGTTGATGCGGCCTGGTCATAGATACTCGCCCACTGTCGATATTCTTGCTCAGGGATGTCACGAAACGCGAGACAAAGCGTTCGCAGACCATCTGTCGCATAATCCTGTTGCAATTTTGTAAGCGTGTCTTTATGCATGTTACAACCCATTTACCTCCAGATGAACCAGAGTTTTCTCAGTGAACGGTTGATTTTTGCTAAGCCGTTCTAGTATGACCGTGTCAGCACCTTTCGTATACAGCTTGATCTTCCCTTCTGGAGTTCGAATTATAGTCGACATTCGCTTGCGCGTCGAATTGAATTCGCAAACATTGAGAATATCAAATTCCTGGGTTTGACCTTGAATTTTGACGAAAACAGATTTTGGTTTCCGGGTCTGAAATGGTATCAATACTTCAAGAAAGTTGTTTGCTGAAAAAAAAAATCTGACATACGTGGAACTGGTACCCTAGAAGTTCAGCTCCAGCGACCAAAGCTGCTTCGTCCGGACTACTCGCTTGATACACAGTTTTCCCATCCTTGACTTCTGGGATCACAGTATGGCAAACGGCGAGAAGAGTCAGGAACTCGTGCATAACGGTTGTTTCTTGTTCTGCCGCAGTAGTCTGCGATGTTGAAGGTCCATCTAGAAACGGGTTGTTTACTGATTCCAGCATTGATCTCATTTCTGTGAATGTTTTCCACCCATCCTTCCCATCCTCTCCGTCCCGCTTCGTTTCATCTACTACGTCGGCGTATGCTGTTCCGGCAATGCTGCAGCATCGAAACTCCATTTCGTTACACGTGAGTGTCCCCGTTTTGTCGCTGAAAACATATTCAATTTGACCCAGCTCCTCGACGAGAGATGATGTACGGCAGAGTGCTGGCGTGTCGGTGCGAGCATAATACATGTCGAGGTCGGAGTTTATTAGTTGGGCTTGTTGAAACTTGACGACTTCCATAGTTACGATGAGGGAAATGGGTATAAGATTGTTATACAAGATGATAAAGGTAAGGATATCTAGAAAAAAAGAGTAAGATTGATGCAAGGCAATACAAAATGGCACAAACCCTCAATGAAACCCTTGGCTAACGATGGGCGTTAGTATAGCCTCTGGCTCCCTGTACATACATCAGACTCACCTCGACCTGATAGTGACGTCGATTCGAAAAGATACCATTGTGAACTGGAAAAAAACCAGGTTCGGATGCTGCTTCCAATAGTAGACCCGACGGACAGTGCCAGCAATAAAATGAACAAAAAGACGATCTGCAAATTGACCTGATGTTCTACCGCCGTTCGCTTGATGGGCGCAGCGCTTGTAAAATAAATAAAAAATTAGCCTGATAGACCTCGACCGCTCGTCGCATACTCACGTTGCGTTGCGCATGAGCTTGGTTTCATGTCCTGTGAAGACTGCAAGTCCATAAGCCCACGGGGTGTTCCGAAGTTGCGCCCCACGTAGTAATACTTGATCTGGGCCGAGCGGAATCTGTTTGGGAATCCCTCCGTCCGATATAAGGTCTAAAGTGCCTTCATACGTATACAGAGAGTTATTTGGCTGTTCGGAACGCAAGGAACCGTGAAGAGCGTTGACTAGAGAAGGTGAGGTGAGGGGGGCGGTATGTGGAGAGGCCTGTTTGATTTTGAGATTGGTCTCTCTGTTTCGATTTAGAGGGAAAGTCAAGTCAGAAGGTGGACCACATACCCATCTAGATTTGATGTTTCGATGTAACATAAGCCTTCTGGTTCACTAGAGCTTATGATGATTAAGTCGGCGGGGATAAAATCGTTGTTTTCCAGCCGAACAACGTCTCCCACTTGAATATCCAACCACTTCTTTTCTGCAAACGTTGATTGAGGTGTAAGGACCTTGGCCAGTCGTGAGTTCAATTCAGAGTCGGATTGATGACGTTTCTAAGTTCGAGAATAAGATGGGGAAAGCTATGTCTCATTCTCAGTCTGCTTACCAGATCTTCTTGCATCTCTTTGAACGCGGAAGCCAAAAGCACAACGGCCAAAGGGGCAATGGTAGTGTATTTATTAGTTGGTGATACGCCTGGTATTTGTTGGATGCAGGCAGTGAATAAGAAGAACAAGTTCGCATATTTCGAAAATTGTTCTACAATCGGCTTAGTGGTGTCTCAGTGTGGACTGGATGAGTGGACATACCGAATAAGAATTTAGGCACGAAGGAAAGAACGTTGTATTTGCTCGTTGAAATCAAATTGGAGCAGAAGTCCGCGTTGGCTGCGCTACTGTTCAACGCGATAATCCGCTCTCCAGTTGAAACTTCCTCCTTCCGCCAAGGCCATTTCCACTTCCGTGTTTTGGATATTGGTGGTTTGTGAGGTGGGTGTTTCAACCGAGGAAATGATGCAGACCCAGAAAAGGCTGGCCCGTCCGCCGGTCGAAAGTCATCGTCGTCAAAGTTCCAGCCTTGCGGGTAACCATCTCCGAGGCTTATTTTTGATCCTCCCACACCAGCAGGAGGCGCGGCTGAGCGCGCCAGAGGTAGACCACTTTCTTGAGATTGCATAGGCGCTGGGCGCCCAAAGGCGGAGTCTGGCGCGTTGTCATCCTCATCGTCGAAGAACGGATCCATTAATTGCGGGGATTGGTTGTCACTGTAAGGAACAGTCGAACCGGATGGTGGGTAGCCATTGCTTGCTGGTTGATATCTCCTTGCTGCAGGATTTGCCTGAGATACCAGCCGTAGAAAGTCGTCAGTCATGGCCAGCCAGTTGCCAACCTTGCGAGACCGAAATTAGTTGCAGTTCAGCAGGGCCGCAACAACGCATGTAATAATAACGCTCTTGCACAACATCCACAAACACTTATGACGAGGTGTTTTCGTTCATCCCAGTTGATTAAGCATTAAAAGTCCCATAATAAATTACAATATACAATCCGTGACATGCCATAAATTACACCTTGTTGCCCGCATTGTTATTATAGTGCCCCCCACTGTGCGGCGCCGAGGATCCAAACGAGTTAGGCGCATCAGCATATGGATAGGTTTTGCCATGAGTCAATGGATATGAATCTTCGGTTGACTTCACGGGTTGGTATGTAGCTCCACTGGAATTGAACGCTGTTGACAACCGTTCTTTATCAAGCCTCTGCTTGGTAAGACGTTTCGAATATTGATAAACGACATAACATGCATCTGTAAGATCAACACCTATGAGTATCTGCGAAGATTGCGAAGGAAACTTCGAAACATACAGCCTTGAACAATAATGGGAACAATTACAGAGGCAATCATCGCTCCTTGGGGAACACGGGAATAGGCGGCCAATGCTTGACAAGCAGCAATCTTCTCTGTGTCTGTTGATCCGTTGATACACTTTTCGACAGGTTGTCCACGAGTACGATAGAAAGTTATCAGGTACCAGATGCTGCTCCCGACTTGGAAGCCAAAAACCGTCGCTAGAAGAACGAAGAAGCTTTTAACAAAGCCGTTCTTTTTGAAAATCGCTCCCAAAAAGCTAATGAGGTTTTTTTCCGTTTTAGTTCGTCAAGTTGGGCAGGCGTGAACTGTACTCACCCTAATAAACCAACGAGGGCAGCTACGGTATAGATCACACCGACTATGATAACCGTCGTTTTCATGTTTCCTACGACGACTGAAACTAAAGCAAAAGTATGAAAGCGCGTGTATTTTTCAAAGATTTTCGGCTTACCATCGTTCTTGTGGTTGAAGCAGAGCGCCCACCATAAAAGTCCTGCAACTCCTCCGCAGATAAGGAATTGTATGACAGAGATGACTAAGACGCCCAGCCGGAGAGGTAGGCAGCAGAGAAATTTGGCACCCATTGAAAATACTGGTCAACGAGGAAGGAATGTAAGTGCTGGACGGGGAAGGAAGTCGAGAAGATGATATACTTAGGCCTAGAGGTGGGGCACAGCCGCAATACACCGCATGTAGAACGCCAAGCGCAAGGCATGGGCTCTCTAAAACACCCATGGCACTACGCTGCTGCGCAACACAGCAACGCTAGCAAAGGCTGTTGCTTCTCAAGTTGCGCCGCCGATTACACCGATGCTCACCCATGAAAAGGTACACGAACGGGGACGCAAGAGCGGGACCGCATGGCACAAGGTGAACAGTAAACTGCGTGCAGGGCAACTGATTTGAGCGCTCTGCGCATTATATTTGTGGGTAACGGCTTGACCTGTTTGTACTTTAGGCCGACTATCGCCGCTACAGAAGGCGCTTGTCGTGAAATTGGTTATGACAATTCAAAAGACTATTTTCCTCGCCATTAATTGGTGATGGTGCCAACAATGTCAGTATGATTCAGGCAGCCCACGTCGGTGTCGGCATCTCTGGAGTTGAGGTAAACAAGTTTCCTCAACATTACTCAAATGTATATATGACTTTCCTTACCCAAGGATTTTAAGCTGCTCGTTCAGCTGATACATGTTGCCATCTCGCAATTCCGGTTTTACAAAACAAAAGTTCATGGCGCCTAGAGTTACAGACGGATGATCAAACTTATCCTTTGGTGCTTGGTTATTTAATCTAGACCGTATTCTGGGTCGTTCATTTTCACCAAGTATTTTCTACCCCTGTGTGCGGTTGTCGCTCCTGCTATTGGAAAATATTCTGACATCGTTCACCGGCTGTGGACGAATAGTGTCTTTTACTTTGTCCTCATCTTTATCCCGCTCTTCTGCCTCGTGCGGGATTTTGTCGGGAAAGAGTTTGTTACATTCCTGAGTCAAGAACGGTATGTAGAAACTGGATGTTCCCACAGATTCCGTTACTCAGAGATCTTGCAGGTCCAAAAGGCAATCAAGAAAGTCCGTGCAACGCAGTGCATGCGGCGGAACTGTAGATTTGCTTTCAGCCAGACAGAAATGCGGCAAAACAGGGTCAGGCCAAGATCATTCGGCGTACAAGATATCAAAATCAAATGCGCGGTTATCTGGTTACTAGACTAGAGACCAAGACAGTGTTGCTCATATATTTGAAGAAATCCATATATGATTCCTCTCGCTTTCAGGTTCTTGTATTGGTATTCATACAGGTCTCCAAACCCGGAGGTCACTTTGAAGTCCATTAAGGTACTTTAAGGCCGGATATGTCCATCCATTGGGGCAACACTAGGCTGTCGTTTCCACAACTGCTTTCGCAATATTTGTAGTTCAACACACCTCTGTTTTTGACAAGGCAGCCTGATTAGTAAACAATCAAGTGAGTGAAGTGTCATATACCTTGCTCCCCTTGCAAGTGTGCCTTCTGCTCTCCGAAAAGTCAATGAGGCAGAACCCTCCTTCGCGAGTACGCGCAATATTCCGGGGCTCGAGGTCTCCATGAATTATCCCAATACAATGAAGGTCCCGTGCCAACTTAAACACTTGAGATCTGCAGGAAATCGTGATCATCGATGAGAGCAATTGCTTCGGCATGATTGCTACTGCTTACCGCTCAGAGTCGTTAAGCTCTTCCCACTCATTCAGAACGCCATCACATAAATCGAGAATGAGAACGGCCACGCCATTCCCTTCGAATGCACCATAGCATTGGGGAGCGACACGATTACGTGATTGACGAGATTGGTATGCCTGCTCCAAGGTAAGGTAGATGTTGAACTCATCATGGAGCCGTTGTCGCTTGTCTGCGTCAGCACGTCGTAGCACCTCGACAATCTTGACGACGAGAAAGTCAACGCTGCCATCAAAGCAACATTGCCAGGCATTGCCAGTTGACCCCGACCCCACAAACCGGGTCAACCACAAGCGCCGATTCCCATTATTGGCGCACAGCGGAAGGGCGAGAATATTGTTTGAGAAGGGGTGGAGATGTATCCAGATTTGGGAGGATTCAGGCGAATTTTGGGAGGATGAAGTGATCTAAGAAATAAAAGAGTATGGCAAAAGAGCGGCAACAGGAGGCGTGGACAAACCATTAGCCGGGACTCAGCCTTCCTCTGGCCAGTGTGGTGACAGTTACGGGTATTCGGAGGATCGTTCGCTATTAAACTACCTGAATGCGGTGAGCGATCATCGATGTAATCTTCAGGTGAAGGACCCTCGTCTTGTTCTTTGAGAGTATCGAGTTCCATATTGGGATTGAATTCGGTAGGCTCGACAGGAACATTCTTGACAACGGACAACATGGCACCAAAGAGTGCTCGAAAAGGCACTGAAGAGTCATCGATGTTGATCATTGGCGAGTAGGCAAGGAAGGGGTGGTGATTGTCCCTCACAAGGCGGCATACGATCCAGTAATTATGACATGTAATAAAGAGCCACTCCATCCGTCTTAGACCCAGAGTCAATGCAGCCTAGATGTATTTCTTAAACGCCAGCGTTGTAGGTGACGAAGGTAGTTTACTCACCTTTGTAAGCATCTTCGGTGCCAAAGTTTGACCGGGAGCCCACGACAGCTCGATACCATTCTACGGTAACAGCCCGCGAACATTATTCATGACCGATGGGGATGTCACCTCGAGGAGACTCCCGTCTTCGCCATCCACTTCTAAACCATAGTCAATCCTGGAGCTCCCTCTGTCCGCAACTTTTTCTGTTTTTGCCAGGTTGTGTCTACCGTATAACCACAAGCAGTCCCCTAAAGTGTCAAGTACACCTATGGACAACAGTGTCTGACTCTGATCCAAAGATCAGCCCAAATTACTGGACATCGAACGAAGAACTAGAAACTTACATGCCTTTCACTTGGATTCCGTATCCAGTTAGAGTCTTCTCGACCAAACGCACCAAGCTGTATCCGAGGTGAAAACCGTGATAGGAGTTGATTTTCGGCATCCGCTGATAAGAGGGTATCTCCAAGGACGTTCTCGAGAGTGCTGCAAAGTTTCTGAACAAGGGTATTGTCTCGCACAGCATGCTTGGCTTTCCATTCCCTCTCGAGCAACGGGACTTCAACTAGAGATATGTCTGTGATGTCGGTAGATGAGTCTTCATTAGGTTGAGGGGATGAGAACATCGCATGTTCCACCAGGAAATTATGTAGGTTGGACATGATGATGGCCGTGGATTGTTGAATGCAACCTGTAATCGGACTCCTATACCTGCTATCGAGGTTTAAACATCCCTAGTCACAGTTTCTATGAGAGGGGAAACCTTGAGCGCCTTCCGCTATCAAGGTGATCGCACTCAGTGACGAGTGCGCCTTCCACAAGGTGTTCCCCCGATCGGCCTCCTTTCTGGGGATTTTCTGTGCAGTCTGCAATCGGTGTGCCGGGGAATCCTAGGGTGGGTCTCCTCGCTCCCGCCATCCCCGTACGGAGAACGAAGGTCAGACTGCAAAGAGCGAGCGGTCAGCAAGCCGTGGTACAGGCAGAGCAAACCTTTATGCACCTTTTCGCAGAGCATGAGTTTCTGGGAACCGCTATTTGCGGGTGTTTATATAGATTAGATTGATACTGCTCAAGTTAGTCTCCTCCTTCAACTGGAGCTCTATCACACTGATCTCTATCTGCAACTATTCACATCTTGTCATCATGCAACGACATAGTTTTACCGCGCTCAACTCTACATTCGTTGTCGATGCAGAGTACCAGTTCGTCAAGGAGCTGGGCCAAGGTGCATATGGCTGCGTCGTCTCCGCTAGACATCGACGCTCAGGCGAAGGGTGCGCTATCAAGAAGATCACAAACATCAACACCAAGGTCTGTATCTGACACAATTTTATCAACTCACGGATCCTCTGATTTGCTAGTCGATAGCGCATCTTGACTAAGCGCTGCCTAAGAGAGATCAGGTTCGTTGAATTTATATGCTCCGTCGCAGCTTGTCTGACGCGATCTACTGCTCTAGGTTATTGCACCACTTCCGGGGTCACAAAAACGTCTGTGATATTTTCGTACAACAATGGTGGTTATCTGATTCTCAGGCAGATTACATGCCTTTACGACATGGATATTGTATTTCAACCAAACGGGAACTTTGATGAGGTTTATCTCTACGTTGGTCCATCCTCGATTTTTCCTCTCCAATATCAAACCCTGTTTTTCAGGAGGAACTGATGGAAGCTGACCTCCACGCAATCGTGAATACTTCCGGTTTTGACCTCTGGAGTAGAATATTGACCTTATAGGATAGATTCGATCAGGCCAACCGCTGACCGACGCTCACTTCCAATCCTTTTTGTATCAAACTCTTTGCGGCCTCAAGTATATTCACTCAGCAAATGTACTCCATCGCGATCTCAAACCAGGGAATCTTCTTGTAAATGCTGATTGCGAGCTTAAAATATGTGACTTTGGTTTGGCTCGTGGCTATACTCCTGGCGGGGGAACTTCCAAGGCAGCCGGAAATCAAGGTTTCATGACGGAATACGTTGCCACCCGTTGGTACCGTGCGCCCGAAATCATGCTGAGCTTCGCAAACTACGTGAGTACGATCAGCATACCTCCGCTGAAGATCTAACCATTTGGCTAGTCTACCGCCATCGATGTTTGGTCTGTTGGATGCATCCTAGCTGAACTGCTTGGTGGAAAGCCCATCTATAAGGGTAGAGAGTATGTTTTTTTTTTTTTGACGAAGACCAACTGGGTGCTGAATTCGTTGTAGCTACGTTGACCAGTTGAATCAGATTCTTCATTATTTGGGCACTCCATCTGAAGATACTCTCCGCCGTGTTGGATCACCTCGGGTTTGTCTATTAACTGATTGTTGATTCCGATGTTAATGCCTCTTAGGCCCAAGACTACATCAGGTCTCTGCCAATTAAACCCCGTGTTCCTTTCTCAACCCTTTTCCCTCATGCAAATCCTCTTGCTATCGATCTCCTTTCCCAGATGCTTTGCTTTGACCCCGCTAAGCGCATTAGCTGCGAGCAAGCCTTAAATCATCCATATCTACAAGTCTGGCATGATCCCGCCGATGAACCTGTATGCGACACTGTAAGTGGTGCTGTGTACTACTCGGTTCCGGCATTTACTAACAAGAACTCGTTCAGAAATTCGACTTCGGATTCGAAGAGGAAGACAGCATTGATGGGATGAAGAAGCTAATTATCGAAGAAGTCAACTCATTCCGAGCAGAAGTGCGCGCGCAGGCCAGGGCTGCGGGTCAGATTCGCCGTCAAGACAGGTAAAAACACACTTTCCTTGTTGGTTCGGTAGCTGGGTGCTGATGGTCTTTAGTCTCCCTATACCATCGCGTGATGAGATTCTCAGCTCTCCCGTGCAGGAACACGGTCCTCATCACGGTGCAACTTCCTCTTATACCGCGACCCAGAGTCACGGTGGAGCGCGGCCACCCAGCCCGATCATGGATGATCCCAGCGAAGAGCTGGAGCGAGAGCTTGCCTCCACTCATCTTGGGAATCAGAGGAGATGAAATGCCCATTTTATGCCTAGATCTGAACTGATTTGACCAGCTTTTGTGTGCGGTATATTTGTGAACTTGATTGTATTGGATACAAGGGAAATGTAATTATATAGTGATACCTCCTGTATGCAATTTTGTGACGTATAGAATATAAATTTTCGACAGCGAGATTGTGTGATACATTGTTTCGCAACGAGCAGCTTGCTAATGTAACTCGTCGGCATCTTCTTCCAATTCCTGCTCGGAAGAAACCAACCCCTTCGCATTGACTATGAAGTCCTGCACTTTGGCCAGATCCTTCCCGGTTCCCTCGTTGTTCTCCACACCGCCGCTGACATCTACCGCCCAGGGATTCACCTGAGCGATGACTGACGCGACGTTCTCTGGTGTTAAGCCACCGGCGAGGATGATTGGAAGGGGATATTTAGCGGGAGAGGTTATAGCTTTATTTTGAGGCTCAGATACGGCTTCGCTGGCAGAAACGACTGCTGGAGTCGTCTCCTTCTCGGGGAGGTCCTGAGCGCCTTCGACAGCCTCCTTCTGTTCAGTTTGCTTCTCTTTGTTGTTCGAAACTCGACCACTGGTCAAAATTTCACCACTATCCACGATTGTTTTCGCAGATTCCAGATCCATAATTTTTCCGGTCCCTCCGCTCATACCATCCTCTCTCAAGCTGTCAAGTAAGATAAATTTATGCTTACCCCCGCGGGTGATTCCTTCCGCCCCAGTGCCGTTCTCTCCAATGTGGAAGACGCGGATAACCGGTACGGGGATATGATGCACCCAGTCTATTGGCTCAGCACCATGAAGTTGAACCATGTCAAGCTGTGCTAGCGAGACTGCACGCAAAATTGTGGAAAGTGTCGCGTTTTGGAAAACACCCACCAAGAGAGGGCGCGATATAGTGTTTGAGAGACGTGTAGCATGTGTGGTAAACCAGGGGGCATTAGGAACTTCATATTGTTCGTCAGTCTGGGAGGGTGGGGACGGCTGTGTGAATCCCAGTTCGCGAATGGCTCGTGAAATCTCTTTGGCCGTTTCTAAATCGATATGTCTTTTTGACTTCTCAACGAACATTAGACCAAGAATGTCCGCCCCGGCAGCCGCTACCGCCAAGGCCTCCTCCTTTGATCGTATGCCACAAATTTTTACAAGAGGCGACCGGGAGCGCCATTTCGGTGAGAGAGACGTGGGTTCTGGGATCGAAAGTAACTTGTGAATGAAAGCCTCAGTGTCCTTTGCTCGCATCAAGCTCTCTCCGACGAGGATGGCCCCAACTCCGTCTGATTGGTAACGTTTCACGTCTTCTGAAGTTGCTATCCCGCTCAAAGCACACAAAACAACGTCTTTGCCCTTCACCATATCGCTTAACCTGCTCGTCGTTCCCATGTCTACCTGGAAATCATGTAAATTCCGATTGTTGACGCCGATTACCTTAGCCGGTAAGGATAACGCGAGCTCCATCTCCTTGGCGTTGTTAACTTCAACCAAAGGCTCCATGCCTAACTCCAGGCTGTACTTGTAGAGATCACGTAGTAACGCCTCCGAAAGCATGCTCACAATCAACAAGATAGTGTCTGCGCCCCATAAGCGGGACTCCACGATCTGATAACGACTCAGGATGAAATCCTTGCGTAGAATTGCAGGGCGGTTTGGGAGATGGGCCACGCTCAAGCGGACGTGAAGCATGTCCTGAAGTGAACCAAGGAACCATTTAGGTTCTGTGAGGACTGAGATGGTTTGTGCCCCTGAAAGGGCGTAGGTAAGAGCTTGTGCAGCAGGAGATGTGGTAATCGAGATCGGGCCCTTGGATGGCGATGCACGCTTGATTTCAGCGAACAAGGCAGGACGGTCAGGTGTGTCTTTAATATGAGAGACGAACGGAATCAAGGGAGGGGCAATGTTGAGGGACAAAAGAGTCTTTAGATCTGTTAACGTTGTCCCTGGTGTAGATTCTGCTTGAGAGACGTCTGCCAATCGCTGGGCGTAGATTTTTTCGAGGATCGAGGGTATACTTTTAGTCGCGCCTGGTTTAGAAAGTACCTCTTGCGGGAGCGCCTCAAAAGGAAATGGTGGAAGGGAGCTATCGAGGACCCGAGCTTCTGGATTTTCTTCCCACAACCCACCACGAAGGGCTAGAAAATTGCGGATGAGATCATCACCGCCTTCGCTGAGGATACTCTCCGGATGATATTGAACCGCTTCTAGCGTATATTTTCGGTGCCTAACGCCCATAATAACACCGGACTCTTCCGTGGCAGAAGTGATTGCAAGTTCGGGTGGGAGTGACGCATGGGCAGCACTGAGTGAGTGGTATCGGATTGATTTTATTCCTTGAGGGATACCTCTGAAGCAACCTCGGTTATCGTGTCTTATTCGGCTGACTTTTCCGTGCATGATTTCGCCTGCGTAACTGTTGCGCAAAGGTCAGCAACGCCCCGAAGACTCTGAGGACGACATCAGCATGGCATAGTAAACATTGTTTGTAGGTGCCTTCCCCACTCTGCTGAACCGAATCATAAAATCACGGTACGCACGCTATTTGTCCTCTATAGAGATCAACCAAGCACTCTAGTCCCATACACACGCCGAGAATGGGTACTTTGCCTTGGAAGTACTCGATCGCAGCCTTTGAGATTCCGGAATCCGTCTGAGGGTGGCCAGGTCCAGGTGAAATGATCAGGAAATTTATCCTCAATTTCGGAAGCATGGATGGATGGATAGCATCATTCCGAATGACGGTGACATCTGCACCTTGAAGAGAAAGTTGCTGATATAGATTCCAAGTGAAGGAGTCAAAATTGTCAATCAAAAGCACATCGAGTTGCGCAGAAAGGGAAGGGGGCAATAAATCATCGTGCAATAGATCTTTGCTGGCCATCGTACGACGTAAGAGCTTATCAGAGTTGATGGGGGAACGGGGGATAACTGGTCGAAATCCTAAATTCCCTATTTGGCAAATCAGCCAAGCTCAGGGCCTCTTCTTGGCCTCCGCCATGCTCACTGCACTCCTCCAGTGACGACAGTGGCAGAGACATTCTCTCATCAGCTTGCTATCACCGACGGCCTGGGATGCAGCACAAAGCCCAAGCGATAGTACCCATTTAACGATTTCACGATAACCGACTTCGGAGCGATGGTGTCTTCAAACATAACCTGCTTCAAGCACGATGCCCAGACTCCCCCAGCTCTCTTCCAGAATGGCGATGCGGTCTTCCAGGGTATGGTGCTAGAGCTTCTTTTTGGAGAATACCTTTGGGACTGATATCCTCATTCGCAAGCCCACCATGTATTTATCCCCCGGTCCTCCCTAAACCCTACCTGGACTCATCATTATCAGGTTGGCTGGATTGTCGCAGGTGGATTTGCTACGGTCGCTACGGTGGTCTCATTTTGGCTCATCAACAAACATTTGCAGTGGTATACGAATGTAAGATCTCTGGACATGGCATTCTAGGACCCCTGTCTTATTCATCAATTATAACTTTAGAAAAGGGAACAACGGTGCAAGTTCGCCGCCATTCAAGTTCTTCTACTCATTAACTCTCATCCTTTCAGACATCATACGGCTTCTATTTCTTGTGCCAATATATGCTCTCATCAGCTTTGCCTCCTACCTCTTCTGGGTGGGTTGTACGGCTTCTACTTCTACTAAAATATCCTAATGGTGTGGATGTAGGATCACTCAACACCTCTGATTCTCGTTCGAGATGCTTATGAAGCCATTGTTCTCACTGCCTTTTTCTACTTGCTCCTCAATTATGTATCACCTGATGTCGAGGAACAGAAGTTGGTTCTCCTGAAAGTCGGACTTTCTCGCGATGCTGATAGGGTTGCGAGACAGAAGGGAGAGGCTATGAAACGGTGGGCTTTTCCTCTCAAATTTATCAAATGGAAACCATCGGTAGAGATTATTATTTCTTTTTATCGTCTCAGGGTATCTCACTATGTCATTTCAGGACGGACTATATTTTTTACAGCTAATGAAATGGGGAATTCTACAGTACTGCGTTGTTAGGCCAATGTGAGCTGCCAACTTGCTTTTGAAGCCTGTTATTCACCGAATTCGCAGTACCACTTTGGCCGCTGTCATTCTGGATTACAATGGGCTGTATTGCGAGTCATCCTGGGGTCCAGGGTGGGGACATGTCTATGTTCGTGCCCCTGTGGAAAATAATATTCATCTAACCAATGCCTGTAGATCGTCGTCATCATCTCCTTGTCTGTCACCGTGGCCATGTATTGTTTGATTCAACTCTATCTATGTATAGCTAAGGACGTTGAACGCCATCGTCCTTTGCTCAAGTTGTTTTCTGTCAAAGCCGTGGGTAAGTCAATTTCAATAGGTACTTTGTCCGAGGGACGTCCTAATAAATCTCTTCAGTTTTTCTCACCTTCTGGCAAGCGACCTTTCTCTCCGTACTCAGCATGTTCGGGGTGGTGAAGGACGTACGTAATAATACGGTTGTAGACGTTAGTTCCAGCCACTAATTATTCGCAGACTACATACATGACAGCGGAGGACATAAACATCGGCATCGGCGCCCTTTTGGAAACCTTTGAGATGATGTAAGATGCCTACCAAAATCCAGCGTTCTGCCACTGAGTCTACGTAGGATATTTGCTTTTGTTCATATAAAAGCATTTACCTACAAGGAATATCGACCTAAGCAAGACTCGAAGTTCGTTGGTGCGGCCCCTGTGCGAACATCCCGACTTCGTTCACTTGCTCATGTTCTGGACTTTCGTGAGACATTCCGGGAAATTTGGGTTGGCTGTATCTATTTGTTGGACAAAGTTAGAGGGAAGGAACCCTCACCGGACTTTGGGGTGCGACGAGCTGCTCACTATGAGGAAGCTTTTGGGCGGTCACGTCTGGCCTACGCTGGACAGGAAAAAAACTCCAAAGGCTCACACAACCTCGGGGAGAAATTAGCTACTCATCCGGCTGTGACAGTCGAGGTCGACCAGGAAGTCCAAATAGAAGTAGGAGGGGAAAGACAATGGCTCGGGACAGGTGATGATTACGGCTATGGGCTTGGCTACCTGCGGCGAGAACGGAGTGAAGGCTTAGCAGCGCAGATAGAAAGGGAACTCGGGAGACGTGGGGTGGGCTTGCGTCCTAGCCATGATGAGCCAACCCCGCTCAATGTCGGCTCGAGTCATGACAATCCTCGACATCAACGAAATAAACGCTCGTGGTGGCGCACTGTCTACGATCGCATTTCTCAGACTGGACACGAGGAAACAGACCAGCCGGCTCCCCATGCCCAAAGAAGACTTAGGCGCACCTCACACTCACGCTGGGAGGAAGCACATCAGCGTCTTTTACAGGATCATGCTGACATGCCGACCTGTGGCATGGACTCTGAGCGACATGCTAGTGATCACAGAGCAGAGGCCGATATTTTAGCCCCTCTCTCCGCCTATCATAATCATAGGCGCTCGCAGTACCCCAGGAATCAGAGTGGACATTTCTCTGAGTTGCCCAACGGCGGGTCAGCTCCCAATCACAGGGAGACTCATCGGGTAGCTAGCGTACCAGTGACCCCCTCCCCCAACCACCGCTCTGATAGCATCCTTGCTCGAATATTCCCTCAGTCTGATAATGGATCCCTCCGCGACCGCGAAACCGATAGTGCCCATTCTTTTCTATCTTCATCTACAAGAGGCATCAGTTCTTCGAAAAGGACACTTAACAGTCACTCTATTAACTCGACAATTGGCATTCTTTCTTCGGATGAAATTGGCGTCATGAGGGATAGAAGATTGGTTGGGCCTGACGATGTTATCCACCTCTTGGATGCACCGTCTGATCGGCTGGGTGTCGATGTCGCAAGCACCGATAACCCTCCAATACCGCCGGAGAAGGATCATGTTGTATACCGTCGTCCACTTGAATCAAGTCACCACAGACCAATACCCCCACGATTGCCATCTCCACCATTTTTGGTGATGAAGAATACACCAAGGAACAGCGTCACCACGTCGCCAGCAGCCGACGTAACATACGCCGCAGCGCGTCAGTCGCGTCACCGAAGTTTGGATCAAGTTACATCGTGCGATCGACCCACGTCTACATCCCAGCCGCATCTGCCTCGACATACCCACACTGACCATGAGATGCGGCACGATATATATATCCCGCCACCACTATGAGAACGCGAACACCTCCACAGACATAACACTAACACTTGTGCTCGAGACCTCCCACCTCCGTAACTTGAATAATGCCAGCCACGACAGATAATGACATCACGATACTCATGACGACTTATTCACCTCTTGACTACGATTCTTAATATTCTTATTCATCGCAGAATTCTTGTACTCCAGTGTATCTATTTCAAGAGCACACGATACCACCTGTAAGCATATTCCAACCAAGTTGCTCATACGTCCAACCCATAACAGTTCCTTCAGGGGTGTGATATTTCAATAGTGACCTGTGCTTTCCCTCTTGTAAATGGATTGCATTGATTTCCTCCATGTCCTCGTCAGTGAGCTTAATTAACTAATGAAAGGTGTTAGCAACTTTGGCAAGGGCAGTTGAAATCACCACACATTTAAATTCGCTGTCATTCTCCCGTCATCCTCGCTCTTTGGGACAACCGCTGTTCCACGTTGGACACCCCAAGCAAGAACTACTTGGGCTGGTGTAACCTTGCCTTTTTCTGCAATTTTTTGTATGGTGGGGTCCTCGAACAAAGTGGCCGATCGACCTGGATAATACTATCAGTTCATTCTGAGCTGGCACATCTAGAATCCATACCCAGAGGAGAATACGCCGTCAGAAGGATGCCCTTTTCCTCACACAGCGCCTTGACGTCGTTCTGAGGGAGATAAGGGTGCATCTCGACTTGATTCACAGCTGGCACGATTTGACAGTGCGGGAGGAGTGCCTCGAGAGTTTTACAAGAAAAGTTGGACACCCCCAACGTCTTCACTTTCCCTTCAACACGACAGTTAAGTCATACAGCTTGATGGTTATTTCCAGGATCAAATAATACCTGTTTCGAGCAGCTTCTCCATCTCCTTCCATGTCTCAATGAAAGTAGGGTGTTCGTCAGGCCCTAAAACATGGGCGTTTCCCGCTGCACACATTGAATTCCAGCGCTATTAAGCAAGTCGTGCGCAATGACTTACTTGGGGCTTGAGCTTGAGGCCAATGAAGGAGGTATAAATCAATATATTCGCAGTCAAGGTCTCGCAGAGAATCCTCGAACGCTTCGCGTACGCGGTGGTGATCAGGGTTTCTATTCAGAGTCCGTCAGGATAATTTTATCATTACTCAAACGCGACTTACGCCAATTTGGTTGTGATATATAGGCTCTTCCTGGGTATCCCAGATGCTTTAATGGCATCACCGACCATTTTCTCGTTGCCTGCGACAAACCACTGATCAAATACCTTTCCCACATAATTCAGATACTCGGCGTACCATATCCTGCTGCCTATGAAAGATGCAAGTGTAAGCATAGGAGACCACAATGACGCCTATTGAAATTCACAGTGTCAAAGTGTCGATAGCCATTCTACCAACGCAAGGAAATCAATAACATGAAGGGGTAAATTTGCACACTAGCTACTTACTCTGAGCGCCTTCGCACACATTTCAACAACGCGGTTTCCATCTCCTGCTGTAACACTACCCATCCAGCAACTAAAAAAGATGAGGGTGAATCCTTGGAACACTTCGTTCTACTAGGGTCTTACCCCATGCCAATTGCAGGGATCGTGGTGCCATTGTTGAGGGTGAAGTCAGGAGTAAGAGACGACATGGGGCTGGATATCTTGATATCCGAATGGGCGCTTTAAGGTATGAAGGAACATGGCATTCGGGCCGATCTCGACGGCCCGTTTTTTTCCCGACGTCATTTCAAAGGCTACAGTTATCCAAATCGTACTAATACAGATCTATCGATATGCGCAGATACAGGAGAATGGGGTAGCAGTAAAATACAGGAAGAGCTGTCGTGGGGTGGATACAAGCGAGGATGCACGAGATTCTGATTGGGATGGAGAGAAAGTTGGGTCCAAAATCACAGCGTAAAAATATTCAGACCGCCCTGGAGAGCCCCAGTTTCCCTTTTTCCAGGGTAACCACGTAACCTTGTAAAGGTTCTTGTTCCAGATTGTTGATTGCGTACTCAGAGTGCACGACGCGCCTGGCGTTGATCTTGTTCAGAACCATCCGAGTTTCTGAGTCCTTCTCGACATCCGAAGATGTTTCCGAGTCATCAGAGGAGTCAAAGTTTGACGGAGACGCGAAAGAGGTTTCAACATTGAGAGTTGTTTCGAAAACAGCTGGATCCACCAAAGGGGACGCGACATCCAATAGTTCTTTCCCAATGTCTCCGCGGCGGTAAACACGGTTATGTTGCTCAGGGGTGGTTGGATTGAACAAATTGACACAAAAGTCGAGCGACTTCTGGAGTTCTGTTTCGGAAAGGCGGGCGCCCATATCAGAAGCTCCCTGAATAACTGATAAGAAGTGGTTATTATGGCATCAAACGTCGGCCTCGAATCAAAAAAGACAACTAACCAGGGCGAAGAAAGGAAAATGCTCGGTCGTAATTGTCCTCGTTTATGTCTGAGAGAATGTCTATGGTTTGGGAACGGATTTGCTTATAGGCGCTGAGAACGACCATCTGAAATCTATACATGTTATCAGCGAAAAGGTATTGCACGGCATACTGGAAGCCTGCCTCGTGTAACTTGTTGACACACGTTGTGTATGCCATTGTGCAGCTTCTACTTCTGAGCAATGGCCTCGAAGAGAAGCACAGATCGTCGCTGCGGCCGAAAGAGCTGACGTCATCGCCAGGTGAACCCCGCTTGAAAAAAATGGGTCGATGAAAGCTTTTGAGGGTAAATTATACAATCCTCATGGAGGCGATCAAGGCTCACCTCCCGCGTCCCCGACGATTCGAAACCCTTTTCCAGCATAAATTGGTGCGGAATAGCTGAAGTCGCTGGCGCTCCTCACACTTCCCTCGTTCAAAATGCCAGTGGAGCTAATCAAAAGTACGACTCCGGGAGCCAACGACAGGTTGGAAAGATAACGTAACACCATGGCAGAGTCGGAGGCACCTGGTGTGGCAAAACTTGCAAACAGTGATGGGGTAGATAACTGGATTTTTGAATGGTACATCTTCTCGTTCATCACTATGCCAATTGAGGTAGTTCCATTATGAAGGGGAATAAACCAGGCCCAACCCGAAGCGTCTAAACGGCGCAAAGTCAATAGCCATTATATGGAAGCGTGACGAAGAACAGACCAGTGAGCGCCTCAAACCAAGGTGAACCTTGCCGCTTTGAACCCAAGCCATAGCCCCCCACATCTCTCCAATAGCCCCAGACGGCGATATTTTTCAGAGATGCGTTAAAATGTCTGTTTTTCAGATATTTCGTGGACATAAGTCCAGCCCGACCAGTTGCATCAATTAAATGGGTAAATGTTGTCGTGCCACGGACCGGAACCTCTGCCGCCTCTTCAACTCGTGGACTAGATGCAAAACGTGAAAAAGCCGAGTGAATCGGAGAAGCAGGAGGTGAGGGAGGGGGAGGGGGAGGTACGTGTGACCACTCCACAGAAATGGGTCGTTTGGGGTCAGAAGGACAGAAAGTAATTGCTTCAACTTTGGTTTTTTCGTAGACGGACGCCCCGGTGGAGCGAGCATGGTTTAGCAGCATCTGGTCAAATTCGGAACGGACCTACAACGCAAGAGATGTTATGAAATGTTATACATCTGTTCAAAAGGTGTCCTCACAACGTTCCATGCGTAGTTATTGTGTCCCATAGCGATGAAATCTGTGTCTAAAGTATGGTTGGTACCAAAGTGAGCTTGTGTACAACATGTCTACTCACAGCCTTCGCGTTTACACTGATTGAATTTTATAGCTGCCCCTGGCTATGTCAAACTAGGTTATTAACTTGTAGACTTTACTGTGATAGTCGCTTACTTTCTGAACGAAACCATGCTTGACCATGATGTCTTCTGCCCCAATAAAGCGAAGATAGTGGCGAACAGAAGGAATCAAGCTTTCGCCAATGTGATATCTGTTGTGCCATTAGCAAGCGCGACAGCCCCCAGGAAGGGGAAGTTCTGACCGAGGAAACTTGGAAGCTTCCAAGACGGTAACATCGATGCCTTCTCTTGCGAGTGCGGCTGCTGCATACGAGCCAGCAGGACCCCCTCCAATAATGAGAACTTGGGTATACTGGTCTGTAGAGGTGAAGAACAGAAGAAGAATCTGAGGGAAGTCAAACGTACGTTTGGAGGCAACGAAGATGGGTGGGACATGAGAGAAAAGATGAACGGGGATGGAAAGAAAGGGCAGCAAAGCCGGGGCCTTTATAGTTCTGGACCGAAAAGTTCTCAGACATGAGTAGTCAGACTGTATGCGTTATTTTTATGTTCATGATGGAAAAACAGACGCGACCATCGGTTCCACATCTCGTGAGCTAGGAGAGGAAGTCGGATTGCCCGATCGAGAAAGCATGTCCAAGAAGCTCTCCATCGAACATCTCCGAGGACTCTAAACTTGAGTCCAAGAAACGGGAGGTTATAACACGCAGTTTCTGAAACGAATATTCCTCGGAGAACCTTGCACAACCATGTGAGCCCATGTGGATAACAATGATAGGCGTTGGGTGGACAGATTGTGTCAAGAGCGTGAGTTTATTTTACATACAGGTGTGTGACTCAGGTGTGACTGTTCGCGATTGTGACATGTTATGGCACAACAACCTCCACCTCCCTTGAGCGAAATCATCAATGCAGTTCGCGACGTTCTATCTCCAAAAACTTTTTCTATTTATGACATGAAAGCCTTCCTTGACCTACTTGCAATGATAGAGTGGTATCGTCTCGATTATACAAAGAGAGTGTCCGACACCCTGACCTGGAACGTTTTCTACAACACCCACCTCGATCCCGATGTTCTAACTTTACGAATGGAAGAAGAAAAGCTCTTCACTAATATTCTGCGCGTGCAGACGGGTCTTAGGGAGGTGTTTATGGTCATAATCTCAAGGTGCTGTCTCATAGTGAGTCGTCGATCTAATCCCGTTGAACAACTGTAAATTTCTTCGAAACCAGGACCTGCATAAATTATGGAATAATTCTTCCATGACCCAATTCTGGGTTCGTTGGAATGAGTATTTCCAAGTCAAGTCAGAACCCTTTTCTGTGCTCCGGTTTCACTTTGAGATGTCCGACGAAGACATCAGAATCATGCATGATGTTGCTCAAAAATGGGCCATTGGCTTGGGTGCGGGTGATTACCAGGAAGCTAATCGGTAACTATTTCAACCACCCATCATCCTCCTGCTTATTTTTTGTCGCCTTCCAGCCCATTTATGCGAAAAGTCTTCCAGTCGGAAAACATGGAGCCCGAGGTACCCCATTGGGAGGAGCTTCTTGAGTTGATGAATTATTATCTCACGACAGTCGAAAAAATGGAACAAAGCTTTGATACCGTATTTCCCTCGAACCCCACTGAAATGTCGCCGAAAAGACAGGATGTAGAGACGTGACAGTCGTGATACCCTTCAGTCCCACTGGATCCTCTGTGCATATCTCTGAATGTCGGAAACATAATTATCGGTAACCTCGTGGCCAACCCCGGTCGCTACTTTGAGGATGACCTCATTCAGCCCAGTCGACCCAAGGATGTCGACATGGTCACTGGTATTTGCGCCCCCTCGTGGCATAGTTACAGTCGGGCGATGTGGCAGCTTCACAAACGCCATCAAACACTCAAGACCACAGCAAGAAAGTAAATTCCCGTACCTCTACTGTCGTGATCTTGATACCGGCCGGATTCCATCTCGGTCTCTTCCACCCCTCCACGCACATTGCTCCCAAACTCACCAGGCTGACTGTTCCATCTCCTTCTCCCATTTTCACCCCGTTCAAGAGCTGGGAGGGCGGCATCAAAGAACTATTTCTCGAATATGGGGGAAAGCCCTACTTTGGGAAAAGCAGAGTTGTTGGTATAATCAGAATCGATCCAGCTTTCCCGCAATGAAGGAGGTCCCAGGTGTTGGCTGAGGACTCCACATTCAGAAGAGTGGGGATCGGTACATTCTGTGTCGACAGCATCCGCAGCTTCACTGTCTTTTCCCTGGACGTACCTACGGCGATGCAAGGGATTCATCGCAGGTCAAAGTGATGATTTATCAGTGCTGACCAGTAGGAGCGCTATAATGATAATCTTCAGTCTCCAGTAATGAAAGAGATCGCCAATGGATACCTCAGTTTCCTTGCCATGACCATACACGCAATATATCTTCATAGAAGGGGCACGAGGGAGCCTACATCATCAACAATTGGAACCGCTGAATGTAAAGGTGGTTGCAGGAAAAACGTGCCTGACTTCAAGTGGGTTCGTCCACTTTCGGTGATCGAGGTCATTGCGACTGAGTTGCTCCTCGTCCCGTTCGATGCCATACGAATAGTTCGTCTCCAGCATTTTCTGTCAATTTAACATGAGTAGTTCGAACAATGTCATGGAAAGCGGCAAACTTGAAAAGCTGTTGGGGTATGTTGCAAAATCCACAGTCCTGCCTCCTCTGCCGTCATGTTTCTCGTGGTGTCACCGTTGCTTTGCGGTGAGAGAGACCTAAACGCAATTAGCTCTCCGTGGGTATGGGTATTGTTACAAGCATCGTCTGGTGCATGCAACGCGCTGCCCCATACAGCATTCCCGCCCTATGGAACGTCTTGTTTCAAAGAGGACCATAGAATGACTGGATCACTCACCTTGAGCCACATGCTCGCACTTCCCGCCCAACTGCGGAAAAGTCTCTGTCGCTCCTTCCTCGAAAAGAAGCGTTCAAGCACTAAAAGCTCTGGATCAAGTTCCGCAGGTTTAGGTAGCCTCAAACCACAAACCATATGCTCCAGCCGGATTCATTTGCACGGTGTCTTTCATTTCGCCGGACAAGAAGGCAGACATAGCTTTTGCCTTGATGGTAAAAGTCGTAATCATATATGGATTCTCGACGAGCAAGAGAACGTACCACTCCCTGTGAAATCAAGCGAGATTAGCTGATCGCTGGAGAGTCCTGGCGGAATCACGCACTAAATGGGTACCTGCTATCGAGATATAAGATTCAATGTGATTCTGTCATCATTTAAACGAAGTTAGAATGCTGTCTGGTGGATCAGGCATAGTTATCACCTCTACCCAATCAATCCCTCCGTTGCCATGAAGAGGAGATTCAACCCATTTGAAGCTGTATTGACAAGCAAAGTTAGCGTATGAGGATCAGGTAAACATTTAGCCTCACAAATACTGTAATCAATCCTTGTCATTAATTACCAAGGTGTAGTACAATCAAAAACATACCAAAAGAACCTGAATAGCACAAGTATCTTCGAGTTCGAATGCCACGTCTCATAAGTGTATAAGTGGCGATGACGTACAGTTGATCCCATTGAGTGCGCAGCGATTACAACCTTCTTATTCTGTCGCTTTCTAAAGAGGATACCTTTCTAGTAAACCTGGAAAACTTGGGCAGAGCGACGCACTTGAGTCCTTCAATCGTGCTTTTGAGCCTTGAAAAATAACCGTCGCGTACTTCAAGGTTATAGTATGATAGCCTCCAATCGTAAGGAGCTAAGTACAGGTTGTTTGTGTCGTAATTAACGACGGCTAAGTTCTCCACGACCTTCGACCTAATCGACAAGCATCTCAAACGGGAAACAGAACTAATGGAGATTCGCAACTTACCAGATCCAAAACCCTTGTATGAAGGAGCTCGCCGCATCTATTCCTTCCGCCGCACGTACTTTAGCGCCAGGCGGATCCAATCCTGTCAATGGATCGAGCATCATAGCAGCAATCCACTTTTCTTTGTTGAAGGTGACTTGCGAAAGCATATTGAAAGCACCCCATAACTTTTCTCGGAAGAACGCTCTGTAATCAGGAGATGTGGACCAAGACTCTAAACCCTGATAGTGGTTGACGTCAGTTTCAGAGTCGCTAATGCTTTAAATAGTCGAACCGTTGACACTATTCCTGGAATAATGACAACAGGATGTTGTGCAGTTAACCCTCTGGCTTTCATGGCCTCCCCGACTTGAAATTCGCGTCCGTCTTTGCTGAATTTCCCAAACTCTGGAATATTACTCAATAGCCGTGTCCATTCTGCTTCCAAGCGAGAGAGATCGAATTCAGGAAGCTGTGGAAGGTTTATATCGTATTCATTCATGAATACAGACATTTGACCATGGATTTTTTGTAAATCTTGTGGCCCAACGAACGCATTGAACCCGAGCAGGGCTCCTACTTCAAACTTATTCAGAACAAAAAGGTATATTGATTGTCTCCACGTACATAGTATCCCGAAAGGAAATAAAAAACTGCCTCTCCTAAAAAACGACTGTTGAATTATTGGTGAAGGCCGAATTTAACGTAGATTTATGAATCATTTTTCACCTTTCTACCGTCGACGCCAGCTCTCTTCGTCATGTCAGTTCGTTCCTGGCGTGTTTCTGCATCTTCCTTGGAAGCAGGTTTGGTATTTGGCCAGGTCTTGGTACGCTTTGTCAAGACCATGAGGGAGAGGTAAGTGTGGGATTCCGGGGCGGTCCCTATACATACTAACTATGCTGTCACACCGCTTGTTTCAATCAGCTGATTGTCCAGCAAAACCCCCACCATCCGACGTGATAGCATAATGCACGACTAAAACCCCCAACGCAGGAGACGCTTTACAAGTTCTCCTGCCAGCAACCTGAGACTTCTCGTAACCCAGGAAGAATTGAACTTGCCCCGACCGTCTTTTCTCAATAGCATGGCACATTTCAGATACATGGGTCGGAACCATTACCAACCCACCACATGTACGATACAACGCATTAGCACTATCAAGGAGTTGAGGGCGCAACGCGGGATGAAGGTACGTACATCTCTACTGACTCAAATAATATGGATAATGTTCAACACATACTTTACCAACAGCTCGGCGATCCACTCCTCTTCTATGAGGCACCTCAGTGACTTCGGATGTGGAAGACGTTTTCGAAGTAGTCGACCGGTGGACTCTAATCCGAACCCCTGGCAGGATGCTTGAACATCTGAGAAGAGGACCCCGCCTTTCAAACAAAGAGGAGCTCCCAACATTGCGTGGCATTCATCTTCTGTCCCGACGCAACAGAACCGACGCAGCCTCATCGCCCGTGAATCGCTCTTTGATGAATGGTGTCTCACTGTGGCAAGCAATTTACTGGCAAGCACTGGTCAGAGAAAGTCATCTTGCTGAAAAGGCAGCTCGTCAACCCCTGGTCAACCCTGATACTCCCAAATTATCTGAAATCCTCAAATACCGTCACAACCTCGACGTGTCATTCCGCCACGCCGAAAAGTCTTAACACAGCTCCTTACATCATGCATGTCGACCTCTCTCAGGACCGTGCGTACACAGGAGAGTTCCACTACCGCTATGAGATCTGGGATTGATTCTGGGGAGGTGACATGAACAGGCCTCAGCTCTACAGGGCATTGCAGTCGTGAAAACACTAGGGGCGCCATCTCCGACCCAGGAAGGGTTTTTTTCCCCTTGGTGTAGGTAGGCATCCTCAAACGCCGCCGGGCATAGTGTTACAATAATATTTGCAAGCACCGCAAGAGCAACGCGATGGTACCTGATGGGCACAATCCCTGTTTCTGTGAGCAAAACAGCATGCATGGATCTTGAATGGAGTCTTAAAAGTCTACGCAGGAACAGCATCTGCATACCTTCCAGCAAGGCTAGGAAGGAATCCACATCGATGATCACCTCACAAGCAAAGGTGAGATGAGGATCTGTTCGCGATTTGTGTAGCTGAATACCCTCCCTGGAATAGTACCATAGACTCCATTGCAAAAGTTGAAAAAACCACGTTGCGACCTTTCGATGCTTTGTTGATGTGACTCCAACATATTTGAATTCGTCAAAAAACTCGAGCCGTTTGTCCCCGACTGTAAGCTTCCGTAGCGCATGTGGAAGCGGACCGAAGATTATGCCTTCTCTTTGAAGGACTAACAATCAAAAAGTTCGTTGCGCACCACTCGTAATGGATATAGTTTAGCCTCCTCTGTACAATTGTTCCACAGCGACTTTATAGATGCCATGACACCAAACAAGATTGTACTGGACAGCTACTTACCTCTCGCTACTTCAGGACCTAAAGCACGCCTTTTGGAAACAAAAAACGGCGTTTCTAACAGTAATACATCAAACTTTGGAAAAGGGTGAGTCGCTATGCGAGTCACATGGTATGAGTCGAGGTCTTGTGTTAAACACCCCACGTAAATGGACTACGTGCCGCGCCTTGTTGTCGAGCGACTTCTTCAAAATCCATTGCGCGGGTGTTTTGAGAATCGAGGTTGTGATTTGCGCCGCCGATGCCGGCACCACACTCTGGGCAGGTCGACCGCATATTTGCTCCTCCACACTGTCAAACAGCCGTCAGCATCGTCGTCACCATATACAAGGTCAGGAACGTACCTCAGTAATCACAAAAGTATGGCCATTGGGACAATTGTAAAAGTGGCCAGTGTGAGCTTTCAAGGTTAATCAGACTCAGAGTTGACGGTGAAACAAACGTCCACAGAACGTACAAAAGTCCAAAGCCTTCACAATTGCAATCTTCTCTTCCAGTGACACCGGCTGATAAAAGGTTTCAGCCCGAACGCTTTTTTCGATATTCGCCCATTCATCTCGAATGGTTGTTGCTATTTCCAGAAAGTGGGTTTTTATCCACTCTTCACCATCTTGGGGAAGGCGGGCGCAATGTGCCTTGTAGACGTCATGAACATGTTGATCCGCGATTTCTTTTTTTTCTAGTGCATCGTCAGCAAGCCTGCGTCGTTCTTCTCCCAGCTTGCCGCTTTGGCGCATTATTTCTAGATTGAGGCGAAAGCGCTCAAGATCTACTCTCATGAGTAAAACCATGGTCCTTGTTATTTGACGCCGTCCTTCGGATTCTTCGGCTATGTCCAATGCAATCCGGACATCTTGTGCGCAAGAGTTTAGGATGAAAAGGGCATAGCAAGCCCACATTTGTTTTTGCTGTGGAGAGTAGTCTCTCTTCCCCCCAATGCCTTCCAGCCATAGCCGAGCCAAGTCTGCCAGATAGAAACGAATATGCAGGGTTGCCCAAATAGCTTCCACAAGGAACCTCTTGTCTCCGCGAGGCTGGGGTTGTCCAACATTCATTCGGGCCATTCGCAAAGCATGCTCCTTCAGTCGTCTTGGTGCTCGACCGGGGTCCGCAACTGCGAGTTCCATTTCCTGCTGATAGAGGAAAGAGAAAGCGGATTCCCATGCACGTAGATGTGCCGATCGCGTATTGGCAACTTTGGTTGCTTGGCTATAAATCTGTATTAAAGGCTGAGTAACTTTCTTCCAGATGGATGCTATAGCAGGTGAAATTGTGAAGAGCGTTTCGGTGGGAATCAGATATTTTGAAGGCAAAGGTGAGCTCCGAATCTCAGTAAGAATCTTCTCTCGAGCACGACGATCATCCTTTAGCACGCTTCTGGGACAGGGCACGGACGAAACAGATACAACGTTTGTTAACGCATCCATCAGCTGTCTCTCAACTTCAGATTTGTTAACTCCAGAGAGTGATTTCTGGATAGAGCTAAGTTGCCGGGACATTCGAGATATGACGTTGTTCTCCAAGATATCTAGGTCGGCGGACTTGAACACACGGCCGTAACGAGGGGATGTAATCGCCGTGCGACATGTGGGGCACACAGGTGGTTTCCGTCTTTCGCCTGAGGAATTCTGAGGGGCTCTTAAGCCAATCCAGCCACTCTCGCCACACGTGTAGAAATCGCCGATAGAGCAAACGCCATCCAGTGTTTCGACTGTGAAAAAGTGACCACAACTGGGCAGTGTGATGAGCAAGTTGTCGAGAGTCGCATCATCAACTACGATATCTGCAAGAGTCAGACCAAGGACCAGGTCTACAGTTTTTGCTCGAAGCTCGTTGGGAGCACACAAGGGACAGACTTGGATCGAACAGTCTTCACCACAAACTACATTCGTTGAATGTACATTAACGCAGTTGCGGATGTGACATATTTTTACTCACCAGATGGACATTGATGACCGCATGCCAGATTCTTATTACATCGCCTGTCGCAAGGGATTCGTGCACAAACCTACCAAAGATTGCAGCCAACACATTAAACCTCTTCATTAAAAATCGCAGGTTTTACATACCGAGCCACAGGCTACATGACAACGCTGATGAGCACAATTCCTACAATGCTAGTGAGCTGGCCAAACGATGGATAGATGCTCGACAGTGGGTAGACTAACCAGGTACAAGGCTCTTGGCAAGGTGCGCAAGGCGTTGAGCAATTTTGCCGGCAACGGGTGTGAACACACTTTTGACGACATTCTTCGTTGCATGTCGTCGCACATTCGTGATCCAACGAACATGGCTTGGAGCATCGGTGAGCGCAATAAAGGAGCTTCTCGCAGTTATGTTGGACATGGATCTTGCGATCAATGCGCATTTTCTCGAGGGAGGTTGCATTCTTCATCTGGCATTGATGGCACTGTGCTCTACAGTCCCGCCCACAGCAAGTTGTGACGCCGCCGCACTGCTTCTTGCAAACGTAACTTTCAGGATCCGCTGAGCAGGCCATATCTGCAAAATGTTCGCAGGTTATGAGGGCCTTCCTGATTATTACGCCGCAGTTGATATTTTCGAGATCATCTAGGCGATAGCTGCATATAGTTATAAATGTTGTTTACCAATCGCAATTCTATAACTGAGAAAAACACACCATGGTACAGAGGGGCAAGAGTGCCCACAAGGAAGTTGAACTTCGGCCACCTCAAACATGCACGGTCCACATGGCTGGGAGCACTCTTTCCCGCATGGATGTCCTCGAGAGCATAGTCTTGTGCAGTCTTGTGAACAAAGAACTGCCAGATGGTTGGGATCATCCGGATGACACTACATCTTATCCTGAATTACCAAAGAAGTAGACGATGACTGTTTCATACCTTATATGAGCAAACATGACCACATTTGAGTCGAGCATCGCATGGACGTAGGCATCCACCTGTTGTGAGTTGTCAAGAAGACTCGCAACTACCATTACATCTACTCACCATCCGGTGCAAATTGCGGCAACTGCCCTGGCATTGAAACATATTCAACAGCAGTCGGATGACGTTGGCATGCTATAGGAAATGCGGTTCCAATGCTCTCGACAGCTTCCAGTTGTTCAATGACGCCGCGCCACATGCGACTCTTTGAAGCCAATTGTGCAGCATTTCCAAGAATGTACAATCCTTCTTTAGCTCGGGATAAAGCCACTGAAAACAAAATGTTTGTCAATGTCTACGAAACTGACATTCGCAGGGGTCTCACCGTTTGTGCGATTCTCCGACTACCCCAAGTAAATAATTTGCTTTATTAATATAGGATTACAGCATACCTTCAAAAACCCAATGCTTTTCATATTCCCCCGTACGTCCTCGCCCACCGCGCCCGAGTTTCTAACCAACGAAAGAATAATGATCTGATGAGAGAAAGCGGGTCAGTGCATAAATCCACCTAGAGTCAGAATGGCTGTCTAACTTTTGCTTCTTCTCCTTGATAATTGTCCACAGTGCGCAGACGAACCTGGATTCAAAGGTGATACAACAGAGCTTGAAGAAAGGGAGATCACATACCCGCCGGGAAACTTTTACATGCTCCACATGTGTTTCAAGGTCATCCCTCTCTTCGTCTTTCTCTGCTAAAGCCTCTTGGTCCCTTTCATCAATCACGACAGCAACTGCCTCTGACAAAGCATCCCGAAGTTTAGCAAGCTGACCAAGGTAAGCGCAAAGCACGACAATATCTCCTTCTTGAGAATAGGTCCCTTGTCTATAAATGATATCGTTTCGAGATTCATCTGAAAAAGGATGGTCGAAATACCTGAGAAGGTATAGTACCAAATCTTTGATCATAGAAACCTGGAAGTGCAGTGAGCCACCAGGGATTGAGGATGGGAACGTAAATGGTCACCTCAAACATGTTGAACTTGCTCGTCGTTTCTTCAGAAGATCCGCCATTTTCTTTGTGGTCGTGGTTGAAGAAAAACACGTTTTTAGTGAAACCGCGGACATTCGAATACCCTTTGACTATGTCATGATCAATTAGCCGCGGATAAAGAGTTTCGCTGAATGAGCCATTATAAGAACAAAATGTACAATTGAAAGGTTCTGACTGCTGCTGACCGGATCAAGTTTGAAATTTCTGGACGCATTCGTCGCTGCACGTCGATTTGTGACATAGGAAAACCAGACGAAGAAAGGCGCTCCATCAACGACATGTCAAACTTGTACAGTTCACTCCCTCGTCTGCTATCCATTGAGAGTGCTTTTTTTTTTTTCAAGTCAGAGTCAGCACAGCCAAGATGTCAAGAAACCGGACCAAAAAGATCTCACAATAATTGTTCAACGTTGGTCGTAATTGCAGAGGATCCCCAATGAGAATCAAGTGTTCCACGGAGGGAACCAAACTTCCTAGAACATGAGCCTCAAGAACTTGTCCAGCTTCTTCAACCAGCATGATACGAGGGCCAATTCCCTGAAGGAGATAAGCAAATAAACTTATAAGAATTCTTTGAAATTGAGCCTGCCTTCAGAAGCGTGGTCAGCTTAGCAGCACCTATAATTCATCAGTTGGAGCCAGGGAGGCTCAAAAAACACATACCAGTTGTCGTGCATCCTATAATGTCGACATCTTTGAGGAGTTGGCGACGAGTCTATGTCAGGTGTGGTTGCAATGAAGAACGATTGAGGTTAGCAATGAACTTACCTCGTCCTTTCCCTCGTTGTATTTCTTCAAGATCTCGACGTGTTTCCTTCGCAGGTCCTCAAACTCCCGCAAACGATTTTGAGACGTTTCGTTTCGGACCGACAATGTCCAGGAATCATGCAGGCGACGACGTTCCAACCTTGACATTGTCCACATGGCCCCTTCGTCAAGTAGATCGTTTAGTGAACGTTCACCAGATGCAGTCGCAGGGACAGAAAGAAACCCAAGGGCATGGAAAAAACGAAGGGGATCGGAGAGGTCGGATGAGTGTGAATTTGATTCATTTGGAGATCCGGTCTCTTCAATAACGGTAGCCACTGCTTCCTGCTGAACATTGCGTGGGGTGGACGGGGTGGATGGTTGTTCCGCCCCCCATGCACCAGGTCGCTCCCATGGCTCAAGGGCCTCTTCATCTGAATCAGATGCATCACTATCCTCCAACTGAGATTTGTCGCTTATGGAAGGGAAAGTAGAGTCGATGCTTTCTGTGTCCTCGAGTAAGGGGATAAAACGATTTTGTGTGGTGACACCTCCCTCGTACGGTGCAAGATGTGACTCTTGCTTTGGGGCGTATTGTAGATCGAGGAAATCAAGGTCGCGACCCCGTAGCCAAAACCCATAGAATGACTTGTCTTCTGTCTCAGCCTTGCCACGTCGATCTGTCGTAACCCACCCCGCACTGTCTTCTAAATCCATGTCTCGCAGTGTTGAAACCCATGATGGTGGCTGGAGGATGTGCTCAAAATGTTCCGGATGCTGAACTTTGATAAAATCTAAAATGTCGTCCGATGAGATCGAAGTCTGCTTGAACTTGTTCATTAACATGCTGATCTCCTTCTCAATAAGCTTCAGCTCCCGGTAATGGCAAGCAAAGGTTCTATTCAATCGTGACTGCCCAGCGACAGTCTCCATGGTCTCCAACGAGTACTTCGATATTCTTTCATCTGAAGACCGTGACCCCAGCCTTACGATTTTGTTTGTAATACCAGCGTCTAAAACACTTGTTAAAAGGTGGTCGAGGGCATGGTTTGTGAATGCTATCATAAGGATAGGTTTCGCATGTTGATTCAATATGCGCAGGAGTTCGACACCTGTGTATGACTGAATATTTAATGCCATCAGAAGAGCGCTGTCAACGATTTGAACAGATAAATACCTTTCCTGTGCCGGGTGGACTGGAAAAAATAATATTAGCGGAAGTAGGATATAAACAGAACAGAGTGATACCCTTGTATTAGCGCAACCTCCCGAGTGAGCGCATCCACAACAGCTTCTGCTTGACTGGGGTCCAGTCGACTTTGTTTCAACGCATCACGTGCAGCAGCTACAGAATTGGGATCGGAAACAACCATCTTGAGGTCATCAATCCCTGCCTCAGAAGAGAATAATGATGCAAGCTGATAGGCAAAGCCAGGTAGCTGAGCATACTTGGGCGGAGCAATGGTGCTCCTCGTGAAATATTCTGGCGGCCCCTGGACAAGATGCTGTTTGAATGGGAGGGACTCTGGCTCTACCCTCAGAGCTTCCAAGAATGGCCGGATCGCTTCGAACATTACTGGTGCTTCGATGAGAAGCTTTAAGCTTGCGTCATCGCTTGCCGGGTTTTTTAAAACATTGAGTATGCAGATATCTACAGCGGGGTCGAAGAAGACGATCTTTGCTGATACCCTGTCGGCACTCTGTCTGGCGGATTCACTGACGTCACGTAGAGAGCTGGAAATTGTGCCAAGATGTACGGCAACATTCCGTCTGGATTTCCATACGAGTCCAATGAGACCACCAGCCATAAGCCGTTTCCCGCTCATACTCTCCCAGAAGGCCGCCCGTGCCCCCGCCCGGTTTGATCGTGCGCGACCAGGAGGAGCGTCGAATGAAAGGTTAACAGAGAGCCCACGCTTGTCTGGAGTCAATGGGGAGAACTGGACATTCGTGTAGACGTTGAACATGATGCTGTCTTGGGCATCTGCGAACCCGCGATACTTGCCACCCCTCTTGGCGATAATGTCTGATAATTGTGTGCGGGGTCGAGGACTCAGCATATCGTCCCGAACCAACTGCACAGAGGTGCGAAGCGGGGCGCTGATGAAAATCTTCAGTTGGCCAGGCTGCTGGATTGAAAGAACGATGTGATACCAACATGAGTTCTTCTCGCAACAACCTAAACTGTATGTCCAACAATCTCTCCATGCTTTCCAGTGGGAGTGGATGAGGAGCTCCATAAATATTGGCTGGTAGAAAGGGTGGGGCATGACAAACTAGCTCGTCATGAGTTGGTGCAACACGTATGTCTTGTATGTCTACAAAATCGTTATCATGTCTAGGCCCTTGGACACGAAGCACTCCGGGACCGTCATAGGTCGTGTGTAAGGCAGCTAAAAGCCCTTCATTCAATGCATGAAACGTTTTCGTGGATGTAGGCATTGTCGTGTTACGGTCAAACTTCGCTTGTTCACGGTCAACGATTGAAGCTAAGCGCTCCATCTTACCCTTGAGGTGTGAGATGAAATGGTCCCTGACCCCCTTGTTGTCCTTGAGAACATCGTCAAAACATGGAGTCACTGATGAGACACCAGTAGCCCAAACTTCGTTCCATCTGCAGAGACATTTGACAAGCGGGATTAGTTGCGGGTATGTTGCCGTTGCATTTTTGAAACGCGTCAAACACCTGTTGACATGGGCTTGATTAGGTTTACACGTCTTGTTATTAAGACATACTCGAAAAGTATGGTCGCCAACGAATCCATTACTTGACCACCCATAGGTTCCTTGACAGCCATCGCATTTGGGTCTTTGAAGGATTGGGCTTCCATGATGGCATCCATGCACGTTTCTACGTTTTTGCTGAACACTTCGAAATTGTCCAGGAGGCGCATATAAAGGCCACTAATGGAAATGTAAGTATATCAGAGATTGAATGGATATATGTACTTGCTTTACAAGATGACTCAAAGTACTTTTGACAACAAAATTCGACGACATAAACTAGGGTTCGTCAGAACGGCGTGGCAGCAATGAGAGATCGATTACCCTCAGCAAAGGCAAGTAACCCCGTTGGAAAGAGAGAATTACGGGATTTGATCCGGCTGTTGTAGCCACAGTCGACCAAGTGAGAATGTCGTTGAGACGAAGCAGCCCATTTCCCTGACAGCGGAGGATGTTCGTGCTTGCACATCGCAATGGATTGGAATTGAACGTACCGTCGCAATAGTCGAAAGAAACAACTGATGACGTGGAGGGGTGAGAAAAGGATCAGATGACCGTTAAAACCAACATGACATACTGCTCCGTCTTCAGATGACTAATTTGACAAACCAGTGTCAATGCTGGTTTAAAAGACGCAAACGTCAAACGTCGAACACGCACCCAAGAAGTATTGGAAGAATTGGCACTGTTAAAAGGAACGAGGAAAGCATATACGTCGAAGGGCTTTCGAAACCTGTAGTCGTCAACTAAAAATCGCCGGAGATGGTTATGTGCTTCGGCAGGCGATAAAGACCGGTCTGGATTAGAAAAGAAGGCATCTACACCTGACCCAGTGATATTGGCCAAACCTCCTTCAGCCAAGAAGGGGGCCGTAGTTGCAGAGCCTTGGCTAAAGGATGTTGTTTGAGAACTATTCGGAGTTGTATGCTTGAAGCGACATTCGAACCCGCGGTTGCAGTCTCCTCTCGACCAATAGAAATTGCACACACCAGCCGGCGTGTTATGTGAACGAGCCGGACTTGATTGGGACCCTGAGGGACGAGCGACGGGCGAGTTGGAAATAGCAGAGCTGTCATGGCTGAATTTACAGTTTGCGCCTTGACGACACCCGCGAGGGGTGTTGAGATATTTACAGGTGGGACGCCGACTCATGGTAGGAATCAGCTGGAGGGAGAACAGGCGGCTCGCTGCATGGTTTAATAAACCGCAGAGATAAGCGCGCAGAGAAACTTCTGGGCGGATTTAGGCTTGCAATCGAAGTGTGGCCTGCACGAGGCCATAATCGATGGTGGGTCCATACTGGCGCTAAGATAGGATTCCGCAGTTTCATTGCAGTTATAGAACAGCTATCGAGGGACCAGATCTAAAGACGCCCCGCTCATTGATCTTGTTCAGTTGTCGGGCTTCACAACCGAACCAGGATCTATAGCCATATATGCACTGAGCGGGATGGAAACTGACGAGACACGCGTCAAGTGGCTGTCGGTTGCTGCTTGTCCCGCAAAACTAAACAGATTCACTGTAAAGAGCATTGAAGAAACTGTAGCTCGTTGGCTGGAACCGTCAAGGATGAACGGAATCGAGGCGTGGGAACTTGTTGGCGCGTGATTGCCATTGTATAAATAACCGGAAGAGCCTAAATCTCTCTTCAATGTTTCGAACGCGAACCATCCTTCGCTGTCAACGCCAGCTCTCTCGCGCATACGCGACTGCAGCTCCTCCCCATGCCCTTGTATTTCTTGAGCACCGTCAAGGAGTAATTGATTCGGGCTCTCTATCTGCCTTGACAGCTGCAGAGCAGCTGGGTGGTCAGGTCTCCGCATTGATCATTGGGGGAAAGGATCATGTTCAAGACGTCGTTCACACAGCGAAAAAGTATTTGTTTTGATCCCTCCAAATTTTAATCAACCAAACTTATGTTTTATGCAAAAGACTCAAAGGCGTGACGTCCGTTTTGCATTCCTCTTCCCCACAGTATGTCCACCCTTTGCCGGAAACGCTATCTCCGCTCTTGGAGAGCCTTCTGTCAAAGTCCTCATCTTTCACCCACGTTGTCTCTGCCACTTCTTCTCTGGCAAAGTCCGTTCTGCCTCGTGTCGCAGCAAAGCTTGATGTTCCAGCTATTTCTGAGGTCACATCCCTCTCACATGATAAGGCCAGCAACAGCACCACTTTTACTCGCCCAATTTACGCAGGCAACGCCATTGCCACTGTTAGGGCCCCCGCTTCCATTCCGGTCAAGTTTTTCACCGTTCGATCAACTGCCTTTTCTCCAGCCCAACTACAAGAAGGTGCTGAAGCGGAAGTCGTGGCGGTAAATCCTGTGCAAGTCAACGACCCTGTTACTGAGCACATCAAAACCACTATTGCAAAGTCGGACCGTCCGGACCTTGGTGTTGCTACCCGCGTAGTGTCTGGAGGCAGAGCGTTGAAGAATGCGGAGACCTTCGAAGCCACCCTTTATCCCCTTGCCGACGTTTTGGGTGCAGCGGTTGGAGCGTCTCGCGCCGCAGTTGACGCAGGCTACGCCGACAATTCTTTACAAGTCGGACAGACGGGCAAAGTCGTAGCACCGGAATTGTACATGGCTCTTGGTATATCAGGAGCAATCCAACATCTTGCGGGAATGAAAGATTCGAAACTGATTGTTGCTGTAAACAAGGTGCGCGCACTGGACGCTTTTCTCTTTCTACATGCACTGAATCTGATTTCTGACACAGGACCCTGACGCCCCTATCTTCCAAGTAGCGGATGTAGGGTTGGTAGCGGATTTATTCCAAGTTGTTCCCGAATTGGTGAAAAAGTTGAAGACCTGATAGCGACATTCAAAATGGAATTTATAAATTTAAATTCGGGTAGAGCTCGACTCTCCGAAAACTACAGCCCTTGATCACTCGCCCCAACCACACAGTTTTCTCGACTCCTGTTCGACATTGGTTCCACCCAATTACTTCACTGTGTTCTATGTTGTGCCCGCTGAGCTGAGGCCATCATAATCTTTCAGAATTTCCCTCGGTCCGAACCCAAACCATCCCTGGGACTCGTCGAGTCTGGAAGTCGAGTTTGGTCAGTAGTCGCGAAGAGGCGAACTCATCTTGTGAGCCATAAGGCCAAGGAGTCGCATCATAAGAAAAAATTTAAATTTTATGTGAATTTCATCATTGTAAACGTTTTGCAAAGGCTTCGGCTACTAATTTGCCAGCCGGCGTCGTGACGTCACGCGTCAACGAAGGCAGGAGCTTCGCGCGCGTTTCCTCCTCTTACTCCAGTGTCTCACTACTGAACATGTGGAAGATAGGGATAACTCGAGTGAGTACTAGTACTGCTTGTCTTTCCTAGTTTCTGTCCGAAGTGCAAGCATAACGTCTCCTCGGATGTCTGCACCATCGAAGTTGGCTCAGCGCTCAGACATCATCTCTGAGTTCGAAAGGGTGCATTACTGGCATGGCATCTCCGTCGACCCTCCTGATCTTCTTTACCGCTCTGATCTTGAGTCAAACCCCTTCCCGGTCCCTAGCCCTGGAACTAGGTGGTTTGCGCTTCCCATCAAGACCGCTGAAGGAGTCTTCAACACACCGCTCAACCCAGTGTGGCATACAGTTGCTCCTCTAATCGTAGATCTCTTCAAGAGCCGCAGCATCAAGTACTCTGCCCTCAAGACTGCTCGTTTCACTACTGAGCATGAGGATGGGACAAAGACTCTGGGCCCCATCGTCATCTGGGTGGCCAGTCATCCCGGCACCACCACAGCTGAGAATGCCCGTGATGTCTCACCTGACATCCTCCACATTCTCGAGGACAATGGGGTCGAGGGTGTCGTTGTTGAGTGGTACGAAGGTTCTGTGGAGAAGCTGGCTGGCCCACCCCTTATGCTTGTCACCAATGAGGCCAACCCAACCCGCTTTGTCCGTCGCACATTCACAGCTGCTCTCGGAATGCCTATTGCCAATCAGGATAACGATGTACAGGGTAGTGCCTCTTTCTTCTTCCACGAGAACAACAAGGATGGCGTGTCTAGCTCCAGAGTCCTCGCTGTCACCAACAAGCATGTCCTCCACACAGATACAACTGTTGACTACCAGTTCGGGGAATGGGGCACCCCGCCAGTTTGTTCAACTCATGGGATTACATCGATTCCAGCAGGCCCTCGTCGAGATTAGAGCCTTGGTCACCAGGAATGCTGATGAAATCGTCCGCTTCGCTGGTGAGGTTGCACGATTGAAGGCAAAGCCCAGGAGTGCAAAGAATGCGCAAGCAGATGATGATGATGAGGCATTAGAGGCTAGCAAGGAGCAGCTAACGAAGTTGAAGAAGAACAAAATCAAGCTTCAGGAATTCTACGAGGAGGTTTATACTAAGTGGAACGATATTGACCGCCGCACCATTGGCTTTGTCGACTGGGCCCCCAAGATCTCCATCACCGTCGATGATCGTCATTACACTCGAGACATTGGCACGGTTGAGCTTGATCCACAGAAGTTTGCAGAAATTTTCCAAGCCAATGTTGTTGACCTTGGTGAGTTTTGACTTGCCTCTCTCCCATACATATGTTGACGAATGAAATTACCTTTAGGTACCAAATTTGCTCCGGAAGACCTCAACACGATGTTCTGGCCTAACAATGCTAATCCATCTGGGCTCAAGTTCCCCTCCGATCGCCTGCTCAGGATCCGCGGAGTTGTAACAAGAGAGCTCCTTGCTAACCCTGAATGTTTTGACGAGAATGGAAACCCCATCTTTATCGTTGGGAAGGACGGCAATAGCACTGGCCTTACCGTGGGACGCTATTCTGGACTCGAGGCTTATCTCGGTAACGAGTTTGGCGAAGATTCTATCGAAATCGCCATTTATAACTACAGCAACATGTCTGGCAACTTTTCCGCGAAGGGTGACTCTGGCTCACTCATCTTCACTGGCGATGGTCGCATGGTCGCTATTCTCCATTCTGGCACGCCCGAAGGCCATGTTACCTATGCCACTCCTGCTTGGTGGTTCATTGAGCAACTCAAGATCCAATATCCCCACGCTGATTTCGACCGCACGAGCTTCTAGGTTTTCCTGGCAAAACGTAAACACCCCAATGTCTTTCTCCACCACCGTCTTTTATCCTCGTTTTTCTGGACTAATATAACGCATCTGCTTCTTGGTCGTCGGATCAGACACTGCATCTTTCCAACGTTGATCGGTTTGACATCAGTCGAATACCTACACAACAACAATTTTATTGTTCGCTTGACGGAATTAGATACCACAGAATGTTTTGTTATCGATAGTGATTCCACGCTACGGTCGCTCGCGAAATAAAATTTGATTTGAAGGAAGCGTTAGACAAACGTTAGAGGTGTTTGCATGCTTAGTTTGAGCTTGACAAGCGGTCGTCATGTTTCTAGTGACTGCTACCTAGCAGCCAAATGATGTGATATTGCACGTTCGAAGCAAAGAGAATCAAAAACTACCCGAGGTCGATTTCTTTGGTCAAGGCTCTCTCTAAGCAAGCTAATAATAGGTGTGGCAAACACGTGCAAGTTCGGCAATTCGAAGGCTCAGTTTGGATGGGCGCGCTTAGATTACTGAGAGCCTATATGAATCCTCGACGTCTCATAGCAAGGCATCGTCCTTTTGCGTTGTTACTGCACTCGCAATGAAAGTCCTCGTACTGGGGTATGTATGGAAAGCCCTTTCCTAATTCGAAAACATACGAGTCGTTATTTAGAGCGTCTGGATTTATCGGTCTTCCCGTTGCTCAGGCGTTCGTCCGTGCAGGACACGTCGTCTATGGCCTTACCCGCTCCCAAGCCAAAGCAAAACTGTTTTCTGTCGAAGAAAGTAAGCCCCATCCGCCTCCGTCTCTTTTACACGCGACTAACTTAGTATGCGCAAAAGTCATCCCAGTTATCGGTGAACTCGACAAGCCTGAGTCCTGGCTCCAACTCATCCCTACCCTTGACGGCGTCATCGACTTGGTAGGAGGTTCGGCAGACATCCGAACCCTCTCTAAAGCTCTCCTCGAAACCATCTCCAATGCCGCCAAGTCCACTCGTCCTGCATACGCCCCAAAGCTGACGTACATCTACACGTCCGGAACGTGGGTGCACGGCGAGGACCGCGTTAATCTCGTCACTGACTCTACCCCATGTAACAATCCTGCTGAACTCGTGGCGTGGCGAGTTGAACAGGAGCAGAGGGTCATCAAGGACCCAGTTCTCAATGGCATTGTCATTCGACCTGCTTTGTTATATGGCAAATCAGGGTCGCTTTTTACACCACTGTTCAAGTCGGCGAGTGAGGGCAAGGTTGCATGGTACGGAAGGCCAGGTGGACGATACGCACTCATCCACTGCGACGATGCTGCGGATCTGTTCCTGAGAGCAGCTGAGAAGGCGCAAATCATTGGTGGGAATATCTTTGATGGCGCTAACGAGATAACAGAGTCTGTGGACGATTTTTTGCAAAGGTTGGTGGAGGTTTCGGGTGCCAAGGGACCATATGAGTATATCCCACCTTCAAACCGTAAGTGCTTTTTTAACTTCTTTTTCGTGAATTTATCTAATGAACTTTTTGGATAGTGTATGAGACTGCTCTCTCGACTACGTCCCTTATACGCCCATACCTTGCTCGTGCCCTTCTTGGATGGCGACCTTTAAAAGCGGGTTTAACTGATGGACTGCCCACTTACTATGCCGCGTATTTAGCTTCCACGGCGCAGTAATTCTCGGGCTGCGAGGCAATTTGGCATGAGCGAATTGCTCATCATTCAATATTCGATAACTATGGACCGTTTGTAGATAGTAGAAGGGAGTTGTGGCATATGTAAACAAATCAATATTGTGCATCAAAACTGTGAATACAGCCAAAATGTCCAGCTTCATCTATTTCTCTACGGACTTCAATTTGTCTGGGAAAACTCTCATCGTCGTCTGTTTTTATTATTACTACCTCAGATGCGTCCCATCGTTAACATTGGTCTTTCTATAGCCTGTTGTCTCCACCGCGAATGTCTCCCAACTAGCAACAGACCTTCTGATATCCACCCTTTCCCTCGACCGAATTGCAATATTCGACCCTCAGTTTTGCGTGCCAGTAGCGGGCGCCAGGGACGATGGTCTGAAGGGCATCACCGTTCCCCTCGAGTGTGACTAGCGGCCCTCGCGATGTGATGGGGACCTACGCTGAAAACATCTTTCACCAGTGTATGGTAAATCTGGCGTGGACGTTGTTATCGTTCAACAGAGATCTCCCGTACTGAAGGTTAGCTTTCCCTTTTTTTGATCAAAAGAAAAAGATAACGTTTTGCACCAGTCCCGCAAAGAAGAGTTTGTTAGTTCACTCCTCAAATTCATCGATTCATCGAACTTCGAAACCGTTCTATTCCTTTCTGGCGTTGACCTTTCCGATAGGACTGACGCGCAGATGTTGTGCGTCACCCCCTCCGTTTAAAGTAAAAGGACTCGCTCAGAACCTCATCCAGCACGACCACTTTCCACATTATCCCCAATCAGCGTCACGCCTCAAGGTCGTCTCCGTTAGACAATCTTACCTCGCTGCCTATTCCTGTGTATACATCCCCTGTGCTTCAGAGGCTTGAAGTAGGTTCGGAAGGTTCTTCTACACACATCCCATTCATCCCCGGTGGCGGCTTGACGCGACGAATCCTTTCGGCTCTTCCGGAAACATGGTCCACACCCACCGCGTCTCTGTTACAATTCGTTTTGGAGGGGGATAATCGAGGAGACGCCAGACTACTCGCGGCGGTGACGCTGAAAGTCGTGGGTTTGGATGTTTCGGTGAACGAATGGAAGCAACCCAAGAGCTGGCAGGTAGGCCTCTTTGGGGCTCCACACGACCAGTCGTTGTATGGGTAAATCATGTCTCATTCGTGAAGAGAAAGAATTTGTAAAGGCAAAAACTAAGTACACATTCAACGTTTTCCTGTTATTCCAATTTTGCCACTTCCCCGCCCGCCTTTCTTTGCTGCCTGTGATAATGATAGGTACGCGTAGGGGTCAACGCCACCCTTCTTGAGGTCACCTCCCGCTTTCTACATTTCAATTTTGTTAGCTTTACGAAAGGGAGAAGAACAACGCCTGGGACAAACCTTTGCCTTGAATTCATGGCCTAGCTTGATCTCGGTCGTCTTTTTACTTTTTTTGGCCTTGCCAGTTTCTTGAACTTCTCCATCTGCCATTTCCACATCCTGCTCGGCACCTTCATTCTCCCGTCTCCGCTTTTTTGTATCCTTATGAAACTTGATTCGACCATTTGGACCTCTTGTGAAGCCATCAACCGACGTCAAGCTCTCCTTATACGCAGAACCGGCAACTTCGGCTGTAGCGTGCGCTCCAGAGGAAGCCCCAGAGTCAGAATCGGCATCGATAATCATCTTCCCAGTATCTTCATCTGTTTTGAAATGTGCTGCATCTTGTCCAGGTTTGCGCCGACGATTTGGACCAGAACCTAATGACAATGTCAACCAGGTCCAAATTGGCTGTTGAGAACAACATACTAGTTATTTTTGACGTAGCTCCTTGGAGGAGATCCGTGGGTTCATCGTCGTCTAGCCGCAAGCGCGCCCCATACTCGACGGCTTTCTTCTTCGACGATTGTACTTGAGGTGCAGGCCTATCATCCTCGCTATCATCGTCTAATTCACTCTCGCTGCCATAGAGGACATCCTCAAAAGCATCCCCAGCAGCAGGTTTTGAAAAGGTTGGCTGAGAAGAGGCTACAATTAGTGTGATGTGTCGACAAAGGCACCATCTACTTACCTCCTTTGCGTCTTCATCTTCGTCGGCCCTGTTGGCTCTCTTGCGCTTAGCTCGGTCTTTCCGCTTTTTGATATTGACGAGTACTTTCGCGGCTTCCTCCTCGCCAGCACACGAGTAGACCTCGTCCCAGCTGAATCGTCTTAGCATTCGTTCAAAAATATGCCGAACTTTAACTTTGAAGTGATTTTTATGATCATGAGACCAGTTCAAAAGCGTTGGGACAAGGTCCTTGAGGTGCGGCCGAATTAAATCCGCCGGGAGCGTATGGATCGCCAGTTTGATAAAACCAAGAACGGATTTCACGATTTCTCGGTTAGCCGAGGAAAGAAAAACGAGGAGCATCATGAAGATCTCAGAGTGCATATTTGGGGATATCGAGTCTGCGAAGAATTGAGATGACGAGGGATGAGTTGCAACAGGTCAACAGACCTTTGAACTCAAACACAAGGCGGGAGATAGCTGTAATGGTGGCACTGATCATGTGTGGACTTGCACCAGCCAGGCCACCCACTACCATTGTCATAAATTCTTCGATGCTTGCTTTGGCTGGAAAGGCTATGAATCAGGACCGTGTATATGATCATAAAGTTGACAAAGCATGCCATCAACAGCGTCTTCGTCCATTCCATCAACCATGCTCCTTTTCACGACACCTCCAGAACTCATCTTCCGACCCATCACGAGAATGACCTCGAATGCAGCCCCTCGCGCTTTCTCGGAAGGTTCCTTTGTTCCCAAAATGGCCTCCGGGATGAGAGTCGGGATAACGTGCATTGCAGATGGTGGCAACAGAGGGATTAATAGGGCCAATAAATTGAAGCGATCCTGTCAGAAGTAGTCAGCAATCAAGTATTTCACCCATCTCAAAGCTACCTTCTTGGCGGCGGCAGTCAAGCCATCCACCATCTCGTCTAACTTTCTAACAACGGTTTCAGCGTTGACAGAAACTATACCGCCATCGACGAGTTTGGTCAAAATCTTATAGCCCCGCTTCTGTATTCCATTGTTTCTTCCATTCAGAATTTCGGGGGTTAAGCAGAGATCGAAGAGTGACATAGAGTCTGCAGGGGATAAGTACGGAAGGAGCAAAATTAAGATATCTTGCGATGTGGTGGTCATATTTCCTGCATCATTGGTTTCGATGGCGGTAGTTGCGGGCGCCTTTTGACACATCGCGAGATTGGTCTTCAACAACTGCACGACTTTGTCATACGCGTTATGAATTTCCTGCTTGATGACAGATCAGAGCGGATCAAAAAAAGTCTTCACCACGCTGAAACCCACTTGTTCTTCACCAATACTCGCCCAAGCGGTAATGACATCTCCAATCATACCCCGCGAATCCCTTCCAATACTCCCAAAAACGTTAAAAAGAACGGCTAGCCAACTCTCCACTTGGGTACGGAGGAACACAACATTAGCGGCAGCTTCCTGGGGAGTTAATGATGCCAACGAAGTCTGTGTGGCGTCTGACGCAGAAATAGCCAGATTCGAGTCCACTAAGATCCTGAGGGCCTTCAAAATGGCAGGTCGAAGCTCAGACTGGCTATACAGGAGCTGGGAGAGTAGCTGGGAGAAAGCAGGATTCAGTGCCTGTGGAGCAATGCGATGAGGTTCGTCAACCTTTCCGGAGAACAAAAAGCCTGACCTCTTTCAAGTCAGGGGTTTCAAAGCAGTAGCCTGAAAGGCCTGACCATACTTGGCCTACTAAAACATTCCAAACCTTTGCTTCCGATTGCCGTCCTTGTGTGGCAGCCGTCTGCTGCAGGTCAAACATACGCTCACTCAGTGGCACAAAATAGGACACAAAATGACCCAGAGGCGATGGGTGGGGTTGCGAAATGAGGGGCAGCAAGAATGCTCGAGGTTCTTGACCTGGTTGGCTGTCAATGAAATTCAGTGCGATTAGAAATTTGTAGAACATGAAACGTACCGGACTCCTGGCTCTAGGTTCAATGGAAGCACCTTGAAAACTACCTCGGGGCCCAGAACACGCATGGCTGCGGAAAGAGTTGCATCTGCCGCCTCTTTGAAATCGAACCCTTTTTGAATCCTCATGTGACCTAGTTGACTAACAATTGGTACCAGGAGGATTTCGGCAGCAGTGGGAGACGCCTTGGAGGGCTTGTAACGGAGGTTCAAGAATAAGGCTGAAACAACGGTGAGAAGTTCAGGCATGGCTCGAGCGAATGCTATAGAATTCATTGCTTTTGTGACCTGGCTGATAACTTTTCTAATAAGAGAGGCCTCATTAGTATCTGCAATGGCAGATTCGATAAGGCGTGGCGAAAAACATCGGGTTAAAACATCCAGAGCTTTTGCTGCTGACTTTCTTGTCGTTGGGTCTGAAGAGTCCAAGAAGTTCCATACGCTTTTCCAAACTTTTCCCAACTCTGAAGAGCATGAAACAGAATCAACCACGCTGTACGCAAACGTAGCATCGCCAAGTACTTGGACCCAAGCTGCACAAAGTGTTGCATCGGACTTGGACGGTGGAGAAGAGAGAATGACTTTTAAGATATCAGACAATTGTTCACCAACGCCACTTGCACTGTCTTCCAGAGGGAGTACCAAGATTTCAGATAGAATGGAATATGCGGATTGAGAGAGATAAACGTTGCCTAAACGTGGAAGCGAAACAAGGGATTTGGTAATGGATGGGAGAGCCTTTAAAAAAATTAATCAGCTATCTAAAAACTAGTAGGATAGGCACGCACCGAAGATGGCAAATTGGGAAGAAGGGGTCGCAGAAGTGCTAAAACGTGTAGCGAGCTTTCTGCACCTGGCTTGGCCTTTCCAAACGGACCTGCATTGGCTTCCAAAAGAGCAGAACTCAACCACGCAGCGACCTGATCCGAGTAGGGATGTCGTGCTAACGGTGCGGGAGGGTTGTCAAGCACATCTTTTACGAGATCGGCTGCCTTTTTGCGGACCTTGGGCCGTGGATCTATAGATAGTTGTAAGATAGATGCAAATGTTTGTCGGATGCCCTGCGTTTCCAAGAGTGGCCGATCCAAAGAGTGGAAGATGGTGAGATATATAGATAGTTGAGATCGCAAGGCTGGAGCATGTTGATTCAAGGATGGAAATAAGGGAGCAGTGAGAGAGAGCAGAGTATTAAGGTTGTTGCGGACAACTGGAAGGGGAACAAACGGGACAACAAGAGCCAATAGATACAACTCTGCTGGTAAAACATCACCGTCGTTCAGAGAGATGTCTTTCTTCTGTATGGACCCGTCAAGGGTGGTCAAGAGAGCAGCGAAGTAAGCAGTTGGCGTCAAATCCGTCTTTTGCTCGCGCAAGGTAGATTCGATTGCAATTAGGAGCGTTGCCGGCGTTTTTTGATGAGCCAAGGACGACGATGTGTGAGGTCGAATTTTTGCAAGAGCCTCTTCCATTTTATTTGATCTGGAATGCCGCAAGTGCAAGATGGTCGTTTTTTTTGAAAGTTGGCTTAGTCATCGGACGTAACTGAGCGTTCAAGCCAAGTTCAAGCCTCTCAAAATATGCTCGAAGGATCACCCACTCCTTGGTCCTATGTTTTGATTCGGTAAAGTAAATGGATCCTTTCGGTCCCCCCTTCTCACCAGACTTTGTAGTCTTCTCTTCAGATTTGTGCTAAAGATATTCTATGGGACAATCGTCATAGAAGGCATTGATCTCGTACCAGAAACCGGAAAGCCATGGTCGGCCCTATTTATATGTTAATAAATCTATATTGACGTCCACATTATAGCATTGTATGTGCAAACCACAGCAATTCCTTGACGGATGCATTGTGAGCAATACTCGTTTGACCTTGGCCTAATGCTAACGTCCGTAGACTTCTCGTGACCTCCATACCTTCAAAGGCGAGCTAACTAAGTCGCATCTGTTTCGGCGACTCATATTCTATGGCCAGAGGCGAAACATGCTCCGGCTCACTGCGAAGGCAACGCAGTTCGGGCACAGGACCTTCACAAGCTGGCTAATAGAGTCTGCTGGCACAGTCCCAATCAAGAGGCGTAAGGATAGTGCGGACGGAAAAGCAGATAACACGGATGCGATGCTAAAGCTTATGGAAGTACGTGGCTGATGTTTTTCTCGTTTTTAACGAGAGTAACAGTGCATCCAAGGCGTTGGAGTTGGGTGATGCCATCTGTTTATTTCCTGAGGGGATGAGTCGCTTCCATCCAACTATTGCGCCGTTGAAAACTGGCGGTAACTGCTCCATTCTGTCTATTTATGGTTGCTGAAAATTCCACAGTGGCACGACTGGTATCGGACGTACTAACAAGGAACCGTAACGATCCGGACTTTGAAGTTTCGGTATTGACATGTTCCATTACGTATATGTACGTATTTTATCACCATTACAGTCCCTCTCTCATTGGATTATTTGTTTTCATACCTCTACAGGCATCGGCAACATTTTCGTTCCGATGTTTTAGTATCATTTCATACACCCACGACATTCACGCCCAAGGTCAGTACCGCAGGTTTGCATCAGGACTATCCCTCACGCCTACCGATGCTCAGAATAATCCAGAGCTTCTCGCTCCTGTAGATTTTGACCAGATTCGGTCCCTCACCTCTGAAATGCAGAAGATTATCAGTGCTGGAACACTGGACTCTCCCACTTGGGATCTCATCCGTACAGCAAAACTCGCTGCGCGGATGTACGCCCCCCTTGGGACGCTCATGACCCTCGGCGACTACGTTCGTCTCATACGACAATTTCTTGATGCATTCAAAAACGCTGAACCACATACACCTCCCAAAGATCGAGGTATAGAGCGGGAAGGCAATCTTGTCCTCAACACATCAGATGTATTTGCTTTACAAATTGATTTAAAGGGAAGACAGGTGGATGAGCCTCTTCTATCAAAACTGTCTAACTTCTTGATATAGGCATACCAAGACCAACTTTCTCATTGTGGTATCAAAGATGATCGGATTCGTCGCCTATTGCCACGGCGCACCATCTTTTCCAGGATGTTGATTCGACTCTTGTGGTCCCTTTGTCTTTTTACGATATCCCTGCCAGGGTTGATTCTCTGGCTCCCTGTATTTGCGACGACTTTTTACGCTGTCCGTAACTTCAAGAAGACTGGTCCAATATTTGACACCTGGGACGAAATCGCGCAGTATAAACTCATTTATGGGCTTATTTCGGGACTTTGCGTTTGGTTTGCAGCAGTGGCGCTAACGTGGCCCATTGCATTGTTTACAATGTTTCTCGTGCCGTCTCTCATGTGGATAACCCTTCGTTGGTGCGAAGATGCCGTGTCCGCCTTCCGGGCCTTCACCTCCCTTCTGCGCCTTCTCCAGGTTGGGAAACCAACTCTGAAAGGCATGCAAGAAAAGAGAAGGGAGCTCTACAATCGTGTCATGGATCTCGCAACGTCTTCCCTTGGATTGCCTGAAAATCCAGAGACCCACTTTGCGCTGTCTGGCGGCAAGGAAAAGGGGAGGGTGCGAGGGAGTTGGGATAGTCGGGCCAGATATTTTTCAATCAAGCGCAGGAGGAAGAGGGATTGGAACGAGACACTGCGTTTGTATGATAAAGTCGATTATCCAGCAGACGACTCTGAGTGAGCGATCCAGAGCGCGGCGCAAATGTTATGTACTTATGACATTTATGTGAATTTTTACGATTTACTGCAGACATAGTGCATAACTACAGGATTAAAGGTAATGCGAGTAACCATCATTGATCAAAGATATACTACGGAAAACGAAGTGAGGCGGGAGGTCTGGAGGAGGCTTGTGATGAGCTAACCGTCGCGTACTGGGGTGGGGAGTGAGGAGATGGTAAGGGAGGCGAAGAATTGAGGACACAAAATCGCTGATCAGATACAAGCCAGCGATGAGAATCGACTTCAGCAACTAAGTGAGGGGGCGAGAAGATTGGGTTGAGACGGTTTGGAGATTGCTGATCAGCTGAAATCATTCTACGGGGTGGTTCGGACCTTTGGGATATACTTCTCGTGGCTGCTTCAATGTGCGCTTGTGAGATAAAGTGTTGTTCAGTGGAAGGTGTGTTTGAGGCCGTCCTGTAAACGCATGCCTCTGATATGAGACGCTCTCTGATGTGGGGAGCCCGACTCGCTCTATCCGACCACGTCCTAGCTGATCCCAAGTGACTTACAGCTGAGGTATCAAAAGGTGAATTGGGTTCTAAGATCTGAGTGTCCAACAAGGCTTGATGAAATTCGGGCGGCGCAGAAGCAGAGGAATATATAGATGCGTCATCAGATAAAGTAGACGCTCCACACGTATTGGAAGGGTCGACGATAGATCCTGAAGGCAAGGGCAAGCCCGGAGGGACAATGGGATGAGTAAACTGCTGAGTCTCCTGGCTTAAGATCGCGTGAGATTTCCTCGCCCGGTTGATAGTGGTGCGTTTGTGCTGGTTTATGGTATACATGCCTTGCATATAGCGGTCTGATGTCCGATTTACAGCAACGTTGGGAGGGGCTTTGGAAGAAGGCTGCTTCAACGCTGAAGGCCGACGAGCGAGAAGGAGCTGCCTCTGGCGCTTAGCTCGATTGCGCCGGCCTCTGAAAATGCACCATGCCACGGCGAAGATGCAGTTTGCCGCAGCGATGCCTGAGACAACGCCTATGAGGATGGGTCGGGTAATTCGCATTTAAAACTGAAAGTGAAGGTAGGAAGAAGAGTAGAAATTTGGAAAGGAGACATTAGCGCGAAATTGTACTTGGTAGAGTTGCAGCTCTACGGTATTATTAGTTCATGTTATCACGTGACATTGATCGATCACACCAATGTAAGTTTTATTTCCGATGGCTCTGCACCGGACCACTACTTAGACGTTATCTTCGTTCCTTCTAATCCTGTAACTTTTCTACCCTCGTATTATCTGCGATCCTCGATTCATAATACCCAGCTATACGATCTGTATCCTTACGACCTTAGATGTCGCCAGTCGCCATGCCTGATACCTTGTCATCCACCCAATTTACTGCCTTGTTCGAGGCTTTACGAACAGCCCCAACCGCCCCAGGTGAGTAACTTCATCCATCTGACCACCCGCCTCTCATTTTACAAACTCAGATGCCAAGGGCGCCTCCGATAGGATTGCTCGCGAAGTGTCTAAAACTGGATTTCAATCCCTTGAGTGAGTATCCATCTCATCTCGAGTTGTCTACATTAGTTGACTGTAATACAGTGACGAGAGCGTCCTAAAAACCTTGCACGGATTTGCTACAAATAAAAAATCAGGATACGAGCGCGAATCCGCCGCTATCGCTTTTCAATCCATTGCTACCATTCTTGGCGCACCTGTCGCCCCTCTTTTGCTTCCCTCCTTGCCCATTATTTTCGACCTCTACATGGACAAAGGCGACGTTGTCCGCGCGGCGGCCTTCTCCGCTGTCAAATCCATTCTCAAGCTTTTCCCTCCAGAATCCATTCGAATCCTTTTCAGGCATCTTGAATCTATCCTAGAAGCTGGTAAATGGCGCGTCAAAGTGGGCGTCCTCGACGCATTTAGATCCTTCGTCACTTCTGCCAGAGATGCTGTCGCTGCAGAATTAGGGACGGTGCTTCCTAAGGTCGAGGCTGCAATGCATGACACTAAACAGGAGGCAAGTTGGCTAACAACTCTTTTCCATTTTAGACCTCTGATTGTACTTTAGGTCTCCAGTGCAGCAATTAAATGCGCCACCTCTCTTTGTACCACCCTTGCCAACCCCGATCTTGCTCCTCATACCCCAATGCTGGTGAAGTGTATGGCAAATCCAGATTCTGTACCTGCTTGTATCAAAGCTATGTCAAGCACCACATTTGTTGCGGAAGTCACTGCGCCCGCTCTGGCCGTTCTTGTTCCTCTTCTGCTTCGCGCACTCAATGACAGAAGTATGGAGGTTCAGCGACGTACCGTTGTTGTGGTCGATAACTTGGTCAAGCTTGTACGTAACCCTCAGGTTGCTGCGGTCTACCTTAGCCCTTTGGTGGAAGGCGTAGAAAAGATTGCAAAAGGCGCTGCATTCCCAGAGGTATGTCTTTTCTTTTCTTTTGACACTGAACATTCTCTGAACATAATTGATACAGGTCCGTGCTTTTGGGGAGACTGCTCTAGAAACTTTGCTCAAGTCTGGTGCCTCCTCGTCAGGGCCACCAGCTGAGCATCGTGATGTCGAGAAACAGACTGCTGATGCACTCTCCCTGCTGGATACTCTTTTGCCACAGAAACCGGCCGATTATTTGTCTCAAAAGCCATATTTGCCGGAGGATTCATTAAAATTTGTCGCATCTCTCGTTGCAGACCTAGTCCATTCACGCAACTACAGCGACAAAGCAGTTTGGAATCGATGTGTAGCAACTTACATGAAACCCTGGTTTGGTGATGAGAAGGCCGCAGCCTTTACTGAAACCGTGCGTTCCGATTTGCATGCGATAGATAAGGTACGCTTTCATGTTTTTCTGTAAGTATGTAAGGTCTCACTTTATTTCTTTTCCAGAGCAGGTACGCCGTAACCCAGGAGAGCTCGTCAGACGAGGGCGAAGTTTTATGCGATACGTTGTTCTCGTTAGCATACGGAGCTCTCCTGCTCCTCTCACATACCACACTTCGCCTCATACGTGGCCGTCGTTATGGTATTCTTGGTACAAACGGGTCAGGGAAGTCCACCCTGATGCGTCAGCTCCGTGATGGTAAAGTAGAGAATTTCCCCTCACAAGACCAACTTCGATGTGTTATGGTGGAGCATTCTTTGCAGGGTGAGGATGGGTCATTGTCTGTTCTTGATTTTATTGCCGCAGGTGGGTTCAAAATCCTGGGTATCTATGATAATACTCACCGCCGATCCTTTAGACAAGGCGCTGCAGGGTGTGCCACGGTCCAAGATTCGTGATCAACTCACAGAGGTTGGGTTCGACGATGCAAGGCAAGCTGACGTAGTCGGTGGCTTGTCAGGTGGCTGGAAGATGAAGCTCGAGCTCGCCAGGGCCATGCTTTACAACGCTGACCTGCTTCTCCTTGATGAGGTGTGCGCTCTCTTTTGGTAGTTTGGAATCGCTGATCTGATTTGACTTCTCCCATAGCCAACGAATCACGTGCGCTTGGTCTAAGTTTCTTATGACCTTTTCGCATCTCTTACACCTTTTACAGTTGGATCGTGCCTCTGTCAAGTGGCTTGAGGAATATTTGAAATCTCAAAAAAATGTGACCTGCTTGATTATCAGTCACGACTCTGGGTGAGTCTTCCACAAGCTTTTTGGGGCTTATCGTAACGTCAGACCATCTAAGGTTCTTGGACAACACCACAACGGACATCATACATTACGAATCGAAGAAGGTGCGAACTATTGCCTTGACAGTTTTTGGCCAATCGGTTGACGGTGTCATGATGCTAGTTGGTATATTATCCTGGAAGTCTATCTGCCTTCGTGGCGAAACATCCAGAAGCAAAATCATACTATACCCTCGCAGCTACATCTGTCAAGTTTTCTTTTCCACCGCCTGGTTCCCTCATGGGTGTTCGAAGTAACACGCGCGCAATTCTCAAGCTCTCGGGCTGTACGTTCACATATCCAGGACGGAGTGCACCTAGTTTGCACAATGTCAGCTGTGCCCTCTCCCTGTCAAGGTCAGTTTGTTGGGCTGTCCTTGAAGAAATTTATTCAACACTACTTTGCAGCCGAGTTGGGGTAGTAGGACCCAATGGTGCTGGGAAATCAACATTAATTAAGCTTCTCACTGTGAGTTCACTAACGGTGTTTGCACTGTGCCTTGATTGATGATTAACGACAGGGAGAAACCGTTCCTCAAGAAGGAACGGTTTATAAACACCCCGCCTTGCGAGTTGGATACGTCTCCCAACACGCAACCCACCACATTGGTGAGTATCTCGCCCATCTTAATAGCATAATGATTTCAACCAAGACATCTTTTTGTAGATCGTCATTTAGAGAAAACCCCGATCGGTTATATTCAATGGCGATTCCAGGATGGGCACGATCGTAAGGTTTTATTTCCGCTGCTACTACAAGTCTAATGTTCGATTAGGTGAACTTCTGGAAAAGGCCACTCGTGTTCTTACAGACGAGGAAAAGCTGCTTTTAGAACAAGAATGGCTGGGCAAAGATGGTAGCAAAAGGAAATTGGAGGTCTGTCTGCATTGTCACGTTGATCCGTCGCGACGCTCACGGGGCGCCCTGTAGATGATCATGGGACGACAAAAACTGAAGAAATCGTTCCGATACGAAATAAAATGGCGAGGATTGGAGCACAGGTACAACACCTGGGTTGGCCGTGAAGACCTTCTCGCGAAGGGATTCACAAAGCTTGTCCAGCAGTTCGATGATCTCGAGTCCTCACGAGAGGGTGCAGGTTCACGTGATACTTCAGCCCATCTTGTCCGCAAGCATTTGGAAGACATTGGCCTTGATGGAGATATTGCTCAGTATAATGAAATTTCTGGGCTGTCCGGTGGTAAGCGCCCCTTAGTTGACACATCAAGAATGATCTCAAGTTTGGGTTGTTTTCTCAGGTCAGAAAATCAAGCTCGTTATCGCTGCCTGTCTCTGGAACAACCCTCAGGTATGGGTCACCTCGGCTACCCACATAGTTCTAATTTACGATATCAAATAGATCTGCATTCTCGACGAGCCGAGCAATTTCTTAGATAGGGAGGCTCTTGGTGGCCTTGCTGTGGCTATTAAGGAATGGAGTGGCGCTGTAGTAAGTCACTTCCATGTGCCGTCTCATCGTCTCACACTTTACATTCAAGGTCATCATTTCCCACAATCACGAATTCGTGTCCTCCCTCTGTTCGTCGCGTCTCTTACATGGATAGATGTAAATGCTCATTGCTCTTCAGGTCCAGAAATATGGAATGTCGACAATGGCCGCATGATTCAGCAAGGAAAGGCTGCGGTCATTGAGGACGCTCTCCAAGATGCGAAGTCGCCAAGAGGCAGCGGACATAACACACCTGTCCGATCTCGATTACAAACTCCGTTGGCATCAGCGGCTGCCACCCCAGTCGGGAGTGGGGCTGAGGATGCAGGTGCATTGAAACTTCCCGTGGTGAAGAAAAAGAAGATGACAAGAAACCAGATGAAGGCTCAGGAAGAGAGGAGGAGGCTGAGGAAGTTGCAGTGGTTGACCACTGGAGGGCCCAAACCAGAAGACACAGATAGCGATTAACAACCCGCATAATGAAGTTTTCTGTATAAAAAAATAGGTATAGTTCTCCTAAACAATTAGAAGGCGCCTTCATCGCCGTTCTTACGCACAACCGGTATAATACAACGGGTATAATTTAGATGAAAACCCAGATTTTGAGACAGTTCGTCACATATAAATATAAGTCAGGACCAATAAACTCAAAATCCCGGAAACCTGAGGAAAGAAGGGAAAGAAAAGGAGACAAAGACCTACCTCGATAATATCATCTCATGCATCTTAATTGCACCTTCCCGCTAAAGAGTAGGAAGTCGAAAGATAGCAGGGTCCAGCTGGATGTCGTGAGCCGGCATTGTTTCCAACAAAATATGTAAAGACGATTTCTTCCTCACTGTAGTCGGCGATGCTCGTGTAGCGAAGAAGAATGGTGATGCGCTGATCGACCAACCGAGGGATAAGATGTCGCGACAGCAGGCAAATATTATCTCGATCCCAAGGGTGCTGAATGACTGTAGATCATGTCGTTCGGACCCATTTGGGGCAAGTCGCGAAGGATAGCCGGATGATCATAATGAGGTCGATTTGCATGGTGAGACGGTGCGTAAATGATAGCCCCGAATTGCTGTGCCTCTATGGGTGCTGATGCCCCGGGGAAGTTGCACAAAGCTAATATGCTGTCCGGGTATCAGAACGTGTTGACCTCAAGGTAGGCGACTTTGCGCGGAACGAAGCCAGTCGTGGGATCGTGGGGTCCCACAGCCCTCTACCCAGTCATAGCCCAGATAGATTTTGCCTTCCGCGTACGAGTTTGATCCCTCGAAAGTGGCGACGTGGAAGGAGAAGCAGCTAAGTGAGACGACGTAAGTATGTTACCATGATGATGATAGTGAATCAACAGCCTGCACATATGCATCGATTTCTCGTTCAGAAATGAGAAAACCTTGCCCGCAGCTTGCGGTAGAATGGTCAGTAGCCGTTAATCCTTCGACGATACCAATGTCGTTACGGATAATGTTCGCGAAGGGAGCTACACGGTTGGTATATGAATCACAATGAAAAAAAAAAAAGTGCCCAACTGAATGAAAACGCAGGATGCCAACACCGTGCGCACACTAACATAAGTGCGTCCATCGAAAGGGTGCAAATAACAACCTGGTAATGACGTTGCCCTCGTATTTGACTGAGTAAAGAAGAAGAAAGAAAAGAAAAAATTTGAAACGAAAAGTAGAAGTCCGCAAAATGCCAACCAAGATCGCGGTCACTGAAGATGACAAAAGAAGATAATACCAATGTATGCACGTAGGGGCTCGGCCACACTAAAGCGCCTGGCGTATCACGCAAATACCAATCGCTCCGGTGGAAGAAAGGAATGAAGAGTTGAATTTGAGTTGAATGAAAACTCTGTGGAAAATCGAGATTTGGTGGAGATCGTTACAATGTTCTGGTCCCGTGACCGGCGCGACAGGAGTTCCCGTTATCTTATGCAAACCAATGATAGTCGATTTCCGCCGCATTCCCGACTTGAGTGCCACGGGTTTTCGCCCCACTTTCTAATTTTCTAGAGATTGTCTGCATCATGCCCTCACCCGCTTTGTTTTCGGGACTCCACCGCGCGGGTACTGCCAGAAGCGTTTCGATGCCTGTGGTCGATTTACGTTCAACTTGCTGAGGCGGTTTGGAGGCGGCGGTTACAAATATACAGATGCTTGGGTTCTTTAGCGATCCTGCGACGAAATTCAAACTACACACAGCAATGGAGAACCTACCCGCATCACAATTTACATAGGTGGTAAAGAAGCCCGGACTCTGGCCATTTCTCTTGACACCTAAATCGCCACGGCGACAAGCCCAACGATTGTTTCAAAGTAATATTTTTTTTCCCCAGTTCGACGTCGACGTCGACCTACCGTCCTCTGTGTTTTCTTTTCACTCAGGACAAGGGTTACAGCACGTACTGAGTTATGATACCCTGTCAGTGGGTAAACGTTGTCTCACCGTCGCCGAGATTGATTGATCTTCGTAGCTAATCTGTCGCCTTCTTCATTAACCCCTATTTGTTTATTATTCTTGGTAGATGAAGAGGTGCCAGAAGGACTACCGGGGTTTGCGTAATTAATCAGCGTTTCTCCTTTGTCTCGGTCTCTAGGTATTACCGTATCGACCAAACTCACTTATATCTGCTCTGCCGTACTAGCAGATCTGCGAGAAATTTGTACCCCGGTTTTAATTGTGGAGCTTCATTTTTGTCCGCAGTTTTTTTGTGCGCTTGACCGATTAAAATACTGGATATACTCGTTGGAGATGAAGTAAAGTGAGCTTGACTAGATTTTAATTATGAAGTTGGAATTGTCGAACTCTTGGAGACTTGCGGAGGGCATTAAATTAAATAAATGTATGAGAGCTGAGGTACCTATTCTAAAATAGTTGAACGGTATATAATTACATAAAAGTCGTTATAACGAGTAAAGTAGGAGTGCAGAGCGATGCCAAATAATAATGACGGTGTCCCAGAGTCCATGTTTGGAAGATGTATTTAGTGAGATTTAATGAATGATTAATGCGCGGGACTGTAACTTTAAATGAAGCGCCTCTAAGAATAAAAGGGAACCAAGATATAAGGACTAAATGAGCGGATGTAACTATGAGCAAAAAAATCAAAAACCATATCGCGGGCTTCAGAACCTACGACCTGACCATTTGCGCGGGTCAGTAGGTACTTCCTCCTGAGCTTGAATGCGACGATGTGACGACGATGAGTGTGAGGGATGAGATCGGGAAGTGATAGTCTCCTGCTGGGAAGAGCTTGTCATGTATGGCGTCTCTAGTATCGGAATGGGGGTGCCGCCGTATCCTGAAGGAGATAGGTCATCCAGTAGAGGTTCGCCATGGTTCGCCATTGTAAATGACTGATGAGCAGAGCTCACTGTCGACGACTGACGATTAGTTTGTCTCATCGACTGTCTTTTGTTTTGGAACCTTTTATCACAGAATATTAAGAAAGAAAAATCATGTCAGCCGAAGCAACTGACCATATCTGGACGCTTCTCGCAGACATATCCAGAGCCTTCGCGAGAGCGTGGCGCTCCTCCGTTGACGGAAAGGCGGTTCGATTGTAAGTCTCGTTAAGGACTTTCAGCTGGGCTGCATCCGCACGTTTGCGCTTCTTTTTAATAGTCGGCTCTTCAGGAGAGGTGGGGGAGGCTGGGGGAGGAGTATAACTTGGCGGCGAGACTTGCGAAGAACCTGAGCCGCGGCTATAAGGAGAAGAGGAGCGAGGGTCTCGAGAATCGACGTCTTCAAATAATGACCTATGATCTTGTACGCCCATCGAATGATGGTCATTGCCCGGCAAATGGTACGAATAAGAGCTCGTTTGGTTCGAGCTTGGATAAGTAACGTAAGTGTTGGGATAAGAGGCTGTTGGCGAACGGATGTTGTTTGGGTACCCATGTGCTGTGGGCATTCCGTAATCTGATTGCTGCCATCGGTCGCCTCCAGGGCTCGATGTTGTCAAAGGAGGTAAGCGTCGTGAGTCTGACGGGGTAGGTATGACAGGCGGGGAAGACCTAGACGAATAACCGTAAGGCGGTTGGGGAGAATACCTCTCAGGCGTATCATAAGTGTACGCATGTGTTGGTTGAGGCGCTGATGTAAAAATCGAGTTTTATTAATACTAGTTGTGTAAATTTTGGAAACGACAACAAAAGGCACTTACATGTGCTACTAGTTTGCCACTGGTTGGGGTAAAACGCCTGAGGATTGAGATCATATCTACCGGGAGACGAGCGAGGTTGTGTATATGAACTAGAATAGTTTGCAGGAACTATACATGGCAAAGTAGCAAATTGAGTGCGTTGAAGTTTAAACACTACATAAAGAACGGACCTGGAAAACGTGAGGTTGGAAAAGCTGATGAAAGAGGAGGGAGCACTGTTCGCCCACCCTGTCCCGTCTGAAAAAAAACACTGCCTTGTGAATCCCCTGGGGAACCTCTACGTGATTTCCCCATACTAGAATAGTATCGGTCTTTGTTTGAAGTCGACATATTAGTGGAAAAGTGACAGTAATAGGAAGAGAGGAGAGAACGGAGTTATTAATGGGGTGGAAATTGAGGGCGTCTGTCAATTTAAATATCGAGAACCTGAAGACACGCCTTCAAGGCACTTGCTTTCGGCAGCAAGAGGCGAAGTCGTTCTCAAACAAGGAGTTATGGCAGGAAGAACGCGGAAAGCGTGTATACCGATGCCAATATGCACGAGGTAGGGTGGAGGCACAGGAGGCAAGGGTTGGAATGAACCACGCGTCGGTAGAGAGCTGAAATCAAGTGCGACTTGAACAAGTCGGGAGGGTTGGTCGAGGTGGGTAGGTTGTTAGGAGAGGTTGGCGCCAGGGGCAAACAAAAGCTTGTTGTGGTTGATTTGAGCATAGGTTGGAAGTCAAGAAGGTACAACCGGGGCAAAGTTCACGGAGCCCAGGTCCAGGAAGACTTGGCCGGAGCCCTACAGATTTTTTTTTTGTAAAAGCGGTGTCAGTTCAGTGGCGGCACGCGTAAATTGCGTTGTCATTGATGGCCTCCGATGAGTCCAATAAAAGCCTCGTGGGGTACGGCAAACGTAGCCTTCTTCGATCCCATCGTAGAGCATCGGGCTAGCTGGGTTTTGCCTTCCCATGCCCACCAAGCTTGAGACTGGATCCTATGAACGGTTTGCTTGCTGGTTGTTTACCTAGAGCTTGCGAAGAATGCCTCGATGTGTTACTTTGGATCTGAGCAAACGAAAGAGGAAGTCACGATCGGTAGGTCGGCCTAGGGTCGAAAACAAATGAAAAGGATCTTGATTCTTAATGTTAGCAATAGCTTTCAAAAAATTCGAGCTTTTGAGCTTCTTCAAGACAAAAGCATGTTGTAAATGCAAGTAACAAACGCGAGCTACGCATTGGGACAAGACCGTAGATGCGCAATTTGTTAGGGTACGCTGTTTGTTCGTCCGTTTCGGAGGTGCGTCCATCCCATGAGGCAGCTGAGAACTACAGTTTTGTGCCAAAGGGTGACCTTGTCAGGGTTATAGCAGGCGTAACGCATAAGCGAAGGTGACGCGAGGACGGAATTTACGAGAGAAAAGTCTTGGAATTGCTTGCAATTCGACGAAAATATGCAGGAGTGCTTGTGATCCAAACAAGAAAACACGTGCTAGAAGATCGACGATCATAATTAGAACGCTTGCTGCAAGTAGCGCGTTGCGTTGAGTCTCCTCTTGCTCGACGTTGACAACTGCGCCGTCGACGTTGCCCACAGTAATTTCCGTGCTCGGCACTGGACGTCGCTCTTACAATTCCAGATGGCTTCTCCAGCCCGGCGACCTCTCCCAACCCCACCTCGTTCGCCCCTCGGAGCTCGGCCTGACCAGGACACAAGGTCTCCTGGTGTTTTTACATTCAACAATCCATATTTTTCTCCTTATGCTTATCCACCGTACGCGCCTCCTCCTCCAGATTTTTATGACGACGAGCCAACTACGACTTCTGTGCCGGCTGGAACGTTCCTGCACAAAGGCTTCTATGATCTATTAGCAATGATTCCGACACCCTCACCCTCTCGCTTGATCTGGGGAAACTCTCCTCAAACTGCGGTGGCAGGGCCTCGCTATGAGGATCAGAGTCCCGCGACAATCCGAGCAATGCCAAAGAAGGGGCGGAGAGTTAGCAAAGATATGGTTTCAAAACCTACAGGATTTGTGTATGTCGCACCTCTTCAATGGTCGCGTCCTGTTTCAGCTCACATTTCTCAAAACCGATCAGTCATCTTGTTCACGCGTCAGACGCTGACCAGCTCGAAGCCTTACTGACACGCTGGGGACCGGACGGCATCGGGAAGCTTGGAGGTGAACGTTCGGTCTTTGGCAATCTACGTTGGGCCTAATTCCAGAAGTGCAGATCCACAGTGGGCGAACCCCATTAAGAACAGGATTCGGAAGAATAATCAGGCGAGGGCCATCAATGAAGTTGTAAACGCTATCAGACCTCCTGTGGACGATTCTTTTGGACGTCTTCACGTCGTTAACGGCATCAGCACGAACGATTCTTCCACTCTCACCACAGCGGCCAGAGAGAATGTTTATCTTGGGTCATACAATGTAGAAGGTCTACCCGGGCGTCCTGGCAACTCCACCATCCGATGGGGCGGCGGTCTTAAATCACATCTAGAAGTGCAAGAGACAGATGAGGATCATGCTCTCCATGACACTGACGGTTACAAACCACCTCTACGACAGAGAACTATCACGCCATCGCTCACCACCTTGGAAAAGGCTGTCGCGGCGCGAATTTATTTTGAAAACCTGTACTTTCCTCTATTTCGGCATCCGCCATCTCGTGAACAGAGAAGGTTGGCTATGGAGAAGGACATGGCAGAGATGCAGCTCAGTCAGGCACAAAAAGAATCACTAAGAGCGCGCTGGCGTCAGAATGAAACCGAGTACCTTAGAGAACGCCGACAGAAGGTGGATGTGAGCGCCTTTACGAAGCTCAAAACCATTGGCCACGGTCTGAATCTTGTCCCGGCTTACACACCGCTTACGAGTTTAACGCAAATTAATGTTCTGCAGGTGCCTTTGGAGTAGTTTCCCTCGTTCGAGAAAAATCGACCGGCAGCTTATATGCCATGAAGCAGGTGAATCTTCCTTTGGTCTTGTCAGTTTACTCGGTAGACTCACCGTCATCTTTACAGCTTCGCAAGACCGACATGTTGCGAAAGGGGCAAGAGGGACATGTCCGTGCCGAACGTGATATCCTCAAGTCCGCCTCTTTGGTCCATTCTCCGGGTGGGGCCGAATGGATTGTGAGGTTATATTACAGCTTTCAGGACCGAGACCATCTGTATCTGGTCAGTCTTCATTTTTCCATTTTCGCCGATCTTGTTCCATCTGGATTTCATTTCATCATTAATATCAGCTCGGTTTCTCTTTTTAGGTGCTTGAATACATGGGCGGTGGAGATCTTTTGAACCTTCTAATTGAGAGGGACGTTTTTGAGGAGGACTTTACTCGGTTCTACGTCGCCGAGGTGAGAGACGACCACTCCACAAAGATCCTTCACCCACGAACTGCCGTGTTTTTTCTTTTAGATGATCCTTGCCATTGAGTTATGTCATGAGCAAGGGTTCATTCACCGCGATATCAAACCAGATGTGCGTTTCTGGTTGGGTCCACATAAATACTGACGTTAAAGTGAACCTCCAGAATTTTCTATTCGACCCCGAAGGTCACATCAAGCTGAGCGATTTCGGGCTAGCGTTAGTCCACTTTAAATCTCGAAACGTCGGCTGAATCTGACATTTTCTCACACGAACAGAACTGATCTCCATTGGGCTCACGACACATCTTGTTTGGACTCCCCTTCCTTCTCGTACTCGTCTCTTTCCTGAAGCGCCCTCGCAGATTATGAACAACAAAGGTTGCACCTGCTTCACAAACATGGTATTGACCTTGAAGATGGCAACGGCGTCGCAGACGGGAAGAAGACAAAGCGCATGGATCCTAAGGAGGTGGAACTTTTGATGGGCGGCGGGGCAGGACAAGGTGGTATATTCACTTGGCGCGAGAAGAATCGAAGAAAGGTGAGCGACCTTGTCCACTTCGATCGTGTATTTAATTGCATCTGTAGTTGGCCTACTCTGTGTAAGTCCGCCTGTATCTTCTTGAGAGCGTTTTCGATGTTCAAACTCAACACAATACGGCAGCTGTGGAACTAATTCCTACAGTAAGCAGAGGAAGTACTACTTTCTATCATTGCTCTGACCCTTTTACATTTTACCAGTGTCACCCGAGGTTATCCGTGGCCACGGGTACTCTTACTCTTGTGATTGGTGGAGTCTGGGTGTAATCATGTTCGAATGCCTCTATGGGTTTGTTTCATTCTCCTCTCCCTGTCATCGCAACCTAATTTATTATAGATTCCCGCCTTTTGTTAGCAATTCGGTAAGACTCGACGAAGAAATTCGACCACAATGATTACCATACTCATTACGATGGCATGCGTTTACAGCGCCATGTCACACGGCAAAAGATTTTGAACTGGAAACAATCCCTGCGATTCCCGTCTCGCCCGCGCGTTTCACATGAAGGAGTAAACTTGATGCAGCAGTTACTGTGCGAACCTGAAGACCGTCTAGGCTCCCAAACCACTGTTTCAGTCTCTAGACCCGATTCCATTGTCGTGCAGGCCCGAAGAAGTGGTTTTATTCCTCCGACAGGCAAATCTGACGGTGCTCGTCTCATCAAAGTCAGGCTTTCTCCATGTTACGACTTGATTTCTGAAATTTCCCATGCCCACAGGCTCACCCGTTTTTTAAGGGCATCGATTGGTTGAATATCCACCGATACCCTGCCCCTTACCGACCGGACCTGCAGAGTCCTGAGGATACGCGCCATTTTGATTCCGACATTCCAGCAGAGGTGCGTCTCTATTACTGTGCCGAAAATGCCATGATGCTCAGGGCATATTGTCTCAGCCACTCGCACCTGCGAATGGTGCACCTCCCGATGCGACTCGGGACCCAATGTTAAGGGATAAAGTTCATGGCGCAGAAATTATGGCTGTCCGTAAAGCTCTGGCATTTGCTGGGTTTACACACAAAAGTCCCCGAGCGATCGAGTATTTGAGAGCAGACAAAGCCTTCAATCTGTTGCCTGACTCCGTAGCTCAAGGTACAGTGAGAGGGCGTCCAACCGCGCGAGAAACACGCGATGTTGGGAAGGGTCGCGCGATCTCTATGTGAGGAAGCTCCATGAATAGGTTCGATCGATCTCAGTGAATTAACATACCTCTGTAACGTATACCCTGTAACATAAACCATGTATACCAGTGTGGCTGTCAGGAATTTTCCAAATTGCCTAAATGGTGTTGGGCATCTGAACTTCTTAATGGAATAGGGCTCTTGCGCTTGCTGGCTGGAGTTGCGGGCGCCCTGTAGTTTGTTTACAACTTGGAAGGGACCGTTCGCAGTTCCCAGCAGGATCAACAACAAGTATCGTTGTGGTATCGTTGTGATACTATGCCCTAGGGTCAAAAACGCCGAGGTCAGGATGCTGTTTCGAGTCGTCCTCTGCGTTTCACGTCGAGACTATATAAAAGGTGGAATGGGAGGGACACCCTTGATGGAACGAAACGATTTTTATTGCGGTGATCGTGTGGTCGCCGTATCTTCTCGCGACAACGACGACAAGGCTCACGGGAGAGGAGAACTCTAGTCCGTTATCGGTATTCACTCAAGGGAGATGAAGACAGTGAGGCTGTTCATGATAAACGGGGGATCATCTTCGTTTAGATGATTAACATATCAGACGGCACTGGAACGCCAACAAGATTGGCATTTAACTTAAGAAAGAAATGATAATACCGAGACGAATCTTCATTTTCCAACCTTATTGTCAGGTTCATAGTAATCCTGAGGGGTTTCGTTTGTATCTTCTCGCCACCGACGGTGGAGTACTGCATCTGCCAGGATGCATACTCCATCCCCTGGTGTTCGGGGTCCTACTTAGGGGGCACAGGAAAATCTGCGTGCCATCTGCGGACACAGGTTGCGTGCCAGTTGCGAACCGAAAAGAAGTATCTGCGGTCACTTGCGTGCGGACCAATCCAGTTGCGTGTACATTAGACCTAGTGAGCCGAGTATCTGCGGGCATCTGCGAGCATCAGCACACCTTGCTGAGATGTCATATTTCTTGAGATTTCTTCAATGAGCACCATAATTATCCTTCTAGTTTAACATATCTGAATCTCTCTGATTCTTTCTGACTTGTTGGTTCGTACCTATAGTAGGTCTGTACTAAGACCATTTTTATGCTGAAATGTACAAGTAACGTAGTGTCTGAGGCTATTACTAGTCAGCCACCGGCTTCTTACCATTATTTTCCTTCTTTATCGGACGTGATTGTGGTCGATTTTTTCCAGAGACTTCGGGATTCAATAGCCAATGTCTGCCATTGGCGAGTGATGGAGTCTCACCTCTCGTTCAGACTCGCTCTCTTCTTCCTATCCCAACTTGATTCCACACCAAACGAGGGACATTAGGGGAAACCAACTTTGGAAATCGACGAAAATCTCTCGTTATTTCCCGACTACTTCCCCAGAAAACCTGGATTCCGGTGTTCCCCCAATTTCCTCGATTAGACCGGTGTCAGCAGATTTGAAGGAAATTCTTGGGACATTCATAATGTATTTCACTGTCATTTCCCTCACATTCACTAATTTTGGAACCATTTCATTCATGGGATTCATAAATTATACTGGCGACATATATTGCTCTACGAAATGACCAAGATGTCCTGCATCCAATCAGCATTCCACCTGCGATACACTTGCGTTCAGCTTGCGGTACACTTGAGATACATCTGCGACACATTTAAGATACACTTGCGAGAGTTAGTATCCATTGCGAGACTTGCGTGCACTTGCGTGCAACTTGCGCATCACTTGCGATACACCTGCGAGACCAATGCGAGACACACTTGCGAGAATCTGCGCACAAAATGGATGTTTGCGAGCCACCTGCGGTCAACTTGCGAGTAGGCATGAGTAAATAAGAACTAAAACTCTTGTGTAGAAAATTGAACACTGTATTCCAGACTCGTATCGCATAACAGTGGCCACATTTTAAGTTCTCAAGTGAAGATTACATTTCTTTAGTTTAAATTTACTAAGTACTATGTTGCAGTAGACTATCTATCTGCGTGACACCTGCGATACCTGCGATCCTTTTTGATTATCTGCGAGACACTTGCGGTCACCTGCGAACGGGTGGTCCGCAAGTGGCACGCAGATTTCTATATGCCCCTACTTAGGTGTTCGAGGGTTGTAACTTGTCACGCATGTTGCATCGTGTTTGTAGATTCCTCAGTTCATACCACCACATCGTTTCGTGTCTACGCGTTCTCTGTGCTTCCTGCGAGTCACTCGGCACCTCTCCAACGGCTTGCCTCGATTACTCAATTGTTCAATGTAAAGTTGTTGGTTGATGTAAGATGATGCCCTTTTCGCACAAATCACCCTCAGGTCGGGTATAGAGAAAAACCTAACAAATATCCGTAAGAGCAAATGAGAATTGGAGTCATGATTGTGCTCCAACTGCAACTTCCTCCTCGGTTTTGGCCTTCAAAGAAAGCGCATGCAGACCCTGGGACAACTCTTGGGACAGGGCAGAGTAGATCATACGGTGTCTTTGCATTGCAGTCTAATGCGGGATGAGCTTCATCGTAATAATGAACATGGGTGAGGCTCACCTTGCCTTTGAAATCGTTTGAGACGATCTGCACAGAAAAGTCTGGGTTGAGAATAGCAATGACGGGGATGTTAATAAAATGAAAAGAGGGGACAAAGACAGTCAACTGACGCGTTTCACCGTTTCCGCCGCCTTGACTGCGCATGGCAGTATGATGACGATGCTGCCAAGAGTCATTCGTAACTGTCAATGAAGCAGGTTGAAACTGAGAAGTGAGCTAATTGGAATGGAGATCCGATGAATAACAGAGTGCTGAGGACGATATTCTTTAATACCTTGTCCCGAATCGACTTCTCAACAGGCCCCAGATATGAAGAGCTGTCCATGTTGTGAATCGTACTGGAAAATAATCGTAACGATCCAATGGACCGGGTGAAGGACATTCGATGGTGAGCGCGCAGATGATGTTTAATTGCACAAACAGCTTACTTGAGAGCTGCTACGTAGTAAAAACCTTGCTACTGCTCTCCCGCAACCCTCTCTCAACTCACGGCAATGATTCACCAGCCACCAGGATCCGTCGTTGGTGTCGAGTTGGAAATGGGGCCCTTTCAGTGTAACCTTGTGGACAGTTGCTTCGAAGAGCGTCAGTATGAAGCCGCCATTTCCATGTTGGAGCAACTCCGTTCACCCAATTATAAACCATCTATGTATGATTGACTAACGCATTATCGTTGCTGTCCGACTACTGATTATATTATTCGTCAGATCCCACATTCGCCAGCTGATATTTATTGCCCTTCACTCGTCGCGTCCATCGTTAGACGGCCCAAAGGATAGGTCTATATTCGAGTCACCCCGGAAATTTGCCGCAAAGCAGCAGAAGGAATCGTACGCTGTAGGTCCGGGTGCAGCCGCCGCCGCTATTCAGCTTCTGGAGTCTTTCGTTACCACAAACTCTCCAGATGCCCTTGGCCGTGCTTTGCCACACTATCCAAGTGTGAAGAACATCAAGTCAAATGATGTCAGCGAAATAACCGACTCTACTCTTGCAAAACAATCGCTGTGCATAAAGGAGGCAAAGAATTGCTGGGATATCCTTGTCGAAGGATTTACTTTGGCAGCTCTGCAAAACTGCTCTTCATCAAAAGGCAAAGGGAAGCAGCGCCAAGAACTCTTTGCTAGCGAATCTTTTTCAGAAGACCCTCTTCCACAGGCTCAGGTTGTCGGTAAAGATTCATGGCCGCTTTTGAACTGGTTAGTGGATTTGTTCGAACGGGACGAAAGCTTTTCGGAACAGCGAGGACAGCGTAAGGAGGCTAAAAGTTTGGATTCCAGACATTTCTGACTGGTTCTAGCACGACACTCACCTCTTCTTGTGGAACAACTTCCCCCTCCCAGGGGTGAGTCGGCAACGAGATGGGACACGACTGCCCCTCTCGATGTCATCTTCTACTGTCTTGAGCAATCGGACTTGAGGAAACAAAGGATCGGATACAGACTGATGACGCTGGTTCGATCTCGTTTTCTTACTTCTTGCCGTTTAGTTTTTTAATTCGCACATAGATGATAAATTTGACGTCGACCATTTACTTGGATCTCTCGATGTTTGCAGCATCCGTTTACGGCCGTCTTTCGACAACTGGAATGGGCGGATACTCGCTTCTTTCTTCGAACCTTCTCCCATCAATCCGCGTTCGAAGATTTACGATAGCTTTTTGTCTTCGGTTGGTCTCGGATGGCACGTTTACCGACGCTGGTCAGATATCAACTGTACGGCCCAAACCCCAAGCACGCCTCCCGCCAAAAGCTCGTATTGCCCACGATGACGAGAAATCACCTCTGCCACGGGAAACTGGACGCACGAGCGTTGTTCAAGAGATGCAATCATGTGCGAGTAAATATCTACTGCCGAATTGCAGCGAGGTCTTGCGCCTATTAGAACTCGAGTTGCCTGGTAGAATGCCACCTGAAGTTGTCCTGCGGATGAAGTTCGATCTTTTGACATCCTATGCATCACTTCAGGCAGGGCTACCAGAAACTACAAAGTCCGAGTGGAGGGATGTCTTGCAAGTCGGAAGGCTAGGAAAAGTTATTGAAACAGCGTTTGGTCGCGAGAAGGAAGGAGACGCAAATTTATACCTACAAATTCTTCAAAATCTACTGTCTACCTGGTGAAGTTGAATTTCAATGTGGTTACAGGGAAATGCCGTAGTGTCTTCTCACAAGTTTCGTTTCTAACAGAGGGAGGCTTGTCAACTGTTGTCAACTTCCCATACTCTGACATTATGGATCATGAAATGCCGGTGCTACGGACGAATTGATGTTGAATCGTTGATTCAATGTTGATTCTTGATAGATGAATCAGGAACGAACTTTGCAAAGGCTCCTGGTACCTGAAGTCAGATACATTTGATGGAGTTGCTGTGCGGCAACTCCTGATTCTAATAAGACCAAACGACAGATTCGGTATGTTTTCCCAAATCTCAACGTACTCGAACTCAAAACAAACTCAAAGCTTCCCAAGGATGTACTGCGGACACAAGACAGCTCGAACTAACTTTGTTGGGGTACTGCCTTGGGCGCGCGGGACCAGTTGTGTTCACAGCCTATGGGCTCCTATGGGATATGTCATTAATCAGGTCAGTTTCAGTGTCAGGCACAGGATGAATATGGACAGACTTACTTAGGTCTACTTAGGTGTCCAATAGGTGCCCTTGCCACCTTGTTGGTAATTTGAATCATTGCGAATAGCGCGGACATCTATCTTTCGACAATCCTCGTGACGCTCAAACAAATCACCAAGCCAAATGACCCAAGATAAAGCGCGTCTCTTCGTTTCTCCTCTCTGTTATCATGGCTGATCTACCACGTTCTCAGTTTTCTTCCGCACACTGGGGCGGTACTTCTCACCCGTACCTAACCAACCACTTGGTCCCAATCCCACAGCCCACTACTGGCTATCACACTTCACCCCCGCAACCAACGGAATACGAAACGGCAAGGGCAACTGGCTATCATATCTCGACCGCTACACCACGGCCGACGTCATTGCTCTACCCACTTGCAACTACAAGCAGTTCCATCCCACGCCCACAATCGACTCAACCCCACCCATATTCTCATGGCTATCCGTCGTACTCCCAATCACAACCCGTAAAATACCCACCGCCGCAAGGGAGAGCGCGATCACACTCAACCACCCATACCTACACCTCAAACCTAAATCCATACCCGTCCTCTCCACCCAAAACAATTGATGTACCTTCCCAATATCCTGCCTCACCCCCCCGGCCTTTTTCCTGCGATTTATGTGCCCTCTCATTCAACCGCCAGCACGATTTAAAACGACATCGAGAAACACACACCGGGGAGAAACCGTTCATGTGTAACGGAGGGTGTGGCAAAACTTTTACAAGAAAGGATGCCCTGAAACGACATCAGGTCAGCGCTGTCAAAAAATTATCATTGACAGGTCTTATTTATATGTTTCAGCTCGTGAAAGGATGTGGAAAACCTGATGATAGCTGGCCGTAAAGTTATTTTTATCCCGCGCCTAGCGTGTATTGACAGATAATTATGTCGCTTACGAACGTATCTTATGACCTAGTTGTGTCTGAATGAGCAAAAGTAATTTTACGGATATAGATTATCTACATTGAACAATGCAAGTCTAAATTTGCTTGCTTGACGGTTCATTGAAATGCTTTTTCGAGTACCCAAGCATCGTGAGGGACAATTTTCTTGTAATAATCCTTGTGTACGTCGACCTCAATGAATCCATGTCGTTCGTAGAATTTCTTTGCTCCTTCATTTGATACCTGGACATGTAGATAAATCTTGTTGATTTTGGGTTTCGTCTGAGTTGCCGCTGCAGCGAGGATGAGTTCAAGGCTTTGGGAGCCCAACTTTCGCGAGCGATACGGCTATATACCAATGCATTAGGGAAAAAGCAAATGAAGAGAGGGATAAAACGGACGGCCAGAACACCCATTGTCATAAGATAGAGCCTTGTTTCATCACCGTTGGTTTCCAACCGACAACAAATTGTGCCGACCTGATAAAAGGTTTTAAGTGTGGGTTATCGGTGGTTGTGTGAAGCGCGTACTGGAATGTCATTGTAGTATACTAATGTGGAATGATAATCAGAGTAGAGGATATGTTGAGAAGTACGAACCAAGTTTGCAAAAGTCCTCCATCAGGAAAAACCCCAACTCCTCATTTGCCCTAATAACTGAAAGATTAGGTGAAATAACTTCAAATTTCGATGGATTAGATGAAATTAATGCTCTTACCAAATTATCTCAAATTACCTCATATGAATACGGTTCCTAACTCTTACCTCGAATTACCTTGAAGTTACCAATGGCTGAGTAGAGATTATCTGCATCTGGTGTGAAGTTACATTGCGGTTATATGGTAATTAGTCCAATTAGAGTACCATTTTCTCAATCTTTTGGGTGCTAAGAATTCTTTCAAGATTGACACAATGAGCCAAACAGTAAAATTGAATTGATTGAAGAAAGGCTACGGTACAAAAAATGTCTACATGATGGTAATTGATAGCTACAGTGAGATAGAAGGGGATTGTGTTGGGTAGAAGGTATCTGTGTCGACGTTCGCGGGTTGGGGGAGGAGGGGGGGGGGGGGGGTGTTGTTGGGCCGTTGTCATTGTGGGTGGGGAGACTGTGTTCGGTGTGGTGTCCGGCTGTCATCGGCATTTGTGAGCGGTTGTGGTGGGCTCCTGACAGTGTGGGGTGGTGGGCTGTTGTGGGTGCTGGTGGCAGGGCTGTGTTTACTGTTTATGTGGTGAGCTTCGTCGGCGTTGGGACAGGGTGCTGGACCATCCTTGGCGTTGATGGGGGGTGGTGGTGAATCCTGGCCAACGGTCGTGTCGCCACGCATTGCTGCGTGTGGTCATGGTTGCATGCGGTCGTCGTGCTGTTGTCGTGGGGCGGTCATCACGCAGTCGCTGCCTGTCGTCATTGAGCGGTCATCGTCGTGTGGTCGTCGTCGATCAGGATCGTCCACGTCGTTGTTGCCTCGTCATCCATTCATCGTTGCCTGTCGTCGTTCGTTACTTCATTGTTGTTGTCGTCGGAAAGGGTACTTACCTGTTGGAGTTGGCATACAGGTTGCGTAGGGCAGGAACATCACACAGACCTGTGTGCCATAGGTGAGTGGTTGAGAGGTTAGTAATGAAAGGCAGTTGCTCACTGTTGGAATTTGTAGGCCAGGTCGCAAGCATGAGTTGGCAGAGAAAAGCCGGTAACACAATGAGAATTTGAGTGGGAGTACGACGAATGAGAATGAGGGGTGACAAAAGCACGCAGACGATGTGGTGGGAAGAAAGAGCAGTGGGAGGGAATAGAATCCAACATGATCATGTGCCGTCGGAGTTTTAACGGACTTAGGAATAATTTCGTTCTCAACGCAACACGCCATGCTGCGCCCTGCTCAACGTACGCTGCCCAAACGCTTGAACATTGACAACGCTTCTTCCATCACCTCTTCACATGCCCTCCTTTCTCGCTCGCAGACCTTCATTTAGGATCCGAGCAAACATCGGTAGTAAACAAGCCTACCGTTCTCCGCCGTTGGCATCGTCACACTCATCGCCCTCTTCACCAATGCCATCCGACGTTGTGGCACACAAGAACTTGACCGCGAAATTGCCGAAGCTGCTTACCAACCCGCCCCCTATCTTTTTGGACGAAGGCAACACAAGGGTACCGTGGCACGGGTATGGCGGTACATCTGAGTCCAACAGCGGCAGTGGCGGAACCATGCAAGACCATCATTTCTCGCAGGTATCTTCGCATGGGAAGTACGACCAATCTCCGATGAGGCCATTTTTGCGAAAGTGTTTGTTGTATACTTAAATCATCCATACTTTATACCTGTAATCCTCTCTCGAGTCTCAGACGGATTCCTTTGTAGTAATTTTTTCTAATAGTGGTCCCCTCTGTGTAACCACAATAAAAATTTACGAAGTTATATGGCATGACCTCTAAGAATGCTACAGCTAGTCATTTTATCTGAAATTACGACGGACTGAGGGGGGAATCTTGGTAATACACAACAAATTATGTGTAGTTTGCAAATTTTATCACGATTACCTTGAATTAGTTGGTAGTTAGGTGTATTATCTCCCAGTTATGGAGATTAGAAGTAACTGCAAGATAATTACCTGAAATTTGCATTTGGGGTTTTTCCTGATGTCTACTTCCAGTTGGAGGATGTCATTATAGAATTTTTCGCTGTATTTGATAGGAAACAAGACTGAATTCAACTTGCGAACTGTGCCAATGTTATTTGGAGTTAAAGAGGCGAAGGTGACACGAGATTGGGGTGCGGACATGGGTACTGGTAATGTGCAGTGGATGTCGGATATAGTGAGATGTTGCCTCATTTGTCAAACTCCGTTAATTGATCTCTGTCGGAACTATCTTCGTCGTAAACTACAATGGACAGTAGAACGACGATTATACAGCGACCAATGGGTCCTCGCAGCAGAGGCCCTCCCTCTAGTTTGGCCACTCCCAATAATCAACCTCGCGATCAACCAAGGTTACCAGTTCCAACTCTCACAATTCCCCATGAACCAGCAAGATCCCCAAAGCCAACCTTGAGCTCACTCGCAATCCCTCGTCCGCCTCTATCCAAGCCCTCTTTTCCAAAGATCAAAATCGGGATCGATACAGGTTCCACCGCGGGTCCTCTCTTCGAGAGTTACTATGGTGGCCCGAATGGACCTTCGCTCGATACAAACACCCCTCCAGACGAGAGGACAATCCGTCCAGAGTCCACAGCGACATGTGTTCCTCAGGCAAACCAGCGCTCGACAGAGCCGTTTACCGATATCCGTGAGCTGGTTACGGATCTCGAAACTAGGCCTTCCCAGCAGCCCGTCCTCCCCGATGCCCTTGCAGAGGATGACGACGCTGTACTTGTGCCCAGGCCGCCCGCTCTATCTTGGTCCGACGATGTTCTAGAGGAACAATCACGCCTGGGAGAAGGCGCTGGCGGGGCTGTTCACAAAGTGAAGGATAAGAGGACAGGAAAAATCATGGCTCGCAAGACAATCACCACCCGCGAAGCGCCAATGAAACAAGTTCTTCGGGAAGTTTCCATTATCTCCTCAACGCAGCACGTCAATATCGTCCTGTTCCATGGGGCGTTCATGTCCCCTTCATCAAGCGAGGTCAAGATCTTGATGGAGTACTGTGAAGGTGGTAGCTTGGAAGCTGTCGGCAAACGCATCAAGGAGCGAGGCGCCGTCGTGGGAGAGAAGATTGCTGGACGAATAGCTGAAGGGGTGGGTGCCAATTTTGATGGATTATTGTCGCCTGAACTATAACATACCTATCACCAGGTTTTGCAAGGGCTCGCCTATCTTCACTCAAAGAAAACCATTCACAGAGACATCAAACCTCCCAATATACTGCTTTCCCGTGAAGGTGTTGTCAAGTTGTCCGACTTTGGTGTGTCCGGTGAACTGGTCAATTCAATCGCTGGCACGTTCACTGGCACAAGTTTCTACATGGCGGTTCGTACTTAAACCTTCTACCAATTTTTTATCGATTGACCCTCTCATACAGCCAGAGAGAATTTGCGGGAAGGATTACACTATTCGATCAGACGTATGGTCGACTGGTATTTCACTCCTTGAACTCGTTCAAAATCGCTTCCCGTTTCCAAATGATCTTCCGCCTATTGAACTAATGATGTATATCACGAATGGAGAGGTATGACATTACGCTTTCCAGAACTTTCACAATCTCACCTACTTTCTATGAAGCCTCCCAGACTTGAGGACGAGCCGGGGGTGCAATGGAGCGATGAAATGAAAGATTTCATCAAGGAGACGTGAGCCATCCTTCATTTTCGTCTTTATACCATCACTTGACGATTTTTCAGGCTAACGGTGGACTCACTGACGAGGCCAACTCCCAAGGACATGCTTGCACACCCTTGGATCATCAGCGTCATGAAACAAGAAGTTCACATGGCTCGGTGGATCCGTCAGGTTTGGGGCTGGCCCAAGTCAAGCAGACGATCTCGAGACGAGTGAGCGATATGACATCTGTCTTTCCGACCACACTTGAACCTTCCATTACAGACGTAGCCTATCCAGATTAAGCACCGCGAGCGCTGATTCTCGCAGCTCCCCCGATTCTATTACAGGGTAAACTGACTTGTTTTGAGTTAATTTCTTTTCGCCTCCTCGCTAGATAACAATTGTTTCGCTCTATTACTTTCGCCGTCCTATCCATCTCACTCCCATCTTTCTCGGTCAACAAAATGCTGTTCTACCTATTCAATCACCATACCACTGTTGTTTTCGCAGACACTTTGTACTTTGCCATAGCCCCATTTACTCTCACAAATCTCCGCTACACACCTTGGACTTCAAGGAGCATATTTCCTCGGCTTAATGCAAACTACTACTTTCCTGACATGCGCCCACCACCACACAACCGTGGTCCGTCGGCTGTTCAAATTTCCATGACGCTTATCATAGACTTCAATGCCGCGGAGTACTGTTTATATTCATACCGAGGACATTTCTGGACATTTTCTGTAGGGCGCAGATTTCCGATACAACTTGTAAGATAAACGAAGATTACGCAGGGCCGGCGGCATCTTTTTCCTTCGCGGAACTAGAGAAGTCAGGCGGTCACAAGTACTTCACCAAGAGGTCGGATCCGAAGCTGTGGTGCGAGAATGCAACAAATAAATTAGAGCAACCTCAAAGAGTCTTGAAGAGGGTATCCAGGAATAATAGCTTCACCGTTCCTGACCTCACTTCCTCAGCCGCGAAGGTTTTGATCTGTTTTGATACCGCTACATATTGTACGATCGACGCGATCGCAGGGCTACCAAGCGAGATTGGCGTTACGCGAGGTTACGCGTGCGCGCAAATATATCCGTTCAACCTTGCCCTTTTCGAATTCGACGATGTCGACGAGTTCACATCGGACTGCCAGACTCGGAGTCATGATGTCGGAAATACGAGATTTCATACCTGTGTGGTGTGGGTTTGATCTTTCATTTCGGTAGAGGCGTAGAAAAGACAGGACGAAAATAGTTCCCAATTACTTTGAGGACCTGACGTCGACAAGTGAGGTATACCGTCCTTGTGGTTTGTATGTGGACTCGCAGTGAAAGCTCCTCGGAATCAGTCTGTCTGCTTTCTGCCAATGATAGCCTCGGCCTCCGTATATTCCACGGAGACAAAGCAACTGTTTTCTTGTGCATGTACTAGACGCTCGCAGTAACCGATTCCTGATCTTGAGTAGCCACAATCCATATTCGAGACTGCTGAGGGTTTTTGATGGATAGAATGTTGAGTTCCCTTCGAGCACGTCGCCGTCCAAGGGCCAGCGAACTCCTCCTCGCCTGAATTTTAGCACTCGGAGTTGGTATATAGCGGGGAAGGGTTGTGATCAATGTTGTTGTAGCCCTTGTAACTCATCTCCGACACACCGAGCTGCGACACCGCGGAGGTGGAGATAAACATGGGTCACCCAAAGGGACACGCAGTGTACTCAATGAAATGCGCTGATAGCTCCTGGGTTTGGGTGGACTCTGCACGTGTGCTCAAGCACTTGCAAGGATCTTGTGTGGGTTACCAGATTTTTGAGTAACTTGCTTCAAAGTCCAATGATCGGAACAAAAACGGCGGCCCCGACTGTAAGTTAAACCAACTTTTTAGCTTCTCCTCATGCTCACCGTACCTAGAAAAAGATGTCAGAAGCCCTTTGCTGAAGAAACACGCAAACTGCTACACATGGCAATGACCCAATCTCCTAGGATTTTGTCAAGATTCTGTTTTCGGGCCTTACTCATTCACGGGCGACCCTAGATCTGATCTGGAGATATGATTCGGGAACCAACACACTGGCGCCTCACTTCAATTTCGAAAACCCCTTCTGCACAAACCTTTATAACAGCTACGCGAATTCTCGAAGAAATTTGTCTACCCCGCTCATGGCTGACAACATTTCCTAGTTGGTGACTCACCTCGACGGCAATGTAATCTATTCTGACTCTATTCCCCCTAGCTCGACCACCAGCCAATACCTTCCTCATGCCCAGTATTATTCAACACCTCATGTCAACCATGGCCATGTAAATGCTGCGTCGCCCGACCCGCATCCTGAACTGGCCCAACGAAAGCGTCCAAAGTATACTCGGAGCAAAACTGGCTGCATGACATGCAGAGTAAAGAAAATCAAGGTGCGATTGAACGCTTTCGTGACGTTAACCTACCAATGAATCGCTCAAGTGCGACGAGACAAAGCCGACTTGCATGCGGTGTACCCACGGTCAAAGGGACGTACGTGGCCGACGTTTGATTCAATGCCTCCTTGCGTGAATACCTCCTAAACGCAGTGCACATGGCCCGAGGGTGTCCCTACTCGCAAAAAATCGGGTGTTGATAGGAGAGATTCTGTCGATGGAAGGCCTTCCACGGCGGACTCTTCAGAGGGTTCTACGCCTCCCACCCGAGACCGTACTCCCCCCGGCCGCTCAAATACGGAACTTCACTTGCTCCCATCGCCACGGTAAATTGGACGGTTTGATTGAGGGAATGACTGATGTTTACATATTATTTTAGCGACCAGTACATTCAGTCGATGAACTCGGAGTTAGATCCTGCAAGGCGTCAGCAGTTCGTATAAACGCTGCATCCGTGCTGTGATCTACTTTGCTAATGAATTTTGGACTTAGCCCAATGACTGACCGCTACCCACACACGACCTCGAATACTAATACTCTACCCATGACATCTGATGGTCACTACGATTCCCGTTATGGTTCTCCTTACACACATGCTGCACACCACCACCAACATCAACCGCTGCGTCAGCCCATACCAAGTCCATATAGAAGCGCCAGTAGCCACCAGCCGCCAGTTCATCATTGGCAACAATCACCGGAGTTGGTGGAACCCTACGTGAGTGCTGTTCCAGCGTATTACCTCGCGCTATTCTGAGACGGTTCAGTATCACCATCACCCCACTCTTCAGCACTCGCCGTCAAACGAACCACACAACAGGTACTAATGAAATTGCTAACCTTTCATCTGCCATCATACACCTCTACTTCTGAGATTTAGGGGTACCGTCCATGCGGACTTCTGATCTGTCCCATAGTGGCTAATGCTAGTTAGATAATCGAACTGGCGCAGAATTAGAATAATTCCCTAATTGTCACCATTCATCCGCGTCCTCCTTGGGAGGTGTAATCAGACAGCTGTACTTTTGTAGAATAATCTCTTGCGCTGCTAAGCTAATGCCTTCAAGTTCGTCTGAATATTCTACTCGCCCGTCCGTAGGAACTTCTACCAAATTCCCGTCTCGCACTCACTTGTCCTATAGCTTAAGCTGTCCACCCAGAGAGGACGAACAAGACGTTGAGCAAATGACGTTTACACCGATCGTAGCTGATATTCTAATTTCCCTGCATCATTATGTCCCTTGAAGATCTCATCTTGCTTGGCCCACGCCTGGCCATGTGAATGGCGTTGCACATTAAACGCAGATGCATGGCAGTTAGATGTCGACTTGCAACATATGTCAGGCCCCTGCGGAAGTGCATTGCTAACTGTGTGTGCGAGGTCAGAGAAATCGACTTGAAGGTGGTAGGATGACTAATCAGGCACTTTTGAGATTCCGCCGAAAACCTTATTGCTCGAAATGGTAAAACGTCACATGACCTGGGGAAACACGACGCGAAACAAACAAATGATCTTTCTGCCACCAGCTCTCAAACTCCCCCGCCAATGTCGCAAGCCCTGCAACTCAAGACCACTCCGGCGTTGGTATCACAAACGGAAATACCGCCCCGACCACACAAAGCACACCCAGCGAGGGCACGAAGGTGAGCCCAACAACGACAAGTGCCCGGCGCCGACAGTACAATGAAAGCCGCCAACGGTGAAGCACAAGCAAGCCACGGCCTACGAGCATGACACCACTTAGGCATGGCCCCATCCGCACGAGCCCGACGCCAACGACAAACATCCCTCGGGTGGATTTCAGGGCGGGGGAATATCCAAGCGACCCACGACACGGAGCTTCGCTCCTCACATCATCGCTCATCTGCAAGCGCCTGACGCAACTCTCATCCGCGCGAGTCCCACACCAACGACAAACATACGGGGTAGATTTCAGGGCGGGATGCAGATGGCGGGGCGCGAAACGACACCTCCAGGTGGGCGCGATTATTAGTTGCCACTGATTACTTACCCACTGTCCCAAAAGGTGTATTAGTATCAATATATACGGCTTTGCTTTAGTTGGCATCATAGAACTTAGGGTGCATTTACTATATATTCTGTCCATTGAGCAATTCCCTCCTGAAATGCAAAACCAAGGACTTAGTAACTTCCGCGAGTTCGCGACCGCGCCTTGTTTCCGGCATCACATGATATCGCTCCTTTTTAAGAATAAGGTTTTCGGCGGAAAGTGAACAACTCTAATCAGGAGGTCAATGTCGTCAGGTGCCAGTGGAGAAGATGTCATTCGAAGATGGTATGCAATTCGCAACAGCTGACTTGAGGTTCGGGCTCCGACCTTTCAAGATCTCCAAAGAGACTCGTCTTATTTCCCTCCTCCAACATCTTCCATGGGTAAGTTTTTCCATTCTCGGGGCTCATTCGCCGAATCGCAGCTGACTCACCTCATCAGCTACATCCGAGGTGATCACTCTGAACGACCCCCACGCGCCCCACCAGAATGCGAAAGACGCCTTCAATCACATTCTTCACACTATCAAGGCTGAGATAGTCAAATCCCGTCATGATTGGGACAAGCACGAGCCCAAGATGTGGTCCAGGGCAGCTGGCCTATCTGATCATGAGCTGACCTCGTTCAAGATAGAGGAAGACCTAGTGCTGGTGAGTAGGATGTGCGATCTTATGTTTTGAAGCCTTTCTAAATTCACATTAGGTCCGGAGCGCCCCAGTGTCGTACGGTACCATTATCTTGGGCAAGATAAGGATCCCAGCTGTGAAGGATGAAGAGGGAGAAGGCTTCGTCCACGTTAGGTTTGTCTTTCAAGCGTCCGATGACGCGCTCAAGGCTGATCATGGTGAATTTAGAATCCATGATCCTCCGAACAGGGTCAGTATGTTTCGCCTTCTCAGTACAACGCTGACCAAGTCATCGTTAGGGTACAGAGGATGTCTTATTCCACTCCTTGTTCACCGACGAAGGGCCCAAGGGCGCTGACGGGCATGTCATCAGATGGCGTGCAATTCAAACGGATGATGTGCCGTTGGAATTCTTCAACGAGTAAATGAGCAGCTCAAGCTGGGATGCACTCGGAGACTTGGCTTGATGTTGTATCCGTTTGTCGGTACTTGCGATTTATTTACCAATACCGTCGTAAATGCCCATCTCTATGCGTTCGAACGATGGCAGCGTCTATGTAAAAAACTAAGCGGCAAAAATGCAAGTTGAACGAACATACTTTTATATAAAGGTACTTACTCTCATGCCACGGATTCTCTTCATGCGATCGATACCTGCAGATGAAAACGGTGTGGCATATGTTTGAGTTACACTTGGGGCCTTACAGATTAGTCGAGTAAAAGGCAAGCATAGAGGAAATCATGGAAAGTACAAAGAATATTGAACCCCATATTACGGCATGGTGGACAGAACTTGTTGGAGGAGAAGGGAAATTTTGTCCATAAATTTACAAGCAAAACTCAAGAGTAAGAGACAGGAAGAGAGGAGGAGGGAGGGACGGACGGACGGAGAGGAGGAGAGGAAGATAGGAAGAGAAAGAGAGAGAGGAGAGACGGATGAAAAAAATAAAATATGGCACAACCTCGAACACTTTGTTGCAACATACCGCCGCTAAGACTGAATCACAATACTGCCCGCTGACAGATACCCCGTCTCCGCAGACCAGTACGGATGGAAGCCATCGGAAACAAGGTTCTCGTGAATGAAGGGATCCCCAGTGAAGGCCAACCTAGCCGTGTCGAGCGACAACGCATTGCGTTTATCCAAAGGGTCCAAGCCATCCATCCACGGAGACGACTGCGTCTCTGCAAAGGGCGGAGCCATGTTATCGTCCAAAAAGGTCGACATTTGTATTGTCCGTTCTCCAGAGGATGAAGATTCCGTCGAAGAAGGGGAATAGGAGAGACCAGGCAAATCCGGACTCGGAGTCCGTCTGATCTCGCTTGTGAAGCTGCCTGGGTAATACTGTTGTGTAAACGATCCCTGGAAATGCATGCAATGAGTTAGTTTTTGAATGAAAGCTATACAGGTAGACCAGACAACCTGGAGAGTAGCAGTAGCAGATTTATGCGAAACAACATCTGTTTGCGTGTATTGGATTGGATATGTTGCATGCGCGGCTGAGAGCTCCTGACTGGAATCCATGAAATTAGCTTCTCGATGGACGGGTGGCTGCGTAACAAGAACGATCGACGGCAAGGAGGGTACCCTCTTGAGACATCTGTTCCCGTTTGGAAAGCAAAACGACGATGCCGTCGAGGTATTTCGAGCCTGAGTCGATGGGAGTCCAATCGACCCTTCGCTTTGGGATCGGATAACAGGCCGCTGTTGAGATGAAGCTGGTGTAACCGAAGTCTTGCCAACCCAGAGTCGCCATTCAAGGGCTTCGCCCAAAGCGCGTTCGCAACGCCCAATTTCTCTGGCAGGTAGACCCGACAGTTTTGCCCAAGCCCGGTTCGAGTAGCACTTGTCTTGAGTAAACTTTGATGCGAGAATGAGTGAAGCAAGAAAGGCACGACGAGGGCAGAGAAGGGGGGACGGAAGTGGCGGCAGAGGCGTAACCGGTGCAGTTGGCAACTTTGGCTTTTGGTTTCCTTGTCCATCATTGGACTTTACGGAAGTCAGACTGGATTGCGGTATTGTTTCTGAGCAGCTAAAAAATTCTGTTATGCGAACGGTATCCATGATGTCGTTCGACGTGATGCTCGCAATAGCGGCTTCGTACTCAATTTCAGCTTCGGTAGCGGGAACAACTTGGCTGGTGGGCGTGGGTTCTCCCTTGACACCAAGACCTTGCCTTTCCAAGGCAAGCAACTCGGGGACCTTGGACCGGATGGCCTCAAGGTAGCAGAGCGCTGTTTGAAGGACGCATCCCGACGTTTTCGAGCGACGTAGCACTTCGTGAACGAAGCCTTTGATGTGGACCTGACTGGACCGCGCATCTGAAGCTGGTCGAGCCGGCACCTGATTCGTGGACGCGGGTCGTATTGATGCGTTCGTTGTTGGGATACTTGGCGAGGGGGGTTGGGTGTTCCTGAGTTGTTTGAGATGCAAGCCAGACACATCGGCATGGGAAGTTATGGACGGGGGTGTGGCGAAAGCCGAGGGGATATCTTGCGGGCGCCATATTTCGCATATAGATTTGACGGCTTGGTCTGGCGTAGGCGCCGGGTGGTGAAAAAAACGGAATGATACAGAAACGGCGGTATAAACTCACCAACCAAGCCGAGAGCATGTTTATTCTTCGGCGTCGAAGAATCCTTGTTTGTGAGGGTGGGTTGGGAGATATATTTGTTATCACATGCGGGGGTTTGACTGACGGGGGATGGTAATACAGATGTTGGTGGGGTATGCAGATATGGTGCAATTGGAGATCTCGGAGCTGAAGTAGAGGAAGAGGTGGAAGGGATTGTATTATAGGGCTGCCACCGGACCCTGCTCCTTGAAGCAGACGGGGCCCGATGGGCAAGGGAGTGGGTAATTGCGTGCATTTAAAATTCAGGATATTGAGCAGGGATTTCGACAAGAGAGAAAGATGGTGGGAGAGACACTGAGTGGGGGTTTCTGGCAGAAATTTAGACGAGTTTAGTGTATGCATTAGAGATGGGGTAAGGTTGAGTTGTGAACATGACAGATAGAATGGGGGTGTTGGTGAAGACGACGGGGGAAAGCTGCTGGGGGGCACTGATGGGGTGCATCGCTGCTGGATGCTAGGGCTGGATGTCCAAAGTCTCCGACTTGGACTATCCGATCACAAAGTCTTTAACAGAAGACTCTGTGTGAAATTGAGAGTACTTGAGAGAGAATAATTGAGAGGATTTTGAGAGATGCGGGAAGAGCGATGAGCAAGAGTTACGATGAGTTACGAACCAATGAGAGCAACCGTTTCCGTGCGGGCTGGCCTTTGACTGACTGACTGACAGCCTAGTCATCTTCCATCTCTAACACCCATAAACAAGGACCCCGAACGAGTCACTGGTAATAATAAAATCGGGGTCCCAAGAACAGCCACGATCATCGCGATCGCATACATGGCCGACGTGACTCCGTGACTCGTTCTTCTGTAGCCTGTATTCCAGCTGTAAATATAGCCTTTGTAGCGCTTCTTGTGTGCTAATTTCGTTCCAACTTCAGTGCGGTAAGTATCACTTTTGGTCAACAAGAATAATTTGTCTGCAGACAATGTCAAGCTTGCATGCGCACCTGTGCCTAACAACCGTTATTGGCTCAGCATGATATTTGTTGGTCAAGTGGGCTTGGGAGCTCCGTCATACTTGTCCTTTTCTTCTCCTCCCTCACTTGTCACTCGTTTAACCCTACCATGAAGTTTCCGGCAGCTATTCTCGTTCTTTTCACATCTCTCGCTGTTGTCAGCGCCAGCAATCTACACGCTGGCCTTTCGCCCGTCGCTCGTCATTCTCGTCTGACACAGCGCGCTTCGTCCTTGGAAGTCGCTGTGAAGCGTGCACCCAAGCTATGCATCAACCGCACTAATAAGGTATAGACCATCCCATGTGTCCATTAATACACCACATTTCCTTAATCTTGACCTTCAGAAAGTTGTCGTTTCTTCGACCAAAGCCCAGTCGTCATCGTCTGCAGCTCCCAAACCTACTGTCCTGGCAGCCATCGTAAAGCCAGCTTCATCGCCAGCCCCCAATAATGGAGGCAGTAATTCTGGCGGAACCATTCAGGTTCAGTCTGGCAATTGTGGTAACAGTGGAGCTACAAGTCAGTGCTGTTCCATAAGCTTTCGTTTTCAAACCTTATTTATTTTCCTACTCACAGGAACAACAACCAAAACGTCTGGTCCTAACGGAAGCATCGATTGGTTGAACTGTGGGATCAACGCCGGTGGATGGAATCCACCCTTCATTCGCATAGAGAATGTCATCACTCAGTCGCTCTCAAGTGCCCTCAGCTCTGGTAGCAGCCCTTTCAAAGCGTGCGCTCCATACGTCTGGATTTTCGAGAAGTATGGGGGCCAATTTAATATCCCTCCGATCATCCTTGCGTCATTTGCCATGCAAGAGAGTAGCTGTAATCCGGCTACTGTCGGTGGCGGCGGCGAGCAAGGTTTAATGCAGATCACCCGAGAGAAATGTGGTGGCCTATCCGATCAGGCCTGTCGCGATCCTGTTTGTATTTTTTTTCTTTCTTTTGAGCCGACCGTAATGCCGACATACGAAACCAGGAATTTAATATCCGCACTGGTGCCAAATTCTTTGCTGACACATTGAATGGGAACGGCGGTAATCTGCTTCTGAGCATTGGGCAGTACAATGGCTGGTTCCGTGGCATGACAATGGTAAGTTCGGCTATGTTGAGGCTGTTCGGACGGGATCTGAGCACCATCACAAATAGGACAAGGCCACTGCTGCGGCTTTTTCAGCCTGTTGCCGCTGCCAGAATAACCTTGATTAGTGAGGGAGTCTCCGCTTGTCGTGTATCTCTTTCGCTGACGGTTTACAGCTTACATCAATTCCTCAACGGTTGGTGCCAGAACATCAACGCTTACAACAACAATTTCCGCCTAGGAAAGTTCTTCAACCTTGATCGATGCGGATAGGATATTCGCATTGGAACATTGAATGTTCAATCTCTCTTCTTTTGCCTGGTGCGATGACCACGGAATATACCTGGAATATACCCTTTACACATCATTTTTTCCCTCTTAAGGGGAAACCTGTCTGGCTCGTAAGTAGCCAGCAATGGTTTACGTACCCTATGTTTAATACTTTATATGAGAAGTATAACGAAGCATTTAGCTGGCCTTGACAAAATTATCGCGTCGACGAATTCGCGAAGTTCCTGGACTCGTCCATTGGAAATTGGATATGAGCGAACGATCAAGAGTGTGATAAAGTGTCTTCTTCGTACCCATCCATCCTCTTGCCGTCGTTATCTCACCAATAATGTGCATTTGAAAAAGTCTTCTGCGAGTCTAGTACTTATGTGAGTTGAAGGCCATGTTACCACGGCATCACCCGCGACCGGCAGAACACTTTGCGGAGAACATCTTTGCTAATCTGATATCAGCATTTCCTGGCACACGATGAGCTCCACATTATCATCAACATCAGGCTCTCCGACACCCTCTGTATCAACACTGCCCTCATCACCAGAGTTACAAACCTTAAGCCTTGCCGATGCACCTTCCTTACCCGCTTCAGACGAAGACAAGGCGGCTGCCCTTCAGCTCAAGGCAGAGGCAAATAAGGCGTTTTCAAGTACGCGTTACTTTCTTGACGTAGGCGTAGTACTAATGGTCAATCTTCTCACTTAATCCCTATTGTGCCATCCATCGACAGGCCATGACTTTCCAACGTCTGCTCGACTCTACTCAGAGGCTTTGGCAAAGAACCCTCACGATCCGATTTTGTGGTGTAATCGAGCCTACGCTAGGATGAAGTTGGAGGAGTACGGTTATGCTTTGAGTGACGCTAGTCTGTGCCCTCTTAAACTGAATATGTTGTGTTATGTCTGACCCACCCTCTTAGGTCAAGCAATAAAGCTTGATCCTCGCTATGCAAAAGCATATTATCGGTAATATATCATTTTTAGAAGTAAAATTTAGCTGATGTCGAATGCAAAGGATAGTCGTGCAACGTGCTACATGCAGATCTTGAAATTCCAGGCTGCAGTAGCTGACTTCAAGAAAGTACTTGCCATCGAACCGAAGAATGAGTTGGTTCGCTCGCAAATGGTTTCGACACAAAAACTTATCCGGAAAATCGAGTTTGAGAAGGCGAGTATTTGAACTTTTTTTCGATGCTTGTCGCTAACGCAAGTATCGTAGGCTATTGAGGTGGAAGGGGAGAAAAACCCAGTTGATAGGTGTCACGAGATTATAAAGGAGGGTGAGACTCCGCTTCCCACTTTATGAATGCTGTTCGACTAATATCGCTGTTCAAGGAGGGTGTGAGGTCGATAAATCCTACACAGGGCCAAAACTCACATATGAAAATGGGAAATATAGTATCAATCAACAATTTATCAAGGATATGATTGAGTGGTTCAAAAATGGCAAGACGTTGCCGAAGAGATATGTTTGGGAGATTATATTCGGCGCGCACGACCACTTTTCGAAGGACGAAAGTTTGGTGAATGTGGAACTGCCTGAGGGTGTGACGTGTGATGTCATTGGCGACGTCCATGGTATGTTCCGAGTATATTGGCTTCTAGTCTTGCCATAGATGACAATGCCTTTAGGCCAGTTTTATGATGTTTTGCATCTATTCTCTTTAACAGGCGAACCGAGCGAGAAGCATTATCTGCTCATGAATGGAGACCTGGTTGACCGTGGCTCATGGTCAATTGAAGTCATCCTTTTGGCGTTCGCGTATAAATGCATGTGACTCTCGGACCTTTTTTCAACTTTAACTAACTTTGTTCCAGGGCTCTATCCTAAATTTATGTTCATCAATCGAGGAAACCACGAAGCGAAAGATATGAATAGAACATATGGCTTTGAAGGCGAGGCAAAACACAAACACGGAGAACAGTCATACAAGGCCAGTCTCCTACTCCATCCACACTTCTTGGTAGACTTACCGTGAAACGCACAGCTTTTTGCTCATGTCTTTACGACCTGTCAGTTCGAGTTGCAGTCGAAAATTATCCCCACATTTTGGCTTATATGTTCTAGTGCCGCTCGCTACCCTTGTGTCCGCAACGAAACCACCGCCCCCGAAGGAAAGGATAAACGCTATTCTTTCGCCAGATGGTCTAAAAAGGTTCTTTGTTGTGCACGGTGGACTATTCAGCAAAGATGGAGTTACGCTAGACGATATTCGAAAAATAGACAGAATTGGTCGCCAACCTGGCCAAGAAGGCATCATGTGTGCGTCCGTTTATCCCCTCTTTCATGGCTCAACTCATGCTTTAAGATACTGGTATTTTAGGCGAGGTACGAAGGTTTATCGAAGTTGTCTCCTCATCTAATTTCTCCCCGTGCAAAGCTGCTTTGGACTGATCCACAGGATATGCCTGGCCGTGGCCCAAGTAAACGAGTAAGGTATTTTCGAATGTTTGAGTCAGCACCCCTTAATATTACTTCCAGGGTGTCGGTATCGCATTTGGGCCAGATGTAACCAAGAGATGGTGCACGCTCAACGGTGTTTCTGGTATTATCCGAAGTCACGAAGTACGGCAAGGTGGGACCATGTAATGCTCACAATCTTGCATAGCGTTGACATCATTTCTCAGATGGATATCAAATAGAGCATGATGGACTTTGTACGACGGTATGTTGTACGATGTTGTAGCGAGAATTTGTACTTACACATGAGATGCAGGTATTTTCCGCGCCCAATTATGTGGATCAATCAGGAAACAAAGGCGCATTTGTTAGTATTCAACGTTTATACGTTACCTTCACGATGACTGACAACTCCTTTTGCAGATTCGAGTTGACGATGTGGGACACAGAGAGTATGTGCAATTTAATGCCACACCTCATCCCCCTATGAAGCCGATGGCATATGTGCAAGGTGGCCTTGGAAGTCTTTTCATGTAAAGGATGTATGCTGCATGTGTACCGAAATGTTATTTGTAGTCACCCCCGTGAGAACTTCAGCTGACCCAAACCTGCAAGCGAAATATTGGCGAAACAATTCCCTCGTTCGATCCCTCTTTTCTCGATGGATAAAACCAAGTCCAAGTTGGCCGCTTTCTTTGATAACGATGAGGAAGAATCCTCATTCCCAGTGCGACGGACCAAGTTATTTGCCTGTCGTGATACACTTACCAACCAGTCCTATACATTAGCAAAAGGCGGTCGACGACGCAAAGTTGACACAGTATACTGCTGGGAAAGTGCGAAAATCTAAGCGGGAGAAGGAACAAGAAGCTGCTGAGATCAGGAAACGGGAGGAGGAAGCGGATGCAGCTAAGGCTTACGCTGAATTTCTAGACGCATTTGAAGGCGAGGAGGGAAACAGGTAGCTCTTCTTACCTCTTTTTGTGTAAAGTTGCCTAACACATGAACAGGCGGAAGTCTGCTTCAACTTTTGTAAAAGCTGATTCTAAGCTTGCTTACATTCCCACCGCCGCCCAACGCTCTTCGGAACACCAGGCGCGTACTTCAGTGCCCACAAACATGATCAATAGAGTGTGTTTCAAATTTGTATTTGGAACGTTGGTTGACCTCGTCAAATCTAGTCCCCTTCACCTCCGACGTCTTCCAGACCGAAAGGGAAACGAGCAATGGATTCGTTTCTTGAAGAGATAAAGAGGTACATTCTCGCAAGGTACACATATTCTCATTTCCCCTAACATACCAATTTCAGAGAACAAGCAGAACGAGAGGCTAAATATTTACGACGCGGTACGACTGGTTGGACTTCACCCATGCTGCTGCTAACCTCATTGTTTAGGTCATGGACAGGGGAGGTCTATCACTGCAATGGCGGCATACGATGGGCAGAGTGGAAGCAAGGACAGAGGAGATCCTCAAGTGGGTCCGACTTCGTGAATCTCTGGATCAATGCGCGTTAACGAAGATGTTCTTAGACCTCCAACGTATTTGTCGCGAACTTACCGCCTCACGTTACGGAGCAAGGCTTGGGCAATTTCTTTGCCCGTGCGGGCCCCGTTGGTTCCGTATGTCTTGCGTCTATCTTTTCGACCTCGTCACTTAAAATGCCTAGGTGAAAATTATGTGGCCCCGCACAGACGGGACTGTTGGCCCAGGTGCTGACATGACCACAACGCGCAGAACCAAAAATGCTGGTCTCAGTGGATTTGTTTCTTTCATGAAAAGGAAGGACGCGGAAACCGCTCTTCGTGAATTTGACGGTTTTGATTGGGGTGGATCGGTGCTTCGTGTTGGCTGGAGTAAAGCCGTTCCGATAGCAGCAAAACCATTATACGGTAGGTTTACGAGAAATGTCACGGTTTTCAACTTTAAACGCCCGACAGTATCGAACACAAGCAAGCTGAGGGACAGCAGAAGCCCAAGTCGCAGCCGGAGTCGCTCGAGAGAGAGGCACCGTTCACCTTCACCGCGAGCCGACCGCCATCATACGTCTCGTCGTTCCAGGAGCCGATCATGGGGTCGACCACGCTCTCCGCATCGACGGGGATCATCTAGTCGACAACTCCCTTATAATAAGTCTCGAAGCCGGTCTCCGCGACGGCGGTCTCGTAGTCCCCAAAGGCTTGATGAGGACGATGTGACGGATACGTTCATACGAGCCGTGGCTGCGGAAGTCAAAGGTCACGATGCTAAATACGAAGCAGCTTTACGGGAGCGGGAGAAGGATAATCCAAAATATCGGTTCCTTCTGCGTCGAGATGTGAGTGTTGAATGTACAGTACACCCATTTGTCCTGACGAGGTCTAGCACCGACGTCATGCGTTCTACAGAGGTTTGGTCGAATCCGAGAGGTTCGCTGAGCCTGAATTTGACGATGAGGTGAGAATCTCACGTTGAAAGCAACACAAGTATAATTCATTCGGATCTCATTAGGGTTACAACTCCATTTATTCGAGTGATTCTGCTGAGGAATCGGAGCGTGAAAGGAGCCGGAAGAACGCCCTTGGCAAGCTTGCGCGGAAAAGATTTGAAGCTATGCTTCGGGCTTTGTCTGGAAAACGTGGCGAAATGGCTCGGTGTATGACGTTCAGTCTTGAACATGCGGAGGCAGCTCATGAGGTATGTCTCGCATTTCAGCATTTCACTTAAACTAAGCATACCTCTAGGTAGCAGATATCATTGTCGCCTCACTTCTTGTTGATGGGACGGCAGTCCCTCGCAAAGTCGCTCGCCTTCATTTGATTTGTGATATCCTTCACAATTCTGCTGCGCCAGTGCCTAGTGCGTGGAAATTCAGACAAGAATTTCAATCGCGTCTTGGCATCGTATTTGACCATCTTGCGAATATCTACCACTCGTTCCCCGGCCGAATTACTGCGGATATGTTCAAGAAACAAATCACAACTGTTGTGGATATCTGGGAAGATTGGATAGTCTTCCCACCTGATTTCACATCAGAACTCAGACAACGGTTAGAAGGTGCTGTAAGCGCTGCCGATAAAACGGAGCAAGCGGAAGCCGAACGGCTGCCCGCCAAGGAACTGAACCCCTCACGCTTCAAGACGAGCTCGTTCAAAATGGCGACCGAATCTGAAAACTTGGAGCCGTCGGTCCGCGGTACGGAAAGCGATGGTGAACCGATGGATGTGAGTGGTGATGAAGCTGATCGTGGGGACGTTGATGGGAAACCGGTGGAAGACATTGATGTTGACGGTATGCCGGTAGAAGACATTGATGTCGACGGTGTGCCGGTGGAAGACGTTGATGTCGACGGTGTGCCGGTGGAAGACGCTGATGTTGACGGTGTGCCGGTGGAAGACGTTGACTTAGATGGTCTGCCGGTGGATGACGTTGACGGTGTACCGGTTGATGATGACGTTGATGGGGCACTGGTTGTCGACGATAATACCAATGTCGACGGAATGCCGATTGACGATGTGGATGGCGAACCCGCTTTGGATTTTTGAACGTAATGTCACCTGGGCGCAACGTCCCAGATCAAGATGTTCTTGTAACTTTTGTTAGTCAGCTTATCGTTTCACAATCTATTTTCTTGCTGGCAGCCCATAATATTCAACAATATATTGAGTATAACCGAAAGATTGACAAATGCTCCACTAGCCGGAAAGAGGGGTGGGTGAGGCGTGCTAGTCGTGGTAACGGCGTGAACCTCGATTTCCATTAGAAGCCATTCTGATAATAGCCTCCTTAGCTGCGATAATTTCCCCTTCCGCGCCTGCGAAAGTTAAAGGTGAGTAGATAGCTTCATCAATTACAGACGGAGGGTACTAACCGATGATGACAATTGTATTGTTTTCGCGGCTGACAGTGATGTCAGCGCCCGTCTCATTCCTAAGACGAGCAACATTTGCACCCTTTGAGCCGACAATACGGGGGAACGATGACCTATCTGGCAAAGTAAGGAATCCGACATGCGACATCCGTTCCGCGCTCGCAATGGAGTCTGCAATAGCCTTTTCGGCTTTCTCGAGGCCTGCCTGGTCGCGAGCTCCGAGGGTCCAAATCGAGTCGCCTTCCTCCGCATCCTGGTAGTTTGCAATAACCTCCCACTCAATTTCTGGAGCAGCCGAATTGCCCTCAAAATCGTCAATGCGAGCAGATGGGGTCACCGTTGAGGGTGGACGCGAGGGTAGGACCAATCTTTGTGGTTGAATCGATTGATCGACTTGAACACCAAACGACTTCAAAGTTCGGAAGACTGCACCCTGCCGGGATATAACGTGATGATATTTCAAGGGTACAGCAATCTCCTTGGTGATACTTTGAGGAGACACTGATTTGATGGTTCCCTAACGAAGAGATGAGAGGCGTTGAAGGTTACGAGGGGGTACACTGACCTTAAGCTGCGCAATGGCAGCCTCACACGCGGAGCGAGATCCTGAGACCTTGACGAGATTAGCAGCATCGACGTCCACAAAGTCGGCGATGTTTTCCGCCTCCCCGACTTGATTGTAAGAGCGAGAGCCAGGAAATTGGACTTGAACATTGTATTTGGCCTGAAGATCATTCAAGTGCTGGCCACCTCGACCAATCAGAGCGCGGTGCTGGGGTGCGGGGACGTCGACGGCCAGAATAACACGGTCCCTAAGAATTGCAGCCAGTTTTTCAAGCTCAGCTTGCAATCTCGCAACGAGTTTGGGTTCTCCTCGCAGGCGGACCTCGTCCGACGGCTCACCTTGGCGAGGGCTAAGTAAATGAAAGTTGGATGAACCTTCCGTGTACAATAAATTCTTGAAACACGCACAATCTAATGAGGCCTGCTTGCAGCTTAGAATCTGATGGACCACCACAGCGGCTGACCAGCTCCTTCAAACCTTGCCCTCCCGCACCAATGAGAGAGCGGTGGAACTTGCTCTCCACAGCGACGGTAGCAGTAGCTTCCTCCACAACTTGTTCAGAAATGGCAAGGATAGCAGCCTTGGCCGCAGCTACCGCCTCCTTTGTTCCACGGACGGTAACGTTGGTCGTGTTCCCGCCATCCTCGGTAGCCTTGTCAATGTCAATCTGGGCATCTGTTTCGTCTTTGATTTCGTTTATAGATGCTCCCCCTCTCCCGAGGATGCGAGCAACAGAGCGTGTTGGAACGGTAAACTTGAGAACGTTATTAGACTCTTTTTCAAATTCAACTGCCTGTGAGGGAAAATTAAACTTTGCTCGGAAGCGGCAAGCTTGCTACTGACTTCGAGAAGCTCAGACTTCGCACCAGCGACGCCCTTCTTGCCACCCTTGATAAGGACTTCATCAGATTTCAGTTGTTCGCGGGTCTTCCCTTCAAAGTCGGCAGATTGGCGAGGAAATGTTATCTTGACCGAGTATTTCTCTTCGAGTCGGATCGCGTACTTTCCGCTCTGACCAATCAGCGAAGAGTGGTACTGAGAGGGAATTTTGAGGATCTCTGAGGTCTCATCGGCCTACGCAAAATAAACGTTCAGCTGTCGCGAGAAAGATGAATCAACATACCAGACGTTCAATCTGGGAGAGGATTCGTTTCTTGGCCTCTTCGACGTTTTCCTTGCGGCCCGTAATCTTCAGACAGGGAGCTGGTAAATATTGGTCGGACCTAGCAAAGCAAAGGAGGGTGCACCTTAACCCTTGACTTTTGGTGAACAACCTTCTTCTTTTTGCCTGTTTCCTTTTCGTCTACATCATCAGAAACATCAACTTTGACGCCAAGTTGATCCCGAAGCTTGTTGACGCCAGCGCCCTGTGCACCGACAATGCGACCCACATACTCCTTGTCGACGTCGAACTCAGTAGACTGAGGGCTGGATGTTAAGCTTCCGAGATAATTCACTACCTAGCTGAGAACTTACATAACTGTTCACAATTTCGTCATTCTTGGCATCCTCGACGATTTTGAGAATTTCTTTCACAGCTCTGTCCACGTCATCGCTGATTCCGTGAACCAATATGACATCGTCTGTGGGTTGTGCGGCCTCGTTTCCTACCTTGATTGAAAGGGTCTGGTCCTCGCCGATGATGCTGTCAAAGAAATCAGACGCCTAGCCATGATCACTAAGGGGGAAAGGCGTACGCATTCAAAGTGGTGCCGCCCTTGCCGACAACAGCCTCATGCCAGCGTTTCTCAACCGATATGACCTCAGTTTTGACATTTGCAGCGTCCTTGGCCAATTTCAAAATCTCTTTCTCGACATCGTCGAGATGCTTCTCTTTCTCATCAGGGATCAGAGAAGCGGAAGAGCTGAAAGGGTCATAAACGAGGAGGACCAGGGACGATTCGGACGATTCGGTGGGGAAATACACCTGAACGTTGTGAGCCTCGTAAAATTGTTTCAACCTAGGACACATCATGATAAACCAGCGGGAGAGTATGGAATTAGCACACACTTTTTAGCATTTTTGCCAGTGATGACTCGATGCAGAAGCCAGTCGATGGATACATCCCTCGTGCCACCAATGAGCTTTCCAAGCAATTCCGAAAGCTGTTTCACGGCGCCGTCCACAACGGACTTGTCGCCAACGATGTCAATGCTCAGTGTGGGCCCAGCCGAATTAACAGAAGGAAGAAATATGTCCACGCCTTCCTGGTTAGCTTTCAAAGTTTCCACGTAGTGAATACGCGTCATGTAAGCTGCTAGTTGTCTTGCGAGTGCTAAGGGACCGGGAAGCGGGAACTCGTGGATATACTTGGAATTTGCTTGTGTCATAACGGCGCCGAGACCTGCAGGAAGATCGGTGCTTTGACCCCAAACAATGACCTCGTCACTGATGACCTCTTCAGGAGCAACGATAACAGTACATTTGCTGTTAGTCAACACTTCTTCGGCAGCCATGCCGGTAAGAAGACGATGCTGGCGTTTGGGCAATGCGATCTTGACCGAAGTAAGGATAGTCTTAAAGGTCTCGATGGTGGACTTGATCAAGTCTACCACACGCAGGACCGCTTCACGATCGCCGGTTGCTGTGATCTCGCGTGCTGCCGCGTTCAGAGCAAGGTGGACTTCACCATCCTGCGCAGCAGTCAAGAAGTACGCCTTTCGAGCAACGACGAAGGGCAGGATGTGAACGGGGATGTCACGGACGCGCTGTGTCGACTTGGACGTCTTCGACGAGATGATTTGATTTAATAGCGCCTGCGCCTCATATATCAAGGGTTGAGGCCCGGTCAACGTGACGGGAATCGTGGGTTCTTCTTCGTCGTCGTCGTCGTCATGGGATGGTGTGACCTTGCCTGAAGCAGTTCCATTTGCATGACCATTCCCGTTGGGTGTGAGCGTATCCCTCTTAGGGATGTCAACTCTGACGCCTGTTTGGTCCCGTATTTGCTTGAGGGTTGCACCTGACAAAAAAAAATTGACAACTGTACCTCGGGAAGCATAGCACACATACCTTTAGAGCCGATGATGGAACCGATAGTAGATACTGGGGCATTGATCACCAGAGTAATCTATAAACGGAATACGGAGGTCGGATGAAATTTAAAAATAGATCAAACAACATACGACCGGACTGAGGAGAGCCAGGAGACTACGTTTCGCTTTGTCGAGTTCCTTCTGAGACTCTGCCTTGATGTGAAAGGTCGTCTGACGAGTCTTTTGGTTCCCGGAGGCTTCAAGCTTAACCTTGTACTTTGCCATAACCTGTTTCATAACCTCCCCTAGCGTTGCGGTTTTACCATCTTTTCCAGCATTGGACAAGTCGATCGCCGAAAGAGTGAACGAGTCCACGAAGATGGGTTGTTTGCTTACACTAGGTGTAATACGGGGACCAGCGCTCCAAGCGGAGCGGGCGGGTACAGCTGGGGCTCGGGCAGCTGGAGCCAAAGAGGGGAAAGCAGCCTCAGATTCGGTGTCCAACTCCGGACGAGCCTGCTGGGCCTTGGGCTTCGCTGGAGTGGATTCGGACAACGAAGGAAAAGGGTCTGGTGCTCCTTCTAGCTCGTGTTTTTTCTGTGCAAGAGTTAGTAAATGGTTGGGACCTTGAAGGGTGGGCAACGTACTTGAAGGTCGGCTGCTGAGAGAGCCATGCTGTGCGGATGACGGGTGTCCTGAGAGCGAAGAGCCTTTTGACGGGGGAGAGACCTGTGCCACAGAGATCGTTACAGCTCCAGAAGGAATAAAGACGTGGTCAAGACGTGGTATGCGTTCAACTTGGGTCCAACAAATTATCTGCCCAACAAATTATCATAGGACGACCGTGGGACTTTCTACGTATTGACGTGGCATCAAGAACCATCATGAGTCAATGACAACCTCAAACGCCTTCAATCAGATTTAAACCTATTTAAACTCTTTCGTCATAACCTTCTCTGAACCTTCTCTGAACCTTCTCAACAAGTTTATCTCTTCTAACATGAAAATTACTCAAGTACGACTTTGTGTGCTTTGTTTGAAATGAGTGGCGCAGCCAAACAAACCGCGGTCATGTGGCGCTCTCTGGACGCTCTTTAACTCTTATGAACACGAGGTAACAACTCTGCACCTCCAGCACCATCATGAGTCTTCTTCCGCTTTTTCTTGCCATTCTTCTCAGCGTGCATGGTTTACGAAAGAAATCTCTCTCGCCATCTGGTGCTGTAACAGCCTTCGTAATTGGTTTTCTCACAATGGCAGGCGGTCTTCGAATGTTTGGGGTCGCTTTAATTGGTTTCTACCTCATTGGCAGTCGAGCAACAAAATGTCAGTATGTATACGATAATAGACCTACGAACAACACTGAAGCAGTGGTTTTATTAGATGGGAAAGAGAAGAAGACAAAGCTTGAGGAAAGTTATCAAGAAGGTGGGTACAGAACCGGATGGCAGGTCCTGAGCAACAGTGCCGCCGCAGTTGCAGCGGCTTTCACCTGGAATTCGGTCTTCGTACCGGGAAGCATTCATGCAAACATGGCGACAATTCTCGGGCTACATACCGGCAAGATGCTTGGGTTAACAAACCCCATGATCTACGATGGTGCTTGGTGTCCTCTTGACGCCAGCATCTCGAATGGATGGAGCAGAGCATTAGTTCTTGCTGCGCTTGGGTGAGTGGTTGGCAGAACTGTGGAAATACAAGAAGTCACGCAATCGTAGACATTTTGCCTGTTGCTTGGGGGACACCCTGGGATCGGAACTCGGTATCCTTTCGGACTCACCGCCCCGACTAGTCACAACATTTAAACGTGTCCCCCCGGGAACCAATGGGGCAATGTCTTTGGGTGGAACATTGGCCTCCGTTGTTGGAGGGGCCATAGTCGGGGCCTTAATGGGGATAAGCCTGACATTGGAGAATGTACAATGCTCTCCAAAGGAAGTTTTGACAACAATGATTGTGCTAGGGATGGTTGGTGGAGGGATTGGAAGTCTGGTAAGTTTTCTTATACAATTTGTGGGAACGGAAGCTAACAGAGAGTCGTAGATTGATTCCGTGATGGGAGCGACGATTCAGCGGACTCGGTACTCTACGGCGAAGAAGATGGTTCTTCAAGACGGAAGCACGTTCGGTGGAGATATCAAGATTATCAGCGGATGGAACCTTTTGACAAACAACCAGGTGAACTTGTTATCCAGCGTGATTTGTGCGGCCCTATTGCTATCCACTTGACGTCACATGACGTAACGATGTAAATTATTTGATTTCAATCTATTTCAATACATTGCCCTATCGGGCGTTCCACCAAAAGTTCCTTCCATCTCTTTTTCTCTCTCCCCCCTATGTCGGACGATAAACGCGACATCCACAACCCCATCCTCTTCGAATGTGCTTGGGAGGTGGCGAACAAGGTTGGCGGCATCTACACCGTCATCAAAACAAAAGTACCTGTTACCGTCTCCGAGTATGGCGATAGGTACTGCCTTATCGGTCCTTTGTCCTACAAGACGGCCCCTATGGAGGTTGAAGCAGAGGAGCCTAAAGATGTTCATCTGGCCGCTACTCTCGAATCTATGCGGCTTCAGGGCGTCAAGGCCTTGTACGGTCGATGGCTCATTGAAGGCAACCCCCATGTCCTGCTTTTCGACACCGGCAGCATGTATTCCAAGCTGGATGAATGGAAGGGTGACTTGTGGAATTTGGCTGGAATCCCTAGCCCTCCGAATGATCATGAAACAAATGAAACCATCGTCTTTGGTTACTTGGTTGCGTGGTTTCTTGGTGAAGTCAGTCTGTTTTACCCCGCCCCCTTCACCCCTGATTGACCTGTACTTCCGATTCTAGTACGTGGCCCGTCAACTGACCATCGCCGTTGTAGCACACTTTCATGAATGGCAAGCTGGCCTCGCAATACCCCTATGTCGAAAACGACACATCGACGTCACCACTGTTTTCACAACACACGCGACCCTCCTTGGTCGATACCTTTGCGCAGGCTCAGTTGATTTTTACAATAACTTACAGTATTTTGACGTGGATCACGAGGCCGGTAAACGAGGAATTTATCATCGTTACTGCATCGAACGGTCTGCAACCCATTGTGCAGATGTGTTCACGACAGTCTCCCACATCACCGCCTACGAGAGTGAGCATTTGCTCAAGAGAAAGCCAGACGGCGTGCTTCCAAACGGCTTGAATGTTGTCAAATTCCAAGCGATGCACGAGTTCCAGAACTTACACTCAACGAGCAAATCAAAAATCAACGAATTCGTCAGGGGTCACTTCTACGGACATTATGATTTTGATTTAGATAACACTCTCTACGTAAGTTTTCCTTCTATTTCTACACCCATTTCTTATTGTCTCCTAGATGTTCACGGCTGGACGTTATGAGTATCGGAATAAAGGAGTGGATATGTTTATCGAGTCTCTTGCTCGTGCGTGGTCCCTGCACCCCAGTGCGATTTCCTCATATCCTCTCATCAGGGTTGAATTACCGTCTCCAAAAGGCCGGTTCTACGGTCACTGTTGTTGCGTTCATCATTATGCCCGCCACCACCCATTCCTACACCGTTGAGGCTCTCAAAGGCCAAGCCGTTACCAAACAATTACGAGATACAGTGACCGAGATACAAAACAGAGTGGGCGCTCGATTATTCGACCACGCAGCTCGATTCCACGGGTCCGTGTTGAACATATTTTTTTGTTTTTTGTTTTTGCTTGGCCTGACATCTCCCCAGTGAACAGAAGACGATTCCCACACCCGACGAATTGCTTTCTGAAGAAGATCAAGTGTTACTAAAGCGCCGTATATTTGCCTTGAAGCGCAATTCTTTACCGCCCATCGTGACTCATAACATGGCTGACGACGCCAGCGATCCTATTCTCAACCAAATCCGCAGGGTGAAGCTTTTTAACAATAGCAGCGATCGTGTCAAGATTGTCTTCCACCCAGATTTTTTGAATAGCAACAACCCCATTCTCGGTCTGGATTACGAAGAGTTTGTTCGCGGCTGCCATCTCGGTGTGTTCCCGAGTTACTATGAGCCATGGGGATACACTCCCGCAGAATGCACCGTTGTAAGTTCCCTGTCGACTTGACTGCCCTTGTGAAAGGAATCACACTGATTGTTCGATAGATGGGCATCCCGTCTATCACCACTAACCTATCTGGATTTGGCTGCTTCATGCAAGATCTTATCGAGCACCCTGAAGATGAAGGCTGTTATATTGTGGACCGACGCATGCAATCCGTTGAAGACTCCGTCAACCAACTTACTGATAACATGTTCAAATTCACGCAAAAAACTCGCAGACAACGTATCAACCAACGGAACCGTGTCGAACGACTCAGTCCATTACTTGACTGGAAAAACCTTGGTATAGAATACAGCAAGGCTCGTCAACTAGCTCTCAGGCGCGCATATCCTGATGCATTCTACGGCGGTGATGGTGAAGAGGCGTACGGAGAGAGCTTCGGCGAGGGTATGGAAAGAATGAAACCTAGCAGTGTACCCGCAAGTCCCAGGTTGAGGGGCATGGCGACGCCTGGAGACATGGGTACATTAACAGAAGATGTATGTGGTTACAGTTCCCTCCGATGTCCCTTTTTGACGACAACCCAGATGCAGGCCCTCAACACGAGCGATTATCGGGGCTACAATTGGCCAGGCGCCCATGAGGACGAGGAGGATTCGTATCCATTGTACGTGGCATTACGCTGACTTGACGATGGAATCTGACGGATGGACCCATGAACAGCCCTCTTGTGATGAAAGTGCGTTCGCGGTCAGGTTCGGTTATGAGCGGAGCGAGCACACCTGGCGGAGGAGCCTTCAAGAGTCTCAGTGAAGGAGACTTGAAAAAAGCAGACGCCGCACTAAGCCAGGTTAATGGCAGCGGGATTGCGGCCTATTGATGCTGAACTGCAGTGGATGGACTTCACTACTAGAAATATTTACTTGATTTGTCTTTAGAGAATTGCTTCCGTTTTCACATATATTCCATTAGTCACGTGTACATCTAAGCAATGTAAATTGACCACGACACACTACCGACTTTATTCCTTTCGTTTCTACTGTCTGCTACGAGCAGACATACCGTCGTTACCGCCAATCTAATGAAACCAATATGTCGGATTTACCAAATTGCGCTTGTTTTCCAGGTTTTTGGCTGGTCGGCGCAGGCCAACGACCTATTCTTGTCCGACACCTTGGTTAGAAAAGGGCAGCTACAAGATGTACTCGAGCATCAGCCTGCTAAGGTTCCGTCGTGCAAAAATGCGGTGGTACGTTCATTTGAAGTGGCTTCTACAGCAAATTGATTGATTTTACTGCAGCTGACTGGCCCAATTGAAACCACTACATGCGACTACGAGACAGTGGAGAGTGTCAACGACGACCTCTTCGGCAACCTTTCGCGCCTTGTCCGAATGCCGTTCTTTAGATTCTTTCAGGTGTGCAAATTGGTTTTTTTTGGCAATACGGAGGCAATCAACAATGCATTAGGTGGATCTATACAGAGAATGCCCCTTTTGGCCAGACCATGGCTCGTGTAGTGACCCAGGGTGTGCAATAACAACAGTCGATGAGGTCAGTGCCCTGTTCCCCCATTGGTAAGTTATCCAATAGCATTGTAGAGCGATGTGCCAGAGAAGTGGCGAGCCGAAACTCTGAGCAAAGTGGATCCTTCATCAAGAGATACAGTACGTACCGCTTCATTGACTCAAACTCCCATTCGCCGTTTCTAATTTTTTTTAAAACCTCTTAGCTCCATCAGTTGCCAGGTTGTTATTACCGGGACTCCGATTTTTGTTTTTTGGACGACAATACCGGTGCGAAGCTGTTCTCCTTTTTTTTTCTGAAACGGTTTACAAACACTTGAATGAAGAGGGGGATTATTTTGACCTACAGCTGGTTCCCGAACGGTACACAGGGTACTCAGGCCCCGATGCTCATCGGGTTTGGCGTTCTATATATGAAGAGAATTGCTTTGGACTCTCTGAGCTCAGCCTTATGACCGGGAAATCACCCGCCCCTGTATCCCTCCCGGATACTATGATCGAATCATTGCACGAGAATGAGCAAGTTTCTGATCCCCACTGCCTCGAGAAGCGAGTCTATTACAAGGTTATATCTGGTGCGTCATCAGACTTAGGATTTCTGTTTTTTTACAACCAATCTTTGATAGGTCTACATGCTTCTATCTCGACACACATTTGCCATGAGCATCTTAATCAGAAGACGGGAGAATGGGTGTGTGGAACGTCTCTGTGGCTTTTCAACGTGACACTCAATAATTTTCATTAGGGACCAAATCTAGCTTGTTTCATTGACAAGGTTGTTTCTCACCCAGAACGGTTACAATATATCTACTTCAACACCATCCTTATGCTTCGCGCTGTCGCTCGGCTTGGACCCTACTTGTCGGTGTACGACTATTGCTCTTCGGGAAAGCACGATGATGACGCAGAAACATTGGCAATACTATCAAAAGTAATAGCCGTTGCCAAAAATGCAGGCAAATTCAATGAAAAAGTGCTTTTCCGCGGAGAGAACGCGAATGTGCGGCACCTGCCTCTTGCCTCAAAGTTTTGGCTGAGCGACAGATTTCTGCTTACAGGTATTGAAAGAGGAATTCAAGACACATTTCCGCAACGTTACGCGCATCATGGATTGCGTCGGCTGCGACAAGTGCCGTCTCTGGGGAAAAGTGCAGACCACTGGCGTGGCCACGGCCCTAAAAATTCTGTTCGAACTTGACGAGCAGGCTTTGGAGTAGGTTCAGTTTATAAGTCGCCACTCATACTTCACTCAATATACGTTTAGCCCTCACGCGAATTCGAACCTTCTTCATCGTTCAGAAGTTGTTGCTATGATAAACACGCTGTTCCGATTCAGCGAAAGCCTAAAGTTTTACGACGACTTTAGACGTATGTGGCAGACAACCGGCTCATCAAATTCTGAGAAAAGTCCGCTTGATGCCGATAAAACACTTCTCCATGTGGGTCTTCACTCTGACTGGTAATGATGCGTTCAATGACATTATTCACACTAGACCATACCCTCCCCTTCCGCCAACGAGGACAATTTAAACCCTTTTGACCAAGGGATGTTCCGCTTTGCTTCTCTATTCCGGATCTGCAAAAGCAATACCGTTGATTGCCTAGCATTATTCCTGAAGGCATTCCAGACATGGCTTGGTAAGTTGCTATCAGCTTTCCGACCGTCTGGAAAAGAAAACGGGCCATCTGGAGCACAATATGGGGAACTCTAACTAATGTATACCATCTGTAATATCTATTGGTTATCTGTCCCGATCTCACAAAAGATGAGGTGAAGTCGATTGAGTGACCTTCATCACGTCTGATTCATCGTCGTCGCCCTTCAACCGCGCAATAACTGCCACTGCAGCACTCCATTTCAGGACTACTGCAACTATATGTTACGTTAAGATTGTTGGATGATTTCCCGGCCCAGCGAGTATAGCGATGCGTTTCATTACATCGGCTTGTAGAATGGTACTTAGCCAAGTGGTCATTACATAGCTCAAAGGCAATGAGATCAAACTTGTCACCAATTGGATTGGGATAATATGAGCAAAATGGGATCGATATCGTCGCTAGTCGGGAGCCTGTTGAATTCGCGCCAGTCACCAGTCAAGAGGCATACATTGCCAGAGTGCCCAATGTTATCAGAACGTTGTCAAGTTTGTATGACCAGAACGCACTACGGCTTGAAAGCCACTTGTTTTCGTTCCCAAACTTCCCCTCTTCCCAAAAAGACGATGTCGGTCGATGTACTATTTCCCTCGACGACCTAAAGGCAAAAGTTAAAACCGTGCATTGGCAATTACCTTATGTAGGAGTGGGTTGTCAATGTGGTTGGTGAAGCAGTGCAAAGGAAACGTGACTGAGATCATTTTACCTGGAACATCCCTTCTACTCCTCTCACGCTGAACATCTGCAATCGTTTCCAACGAGCTTTCTTTCCTTCGTCCATGAGTCGTCCTCAAGAATGATCATCCTCGATGGAGAAGCAGATCGTCAGGCAAAGCTTGACTCTTTTTCCGGTCCCACCATCCGACATCCAGAAAGGGCCGCAACGCGCTCTTTCTCCACACTACCCGACTACGATACCTCAGAAGCACAGCACAGAAGCTTCACAAAGCCACCACCAACCATCTTTGACTCCAAGTTCTGGCGGGCGGCCCTCTATGCTCTAGTCGTGTACATTATCTTGTCTGCGGTGATCGGTATTCCGCTGGTCGTTCTGGTACGCATTCACCGATGCATCTTATAATCATCCCATGATGTTATTGTTACCCCCAGAAATCCAAAGGCAAGGAGGATAATTGGCCTCAAGGGCCTCCCACAGGCTCAATATGGACTGTCAACGATCTCAATCCGCCAGCACCTCTGCAACTTGCCGGTTCTGGGAGCATGATGATTGGGGAAAACGCCACATGCAACAAGTGGAATGTGCTATCACAAAATGCTTCTTCTTCTCTTTTTACTGTTACGTATGTATGGCCTTCAAGTCTCGTTTTTCCACAATTAACACTCGTTCAGGTCGCAATTTCAGCTTGACCCGACAGATTTGATCACCATTCGTTCAAATATTTCCTACGGTACTGATCACATGGATGGGCTGACAGGGTCACTATTGGTGGACGTCAATTCAGACTCAAAGACAGGAGACGTCTTATTCAAGCTTGAATTGCAATCATCAAGTTTGGACCTTCGTCAGAGAGCGACCGTGTGCTTCAGTGATTCGGGAGATAGCAGGGGCCTTTCTATTTATGCAAGTTTTTTTCGCGTCGTTTTTATGGTGAACATGACACATAACATTTGTCCTACAGATTCCAAGCAATCTGACCACTCAAGATATCCTCTCGTTCAACATCCACGTATCACTTCCACAGACTTCATCATCAACAATTGACAATTTCGTCACCTATCTGCCGCTGTTTTCGCAGTCCTTTGGCGACTTTAGGAAACACGGAAAATTCAATCAAATTAATATAGAAGGCGCGAGTCAAAATATCAGCTGCCAGGTAGGACGATGATATTCTGTAGATGCATGCCGCTGACTACTTCCTGTGTATCTAGTTCATGCGTGCCTCTCAGATATCTGTGAAAAACAAGCTTGCGCCAATTGAAGGCACCTTCAATGTCACGGATACTCTGACCCTTGACACAATTAAAGGGTAAGACTCCACCTTTACAATCAGTGCCTATCGATTTTTATAATTATCCATACAACAAGCTCTATTGACGCAAACATCACCCTCATCCAATTACCAACGTGCCCGAAGCCAACACTTCTGAGTCTAGACACAGGTCTCAGGTCTGTTGTGTATCCCCTTCTTTCTTGCATCGTTCGAACGTTCTTTATGATAGCGGGATCAATGCTCGAGTGACATTATTGGCCCCTCCCGGAAACTCTTCGCAACCACAGCCGCCCTCCGCTTTCGTCGTTCACGTCAAAACTTTTAGTGGCCCTGTAAACCTTGACATAACACACGACAAGTTAACTCCCTCCTCCGCTCTCCAAGTTCAAGTCCAAAATGATATGGCACCATCAACTATTGCTCTTGACGCTAAATTCCAGGGGGCCTTCAGCTTACTCACAAAACTTGGACAGATCTCCATCAGTGATTTCTTGCAATCTCAGCGTGACGACCCGACTGGAGGCAATAGAACGCGAACACTTGTTTATGATCAGATTTATGTGAACAAAGCTCTCGGATGGGTTGGGTGGGGTCCAAGAGTGTCAGCACCACGGGAGATGCAGGGGTACTTGGATGTTGCCTCTTCCCTCAGTCCTATTACACTGAATTTTGGATCATAACCGTGACACTTCGTTTGGGACGATGTATTATTTGACTACCGTACAAGGTATTTATATGTATTGCTAATGCAAGCCTAGGCTTTTGAGATCGAATCATGTAAAGGATGCAATACGGCCAAGCGGGAGTCCATGATCACAACCAAATCACAACATATCATTGTGGCGATTGTAGAAGACAATAATATGTTGGTCTTGGGTTCTTGGGTTCTTGGGAAACGTCGGACCCCGATAATCCTGCAAAAGTTAGTAGACACTGATTTTGGCCATATTTGGAGTTTTTGTCCGGACTTTTTTTACGCTTTCTAGAGCCCCTTCAACAGATTTTGTCCGGATTTCGGTTATCTAACCTTTTCGGTCATGCGGATGACCAGCGGACTCAGCGGATTACGGTGATTTTCCGCTATTGCGTGATTGTGACCACATCCCTTCAAATGCTTGCGTGTTTCTGGAAAATGGAAACCCTCAAAAAGAGCAATCACAAAGCGATACGATACCCCTTTAAAAATCTCAAGTCTCCTTGACATTCATCCATAGCTCTCTTAACATGGCCAACGCCGCTCACGGTGGTATCCTCAAAGTAAAGTACCTTGCAAGACTGGTTTGGAGGGTCTTCTCAACTGTTGGCTCCATAGGACCTAGTAGCCAGAGACGATGCTATCTCATCGCACCTCCGGGAAGAAGCTTTTACCCTACCTGATATAGTCTTGACAGAGGTCAGTCACTTCTTCCTTCTTTCCCTATATATCTGAACGTCTGGAATGTAGCGCCAACTATGTGATCTAGAGCTCATCATCAACGGTGGTTTTAGCCCTCTAGAAGGTTTTATGAACGAAAAAGATTATCAGAGGTGAATGTTGACCCTATTTTATGCCCCACTTGCTCTCAAAAACTTTGCTAGTGTCGTCGACACCCTCCGTTTGGCGGACGGCACATTATTCCCCATCCCAATCACCCTAGATATATCTAAAGAAGACATCGACCGGCTTAGTCTTGCTCCCGGTGTCCGCGTCGCATTACGAGACCCACGTGACGACCAGGCGCTTGCAATTATTACAGGTACATTGGGATTTTCCTATTCTCTGCCGAAAGCTGAAGAGGTCATTCCCACTGTTTTTTAGTGGATGATATATACACGCCAGACCGCGTGAAGGAAGCGATACAAGTTTTCGGGGCTGACGACCCAGCTCATCCTTCCGTTGCATATCTTCGCAATCGTGTACAAGACTTTTACATTGGTGGGAAGGTGCAAGCCATTCAATCACCCTCACATTTCGATTATGTTGCCCTCCGTTGTAAGCTCCCGAGCACATGAAGGCCAATCTGGCGCTGACTATGTGGCAGACACCCCCTCGGAATTGCGCTCCCACTTCAAGAAGCTTGCATGGAGAAAAGTTGTCGCTTTCCAGACACGCAATCCAATGCACAGGGCGCACCGTGAACTTACGGTCAGGGCAGCCAGGCAACGCCAAGCTGTAGGTTGTCACGATTCGCGTTCGTAGCTCATTTTTGACGTCTTTCCGCAGAATGTTCTTATTCATCCGGTCGTTGGCCTGACAAAACCGGGCGATGTTGACCATTACACCCGTGTTCGTGTTTATCAAGCTATCATGCAAAAATACCCCAATGGCATGGGTCATCTTGCCCTTTTACCCCTTGCTATGCGTATGGCGGGACCACGAGAAGCAGTCTGGCATGCTATTATACGGAAGAACTACGGAGCAACTCATTTCATTGTTGGCCGCGATCACGCTGGACCCGGTAAAAACTCGCAAGGGAAGGATTTCTATGGGCCTTATGATGCTCAGGATCTCGTCATCAAGTATCACGATGAACTTCAAATCGAGATGGTGCCCTTTCAACAGATGACATACATTCCTTCGACGGATGAATATCAACCAGCGGACGAGGTACCCAGAGGCGTTCAAACGTTGGACATATCGGGAACAGAACTGCGAAAACGTTTAAGGACGGGTGCGCCAATACCAGACTGGTTCAGCTACGAGTAAAGCACTTCTTAACTTACGTTATCTCACGAGCTAAACTTTTCTTCTAGCGCCGTTGTTAAAGTTCTCCGTGAAAGCTACCCTCCTAGGCACAAACAAGGATTTGTGCTGTTTCTAACTGGTCTTCACAACTCTGGGAAAGACGCCATCGCCAAAGCCCTTCAAGTGACATTGAATCAACAAGGTGGACGTAGTGTTTCGCTCCTTCTCGGCGAAACGGTACGACAAGAACTCTCGCCAAGTATGTCTATTATTATGTTTTTCAATCCTTCGCTTAACACGTCTTCCCCCCCAGAACTCGGTTTTTCCGCGGAAGATCGTCACGAAAATGTTCATCGCATCGCATACGTATCCGCAGAACTCGCTCGAGCTGGTGCTGCAGTAATAGCTGCCCCAATCGCTCCGTATGAACGGTCCCGCGAGCTTGCGCGACAGACGGTACTGCAATCCGCTGGTGCGGGTGGAAACTTTTTCTTGATTCATGTCGCCACACCTCTTGAGCATTGCGAGAAGACGGATCGTAGGGGCTTATACACTCGAGCACGTCTAGGCGAGATCACAGGGTTTACTGGGGTTGACGACCCGTACGAAGCGCCAGAGCATGCAGAATTAACAGTAGATGTGACGAAGCAAAGTATACCAGAGATTGTCCACAGCATTATTCTCCTGCTAGAAACAGGATCACTACTCTAGATCTAGACATTATTTATCTCACAATGTAATTTATTGATTTTGTAGAAACAATGTAGAATCGTTCGTACTTTTGACGGGGCACGTGTCAATCACAATAATGATTGAGAGCTGAGCTTCGATTCACTTCAACATGAACGTCAATTTCGGTCTTCTTCCCCATGGCGAGCTCCAGCCCTCACCTCCTGATGCATCTCATTCACACTTCATAAACAGATGTCCTGGACGCTTTGTCATATACGCCCTCAAATCTGGTAGACATCCGCCATGACAGTCCTTTTCTCCGACTTCCCCACCCTAGAACAGGTTCGTCTTTGTGTCTTCAGGTAAGGCTGAAGATGTTCATCGCACACAGGAAGTTTATCGCTATTTTTGTCATCGAAAGTGCCTGCCGACGCGTCGAATTTCAAAACTAGGATATTTGAGGTTCAAGCAGTCGCGCCTCCCGACGAACGGTCTTGGTTTATTGGAGATGAGGTAGTCGCTGGTATGCCCAATCACCAAATCTACATATCAAATATACTGAATTACGAATAAGACGGCAGGCTCCTTTTGATGACACCGATTGACCCCACCTTTCTTCTTATTCCTATCCTACAAGGCACATCGTCGGTGAGAACCAAACTGCCATTTCTTCCAAGTACCATCCCTTGTTGATATATTTCAATTTACAGCAAACCAATTTTCGAACGGCAGACGATCTATTCGAAGAAGCAGTGAGAATATTGAACACGTCGGTGCCCTCGGAGAATGCGGAGAAATCACTTTTGGACACTAAAGACGTGTTTGCGTTTGCTTCGATGTCATGCACCCATACAGCACTTAGACACGTATGCGAAGTCAAAGGTACGCTACGATTTTTCTTTTTTGACTTTCCGTACCTCATAGTCCTGTAGAAGTAACACAGGGGATTGTCGTCTATCGATATTCGCCTTCCAGGGTGATTGATTATCTCCGCCGAAAGGTTGTACGTTTGGAAACTTCTGGAGCGCTTGATGTTTCGCGCACCATTCTACGCACCTTAGCCAAGGATGGCCTCTTGGAGGATGGTAATGAAGAACTCCTGAAGCGTGAGCTCTCTGTAACTTCTGTGGTCAAAGCCCTCACCAAACTTCTTTCCACAGTTGGCCATACTAGAGCTTCATGCGATTTGCTCGCTCAATACCTTCCAGCTCACATTCGTGATATGCTTCTTGCGTCTTACGAGTACGTCCAGTCAATGCTTCCCACGTCATTCTCTTATTGTCTTTCGTTAGTTTTACCAAGCTCGACATATACCTCAAAACCTTGGGAGGAGATATACCTGCGCCCTCGAAGGCCAAGGACGCCGCTCCTGTGGCTGTTGAAAAAAAGAGAAAAGGCGCAAAGCCGTCGCAGGGTGTAGAAAAATTGAAAAAGGTCAATACTACTGGGATGTCGAAATTATCAAGCTTCTTCAATAAAGCGGAAAAAACCCGTTAGTTACCTGTATGAACTTTTGTTGTTGAAGATCGCCGATGTGCGCAAATAAACTGACACATGCCCCATCAGTCCCATTCAACTCTTCTTCCTTTACCGCTTTCACCGCAATTCGTAACAGGAGCGTCCTTCGACTTGCTGGCAACAATTGGGATATCTGAACCAATCTGAACCTTCTTGTCATTACTTGATGGCCTACGAATTCTCTGTTCGGCTTCAAAAGGACTATGTGGATCGTGGTACGCAGACGGAACCAGAAAAACCATCCGTATCCTCCGAATCAGATTCCCCAGTGTCTGAAGAGTACTCCTGCTTGGTCATTTCTCAGCCGGCCGCTGAAAATTTCACTTCTTTTATGTGTGAGAGCGCATATAGCCGCCTCCAGCAGCCTGGTATTTCCCTACCGTCCGTATGTCAGCCTAGTCCGCAAGTTTCGCGTCCCTTGCGTGGCCATCCTTTGGCGTTATATAATCGCCCTCTTGAATCTCATCGGGTGGTCTCTCTTCCAGGCAAAATCTCTCCTTTCAAGGAGCAGCAATCCAACGAAACGAAGCTTCGAATAGTTTCCAACCCAGACTACCTCAGAGTTCCGTCCTCTGACTTTGGGCCCTCATCTGGTGCAGATCCTTACGATGACTCTGGTTCAACTGATGCATGTTCTATTGATCAAGACCGGGACTGGTCATATCAACATCACCCTACGAGGCCTTGTTCTCCGGCCGATATACCTCGAACTCCGTCTCCTCCGTCATCTCCCGAATCAATCACAATAATAGGTAATGATTCTCAAGTGCCAGAATCCTTTCTTCGGCGACAACAAAAGTATTCAACTTGTGCCTATCCTGACCCCAATGGTGGGTTAGACCTACTTTGCATGCTTGGTTGAGATATTGAACCCACTCTTCTCCAAGGGTGGATTTCGTGGGCAAAATCTCCACCCAAGCCTATCCCCGCTTTACATGGACCTTCATCGCTGCCTTACGCCAGGTGTCCATCGTAAGTAACACTTATTGGCAAGATCCTTTGGTATTTACCCCTCGTCTTGTAGTGGAGCCGAAGGCACCGTTATAGATGGGGAGGATCTATCGCATATGATTTGGGGTTTGGACGTCTCCACATCCTTCTCAAGCTCTAGAAGAATTACCAGCCAAGGCTCCTTTCCCCCAAGACTGCAAAAACCACAAAACTCAACATTGACCACACGGCGTGCCGAACCTATCGATATAGGATCCCGTCCAGTGGCGCTCTCCCATCAATTTAAAATCCAAGAAAGACACCCCTTCAGTACTGCCAGCGACGGAAAGTCTCAAGAGAATGACCAGACGTATTCAACACGCTATGCAAGACCTGTCCAAGGCCACCGTCCTCAACACTCGCCCATAGATGGAACTCATGAGGACAACTGGCGATTTGGGCTGGGAATACAACTCGGTCGGGAAGGTAGCCTCTTGGAGTACCCGTTACAGGCCGCCAATAACACTCCTAAGACTAAATATCCCAATTCGTCAGCTGCGATTTTCGTTCCTACTCAATCACAGCAATGTTTTGACCCTCGCGTAATTATCGAGTCAAGGACCAAGTTTCGAATCGATCAAGTCCCACACAGGCTGTCTGCTCTTGATGTCGCTCAGCAGTATCGGGCAAAACAACTTCTCCAAAATTCTTTGCCAACACCTCCGTCATCGTCGTCCTCCCAGTGGAATCCAGTTTTTCTCCCTGCATATGTCGATGCTGAATCTCTAGCTGTGGCAGCACCGCTTGAACAATCAGTCAGAATAGCGCAACAGGTACAAAGCTTTGCTCCTCAGCAAAAATTTTATGCTTCCGATTACACTCTGCATGACCCTCGTTTATTTTCGGGACGATATGACCCTTCAGGTATCGGCATACCAGATGTAGCTCTGACGGCAACCCCAGGATCCGATGTCCCTTCCTCAACACAAAACAATATACCTCAAGCGTACGAGGCTCAGGAACTCTTGACCTTGATGTCCTGCCTCTCACCTTCCCCGGTAACAACGCCGTTTGCCTCCCTATCTGCCAGTCCGCCGAGATCAGCCCGGAGCATCGGATCTCATCTCAGTAGGGAGAGCAACAAGAACGACCTGGTACTTGCGCCTCTATCTCCCGACTACCGACGAAATCTATCCCACCAACAGCCTCGGTCTATCCCTCTCGCCCGCCTCATACAGCGACGACTTTCATCGGTCACTGAAGAAGACCTAGTTAGAGACCAGCCATCCAAAGAGCCCCCGCCAAGAGACGCCTGTAGTGCCCTTTTCTCCAGAAGTTTTAAGATTCGAACCGCTCAAAATGCCGGCACGAGTCAAGATCCCATCGTCACTGCCTTGACTCCACAAACTCAAACAGATGATCTGGTCGAGTCCGTTTCAACCCCGACCTCAACTCAGCTGGTGTCAAACACCAATGTCACCGTAAAGCTACCAGCCAAGGGCACCCGTGTCAGCTCAAAATTCGCATCCAACGTTGGGCCGGAGTTCCGCGATACTCCAACAAACGAGAGCTCTGTAGTCACGCGGAAAAACGCGAAGTTCAAGAAAAGTAGGTCTTGACTGTCATTGTTACGTAGCTGCGTTACAACTGTAGTTACTTCAGGTAGTCTGTCGGACACGGTTGGAAAGACAAAACATTAGTGACCTCGCAGAAGCGTTGTGCTACGCCTTAACGAACAAGTCTGTAAATTTATCAACAGGCATTCTTTCCAGGGAAGAAGCGTCGGACACAGTGTCCAGAATCCTGCAACAAAATATTAGCATTTAATGCGCTTCAGAGCATAAGATATACGTGCTTCTTTTGGTGGACCTCGTCATAGTGGTACGAGATATGCCTATGTGTATGTTGTGAGTCTGGAACTTGGGGAAGTTGAGAAAAAGTACCGTTTGAATTTATTAATCAACAAGGGAGTGCCTTCCGCCCTTCTCCTCTTGTGACCCACGGGGTACTCAATCTCGACTTCATCGAGGACCGTTCCATCGTTGAGTTCGACCAGAAGGGCATTGCCGATAGATCGCTTGGAAGGCTCGTGGTATTCAACGCTGAATTTCTGTTCCTCTACACAGTAGATCTTAGCCCGGAGGGCATCTATGCGAGGATCGGCGGCGGATGCATCGGTGCTAAGATAGTTTGAGATATTGTGCGACGTAGGCAAAGAGGAACTCACTAGCTCTCAGAAGTGAGCTCGCCGAAAATGAGGGGATATGCTACCATATAGTTGATGGCATGGCTATATAGTATTTGTTCGTTTTGAGATGCTGAAAGACCTGACAATGGACGACGTACTCGCGATCTGCAAAGTTGTCCAAAGGACCTTGCTTATCGATAATCCTGATAGCAGCTTCTTGAGTGCGAATTCTGACACTCTTAATGTCTTCAGCGGTCTTGCCAAGGTCTTTGAGTTTTTTGTGGATTATGTGGGCTGCCTCGACGGCCGTCTGCGCGTGGAACTCCGCGGGGAAGGAGATTTTGAAAAGGACGTTCTCCATAATATACGACCCATACGGGATTTGGAACTCAAATGGTTTACCCTACGCAGAGTTCTCAGATTGAGCGAAGCCTCGCTGAGGTGGCCGTACCTTGAACAGAACATCGTAGAATCCCCAGGTCTTGGCGGTCAGAACGGACGGTAAACCCTTTTCACCCTTCTTGACCATCAAGGCGAGGTTGACAGCACGAGAGCAGGCATCGCCTGCGGCCCACGCTTTGCGCGGGCCGGTGTTGGGAGCATGACGGTATGTGCGCAGAGACTGGCCGTCAACCCAAGCTTGAGAAACCGCGTCAATGGTTTGATCACGGTTAAGCCCAAGAAGCTTGGACACAACGGCGGTGGAAGCAACCTTGACGAGGACCACATGATCAAGGCCAACCCTGTTGAACGAGTTGAGTAGAGCAATGGAGCCTTGGATCTCGTGTGCCTTGATCATAGCTTCCAATACGTCATGGACCTTGAGAGGCTGGCCTTGACGGGCAAGATGATCCGCGACAGCGAGGATGGCACCGAGGTTGTCAGAAGGGTGACCCCCTGATATTATCGCATCAATTTTAGTTTACAAAAATAGACAAGATACCCACACTCTGCAGCCAAAAAGCAGTCATTGAAATCGAGCCAACGAATTATTGCTCCAATATTAAAAGCACCACGAATTGGATCGAGTTGATAATTAGTCCCCGGCACGCGGGTTCCTATATTGTGTGATCAGCAACACGGCTGTTTGGTAGAACTTGGCTAATGCATACCATTCGGAACAACGGTTCCTTCGACGACGGGACCAAGCAACTTGGTACATTCTGGGAAACGAAGGGCTTCGAGACCACAACCAATAGTGTCGATGAGGCAAAGCCTGGCAGTCTCATAAGCCAAATCTGAGTTTATTTTGTAGCCGTGGACATAGTCTGCGATGTCCTGCAAAACCTTGTCGGGTTCTGGACGAAGGGTAGACTCTCCACCGTGGCCGGACGACATTGGACGAGAAAAAGACGAAGAGACGGTGCTAGGGACAATCGAATGCCGAGCACCCGGAACGGAACGGCGTGGAGATGCAAGCAAGCTGAGGGTGCGGACCGCGGGAACGGAGATACGGCGGCAATTGAGGGGCAGAGTGGCCCGAACTGCTTTTGTCAACATGGCAGTGGGGAGCAGACCACGAGTAAACCTCGTTCAGTCCGTGCCGCTTCCTCCCCCTTATAAGCCTTTCGACCACGTGACATCGCGATGAACATAGTATTGACTTTACCCTTCTCAACCAAACATATAAACTGGCCGTCATGATGTTCCATGAAGACGGCAATTCTACGGATGCGGATGCAAGCTCCAGCCCTCATCCTGATGTTACAAAGGGGAAAAAAAGGCGCCTTCACGGTGCATGTGATGCCTGTCGAAGGAAGAAGAGTATGATTCGGATCCATCTCAATACCACATTGAATTAATGTTCATTTAAATCAGTCAAATGTACGCCAATACTGGATTGTAAACGCATAACCAATCTCGTCTCACAGGCGACAGCGCGAAGATGCCTAGAAACACTTGCACCAATTGTCTCTCATCTAAAGTGGAATGTACACATGATATTCCTCGACAAAAGGTGTATTTAGGTGTATCACATCCTTGCCTTCCACGCTAACTTGAACTCTACACAAAGAAAAAAGATACCCAAAAAGAGTCAGACTTTGATTTTTTTTAAATCTCCTGAAATCGGCTCATATGGCTGAAGGTATATCCGAACCCTAGAACTTCGGCTAGAACTGATGCAAAGCCTGCTGCGCTCGGTTTGGCGCCTTTCCACCATATAATTTACATCTAGCTGAACAGAATTTTTTCAGATGTCTTCTGATAGGGATATCAGTCCCATTTACGAGACCTCGTCCATCACAGAACCATCTCCTGGCAACTTCCGTTTTTCTTCGCCAAAGACCCTTCCCCAGCGCACAACAGTGACAACGCTATTGTCATCCGATGATGAAGACGAAGAAGATCTTTCGCACGTTTTTCTTGCAGAGCACCTGAAACAACTATCTGTCGAGGCAGTCGAAGACCGGTTTTTCGGCCGTTCAAGGTACGTTTTTCGCCCCCCCTACGTCAATTGGGGAATTTGTTTCAGATCCCTGCCAGCTTTTTTATGTTTGCCAAAGACGCGACGAATATAAAGAGTGAACACACAGGTACAACCACCACCTCCATTGGTAGCTCCTTGAGAAGGCCACTATACTGGGATCTCCGACCGGTAAAATTGACAAATTTACCGAATTATGTGTCTGATACAAATGTTTCATAGTGGGAAAAAGATTACACCCGCAGCGAAGGGTTATTCTACATGTTTCCTGAAGACGATCTACTCCAAGCCTTGATTCCAACATACTTCGACAAGTTCAACATCTTTATGCCTGTTCTTCACCGCCCCACCTTTGAAAGATCATTCGGAAGCGCCCAACATCTTTGGGATCCAGGCTTTGGGATGATCGTTCTCATGGTCTGCGCTATTGCCTCACGCTATTCGACAGATTCAAGAGTATTTCTGGACGGCGATACCTCTGGGTTATCCAGTGGCTGGTGTTATTTTTCGCAGATTCCGATGCACAGGAAGGCGTCAATGGAGAAGGTAACAATATATGACCTCCAATATTATTGCGTCAGTCTTTCCTTTCAGTCTATATTTCTTCTTTGTTAACATATATAGTTGTTGTTCTGCTCAGCTTGCAATTATCTACCTCCTCGGAACATCTATGCCTCATGCTTCATGGCACTTTTTAGGTCTTGGAATACGATACGTCCAAGAAAAGGGAGCACACCGACGAAAAGGTAAGGGTCACAAACCAACGGCTGACGATGAAATGTGGAAACGAGCCTTCTGGTAAGCCCCCCTCTTTTTTTTTTTTTTTTTTTGCAAATCATCCTGATCAATCAATACATTTTCCTCGTAGGTGCCTACTTTCCATTGATCGGCTCATGAGTTCCTTTCTTGGCAGGCCGTGCGCAATCCAAGAAGGAGAGTGAGCACGCTTACCCAAGTGTCAGCTGGATTTTAAGATTTAATTTTTTGACTTTCAAGTTACGATGTCGATTTTCCGATCGAATGTGATGATGAATGTTGGATGCCGACAGACTCCAATCAGGCATTCACGCAACCTTTGGGAAAACCGTCCATCATCTCTGGATTTGTGTATCACATCAAGCTGTGTGAAATACTTGCTTTCTCCTTGAAGACACTATACTCAACCAAGAAATCCAAACTGCTTTCCGGTCTTACCGGAAATCAATGGGAACGGCAAGTTGTTACTGAACTAGATTCTGCCATGAACAGCTGGAAGGATTCTCTACCATCTCATCGTGCGTTCCTCCTTCGGTTTAAGCCTCCTGAGTACCTTAACGTTCCCTGGGTAGTCCAATGGGACCCCACGAGACAAAATACCCCATTTTACTACCAATCATTAACCCTCCACGCATCGTACTATTACACACAAATCCAAATCCACAGGCCCTTCCTGCTCAAGAAATCAACATTGTCGTTATCGTCCCTTACTATTTGTACGAATGCAGCTAGGTCGTGCAGTCGCCTCCTGGCTGTCGCTCTAACAAGGGGAGTAATTGTGTACCCTAATATCATAGTTGAGTACCTTCGCAATGCGTGACTGACTGCATTCACAAACGTATCTTAGATGGCTGCTTTTGCATCTGCGATTGTGCTGCTTATCAATATATGGGGTGGGAAGCAATCGGGCATTGGTTACGGCTTGACCAACGAAATGAACGACGTACAGATATGTATGAACGTCTTGAAAGAGTGTGAGAAAAGGCACGTTTTCATACCGTTATAGTATTGGGTCTTTGTTGAAGCAAGTGATATCACAAGGTGGCATATTCCAGGTCGTTTACGGTGAGTCATCGTGCAGTCACAAAGCGCCCAAAGCTGGACTTCAACTTTCTGTTCGCAGGGATATGCTAAACGAGTTTGGTTCTATGCGTGATGGTCCGATCCAGAGATCGACAGTGACGCACAAACGAGGTTATGATACGTCCAACACACCACCTGCATCTACAATACCAATGGTTTCTGTTCCGTCGATTTCTAGTGTCTTACCGACATCACAAGTAAATTTCCCATTCGATCAACGTAAGACGCAAGACCCAGTAGTCGCTCACAACTGGGATTTAAGCAACTTCTTACCCGCGCAAATGCCTAGCTACCCCTCGAAGTCGGCTCATGACGCTCTCGGAAATCAATCGTTGGCTGAAGCAGATTTCGGCACTGGGCCTCAGTCAGCTTTCATCGCACCCATTGAGGAATCTACCTTGCCCAACGTGGACGACAAATTACTGTCCTTGTGGTTGAATGCGCCCACGGGCTTCAGGTACGTTTGTGTCCTTAGCTGTCTGATTTGTTGTTCATCTTCGATTTTAGTGTTGACGAATGGGATGTATATATTACGGGTTTGAGCGGTTTGTGATCAATATACACATGCGTTTCATCACTCCCTCGAGATGCATGAAACAAGATTGAATATACTACGGGAGATTATGTATTACGTATCGAGTGCCCTCCCTCAGAGTTGGTTGCGAAACCTTGGGCGGCGTTAGACTATGCCACCAAAACCCGCTTTGACTTGGTTAGCTACCCCCGCACCTGCGCCGGCCTGGGATGCAGCGGCTCCTCCCGTGCCAACCTGAGAGACAGCTGCTAAACCAGCACCTAAACCAACACCCCCATTGGCGTGATTCTGGACGGCGGCAACTGCTCCCGTGCCCACGCCGCCTTGATGAGAAATAGCAGCTCCTCCAACACCGGCCACACCGCCAGTTGCGCCCAACAGAGCGGCAGCTACTTCCGCGCCTGTGCCAACCTGATGCGAGACAGCAGATCCTCCCGCGCCGATGACATGATGAGAACTCGCTGCTAGTCCTGTGATTGCTTGATTAGTGACGCTGGTACCTAGACCGAGACCTGCGTTGGCTTGTTCCCCGACAGTAGCAGCTGCTCCGGTGCTCGCGCCGCCTTGATGATAGACAGTAGTTCCTGCGCCAGCTTGATGAGAGACAACGGTTCCTTCAGCGCCAGAGGCAACGGCTGGTGCAGAGAAGCCCACTAGGCCTTGAGAAAGGGCGGCTCCGAGTCCTGCAGCAAAGCCAGTGTGAGAGACAGCGGCTCCTCCCGCGCCAACCTGGTGAGAGACGACAACAGGTGCTGCGTTCACGGCATGGACAGTAGCGCCTGCTCCCGCGCTGGCCTCGTGAGAAGCAGAGGAAGTTGAACCGAGACCTGCAGTGACATGCTGATGCGTAGCTGCAGCTGAGTCTGCGCCAGTGTGAGTGTTGACGTTCACGTTGGATGCTACGTTTGTGTTGCCATGGATGTTCGCGTGGGTCTCGCCATTAGTGTTCGTATTGACTTGATGGACGTCGGTGTTGGTATGGCCGCCGGCATTCGCGTTGGTCCCGCCGTAGACGTTCTCGCTGGTATCAGTGGCAACAGCCAGTTCGTTCTGATTTGCAACGTTAGAAGAAGCACTTCCGCAGCTAGATAACCCAAGCAAGTCCGCGACGTTGAGAGCACCAGCAATGCCGGGAACGGTACCTAGCCCAAGATTGGCGTTCACTAGGTTCAGGTTGTCCGCGGCAACAGTGTTCGAGTTGCTTTCAGATGAAGAACCGCTGAAGCTAGAATCGCCACTGTAGGGCTGATAGGAATTATAATAAGCTCGGCGATGTTTGTTCTAAGGCAGTCGATGAATGATTGAACACGTCAAAGGTGATGATATGCGTACCGGCAAAGCAGGAGTAGCCTCCTTGACCATGGCGGGTGCAGCAAGGGCGTAGGCGCCGAGAGCAAGGCTCAAAGGAAAGACACGAAGGAGGGATTGACGCATTTGAATTAAAAGAACGTATAGATAGAGACAACTCGTCAAGGAAAAGAAGAAAGCGGGAACTGCTGGATGTCAACCGCCATAGAGGTATTTAAGGCATTGTGAATGTCTGAGTTATTTATGGATTGATGTATTTTTAGTCAACAAGCGCGTGCACAGACCAAGTGTGAAATGACACGTGACAACGTTCCTCTCAGTCATGAACGCTGGACTTGCCCATTCCATTGAATCCCTCTTTGGCCCAGCATCTGAGCCAGTTGACATCGCCGCTTTTCTCGAGTCTGCCGCTCATTTCGACTCCCACCCTCTCGAACCAGAGCAAGAAAAAAGTTCTGTAGAAAAAGAGTGCAGGTTATTGAGTTTATTAGAGTAATGTCTTCCTGAGCTGATGTCTAGCAGTGTAGATGATGTTAGAAGCGCACTTTACGACATATGGGACGATCCTACGCTGTCCGCCCACATCCTCAAAAATCACGAACAAACAATAGGTGCTCTGCATTCTGCTGCTTCAAAGTCGATTAGGACGCGCAAGTCCAACTTCCCTGATCCAGACAGTTTGCTGCCAGAGGTGGCGACGTTGCAAAAAAATTTAGATTCTTCCAAGCTTACCAGTTGGAGGTTCGTTATTGCTAAATAGGACCGACCCAGGTTTAATTTTCAAACAGACTGCAAACAGATGCTGTGATATTTATGAGAACACCTAAAAATTCGGATCACAACGTGTTGGAGCGATTTGTTCGTCGTCCCCCCAGTATCATCAATAGTTAACTGATAAACCTCCTTAGTACAGAAAATTTCAGAGTCATCGGCTGTCGATGGCAATCCGCACCAAGCATTTCTGACTGTTTCTGTTTACACAAGGGTTTCCTGGGGCCCTAGTTATGTGCATCGTTCATCCCAGCACGCGTTGTTGTCGTCTCAAACTCTTCACGACCTCCTAAAGGTCATCCCGTGCACTTCCAACTCTCATGCTCCGGGTGGAGTTGAGCCAATATCTGCATCAGGGAATGGTTGGGTTATTTGCATTGAAAACTATGCGTATGGCGACGGGAGCCCAGATCAAGAAGATTATGCAGAGTTAGTGGTCTGCTCCCTCATGTTTTCCTGACTGACCAGACTCAGTAAGCTCCTGGCTCATTTGAACAAGATAACTAGAGGGTCATCTTCCTTCTTAAAAGGCTCAACGACGGTGCAAGAAACACAGTTTTCTTCTCTTTCTATACGAGTGAACGAGCCGTACTGGTTACTTCACCAAGGAGGTTGTGATCATTTTATCGTCTTCGACCAGATCAGGTGGGGTGAATCATCATTTTGTTTATCTCTCTCTCAAGTTGATACCATATCAGACTCCGCCATTCGTCGGACCCTCCATCTGGCTACCCCTTGACCTCACAGATCATCCCTCCACTTCTTGATCTCTGCCGTGCTTGCGGTAAAGTACCTGCGGTATGGTCGATCGTTGGAGATATTAGATTGGGTGAAAGTCCATGTATGATGTGCGGACCATGTTGGAGAAATATGGGTGATCCTTTGGAGGCAGGGATTGTCGTTGTTCGATTGCCCTAGATCTTATAGTTATCTCACGCCCTTACCAAACAACAACTTTACTTGGGCGGAAATGATTATCATTACATAGTTCTCTTTCATGGCTTCCACGAAACAACTTTGTGAATCTCTGGAACAGTACGAGGACGTGATCCCGTGGATAAATGACACGTTAAGCGTTTCCGACGATTCGGATGAAACCGTTGATCTCGTCGAGCTCGACCATCACATTACTCAACTCCTCACCACTCTCGACATTGCTTGTGAAGATACGTCGGCACAGCTAGAACGAATCATTGAAGATGTCTCGCGCGGTATCCCAAGGCTTGCTTATGACCTTCACTTTATGAAGGATGGCGCTTTGACTTTCCAAACGGCGTTGGCGGATGTTCTATTGAGGTCCAAGGAAGCTGTTCCAGCAGAAACCAACATAGCTTTGGACGACTTGCACCATCTTGACATGATAAAAGGCCATATGGAGGCTTCCAGAGAGGTCCTGCGAGAGGCAGAGAGCTGGAGCACGCTTGAAGTTGAAGTCACTTCCCTCATTTTGGAGAAAAGTTATGCGAAGGCTGCTGCGAGGCTTTCGGAGGCAAGTAGAAGTATGGTTGTTTTCCAGAACACGCCAGAATATGATCCTCGTCGTACGCTTATGGTGAATCTTCAGAATCAACTTGAAGCCTCCTTGAGCTCCGCTTTGGTGTCGTCTATCAATAACCAGGATATTGTCGCGTGTCGGGATTACTTCTCAATCTTCTCCGTCATTCAACGAGAGTCTGAATTTCGGAACTACTATAACGCATCCCGCCGATCGTCCATTGTTTCTATGTGGCAGAATGCACTGCTCACAGACTGTGAACCTACGTCCTCTCAGCCACCCGGAGCCCTTGCTCAGCCCTTCGTCGAGTTCCTTCAAAAATTTTATACGAATTTTGCATTATTGCTGAATGCCGAACGGACGCCTATATCTTCCATTTTCCCCGATCCAGCCATTACGCTCTCACATTTTATTACATCTACGCTCTCGTCACTCCAACCGACTTTTGCCCAACGACTCTCTTCCTACAACTCTCACCACGGCGAAACAAGTTTGGCTTTCCTAATTCCGCTCTTGCGTGCAACGGAGGAGTTTGCCACTGGCGTGGAAAAGGTCATGGACAAGATCGAATCATCTGCTGCTTCTACGACCCAACCCCGTTCCAGTAGGATCGAACGTCCGGCTACGCACGTTCGGAGACGTTCTAGTAGATTATCAATATCCTGGCGGCCAGATCCAAGCAGGATTCCACCAAGCGAACGAGGTGTTCCAACCCCTTCAGGAGGAGAAGTAGATGCGATGGAGTGGGACCAGGAACTCTTTCAACCTTTCCTTAACGCTCAAATTGACTATGGTTCATTGGAGCAACGATTTTTGGAGCAGTCTCTTCGAGAGATTATTACCAATGATACGCGGGAGAGAGTCCAGGATATTGATCGGCCAAGGTTATTTAGAGAGAGGGCGATCGACATCTTCGGCGTCGCAGAGGGAAGCATGTCAAGATGTGAGGCGTTCACCCATGGTTATGGTGTGATAGGACTATTACATGCATTAGATGGGTTTTTTCAATCCTTTATTGACATGTGGACGGCGGATGTACGAATGGAAAGTTCTGGCTCATCTTCCCTTGTCCAGAGCTCCATCTCTGTTGGCGAACTCTCAGATCTAGACTACACGGCCCAAGATTGGTCCAACATCCAGCTTTCCCTTCACTTGCTTGCCTCCGCTCGAGCCGTATCTGAACGTATGGCGACGTTCGAAACAAAACTGCGGTCGTATCTTGCTGAGGTTGCCGCTCACTTTCGGTTGGCTCGCACTGACCCGCAGAATTTCATCATCGCTATCACTCGGGGAGAAAGCCAACTGCTGGAGCAATCTACGCTAAATTCTGCCGAATTGAATGCGTTACTGACTAACATCAGCAACGATGCCTATTCCCCACTCTCTGCTGCGCCCCACTCTGCTACCTTGCGTGCTCAGAATTCTGCAGTCGCCGGTCCTGAGGTTTTGCTAGCCAGCGCTCGAATGTCCCTTTCTACTTTCGCACAGACGTGCCAAGCATCAATGCAAAAGACAATCTTATCACCTTTACGCCAACACCTTGCCACCTATGCCTCATCACCGGTATGGGGTTCACCTGGAGACCTGAAGGTTACCAATTCGGCAAGCGATCTACGTGTGCCAACGTTCTCCTTGTCGCCCAGTGACACTGTACAAAGGGTCGCTGAAGGACTTCTCAATCTCCCCCGTCTATTTGAAGTCTATGCATATGATAATGCTCTAGCATTTTCTCTCCAAACATTGCCGAACGTGGAATCCGAGTTCCTGAAGACGCTCTCTGAGCCACCTCCAGACACATCAAGTCAATCGACACGACGCCGCTCTTCGGTGGCTTTTGTCAAGCCAATCACCCTCGATCCTGAAACGGTTTCTTCAGCATGGCTTGTGTCTCTCGGTCACACATACCTCGATTATCTCACTAAGGAGGTGCTACCCTCCATTACTTTTCTCTCGATCGCAGGTGCTGCTCAGTTGGCCTCTGATCTCGATTACCTGTCCAACATTGTGCATGCGCTGAGTGTGGAGCATGAGGCTCTCGAAAAATGGAAGGGGTATGTAAGCATGGACGAGGAGGAGGGAAGAAGGGTTTTGGCGGAAGAGCGCTCTTTGGATAATGTTTTGCAGCAAGTTTCGAAAATCCGAGCATGGTTATAGGTTAGGAGTCGTAGGCGTCTAAATGAAACATTTACAAATAAAGCATTTATTACACAACTTGTGAATCTACGACCTCATTGAGAATCGAAATGGCTTCGTCTTCAGGTCAGATCGAGTTCGTGAACGGTTATTCACAATACTGAAATTCTACTAACAGCTGTAGGAAAACTTTCGCGGGAAGAGTTTAGGCGGCAGAAAGACCTCGACGCCGCCCGAAAAGCTGGGACAGCTCCAGCAGCCCTCGATGAAGAAGGGCGGCCCATAAACCCTCATATTCCTCGTGAGTAAGAGCTTACAGCATCCTCCTAGCGAGTCGAAACTGATTCTCGTCTGTGCAGAGTATATCTCGCAAGCCCCATGGTACCTTGACACCGGTGCTCCGTCATTGAATCATCAAAGACGACCTGACTACGACGATTCATCAAACAAGCTCGACAATTGGTATGATAGAGGGGCGAAAGCTGGTCCCGCCGCGAAGAAATATAGAAAAGGCGCATGCGAGAATTGCGGTGCGTTGACGCACAAGAAGCAAGATTGTTTAGAACGGCCAAGGAAGAAAGGCGCAAAGTTCACAAACAAAGACATCCAGGCAGACGAGATCATACAGGAAGTGGCGACGGGATATGATGCAAAACGAGATCGGTGGAATGGCTATGACGCTGCCGAACACAAGCGTGTGTACGATGAATACGCCGCTGTTGAGGCAGCAAGGCAAAAGATGCGAGAGGAAGAGATTGACAATCAAACGACAACGGACTTGGCTGCAGTTAGAAAGGTTGCGAAGGCCAGCAAATCAGACGTGAAGGAGGCAGACGCAGATTTTGGGTCGAGCGAGGATGAGGATGCGGATGAAGACAAATATGCTGATGCGGCGGACGCTGTTGGACAAAAGTTGGACGCCAAAACTCGAATAACTGTCCGAAATCTGCGTATACGCGAGGACACTGCAAAATACCTGATCAACCTGGATCCAGAGAGTGCTTATTATGACCCAAAGACCCGGTCAATGCGTGATGCTCCTCTCAAAAACATTCCTGCAGAAGAGGTGGGTATCCAATTTTTTTTTTGGTAACGAGGCTCGAATGTGACGGAAGCCATAGGCGCGTTTTGCTGGCGACAATTTCTTCCGCTATTCCGGAGAAGCTCCTGAGGTTCAACAACTTCAGTTATTTGCCTGGCAAGCGGCTGCACGCGGGAATGACGTTCATTTGAATGCAAACCCAACACAGGGCGAACTTCTTCATTATGAGTTCAGGCAGAAGAAGGAAGAATTGAAGGATACGACCAAGACCAGTATTCTTGCGAAATATGGTGGCGCTGAATATCTGGACACTGCACCAAAGGAACTCCGGCAGGGACAGACTGAAGACTATGTTGAGTATTCAAGGACCGGTCAGGTCATCAAAGGCCGCGAACGGGCAAAAGCTAAATCCAAGTACCCCGAGGACGGTAAGACTTTCTTTGAACACATATCCCTCTATAATTCTGAATCTTGCCCAATAGTATATATTAACAACCACACTGCTGTGTGGGGATCATGGTACAACTCCTCTGACGGAACGTGGGGGTATGCCTGTTGCCACTCAAACATTCACATCTCGTATTGTTCTGGCCAAGCGGGTATTGATGCGGCCGAAGCGTCAAGTGCCCAACATTTGCTTGCTTCTGCTCCTCAGCCAGCGGCACACGAACCGCCGAAAGATGAATTCCAAACGCAGCGGAGTGAGAAAGTAGATCAAAACTACTCAAAGAGACGCATCGGGGAAGGTGAAGTTAAACTTGACGACGAGCGACTAGCAAAGGCGGTTCGCGAGGAAAAGAAGAGGAAGGAACGAGGGGGAAAGGACATGGACGATAGGTCCGGGAAGAAACAGAAGGGTGGAGTGGAAGTTGGAAGTCATGATGTGACGGAGGAAGAACTCGGTTGGTGTCTAAATTCTTTGGGGGTGGTACACAAACTAAACTTATTTCTGCAGAGGCGTACAGGATGACCCGTCGGATGGCAGAAGATCCAATGGCGAATTATGTTGACGAAAATTAATAAATAGTTAAATGTTTATGTAACACGTGACTGACGTGGTTTGTTTCTTCCTTATGACCATCATCGCAACAGCGCCTGCTCTTCTTATTGGCTTGGGAGCACGCATCCTTTTGGACACTATCAGCAGATCAAACGAACCCTCTGTCAAGGATTTCATTCTCAGTGGTCTATGGCAAGGTGTTGCCCTTCATTATGCCGTTAAAAGCTCAGCATTCGGTATCCCAGTTGCCTTGGCCATCGCTGCGAAGCTCTTCGTTGAGTTTAACGTCGCCTCAGACATCACAAGATGTGCCACTACTATTATCGGCGTTGTTGTTGGTCTGCTGTGTACCGATTTCCTCTCCCAGCATTTCGACAGCACACCCGATTCAGATCGACGCAAACGGACAACACACGCGTCCAACACCCGTATCAATCGCGAGAAAAAGCGTTCCCGTCAGGTCCAATTCCGACCCAGTGTTCAAGGAGGAAGCGTCGAGACCAACCATGAACCACAGCAAGTGTTCATCTCGGACATAACCTCCGTCGACTCAAACTCTGAGTTGATTGGCCCCAGGTCATCCATGACTCCCCTTGAACGAGAGGTGGCCACGCTGCGAGCGCGCGCGTCCTTGGCTGACAGCGAGCGTCGCCGTTACAAGGAAGAAAGAAAATGGGCCATTTCACAGGGAAACCTCGCTCGAGCATCACAGATGAAGTGGGAAGTCAAACGGTACACGGCGTTGATGCAGAGCTGTCACCGTGAGGCAGATGCAAAGCTCTTGGAAGGTACGCCTGCTAGGTTAATGAAGATGGGATCATATATAACCTGGCGATCGCAGGTTCAAACGGACTCGCTCGCCAGAACGTCTTGGATTCGCGAAATGCTGTACCCATCGTTATAAAAGACAAGTCCAGCCGATCCATGCGTGAATCGTCAAATGGACAGTTTGCGAATACGCCTATCCGTCCTGATACTCGACCAAGCCGGCGTCCTTCTACCTCGAAACATGTCAGTCGTGAGGCCAACGGCTAGATACATGTACGCTGTCATCTTCTGATCCAAGTTTCGTTTGAGCCAACCCTTTTTAAAAAGTTGTACCTTGATCACAAACAAGGCTCAAAGCTCACGCCTATGCTCAGCTTCGCGTCAGAAGCAGCGCTATACGTCCCATGAAGTTCTCCTTGCTCTTGTTAAGACTATCAGACGAGAACTCCTGGTCGTCAGAGGGAAAACATTTATTAGACAATCAGAAGATGGCTTGTAGTACACATGTTGCAATTATAGGATAGCGAGGGCTAGAAAGCGTGCTTGACACATACGAGACTAAAGATAATGAATGACAGAAGAAACAACAAAACGTACAACGAGAACAATGTCACCGATAAGACTTTCCATTTGTCCTTGCAGAAGAACTCGGAATGGTGACTGATCCGTTGGTTTTGGTACTTCCACTCGGCCGTGGCTTCTTCGATGCACTATTATCGGACTGTGCTCTTGGCGCAGCCTCCTTCATAACCATCTTCGCGTGGATCTCCTCCAGTTTAGAAGCCTTGACTTTCTTGGGCCAAAACAAGGTCACAAAACTGGATAGAAGCAATAAGTATCAGAAGAATTACAGTTCGTGCCCACTTACGTCCAAAGATGTCGCCGCCATCTCTCCCGATCTTCCCCTGCAGCTTGCTTCGCGTTCAGCACATGTTCAATTCGTCGGCCAATTGCAGCCAGCGAATCTTTGAGGATGGCAACCTTGTCGTCTCGGGGCATATCTTCACCAGACAGCTTTAGTTGTTTCTGAATACGAAGTGAGAACAGGACAAGGCAGTTGATGGAATGACGACGGACCAATTGTTTCTTAACAGGCCGCAGTTCCTCTTTCGTTGCTGCCTCGTCCATCGAGGGGCTACTTTCCACATTAGTCGGCCTTGACACATTCAAAGGAGTGAGCCCACATACCATTCGTCGGACGATTCGGAATCTGTGAATGTGGGCGTCGGTCGACGTTTCCTCTTTTTCAAGCTGCCGTCATCGATAGAAGCCATGGCCTCACTCTCGGCTCGCCGTTTGAGGGAACTGCTATGAGAAGACGTCGACGCCAAGGCTGTCGGGGGAGGGGAAGCCGAAACCTTTAGCTGACCTTTGTTCCGCAGGGAACTCTCGTACGAACGTAATTTCTCATCATGCTCGCGCAATATGCTCAGCAAAAAGTCACCTCGACGAACGAGGTGAATGGCATTTGGAATGGGCCGACTTGCAGCATCTTCTCCTTTTTTCCCCTCCTCAAGGAAGAACTTGCCTTCGAGTCCAAGTTTTTGGTCTTTGGCCATAGCCTCCCAGTTGCCGAAACCGTACAAGAAGGCGCCTACCAAGAGCATCGAATCGTCCTGCGGACCCCAGCGACCTGACCAATTAAGAGTCGGACGGATGTTTTCAATCGGGATGCTCCACTTGTAAGGATCGTCAAGATCAGATAGAATCGCATAGAGGATGCGAAGGTCACGGTGGCGCGAAAGGACGGTTTCTGCATTGATGTTACCGACGCCACGACAGGTGACGAGGACTGCTTTGCTTTTCTGGGCGTTGGTCAATGTTTCACCAGCCGCGATTCGGGAACGCTTCTGGTCCTCACTATCCTTGACGGCTTGAGAACAGATATCAATGATTTCATCTGCCACGTCAAGCATCATGCCCTTGTTCTTGTCTTGAAGTTTGGATTCAGAGACCTAAATTTGGTTAGTTGTTCAGCTGAACACAGGCACGAAGATGAGAAATTGAGACGGACGATGATGTCGTATCTTTGCCGGATGTCACCCCAACGCTGGAGACTCCTAATCAGAACACGAACATCCCTCTCTTTCAATTCCATCGCCTTCTGGCTAGCTGTCTTCCTTGTAGGACCGGGTGCCTTTGGCTTCTTGGGAGCGGACGCAGCAGCCGGCTGGTCCACGTCCATGCCCTCATATGATACTGGAGCATGCGTGCGCTTCCTATCACGCAATTCCTGGGCAGCAATTTCCTCGGCTTTCCGTTCATCTTCGTCAGCTTCAAATTTCTGGCGTTCGTCCAGGGGTATGATATCCTCCCAATTCATGTCGTTTTTGACATCGCTGACAGCTGCAAATTGAGCTAGAAAACCTTCGCCACCAAGGGATGCACCGCCTGCTTCCCCAGCTTGGGCCATAGTCTCGTGATCTTCAGCCCTATTGAGGATGTCGTCGAGGTCCATTTCGTCAAGTTTTTTGCTCTGCTGGGAATCATCCTTGTCAAACCTGCAAAGTCGGACGTGTCAGCGGAGAAAATCAAGAAGCCAAATACCACTTGCATCTTTTGAGCACCATATTTCAAAACAGCGGTCAATTCATCCTTGCTCAAATTGTCTGGTTTGTGAGGGTCTTTCGTCGCCTTGGAGCTCAAGTGGGCCTGGGAGGTATCCATCTGGTTGATGACTGAGATGACGGAAATAAGAATGGGTCCAAAATAAGATATCCATTGGGTGACCTACTGGCATATTCCAACACCATTTTCTTCTTCGCGCGCTCCAAAACGTCCTCCTCCATGGTATCTTTGCTAACGAAACGATAAACGCTGACGTGTGATTTCTGCCCAATACGATGGGCACGAGCCATAGCCTGCAAGTCGTTTTGTGGATTCCAGTCACTCTATAAATAATGGTTGGGCAACGAAGCAAAGGTATCAAGAGAACGCCTCACGTCAAAGATGATTACCGTGTCGGCTGTTTCCAAGTTGATACCAAGTCCGCCAGCACGAGTCGACAGTAGGAACGCAAAGTCGGGGGACCCAGGGGTGTTGAAGTGGGCGATAGACTTCTTCCTCGCTTCCGATGCCACCATCCCATCCAAACGTTGATGAAGGTAACCCCGGAGCGACATATAATCGCTTAAAATGTCCAACATTCGCACCATCTGACTGAAGATTAGAACGCGATGACCGTCTTGCCGGAGACGGGCAAGCAGCTTGTCTAGAAGAACCATCTTGCCGCTGTTCATGACAAGGCCTTTCAACGTCTCTTCATTGTTGTCTGTACGAACTTCAGCACCATCAAACAGGTAAGGATGATTTGCAGCTTTCTTGAGTTCCATCGCTGAAGGAGAGAAGGTAAGAGTACGTATCACAGTCAGATATGCAATCTCTCACCAATGTTGAGCAAACTAATGTTATTGTTCCCGTTCGCACTTTTAACTAGTCCCGCAAAGTTCTACGCAAAAAGGATGAGTAAACGCCTGCACTGTGAAATCGTAAACTGTACCTTGGTGAGTATGTTCTTGTAAAAATGGGTCTGGAGGGCACTCATTTCCACACGCAGAATTCGTTCGCTCTTTGTTGGAAGAGACGTCAGTACATCCTTCTTTAACCGCCTGAGCATTAAAGACTCCAGTTGCTCGTGTAATTCTTTGATCTTCTCCTCATGGTCAATGTCAGTTAGGTCAAATTCGTTGGTGAGAGCAACTGGAACACGAAACAAATGAGCAGGGGTGAAGTGGAAATAAAGAGCAAGTTCAAACATTTTTCTGGCATGAGGAAGTGCATCAAGGACAAAAGTTCTTGTGTTTCCAGTAAGTAAGGGGTGACGGAGAAGATTGCCAATTTGAGCACCTTTCACATTGTTCTGCAAAGGAGTCCCCGTAATGAGGAGCTTTGAAGCGGCGGAGAATGATCGGAGGGCTTCGTACAGCTGGCTCTCGGAGTTTTTGAGCCGATGAGCCTATATGACTTTTAATGAGGTGGAAAATCGATGAAATGTCAACCAACCTCATCAACCGCCAAAGCTTGCCACTTTATATCGCCGAGTTCTTTGGAGTCCCTCAGAGTGAGTTCATACGTCGTCAGCAGAACATTCATCTTCAATTTCTTGTTAGATGGCCCAAACTCATGTGTGCGGATGACTTCGCGGGCTGCAGCGGTTCCGATGTAAGTTATAACGTTCATATCCGGAGCCCAAGCGGCAAACTGAGTTTGCCAAGCTGTAATCGTCGACAGGGGAACGATGACCAGAAATGGACCATACTGGTGCATCTCGTGGAAGAGATAGGACAGGAAAGCTACAGTTTGCACGGTCTGGTCAAAGCGTCTATTAGACATTAAAACCTCATGCTTGATATCGCAAAAGTACCTTGCCAAGTCCCATCTCATCCGCTAATATACCGTTCTCTCCTTTGCTCCACAGATAAGCAAGCCAATTGAGACCAGTGAGCTGGAAGTCTTTGAGCTCGCCGCCCGTCGCTTGAATGTAGTCAGGATCACTTGTGATCTTTTGGAAGGTCGGCCTGCCCTGTCTCGAATACGACACACTTTTGTACGGAAACTTGCCCTCCGCCTCTCTTAGTCTGTAGGCAGCAATCTCGTCCTTCGCGATGGGGTTGACATCCTTCTGGAGTTCCCAAGTGCAATGCTCATAATTAAGACTGTTCCACTTGCAAAAGTACTCCATGTCACCGTCTTTGCTTTCTCGGTGAGCAACAATGCGTTCCACGTTGCGGAACATCTCCAGTTCCTGCTTTTCCCTTTCCTTGTCTAGATGAAGAGCTTCCACATCTTCACGAGACAATCCTGGAGAATCAACGCGGGAGCGCCATATCTTGTACGCCTTGATGTAGTTATCAACGCGCTTCAGGCCTTTGAAACGTTTCAAGAATTCATAAGTTTCGTCGGTGTTATGAAGGTGGGAAAAGTTTTTCCATTTGATATGGAAGCGCTATGAAAGGAGTCGGAATGAACTATGGGAAGTTCATGGAGTTGAAGAGGCGTACCACATTCTCAAACCAAAGATCTTCTTCATCATCCTCCCGGCCTTCATCTCGACTATGATTCAAAACGGCTTCGATTTCGTCCTCTTCCTGGTATTGTTGGTTGGGGTCCACGAAGTAAGGGTTTTCACCTCCTTCATCGTCGTCTTCGAATTTTTCAAAATCTTGGACATCATCGACATAGTTGGGTACTTTTCCACCCCGACTGGACACTCGAACCTCATCGGCAGAAGGGCGTGCTTTCTTCCTCTTCTTATGAGCACGAGCTCCATAATCAGAGTCGGAAGAGGAAGAGGACGCGTGTCGAACGGGAGCTAAAGTGGCGGGAGTGTAAGTGGTGGGGGGCAACAGTGGGTACACATGAAGCACCTTTGGGCCGTGGGATTGTCGAGGACAGTCTGCGTTGCTTCTTCTTGGAAAGCTTTTTCTTTTGACCATACTCCTGATCTGCATAGGTACCGTCATCCTCGTCGTTGTCATCGTCGTCATCTGCTTGGTCGTCATAACCCTGACCTATAGTTAGACACAAAATAAATAAAAATTGGCAGCGACAGGTCACATACGGAATCCTCTGCATCCTACGATGACGATGAATTAGAACATTAAAATAAAGATAAAGAAATACTGACAGATTCGATTCGGTGAGACAAGGTGGAGGGGGCGGTGGGGTTGACGATATGTGATGTTGCGGAATCATCGTCGACCGATTCACCGTCAGCATCGACATCAGGCCCCTTGTTGAGTTCGATGTCTGAGTCAACTTGCATGTCGTCGTCGTCACTGTCGTAGTTGAGACCCAGGGGTGGGAGAATATGGGGAACGGGTGAAGGAGGGAATGAAGACATGTGCGGGGGACGGGAAGGAGGGGGGAGAGGGAAGACGGAGGAGGGGAATGATGGTGGTGGGGAGGGAAGAAGTGGTGTTGACGAGGACCTGGGCGCCAGCCATCGCCAACGGATAGATTTCACACGGCCCAGCGTCGCTACACCATCGTCACGGCCAACGCCGGAAGGCCCTTCGTCACCGGCGCTCGTGACGGACACTCCGATGGGAACCAAAAAGTAACATGCTGGCTGGAGTAACAACAAGGGTAACAACAGGGTAACAATTGGAACTACTTAGCTGAGCTTAGCTGTAGAGAAATGGCCTAATTACGCGTTATCTGCTTCTGCTCACGGTGGGCGCCGTTTGCCGCCGTCTCCGATTCCTCCGAACATTATGGATCTCTCCGATGCCCCCCAGTTATCCGATGCCTCACATCTCTCCGTCGTCCTCGACCTTTCTCCAACCCAATGGCATCTCTCAGGTTTATTATCAAATAAATATCCACTCTCTCTCAACTCTTTTTTGTCTCATGTCCTCGCTTTTCTCAACGCTCACTTGGCTTCCCAACATGAAAACACCCTCGCCGTCTTTGGCGCATTTCCAGGCAAGAGGTAACTTTTTGCCTATATCATCCCCTCCCTTCACTCACTGCTTTCAATAGCCTGATGCTCTATTCATCCACACTTCACAACCCCGAGCTCCAATCCATCGATTCAAACTCATATGCACCATTCAAACTAGTAGATTCCACCATCATAAACCGCATTTCCGACGAGCTGGACGCCATTGATCAATCCGAAGAAGAAGGTGTTCTCCCTGTCCCTTTTTCACTATTCACACACTAATCAACTTTAGCCCCGTGTGCACTCGTCGGTGCGTTGACCAAAGCATTGTGCTGTATGAACATTGTCTTCGATTCCGGATCCTCCCTGAACCTATTGCAGATGTGAACAGAATATCCTTGCCACCCCCATCCAACTCTTCGACTTCGCCAAACACACGTGATTCGACTGTTCTGCCAGATCCAAGGATCCTGATCTTATCCGTTTCCCCCGATCTATCCACCTCTTACATTCCTATCATGAACTCAATCTTTTCCGCGCAGAAACTTGTACGTTTCATGCTCATTATTTTGGCCAACTTACTACCCTTTCCCTAGAAAGTCACTATCGATGCCTGTCAAGTTTATGGTCCTGATGCTGTCTTTCTGCAGCAGGCCGCCCATCTAACCGGTGGTTCCTACCTCTTCCTGGAACGGAGAGATGCTCTCCTCCAATACCTTATCGTATGCACCGTTCTTTCAGACTTTCTCACCGGCTCAACCAAATAGATGTCTTTCTTGTCGGCCCCCTCAATCCGCCAAGTCCTTGCTGTGCCAACCCAAGACCGAATAGACTTCCGTGCAGCATGCTTTTGTCATAAAAACATCATTGACATTGGCTTTGTGTGCTCCGTCTGTTTATCCAGTAAGTCATCTCTTGGCAAAAGGTTATCATTATTTTTAAAGAAAACCAGTTTTCTGTCAACCTGTGCCTGTTTGCTCAACGTGCCGGTCAGTTGACAGGCTTCCAAGTTTGCGTAATTCTGATGTGTAGGTTTAGGACAAAATTCCCCATCAAGACTCTCCAGCGTCTCAATGCGTCCCGTCCAAACGTGCCATCATTGAGTAAGTCAGGACCCCCGTCAGTGGTGGGCACACCCCAAAGTCGTACGCCAGCGTCTACACGGAACTTGCCTTTCCCTGGAGAACAACCTCTCAGCACAACACCCGGAAATGGGAATACACCAGCAACCAACGGCTCAAACCATTGAATAAATCTTTGTGCTGCGTAGTTCCTGCTAAAAGAATCACAAAGATATTCCGGTGATATATATGCACGGTTTGTCGTCTCCTAACGTAATGTTTTGTGGGCGACGTAGGATGATTGCCTTGAGGAAAATAAAATAACCAAAGTGTGAATATTTGTAGGGCAAAATACCTTTGCTTTGGGATTCTTAGAAGATACATACGCAATTGCCATGGTGGGCGTCGTGAAGGCACACCACAACCTCGCTATAGAAACATTCAGAATATAATTACTCTGAGGATGATGATATCGACTTGCCACGACCATCGTTTTCCCTTGTTAGAAGCAGAACCCCTACGCTTGGGTCTGGTTCCCCACGTCCTCGACGCATGTCTGTGACATGCTTTCAATGCCATTCGCGTGAATCAAATTTTTGGGGGCATACTCCAGAATTGATCGTTCAATACTCCATGGAGAACTTCATGTGGGTCGTCACCATCAGAATTCCCTGCACCCTTTTCAAAGGCTTCGCCTAATCTCCGTGCAAGCATCGCTCTGATAATGTACTCGCCCGTACCTGATATGATTTGAGGAATAGGAAGTCGTGTGGACAGGCAGTACCCACCAGATATGCTGCAAGCCATCTCCATGCCTTGCTCGACATCCGAAGCTTCCTGGGCCCAGCACCCAGCCCCAAACACGGCTGCCTTCCAACCTCGTGTGACGTTCGTGAAAAGAGGTTGTTCATTAACAACTTACCTCACCAATCCTGCCAGGGTATTTGAGAAGGAGCCCACCACTGTAATACAAAAGGAAGATAAATCAGTGAGAGAAAGAGGGGAGGATTCTGAGATAACCTTACCTAGATACTCCCGCAGCCATACCATCCGACTCGTGCCAAGCAACGGCGCCCACCGTATCCTGAATATCGTTCAGATTCCCGGAAAGAGAAGATGGGTCGGAAGAAGCAAAACGACATTTCCAGACCCTCCAACGCTCTTCCGCCTGCGGGGAAACAAGCGATTCCCGAGATACCAAGTGAGCGCTTGATGGCTGCGAAAGAGCAAACTGTCTCGCTCCTTCGGAAACCAAGGTCCTAACGAATATGAGGATTGGGTACGAGAATTCTCGTTGGAATCCCACCTACAGAGGTGGGATACGACCAATAGGCGAAGGGATAGAAGAATGATCGAGGACGGCTCTCGCTAAGCGGATTGGGTTCTTGACCCCTTCAAGCGGACAGTCGTGGTCAGGGGAGGCTGGTAGCCACACAATTCCCCCTTACCAGCTACAGCACCAACGCTTCCGAAGCAACCTGACTTTCCCGACATGATGGCGGCATCGCATTCAACAGTTCCATCAAGCGTAAGATTCGATCCATATCCTGTGCGTTGTCGAGATATCTTATCAAAGTAGCAACGTCGAAATTTGAAAAGTCGTCGAACCTGCGTTGAGATGCTCGTCATCCTCCAAGGATGATATCGCATCTTCGACCATTGTCAACGCAGAAGAATGTTTCGATCCCAAGTTCGATAACGCGACATTGCATGCCCTGTTGCTCCCTATTAGCTACATCCACTGACCATGACTAAACTTACCCAGAACTTACCTTTGCAACGCATGCTTGATTTCTTTCTCATACTTTCGTTCGTGAAAGCCTGCGCCGCCATGGACGGCTATGTAGACGTTGTCAGACATCTCTCCAAAGGTCCACGTTGCAAGGAATGCGGTGGAACGGGGGTCAATACACTGCGAAGCTGATGAATCAGAAAGCCTAAACACCATACTGGGATCAACACAGGGGCTTTTTCAACATCTACTGGTCATACATCTAACTTGAAGTATTTATTGGAGTCCATCTTGTCAGACCACCGGGGTCAAATCAAAGATATTTTCTCCTTCACCTTTCACAGCGACGCCCTTCTCTGTCACTATCGCCGTGATCAATCCAGCTGGTGTCACATCGAAACTGGGATTATATATCCCGTCCAATCCAGACGGGGTAATCATCACTTGGGCCTGCTTGCTGTTGCCATCGTTGGGGTAAAGTATACCCCGAACTAGGCAGGCCTCAATTGGTGGTCGCTGCTCGATTGGGATACTGAACATGGGACGTCAATCAGGTTGCAGAGTATTGTGAACAGTTACTCACTCCAAACCACTTTCGACAGCTAGATCTACTGTGCTAATAGGCGCAACCACTATAAAGGGTATATTGTGGCGCGCAGCGATAACGGCAGCGTTGTAGGTTCCGATCTTATTGGCAGTGTCCCCATTCTTTGCTATTCTGTCGGCACCAACAACTGATGTGTGCAGTCAACGAGGAAGGATAAATTTCCGAGCGGGAGGTGACGCACCAACAGCGTGGATGTTAAAGTGTTGGAATAATGATCCTACCATGGTATCGCAAATCATGACGGATGGGATGTTGAGCGTCTTTAACTCTAGCGCTGTGAGTCTAAAGTGCACGTTCAACAACCAATGAAAAGCTAGCTTTCAAGGGAATAAACTGGCCGTGATCCTTGGTGGTAAGGAGCTGTTTGGGTATAGTAGGCTTTTTCAAGCTTTCCCGTCTCATGTAGATAGGTAATCAGACCAAGGGCCGTCCCATATCCCTGTGACGGCGCGTCAACGACATGAGATGGGAGGAGGAGGGCCAGCTTACCGAGGTTGCGAGAGACCCGGTGTTACAAACGGTAAGGACATTCAGGCCCTTTTCTGCTGATCCGCCTCCTGCTTTTACTCGATCAAATAACCAGTCCCCACCCCACTTCGACATGGCCTTGTTTCTGCCTACATCTTCATCGGCGATGGCTTTGCCTTCATCGATGAGATCCTGGGCAATCGAGCGAGTAGTCTTTCCCTGGGCGATGGATTGATTGAGTGTCGTAGTCAAACGACGTGTGGCTGCGCCTAGATTCACAGCGGTCGGTCGTGCAGTGAAGAGATAGGCAAGAACTGGCTCAAGGTTATTCTTCAAAGCCTCTGGCGACGCAAAATATTCTGGCAATGGAGACGCTTGCAATGCGCGGGACAGATACTGGGAAAACGACAGCGCTGCCAGTGAAGCTATCGCTGGTGCGCCGCGAATCTCAACAGTAAGTCAGAAGAGCAGAGCCATGCGAGTGAGGAGCAGACGGACCTTCATTGTCTTGATCGCATCGTGGGCTTGTTCTATAGTATCAATCTGAACAAACTCTGTAACATGGGGCAATAACAGCTGGTTGATGATTTCGATCTTGTCATCTGAAGTGCGGATTGAAATGAGGGCCATCTTCAAAAATTACTGCCAATGGGGTTAGGGCTAACTGTCTTTCCTCAATCACATGGAAGCTGTCACTGCATCTACATATACCCCTCTTCTCGGAGGTCTGCTCCTGCACCAGCCTCACATCAACATAATAAACAATGATCGACCATCTTGTCGGTCGCCCAAACCCTTCATGGAAGCGTACTCAGGTTTGCTTCATACCACACATCTCAGACAACATCTTTTCCTAATGTCTGCTAGGTTTTTCTCGTTATTATCTTTTGGCTATGGAGGATTGTTCGTGGTAACTCGGGCCCTCCACGCATTCTTTGGCTTCCCAGGTTCAACAAAACTTTGCGTGATTAACATCATTCCAACTGCCGTGTTTCGGCTTCTGATAGACATCTGAACAGAACGCTTCACCCCATGGCAGATTGTTCTGAGTACACTTACTGCAGTATACACAATCCGAAATTTTGATAAGATTTTGGGTGTGAGCGGTGAGTAAGTCTGTGTTAGGATTTGCATGATGCCAATACTCAACAAACGACAGCACCGGAGCCGCTCGCACGACTAGTAAGCCCATCATCTTTCGTGTGTCGGAATTGCGTTAAGAGAGACGTGAAGTACTCGCCATCATATTATCGTGCCACATGGATTGCTACTGGACTTGATGCCGGATTCGCCACTGCTATGTCCATCCGTCCCAAATGGTTGAGGGATATATCATCAATTATATTTTCTTTCTACTACATCCTATATGCACAAGAAGCTGATGAAAAGGTTTTCTAAATTTTTATCCCAAGGCTAATTTATCGTCGCTAATTTTGCATTTTTTTCCAAGCTTCGAAGATTCCGTGCGGTACCAACTGTTGAGATGCTAAGAACCACTTGGGAAAAGACTACAAACCCTTATGTGCGAATCTTTCATCAAGCTGTCCATTGAGCTGCTGACGATAGCATCCCGTTATTTAGATTCGCCTGGTATCATACTTGCCACGCATAAGTGTCAGGCGAAAGATCTTGCTTCCCCGCCCGAAGTCATCGTCTTATGACCGCCCTATAACTGCTTACTTATTCTTCGCACCTCCTGAATGGCAATTATGCAAGGCCACCGAATTAATTCTTGATTTCCCTGGCGGAGGTTTTGTGGCAATGAGCCCTGAACATCATGAAGAACGACTCAGGATGTGGGCAGTCACAAGCGGTCGACCAGTGGTATCAATAGATTATGGGAAAGCGCCAGAATGTTGGTCATCTTATGATAAAACATATCTCTCTCACTTACACGGGTACACGCTAGATCCTTATCCATTCGCACAAGATGAAGCGTTTGATACATATAGAGTCCTTGTGGAATCATGTCAGCATCCCCCCATTTCTTGTTCTACTCTTTGATAACGCTTCATTATTTGAAGGTGGGTCACTCCTTGGAATGTCAGGAAAAAAGCTCCGCGTAATTCTGTCTGGGGATTCAGCGTACGTCATACGGTTTTTTCATTCAAGACTGGTTTAATATTTGCTCATGTTAGCGGAGGCACGCTGGCATTGAATGTTGTACTTAAGGCATTGGAGCTTAAAGAGCAAACTTCAGCTTCTCACCATCCAATTTTTTTGCCGCTCCCAACCGCCATTGTCCTTAATTATGCCGCACTCGATTTTAATTTCACCTCTTGGATGACTGCAGACAATTTGCAAGTTTTGAGATCCGAGCAATCGTCTGGGAACCTCCCTGGTATAAAGGAGCTGGCAGAACAGAAGGATCACCTCAAACACATCGTGAGTGTTCAACGTTTGATAGTAAGCAGAAAAGTGGAGATTCATCAATGCAGAGTCCCCTTAGCATGGTAAGAGACAAAAAACCTAATTCAACTCGAAGGCGCATCAAGAGGAGGTCAAGCTGGAAGGACACTCTCCGGGATCTTGCAAGTGGCGGCGAGGGTGGATCTAGCCATTCAAAAATTTCGTCGTCTTCCTCGAAAGGTCCTTCAAAAATTCTCACTCATGACCCCCTTTCAACCAACGGTGTTGGCGATGAAGGCGTGCTTGCTGACGCTGAAAGCGAAGACGAGGACGATTTCCGCCAATACAAGGAAGAGGACCGACCTATTCAAGCTCGCGTTTTGTACAAGTATCCCTACGGTGGTGCCAATGTCCCGCGCAGCGAGTCGGCACTTGAAAGACAGCAACAAGAACTTTCTATAGCCGTTGAGGAAGCTAATACAAAAGCTACTCTTGCGATGGGCGGGAAAACGCCTCACTCCTCTAACGGCACACCCAAGGAACCTATTGGTACACGATTGACGATGACCAGCAGAACAGGATATTTTCAGGATCGCATCGTTTCTCCCAGTATGGTGGGTCACTCCGTTTTGAGATGGGCAATCGAATTAATTGTCAACAGATGCGGGCTATGGCGATCCTGTATATCGGGCCACATCGGAATCCTGATTTTGCTACTGATTATCATATCTCTCCGATCCTTGCCCCAGCACGTCTGCTGGCACAATTCCCGCCGCTTCTAATGCAATGCGGAGAAAAAGACCCTTTTGTGGATGACACCGTGATCTTTGCAGGACGAGTGAGGGAGGCCAAGCGTGCCCGGAAGATTGAACTGGATTTGGCTTTGTCGGGAAAAAGCGCACGGTTTGGCGAGAGTCTTCGAATGAGTAACGCAGAGTCGCTGCTGGAGACCAAGGCGTCTGCAGAAGCGAAAAGGGAGCGGGAAAAGCTCGCGAGTGAGAGTGAGTCGGACTGGGTCCAAATGGTTCTTTTCTCGGATTGGAGCCATGGATATCTCCAAATGCCAACTCTGATGAGCGAGGCAAAGGCTGTAAGTTCTCGTTGAAGTTTTTCCAGCGAATCGAGGGTCTGATGCGAAGCAGGTTATCGAGGAAGTGGCCGACTGGATTGACGACGCATTCAATAGGTATGGGAATCAAAGCGGCGTTCAAGCGACGACGACTCGTGAGAGCACAGACCGACCCGCCCCAAAGAACCTATCATTACCGAAATCGTCGACCAAGACAATTGGGCACAGTCCTCTAACGTCAGAAACGGAGACTGATGATTCTGGGATCACGTTTGTGCCGAAGAGGTATCATGATCAGTCACGCCGAGGGTCGCCCGAAGCTTCTCCTTCAGGCTCTGGGATGTTTTTGTCGTCAAAGGAGGATTCATCTGGGTCGGAAGCAACGTTAGTGGTGAATGCTACACCATGGGAATTGCAGAGCAAGACGGAACATGGTACAAGGACGCAGACGCCAGACAAGGCATCGACGCCGAGGTTGACGGGACAAACGATCTCTGAGACGGAACTTATGCGACGACGAAGACTGCTTGACGCACACATATTTGATTAGTAGTGACGAATAGCATGTAAATATGTAAAATACTACTATAATTGATAGGCTTTTTTTGCTGTGCTGATTAGGCGCTAAAGTCCCATCTTTGCACAGCCTCACTTGAACTGGAATACCTCCGTGTTGCTCGAGGTCGGCTCAAACTGCTCAAACGATCATCCTCTCGTCGACATCGTCTACTCTTGCTCTACTCGTCGTTTATAATAGCCTACTCGTTGCCTCATGTCCGCAGACTCTCTGCCACGACAGCACTTTGATCACATATACGCCGCAGTTGCTGGCCCAATACCACAAGGTGTTCCAATACCACAAGGCGTTCCAACAGAAGGCCCCGCCACTCATCCAGATGGGCCTCCCCGCGATTACTCTTATGCACAACATCCCATGTCGTATACCCCTCCAGCCCCACACACTCCAATTCCAGCTTCCTCCACCATGATCCTCGATCATACAAGTCCCAAGCGAGATCCCTTCTACGCACCAAACGCTGCAGAGCTCTATAATCGTGCTCAGCAGCTCTCTGTGCCTCCATCACCTTCTGTCGATTCCCCCATTCAGAGCGGGGCGGGAGCCAACCATTACCCATCTGCGAGTGGCGTTCCGCGACTTCCTCCTATACTTCAAGTCGAGAAACAGCAGGTCACTACGTCTGCCACTCAGCTGGCGAGTGCTAGTCGCCGAAGAAACGAAGCACATTTTGTCTGCCCGGTTCCTGGCTGTGGGAGCACGTTTACACGCCGTTTCAACTTGAGAGGTCTGTCTGGCCTCTTTTGCTTAAATTAATCAATATTTTATTGACTTTTTCAGGGCATTTACGGTCTCACACGGAAGAAAGGCCATACGTCTGCGACTGGCCGGGGTGTAAGAAGGGTTTCGCACGACAGCACGATTGCAAGTGAGTGCGGGATACCCAAGGTAAAGGAGCGATCTCTCATCTCCATTTGCAGACGACACCAAGCTCTCCATACCGCCAAGTCATCGCAATCAAACGTGTGTCAAGGATGTAAAAAGACATTCAGTCGTCTCGACGCTCTCAATGTAAGATTTCTGACCAGCTTAGATGCCGAGCTTGGCTAACGTCATTGACCCTCTCTAGCGACATTGTCAGTTTGGACTCTTCGTATCTCATATTTTACCCTCTCTGACCAATACGAATATTCTCAGTGCGTTCCGATGGTGGTGCAGAATGTAGGGCATCGAATCCCAAGTTTGCAAGCGACGAAAACCAACTACTAAATGGCCCAAGCAGGGATCAACCTGTGCAACAGCAGCAGCAGTAGAGTTTTTCTTTTTTTGTGTACTATAGGCAGACGCGCAGATTATATGTATGTTGAGCTCGAGGAACCGTGTCGTTAATTATTGTCATATCACGTGCGAACGGGTTTCGGTAATTGAGTACCCCCCAAAACCCTTTTACATTCGAATTTGCGACCTTTCTACTTATCAACCATGGCTCTACCTATGCTCATAGGAGGCGCCGAGTGTGGACCCTCCAACCCCCTTCAGGGACTCTCCAAACGATTTGATCAGGACAGAGGTCTTCAACAGGCAAGGCAATAGTTTACATTCACCTACGTCTCTGACCTTCGAGGACAGGATAACTTTGGTGCAGGTCGGGCTAGTTCATCGCGGGATGTCAGTCACCTTCTCGATCAAGACCTTCCGATGCTCAATTTTTTTTGGCACAGGTCTTTCGATCTCAGCAAGCTGGCGTTGCGCCAGCCGAAGACGCGGCCAGGTTTTTCTCCAACGCCTCTTCGGCTTCTGAATTCTCAGCGGAAACGCCATACAATGTACACGCGTTACGCGCTGCATTACCCATGACTCAGATGCCTATGACGCAGCCTTTGCCACAACAAAGAAACTTGGCCGCGTGGGCTGCTGATTTCTCCCAACACCAGCAGATACTTTCGCCCACTTCCCAACATCTTGTACACAATAACATCGAAGAGGCTAAGCAAGATTTACACTATAGAGGGGACACTGCGATAATACAACAACGTATGTAACTCAGGCGCCATTGGATGTCATTTGCTCACCGCCAGGTAGCTGGTGTGCAATGGAATTTAGGACTCACACAGTTTCGTATGAATCAAACCCCGGCGTACGCTCCTGCACTACATATGCAACAGCAGCCTGTCATTTCCAACAAAAGTGCGCCTCTCCTTTCAGGATCATGACGCTATTTATTGAAGTTTTCCGTAGGGATCTCCTGGGATCGGGAATTCAATGCTCAAGTGCTATCCTTGGAGACTTCTTCGACGATGGAAATTGAACAAAAGCAAGAAATATATCAGCAGACGCCTCGAGAGCAGGATGATTTGGCTCGAACTGCCGGCATGCTGTTAGAGAATATTAAGAACGAGCAAAATCCCAAATTCCAAAAAAGCCAGTTCTTAGGCTTGATGAAGCAGCTCCGTGACGGAGAGGTTGTCGTAGATGGGAACCAAATGGTGGAAAACAATGGGCAGACTTCTCAAGTGGACCTCAAGGGAAAGGGCAGGGCTACGGAACCTACCGTATTAAATTCGGGATCAGCCCATGCACCGATTTCGAACTTTGCTGGCTCTGCTGTTCGTGATCTAGCTGCATTGGCTGAGGCGCAAAGGCAAACAGACGACAAGCAGGACAGTGGTGAAGATGTTAATGATGCGTACTTCCGTCAAGAAAACGCCGAGTTTACACATTATTGGAACACACTGCACCAACCGACTACCAATGCAGATATTGGACCCACTGCGGAGACGTTGGCCTGGGATAAGCTACAAAATGACTGGGATCATTTTGAAGCGACCTCCTCAGGGATCAAACCCATATCCAAGTACCATTTCCAGAGCAACAACCCTTATCTCCTTGGCGATTCTTCGAGAACACGCCACCATCTAATGCACGCAGAGACCCAGTCTGTTCTTGAGGTAGGATCTGCGTGAACCAACTCTATTCTGTGGCTTATGTTTTTAGAGCGTTCTTGAATTGGAAGCTGCCGTACAACGCGACCCAAGTAACGCATCCGTGTGGTATGAGCTGGGCGTTAAGCAACAGGAAAATGAACGAGAGCAAAAAGCTCTCCAAGCTCTCCAGCGTGCCGTTGAGCTTGATCCATCCCATCTTCCATCTTGGCTCGCGTTAGCCATTTCGTACACCAATGACAACAACCGTCAGGGGACCTATGACGCTATACAGGAATGGGTGGATAAAAACGAAAATTACCGTGATGCCGTTCAGAAGTTTCAATCGCAGGTCGCAGAACCGGCCAACGCGACTATCGGAGAACGCTTTTCGCGCTTGATACAATGCTTGATCACTATGGCTAGAAGTGATTTGAGTGGGAATATTGATGCAGATATACAGATTGCCCTTGCTGTTTTATTGAACACCAACGAGGTATGCAAACATTGTTTGCGTCAACTGACGCCTCATATCACGATGATTACAGGAATATGAAAAGGCTCAAGATTGTTTCCGAACGGCGTTGGCTGTTCGGCCAGAGGTATTGCCTAAAAATTCTATAGCTCTTCCATCTTCCACTGAGACTCTTAACAGGATTGGCTTCTTTACAACCGGGTTGGGGCAACTATGGCGAATAGCGGCCGCGCGGAGGAAGCGCTCCAATATTATTATCGAGCGCTTGAGCTCAATCCAGGTTACATCCGTGCTCGGTGAGGGATCCCACACAATTTTGGGTTCATTCACTGATATCCCGCCAGCTTTAACTTGGGAATATCGTGCATTAACTTGCGGGTAAGAGTTCCTGGTAATAACTTCCTCTGCATTCGCTTATACGTCGCAGCGATACGAAGAGGCCGCGCAACATATACTGGATGCGTTGGTTCTTCAGGACAGTGACGGTGTGCAAGATAGCACGAGTATGAACGACAGGCGTGGAGTCGTTTCGACCGCATTATGGGACAGCTTGAGGACGACGTGTTTGTACATGCACCGCCCAGATCTAGCTAATCTATGTGATTTGAAAGATCTCGAAGGTATTTGCGTTCCTTTATTACAGCGACCATCCCGGCTAATCGAGATCTCAAAGAATTCCGCAATCGGTTTCAGTAGTGCATGGAGAGACCGGAGGTACTAGGAGTGGGGAGGAAACGAAGGGGTCGGGATAGATGTATGATGCTTTTAGCTCTTTGCGGAATCTATGGTTGTGCTTTGGTTACGGTAAAAAGCCACCTATGAGGAGGGGGTCGTACCCGGGTCAAGCCCCAATCTTCTGGCTTTGTCTTTGCTCAGTTCAGTTATGAGATCGTAGTCTTCTTTAAGAATTTCTGGACTCTCAACAAGCCATTTCATTTTCTGCATGAGCTGCTGGTCGGCCCTTTGCTTAGCAACCATATCTCGAATGTCCTGGACATCAAGGTCGTTCATTGGAATCAGAGTTGGGTTTCTGCGAATCATGGTGAATGAGGAGGGAGGGATTGTTTGGCCCCAGCGAGGACTGACAAACAAAGCCAGGCAACAAGGCGGTTAGGCTGCGGCTGCGGTACAACATTGAAGGCGAAAAATACATAAGTATTGACGATCAGCGTCCAGCTCCCTCCTTCCCTAACCACCAATACCGCCACTCTAATGGATCTTCTCCTCCGAGCCACAGACACTATCAAGTCTTTAAGGGTCCGTCTGCTGGTCGCTCAGTCAAATGTTGTTGACAATAACACTTATCCAGGAAACTCGCCTCTCTGGCATCAGGCCCCCAACCGAATTTTTCGATTATCAACGCATCTCAAGACCCGCTGATTTCAATCAGGCTACGTCGGTTGGTACTGACATTTATAAGACTTTGCAATACACTAACTGGTGGTTTTTTTTGGACAGCGGATATCTTACAATACCCGTTATTTTTCAGGTAGCTATAGACCTCAATGCCTTTTGAAAGATGAATAATTTTTGGTGATCAGGAAACTATGGGCTCATAGTCGCTCTTCTTGGAGTATACGCCGTGTACGCCGTGCCCCGTCATCACTTCAGGATCCTATTGACGTTTTGCCATTCAGCCTGACAAATCCCCTCCTTCTCATCTCCCTTGCCTTCCTTGTGCTAGGCTTCGCTGCCATTAACAAGTTCGGTATGTTTCTCATGTCGTCCTGTTGACCTTCGCACATATGAACCTGGTATGCAGCTCCCGAAGCGACCCAGTTTGGCGAGCACGTCGTCACACAGAAGCACCTTTATACTGGTCTCTTCGTCATTGGCATTCCAATGTTCTGGCTAGCTGGTCCATTTAGCACCTTCTTCTGGCTCATCGGCGCCTCAAGTGTTCTTGTCCTCGGTCATGCGTCACTCCTTGAGCCAGGTGTTGAAAGTGAATATGCCTCTATCCAAGAAAACGTCTAATTTGTAGGCAAGGAGGCTTCGGATAGATTTGTAGCTTTTACCTATCATATGGGATTCACTTCCTTTTTACTTCTCCTTATGCAGATTCTGCAATTGTAATGAAGTCACGGACACGTTGACTGGATTCTCTTCTGGAAATGCTATCTATGAGTTAATATGGAAGTTAGGTATATATGCTGGCGGTAAGTACATCGTTCTATACATTTGGCTTCTAACAGATTTTGACTGAATAAAAAAAGCTGCAAGGGAATGAAGGAAAATTGCAGATGCATAAACTCAATGTATGAATAGAATAAAAAAAATCGAAATGCAGAGGAATGGACAAGCTGACACTATTAAAGCGGGTGTAAAATACGTCCTGTTCCGATTCATAGAAGTGGTAACCATTGGCCTGTCAAGGACTAAGCAGGGAACGAGAACGGTGACATGAAAACTGACCGATAACAATGCTAGGTAGATCAAACAGATCTCTTCGAATTGAGAAGCAAAATGTGGAAGGTACGGGTGCGCCTGAAGGTTTGAGCAAAACACAATGCGAATAAACGGATTGCGTCGTGTTTTCAAAGGCGTGAGAAGCAAAGTTCTCCCAATATTCCACCACAGATTGATTTTCGAACAGCTGTAGGATCTCAGCTTGGCTGTCGGAGAAGACCAAGCCATGAACGCACCTCATAAATATACTTTTTCTGGTGAACCAGGTCCTCCATAGGCCACTCAGTGAGCATGCAAAATTCAGGGGCCACGAGGCAAATTTCTCCAGTGCGACGCCAAACGACAGTCGGGGTCCCACTGAATGACATTAACTTATCCAGCTCCTACACTTGACTATTCAGCGAAGATATCAGTACACTCTACGTATGGCTCACCACTAACGACCGTTGGAAGCATTTCTCGACAAAAACTTCGTCGTCCAACGACAGTGGCATTTGTAATGCTATGAGCGATGGTCGAAATATTGCTAAAGCTCGCACAATTCGAAGAATGTCATTCTTCTCGAACCTTCAAATCAGAAGGAAGGCGTATAAGGTGTCACGCAGACAAGGAAAGTGAGGAGGAACAGAGCAGAAATAAGACATCAGAGCTAGAGTCCCGCAGGTACTCTTGTCACATGACAACATCCTAATGACACGTACCGAGTGGGCAGGTGCTTCATGAGGAAGTGATAGCCCTCTGTATAGTCATAAGGCGTCAATACACGGTCGTTGATGCTCTGTAGCTGTGAACCACACGACTGTGGTCGCACAATCTCAGCAATACCAGAGGGTGCTGAGGATGTTGAGCTTGGGGAACCATTGGATGGAGGTGGCGACAGCAATCCACGGGATCCTTGGTCTTTTGATGACGGATTATGGAGGAAGACGGTAGGTGGTGACCGTGGCCTAGAGTTTGCAGGAAGACATGGTTGACCTTGCCCTGCTGAGGAATATTGCGAGGCGTATGACATATCCACCAAATCTTCTGATCTTTGGCTTTGGGGATAAGGATATGTGAGATAATGCGCATTTCCTGGTGACGTTGATAAGGTTGTGTCAGCTTGCATGGATTCGCCATATGGTGAGGTGTATGAACTAGTCGCGGTGCCTAGTCGAGGAGAGCCTATGAAATCAATCGCATCTGAGGTCCAAGTTGCATAACTTTGTGGCGGTGGCGGTGGCGGTGGTGGAGTAGAGGCAGACTCTGGTGGACTTGGATTGCCCAAGATTGCAGATAGGATGGAATATTCGCGGTTGGCAGCCTCCGACCCAAACGAAAAATTGGGGTCGAAGGACGCAGTTAAGAGCGAGTCGTTCTGAGGAAATGGCTCAGCTGTTTCATCCGATATCAGTTATGATCGACAAGTGGCAGGAAAACCGTACCTATTGGGACTGACGGTGGGTCGGCTGTGTTGGCGGCACTCACGTTGCCCTGAATTTCAGGCGCCGAGGACTTGCTTCGTTTTAGTTGTTCTGGTTCGCACGTGATGAGATCGGAGAACCTGACCAAAGTAACAACATACCCAACTCTTCTTCATCGAGCAGATATTTTGCCTTCTTACGATGGCCTTCAGTGCAATTAGAAGCCAGGCCCCGTTTCACACAGCGTTGACAAGGACGTGCTGGAAATAAAAGGTGCATCAATTAAATAAATAGCCGACAGCAAAGTAATCAAGGACGAACAGTCGTCGCATGTGAGATGTGCTTTCTGGCAGTGAAAACAAGCGCGATTAGCTTTCTTTTTCTTGGGACCCTCTCTCCCCTTGCGCTGTGGTTGGGGGGAAGGCGAGCCTGGCGAATTGCCCTCTGGAGTATCTGTGCGCTTGCGCTTTACCGTAGCTAGAGTGGGTGATGATTTTTTCTTGGGTCCAGATGGAGCGGTTGAGGGACCAGCCTGGGCATTTTGCATCTGGGCTGGATTGACGTAGGACGGCGGTACGAGTGGCCTGGGTGGTCGAGAAGCAAGAGTGTATACGGCGGACATGGTGCCAGATAATAAATGTGGCCCAAGGCAAGGCTGCAAAAAGCCGCTGCTACAACGGGAGTAGCCCAAGGCAAAAGCAGGACAGCGAACGGACCGAGGACAGAGAGAATTTCCAGGTTGTAAGAGTTATCACCTAATGCCATTTATTTGGTGACATTGACAAGCTGATACAAACTGGCTCGCTTCCGACAGTTCAATCTAGTTCAGTTTACTTTCCCATCTTCTTCCATGAACTCTCGTTTGCTTGCGCGTCTTGCCATTTCATTGGGTAGGAATCAGGCATCCCAAGAACTCAGATGGATGAATCATGCAATCTCCCGTGGACATACAAACTTGTCGCTCGAAGACATGGTCGCTCGTCGAGCGCTCGGCGAGCCCCTCCAATACATCTTGGGTACATATCATATGACCCTACTCTTATCATTTTTGACTTTGGCGACAGGTTCTCAACCTTTTGGCCCACTCAATCTCCTCACCCGTCCCCCAGTCTTGATACCTCGCCCGGAAACTGAGCATTGGGTTCTTAACCTTGCAGAGTCCTTATCGCCCGCCGCACAAAATCCCATCTCTCTTCTCGATCTCGGCACAGGCTCGGGATGCATACCCCTCCTTTTGTGCCATCTTTGGCCACCTGGAAGTGTGCATGCTTGTGGTGTTGATATTTCCCCGCACGCTATGCGCTTAGCGACCGACAATGCAGCTCTTTGTGGCATTCCACAAAATGCAAGCGCAATAAGCCCTCAGAATACCTTTAAAGCCACCTTTGCCAACTTTCTCGCCGACCATTTCCCGGTCGGCGGTTTGCGGACTGCCCTCCCTTTTGACGTCATAACTTCCAATCCGCCATACATACCATGGGAAGAGTACATTAACCTACCCCGTTCCGTGTCAGATTATGAAGACCCTAAAGCCCTTTTCGGGGGTCCGACAGGGCTGGAGTTCTATCACGCGATTGCGCGGTTCTTGTGTCGCAAGGGCGTGCTAAGCCCAAATGCTTTAGTGGCGCTTGAAGTCGGCCGCGAACAAGCCGAAAAAGTTGAACAGGTTGTTCTTAGCACCGGCCTCTTTCGCCACACAGAAATATGGCTGGATCCATGGGGAAAACAACGGACAGTTATAGCGCGCATGTGATACACTGATAGGACACTCGTTGACCCGCAACGTCGTAACGGGTTGGTGCCATATTTCTTGTTACTGATGAACAAGATGGGGTTGCAAACTGTTCTAAACTGTTGCGAACCATGTGCAAACCAGTCAGCGCGGCGCCTGCTTCCCAAATTAGACGTCGTCCGCCTGATTTGTCAGCCGAAGATCATCCGGCCCTCGGAGTAGGACAAAACAGACTAAGACATCTCCTAAGTATGTACGTCGTTTTTAAAATCTTTGTTTTTATACAGATCACCCTTTGTCCAAAGTTTCAAACAATTTACATCTCACTCCTATGCATCCATTGCCTATTGAACTTTGGGAAGAAATATTTGTTCATTGCCTTCCAAACGTCAACGTTCTATCCGGCGACGCTTGGGATTCGAACGTCCGTCTCACTCCAGGGGAGGCGCCACTTCTTCTTTGCCGAGTCTGCAAACTATGGAGGCAAATATCCATCGACCTCCCATATCTTTGGGTATCTTTACCAGTTTTTGTTTCTATGGGGAGTTCATATCCACCTCCTGACTTTGTGAGGACATGGATTGCCCGTTCGGGACATCTACCTCTGTTGCTATCCCTGTACCAGCAAAACGGATCTGACGCCAATTGCTTTGTTGCGGAGGAAGTATTACGCGTTTTCAGCCAACACGCCTCCAGGTGGTACAGTATTCGGTTACACCTCTCAAGAAACGCACGTCTACCGATTCTAGAGTCCACCCCTATGTTGGAGACCTTCAAGATACAATCGGCTGAAGTTGATGCTCTTATGGGTCTCAAAGTCGTTCCCCGCCTTTTGCATATCCATGTCTCTCACATTCCAGATCGTTCTCTTTCTGGAGACCACTCTTCTCCTGTTCCATGGATACAGCTGACCTCTTTGACCCTTGACTCTGTCTCCGTTGAAGCATCAATTCGAATCCTCTGCATGTGCCCAAATCTTGGGAAGTGTTCATATACCATTGATACCCATAACGGCGCCGTTCTTTTCCAATCGGTGGTTCACGTCATGCTTAAATCTTTGGTCGTTAACATCAGTCACAACTATCTTTCCACATTCTTGGAGCATTTGAGTCTACCTCAACTATTTCAGTTCGCTGTTCACTTCAACGACATGGCCCGCTGGCCTCAAGGCACCTTCAGTTGTTTTCTCGAAAGATCTAGTTGCCACCTTCGTCGGCTCGAAGTCTATAATGCAGGCATATCAAGTACTTGTTTTCTTATTTGTGTACTCCATCCCTGCCTTCAATCGCTAGAAGAACTGGTTATTGACGACCTCGGGGACTGGACAAAGGAACCATTTGTGATAGACGACATCCTCGTGATTCTGTCGTATTCGTCATTGCTTTCCTTCACTCTCTTCAAGAAGCCCTTTTGCTGCCTACTTCCCTACCTAGAAAAGCTTGTCCTCCTCAACAATCGTCTGGTAGCAAGAGACGGAGCTTTTGCGGATATGGTGGGGTCCCGATTGGGGCATGCTAGTCATTTCCGAGGGTTCAAATGGTTGGAGTGCGAACTCTCTACTGACCATACGGAAGATCACAGCCGGTTGCACGACTTGCAGAGGAATGGTCGTCTGGTACGTTACGCTGCCCCAACAACCTTACATCATCTAAGATTATTTAATTTGACGTAGGAGTATCTTCGACTTCCAAGCCCCCGTTTGGCTTGAAGCACACTTTCACTTGTAAAAGTGCACGCGTAAGGACTTGATGCACGTTGATAAGATAACCGGCCGGATAAAGAGTCCTTTGTACATTTGGCATACTTACATACATAAATGATCAGCTGTTGCGGAACCCGAGTTCGGAGTGAGTCGTTAGGCCCAGCCGCGTGCCCGTTCTTTTCTCTACAACTACAATGTCTTTGGAAAGAATTCCTTTGGACAGATTCCTGGAGAAGTTTTCAGATACAACTGGTACGCTTTTCCTCCTCGAAGATTTGGTCGAACTAGTCACAGAGGCGATGCTCAGAACTCTCCAGCGTATCACTGGGTGCAAGGATTATCTCTGTGTCCGACGAGTTCTTTGCAGAGGCTTACCATCTGTTACTGGTTGAGGTATGTTGGGCTCAGTTTGAGCTAGGCTTCTAAACTCTCGCAGCCCGCCCCGAGTATGAAGGGCCAATTTGGGCCAAACGGGGCACTTTTCAGTGGATGGGAAACACGACGACACAATCCATCGTATGATTGGTATGCCTTTCAGCTGATTCAATATTCAACGATACGCAAAATGTGATTTGTCATCGGATTCGGTAGGTGCATCCTACAGCTTGGAACGTCGGGCACTGTGGTCGGTTTCGACGTGGACACTTCAAACTTTAACGGTATGAGAATTGTCCTCACAATATGTAGCTAACATTTCTCTTCATAGGAAATGAAGCACCCCAGGTTTCCATTGAAATCCTGAACGCATTGCCCTCCGAAGTTCCTCGTGTAGACGATTTTAGAGTGAGCTGAGTTTGAGCCGTCTCATGAAATCCATTTCACTCTCGGCTATCAGTGGAAAGAAGTCCTTCCCAGGGTAGACCTTGGGCCCAATTCTCGGCACTTGTTCAAGGTCCCAGCCTCAGCTTCTGTTAATTTCGTCAAACTAAATATGTATCCTGACGGTGGTATTGTAAGGTGTTCCACACTTTTCTTGACACCTTCTTTCTTACGAGTGGACGTGAATCAGGCTCGCTTCCGCGTGTACGGGCATGTGTCTCCCGTCTACCTAAGTGATATCTCCTCCGCATTCGACCTCGCCCATGTGTTCTCTGGTGGCCGGGTTGTTTATGTTTCGGACCAACATTTCGGTGTTGGAAGCAATCTTCTGTTACCTGGTCGTGGCGTGAATATGGGAGATGGCTGGGAAACGAAGCGTAGCAGAGAGAAGGGGCACAAAGACTGGGTCATTATCAAGCTGTATGCCGCGGTGATCCGAACGTCGATCGAAACTCATGCTGTTTTAGCGGAACACCCGGTGTCCTCGAGCAAGTTGAGATCGACACTGCTCACTTTAAGGGTAACTATCCCGAAAGTTGCGAAATGGGCGCTTTGTTTGCCGAAAACGAAGTCGACTGGTCAACTCAGAAGGATGAGGAACTGTCGTGGACGCCAGTTTTATCCAGAATAAAACTTGGGTCGCATAGGCAACACTACTTTCAACTTGAGAATGTGGATGGACGAATGTACACACATGTCAAGGTCACCATACACCCTGACGGTGGCATCAAGAGGATCCGGATCATTGGTCGCAGAATAGCAAGGAACCCGCACACCAATATCCCGGCAGAATTGACATCCGAGGTTTCCAGCAGAACGACCATACTTTCAGCAGCTGCAAAAGTCGTCACGGTTCCTGTTCTTCCATTGACTCCAGAGGCATTTGCAGCGTTTGGGCAAGTTGTGCAAGCATACGAGGACCACGCCGCTGTTCCAAAAGGAATAAAGGTAACCTCGGCCAACGGGGGCACGGCGACTAAGTTCCACAAACTATCTCTGCTAGATGCAAATTATCCGCAGGGTTCTGGTGCAACGTCCGGTATATCAGTCTATCGTTGTAAACCCCTTGAAGATATCTCTGCCGATGGGACGGTAGATTTGACAGTGCTTGAGCGCCATCCATTCACGAACCAAGCTTTCCTTCCGATGGGCCATGGAGGGGGTGAAGGTGTAGGAGATCCTGGAGACGGGTATTTGGTTGTGGTAGCTCAGAATAGTGCCGACGATCGACCAGACATGCAGACTTTACGAGCATTCCGTGCCACTACAGCCCAAGGTATTGTTTACAAGACAGGGATCTGGCGTAAGTTACAGAGAACACGACCGATAAAAATCGCTGACATTTGGCATTTACAGATCAGCCTATGACTGTCCTTCGCAAGGTGACTTCAATCATTGCTCATGTTTACATACCACTTCTAACCCTTTTGCAGGGACTGGACTTGGCTTGCGTAGAAACCCAGATCGGCGACGGCCGTGCGGCCGATTGCGAAATTCTGGAGCTCGACCAAAGAGAAATCGCGTACAGGCTCAAAATATAAGTAATTGAGGGGAGCGAAGTTGGAGAGCAGTGGGATAAACAGTTCATAACAGTCATGTTGAGAAATTGGTAATCCGATCGTCGGAGTTTAAGATTTCCCCTTCAGCGTTAACTCCGAGTCGAGTCGTTCGTTGTTGTCCACATTCTCGACGTCCCCACCGCCCTATATCGCTCTATGGAATCCAGAAAAAGGCCTCTTACTGACGATATTGATACATCTGTCGCAAAGAAACGTATACTAACAGGTTCGAACGGCAGTCCGCATGTGAATGGTGTTGCCGCAGAGCAAGATGAACCTGGTCCTGGGGACAATCTTGAGGTAGCGTTCGCTTTCGAGGCCCGAAAGGTTGATTACTCACAGAATAATGTCTTAGCTATTCAGGAAGGAAGCTATCTATCGTAGAATGAAACACTATTCACGGGAGAATGAACGGAATCAGCTTCGCATAGACGAGCTCGAACGACGCAAGAACACCTGTGAAGCAGGGTTGGCTGCAATGTCTGCTTGCTGGGCTCAGGTTCGTTGGCTATGCACCTGTGCCTATGATATACCTTACTCTCGTTGTCGCGTTCTTAGTTGGTCGAGGCTATTCGACTGCTGATCAAACCTAATGACCTACCTCAAGTCAATATTGACGCGAAAGGTATAATAACCCTTTGTCATCTTCACAGGAGGCTGAATGTTGATATATCAGGCATATTTGACCTCAGCATCCATATTGAAGACGACAACATCCCAGAGCTTGCAACCGCACTGGGTGACACTGTTAATGCTACGCAAGCTCTCGTTACAAAATTTGTACAACTAGGCGGAGATTCGTGGTCGCAGGCTCTACAAGGCGATGCATTTGTTGGATGCCAGAAGGCACAAACAGAGGTATTCATATAGATTGGGGTGTAATTGTCATCTACTGACACAGTTTTGAAGTGTGTGTCTTTGCGGTCACAAATAAATCTAATGCGCCTCGAGCTTCAAGATTGCGCGACTCAAAGGGATAGTTATCATGATGCGCTAATAGCTGCAGAGAACCGTTTCGAAAGATCGCTCAGCGGAACAGTCGTGGCTCTCGAGGCTCGTGCGCCACCAGAGAAGGGGGCTAGTAATGGGGAGAAAGAGGATACACAGCGAAAGCCGTCCTCTCCTGCAGTGAGTGGTTCGGTTCACTGGTGGGAGTCTTGATAATTTAATCCCAATCTATTCTAATCTCCATTCAGGTCGTTCCGCAACCATCACTCAAGCAACATATGCACGACGTTTCTGAACTGGAAGCGCTTCAAGATTTGCTGAAAAGTCGAGAAAATAAGATCATCGAATTGGAAAGAGAGACCGCCATTCTTCGGGACGAAAAAACTATTCTACAGTTGGAGGCACGGTTAATTTACATTTGATGCTTCATTCCGTCTCACATTTGTGACCAGTTGAAATCTCCTTCACTTGAACACATCACCGAAAGTCCTTACTATAAGGTTCTACTTGACCATGCTTCCATGCTAGAAGCGGATATCTCAAAGAAGGATGCCGAAATCGGAAAGCTTTCTTCAGATCGTTACCAGCTGCTGGAATCGCGTAGGGAATGGGAAGAGGGCATCTTGGTTTGTTTTGCAATTGCCTGGGTGACTTAAAAAACCTTACCCCATGGTAGGCTTCTTCGACGCAGGTTCAGCAGGAGGTGAAAGCAATGCTTGCAAAGCGAGATAACGAGAACGCGAGGTTGCGTGAGCAGCGTGAACAACAGGCCGCTGAGCTGAATGAACGGAAGCACAAAGATAGTGTCAAACTGGCCTCTCTACAAGAGTTAAAAACTTTGGTTGATTCGCGTTCGGCAGGTTCCATTCACGTCATCCTCATGCTTTGAAGTTAATGCCTTTCGTTCTTTAGGAGCGTATTCTCGTTCTTCAATCTGAGTTGTCTAGGACGAAAGCGCACCTTGCGGCAAATACGGGAATAGAGGACGTGATGCTCTTTTTCCTTGGTGGTAATGTGGCGGATCGCCAATTCATTGAGACACTCAGGGACCAAAAGTTGTATGTGTTGAATTTCTGGACTTCGGCGCTCATCTGATGTACTTGTTTAGGCAAGCGGAAGCACGGGCGACGGCGCTCGAGCGAGCCCTTTCTGCTTACCAAGCTGACCACCCAGACATTTCGCAGTATATACGGGCACATGCAGATATGGTTGAAAAGCTTTCGGAAACGACGTCACAGCTGGAGAAATACAGGAGGGTCTATGGGGATCGTTCTGCACTCCCTCTAGACGTCTCAAAATTGGTAGAGGAACTGAGCAAGAAGGAGGCTGAGCTAGAGAGGTTGAGGCTTGTTGAGGTTTACCATACTGAGGTATAATTCTTTTCGTTGCCTATGACGGGATTGTATATGCTAACAAGCCCTTTCAAGTCGGAAAAGTCTTTGTTCGCTGAATTGGAGAAGTTATCAACTGCATGGGAGGCTTTGGATCGACAAGTCAAAAATAAGGTATTTGACCTCTCCAGTCTAGAGGACCGTCTGTCAAGGAGTTCAGTTGAGGTGTGTAATAACGGACTGACTCATAGCTGGTTATAATTCACCTTTTCCTTGGCAGAAAGCGAAATCCGACAACAAGTTTTTTGCCGCTATGCGGGACAAGGAGGCGATAGAAACGGAACGGAAAAATCTCTCAAGGACGATAGAAAAGCAGGGGAAGGCTGTGGATCGCTTTACTGATGCGGAGAAAAGTATGAGAGCACAGGCGGTGAGCTCATTGATTATTCTTCTAGCCGCGACTTGACCCCTTCGCAGGGCGTAATGGAGAAAGAGAACGTATTACTGAAGAAAACAGTGGACGTTCTAAATTCCAGGGTTGAACAGCTGGAAAAGGAAACTTTCGAGTGCAGGAGCTTGGCCGAAGCCGAGAGGAAGAAAGCGCAAGAGGTGCGTTCCATCGAGTCTCTATAAGTGCAGCTCTGTTTACCCCAGGCACAGTTTTTCTCCTTGGTTTCTGAGCGGGAAAAGTCATTGATTCAGAAGCGATCCGAGCTCCGCATCGTAGAGGAGGAATACACCCGGTCAAAGAAAGAGTTAGAGCGGCAGAGGAAAGAAGCGGTGGCAGACGCGAGCATCAAGCGCTCGGAGTCGGAGAATGGAGAAGATTACCGAGTGGGTGGCCTCTCTGATTGCTTCTGGCTCCAGAATTTAATAGCTATCCATCCAGAAACTTGTTCTATGCACGACGTGCTGCCAAAATTTCCGGAGCGTCATCATCACAAAATGTTTGCACAGTGAGTGCCGCCGCATTGTTGCTGTCACCGTCAGGCACTGAGAAGATGTTCAGCTTTTTGTAAGCCTTGTGTAGATGCACGCATTTCAACCCGACAGCGAAAGTGTCCTGCTTGTAACATTCCATTTGCGCAGTCCGATGTGCAAAGTTTCTTTTTTCAGTGATACTTACTTTATCATTGCATTCTATACCTCACCGTTTCAGTTTATATCAGTTTATATCTTTTTATTTTCATTAGTAGAATAATATGCATTGGTTGCAGCGCGTGTGAGAATAAGCCACTACCGCTTGACCCAGGTGTACTGTAGTCGTTGTCAGAAGGGAGTCGTTGTAGCAAAAGAGAAAAAAACAGACCCTCTTGCGTGCTTTCGCGAGACCCGTTTTCTTCCGCTCCACCATGCGTGGATCGCGTCTCGTAAGTTTGGCTGCAATCGAAGTCAAAAGTGTTTGGTAGAAAGACGGAGAAGAAACTTACTTCTTCTGAACATAGTCTCAAGGTCGGGTTCGTGTGCCACAATACCCTTTGCAATTCCATGAGCCAGCGCACCTGACTGGCCCGTTGTTCCACCACCACGAACTAGAGAAAACACATTATATTTCCCAAGCATCCCCGCAACTTGTAGCGGTCGAGTAATTCGTTCGCGGTCTATGGGCAGCGGGAAGTATTCGTTCATAGGAAGGTTGTTCACAAGGATGGTAGTTGTAGTGACTGGTGAAGATTCGGATGTGGTGGCTGGAGAAGATTCAGATGTGGTGACTGGCGAAGACTCGGATGCGGTGACTGGCGAAGATTCGGATGCATCTCCAGACGATTCCGGGATGGATGATGGCTGCTGTATAGGGATCATCCATACTCGAGCAGAGCTGGTTTTCCGCTTGCCAACAGTGTAGGATCGACCGTATTCGTCCAGAGTCACCTTCTTTCTCTTTCCCCTTGCCAAATAGGCGTCCTTGTTTCGACTCTCAAACATTTTAAGGATGTTGTGAATGGCACCCGCAAGGTCGCTATTGCCAGCCGTGTTCGCGATTCGGTGGTAGTCGTTCAGTTGATTGAGAATTTTTGTAACTTTACGATAGCGCGTTGTTGTCATGTGAGTTTTGAAATTATCCGTCATCTGCTCAGGTGTCTTCCAAACAGGCTGAAGAGGTGGGAGGCTTGCACGGGCGAAGGCTGGAAGCGGAAGAAGTTGTACGCTTCGAAGTGCATTGCCTGCGTCCCCAAGAGCTTTCTCCAAGCCCAATACGGCATCGTAGAAGTCCGGACGAGCGGTATAAAAGGTGGGGGAAGTTGGGGGGGGCTTGGTCCTCCGTCGTTGTTGGTGTGGCCTGTCTGACCCCCTAGTTGCAGAATTATACAGCTGAGAGGGGGGAACGAAGGGACGCGCTGTTGAATAAGCGCGCTTGAGCAGAGACAAATTCATCGAGTCGAGCAACAAGAAAGTTGAAAAAAGTCAAAGAAATCAATGTCGCTGGCGTCACGTGCACTGCTTCACAGCTGTTACCCTCTCCTCCTACCAAATGGCTTCGGAGGATACGAATTTCTCAGTTGCTCTTGCCACATGGCGAGGTTAGTTTATAGTCCTGGTATTTGCCAACCTTGTTTATCATTCATTTGCAGATATCAACTTGACTGAACTCCAGACGAAACTGGATGCGCAGGGCATTGAACTAGTCGACAACCAGAAGGAGAGCCTTCTCGGAAGAAAAGCCCTAGCAGACAAAACCAAAGGTTCAGACTTGAGAGACCCACCCAATACGCGTGCTTATTGTTACCAAAGAATTCAAGAAGCTCCAGGACGACGAGAAGCTGAATGCTTTCAAGGCCCTCCTCAAAGGTTCAGGCGTCCTTCAAGGACCTTCATCTCAACTGTTTCTGACTTTTGGGCGGCATCACACAGCTTACCAGACAGAAATTGATAACATAACTAAACGTTCAAAAACGTCTGACAATGCCTTCCTGCATGTGTATAAAGTTCTCGCCGAAGTACCTGATCCGTACCCCCTCCTTGAAACAGCAGTAGTATGGATTACTTTCTGTTCGCTTTTCGCGTCTCTCTTCAATATTTCTTCTCTGTAGGATCAGGCGGTCAAGGTTGCCGAAGCCATTGAACACGAAGCAGAGCTTCAGCGCCTGCGTAGTGAAAACCTCGAACTGAAGAAACAAGTAGACGGATTTGCATCTGTCGAGACTTCCAAGAAGAAGCTGGAAATAAAAGTGGAGCAGTTGGAGCAGAAGGCGAGACCTCTTCTCCTCTCGCTTCACAAACCATATCAATGTGTCTTTGAAAGATGGATGACATGATTCAAGAGAAGGTTTCCCAAAAAGCCAATGAACTCAACGCGACTTATGATGAGAAACTTCGGAATTACGAGGAACGGTCTGTTTTCCATACCCATCAACTCACATTTTTTGTTCATCTACTTTCAGCGAACAGGACTTACAGCGTCAAGTGACCCTCACTAAAAACCAATTACGCGATTTGCGGATGTCAAACGAAAGTAAAGAAGCGAAACTCTTTGATCACAGCCAGAGACAAGGTGCGATATTGGCGTTAACAACGGGAATGAGTCTCACCTGCTGTTCTTAGATCAAGAAGTTGTTACAAAACTTGCCGAGGTAGACATGATAGCCGCGGATTTGGATCGTGCCAACAGTCGCATCGCTACAGTTGAACGGCGAAACGTATGATTTATGTTTTCTTGGCATGTGGGGGTTAGTTAACCTTTCCCCAATACAGGAGATCTTGCGTGCTGAAATTGAAACGATAAAAAGTGGCAACGAATCGTCGGACAGGTAAAATGATATTTTTGGCCCTATATCTCTAACCTACCTTCCGTGTATCATAGAGTCAAAGCATTGGAGCTTCAGATATCCGAGCTGGAGGCTGAGACCGAACGGCTTTCTCGTTCTCATGAAGCCCAGAAAAAAATCAGTTCTGACGCTCAGGAGGCAAGCATCAAGAAATTTTCGGACATTGCAAAGGAGCTCCAAAAGAAGGTTAGGTGGTTCGTACAGGACATAGAATACCGGTTCACTTTTTTCCAGGTAGCCGAAATAGAGCAGCTTAAACAGCGGCTAAAACAATTTGGTGACTACGACGAGATAAAACGCGAACTGGAAATTATGAAGGTGAAGAATCAAATGCTATGTCTTCCTGAATAAAGGTCATGATGTCGGTGCATAGTATGTCGAGTTTTCTGGCTTCGAAGATACAGACGAGGATAAAGAGCTCGCTGATGGTCATACGTTGGAATTGCATCTTCCAAATCCAAATGCCGACAAAGCAAATAACCAAGAAGGGAAATCTCTTGAAGCTCTGCTTGCCACAAAAAATAAACGTCTGCAGGAAGAGCTTACGAAGTTTCGAGCAAGTTGGATACTCTGTGTTTGTGAGACCTCGCTAAATTTGCACTTGCAGATTCTACACGGTGAATTGGAGGCATCTCTTCAAGTACTTGAGAAACAATTGGAAACCAGCAGTTCGGAATTAAAAAGGCAGAAATTGCTGAATGAGAAGTTAGAAACTGATCTCTTGGCCATGAATGACCATAAGATGAACGGTAACACTACTCACGCCGAGGGGGAACCGGGTCCACTCGCGAACTTAGACCTTGGCAGTAACTTAATGGTGATGAACTTCTCTTTTCTGTCGCAAACTTAATTCCAATGATTACATCAAGGATACATCTGCGCGCACAAGTCCAACACCCTTCACTTCTTCCGCAGATACGTCCATTCTTCCTATTGTCACAAGTCAGCGAGACCGGTTCAGGCAACGGAATGCGGAACTTGAAGAGGTGCGGTCACCTTATGCGTTCCTTTGAAAGTCTGGTATCGAAATCGTTTTCCAGGAGTTGCGTAAACAATTCCAGATTATCTCAGAACTCCGCGCGGAAATCAAAGCTCTCCAGACAGACAATCTGAAACTTTACGAGAAAGTGCGGTACATGCAAAGCTACAGGGAAGAGTCGGGTTCACGACCTGTTACGCAACTGGATCCTCTTCCCGCCCTCCCTGGCCGCCCAGATGACATGAGCAAATACCACGCAAGATATGAAGAGGCTATGAACCCATTCGAAGCTTTCCGGGGCAGGGTAAGTTGGCGTTCATTTTCCACCATCGTGGTAATATATCAATTTTGTAGGAAGCCACAAGGGCCTATCAAAACCTTAACCCCGTCGAGCGCAGTGTCCTCGTTATGACACGTTCGATACTGGGAAACCGCCGTGCTCGGACTTTTTTCGTTTGTTATGCCTTCGCCCTCCACCTTCTTGTGATGTACATGACGTACGAATGCACAAACTCATCAGGGGCACAGTTGCAAAAGCAACCAAACCCCTTCGGGCGGTAGGTAGGCTTTATGACAATACACTATTATTAGTACATTATGGTATATCCTGGATAAAGTAACGATGATGCTATGATTCAATGTCCCAGAACGGTCTATTTGGGGCGAGTTCTGCTTTGATGAAAGGCGAGGGCGTGGTCAACCGCATTGAGAACGGGCTTCATAGCCTGCAAACCTCCCGATTTATGTCATAGTACAATAGGAAAAGAAATACTCACCATTTCAACACGCGCTGGCTCAACAGAGTGCATACTTGCACTCTGTACGAGGGCCTGCACCTTTTCGTGCGTTTTTGAAAGGTAGCCTATCATTTTTGTGGCCTTTGCTGCCCGCTGCGCAGGTGTAGCCGTGGACACGCTGGGTACCTCAGAAAGTGGAGGATACGAGGCGGACCAGAATTGCCGGAGAAATTCATTGGCGGCAGTTTGACAAGTTGTCAATTGTCTGAAAAGGACGTCTGGTATATCGTCTAGGATGGTTAATACAGGCGGGTTCCAAGACAAAAGGCACTTTACTTTTTTTTGACTTTACATCCAATCTTACCGAGACGTTCTGCGTCATAGCAAGCAAAGCGGAGTCACCAGATTTCCGATCAATTTTTAGCTGCGAAGAAACGGCGTCAGCGACGTGGTGTGGTGGCTGTTAGACAACATGCTTGAGTCAACTGTTTATCCCATTCTTGCAGGTCAGCTTTTGCTTCGCGAACAACGGTCCTGAAGTCTACACTCTGGGGGTACTTGTATGAGTGCATTATAGTTGCTTTGGTCATAGGCCATAGCTTACCTTCTCAGCTGCAACTTCCTCGGCGGCGGGTTTCGACATGCGACCTTCATAGTATCGTTCTCTATATCCCTTCATCTCAAGAATGATGCCAGTTGAAGCCTCGGGGTCGTGTAAATCCTCGATGTCTATTTCTGAGTATGCATCCTGATGTTGATGAGTGTTTCGGTCTGTTCAAGATTGTTAGAAATACGCATACTTCTCCTACATCCAGACGACGTCGCTTTGAAGGAATTTCGCCCCTTCGAATCGGCTCCGTAAGCGGTATTTGCTTTGTGAAGACAGGTCCACTCACAGGGCTGAGTTCAGAAGCCTTTCAGAGTGCTCGTTAAACTTTCGAATGAGAGGCAAAGCACCCTTTTGCCGGCCTGCTCGCATAGTGACATCCTTTTCGTTTCCAGTCTGTAGAGGGTAAATTAGGCAGAGGACGTCGAGCTGGAGCCAGTATCACCTCTCCATGGTCCTCTAAAGTTGCGCCAAGGTTGACGAAAAGCTCCACTGGGTCCGAACGTTGCCGCCTAGGTTCCAGCTCTTGTGGGTGAAAGAGATTGTTGAGCGGTGCTGTCACTGTTGACAAGACATGACTGACCGTCATCTTCCCTTTCCAGATACTTGTCGAAAATGGGGTCGGCTTTGACAACATGCTGGGTTGCAGACGAACGAATAGATGCACGGTGTGTATTGAAGAGTTTGGATTGAAAATACCGTCTCCAAAATTGTTCTTCAGACAACTGTATGGTTGAGATCCTGAGTTGTGACATCTAGCCAAGGACGAAGATACCATACGTTCTTGGGTACATGCTCGCTGTAAGCCTTCGCTACGACGGGATATTCATCAAATATATCGTGAACCAGCTGCGGCGTAATCTTTATCTTGATTTCACCGTCGACAGTTTCAGGACGAGGGTCCACAAGCTGGCCCGGCTTGCCTTTTCGTTGACTTTCTGTATCAGCTTGTGCAAGAAGAAGGTGCTATGGAAGACATTTGAACGATACATAATGCAAGGGCATTCGAGTCTAACCTCACGGCCGTCCCAGAACTCAGCTTCTGTAATTTGACCACTCATGACAAGATCTTTGTGCAGGGACCCGAGTTCATGATTGCTCATAAGAACCCTCTTGCGAAGTCGGAAATCGCTGGCAGGGTCGGTTCCAGCGATGACCGGGGTCGTTCTCCTCTCACTCAAGACAGATGTGGCACGGGAGGCGGGGGGCCGCGAGGGCGCTATCGGTTGATGGAGGGGTGCTTTAGGTACCACAGGCAATGGTCCATTGGGCACTAGGGCTGCAGCCGTCACAGGAGGTCGATTAACAGGCGCGGCAGGTAGCTTATTGCGAGTTATAATGGGAGTGAGTGCCTTTTTGAACTCTTCACGCTCGGCGTTTGCGATGGGGGACGTGAAAGTAAAGTTGTGACCCGCTTCATCGCTAATAAGACCAAGCTTGAGCCTGACCTGAGAGGCGCCCTCTTTACTACAGAACAAAGCTGTTGCAAATGAGTCAATGAAGAGACAAGGTGTTCAGAGAACTCACAATATGCTTCAGCGTAAGGAACGCGTACTGAAGGCGCCTTTTTCCCGTCCTGAGTCCATTGGAGATGGGTGTCGGTGAGCTCGAGCAAGCCTGACAATTTCTTGAAAGACGCCTTGGCCTTACACACCGTGGTAGGCATAAAACAAGTGCAAAATCATTCTTTTCTCATTTACTTGTCTGATTATATAATCCGGCTACTTCTATCTTCTACGACCATCGCCATAGAATGGCTGGCCAACTCATCGTCTTCGACTTTGACTGGTGAGAGACTATAAGCAGTCTCTCATTATCCTGGCTTACCTACGTGCGCAGGTCGATGGCAGACCAGGATACAGATAGATGGGTTTTTGAGGTCTTGGCGCCCGACCTTCGTCGCAAAATGAAGTCCTTGAAAGACGAAATTCAATGGACGGATCTTGTGTGAGGCTACCCCGTACTCATATGAGGAATACCAATTTACCTTACAAAAGGGCACAATCGTTGAGAGAAGCCCACGCTCGCGGCATCACCAAGGATCAAATTGAGCACGCCCTTCGAATAATGCCTTTTGTGCGCATTAATCGCCCATATCCACCCTTCTACAGTCTAAACCCGCTTAGCATCCAGCAATGGTACGTGGAGTACTCGATCTCAAGGCTGGCGGCAAGACGACATTCCTCTGCCTGTCAAACGCCAATTCAGTATTCATCTCCACAATTCTCGAGGTACTTACCATTACCCCCATTTTTTGATTTTTTTTTTTGATTCTGAGGTGAGCACTTTAGTCAAAAGGTCTTCAAGACCTTTTTGAGGAAATTGTTACCAATCCTGCCAAGTGGGAGAGTTCAGGTCTTCTTCAGCTGAATCGCAGGGTTGATCCCAGCGGTCCGCAACATAAGTGCAAGGTCGGCTGCAGCCCCAATATGTGCAAAGGTCAGGTTTTCGGCAATGGTGAGCTTGCTTTGCTGATGTCAGAACAGGAGAAGAGTTGGACGCGTTCCTTGCACGCCAAGGGAAGAATTTCGATCGTATAGTTTACGTCGGGGACGGAACAAACGATTTCTGTCCAATCTTGCATTTGCGAACGTGTGTCCCATCCATGCTCTTGAATTTCGTCGTTTTTAAAAATGGTTTTTCGATGTCAGCCAAGATCTGGTTCTCTGCAGAACTCACCGCGGATTACAAAAGCGGATTGAAAAAGAAGGTCATTCTAACGGACTACAATGCGCAGTACAGCTCTGGGGAGGCGCTTGGGAAGTCGAGGAAATATTTAGCAAATTGTAGATCATTAATCTCATCGAGATATAACTTTCCGTTGCCTAGAGGATATATATAGATCTGTGAAAGCTTTCACGAGGTTTCGTATCGCACCATCCCAAATGGTCCTTGTTGAATCGAGTGCATAATATTGAAGTGCTGATAACATTGTGCAAGAGAAAACCCGAGTAAAGGAGGTCTGATATATGAAGAGGGGAAACTCAGACATGATGCATTCAGGCGAGAAGAAGAAAAAGAGATGGTGTCCTGCACAAATCATCTTGGCCATCGACCGTCCTTCGGACTGGAGAGGGATTGCTGGGGACCATCGGATGTCGTGAAAGGATTGCGCTGAGGGCCCGATCCTGTTTGACCTGAAGGAACGACTCCAGAACTGTAAAAGGATGGCTGAGCTGCCTGTCCTTGAGGCGGGGCATGTCGCGCCGAAGAGGGCGGTGCTTGTACGCTGTAGTTTTGATATTGGTCAGGCTGTATTGGCACATAGATATTGCCAATATTCGCGCGGTGATCGACCGAATCAAACGGCACTGCACCCGACGGTTGGAGCTGCTGGGGTTGACCATAGTTTGTTGTATAGCGGTTCCCACTCGCCGTGGTATTGCTTGAATAAGCTTGAGGTGGGCTGGAGATAATGGCACTACCACTATACACCCCACTTGAACCCTCGCCGCGTGCCGCAGATCGAACATTCGACAAAACGGCATCTCGTCTATTGTTGTGGTTGTTTTCGTCGTCCACCATAATAGTTTGCGGATGATAAGAGTGTGACAACTTGGATGGTGGGGGCGGATATCTGGTGTGTGAGGTTCCCCAGTTTGTCAAACCAGAGGCCGCAGCCATTTCAGCCTGTTGCTGGAGATATTCTAGTTGGGGGTATGGCTGTGCTGCGGAAGGCTTCCCAGATTGTCTCCGTTCCCACTCGCGCATGGCATCATCACGGTTGAGAACAGGCGTCAAAGCGTTCCGGCCGGCAATGACATCCTGATTCATGTGCTGTAGCCGCGCTAACGCAGGTGGGACAGTATCCATCTGATTAATAGTGTTGGCACGTGCGCGAGAATTAGGGAAGTACGACGTTGTTGGCAAGTTCGGGTTTAGATGCGCGGCGCCCAGACTTGCTCCAGTATTGTGTGCCGCATACTGAGCAACCGAACCACTGGCGCCCAACTGCCCCGTGGAGTTTTGGTGAGTAAGACCTCTTTGTCCACCGGCTGGGGGGTTTGTAACATATGCGTTTTGTTGTTGTTGTGGTGGCTGCGGTGGTTGTGGAGGTTGTACTGGTTGCTGATATCCAACACCGACACCATCGGCCGTGGTTGTGAAGGTGGTTGATTGTGCCTGAGGATTTTGTGGTGTGATGTATGGGTTCCGGAACGATGCGGCTGCTTGTGAGGCAGCCTGAGCTTGTGCAGTATATGCCTGATGCTGAGCTAGATGTTGATTGTAGGAAGCCGCATCCTGATATGCACGAGTGCCCTTCGGTTGCGAGGGAACCAGACCACCGTATGGCCGTTTAGGATCCGCTACTGCGGTTGAGGAGGCACTTGACTGTGATGTGCTGGAAAGTCCATCAGGCTGCAGGGAATTATGTTAGATGTTCAAGTCGACCCATAGAATAACGTACCACAAACGGTTTTGTGTACTTCTCTCCAGTAATGAACGGATGTAATCTCGCTTGTTGAGGGGTCCATCTTGTGACAGGATTCAAATTCAAAAGACCCTGACAGAAGTCAATAAACGCCGCTCTATTATTTAATTCTGTGAATAGATTGAGTGATGGATTCGAAGAAAGAAACGTAAACTGCACACCCTTCTCTATTTCGTGAGCCGAGCGCGCGGACTTGGATGTCGGCATTGGAGCAGTGTTGATGATCTCAGGCAACGAAGTGGCTTTGAAGTACTGTTTTCCAGGTTGCTCGTTTGTGTTGTGCTCCCGGGAGTACTGCTCCAGGCTCTTTATACGATAATTTTTTTCGGTTTGGTTGGCTTGCGGATTATAGGTCTCCCAGACGTCAAAGAATTGATTCGTTTGCTTGCCCGTGTTTAGCATACTCAAAGGAGGCAGTCTGTGAGGTCAGCACAGATGTTAGCCATTTCGCAGATGGAATGTATGATTTACACACCCCAACATGTCAATAATGCGCGTCAATTGGTTATACTCGCTTGTTCCTGGAAAGAGAGGCAATCCGAGAAACAACTCGACGGCAATACAACCCAATGACCACATGTCGATCGACGCAGTATAGGACATCCCCAAGAGCACCTCCGGTGAGCGATAAAACCGTGATTGGATATATGTGTACACCGTCTGACGTTCGTGACATGCAGATCCAAAGTCAATAACTTTTATTTGAGGAGATTGGAGGCTGGCAAAGAATTTATCAAGGCGTAAGTTCGGTTGCTATTGGTAGTACTCACGACTTCAACAAGATATTTTCGGGTTTTAGATCGCAATGTATAAGGCGAGCTTCTTTCAGTACCGTCATCGCATCCAATAATTGAGCCATAAACACTTTAACGAGCTGAGTGCTCAATCCTTGAAATTGATTTTGTTTGATAAGCTCGTAGAGGTTAGAGGAGAGAAGCTCAAAGACAAGACAGAGATGACTTCGGTGGATAAAAGAGTCGCGAAGACGAAGTATGTGGTGCTCGTCGTTAGGATCACAGGATTTGTTGAGCTGCATCGGACAATGTCAAGGTAGAAATCTCACGACATTGAGTACATACCAGCTCCAAGATGGTTACTTCCATCATACTCTGGTTGAAATAGGCAGGCTTATTTTTAACCACCTTGACCGCGACAATCTCATGAGTCTTCATGTTCTGGCACTTTACGACCTGTCCGAAGGTTCCCTGACCCAGAATATCGAGGATTAAATATCTGAAGGTGCGTCATGAACATTCTTCTGGCTGGATAAAAAGGGTGACGCACTTGTGGCCCTCTTCCGTACCCAGCCAATCATTGACGTAGAGGATATAGTCATAGTCATCATTATCATAACCGTCATTGTGCGCTGGCTTGCTGGGCTTTGTTAAAACGCGCCGTGGGTTATGGGCCGATTCATATCGGAACTGCGGATTGCAGATACGATACGTGTCAAGAATATTGGTGGTGAGTTGTCGCAACGGCTGTCCAGCAAAAAGTTAATAGTTGAGGGGGCGTCTATTCAAGTCACTCACTGAGAGATATACACCATCGCTACCCATTCTACGACCAGCCGGACTTACATCGAGGCGAGGTTGGAGATCATGTACAGTCCGTACACGACGAAACCCTAAGGCACGTCTCTTCGGCGGAGGAATGTCAACGACCATTGATTGATCTTGGGGGTAATAGTGGGAGCCAGGCCCGGGAGTTGGATGCATGTATGACAAGGGTGTAGACGGGTTTGAGATGGAATTTTGCCTGACCGAAACTTGAGCTGTGAGATGCGATTGTAACGGTGGGTGAGGACTTGATGTATCCATAGCATACGACGAGGAGTATGCACCAATAGGGTGTCCCGAAGACTGAGACGTGTAAGGGGAGGAAATTGGAGGGGTTGCCGATTCAGTTTTAACTTGTGAGTGGTTCCGACTATGAGATTGCTGGTAGGAAGAGTGAGTGCGTTGGTCAACGGCAGGGCCGTATGAGTAGGTTGCCGTTGTTGGCGAGTACTGCGATTGTTGTGAATATGGATCAAGAAGGGAAGTCGACGTGGGGGTGTTGGGCACACGGAGAGGAGAACGTCCTGTACGAGATGGGGCATTAGCGTCGTGAGATGGTTGTAGTCGTTTCGGAGGATGTGTTGCAGCGCCATTGTAGTACATGTCGGAATATGAATCGTTAGAAGAGGGAGCTGCCGAGGAGTTCGCAGCGAGTGTGCCTGTCATCGATTGCGGCTGATATCCAACACTGGGAGAATAGAAAGAGTTTTGGGAGAGTTGTGGTTGTTGTCGTGGACCGGCCATAGTTTGATTATCAGCACTGAAGGCACCTTCCAAATCGTCGGGTTGATGATGGCGTCGAGCTCTTGAGGCAGCTGTAATGGCGCCAGTTCCGGCGCCGAGAGACGCACTACGAGCCAATTGGCTTTGCGTAGATGACGTGTATTGAGGGGCAATTTGTTGTTCCTGTTCAAGAAGTTGAGATATACGGGACTGCCTGGATGGCCCAGTTGGTGCTTGATGGAGCGGTGGTAAGCGCTGGGGCGACGATGCGGAATGAGATTGGGGCGGGGGTGGGCCAGAATACAGATAAGAAACCTGAGCAGCGTGGGCGGCTTGGGCAGAGGAGGAAAGTGGGTCGACGTGAGTCTGCCAACGGGGAAGATCGAAGCTTTCGTTTGTGTCAGGCATGTAGAGTTCAGGTTCCGACATGTTTCTGGGAAGAGTGACCGTGGCGGATGGCGTTTGGCGTCTGCCGTGAGTTGCAAGCTCACTGTCAGTGGTGGTGAGCCAATATCCTGCGATAAAAAAACGAGGTTGATAGCTGTGGTCACTGGTGAAGAGCTGTGTAAGGGGTTCAGGGTTGGTAATCGATGCACGTCGTGCTCGACACAATAACTTGGCTTCCGAATAATCACGGCTATCTATCCATTCAATCGTCGTATCGCGCGTCGACGAGGCCGAGATGAGCGTTGGGAAGGACGTTGGACAGGCGTTGGATGTGGATTGTCTTGAAAGGTGTCTAGCTGTGACAGAACTAATACCAACTACTTGGTCTGTGCACCCTCCATTTCTTTCAATGTCACCACAATACCACGCTCTGCCTCTAGTAACAACTCTTGTCCATTCCCCATCGAAAGGAAGGAATGGGGTACGTCGACAGACAAGAACATCTGCTTTTTAAAGCGTTTTGCTTGAATAATGCACTTAGCTTCGTTTATTGGTCGGTCATTCACGATTCTTACCTAGACGCTGTGCCATTGACAGTGCAACGTCTGAAGTGGATGAACGGAAGAAGGAGGTTGCAGGTCCTACCAGGCTAGGCTGCGCAGGCTAGGATCGACATCAAACTGATTTCATGAAAAGAACTTACGGCTTTCGGGGGCATGGCACAAGCCCAATCCTTCGATAACCTGCCTCTCATGACGGTAATCTGAGCGTCATCGGGTGACCCTTCACTGACACCGATCCACAGCATATACGAGTCCACAAGCTGGGTCACTTGGAGTACAAGCGATGGGAGAGATGCATTTTGGGACTCGAGGTATTTCGTAGTGACAAGCATGATGCAAAATGGTTCATGACTTTAAATTACTGATTCAAGCATGCATTCGCTTGTACGATAGGCGGAAACGTCACCCGTCCATCGAGTAGTTCTTATTCAAAATACAAATGTCATCGCCAGGATGATATGTTACCTACATGAGTTAGTGCAAAGTTAGTGAGATAAGTAAATGCAATGTGGTATAGCGTCCGCTGTCTGTTGGAGGCGCCTGTATGCCGAAAAACAACGATACGGAGGAGCAAGTCCTGGGCTAGTTTGTCCGTGCTTGAAAAATTTGGTCTAACAAAAAATTCTCCTCCACCACAGAATGACTCGGGTCCACCAGCTGCCCTCCCAGCCATCACTTCGTTGTTTGGAGGAGATGCACATCGACCCTGTTCCGAATCGGATATGCTTGCCCTCCGTGCCTTCATCATCCCCTTCTTCAATGTCTGGATGGCGGCTGGAAGCGGTCGGAAAGCGAGGAAGAGGTCGTCTCGATACGAAAGCGGGGAACAGTTTGAGAAGTTGGATGAGCTCAGGGTTTGACAAATCTGGTGAAGTCCAGATGCGCATGTACTCCCCTTCATCGTCACCATCTTCAAACATAGAATCGCCCATAAGTGGGGTCGTCGAACGGTCCCTATCAACGGGACTGGATGGCTCTTCTCCATCGCCGGACGAAGCGATATTCCCGGACAAATGGGACGACGCAGAGGCGACGGAACGGGACAGGGCTGGGGTAGGGGAGTCTAAAAATGGGTCACTAGGTGCTCTGGCGCGCTTTGGTTGAACCACTGAAGTGCCTGCTAAGAGTTTCTGGTGGGATGGTAAAGGCTGCGAGCGGGAGCGAGAATGGACGGTTGATACGCTTGCATCCCTCCTGTGCCCAGATGTTGGTGATTGGATCTTGATCGACGGTGTCTCCTCGAAGGCAAGTACCTACAGGGCATATTGGAATCGTAATTCGCCAAATTAAATGAGAAAGACTAACTCCTTTCAGAACGTCAATGGCTTCCAACATAAAGTCTTTCCCTCTGAAGTAGATCAGGTCCCTCCAAATGGCGCGGAAATTTTTGAGTAACTTACGCAGCTTCTTTGAAAACAGCGTCATCAAACTCCCAATCTAATCGATTCCTTCCTGTGCCACCCAAGTCTTCAGGAATTACCTGCAATCGCATCACTGCCCATAACCTAACAAAGTACATCCAGTCAATCCAAACAATTGCGCAGTCCCTAGAAAATAAAACCTACGCTTCAAAGAACGGTTGAGTACCGGGCATACCTACGGTACACCAATTTCTAATAAATCGATCCACGCGTTCGTGCCGTTCTTTCTCAAACATATGAATTTCACAACACGTCAAAAAAAAAAAAAAATACAAACCTTTCTGTGCGAGGGTTCCTCGTGGATTGGACCTTGAATGAGGCATCAATGAGCCGCCAGGTTGAGTTGCACTTAGGTGCGCTTGAAATTCCGCATGTCGACGAGCGTTTACAGAACGATGATATGCAGATCTTATCGAAGCTTGAACTCGTGAAAAGGGGGCTCTCTGAGAAGGCGGAAGGGTGGCCAGAGTTTGGGTCATCAAGCGGCCAGAGTCGTCATCTTGACGGTAGTACCTGAAAATGTTTCAGTTCAATGTCATGCTACTCAATCCACGACGGCACTCACCAAGCACGACAGTGCTCTGCGAACTTCTCAAGTTCGCTTGGTGCGACGCCCAGAGGGGTGCTTGATCGATGACGCCCACTTGGGGGAGGTGTGGGCCTTCCGTTCCTGGTCGCTCGTGAGCGCCCGGGAAATGAAGGGGATGTTGGGGAAATGATGCGATTGTTTAATTTTGGACTAGTTGGGGGCGACATAGATGCAGCAGAAGGAAGGTCGTAAAGGAGGGTTTGGGCATCTTGGTGAGTACTTAAAATCGAGGAGGGTTGGAAGGACGAGACGTCGAAATTCAGCGGGGCGGGTGGTTGTCGAGGCCGTGAAGCCTGCAAGTGGTACGAAGAGCCCAACATGGCTGGAGAAGCAAGTCTTTTGACTAAGGTGCGTTGCGACAAAGAGTGATTTTCAGCAGGATAATGGTGCCTACTGGTTGGGGTGAGGATTTAGATAAATCAAGCAATAGATGGAAAAAATGTTGGGTCAATCTGAGCTCCTTCTGGCTGTCCTTCCTAGTAATTCTTCCCTCCTTTGGAAACAAGAAGAGTACTGAAGGGATGGATGAAAAGGCAGCGTCGACGACCACGACGACGGGAAGTGGAAGATGATCACAAGCCTTGCTGTTTGTCACCTGTCACACGTCGTGTAGCCTAAAACCTAGTAGTAACTGCACACAAGGCGACTTTTGACCGCGAAAACATGAATGACTTCAAGGAGCAGTACCCAGGAGCACTCAACGACTTCAAGAACTGGAAACTGTTTTCCCTACATAGAGGTTCTCAGGAGCGTTCAAAACAAGCACGCTTTCAAGCAGTCGCTCCATGATAAACCTATGTAAAACTTTCAATCACCTGGCCCTGGCTAGCGCTCCTCACATCCCATCTTGGAGTCTGAACAGCGTTCTCTTACGTACCGACAGGACTTTTTGGTCGTACCTGCTTCAAACTTGCGATTCGGCAAAGCTGCATCCCCGGACTTCCTCTTGATAGTGAATTTGCGATGCTGCTTAGCCAATGGCCCGGCTCTTCACCGGCCAAGTTCATGACATCAAGTCGCTGGCGGGCCGTCTGAGCATCATATCAATCTTTGTTTTACGAAGGTTGCGTCTGCGGTAAGCGCCTTTGTTCTGTCACCCAAACGTCTTGCTCAAGTTATTCCATCACTATCCTTGAAGATATTCCATCAACCCTGCTTCTTGCTGCTCCCTTGTGAGGAGACAATTATCCCCTTATGATAATCTATCTCGTGGCTGTTTTGTGGCACTCGGTTTCCATACCTATTGAGCCATAATTGTAACAAGACGGGTTCTACAAAGGCATAATGGCATACTTCGATCCGGACGCAACACTTTTTTACCGTAAAAAGCGGTTGATCCTGCCGGTAGGTTCTATACCTGGTCTTGTCATAAGCTGTTAAGATTGATTCCAGGTATCTTAGTACCCCACGTTACCTACTTACTTTGAACCTTATGAGGGTAATCAGGAGTTTGATTGTGACATCCTAGGACAGCCTAGGACGTCTTACCCGAATACGTGGAGGTTCAAAATCGACCCTTATCAACGGGTACAACCACCGATATCACTCTAGAGCCGCCGGTTCCGGGAATCTTTATCCAAGTGAGAGTCTCGCGGCACCCGTCTGAATATTGCTACATGGGATGAGAAACAGGGTGGCATAATGAAAGAAGTCCCGCCCGATGCCATCATCCAGTGTTCCATGTACCAAGGATCTCTATATCATGTTGTACTCGCAGTGCAGTAAGTGGTTTTCTTGTAAGCGCCAAGCCTTGATATTAATTGACTCCGGAAAAGAATGATCTTTTTGGTGTAATGGTACGGTCCAAGTTTTGTCTCAGCCGACTCAACTTTGAAGATTGGCGGACATTGGTTTTTGGAAAAATAAATCAGGCGAAACGATAGAGTTCATCGGACAAACCTTGGAATACATAAGGCATACCACCGGCGAGCGCCGAAGTTCAGCGAAGTCCTGATCATGATTTGTTCTGACGTTACTTATAGATGGAGAAGGATGAGATTACATAGATCCATCTAAATCCGCCGACCGGCGACATGACCACGAGTTGCTGGTGATGTGCCACCAATCGGGCAGGAAGGGTTTGTCTTTCGGAGCGGAGGGCAATGGGTTTTGGATGAAAACATTGGAAAGAGTCTGAAAGCGTGCGTAATGCGACGGAGGCAAATCCTGGGCAAATCTCTGATCTGTATAAAGTTCAATAACGACAGTTGTAAAATCTCTCGTACTCTTTGCTTCCTTCTCCCAACTAGACCCAACATCAGCGAACATTCCCTTTCGTTCTGCTCTACCCTGATCGTAGAGTTAAAGATTCACAAGACCAGCCCCACGGCCCCCAATTTTAGTGATTGCGCTCAACCTTTCGCGATGTAGGTACACCTTTTGATGTGAAAGCAACAGCTGATGACTTGCTATCACTTGGCGTTAAAAGCACTGACCTGCAATCGATAGGATTCATAATTGAGTTCAGAACACCACGTCGGCATCTTCCGAACGGCGATCATGAACGTTGACAGCGCGCACTCTGCTGCGTCTGCACCAGCGCCAGTCTCCTCAGCTGCTCCTCGTCCCATCCCCTCATCTTCTTCAGAACTACACCGCTGGGATCTTTCTGAGCTCTTGAATCCTTCTTCAGGAGGTGCTCAATATCCCCGCGACCGAAAAATGTCGCTCGATTTTCCTTCTGGCAACGGACAACCCCCGCACAGCCTCTACAGCCAACCAGACCTAGATCAGCCGTTTAATATGCACAACTCTGATAGTAGTTCCACGTCGCCCTCTCATCCCCATATTGGTGGAAGTCTACAGCAGCACACCTATGATCACCCAGACAGGATGGAGGCTACCGACACTACCAATTATGACCTTTTCCCAAATTCTTCGTCCGGTGCTTCTTTTTCCTCTAACCGATACCGCACGAACGCGTCATCTTCTTCTTCTCTTGGTCACAATTATGGGATGCACTCAGAGGGAGTGTATTCACATTCCTCTTTCAGTGATTCTGTACCTTCATTCAACGGCTCCAACACCAACCCATACGACATGATCAGCAGCTTGCCTTCTTCATATAGCAGTGACAAGATTTCGCCATTAACTCCGAGCGACTCAGTAAGTGGTCTTCACCATTCCCCTGCTTATCCCTCAGGAAAGGATTATCCTACACCTGGTTACGGAGATATGTCTGAACGTCGCCTTCCCAACGGAAGTTCCACCGGTTATCAGTCCGAATACTCTGACGAGTACGGGATTGGAGGTGTGAACAACGGGCTTTCCTTCCCACCCTCGACAATCCAACATTTCCAAGATCGTCTGGGTCGTTTTCCACCTGATCGCTACAACCACGCCTCAGGCCCTACGATTCCCTCACATCATGGCCCTGACATCTTGCGAAGTGTTGCCCCACACGCGACTCACTCTTTCCGAGAAGGTGGTGTTGCAGGCTACGACGAGATGCCGCATTATATTGGTGCCAGTCCTCATCAGGATGTGGCCCTCCGCATGCCTTCTGTCGACGAAACCCTGGCACGCATGAAGCTTCAAGGGCATCCCATAATGGGCACTTCAAATGATCTCCACACATTCATTCGGTACGTAGCTATTTCTTTTGCATGAATTTGAAATAAATATCTTTTTCCAGTCCCTTTCTTGATCAGTATGTTCGCACGCCCAACCGACTAGCCTTTGGAGAGCGGACCATTATTGTCATGTCGAGCAAGGTGGCCCAAAAATCCTATGGTACGGAGAAAAGGTCAAATTTCTGGCTACTTATTTTGCGCTCTCCTTATTGTGTATGCCTAGATTTCTATGCCCACCACCAACCGCCATAATGATTGGCAATTCATGGTGGACTGACGTTGTCCGAAGGGGTGAAGACCCCAAACTATACCCTCCTCGAGTGGTCATTTCTATCTCTGGCGAGCCCGTGCCGCAGGAAGGATCCATTGAGTGGACCGGATCATCCGGTAAGTCTTTCGATGTGGGCGACCCTCCCACAGGAACAACGTATATTGGGCGCTGTGTTGGGAAACAACTTTTCATCTCCGACGTGGACGAAAAAAAGAAGAAGGTTGAGGCCCTGGTCAAAATTACAGCCCCAGGTTCGGAGGAAGACTCTGAACGGGTGATTGGGACGTTCCCCAGTCGGCCTATAAAAGTCATTAGTAAACCTAGCAAAAAGAGGCAGAGTGCCAAAAACCTCGAGCGTCAGCCCCTTCGCCTTTCTTTCCAAAGGTTTTTCTTTAACAAACCGCTTTTTCTTCAGTCTGCATCAATCATGGTTCTACTATTTCATTGTTTCACCGTTTGCGTTCTCAAACGGTCTCTACAAAATACCTTTGTGTCTCTGGCTCTGGATCTTCTTTCAAAGGCTCAGATGGCGCCCCTTTAATGGGACTTGACCAACGGTCCCGGTCGACAACACCATCGTTCATTGCCCGAACGGCCTCCTGGGATCCTTTCGTTATGTACATCGTTGATGTCAGCAAACCAGCTGGTGGGGGAGTTGACGCTCCTCCACCACCGCCTCCCCAACCCGATTATCCTTCCCCGCCCCCAAACGCCATTCCATTCACAAACAACGGGTCACAAATCCCCATCTACTATAACCAGACTGTGGTTTTGCAGTGTCTGACTTCCGGTGTTGTTAGTCCCGTATTGATTATTCGAAAAGTTGATCGCCAGACAACGGTTGTTGGTGGTGGACTCCAAGAAGGTGCCAAGGGTATCGCAGATCACTTCTGTTCTCCTGGAGAAGTGTGCGGAGATCCCGTATCTCAACTTCACAAAATCGCCTTTGAAGTCTACGACTCCACAAAAGGATTGCCTGAACCTGGGACGCCTGGCGCCACAGGCGCTTTCTTGTCATGTATGGGTGAGAAGGTCAATACTTATCGCCCAATCGATGGCCGACAGTGGAACAACAATCAGAATGGATCAAATTCTCCTGCTCTCCCTGGTTCGCCCATCTCTCCTACCCCTGGCTCAGCCAATAGTGAATATTTCGGGCTTGGGGATAGCGCGCCCGCGTCACCTTCTGCCACGGACTTTATGTCTAACGATGGTGGTCGTGTTAAGAAAAAGAGATCGACTTCAAGTGCTGGTGGTATTACGAAGAATGTAGGAGCTAAAGGCCGCCGCCGACCGAGCTCAGCAGGCTCCGTCTCTTCAAGCCGCCGTGGCTCTGGCAGCGACGCCGGTGCCTCTTCAGGAGCGCTCTGGCAAGTAGACATAGGCGAGACAAGCGTCTGGACAATTGTGGGAACAGGTAAGGACTCGTCAACTCAATATACTCACCTTCACTGACATTACTCGCCATTGCAGACCAAATCCGTTACAATTTCTACGTCCCTCCTCTGCTTTTTGATAATCAGCATGCGCCTCAAACGGGCTCATTCCCTATACCATCCAAACCTATTACCCCATTCCCCGGTGTCGTCAAATACCTTCCCCCTGATCGCGCCGCCGAGGTTCCAAAGTCCAATTGTGTGCAGTCACGCGCTATGTTGTCAAAACCCAGTCCTCACGCTTCAAAAATGCTCACTGTATACGGGGAAAACTTTTCTAAAACCGACCCCGTGAATGTTTTCTTCGGCTCTGAGCCTTCGCCATACGTTGAAGTCCGCTGCACGGAAGTTTTAGGCTGTTTACCCCCGGAATCAGCGCCCTCTAAGCGTCGTCCCATTATTCTTATCCGTTCTGACGGTGTTGTTTTCCCATCTAATACCATGTATCCTTAGTGTACGCCCTTCTTTTGCGGTTCATTTCTGTAGTGCTATTGCTGGATTGCTACTCTCGCTGTGTAAACCCGTTTGCTGTTCCGATATGATGTATTTCTGGACGTTAGTCATGTGATGAATGGAGGCGATATCTTTTAGATATCTGTTAGATACCTGACCCCTACCCAAACATGAATATTTCATCTTACATTTTGGATGCGCACATATCCCCCTCCGCTGCTCCCGCCCTCCTTTGGTCATATTACATTTCTTATCTTTGGAACTATGAACCAGACTCATGGGTGGCGACGATAGCTTACTCCACCCGCATCCTCGCTATACTCGTTAGCCTGCCGTTGGTTATTCTTGCGTTGTTGGCACGTTCATATATTCCTCATATTCTTTCCACCGCTGACTTTCGCGCAGGACATCGCGTCATACGCCATTGCCCGAACTTTGGGTGTTATCGACGACGTCAAGGCTTCGACAAGCGATAAAGCAACTATTCACTTCCCGCCATCTATTCTTATCGGTGGATCGTCGAGTCCCAACAGCGAATCAACGCTCAGTGATTCAGACTCGTTTACAGATCCTAGTCTTTGCAACAGATTACGGAGTCCACTTTCCGATTCTATATCTGAAGCGAATGGTGGTTCCTGTGCATCCCAACATGTCTTCTATGCCGATGACTCGGAGAATAATCTGAAGCTGTCCGGCGTCGGCGTTTTCTCGCCAGAAGCTTCTCAGCCCCCTTCACCTACCATCACTCGTCGGCAGCTAAATGTCGAGGTCAAAGATTCACTGAAAGAGGAGGATGAAGAGGTGCACATTCGTCGCAGAGTCACTCAATGGGTCGAGGGTAGTGATACTTCCTCTGAGAGTGGGATACCGAAAGGTGTACACGAAAACTAAATGCAATGGAAGAAATAACTAACTATACTACTTACAGAAAATTGATATACACAACGTCGAGAGTTGTTAGAAACCAAACCGCAACTGATCCCGAGTGAACACTGGCGGTTTCCATTTCAAGTGTTCAGGCAATATTCGGCGCTTCCGTTTAATCTTGGATTTCTGATGTTTCTCCAGTACTGTGTTGTTCAGGCAAATTATGTGCTGGCCTTTATAATGCTTGAAAAGTTGTAAGGTTATACAGCTGTGCCGCACGCTCATCAGTTATGGGTAGATTCTGCGGAGAAAACAAAACACACGTATTCATGACATCTGCATGAGTGATAGACGTTTTTTGCGCGATGTCGTCAATGCTCAGCTCGCCGTCAGGGGTGTTGATTAAAAGTTCAATTATAGTTTCCGCCCAGTATGCACGGTAACCCAACAACCCCAGGTCACTGAGAGGTTTTTCTGGACTGCCAAGTTTCCCCTCCTTCTTGCTCAACTCGTAGGAAAACTCGATCAAGAGTTTTCCATATCCGTGACGCTGATGCTGAGGGAGAGCTAGGATGCAGGCAACGTTGTAGTTTTCAGCGGATTCTTTTTCCTTTGAAAAATAGCCAATAATGTGGCATCCGGCGGAATCTCGCTTAGCCTTATCGACAACGGAATCAACGGAAGGGACAGAGGAGAAGAAAAAAAGATTACCATGACATAGTACATGAAGGGGGTGACGTCGTAATACAGCGTTTTACTGCAAGCAGCCTCGTTAACATATGTTCTTGAAGAGTAGGCTGTCAACGCACTGATCGAGAAAGCACTTGGAAAGTAAACTCAAATTCCTACACCACGTCAGTTGCCGCTTGCCGTCAATCTCGTAGAAAGAAATATCTTCGTGGCGATAAATCTCATTGCCGGGCGGGTGCAACATTGTACAGCGCTGTCGATGGCGGGAAAACATCATCGGGGACGGGAAAAAGGATAGACAGAATTCGCAGATGTACAGCACGGGCAAGTGGGCATACTCTTTCGGATAGGGACTGAAATACCATGCATCGACCTCGTGCTTTCCAATTTGAAGGCGGTTAAGGTTCTTGACTCGGGCAATTTCAGATATTGATTGGGTCATTGAACCAGATGTACGCAATTTTTCTATCTCCTGTTCTTTGCTGAAAGAAGAGAGTGGAGGGGCCTCCGGTATTGGTTCCCTAAGGTTCAGATCAAAGGTCTCCACCTCCCCCTCTCCGTCGACGTCCATTTCGCCTTCCGCATCCACATCTTCGCCTTCCGCATCCTCTTCTTCTTCCTCTTCTTCCTCGTCATGTGGTAGTTTCCTCTTCAACGAAGGAGCAGGAGATGGGGATGAAGGATACTCTTCTCCAAACAGCGGCGTAGATGGACCTGGCGTCGGCGATGCAGCCATGGCCGCATTTGAGGTCGCCTTCTTCAAAAGGCTCTGTGAACCCTGCAAACGGGGAACTTTTCCTGGGGCTTTCGAAGGGGTGACCTTCTTTGGGATCGCAGCAGTCTTCGGACGTGGCCATTCCAAATCTCTGCTCAGCACCAATCGTGAACCCGAAACCCATTCATCCAGCCGCTTATTGAAAGACTCCCAGTGGACGAAGAATTCTCGGTCCTCAGACTTAGTTGGAGAGTCTTCATCTTTGACAGGTTGGTTCCGTCGGGCATAGGGATTAACAGGTTTGTCACGAATAGAAAGAATCTCGGCCAATCGTTCTTCTTGCTGCCCATGTGGACCAGGACGTTGAATGTATATCTTACAGCCAACTGAGACTGTCTTCAGTAAATACAATGAGTTACGTTAGGTATAAAGAAGACGAAGCACTTACAGTCAGCGCATACGTCCCGCCAGGAGATACGGGAGGTGGGGCGCCATCGCTGACAGGCGCTGGAGTGGAGACCATTGTGGCTCAAGAACAAAGAGATGTATTACGTAACAACTTTCAACTGTAATGGACAACGACTTGGTTCTCAACATATAGAATTCAGAAGTAGAGAGTGCTGGTGGTTGTATTGATTGGGCTCGGTCTGCAAAGCTAAGAATGTGTGAACAATTGTATTTTGTATCACTACTATACAAGATACGGCAAGAAGCCAATATACCTCTAGACTGCGGGGTACCATCCAAGAATTAGTTCCTACAACTCAACGACTCACACGCAGTTCTTGTCTTCGATGTCCCAAAATCCGAATATGCCGTATTTTCCCTACCAAAGAAAAAATGTTCTATAAAGATAAAAAGGAAGAGGAACGGCAACGCACCCAATTAGCGCAAGATATCGCACCGTCAAAATGCAATCCGTTGAAATCATAGGGTGTTGTGGTGCACATAGCAGTCCATTCATCGGCAGCGTCGTGGTTTTTTAGATTGGCCTCGATGTGCTGTTGGAATTATCTCATTAGATTATTCATTGTGGGCAAAGTGAGTAGAAGGTACGTACACGAAGTCCGGATCCCGGCGCCGTGCATCCCTATTAGGTTCAATATCAATCATGTCGAGCAGTTAAAACAAAAGATTGACGTTGACCGGCCTTGTCCTTGTAATCACCCCAAAAAGTACGACAAGCGCCTTCGTCGAAATCAACCATCCAGACACCCCACACCCCATTAAACATACCCTACAACCAAACAGTCAGAGATCTTCAAATTCAACACAAACTGACAATATACCATATCATCACATCGGTTCGGCTTTATCATCCGCCCATGAATCTCAATCTCCGTCTCGCGACACGCTTTGAGCTGATCAACGCCCCAACCAACAGGGCCCAACTTGGCACGATACTCCCTAGTTCCATACTTTGTGCAATGCGGCGCCCTAACAAGCTCCAACCAATATATCCCCGCCCTCCGCCTCTCCTCTTCTTCTTCTTCCTTCTCCCTTGCCCTTCGGTGTTCCTCTAACGCCTCCTTCCTCTCTCCAAGACGCATCTCCTCCCACGCCTGGCGCTCCGAGTCCAATTGTGATCGTTCATCTGCCATACATTGGCGTAGGTCGTTGTGCTTGTTTACTTCAACCTCCCATTTAAGGCGGATGTCGTTGTGCTGCTTTATTTCGAACTCCCATTGGGAACGTTCCCCCGACATACGTCGGTGTAGGTCGTTGTGCTTGTTCACTTCAACCTCCCATTCAAGGCGGATGTCGTTGTGTTGCTTTATTTCGGACTCCCACTGAGAGCGTTCTTCTGTCATGCGTTGGCGTCGGTCGTTGTGCTGGTTTATTTCAACCTCCCATTTAGCGCGGATGTGCTCCCGCACGATGGGGTCGAGGTCGTCGGTAGATAGCGTGTACATGATGGCGGATCCGAGGAGGAGGCCAATGAAAAGAGCTAGAAGTGCAAAGATAAGTCTTGTTTTAGTTTCGCTGAGCGGCGCGGGCTCGGGGGACCGAGAACGACAGGGAGGTCCTATGCAGGTGTTAGAGATAGTGCACATTGCTCTCGTAGAGGGGATCTTTCTAGTGCTTACTTGGTGGCGTTGATCGTCGTCGCAGTAATGGTCTGCGTTCGGCTGGACCGTTGGCGGAGAAGTGGCCCCCTCGTTCGAAGTTTGAGCCGAATTGATGGCCAGAGGAGTTTGAGTTCGAACTCTTCCCGTCCATGGTGGATTGGTACGAGGAAGAGTGCAGTGTGAGCCTGTAGGGGAGAGTAGTGTAAGAATTGAATGTACGATCAAGCTGAACTTGAACATACATTTGGTGAAATGTCCGTAACTTGAGAGTGAGTGGATCGTGGAAGATTCAAAGTAGTACAAGCGCCCATTCGAACCAAAATCTCACGACTTCCCTTGGTCGTTATGTAACCTTCCTCGAAGCAACCTCAGGGTATGAGTAGCAGCTCGTGCGTTTTCCCTTTGAGTCCAACAATGCACATGATGCAGTGCATAATTCCATAGACAGTGACACTCCTAGCGAAGGTCGTTGAATAAGTTGTTCGCCAAAAGAATGAGGGAAGAATGGGCGCGACAGAGGACTCCGTAACCATCTGCAAAATCCCCAGTCTAGTCCTACCCTCATTATCCATTGCACTGCTCTCTACCACAGCCGCCTTCCTAGGTTCTTGGCCACATCAACCCTCTACACATCCTCCCCCCAAATGCACCCACCTCTCCCTCCAAAATCGCGAGATGGATGGGTGTGTCGATGTCGGGTTTGGCATGGAATTGAAGATCTCTGAATTCATGTCCTCTGATGACTGCTGAGGCAAAGGTGGTAGCATGAGAAGCTGCTTGATACACATGCATCCTCTCCTCGTCTCCGAAAGTTGTCTTGACAAGAAGGTTCGAGTCCTTTTCGCCCAGTAAATGTGGTGCCGTACGATGAAGCTGTGGTCGAAGATACACTGAGTCGCTGCGGCCGTTCGGACGATAGCTATCGCTCACCTTCAAATTCGCGTTGGGTCATGTGACGTTGCCGACGTACGTAAAAAGTTCCCATACTACCCCATATTAACAGCCACGTCAAGAACTCTTAAGAGTTCAACCAACCATGTTCGGCCGACTCTCACTCGCATTCGTTGTCGTTTCCGTCGCTGCCTTCTTTTGCGCCCAATCTGTAGACGCCGCGAAAGGCCCTAGAATTACCAACAAGGTCTTCTTCGACATCAAGCATGGCGACGAAAACTTAGGACGCAGTGCGTTCAAATTTCTGCCTTTTTACTCCCCTGCGATTTTTACTTAAAGCACAATCTAGTCGTTATGGGGCTCTATGGAGGAGTGAATATCTTTGCAACTGCTACGACGTATTGCGTATTGACAACAAAATCCAGACCGTTCCCAAGACCGCTGAGAATTTCCGTGCCTTGGCAACTGGAAAGAAGAAGGATGGTACAGACCTCGGGTTTGGTTTCAAGGGCTCCAAGTTCCACCGTGTTATCAAGAACTTCATGTGAGCTACCCTTTTCGCGCTCACACAACTATCTCTGACATCTCATTCAGGATTCAAGGCGGCGACTTCAGTATGTTTTAGGTCTTTTTACCTCTGGCTATTTACGCAACCTGTGTCAGCCCGCGGAGACGGTACTGGTGGAAAGGTATGAACTATCGTCAGATACGATATTCATTGCAGGCAATAACATCACTCTACCCAATCTATCTATGGCGACCGATTTGCAGACGAGAACTTGTAAGTGTCTTTCGAAGACATAGAAAATTCTCCTTACATTTCACAGCAAACTTCGTCATACTGGTCCTGGAACTCTCTCAATGGCTAATGCAGGAAAGGATACCAATGGTACGTTTTATCTCGTGAGTCTGTCTATGGCCAGACACTGATTTCCGGTGTACCTGCCAGGATCTCAATTCGTTAGTATACTCATCCCACACATCTCATCCCTATTCATAATCAGTTTAGTTCATCTGTACCGTTGTCACCGGCTGGCTGGACGGCAAACACGTAAGCAGTGTTGACCTGTGGGATTTGTTTCTTTTTCGATAGCATCCTCTCATCCAGGTCGTTTTCGGCAAAGTCATTGAGGGTATGGACGTCGTCGACAAAATTGGTCCGTCTCACTCTAGGCTACTTTTTACAATTTTTATTTATTTATTTATTTAGAGAACGTCCCGAAAGCAAACGATCGCCCTACGGTCGACGTTGTTATCGCAGATTCCGGCGAAGTACGTTCTCTATACATGCATTGGCTGAATATCACTTATTTTCTCATCCTCTAGCTTCCAGTGGAAAGTGAAGAAGATGCGAATGGAAAAGAGGTACCAGCCCACGCTGAGCTTTAAAGCTCGATTTGTGCACAAAATTATCATACAAATGAAACCACCGTTGCTTGTTAACAGGATGCGCCCTTTACTGCTGCAAGCGAAAAGGGGACGAAGGTCGCGGATGTGATTACAGACAGTCCCTCAGTAACTTCTCTGAGCGGGTCCAGCACTGAAGGAATCAAACCCATTTCCGGTACCACATCTTGGGCGGACCTTTTCTTTGTTGTTGCCATCGTTGGCGTTGTAGTCGTCGCCTTTTGGTCAGTCGGAGGCGTGCGCTTCGTTGCACGATTTCTCCCAGGAGGAGCACACCTCTACAGTAAGGTCAAGAGTGACGATCTAGAGAGGTGACATCGTGCTATTCACTGTCTTCAAAATATTCAAGCAAATCTCTCGTGCATATCTCTAGACGTATAGCTTGAAGATGGATATCGCCTGCTACGTCGGAACAATGACAATGATATCCTCCAAAGCCCTGCGGACTATTTATTCAATGACGCCAGCGATGGGTCGATGTGTAGACAAGATCAGCGATGTAAAGCGTTTATAGTGCTCGTTATATTTACAGACTTCCTTGAGGCGAAAGCGCCAAAGTAATAAAAGTCTGTATGCCATCCAAAATCTATACATAGTAACATAATAACCAAGGCTGGTACCTCTATCTTCCACCATGAAATATGCATACCCAGCCTCAAATCAACGCGAATCTCTCAGCGACGCCCTTCTGTCTCTGAAGATTGCTCGGCATTCACCCTGCTCGTTGTGCGGCTCGTGCGCCGGCCTCCATCCGCCCAAGGGCGTCGATATTGTCCTTGATGCACACACAGAATCCTCCCTTGGAAATCTAGAGCAATATGGATCGGACGACGACGAAATACCCTCCGAATACCTCTTTCTATGTGCTTGTGGTCATAGTGTGAAGCAGCACCACGCCTCGGAGCATGACCTTGGATCAGCTGAATTCATCCGTAGAGGCCGTGTTGCTATTCGTCTCGATGAGCTATTAGAGGTCAGTCCCGTGGATGGACTCATCCATACGAGGGGAGGCCCCTCATCATTGGAATTACTGAGAAGATCAATTACAGGACTCTGGCAGGTTGTTGGATTTTGAGTATGCCGACGAGGATATCGTTTCGCTTCGCAAACAGATGGGACATCCTGTCTCCTCTGTCGCGCCTGTGCTTAACCCCTCACCAGGTAAGTGATACCGTATTAATGTTTCTGTTTCTAAACTATTACGGCAGATCACCATGCTCATAGCGTTCCACTTTCCTCTCCAGCCTCCTCGGTCCCCAATGACTCTCAACGTCATATAGGAAGAAAGCGTAGAGCGTCCTCATCCTCTCTGAGCGAAGCGGCGGATGATGACGAGGAGGAAGACGATGACGACGAAGACGAAGACAGACCCCTCGCTTCTCGAATATCTGCTAACACGACCTCCCGATCTGTCGCTGGGAAGAGAAATGGAAAGTCAGCTCCGGGAAAGAAGGCAAAGAAATCACAAGCGGCGCGAAAATCCTCAGCTCCTTTGGCTGGTGGCGAGGAATTGGCATTAGTCAATGGGAAAATTAACGGCAGTCACAAGGCTAGGATAAAGATAGAGGATAGGATGGATGAAAGCCAACTCAGCCGCCTTGCTGCTGGCGTTCCAATGGATGCCGTAGGCAGGTCAACAGCGAATGTGAGCGCCATACTTTAAGTTTTCAATCCACCCTTACACGTCTACCTCGAAGCCACCTATACGGACAGAGAAGCCGTCTGTCATAGAGCTGCGCAAGGGTGTGATACAGATCACGCCGGTAGAAAACGACATGTTGCCTCGGTCCCTTGTTATTTTGACCGGCCTGAAAACCCTGTTTCAAAAGCAATTACCAAAAATGCCTCGAGAATATATTGCTCGACTCGTCTACGATGCAAATTCCAAGGCCTTGGCCATCATAAAGCGTGGGTTTAAGGTCGTCGGTGGAATTTGCTATCGACCGTTTCCCCATCGCGGCTTTGCGGAAATCGTGTTCTTTGCCACCAATTCCGCAGACCAAGAAAAGGTGTGTCACCAAGAGGTGTGAATGCACCAACCCCTAACAGCCTTCAGGGTTATGGTGGGATGCTGATGGACCACTACAAAGCCCACATCCGCCGAACATATCCAGATATGATGCATTTTCTCACTTACGCAGATAATTTCGCTGTTGGCTACTTTGAAAAACAAGGATTCTCCAAAGAAATCACCCTCGACCGTTCAGTATGGGCTGGATACATTAAAGATTACGAGGGCGGAACAATTATGCAATGTACAATGCTGCGTAAACTTGACTACTTGGACAAACCGAGGATTTTCTCCCAGCAGCAAGAGGCCATTATGACGAAGATCAGGCAGATGTCGCGGTCACATGTCGTGCATCCTGGCCTCCCACAATTTCAACCTGGGGCTCCTGCAGACGTCGTCGTTGACCCGAAAGATGTTCCTGGCCTCAGTACGTCCATGCTCAAAAAAAAAAAAATTATTTCAATTTCTCAATTCTTGTCATCAGAGGAAACAGGCTGGTCACCAACAATGACGATCAAGTATGTCGACACATTTTCCTGTTCTTCACGTTTTGGAGATGCTTCAAGAGTGATCCATTATTGACAAGTGGTTTGCAACTAGTTTTGTCTGCGTGGCTCCTAAGAGCGCGGATTATCAAGTCATGGAGCGTGTATTGAAGAGCCTACAAAATCATTCGTCAGCATGGCCTTTCACGAAACCCGTACGGATAGAGGAAGTCCCCGATTATTTCGACGTTGTCAAGCGTCCTATGGGTACGTTTATGGGCTCCCAAAATTTGATGCAATTAACTCCTGATACATGACAGACCTAAGCACTATGGAGCATAAGCTCACAACGCACCAGTACAGAACCCTGGAGGCGTTTGCCGAGGATGCTCGGTTGGTTTTCGACAACTGCCGGCTCTATAATCCTGAACATACAATATATGCCAAACATGCGGATAAGCTGGAGAAAGCATTTAGAGAATTGATGCCTGACTGGTGACAAGTATTGGTGTCAAGGACTTTTTTTCTGTAATTCTATAATCTACTTGTAAACTATGTATATTTACCAGACGAACATTAGAGAACAAGGGAAAGATAAGTCGATGCATTTACGAAAGGCTTACGAGAAAGGTTGCTGGAGTTTCAGGTTAATCTGCCTGAAGCTTGACCAAAAATTACTTAGAGTACGCTAAATAAGTATCCGCTACAAATCGCTCTGGGATATGATTTCGGGTGTATCATAAGCCATCTCATATTCTAAACCATTATCGTCATAACGACTTTTTGAATCACCACCCTGCGCTTTTCTAATCACCTCCCACTCAACGCGAAGGAACACCCACAACCATCTCCGAATTAGTTCTGCCACCTCCAACCAAAGACTGGCGACGCTCCCGTCACTTGTTGTGTGTAGATGGGTTGAAAGTTTGATCGACCATGTCATCCTCAAAATTAAGTTCAAGAAAATCAAGAGCGGGTATACAGTGAGTGGAAAGAGGAGCACGGGGCGTAATCCAAATGGATGCGTTCGCCGATGGGTTGGCGGGTCTTCCAAAGGCGGAATGCGAAGGGGTTCCTCCACGAGGGTCTCTTGAGAGTCCCTGCGCACAAGTGGTGTACCGGAATGAAGATGTGGCAGGACAAGGCGACGTGGAGGTCTTTTCTCTTGTGCCACTTTCGACGGAGATTCCAGCTTGAGGAGATCCAACCCCCAATCATTTGTCACGTCCCACCAGAACGAGTAGATAGAATTCACCACAGCCACCAACAACCTAGTATCCACAATAAGACGCGCAACGAAGACAAGCAAGATGATGAAGACTGACCACAGGCGAAAAAGTTGGTGCTCTCCATGCCACGACTCCTGAAAAATTACGTCTCCCTTTTCCCTTCTTAAATCCTCCACAACTAGCCGCTGGGCTGCAGATAAAAAGATAACGGGAAATGCTGTGGCATATTTTATGGCATTAAACAGTGGTCGACGACTCTCATTGTCTGGATGATTATATTCAATGATACACTGTCGAAAACGCGCGATATACGGCAAACTAGATATCGTTACTGTCCAGTGGTGCCTTCGAAACGCAAACATTTCGTACCTCATGATCGTCGGAAGCACCCAACGCATCCATCCCTCTTGTAATGGCGGCGCTAGAAGAGTATTTCCAGGCAGGAGCATGCATAAAGAAAGCCAGACATCTCCAAGAACCTTCGCGAAGGACGTCCCGATATCAGCGAATACCACATCAGAAAAGCAGACCGGACTGGTCGAGGATGAGAAGAAGCAGCGTCGGGCAGCCCTGGCGTAAACAGCACGTAAAGTGAGTCTCCTACTGACCGAGACACGAGATGAAGAAAACCTCACTGAGTGAACTTGTTGCGTTCAAGTTTCCAAAAGATATTGTATGGACATATCAGAAGAGCAAGGATCCATAGAGCAGTGACGCCAGGTATATAACCGTACGCGTCGACTAGCGTAGCATCCCCGTATGTAGCAAGCCGATAGGTTGTCCATGAAAAAAACCAAATCACGGTATACCCAATGAAGACGCGGTAGGCGGAAGTGTACAAGTTTGCTGCTATAACTTGATTGTAACCAGCTGAGCGATGTGAAATTAATGGACCTCTCGCATGGACTCCCTCTGTGCGAAGGTCCAGCGCTGAAACAGTGTCCACCCCAAGCTTGTCAAGGCCATGCAAATTTGTGGCCCAAGCCAGTATCCCAAGACCAAAGAGACCAAAGACACGATATGGAAGAGGGAATAGAAGATTAAGCGATTTTTCGGAGGGGGCATCTACGTCGTTCATTATGGATTGGGATCAAAATACATTTCAACAAAAAACTCCACGTCAGACATGGATAAGCCCGGTGCGTATGACGCCAAGGCTGCGGACACAGACTTTAGGAAGAAATGGGACAAAGAAGAATATGCAGAACGAGCACAGAAGAAGGATCAAGAGGAGAGGGAGCGTATGCAGGAGAATGAGGAGCGTTTGAAGCAAGGTCAATCCAGCACCTCTCATGCCTTACATTTCTTCGTCAACTAGTCTACAGGGAAGCGTCCTCGCAAGGGGAAGAAAACTGATTTACCCAAGCCCACCCAGTTGATGAAGCAACGCGATGCTCCTCTGGAACTAGACAAAAATCTCAATAAAACCATGGTCGTCCAAAATCCAGGCGGGAGAGGTCCTGGCCAACCTGGGTTCTTCTGCGAGACGTGTGATCGAACATATAAAGACAGTATAGGCTATTTGGATCACATAAATAGTAGAGCTCGTAAGTATATGTATTTCTGTTGTCTGTCCTCACTGAAGGTTGCGTGATACAGACTTGCGCGCACTGGGCCAGACAACGAAAGTAGAAAGATCAACTCTGGCGCAAGTTCAAGCACGAATAGCCCTTCTTCGAGAGAAAACTAAAGAGGCTGCGTCTGCCAAAGCTTTTGACTTTGACCAACGATTGGCAGAAGTCAAGGCCAAGGAACTGGCGCTTAGAGAACAGAAAAAAGCCGAGAAGAAGGCCGAGAAAGAAAAGTCTCGATTGGCTCTCATTCAGGATACCGGAGACGAGGACGTGGAAATGGCACAGCTAATGGGTTTTGGAGGGTTTGGGTCGTCAAAGAAATGAACTCAAGTATGTGTATCCTCTTTCCTCTATACCAACTATGTATTACAAATTTTTTAATTGAATGTCATTTTCTACGGCCTCGCCAGATATAACATGAACTTCACATCGGCCACTTCCTGCTCTTCCTCAATGAGAACCTCGCTTGTCTCCTTCCGCTCTTTCACATCCACAGGAAGACATCCAACCGTTTTCGTGATGATATCTGCGTTCCCTTCTATAGCAGCAAGCAATTCACTGCCCGAACCTTCTTCAAAGCGGTAGAAAATATTGACATCGTCGATAGCCTGGAGACCGGCTTTCTTCCGTAGTTTCTGAACGCGGTTGGTAAGCTCGCGAGCCAACCATTCGCCTTGCAAGTCGGCGTGTATCTGGATGTCAAGGCGAACGACAACGTCGTTGTCTGTGTGTGTGGCGTAAAGACCTTCCGACCCAGCCGGAAGATCAAGGTACCGCTGGACTGTGATATCACCAGTAACCAGCTCAATTCCGTCAACCACGATACTTCCTGTAGTGATAAAGTTCTTGACTGCATCGCTGGCGACGTTCGGCAACGCGTTCTTTACACGGCCCAAGTCCTTGCGCAACTTCTTGCCCAAAATAGCCCAGTCCGCCACCGCTTTATATCGCACGCCAGATAGGGTCTCATCGGATGAAAATGTTATATCGCGAACGTTAAGCTCCGATTGTATGTATCGTTGCAAAGGTTCGATATCTGCAATATATTCCTGGTCGGGATGGAACACCAATAGCTCCTTTAACGGCACCTATGACGGGGTCAAAACTCTCATCTTCGTACAGTCTATGTAAACCCCACCTTGAGCGACAAATTGGTCCGATCGCGAATATTTCTTGAGAGTTCGATGACAGCCTGCATCCTCTTCACCTGGCGTTCAATGTCCGCATCGAAGTATTCTTCCTTGACCTCGGGGAAACTAAGGAAATGAACGGAACGAGTGTCCCCAGCGGAAGGATCTTCTGGAATAAAATTTCGCAATGACTGATAGAGGTTTTCCGTTATGAAGGGCGTATATGAAGACTTCGCAAATACATCAAGTTAACGAAAATTGAGAAGAAAATACACCTTACCAAGGTCCGGCACAGTGTAAGGAGTGCTTCAAATAGGGTATTAAGAGCCAAGTTGGTATCTTCCTTGCCGTCCTCGCCTTTGAGGCGTTTGCGATTGAATCGAATGTACCAATTCGTGAGCTCATCGATGAGATCCAGGAGGCGGGGGATGATGGTGTAAAGTCGATAAGCCGCCATTTCTTCCCTGACTAGTTTGATCAAGGACTGACAACGAGCAAGGATCCATCGGTCCATAACGTTGTTTGGCAGTGGGGCATGTGCGTTGTAGGTGAAATCGATGCCATTTACCTTCTTGAACAGCGCAACGTGCCCCAAGAAAAATCGGAAGGAGTTGAGCCAGGGTAAAAGAACGCGGGCGATGACTTCGCGGACACCATCCTCACGGAACCGCAGATTGTCACCACGTACAATAGGCGAATTGACGAGGAACATTCTGGGCATACAATGAGCTTCCGATTTCCTGTAAAAATTCACTAGTTCTCCCACCTTGTCGCGTCAGCACCATACTTGTCGATGATGATGTTTGGATCAGGATAATTTCGCAGGCTCTTGCTCATCTTCTTGCCATCTCTACAAAGGTATGAAGATACTTCAAAACACGACGACGAGCGCAATGCTTACGCGGCAAGGACGAGTCCGGTTACAATTAAATTCTTCCACGGTGCTTTCCCAAATAGATGTGTCGAAAGTACCAAGAGGGTATAGAACCAGCCTCGAGTTTGATCGATGCCTTCGGATACAAAATCGGCAGGGTGGGTGCGTTCGAACAGCTCCTTGTTCTCAAATGGATAATGTTGTTGCGCATACGGCATGCTGTTTTTTTTTCTTCGTTCAGAATGCCGAACAACTATGGCAGAAGAGATAGCCCACCTGCCGGACTCAAACCAGCAATCAAAAACCTCTTCAACACGTCTCAGGACTCCTTTTCCCTTCTGAGATGGAATGGTGATGTGGTCGATCTTGTCCCGATGGATATCGTTGATTCCTGTAACGCCGGATAATCTTTCGAGTTCTTCCACTGAGCCAACGCATACAATCTACGGCGGAAGGCTCAGCCAAGTACCCAGTTGGAGGACGTCACTTATACCTCTTCCATGTCATCGCTGACCCACAAAGGCATCGGTGTGCCCCAGTAACGGTTCCTTGAAACATTCCAATCCCTGGCATTCGCAAGCCAATTACCAAATCGATTTTCACCAACGTTCTGTGGTACCCTGCACCACATGTTAGCGATTAACCTTGCAGAGTACATGGACAAACCATCTTGTCCCTTCGTTGTTAGCAACAAGTTGTTCTACGATCGGTGTCACTCTGACAAACCATACTGGAATCGCGCGATAAATCAAGGGCGTTCCGGACCTTGAAAAAAGACAGGATCCATACAAGTCACTTCGACCAGTGACCTGGGCTTACCTCCAGCAGAAAGGATAGCTATGGTTGAGCGTCGACTGAACTATAAGTCGACCCTTGGCTTTGAGCACTTTCTGGATCGGGCTATCCGCCGCCTTGACATGAAGTCCGGCAAAGTCAGGAACCTCTTTTGTAAATATGCCGCGATCATCGATGGGACAGGGTGGCATCTCATCGGGTCGCAATACGCCGTTTGCGATGGCGATGCGGTGGTCATCTTCGCCAAAGGCAGGCGCCTGGTGGACGATACCCGTACCGTCAGCGTCGGTGACATATGTATCTACCACGACTCTGAAAGCTTTGTCTTCGAACTGGATCGACGAGCAATTAGCAAAGTATGGAGTTCAAACAAGTCGACCTTTACCTGGTCAGTAAAATATTCGAATAGCGGCACATAGCGCCATCCCTTCATATCTGAACCATGGAATTGACCAAGTTTCTTGTACTTTGCCTTTTTCGGATCTTTATACAAAGTTTTCAGCAGTCCTTCGTGAATGATAAAATTCTGGTTGCGTTCTGCGTCGTGGATCTTGATGTACGTGTAGTCCGGATGAACACAAAGGGCTAGATTGGAGGGCAGTGTCCAAGGCGTCGTTGTCCATGCTAACAACGACGTGCTGGGGTCGTCCACCAAAGGGAACGCGACGGTGACTTGAAAACCAGATCAGAAAGAAAGAAAGAGGAAAAAGAAAAAAAAAGACTGACCAGCGGGGTCGTTCACGTCTTGATACGCTTGCCCAGCTTCAAAATTCGAAAGAGGCGTGGTACATCCAGTTGAATACGGCATAACCCTCAACCCACGATATACCATTCCCTTCTTGAACAGCTCACTAAAAGCCCACCACACCGACTCCATAAAAGGAAGATTCAGCGTTTTATAATCGTTGTCGAAATCGATCCACCGGCCCATCCTCTCAACAGTCTGCCGCCATTCGGACGAATAGCGCATGACGATCTTTCGGCACTCTTCGTTGTACTTGTCAATGCCCATTTTCATGACATCCTCCTTGCCGGTGATCCCGAGGCGTTTGTCTATTTCGTGTTCTACGGGCAGGCCGTGCGTATCCCAGCCGAATCGACGGGATACGTGGTACCCGCTGACGTGGGCATGTCGAGTCACGATATCCTGCGCGGAGATCTGTTAGATCTGCGAGGGCCCGAATGTCAAGTGCGTGAAATACCTTGATCGTCCCAGCAAGCAGATGTCCGTAGTGAGGAAGGCCAGTGGCGAACGGAGGACCATCGTAGAAAGTAAATGCTGGTTTGCCTTCAGAAAGTTTCAAGCTAGTCTGAAACGCGTCAATCTCTTTCCAAAATGCGAGAACTTTTGTTTCTTCCTTTGAAAAATCAAAGGAAGCGGAAACTGAGGGTTTGTGTGAGGTATGGATCCACGTAGACAATCGTAGGACTGACCGTCATGAGGGGCGAACGACATGAGAATTGACTCAAAACGCCTCTTGACAAGGATATCGCTTGATTTGAAGAGGATAAATGAACGAGTCAGTCAGAGTAGAAATCTAATCTGACGGGTTTTGCCGAGAGATCGCTAAAAATACGACTTCAAAATATGAATTCTATGGCATCTCCCCACCATGTCGCGTCCAGCTCGCTCTGTAAAGTCGTTGCTCTCCCTGAATTCCAGGGGCTCTCCTGTGGCTTCAAGGCCTGTAACAGGTAGGCAGGAGGTGCGGTGTGGGACAAAGTTTTCAGACCACCTGAACGGTGTCTTCTCTGGACTTCAATTCCCCCCAGAACTCGCTCGTCGTATACTTACGCATGCCAATCATCAAACAGCTACGAACGGGCATAACGCAAGTTTAAGCTTCATCGGAATGCCACGATCACGTTCCAGGTCGTGTGGACTAATTGCCCACAGGTCGCCGTGTTCTTGACTCTTACCTTCACCTTTTCTTAACCTGAAGCTCGGCCCTCACACCCGAGCACGACTTGGAGGACATCGCCTACCACACCCTTCACACCTATGCTCTGGGGGAACACGTAGGGTCGAAGTGGGGCCTCGGTCGCCATTTGCGATGGGTACCCGCCATCGCTCCAGAGGTTCGCGAGCAAGTGTCTGATTCACCTGACCTGCGGAAGGTCGGGCTTTACAAGGTTCAGGGAGACGCGGTAACAGCAGTGGTGGGCGGCATCTTTTCCCAGTTTGTAGGTCCTGCTCCTCTACCCTTTTTGATGCTCTGACCGATGCATTTTGTCAGGGAGGCTTTGTGGCGCACAGGGTGTTCCATACACGACTGCTGCTACCTATGCTGGTGAAGGGAGCACTGCATGAAGCATTCCATCGTGATGCTCTATTAGTGTGTGACCGTATGGGTGGACCGGAGGGGAGACTAGTGATCAAGTCATCGTCGACTTTTTCTTAGTTTTCGTACGGTATTTTGCCCGCGACGTAAGTAGTGGGTTCCAGCTCTTCTCTCATGATTTTATTTTATTTTTATTTACATCACCTCGAGAAGATGGAGACCTGCAAAGTCTGGAAATGGTATTGTAACACAAGCGACGCAGAGGTAATCCCAGATCCCACGACGAAACCAAAACCGAGAAAGTGGCATGTTGTACAGTGGGTATCTAGCTTATCGCAGTGAGTGTGAACTGCTGTGGCTGATTTGAGATGGCGAGCAGATGTACGTGTGTATATGGGTGGGGGGGAGAAGCGTTCTGTGCGTGTATGGGCGTCGTAACGAGACGTAGACAATGGTGTGGGGTGGTGTATGTGAGTGTAGGGCTCTTGAATGTCTACTGGGTGGCACGCACAAGGGGATATCTCCGCAAGTGGCTCGTGGCGACACTATGTAGTTTGGGAGTATAGTGGAAGAGTAGCCCAAGAGCATGAATCGAGAAAGCGATGCGGCAGCAGCTTTTTCGACGAGATGCGAATAATGTCAAGCTAGGAGAGCCTTATCACACTGATTGCGGTAATGGCGGCACTGGAGTCGGGGTCGACGCCTTTTTTCGATATTCTAGAGCCCTCTCAACCCATCCAACCATATCCACCTCGATCTTTGAGTTTTCGACGAGGAATGGGTGGTCCTGAGTGACATCAGTCTTGCTTCATGAGTCTAAAATACGGACACTCACCAGTAGCTCACGATAACTCGCCCTTCGTTCTGGATCTTTCCTGAGACATTGGGCGACCCAATCCCGCGCTTGCTCCGAGTACTTTTCTTCTGGCAACTCCGGGGGATCCCCATGTACGATCGCCGTCAATTGAGCGAACACATTGGAGTATGTTTCGGGTGGGTAGGGGTATTGTCCAAGCCCAATCTCGATCATTGATAGGCCAAGAGACCATACGTCCGATGAGACGGTGTATGTCCCGAGGTTGTTCTGTGATTCTCCTTTGATTCGTTCCGGCTAAGCAAAGTTAGCATTGTATAGCGCAGTCATTGCCCAGGAACTCACCGCCATATAACTCTGACAGCCAATGTTCGTCTTTGCCAGGGACTTGTCGAGTTCGCCTGATATGCCAAAATCGCATAGTTTGATCTCCCCTTTTCTGTTGACTAGGACGTTGGTGGGTTTCACATCTAATTCTGGTGAGGAGGGAGGTTTTGATGAGCAGATGAGAGAGACTTGCCTCGATGAATGATATTGAGGTCGTCCTTGAGAAATTTAAGCCCGCGAACCATACTGCCAGCGATGCGACCAAGTACACCTTCTGGAACGCCTGCTCCCTGAAGTTTATCCAGGGAGCCGGCATCCATGTACTCCATGCAATAGTAAACACATGATTCGATAAAGAAAGCACCGTAAAATTCGACGATTTCAGGTGCAACAGCCCGATGAAGGACGTCGAGTTCCATGATGATAGCGTTTAGCTTTGCATCTTCAAGCTCGAGACGAATTTCCTGCAAGAAGAAAAATGAGGATAAGATTGAGATAGTGGAGGTAGAGTGGACCTTCATCGCCATGGCCACGTTTGTGGGTTTATGAAGAACCTTTTTGACAGTGCCATAGTTTCCTTTTCCCAGTTCTTCGTCGAGTTGTAGTTGGCCCATGTTGATAGCAAAAGAGGCACCACTTGAAAAATTAACACCTGTCGCGTGGAGAACAGCCTTGCCATTGAAATTGAGAGCACCTGAAGGGTCGCTGTGATAAAGATGAGAGGATGGAGGATGTTGAAAGAGAAAGACATACACGATTTTTGAGAAATTTGAAAAAGGAGAGCCAAAGTTGCCTGCAGGGGGACGACGAGGGGGATCAGGGAGTGAAGGACGGCCTGCGCCTAGACCGGCTGCGGCTACACCACCTCCTGGAAAAGGAGGATCTACGATGGAAGGATCGATATCGCGAAGACTAAAAGCTGGACGTTGCCTGCGAGCAGACATGCCTGCACCACGGGCACGAGAAGTGGGGACTGCGGGTGGTGGGTAAGTACGAGTGGGGTTGAGAACTGGGTGGATCGGGTTGAGGGAAGCACGTTGAAGGGCAGCAGTTGCAGAATCTACGGGTATAGGCTGAGCCCTATTTGCGAACTGTTCGAGGTGAGTAATAGTTGAATGTTTGAATGATAAAAGAACTGACAGCAGCCATTTTTGCTTGAAGAGATGGGGGAATGGGAGTCGAAGCAGGATGCTGGCCTCTATTTGGAAGAAGACCTGTGAGAGGTTTTTGAACTATTCTGCGAGGTTCTGATTCTGACATGAGAGTAGTAGGATGAATGTGTAGTAGTAGTGATACAAGTGATACAAGTGATACAGTAATACAGTGATACAGTAATACAACTATGTAATAATACGATAATACTCTTTGATCATGTCCGTCACTGTAAAGTGGGGAAAAGAAAGATTTTCATTCGCCCTTCCTCCTCCAGACACAAAACTGTCTGCAATTCGTACTGCCATTTCAGAGCACACTCATATCCCATACAATGCTTTCAAACTCATTTACAAGGGCACTGTCATGAAGGACGACAACGCCACCATCTCTCAATACCATCTCGTAAAAAACTCTTCAATCACCATCATCGCTCATGACCATCCAATTTCACAAACTGGACCACCGCAGCACGACCAGTCTTCTGAGCAATCTCTCATTAACACTATATCCTCAGAACTCGCAAACGTTCGCACCGAACTCCTTCCTTCCCTAAATACCCTTCTCGCCACTCCAAGAGAAGATACCCCCCTCCAGCAAAAGGAATACAGGCGTCTCGGAGAGCTCCTTCTTCAGGCTCTCCTCCGTCTCGATGCCCTCGAGTCAGAACGTGACTGGATAGATGCCCGTAACCAAAGAAAGGCCGCAGTCAAAGAGGTTCAAGCCCTTCTCGATCGCCTCGACGCATCTTCATAGACTAGTTTTTACCGTAGTGTTTACAATTTCGTAATCGATCCAGCGTACATTCTTTGCCCAGGAGGCGGTATCATCCACCCTAATCCGTCCTCGTTGTTGTCTCCCCCACTTCCTCGTCCAGTAAACTGTGCATTTCTATCCATCATCATCGCATGTACTTGCATTCTCAATCCATGCACATTCCCTCGCAACGACACCACCTCTTCTCCCAATCGCAGCGATTCGTTTGTAAGTGCGATCTCGCTTCGTCGACCCAGCGAGTCCATTCCCGCTGCAACATTTACAACACTCTCGCGTAGGCCTTTCAACGTCCCTTCCAATGTCGTTCCAAGATCAAGAGGTGCCACGGCCGTTGTCCGCAAGCCAGGTGGATGCCCAAATTGTTCTGATCCTGGCCCTGCCATTTGGAATCCCACTTGGTGCCCAATTGTTGGTCCTGGCAATCCAACATGTCCGTTTACCCCGCCAACGCTAGTGCTAGCACGGTGCCCACTCCTTCTGACCTGACTCGCTTCCGGGAAATAAAATGCCAATGGATCAATCGAAGAGGCGTATTCACGTGCCTCAAGCCGTTCAGTAAACCCCTCGCCGTGCCCCACCGCCCTCGCAGAGGACGACGAGGAGCTGGCAAATTGATTTTGCAGAGGCGGTTCGCTGGGGCTGTCCAAGCGGAACCATGGCCCCATCGCATGTCTCACCGCAGCCATATCCCGTCTCAGACTTTGCACCGTTCCTTCCAAGCTTTCCATGCGATGTCGCATCAAGAGATTCTGTTCTGTAAGAAGCGATAAACGTGCAGTGTTGGCGGGGAAAAAGTCTTTGATAGTTTCATAAGGACATGTAAGAAGATGGTCTGTGGATGCCAATGGCCCATCGTAAGGACATCCGTAAATGGAATGTGGGCATTCGTTCGACGTCTGAGCAGAGTCATGAGTACATGGCAAAACATGAGTTACACCGACTGACTTTATCATCGTTGTCAGGAGTCGATTTCTGAGTAGTTGGTGAAGTTTCCTCTTCCTCGGATGCATTCTGATGCGTCTCTTGGATATGCCTTGGTAATTCGGACCTCTTCAGCATCTCCTCGCAGTCCTTGTGCGTGCATACCACCTGGCTGTGCGAGCATTCGTCCTTTAAATGAGTTGCAAGGAGCTGTCTCTGGCTAGTATACGTGCATCCCTCTATGCGATGTACGCATGCCACAAGGAGCTCATCCACCAGCTATTTTATAGAAATTGGAAGGGGATAGGCGATGTAAGGGAAAGGACATACTGATCTAATTATGGGATTGGCTGGCCCCAGATCGGATAGACTGAGTGGAGAACGATCCACAGGACATTGGGGCGAGTGATTTAGGGAATGGATGATGCATTCGCGACAGAAAGTGTGTGCGCAGGTGCGGGTGGTTGTGGGATCCGTGAACGGTGCACTGTGAAGGTCATCAACCAAGGGCTTGGTGTAGAAAAGACCTTACATACCGACATATGCAACAAATCTTTCAACAGACGTATTAGCTACAAAGACTGCGATAATGAAAGAGACCTGACCAGGTTTGCATTCGGACTTTCTAGATAGCTAAAGAGTGACATCAGTTTATCCAATAACACTTATGTAAGCTTGGCGGCGTTACCGTTAAGTAGCCAAATTCAGAAGTCGGGTGCGACTTCGACATGTTTCCACTCGAGGTATGGCGTACATACATACATATGTAAGTAATAGGCAGTGGGAGGGTGGGTGACAAAAAATGAGAAAACAGCCTGAGGTCAATTGTGCGAGAGCCTTACAAAAATGAAATGGGAATCGCACCTACTAGCTGAGGGAGTCAAAAAAGTGAGATGTTGAAACGAGAGCCTTACAGAAAGGGGCGTTTCATCTCACTCCCCAACTGGTGGTGCGAGTCTAAATTAAGCTGCAATCCAAGTGTGGATCGCGAAGCGTGAGTCCAGAGAGTCGGCAAGTGAGCAGCGGCTCGTAGTCGTCGTGTAACTCAAGCCTTGGCTAGAAGCTCGACGGTGCTATGAAATAGCAAGGTCAGATAAATAGTGACGGCTGAACGGCAATACTTACTTCGCAGGGGACAACTCACCCATGGACATGTCCTCCAATTCCCGTTTTTGGTGATTTGTGTAAAATTCAACGTCGAGGACGGCTTGCGCAGTCTTCCCGAGTGATAGCCGAGTTTGTCAAAAGTTTGCTCCATTGCTCGGGCAGGCCCTATCTCTCGTGCCACTGTATTGCCTTCGCGAGTAGACAAATGAACACACCGTGAAAGCGTCAGAAACGGGGTCAAAGCCCACATGTACTTTGTGCACAAAGTTTGTTGGGTTACTCACACCCATGAATAAGCTTCGTGAATACACATCGTCCTGCCACCCGTACAACTCTTTGTCGTTTTTGAGTAAAGGAAGTACCGCTTGTCTTTGGTCTCTAGTATTAGACAGTAGGGCTTCAAGTCAGTACGTTCAATGTTGGAGATGTCCCTTAGCATGATCACAGATTGCGAAGGAGCCGACTGCATTACCCGCCATCAATCAGCAGTAGACAGAGACAAAAGGCTAGCACTGAACTCGCTCTTATGAATCGCCAAAGATAGCTCCTTAAGAACCAGCCATTTCCGTTTTGCCATAACCAGTTTCCAAAACCATCCTCTTTCATGCTAACGCCCCCACTCCTGACTACTTGGGAATTGTTGAGAGTGTCATCTGGCCCTCGATTGGGAGTGCCACCGATGCCGGAGTATGGAAAAGCATAAGAAGAGCCAGAGAGCGATGCTGGGGTGAAGGTGAAAGTGTTATTGTATCCCGCGTTGGCCAAAAGCCGTAACGGTAAGATAGTGCGCAGGTCCCCACTCAGATTAAGTAGCCAGATTGATGTGAGGAAGCAAATGGTTAGCCGACGACCCCATTTTTGATTTGAGGGGTTACAGTTCTACGACCTCTTAGTTGCTCTAATCAATCAGCGTTAGGAGATGAAAAAGAGCCAGTGAGAAGAAGGACACACCTGTATGTAAACCTCTTCTTTGTATGCGAGAATTCTCCGAGTTTGTGCCCAACCATGTCCTGCGTCACATTTACTGGAATGTAGTCTTTCCCATTGTGTACCATGAAGCGAATTCTGAAACCAGGAAATGTTAGGAAACATAGAAGAGTGATCGTTTGGCACCCATACCCCACGAAATTGGGCAAAATTGTACACGACCTGGCCTGCGTCTTAATGGGCACATGGTTCGTCAATGCCTCTCGCAAGTTGGGAAAGGCAACGAAGTAAGGACCTAGAGTAATGAGTATAACAAGTTCTAGCGGTCAAAAAGAGGGCACCCATTTTTCCAAGCCGATCGTCCTTTCTGCAGAAGTTGTGTTGGACGCATTACGATTCCGAAGTCAAGGTTTGTTGGCAAGTGCGTGATCGAGTTTTATGTAATTTACAAAACATGGCTTCTCCACTCACCCTCAATTCAACCGTCCGCCTCTCATCAGGTCACCCCATGCCCTTGCTCGGTTTTGGGGTGTACCAGAACTATGACACTAAGAATTCTGTTCTAGAAGCCTTCAAAGCTGGTTACAGGCACATAGACTCTGCCCAGGTGTATAAGAACGAGGCAGCTGTAGCTGACGCCGTCCGAGAATCTGGCCTCGATCGAGGGGATGTATTCATCAGTACGCACTATGTTGGATGCATTCAATATCATTCAATCAATGCTGAGGTTGTGACTGTCAAGCATCCAAATGCGTCTCTAAAAACCACGGATACGAGAAAACACTTAAAGGCATCAACGAATCCCTCGATCGGATGAAGTTTGGTATGACGAGCCCGACGTGCAAAGTGGACTTCTAATCGTGCACAGACTACATCGACCTCTTTCTCATCCACGACCCTTTCAGCGGTACCGAACGCCGCCTCGAGACATACAAGGCTCTCTTGGAGTGCAGGCATGCGGGTAAAATCCGAACTGTTGGCGTATCGAACTAGTGAGCATCTGTTTTTCGCTCTACGCCATTCTAGACGACAAGGGACAGCGGCGTAAAGCACCTTGAGGAAATTAAGAACGCGGGATACGAAAGACCCGCCGTCAATCAGATAGAGGTATATCATTATCCCAAATGCATTTCGCATCGTCTTACCCGATAGTTTAGCTCCACCCCTTGTGCCAACAAAAACCAATAGTGGACTACTGCAAAGAGAACGATATCGTTGTCCAAGCGTATTGCCCCATCATTCGCGGAAAGATGGACGACCCGGTCATAACAAAGTTGGCTGAAAAGGTTCCTAATTTTGTTCTTCATTTTTGCTTGAACTGAAAAAAACAACAAAAAAGTACAACCGTGACCCAGCCCAGATTCTCCTCCGGTGGTCCCTCCAAAAGGGGTAAGTTTCGTTTATAATGTCTCCTTTGCGCCATTCTCATTCTCGTTGGCGCAGTTTCGTTCCATTGCCAAAGAGCGCTACGCCATCTAGAATCCACCTCAACACCAATCTTTACGATTTCGAGTTGACGGAAGAAGACATGGGTGAACTTGACGCGCTTGACAAGGGAAAAAAGGGTGCCATCGGTTGGAACCCTGTGGACGCTGATTGAAAGAATTCGGTACAATGCTTTTCTGGAAACGAAATGGCACTTAGAAGAAGAAAATTGCATTGATCTATCGAAAGCTCTTGAGGACGTTTACAGTTCGTCATAAAATAGCAAAAAAAAAGTACAAAGTGGAGAAGTGAGGATTGTGTACAGACTGAAGTTTGAATAAAAGTTCGAAGGAAAGATGTGCTGCAGTGTCTATGACTACCGCGACGAAGGGAGGATTGTTTGCTGAGCCGCTTGATTTCGTTTCGTTATCTCCTCGTGTCGCTGCCAAAGAAGTTCAGCCCACAACGGGTGTGGTGGTATGCGGCCAACCAAGGCGCGTAAAACTTCCAACCTGGTCATACAAATCATTTAAGTCGCCATATTTTAGCAGATCAACAAGTCTTACCATCTGGCCTTTTCTTCATCCGTATCAGCAAAGAAGATAATTTCTTCGTCATGGGGGAAGATTAATCGGAAAGATCTCTCCACGCCGTATAGACCGTCGTACTCGTCAGCATACCGGCTGCTACGAGGATTTGATCCAGCGGATGAACTTAGCGCATTTTTACGCGCCTCTTGGTCGTCTTCGACCGCGATCGCTTTCTTGAGGTCGATGGTCGCGGTAGCTTTCTTTGTCACGTCGTTGAAGGCCACCAGATTGGCACCAACGACACGCAAGTGTCGTCTACGCCAGGTCTAAATCACTTCCATCAGACACTGGAGCAAACTAGAAAGAGAAAGAAAACTTACGCTACAGTCACCGCCACTCTGGGTCAATGTACCTTGGAAGTATGTCACCTTGTGCCAGTTGATATGCCTCAGTCCACGATGACAATCGTCCAAGCTTTGTGGAAGTTGATCTGGGGGAATGCCGGGTAATGGAGGGAGCCTAAACATTTGCAACAAAATTTCTCCAACTTGCAACGTCGAAAACTTCCCACCAAGTTCAACCCGCTGTCCAATCAAGGGATAGCTCGTCTCAAACAGCCTAGTATCGCATCGGGCTGCTATATCTTTGAAAGAAATGAAGGCCCGTGCAAGCGTGCCATCTGGTTTCAGATACCGAGCGAGATTTTCTGGCAGCCGCTGAAGGGGTTGCGAGGTAGGGGCTGGGGCTGGAGGAGGAGGTTGAGCGACCTTTTCTTTTGACTTTTTAGGCGATGAGGAAAAGAAACTTCGCATTCCGCTACTCTTCGAGGCTGTTTGGACGACTGGAGGTGGTACTGGTGCCGGAGGTGGAGGCGCGGGTGCCAATGCCTTGAATTGAGAAATTATGTGCGGATCCCGCCTCACTTTAATAGTCAAGGTGAACTCCAACTTGCTATGTTCAATTCTAAATAAAAGTGAGCACTAGTTTTGAAAGTGTCTGAAGAGACTCGATTCTTACAATTCGAATTCTTGATCGATGCGGCAATCCTGGCTTAATTGGCATTCCGGGGTAGTAACGAAATGAATTCCGTTGTTCAGTGTGCAAGTAATTGTGGTCGCTTGGTCCGGGAGCGGCAAATGAACACCTTTCACACCTAGCACTAATGAGGGAGCACGTTAAATAAAATGAAAAAAGAATCATGTTAACGAGGGGATGGGCTGACCTTTGACGAAGACTTTGCCATATGCCTTCCCAAGATTTTCCTTTGCACGGTATTCTTTGATCTGCTTTGAATATTCGTTCTGCAAAGGATAGTATTAACGTTTCATGGTTACAGGAGGTGGCATGAACTGACCATGTCGGATGGCCGCCGCACGGCTCTCCACGCTTTTCCTGCGTCAACGTCTCCAGGTCCAGGCATATGGGAAATTTTGTCCTCAGACGAGGAAGCGTAAATCATGGCCCCGCGCTCCCGAATATGGTATTTCTAGAGTCATTTCAGCATTGGTGATAAGCAATCAAAGAGAATTACTAACGCTTTTTTTGGGTTGTTCCACTAATTTGCTCAACTCTTTCTCAATGCTGTCTGCGAGAGGATCGTCTTCTACAACATCATGGACGTCGAGCAAATCTCCGGTGCTCATACTTCGCCGTCTACTGGGTCTTCCCACTCCCAAATGTTGTTGATCCTTCACAGGTGCTTTGCCTTTGGAAGGGGCACGGAAGGCTTCTTCTTCCTCCTCTGTTATCCGCCTTGCCTCGCGCCTTCGTTCGAGGATCATTTGTTCCCTCTGCTTGATATTATCCTTGGGGGGAACTTGTGGAGGAATAGTGGCCACCGAGGAGTCGCTGACGGTCCTACTTGAGATGCCAGCCACCGTACTATTATGAAGAAGTGGCGTATCAGTCGCCACGCGTTCCATTATCGCTGGTCGAGACAGCCCTGATATTGGTGAATCTTGGGATTCGTCGTAAGAATCGTCGCATTCGTCAGTCATCATGGAATCGTCGACCCTCCCACTAGCAACGTCCTCCATAAGGCGGTCGAGGGCGCTTTTCATTTCCATGTCCACATCTACGTTCCCCATCTTCATTTCACCAGATCCAACACTACGGCTGCTGACGCTGTCCGCCCTAGTACGCGCTGACACTGGCGTGACATCCAAATTATCGTCGGAACCAGCGTTGCCACCGTCTGAGATGCCCAACCCTCCCAGACCGAACTTGCTACCAAAATCAAATTGAAGCCTTTCTCCGGTGCTTAGAAACCCAAACTCCCGCTCGTTCACTCTGTCTTGTCCCGTGACACTGGCAAGCACATTTCTCCTCTCTGCTTGCTCAACAATCGCCGTCTCAGTGCTGAAATCCGTCTGGCCGGTCATGACGGACATCCTGTCCCTTTCTCTGTCTTCTTCATATTCCACTCGTAGCCTTTCGGAGTTGACGTCAACCTGAGCGTTGACATCAGAGGCCAGCTGAGATGCTTCACACTCGGGACTTTTTTCTTCTCTCGGAGACGGGGAACCAAGTTCAGGGCTTGGACTACCAACACTCCTTCGTCCCAACAACCTTCTCCTCACCTCCTCCTTGTTAATTCGCGGCCGTCCCCCCATACTAGGGCTTTGATCACCAGTAAGTAGGGGGGAAGTGACGCGTCCAATAGGCGAGGAGATACGCCCTACCGGGGAAGACAGTCGGCCTATTGGAGAAGCAACGCACGCCAAGACAGGTGGCTGGAAGGCCGGATATGAGGGAGACCGTTCCTGTTCGTCTTCCCCTACATCTGCCGTTTCTTCGTATCTGTGCGAATCCTCCGTTGAATTGAAACTGTCCCCCTGAGAAGCAATTATGAGTTTGTGGGACGAAAACTAAGAAAGTTGCAAACCTCTGCTTCAGCTCCTATGTCAGTCCCTCCCAAGCTGACGAAACTGACTTGGGAGTTGCCTATTGATACGTTTACAGAACCCACGGACTCGTCACCGTGGATCTCTGGAGGAGATTCTTCCTGTAATGAGCACTGTTGGAAAGGGTCTGCACCCCCATCGGGAGTTGATTTGTAAGAGGATTCCGCTTGGGCTTCTGCAAGGTAATATAAAGACTTTGGGATATGAGTCAAATACGATGCACATACCGTTCAAAATACTGAAGCGAGGAACCAAACCTTCTTCTTGCGCGATATCTCTGCTGGACTGCTTCATCGGTGAGGGACTGAGTGGTAGTTGATTAACGTCATCAGCGTCTTCCTCTTTCTCCTCTTCCCGGGCTTGTTTAATTCTTTCAAAATGTGTCGAGCGTCCTAAGGGCGGGGTGCTTTGCATGCCGGGAGAGCGACGAGGTGGCGTTGCTGGAGGACCATGGGGGGAAGCATGTGTTGGGAGGTTGAAACTAAAAGGGTACGAGCCAGGTGCATGGTTGCGCTGGAGAGAAAGTGAATGGCGGGGAGAGTCATGAGGTGAAAACCCTAGAGGTTGTTGGGTCTGGGAGGGTTGTTGGTGGTGGTGTTGAATAAATCTTTCAACATGATGGCTCCTCCCGAATGGAACGCCGTCTTCAGTGTCCAAATCCGTGGGTATGTCTGAGTATCGTGGGGGGGTACTCGCGTTAGATGCAAAGCTAGAGTCCGGAAGAAAATTGCGGGCATTGGGCGAGAAAAAAATCTCCTCCACAAGGCCAGTTATGCTGGTATCGGGATCCAAGGCCATCAGAGAAGGGGTAGCACTTGGACTCCCCGTGTCCGATAGTTGGATACTTTCGTAGGACTCATTTTGGTCCATTACTTCCTCATGGGCGTGATCCCCCGAATGCCCAGTTGCTCGGAAAAATGGATCATCAGCGTCATCTTGAGCATTATCATCTTCGTCCATTTCTAAAGCTTCTTCATCTGTTTCCTCCTCACGGTCGAACTCGACAACATCACACCGTTCGTCAAAAGTGACCGTTTTTCGGCGTTCCCTTTTCCCGCCACCACTGAGACGAGGACCATGCATCCTCTTTGAAACGAGAGATGAACGACCTGGCGAGGGACCTGGGCTTATCGCAGGAGGAGGAGGTGCACTAAGTGAGGCGGGAGGCTGTATTGAGGTGGCGGAAGGCGTAAAGGTAGCCAAAGGTGCTCTGGTGAGAGGCACGGGGATAGGCGAGGTTGAAGGTCGGGAACCGGAGCTCGTGCGTTGACGCAACTTGAAAGGACTCTTGGTGACGGGTTCCTTTTCGATGAGATTTTGGAAACCTTTACTTTGTCTGCGTTCTCGTTTTAAAGCAAAAGGACGCTCGTTCTCGTTTTCTGCTTGCTCATAAAGAGATGAAGGACGAGGTCGCTTCTCACCTGAGACCCGTCGGGTGGGCGACGAGGTCGGAAAAGTGATGGAGATTGGACGATTGGATGAGGTAGACGGGGTTGGGATCTGTGATTTAAAGGGAGACTTCGAAACAAGGTTGTTGTTATGAACATGTTTATAGCTTGATGAGGAACGGCGGGCAATCGCAGGTCCTCTTGGACGTCCTGGAGAATCTCGTTTCGAGATACGAAGTGGAGAGGTAATGGACCCTCCGCTAGAGGAAGAAGAAAGGGAGCCACTTGATTGTGAATTCCAACCCATACCCGACTCGCGCAAGATAGAAGACTTGATTGGGTCAGGAGAGTTTGAAAGCAGTCGGTCTCTCAGAGGAGATTTATGGTTAGCCATAATCCTCGCGTCGTCGTTGCCAATAAATGGCTGGTCACTGTATGTAACGGTGTCAACGATTAGTTTGCCGGAACAGCGTGGCGACAGTGAGCTGATGAGGGGGAGAGCCAAGAACTTGCAAGTCAACGAAATTCACTCGTGAGAACAAACTCAACGAAACGCGCTCATCACGTGATGGCGTTGTAATAAATAATAAATATTTAAATATTTATGTACCGGTCCGAGTTTATACCCGGTCCTACCACAACTGCCGTTTTTAACATTTGTCCTCCTAACCTATCACCATGTCGTTTCAAGGCCTGATATCTGGTTCTGAATGCGCCGTTCCATCTAATCCCTTGTCTCAAGTACTCAAACATACGGAAGGAGACCGGAGCTTGCAACAGGTTCGCCATAACATCTCTGCAAAAAAAGTCTAATCGTACTGTAGCACAGAGTAGCTGGTCCTTCCTCTTCTAGAGTGAGAAACTATTTCACTCTCTCCGCATAACATCATCTGATCCTATCCAAAGCTCCATCAACTTCCTGGAACCTTGAACCCAACATCAAATGAGCATGACGTTGCTCTCGCTCGCCAATTTTTTGACACGAACCAGCAAGGCCATGAAATGGCACCCAGTTTTACAATTCCATATGCTTTGGGGCCGGCTCGTATGGATACAATGAGTGGGCCGCACTTGCACGATGCGTGGGTGAAGGAACAACAGGGCATACGCCCTTTCGAAGAGCTGGCGAACAACGCAGCTTGGGCGTCTGAGTTTGGAGGTTCCTACTCGCCTTCACCTTCAGCACAGCAAATTATGGTCAGCAAGCCAGAATGTAAGATCATCCAAAAGTAAAAATATCGTCATAATGTGACCACCTTTGCAGATCAGCGACCCTCACTCATGTCGGGAGTTGTGATGCATGGAGGCACTATGCCAGTGACCATGTACGGCGCGAATAATGTAGCGCATTATGGACTGAGCGCAAATTTTAATGTTGTGGAAGGCAAGGGAAAGGGAAAGAGCAGGGAAGCCGACTTCGAGGCGGCCTTCGCCCAAATCGCCGCGTCACTCACTCCAGCGCAAGCCGATGTATCTGGTTTTGTAGAGATTGAAGATGAAGCGACAGACATCGAAGAGTCGCTCAAGAACGTCTCCCTCAATGTTAGCGAATCCGACGTTGAACATGGGACAGACTTCCAAAAGTGCGCCACTTCAATACTTTCACTATTACATGGAGGTATATCATATCTACAGGGTTTGGGATCAGCTGCAGAAATCAGAATTGCCACCTCCGAAGGAAGATCTTGCCAAGTGGGAAGCCGAATTTTCTCAGTTGATGAATGCCCAACGGGACGAACTTGATGACTATGGCTCCGCCATGCAAGAAGCATGGGAGGGCGGCGTTGGGAATTATCAAGAAGGCACGCATGGGGAGAATCCCGTTCGTTTCGATGCGGAAGGGATTCCAATGTTGGGCGATTACGTCTTCGGTAAGCCAGGTTGACAGCATCTCTTACCGGGTAATAGTTAATATTCCTTTCCCTTCAGAACAGAACAACAAATATCTCGGTCAACCCCCCTCGTCTCGCTCACTCTTAGACGATGCTAAAGCTCTTTTGGAACAAAACGGGTCCTTATCTGAAGCCGCTATGATGCTGGAAGCTGCTATTCAAGAGGGACAGCTGGGAGAAGGTGGTTTCGAGACTTGGATCCTTTTGGGTGAGACGCGGAATATGGATGAGCGAGAGGACGCAGGGATGCGAGCCTTGACGCATGGAGTGAAGCTCGCAGAAGAGGCAGGTGCCCCAGGTGCAGGAATGCTGGTATGTGCCTACTGATGCAACGCTAGCCTTTGGGTTGACTTTCCCTCAGTCTCTGGCGATATCCTTCACAAATGAGTCATACGACCGTGCATCCCACAGTATGCTCTTACGCTGGCTAAGAGCTCGATTCCCGACTTTGGTTGTGCCTGAAGAGACGATCAAAGCCATGTCTACTAACTCTGCATGGGACACGCACACTCGCATTACTGAATTGTTTCTTGGTTTGGCCCGGTCGCAGCATGACCAAGGCGTAATGGATCCAGACGTTCAGATTGGCCTTGGCGTACTGTTTTACACCAATGGTGAATACGATCGCGCGAAGGATTGTTTCGCAACTGCCCTGGCGGCACGGCCAAAGGTGCTGCTTCTGTTTTCGTTTCTTTAAGTTGTCGCTCAATCTTTCCAAGGATTACCTTCTCTGGAATAGGTTTGGGTCCTCTTTATCAAATGGCAACAAGCCAGAAGAAGCTTTGGGAGCGTATCGGGAAGCTCTTCAAATCCGACCGACGTATACCCGCGCGATTTACAACGTCGGGGTAGCTTGTTAGTATCTCGTAACCCTTGGTAACTTTGGACTAATATATCATTCAGGTTTGAACATCGGCGCTGACAAGGAAGCAGCAGAACACTTTCTGAGCGCATTGAGCCTGCAGCAATCAACAAGTGGAGATACCAGTGACCAGCTGTGGTTTACCCTCCGCCGCGCTTTATTGTCAATGGTACACATTTTTTCAAATATGAATCAAGAACGATGCTAACTTGAATCACAGAATCGGATAGACCTTGCAGACCTGGCCAAGCCTGAAGCAAGGAGTAGCTTAGAATTATTTAGGAAAGAAGGCTTCGACTTTTAGCTACTTCAGCGATTTACCACAAATACTATGTTACATGTTTACAATCACTCAATAATGATTGATGTGCAAACATTGTATCTGGTTGTTTCCTCCCCTATCAATATCTACGATCGCAGACTTTCCTTGCATTTCGTCATTTTATCTGAACATAATGTCAGCTCCGGGAGACGTTTACATGTAAGTAGGCATCCACATTAGGGTAATGCCAGTTCTGAAGTCTTTCTGTGTGCTAGTCACGATGTCCTCAAGAAATCGAGCCTCCCCGATTCGAAGTTGAACAGGATATCCTGTCAATTAACGCAAAACAAGGTCATCGTCGATGCCAACTGTTTTGAGTCTTACATAGCTCAATACGAAAATACAGATTCGGGGTGGCGCTCAGGCGATGCGTTCGTACTCTTGCACATATATAAGTATCGAATTCGCAACTCAACCTAGCTCGGCTTAAGTTTACGCTGTCGGTTTGAGTGAGGACGATATGAACAAGCCTCAGGTATGTAGGGGATCGAGGCGCCGTTTCAATGACAGGTTCTAAACGGGCTGTTTTAGATTGGGATTTCTCCAGTGTGGTGGGAAGGTGTGTTGAAATAGTCGCATCATGCCACTGACAAGAGTCAATGAATCAACAGGGAACCCATGTAACTCTCACCTTGTGTGTCCATCACTCTTGTGGCATGAGGTCATCATTCAATCCGACCCAAGCTTGACCTTGCCAAGCACGTAAAGGAAGGTTGTAAAGCAGAGGATCTTGTTGGTCTTATCTTCAATACCATTGGCGTCAGGTAAAAAATCAACATTCCAGTTACTACTTGACGTGACTGTTATTACAGCGACGCGATTACGATGGGAACAGATGGTAAGCTTCAATGATATACCTTCGCAAGGCTGAGCACAGATTTCATTACTGGAAGGAATGAGATATTCGTTGGTGGAGCTTTTTGAAGTGCCCACTCTGTGACCCTCATATTTTGACCTTGACAGTCTGCCAAGTCGAGATATCATTGCAGATTCAATCGAAGCTGTATGGTCTTTATCCCTCAGTTCTAAGTACTCAAAAGCGAGTCGGTTCATTAGGTCGTTATGGTAAGCACCATATCCAGTAGCTCAAGATGCTCAGCAATTTAGAAGTGTAGGCTCAACATTACGACGCCAACATCTCAATACCAGGGTGTGACAAGAACATGCCAGGTTGCTTCATCGCCGCAGTCCGTCATAATCGACCAACGATCATTGTTTACGGTGGAACTATTCAACCGGGCGTCCGGCATGTCGGTAAATAAGGTGACTTATTCAAAAGGGCTAGTTCTGAATTGCGAGTTTAGATTGCCCTTCGATGGGCAAGGAAAAAGGTGGATCAGTGAATATCTCTGACGCATTTGAATCTTATGGTTCGACATCTTCGAATGTTCCTTCATAGAGATACTGATGGCTTTTCAGGGGCATTCGCCGTTGGAAAAATTAACGACGTGGAGCGATTTGATGTCGTTCGCCACGCATGTCCTGGCGCAGGGGCTTGTGGAGGCATGTACACTGCGAACACCATGAGTTCAGCCCTTGAGGTCAGCGTGTTGTGCCATAGAAGGAATTGTACTGAGACACCTTAGGCTCTTGGGATATCTTTGCCCTATTCATCGAGCACGCCAGCCCTGTACCCCGGTTCGTTTCCCTCTCAGTGCTCCTCTACGAGCGCTGATCAGAGATTACAGAGAAGGTTCAAGAGTGTTTTCGAGCAGCAAAGTATTTAAAACGTTTGCTTGAATTAGATCTGAAGCCCAAGTTGGTTGACTGTTGCCTGATTCATCAAAACCGGAGACCTAACATTTGCTGCCATTGCCAGGGACATTTTGACCCGAAACTCGTTTTTAAATGCTATCGTCATCATAACCGTTCTCGGTGGCTCCACGAATGCAGTTAGTTTACCTCCTTCTTGCATCAACCGGTTGTGGCTAATGTGGGAGATTTAGGTTTTGCACTTGCTAGCTATGGCTCGCGCAGCTGAGGTAGAACTCACAATCGATGACTTCCAAATGATTGCAGACAAAACGCCTTTCCTGGCCGATTTAATGTATGTCAACAGTCTTCTGACTTGTCACCGCGGGGTAGAAGACATTCCCCAGGCCTTCAGGGAGGTATTATATGGAGGATATCCACAAGATCGGAGGAATCCCTGCCATTCTGAAATACCTATTGAACCACACCGATCTTATCGATGGGACACAGATGACGGTGACCGGGCGTACTTTGGCAGAAAACCTCGCAGATGTACCTGAGCTCGAGTTCGATAAGCAAGATGTTGTTCGAAGCTTGAGCAATCCTATCAAGAAAACGGGCCATATCACGATCATGCGGGGAAATCTAGCTCCAGAGACGGCCGTAGCCAAACTCACAGGGAAAGAAGGTCTCAAATTTGAGGCATGTTTCGAACCGACTGCTTTGGTAGCTGAGTTCGCTGATTCATAGGACAGGGAATTGCGAGATGCTTTGATAGGTTAGTCCAAGGGGCTTTTAACGACGAAAGGTTTGCTGATTACATTCTTAAGCTTGGATGGATTCTATCCAGCGCTTGAGGCGGGTGAGATCAAGGCAGGCACGGTGCTTATCTTTAGGTATCAAGGACCAAAAGGTGCACCCGGTATGCCCGAGATGCTTGGTGAGAATATACTCATATTCGCCGAGATTACCCATGAAACTTACTCGGACTCCACAGGTCCAACAGGAGCCATTGCAGGCGCTGGACTTGCTCGTTCCACAGCCTTAATAACAGATGGTCGCTTCTCAGGAGCCAGTCGAGGATTTATCATAGGTCACGTCGTGCCGGAAGCCCGTGTTGGAGGACCTATCGCACTCGTTAAGAATGGGGACCGAATCGTCATTGATTCCGAGACCCGAACGATCAACTGGCTGGTTGATGAGAACGAACAAAAACTGCGCAAGGCAGAATGGGATGCCTCAGAGAATTCGAAATTCAATGTCGGGCGGGGTGTACTTTTGAGGTACGCTCGAGATGTCGCAGTAAGTTCTGCTGATTGGTTGGTTGTCCATTCATTCCTGAGCCATTATTTGCCCATCTAACAGCCGGCCAACCTTGGAGCATATTGCGATTGAGCTATGTAACCGCTGGTAATGACGTTGAAATTTCAGTGTATAACAAACCGTGTCCATCTATATTTTCAAAACATGTTATACAATTGGGTCATCCTCCACGAGTATGTAGGTATAAAATAAACTTGAAAAGTGACCTCCAACCCAAGATAAATTTATATGTCCTAGACCTGCTAGATTTTGAAAGGCGTATTCATTTCGTCTCGTCTTCGATGTGTTCGTGGAGGATCCACGACTGATTCGTCGTGTAGAAGCGTAGAGGCATGTGAAGGTATAATCATCGATTTATTGGTTTCATGTCGGAACAGCTTTGGCGAACACGAATTTCCTCTGGAGAATTCTCGTTCGGGGAAAGCATGTTCTCCGGGTCTGCGTTGACCGAGCAAGACAGCTGGGTCGGGAGGGATAACTACTTTCTCTGCAGGTGGTCTCACATCTTTCTCTCTAGGAGCCATTTCGCCTGCTGCGATGAGACGGTTTCGTTCCTTTCTTCTGTAACGTTTTTTGAAATATACCGCGAAACCAATGATCCAAGCTATGAGCAAAAGAGAGCCGCATATAGAACCGGCAATAATTGGAGTCTTGGCCTTTTTGCTGATGGACAATGAATGACGGTTGCATGCAGATGGCTTTGAATGGAAACCTTACCCTCCCAAGGAAGCGGCCTCTGAGGAGCTGACCGCTAGATTAACTCGTGTTGATGGGATTACCGCCGACGAAGCTTTACAGTAAAACACTTTAGAAAGGTAAGGACCTGGTCAATCAGCGTTGAACTCACAGGCATTCGTGAAAGATGGCATGATGTAGGCAACTCGGGCATTACGTAAGTACAGCACATTGCCCTTTAATAATGACGTCACTGCCCCTCAACTTGCAAATCGTGTACACTTTGCAACCCAACCCCACGAAGAATTTTCGAAATAGACTCGTCCTTCAAAGCCTCAAGTTCTTCGTGACTTTTAACCAACAACATGCCAGCAAATCCAAGTGCATTGACGCTGAGCTTTTCTCCAGTGGCTTGAAGGGTATGTGTTTCTCGTCGTCGAGGGATCAGGTACAGGTGATTGAGGGTCAACATCACATTGTACGATGGTTTTCCAGGTGGGTAATCTGGGTCGTGCCGGATAGTGGATATAACGAGATCCAAAAGCTGCATGAAGGCACTCGAAAGTACCCTTTCTAGCTCATCAAGTGGGTATGTGTCTAAACGGGGTGATAGGCGAAAAACGTGGTTGGCGAAGGATAGCTTTGTTAGCGAGAAGGGTTTATCTGGAATATCCAATTAGCAGTCGTTTAAGATGGACAGCTTCAAAGAAGACCTGGAGTTTCTAGATTCACTTGGCCTGCAAGATGCTCTATAGGCGGTCCCTTGGCATCTTCAGGATTCAAAGGAATAAATTGAATATGCTTATGTGGTTGACTGGCCCCACTGTTCTCGCCACCTGAAAAACAAGACCAGTTTAAAAAAATCATATTTCACGCACGGAGGGGGCGTCTCTCACAGTTATAAAAAGCAAAGAAATGTTTTCCTGCTCGAGAGGCAGTGGATATAAGAGTATAAGCCTGGACAAGCTCAGACGGCAACAACGGAGATGTCTGCGATTTAAATTCTGGAAGCAAGAGGATCAATAAAGCACGGTACTTCATCTGCCACAGTAACATACCTTTTGTCACAAGCAGGAAATGGTGAGGGACGACCGAGAATTTATTGAGCTTATAAGTCGTAAGGGCGTCGACTCAAAATGGGGACCAGCTGGGAACTCACCAGGATAACGAATTCCTCTTGGCTTTCCTCATCTTTGAGATCTCCGACGTAAAGGTTGGGGTTATAAGGTGGGGAGAAGGGGTCCAACGTCCTTCCTTTAATATCAGGCGCTCCTCTGTCCGATTCGACTGGTAGACCGACCGTGTCGAAGTGAAGGGATGGAAGTGTGGGTTTCTTCTGCAATGCTGGGCATACTCTTATCTCGAACTATTTGCGATTTCATGACGGTATCTCACCGCAATGGGGGGATCCTCACCTCAATGTCGGAATCGACGAGCTTGATCACTGTCGACGGGAAGAAGAACAAATCGCCAGCCTTCAGTGCGGCCTCATAACTCTGAGGAATATTTGAGATGATCTGTCTTGGTGACATTCTTAAGGGGTAGTAGGAATGCAATCCTGAGGATCTTGGACAGAATCGCTTCCTTGTGTTCGGAGATAGTAGTGACAAGTGTTTGTGTTACTCGATACAATATACATCGGAGGGTATCATCAGGAATGGTTCCTTGAAAGACGAAATGACAATATTAAATGAATGTGCAAAATTGGGTTCCAGCCCTGATAAAATTGCTGGTTTTAACCTCCTGCCGCTGTCAATGGCGACACTCAGTAGATATTGGGACTCCTCAAGCCATCCCTGCCTTCCCGCGATTATCTTTTGCTTCTTGCATCGTTTCTCCGAGCATAAGCGAACGGCCATAACATATGACCGCTATCAATGACCATATGGCGGCATTTGTTCCCTTGAAAAAACATTAATTGTATCCTGAATCAACGTGCAAAAGGAGCGCACCTGGTAGAAGAGGATTGTCAGGAAAACTTGAAATAGCAGCAGAACAATCCGGCCAACGATGCTGCGATACAAACTAAACTGCTTAACCTGTGGCAGAGGAAGTTCGATGGCAAGTATGGATGCTGCGAGAATGTTCGAAAGGATTTGCACGAGGGGAATCTTGACGATGATGGTAATGAAGAATTCAGCATTTGGAGATGGCCTATTATAGTCTGCAGTGAGCTTTGAAGGTTGGCGTATATATCTTGGCCGACTCACTGAATGCCTCCGGGATCACGCAAAGTACCACCCACAAAGTCCCAAAAGAATTTACGATAGAACAAGCCGAAGAAACTTGCCCAAATGGCATCTGTAATGGCACGTGAATGATCGTTTTTTGTATAAAGAAGGGCACACCTACAGACGCTTGCCGTGATAGAAACAAGTCGGGAGTATTCGTGCCAGATGAGGTTGCCCATTGGAAAGACGAAGATTTAGCGAGAAGATAGAAATATAACAAGAAAATTGAAGGGAGCCTGCTCCAAAACTGAGGAACGTCTTTAAGCGAGGAGGAAAATAGCGAGCAATGACGAGCGCAGCTCGGCGAAGGAGGAGAAAGAAAAGCACAAAGAAAGAAGGACAACGAACGAAAGAGTATGACGACCATTACCTAACAACCCTGACTTAAATAATACAACGGCTTTGGATCCTAATACGAACAAATACAAAACTGATCGGGGCATAATTAAGGAGTTCTTGACAACCCTTGTCAAGGTGAGTATGCCTATCAAACCCACTAAACCGCCTGCCTCTGCCTCGAAATCCCTCGTGCCTGTTGGTCCAAGGCATGTATCTAGAGTTGCCAAAGGCAAACGAGATCAAGATGAAGGGCCGCCTAAGGAAAAGGCATCGACCACCAGGGCACTGGTTTTGCGAAATGGCAAACATGGAGCTAGGGGAACAGGGGAACTTATGTTGATGAAAAAAATGACAGGGAGAGAGAAGTTTGAATTAATCGCAGGTGTGCACTGCTTTTTTTCGTGCTACATTCGCACTGTCTGATGAGCATCCGCAGAGGAGGAGGTTAAGACGGCAATCATGCCTCCATTCAGTCTTGAGAAGTGCTTAAAAATTGCAGAGTCTCAGTACGATGGTGCGATTCATACTGGTCGATTTTGGCGCTTGAGACGATTTGTTTATTTTCCCCTTCTGTTCATCTAGCTTACCTTGACGACATTGCGAACCTAAGAGATCCGGACCTCTTTCGCTATATTATTGAGGCCGAGTTGCAGGCGAGGTCGCGCCCTGGTTCTGAAACTCGCAGATCTCCTACCTATGTAGCGAAGGTCGTCGGAACGAGGTCGGTTCTTGGCCTTGTCTCACTTTCGTTTCTAAATATCGTCGGTTGTTATTTACAGAATACACAATGCGTATTTACTCGCTTCAGCATGGAAGATGGTGCAAGATACACTCAATGGCCTTACAATAGACGGTTTATCCGATCGAATAATCAAGGTGCAGTTGAAGAATAATGAAGATATGAGAGATCGCTTTTTGGTTTTGTATGATATGGTGAACGTGCTGGTTGAAATGAGCCATGCAAAGTTTTCTGTATTGGCGACGACTACCCGTAAGTCTTTAATTCCTCCTTGTAACCACTTAAAAATCATCCATACAATCCAGCGCACTATGCGAAATATTTCAAGAAGAGTGAAGTTTCAGCACCAGGAGAGGAGGAAATGGCGTTTGATTGGAAAGATCTTCGTGGAGCGGCCAATTCTTTCCTTGACTCCATCATCATAGAACTTTGTTTTCCGCGTGCACCATACCCGAAAGCCATTTTGTACCGGATCCTTCACGATGCCATCGGAGAGTCACCTCGTGAGGCCAAAAGATTCCCTCAAGCCTTGTGGGACGCCGTTGGCGATCTTTCGGTTTGTTTGATATTCGCTGTATTTGGACTGGCCTTCTCAAAGGATCGTAGGAATCGGTAGAATTGCAACAATACCTGGAAGGAGCCTTGTCTGGTTCAGATGGTCAATCTTGGAAGAAATCCGCGCGGCAAATGCCCGAAGAATACGAACTATGGATTGACGCTCAGATTCTCTCGTCGAAAGCATCCGCAGAAATCGCAAACTTCAAGGACTCCATCTTCCCCCTCGAGAAAACCAGACACACCGTCGTTTTGGACAACATGTGGAAGTTTATCAATCTGGTGAGTTTGTAGCTATCATGTTGCCTCAATCACCTGAGCCTCCACAACACAGAACTATCAAGCCGTTTCTGGCCATAACATTGACACCCTGTGGCAACTCGAAGGAGAGTTAGACTATGCTCCGCAATGGAGTTCCTACTACATTCCTGATCTTTCTGATGATTCGGATGACGATTCGGACGGTCCTCCCCGTTTGGTTTCGCCGTCGAAAGTCGGTAAAAAGAAGCGCAGACCACTTGCCATAACTAATGGCGCAGATTATGAAGGCAGTGACTCCATGCCAGACCTACAGTCCGTCTCTAATTCCTCCGACGATGATGATCTCGAGAACGATTCCGACGACTCCGACGATGACGATGACGAAGGCGATTCTGATGCAAGCGACTACGACGAAGAGGCAGAGGATGAAATACGAGAGATGCTGAGGGAGGCCATGGACGCTGCTCATGAAGCTGACTGGTTTGAGAGCAACGTCTCTCCGGAGTTGGATCCCTTTGCGCAGGAAGACCGAAAGGGAAACCCATTTTTGAAGCTGCTGGGGTCGCTAAGAGGTATATTTCTTTGAATGATACCACAGGAATCGCGAATTGAGCAAAGTCTATGTTTTCAGGACGTATGTTCCCGTCCAGTCCAAAATTGAAAACGCCTGGTACTCGCACAGAAGCTCGACCAGGCATCCGTGGAGCTTTCCGGGCAACCCCCTCTGGTGTTCCTAAACCACCTCCAACGACGGGTCCCCCGAAAGCAGTCCCAGTTTCCGCGAAAGGTTAGTTGATTTTTTGCCTTTTGACATATATTCACGTCTGCAGTCGCAACGACCCCTGCTGCGAGCGCAAAAGGTCGGCCAAGTTCATTACCGATTTAGCTGCTTAGTTAATATTGGACTCCCAACAGTTGAACTCCCCAAGAGCCATAAAACTACGATCGAAGAAGTGGAGGATGAAGATGATGCCCCTCTTGCATCCAAAAAGAAGAAGAAGAAACCCAAAAAAAAGAAGAAGCCAGCCCCCGCATCCCCAGAACCACAGGATGTATCCCGACGATCATTTTCTACTTCGCCGACACCTGCAAGTGCTCCCAAGTTGCCGACACCTCTCCAAGCTCCAGCTTCCCCGTCTCCGAAGCGCAATCAGGCAGCTCCTCGACCTAGCACAGCTAAGCCGGCTCAGCCCCAGATGTCAACAACATCTCTTGCGACGCCTGTTGAGCCTACAACGGCGCAATCGGCTCACAGTTATCTCCGTACGCTTGAGGAGCGAGAAAAAGTCAAAGAAAAAATTAAATCACGTCCTGATCATGCTTCCCTCTTCTCTAACCCAGAAAAAGAGAAGAAAGGCTTTTTCTCGAAACTTGGCGCTGGGCTGAAAGGCAAAGGCAAAGACGATGCGACGCCGAAGAACCCCAAATATACGTGGTTCTCTAAATTAAGTAAGAAGACAACTGGATATATGCACCAACTCCTTGCCACTGCGGAAGATACGACGCAAGGGATAGCGCCCATGAAGTGGGAAAATTTCCTCAAGGTTTTTTTCTTATCTGCATGTTTTCAGGGCGAAATTCTGATCTGTTTTCTCCCCAGCTTATGAGGGAGATGGGGTTTGAGTATGATCCGAGTACTGCGGGCTCCAGCGTTAGATTTGACCCACCCAACAAAAATGATAAGGTGCGAATATCGAACGTATGTATAGAAAGATACTAATTTCTTTTCTGTTGATAGCCTATTACCTTCCACAAACGTAAGCTTTGGCATAACTATTCAACTAAATGGCGCCTCATTCCATCCCTTTTCAAGCGCATCCCGATCCAACGCTTAAACCCAAGATGCTCAAAAATTTCGCAAAGAGACTCAAGAGGAAATATGGCTGGACCGAGGAGGATTTCCTAAATCATGTCCCTGGCTCAAAGTGAGACGAGTCATTTAGGTAGTCCCTTAGAAACTACGTCTACACGTCTATCAATTTCGACCAGCTTCTTATGTATCTAGTTACAATGCCCTTACGACATTTCTGAGCCAACACATCGCTAATTGATCAATCACAACGAATCACGCCCCCACAAGGCTTCGAATTTTCCACAAAGGAGCAAGTTGTTCAAGCTGAATGCTAGCAGTTTAGACACTTAACAACGTAACGATGGAGTGCAACATACCAAGCGGGGAAATCCTTCTTCCCTGATCACGTCACCTACCACTTGTTCTAAAGTGGCTGAGGAAAGATTATATATCGAGGTCACTTCTTTGAGAGAGGCCAGGACAGGGTCAAGGGGGGGAACCTGAAGAGAGTCCGTGTTAGACGCAATTGTATTGCCTCCATTTGTTGCACTCGGTTCAGAACACGGAAGTGATGACGGGGTCGGAAGGGTTAAGGGGCTGGGGTTTGGTTCGATCTGACCGACATATCCCGCGGAGGCAAACTGGAGGGAGATATTCTGATCAAGATAACGGTTGGAAACAGTTATAGAGTCGGTCGCCTCAAGCCCATATCTGGCGCTGGTTGCAGACGAAGAGGTAGGGTGGGCGACTGAGTTGAAAGGTGACGAGCTGAAGTGCTGTGGTATGCCGAGGGAAGAAGAGAATGGTGCCTGAGAACCTTGTATTGCTCCTTGGGCGGCTGGCAAGGGAATGGGTTCACCACGATCTGATTGCAAGTTAATGACGTTGTCAGAGAGCTGGGCATGAGGTTGTGTTCCGCCGGAGGGGGGAAGGCCAATGACACTTGGATTAGAGTTGAGGTTGGAAACCTGGGGGTTATTTGGGTTCTGCTTGCACGGACACACGGTTTGAATGGCATTGATGAATTCGGACACGAGAGATGGCGACGAAAATGAAACCTGAAAACGTCGAAATGTCTGCGAGCACACAAGATCCGTAAGTCATAGTCATAGAGCAGCACTCGAAGAATTTGTTGCCAATGCATACTGGTGGGATTTGATCACGAGGGTGCATATATCGTATTCCAACGAGAGTATCACGGTGGACGGCTTTCAAAGGGAATCCTTGTGAGTTTTGCTTCTGCGGGACTCGTGATTCAAGGGCAGAGAACGATAAAAGATCAATATCTTCCTGATTATGGTCGATGTTAGCACTAGCGACAACTGATTTGGTCGTAATATTTCGAGACTTGCAAAGACGACCTCTGTATTGTTAAGACCATCTTCTGGGCTGTCATGGTTGATACGCCACAGTATTCGAAGACGCATAGACTCTAACTCATTGTCGCCGCTCTTCTTGATGTCGAGGATGAGAGATATGGGAGGGTTTGTGAAGTGCTGCCATTCTGAGGATGTATCTTGCGATTGGGTAGGCGTTTTTGAGGGATATGACCTGGAATATTTTGCAAGAACATAGGTTGATGTTGCGGTCGTTGAGTGAGCCATGAGTGTAACACGCAGGTTGCACAAACAACTTCCGACTCTTTTACTAAATAGATAACTTGAAGTACTCTCATGTCGGCTACAACGTCCTTGACGAGAATACTGATGAAATCTCATCACATACGAATACCCAACTATGACATGCCAATTCGATTCCGGCCAGTGAGTTATGTCGCCCAGTTATTTGAATAACGCCGCCTTTTACATTGTCACTCACAGTGGTTTCTCGTTTTCACGGTCATCATCATCATCCTCCTCGCCTTCCTGGGTTTCACCAAATTTTCTCAGTCTTTGCCTCTCAACGACAAGCTTCTACACTTCCTATGCTTCTCCCTGGCTACTGGTGTCTTCTACTTTATCTTCGATGTCGAAGAGTATGTCCGTTGTCCATGTGTAATTCGGTCTAACCACTACATATACTAGACATGCCAAGAGAATATGGTTTTGGAAGCATTCACCCCTGATTTTCACCTTATTTCTCTGCTTTCTCTGTGGGGGGATTCTCAGTGAATTCGTGCAGTCAGCCCTTCCAGTTGAGTTCTCTGCCTAATCTACTACCAACATCCATAACCTTCAAGGTTCACAGTACAAAGAATTTCAAATTGGTGATATCATTGTGCGTTTTCGATTTCTTTACCTCCTCATCTAAATCCTCAAAAAACCAACAGGCTAATCTACTCGGCTCATCTGTGGGATTATGCGCTTCCTATTACATGGAAAGATACTATCGACGTCGGCGTGAGGTAAGCTCTGCCGCTCCATTTCTTTCCGACGTTCCTTAATATTCTGTCAGATTGCTCGCCTCTACCAGCCGCTGAACTTGGATTCAGCGTATGACCAAGATGATGAGGAAGAGGAGCTATACAACACACAACTTCTACCAATGCACCATCAGAACGCCATGACACAACCAAAAGCGAACAAAGGAAAGTCAGTGCATTTCAAAGATGTTTGGGATGAGCAGGAAGAGCTATTTGGCATTGGCTCTGATACCGACGAGGAAGCTGAGGCCAGCGTAGCTGCAAGTAACGGTCATAAGCCGTCCAAAGGAAGGTCTTAACATACCGCCGTTCACCCATAGAAATGTTCGGAAAGACATACTGGGGTGCGCAGATCTGGTATCTGGCGAAAGTGTCATGTTTTTTTGGCAACGCCGCCAACATCGTCCAAGCAGGCCTGCAGCTTTTTAAGGTAATCCACAACCTCTTCAATCTCCTCCTCCCGTTGTGCTACCGTCGTTGTCAAGGTGGTGCAAGTCGTTGCAGCGACTATTGTGACTTGTTCTTGCATCACACCTTGGAGAGTTGCCTTGAAATAGGTTCCGCGTTATTAGCCCAAGTGGACGGGGTATGTATGCCGCCAGAACGCACCCTTAAATCTCTATCAAGGCCTTCTCCTACCCTCACCCAGTCTTGCCACCACTTTCTTTTTGATCTTTCCCACTGTCCCACTGCCCACCTCAAGCTGCTTAGTGCAACAAGGATACCAACTCCCATTGCCGTCCCAGCATCCATGCCAACGAAACTAAACAAACCTTCCCCACTGCCGACTAACCAACCGTACCAACCTGCCCAGCTTACACAAGCACCACTCAGAATGCCTCCAGTCATTCCTAGGACAGCTCGTTGCCCAGCCAAGTGCAAACGCGTCGTCGGATAGTCAATTATTTGGCGTCGCCGGGCATGCAGTGGATTTGTTAGAGTTTCTGGCGTTAGAGGGTATTCTGTTGAGAACGTGAGCTGTTCAAGGGTATTTCGGAGAATTGCGGACGGTATGGAGGGATGTGTTGAAAGCATGGTGAAACTAGCCGCTGTAAGCGCATCCTGGATTGTTGATAGACGGCCTGTACGCAAGATTAGCTGTTGGAAGAACCCTAGTCAACTTGAACTATATTATAAAAGTGGCAAGGAAGGGATTCGACCTTTTTCTCCAGAACTGGACACCATGCCGTTTCCACAGCAGCGGTGACGATATTGCTGATCTCATCTACTCTTCCTACCATGCGCCACCAGTTCAATCGAGTCATTACTTCTCTTACGTTCTTTTCGGCAAGCTTGAGCGCTTCAGCGACCTCATGATCATGGCTCGAAAGACCATCTTCATGTCGCCCACCGAACACATCGCCTTCTGTTCGTGCCTCTATTTCTTCAATCCTTTCATTTAAGCCACTGACGTCCAGGGACAGACGGTCTAGATCACATCTCGCGTGTTGAAGAGATGCCGCGCAAGCTGATAGCGCCTCCTGCAAGTGAAGAAACGCAAGCGTTGTCCGGAGCGTAGGCTTTAATAAGACTTTTGAAGCCGATGTTTTTGGCTTGTCAAGGATGGTCTTGAGAACGTTTGTAATTGCAGATACGTTGGACCCAAGGAAACCATCTTGGTATCTTTGGATCGTAGAGAAGGAGTTAGGGTCAGATCGCAGAACACGGAGTGCCGCAGTAGCCTGGCCTGGGTCCATTACGAGAAATTTTCGGGTTGTCGTGTGTAGATGGGGCGATGATGAGTGCTGGAGGACCTGATCGAAATACTGTGCTTGTGATGTGCCGGCAGTCAAAATGATAATTGTTCTGGAGGGCAACGAGAGGGAGAGAAGTGTTGAAAGCGGTGTAGTGATGGGGTTGCACACGACAATGGGTATATCAGCTTTATACAAGGCGGCCATGACAGAATCGTCTATTGGGAGGTACGAGGTTGTCATAACATCGTCTGTAGATTGTATCGCGGAGAGAGCACGGATTTCAGTAATTTCCAAGGGAACAGGAAATTTCAACAAGTAAGATGCAGGTATCTGGAGAGTTGAGGGGTCTGACTTGTCGGGTTCGCCGTAACTACGAAGGTCAATTGCGTCAAGCCAGTTATAATACATAACTCACACGAGGGTGAGATTTCGCTGTCGAACGTCTTTCCACCTATCACGTAAAAGCGTGAAATGTGTCTCGTCTGAGTCTAAAGGATCTTCGAGCAGCGCCGTGACAATGTCTTGGGCTCTAGCCCATTCGTCCAAACCGTACACTTAAAACGGCGCATGTGTCAGTAGCTTGTTTATGGAACGTTTAATACGAATACGAACCTACGACTCTTGCCGGTCTTTCCGTGTTTGCGGACAAATCGTCATACGCTTGCGATAAAACGCCATTCCAAAACTCGGTGGTGTTTGTGGTTCTATGAACACCAGGAGCTGTCTGGGCAGGAAATACTCGTGGAAGCAAAGCTGTCGCCTTGCGAAGAAGGGTCAGAGGTTCATCGTGACTCTGTGTGCTTGACAGAAATTTGGCCAGTGGTCGTATTGGTCTCAATCGCGAGGCAAATTTACCTGGCCGTCGCGTCGCATAAAACCCTGTCCTCAGAAGCCATTTTGTCATCGAGCTGCGCGCTGAGTATTGACCAAGTAACGGCTTGAAAGTTGGTAGTGCACGGTGGTCATATCACGTGAACAAAAGATTTCCTCACAATTCTATTCAAATCTGTTAATACTCGTCGTCGTCGTTTCTCACCACGCCCCAGTCAATGTCTTCGTCGTCGGCCACAGCGGCGGGCTCGCGTTCTCCGTCTCCTTTGACCCCGGAACCATCTGACTCGCTTGATCCCGTTGCTATTCAAAGCGACCTTGACCTCGCCTCCTCGTGGTACCTCTCCATGCATCCTACAAAGTCTTCACTCCCTCCTTGGGAATCAGATCCTTCGCTCTACCTAACGCCACACAAGTCGGAAGAGAATCAAATGCTTTGTTTGGATGAGTTGATTGAACAGCATGCCTACGACGAGTATGCTTATCATCACTCTCTCCAGCCGTTGTCGTCGCTGAACCTTTGTTTTTAGCTCACCCTCTCCTGCATTTAGTTCTCTCAATTATTCGTCTACTTCTCATCATTCGAGCGCAAGCCCTGATAACTCACACTCTCCGCCAGCAGTACACACCTTCCGAACAGGGAACCTGTTGGTTCCGTCGAACAATGGGCCAGTATCCTTGACGAAACCAATCCCCCCACCTGCTTCCCTTCCACGTAGACAGGATCCATCAAATATCAACCAGAGGGTCGTACACCCTCCAAAAGAGTCATGTTACAAGTATGTAATAACCCCCTAGCTTTTGGCTATCACATAATCAGAATTTTCCAGCCTGCCTATCAAGTTCCCAAGCATACCAGAAGGAGGGACCAAATCTCGAGTGGAGACTCAAGTGCGAGTGACCGTTGACCTCGCAGACGCCAGCTCTTCGTCAGACCCATTCAAGTATGATCGAGTGGGTTCATGGAAATGGCTGAAGCTGCCTCCTGGAACGGCAACAAAGAAGCGGACAAGGAAGCAGGGAAAAATAGGTATGTTGCCAATCGTCGAATTTAATATCTCTGATACTCACAACGATGGAACTTGAGACCCCGAACCCCAGGATATTCTCCATCTTTCCACAACTATAACTTGTTCCTCTCCTCCCCATAATCAGGTTCTCAGCTGCTCAAGTTGCCAAGCGCGTGAGGTAAGGTCGCTGCACATTTGCGTTGGTTATTCGCCTTTGACAATCTGCTTCAGGCGAAACGAGTCGCGAAGAAACTTGCTGCGCGAGTTCGGCCAGCACGGTCAGAGTCGGACTCTGCCGAACGAGATTCAAATAGCAAATTTTCGAAAAGCAAGCAGTACGAAGACACGACTAGCATCATCCAGTTCAATTGTGCCGAGGTTCTCGACTTTTCAACAGGTTCTGTGGTATTGCCTCTTCGCATTACATGTTACTGTAGACATCACCGGGAGAAGGTTGGTTTCAATGTCCACTTCACTATGATGGATCACATCGGACGTATCGTCGGTTCCGGGTCCTCAAGGCCCATCATGATCACAGACGACCACAAAACATCGAGTTCGGCTAACACTCGCCCAGGGGAACTGATCAGCAGCTTCTTGGGCGTGGAAAATTCTGAGTGGTCTCAAGTGGGTGTAACCTCGCAGGATGCTTCGATGATCGATGCTGCCGCTCCTTCAAGAAGAAAGAAGGACGCCTCGTCCACCAGCAACGGAAGAAAGCGGCTGAAACCTTACGATTCCTTGGTCAAGCCCAATCGAGTTTTGCGGGAAGGAAGCATATCAAGTGCTCCTTCACCTAACACTTCCTATTCTCCCTTACCCACGACTAGATCACCCACTCCTTCTGCCCTTCACAATATCTTTTCCTCGGATGGCGGTTTGTCGGCACATCCACCTCCATTGGTATATCCAGGTCAAAGCTCCGACGCCTCCTCGCCAGATACTCTTGCTACGCCTCTTGACCATAACCCTGACGTGTTAATGCCAGAAGCTTCTCGACCAGTTCCTCATGCTCCACCACCTCACTCTTTACCCTTGCACATACCCCCTATGATGATGTCCACCCAATCACACGCCATGCCCTACATGTTCTTTGATCGAAATCAGCAGCCGATGCAGATGCAGATACCTACGATTCACCGCTTAGTCCCTAATATGGGTCCTACACATGGCGGCACTGAGGTTACAGTTCTTGGTGCAAATTTCCACCCGTCAATTCAACTCAACTGTATTTTTGGTGATGCGGTAGCAAGCTCAACCCAAAGATGGAGCGATAACACGCTAGTCTGTGTGCTTCCACCTCGAGCGATGCCAGGTGTGGTTGCTGTATGGTTCGATGGATTCCCAAAGACCGACGACCAGCCCAACTCGCCGCCATCTCTGTTCACATACTCTGACGAATCAGACAGGGCACTGTGAGTGGAACCCTTCATTTCCAAAAGACATGTATGCTGACCAACCCGTTTTAGTATGGAGCTAGCTTTGCAAGTTGTTGGATTAAAAATGACTGGCAAGATTGAGGACGCGAAGAATGTCGCCATGAGAATTGTTGGTACTGCCGGAAGCGAAGGTGGTGACACACAGGGGGATAACAGTAACATGATGCAGCTGGCTTCTACAGTTTCTTCGACTCGGGATCTTCGACCAATCCTTTTCCGACAGGGAGGTGAATCTGACAACTTTGAAAAACTTATTGTCGATTTCCTTGCGATTCTGGACACTCCTATGGGCTCATCTGCGCCTGAGTCCATTTCAACTCGCGACGCTATATCGTATGCATCACAAAGTGGGCAAACCCTGCTTCATCTGTCCACGTTGCTGGGATTTTCAACCTTGTTGAGATTTTTGATCGGTCACGGAATTGATCTGGATGCTCGCGACCGCAATGGATTTACCGCATTGCACTTTGCAGGTATTTCTCAATCCAAGGATTGTGCAAATATTCTGATAGAAGCTGGGGCTGATGCGGAAATTGTAAATGCGCTTGGGAAGACGCCCAAGGAAGTCTCCGTCCCTGGCTTTTTCGATGACATCAATCCCACGATTATGCTGCTGGACAGCGATTCCGATCATTACGACGACGACGAAGAAGCCGATTGGGGGGATGCGGAAGAAGATGCAGATTTGCAGGTTCATAGGGGCTTGTTGAAACGCAGTTCAAATCGCACCCTTCGAAGGATGGCTGCACCCTCTGGAAGGGCAACCCCACGACGTTCCGTGAACGTCTCGCGAGCTCCCACGCCTCCCCCAACGGCTACGATGTTGGACAAGGTAATCAGGGGAGATGAGAAGGCCAAGAGGGCATCTGAAACAGTCAATGACAAGCAGGCCGCTTCCTTTATGGAAAAAATGATTCAGAAGACGCTTGCGCAATTCCCTGCACCTCAAGGCATAATTCCGAACATTCCCCAGCTCCCTTTGCCTCACTTACCTAATCTCAATGGTCTACCTGGTATGCCATGGGGTGCTTTGCCTCAAATCCCCATGGTTTTCCCGGTGTTCATCCCGATGATGCCTGGATGGCCGTCTTTCTTTGGTGGCGAAAACGTGGCTGCCGATGGTCACAAGGGAGAAGAAGACGCGGGAAGTTTGTGGGAGCAGGTGCCATTAGAGCAGCGCAAGAATGGCGCGCGACTTGGGAGAAGTGGGTTGCATTGGCTGTAGCAACCACTGCCAGACAGCAGACAGAAGAAATGCCACCACCTGTCTACACCCCCCGCGCAGCTAAAGGAGAGTCTGTACCAGGCTCGTCTCAAGACCTCCAAGCCAGTTCGGCGTCGACTTCGTCTGCTGCCGAAATGCGACCCGTTGGATATGGTGACACGCCTATTCCAGAACAGGAGGTCGATGCCTTCTCGTACCAGCCAACTGCAAAACAAACGCAGAAACTTCAGAAAAAACGTGAGTTTGGTTTCTGTGATATAATGAAAGCTTCAAGTGAACAAACGACACACAGATGACCGAATGTTACTGTTATTCTGGTTACCGATTCTCTTTCGTGCGTCCTTTCCTCTTGACTTGCCTCGCACTATTTTACATGCTGATCATTGGCCTCAGTTTCTATGCTGTGGGCCTTCCACAATGGCGTTCGCTTTGTGTTTCATGCGGTCAAGTTAGCACTCCCACTTAGGGGAACAGTTCGCAATTAGATGTGGATGTTCCTGCTCAATTTTCCGACCCTCAGTCTTCTTCCCTCATTGCCGGAATCTCATCGATCGTCTTCATTCCCTGTGCCCCATATTTATTCCAGCGCACTAATAACGAACTTGTATTCTGAGGATTGTAGTAGTGTTTTCGTTGTAGTTATTCCATTTGAACGTTTGTGCGTGTTTATACAGTGAAGTTCAACGTTCGACCTCAATCCCTTCCTTCTCCGTTGCATACTCATACAAGCCAGCATGAAACGTGGTGCGGAGAAGCAGCTTGTAAAAGACGCATTTGACGACGACAGCAACGTACGCATTCTGAAAGATAACAAAGTTCCTCACCGATGACTGTTCTACAGGAGGACGAAAGTCCTAGCCAAGGATTCAAGAAGGCTGATGAGGCTGTCCTAGCCGCTAGACCGTCAGTTTTATCTGGCTATTTATTCTACACCGAAAATGCCTGACCATGTCCACAATTTTTAGAATGCGTGGTCTACCCAAGCGCGTCACTACAAGCACCCCCACGCCTGCGAATCCATCAGCGCCGGTTCGTTTCACTGGCTTTTTATTTCTGTCCATTCTATCTCACTTCCATCTTATGTCGTTCTCATAGGCATCAACGCCCAAGTTCGGTGGTTTCAACGGTTTCGGTATAGCTGGATCCAGTGGTTCATTTAGCTCAATGTCACCAGCCAATCCGCTTAGCACCCCCAGTGACGCTCAGACATTGAATTCCACCCCCTTGTTCTCTTCTCCTTCAACCCCATTTGCTTCAACCCCTTCTGTGTCAGCGACTGCTCCAAACGCGGTGAAAACATTTGCCTCCCTCCTCAGTACTCCAGCCAGCGCCGCTCAACCCTCTGACGTTTTTGAAAAACGAACTACATTACCGGAAGCTCCCCCATCCTCATCAAACCAGACTGAAATGGCTGACGATCCGGCCGAGCTGAAGTATTACACCTCACTCCGTGGGTTGAACGTATCACTACTTACCGCTGTCTCAAAATCCATCGAAGACGATCCCCTCTTTGATATGGGGGAACTACTCGAACGTTATAAAAACCTCCGGACAACACTGAAGCAGAATTTGGAAGAAAAGTCGGACAGCATATCCCCCTCTTCATCCTCAACGCCCGCCGTACCACCTGCCAAACCACTAGGTATGCCAGCTCCTCCCTCAACGTTTAGTGGGTTTAGTGGGTTCGGTTCTCAACCCGCCCCATCATTTCCGACCTCCAACCCGACAGCCTCTTCGTCAACCCCGTCTTCCAACACATTCTCTTTCGCCACCCCTCCATCCAACTCTGGATCACAAAGTCAAAAGGAATCTTCAACCACCAGCTCCCATCCTATCGGGTTCTCGTCAACAAGTACCTCTGCGGCATTCGGTACATCGAGCGCTTCCTCAACTTCCCCCTTCTCTTTACCTGCTGCATCTTCGTCAAAACTCGCATCTAGTTCCACTCAACACATATTTGGGAGTAGTACTCCACCAATGACTTCTAATCTATTCGGAAATACAGATAAGGCATCTACGAATATTTTCGGGAATGCAACTTCAGCTTCAACAACCACCAACTTTGGTGGTGCATTTGGTGGCTTTGGTGGTTTCAAGCCTGCAGGCGGAAACATTGGAAATCCCGTCGGATATGGCTTTGGTACTTCCAAATCATCCGACGCAGACCATGGAGGACAGGTCACAGCTTCTAACACAACCCCTGTTTTCAACCCTTTTGGTTTATCCACTGAAAAGAAGCTTGACGGTGATGTCGACGATAGCGCGGAAAGCGGGCAGTCGCTTGGTGATGAAACGACTGGAAGTAAAGCCCAGACTCCGGAGGTAAACAATAATTCTGAATTATTAACGAGCAACAAGCAACATGATGAAGAGGGTGAGGGTGAGGAGGATGAGGATACAGTGCATTCGGTTAAGCTGAAGGCATATCGGATGAGGAAGGCTGACGAGAAAGGAGGGGCAGGATGGGCTGAGTTGGGATACGGTGAGGTCCCTCTTATTGTCGCATCTGATCTTGACTACTCACAAACTGGTTACAGGGGTTCTCAGGTTGAAAAAGCATAAAGAAACTGGGGCTCGGAGAGTGCTCCTACGGAACAGCAGCAGTGGCAAAATTAACATCGTATGTGAAATTTCACTGGCTTTGTCAGTTAATGACCAAGACTGTGGCCAGAATTTCAATATCTACTCGGGCCTAAAGCCCTCCCAAGCTAAAAAAGCCCTGACATTTGTTGGTCATAGCAATGGCGCTTCGCAGACATACAGTGTTCGGTTACAAACAGAAGGCCAAGCTACTGAGCTCAAAGAAGCTCTTGATAGAGAAATTGCTCACACACAAGCAAAGGGTTCATGATACCCCGCCCCCCAAAAAGTCGTAAATTCCTCCACATACAGTACCCTCAAATAATTACATTGCAGCTTTTGCTTCCCAGAAGCTTTCATTTACCATTGAAGTGACTCTGAGCATTATGCCATATTGAGTTGAGGACAAAAGCTTCACTCAAAAGCATTTCAATCTCGTGATCCCCCCAGTCTTGAGTGGGCAGGGACTGGAGGAACATAATGATGCCCTGATTCCTTGATCAGTAATGGTAATGGTAAAATGACAACAAATTACCTGAAAGTCCATTTGTCGCAACTTTTCGCTCCAGCGTACAAGAAATGCAGAGCAGACGTAAAGGTGAAACTGCGAAAAAGCGTCTGGGCCTTCCGCCTGTGCTAACAATTGTCAACAAGATGGTTGCATTGGATAGGCCCAAAACACTGACCAAATAGGTATCCCACATCCGGATTGTATTCTGGACGCTGATCTCCCGCATCAGTAAGCAATTCATCCAGCGAAAAGCAAACTGCATGAATTCGACATTCTGTGATTCGAGATGAGACGAAAGAGGAGCTGGTTTTTTGTTGCAGGTCAGTAGAAGTATCGCATTGAGCAAGAAGATACAACAGACCATCAATGCGCGCTACGAGCTCAGCCATTCTCCTGACGCTCCTCTGAATCCCAGGTTGCGCGAATATGTAGTTATCTTGAATGCCGTCAAGAAGTCGAGAAAGACACCAAAACGAATCCGCCTCCACTGCCTCCAGGACGTTTTTCGGAAGAATGGATGGATCGAATAACTCTGGATCGGAATCTGTGATTGCAAGGTGAGTCACGAAGCCAAACTCGCGAGATGGCGCCGCCCACCAATATACGCTGACAGGAAAACTTGAAAAAACGGTGTTACAAGATCATTGATCCCTTGAACATAGCCGCTGGCGGGATGCCTGATGGCCCACACATATAAAATACGTTCCAGGCTCTGCAACTAACTCAGCGTGGTAAAAGGGCTATTCAGAAGTCACCCACCCGCTGAGTTGCATCGTGCATCCACAATCTCACACCCGGTCTTGTTCTTGGCACATCAATTTCAATTTGATGCCAGATCTGTTGGTCAAGACCTTCACGGCCGCGGGCAAACGCGAGTTCGACCAGAGAAACGTATTCGCCTCGTTTTCGAGCGAGCGTTGTTGAACGAAGGGGTGTAGGTAGTGGAAGATACCCCTAATTTGCAACTTGTGAGATTCAATCACTAGCAGGTGAAGGGTGGAACGAACAAGAAGAAGTTGCCAAGCCATAGGGCGTAAATCTACTGGGATGCCAGCCCAAGCAAGCTTTCGCAGTTCTCCTGCAAAGCGAATGAAAAGATTATTGTCTTAAAAGCGGGTGGCGCCTACCAATGCTGACGTCCTGGCTGGAGAGACAGTCGACGAATTTATGCCTGCGATTTGAGCGTATGGACCTCTCGCGCAACAACTTTTCTGATTTTTCAAGATTCTCTGGTGATGAGGAATCGCTGAGCCGCGTCAGTGAAGATGGTGATGACTCCATTCGCCTTGGACGGCGTTTCACGCCATGCAACGGATCTAAGCAACGAAAGAAAGACACGGTTCATGAGAGATAATGTAAGACACGTATGAAGCTACCATTCACAATGTTGTCCACATCTTCACGGATATGTCTTCGATTTTCCTTTCCTTTGAGTTGGCTTGGAAGCGACGATTCCGATGAGGCTACACCTGGCCCATTGGATTCCGTTTCGAGATCGCCCAAGATCATGTCACCCTCGACATCTACATCTCCAGTAAGATCATCTTTCTCTCGTTCAGTACCACCATCTGGGCGCCTATGGTCATCGAAAGTATTGGGTCCTTTGCGGACAATCGTCCAGCCATTTTTCGGAGTTTGTGAGGGTATAGGATCAGTATTGGGGGGATATGAACTCGGGTTGGGAGCATTGAGATGGGTATAAGAAAAAGCGAGGGTAGAGGAAGAGGAATTATTTGAGGAGCGAGGGACAGTCCTCGGGGCGGTTGTAGATGACGAGGACGTTGAGCGATTCCAAGAACCAGTGAGGGACGACTGGCGGGGTGATTCTGAATCGGATGCACTGTCCCAAGCGTCGTCTTCGCCCCACTCTGTTGCCGAAAAACGATGGGAGAAGTTAATGCCGATGTGGGGACGCGCTGGGGGAGAGCGAGGGGTCATCGTTGACGTTGAGGACGACGACGAGGGCCAAAGAGCAAGTGGCCACGTGGCGTGCATAGATTAGATGTTATTTTAGATGTGATTAGATTAGATATGACTAGATTAGATTAACTCTCTCTTTTGATGTCCACCTCCAACCTAGCCCAGTTCTCCACTTGCGAAATCTCAGACGCTCTTATAAAACTCTCTCTTCCTCATGGTGGCCTTCTCCCAGATATTTATATAATCTCCCCTGCATTATCTGGCTCAGCAACTAGAATATGCGGCTCAGCCTACACAGTCCAAATGGTCGTCACTTCCGACATATCAGCCCCAAAGCTATCCGCTCATTTCGTTGACACTATACCTGCCCATTCAGTTGTTGTCATCAACGCGCCCCCAGGTTTGCTTCGTCACTTTCGTTTAATACTAAGCCCTCACTGACTTTGCTTCAGAGGCAGTCAATGCAGTCTGGGGCGGATTGATGACTGCGGGAGCGCAGGCCCGCCTGGCCAGCGGCGTCGTTATTTCTGGACGCTGTCGAGACATTGCCGAACATCGCCAACTTGGTTTTCCTGTCTTTGCCAGGGGCCACTCTACGCTCGGTCAATCGCCATTCACGCGCCCCTCAGCCATCAACGTTCCTCTTGTCATTGCTGCTCCTAGCCCAGTCGCGGACTCGTTTCCTGCCCTCACAGTGCATCCCGGTGATTGGATAGTCGCAGACGAGGACGGTGTGGTCTGTGTTCCCAAAGACCTAGAATCCCATGTCATTGAGTTGGCAACAAGGGGAAGAGAGATCGATGACCGCTGTATGCAGGACATCAAGGCTGGCAAGGGAGTACAAGCTTCCTTCAATCTGCATCGAGGAAAACCATAAAACATACATAGATATGACGATTATTAGATATACACGTTCACCATAAATCCACATAAATTACTCCATAGCTTTCCGTTTGCCGGTATTCCGGGTGGAGTCAAGCTTCTCGCCCTGACCTTTTCCCAAGTTGCCCCACTGCCAACTTTTTGGTTTAGGTTTGGGAGCGGGGCTCCTCGCCTCAGCTTGTGCTTTCCAGATAGCCCCTCGACTGAGACAGAAATCAATGTGACTATTGAGTCCTTTATTGTCTGTCTCCAGGGTCTTCTCGCAAACAGGGCATTCATGAGTGTCCTTGCTTGTATTGACCTTGTCCTCCCATTCAACGCGCGAGGATGCTGCCTCTCCAGTAGGATACGGTTTAACTTGAACAGTTGCGTTAATTGATCCTGTATTGTTAATGTCCGCATTTGGAGCGGGTGTTGTTGTCGTGTGGGTCGTCGTAGTCAGCACTTCAAGGTTTTCTAGTTCGTCGTTGTCATCGTCTTCGTCAGGTATCATGGCATCTGTTTCATCGTGTTCATGAAATCCAGGCATAGACTCGTCATATCTATCCTGAGTTTCCAAGTTACTTGTTTCACTTTCTGTCGTTAACGAAGGGAGGACGTCGTCATCTAATCTGAACTTCTTATTGGGCAGCTCGTGTTTGAGGGGTGTAAAAAACTGTATCCTTTAGGTCCATCATAATCCACAGATAGAATGCGAGAAAGATACCGACGCGCTTGATTCCGCTACCCTCATCAGAGCTATGCCTGAGATCCTTCAACTTGGTTAGTCGGAGACCAATGAGTCTCAACTTGAGAGGGAGTTCTGGAAGGATCAATTCTTTGCCAGTCTTCGATTATTCGTGATAACTCTGCACACACGCAGCAAACGGACTCACCAAGTAGAGTTCCTCCTTGGTAAAGACATATCGATCAAAAGTCTTCGCGCGGGTGAAGACTGCAAAAGACAATGAATTACAACTAACAAAGATTCATACGAAACGCTTACCCTGATACGTATCTAGTTTATACTTCAAAGTGACGGTCCGGCCAGTCCATCCGTTTCGGCTCATATCTTTCTCCAGTTCCGCAGCAATCTCTTGGAGCTTTTGTAATATCTTCTCTTTGTCGCCCAAAGAGGAGAACGTCCTGAATGCCCCGTCAGTGCATTGAATGCGAGGAGGGGATCATTCTACCAACCTCTCCGCGCCAATACTCTTGCGTTCCTCCCTAAGATGTGGTTCCACAATGTTTGACGCGATGCCCAGGTGGGTTTGCAAAAGAAATTTGAGCCCGAAACGCTTATCCATTACCGATATAACAACCCGATGCATATAAATGTCCCCACACGTCTTTGGTCTCGTGAGCGTATTAATGTAACTGAAAAGTATGAAATCTACCTTGATGCCAATGGACTCCAAAAGTCTCTCATTCACTCTACCGATACCCGGTACTTTACGTATCGATAGGTGATGCATGAAAGCCTTAATCGATGCGCTATCGAAGGGAATTTGAAACTGCCCGTTTGGTTTGTTCTACCAATGAAAAAAAATTGTTGGATATCAAAATGTCTATTCGCGGAGGACTCGCCTTGTCGGAGCAAATCTTTATGCATCACATTAATGGGAGTGTGTGAGCTTTTGTATTGGTGCGCACCTTTGCAAGCATCTTACGGAAAAGAATCAAGATTAGTTATTTGCCGCCTTTCTCAAGGGGGTCGCCCGTACCTTGTTCGGGGCAATGCCTGCGCTGACAGTTAGCTGAGTTATAGCATGAACCGCTTTCCGCATCTCCTGGACGCATACTTCTGCAGTCAAGCCATGCCTAACGGAGTACTCCGTGATACTGTTTCTTCTTTGTCACCTCGAGGTAATGGAATAAAAACCAAGCCATTTACTTGAGATACGCTTCATCAGACCCAGCAGGACACATATTAGGATCGTATCTCCTAAAGATATCCATCACCTTCGCTGACATCTCGGAGTATCTTGAAAAATTGTTCGAGACGAGAATGAGGTCAGGGCATAACTTCTTTGCGATAAAGCCTTGTAAACTTTTAGTGATGAGGGATGTCAAAAAAGAAAATATCGTCACCTGGCATACCAGAACGTACTCCATACTTCCTGGCTTCATATGACGCGGTCGTCAAGACCCCACGCCCAACCTACCCTGGGGTAAGAGATTTGCTTTCATCCCACTCTATGAAACTTACACCGAAAGGTTTTCCGGCAAGTTCGGGGTTATACAGGAGTTCCACGCTCTGAAAAAGAATCGATGAGTCTATTAGTTTTATCATATGAGACAGTGGCCTTACGGCAAAGAAGGCGTCCATATCAACATGGACAATGATTTGGCTGAGGTCTCGTTGGGCTTGCAGTTGCACGAGCTACTCGAGGCGATAGCATGAATATAAATAGAACTGGCAGAGGAAACGGTGTCTGTACTAATTGATCAACCGCTGCCTCAACTTTACCTGTAAATATCAATTAGTACGTGCCGTGCCATCGGGCTTCCACGTACGAATGTCGACCCCCCTCATGGATTCATCCTTTTCTTTCTTTATCCTATTAATGCGCTCAGTTAATTCCTTATCCTTCCTCTTCTCATTCTGTGGTAAAATAAATTTGAGCGTCAGTGCAGAGATTATCACAACTTCGGAGGAAAAATACATCATAGAATTTGGAACCCTTCGAAGCATCAGCAATAATGCGGTTAATTTCAGTCTGGTCAAGGGCAAGCCTATCATACAAGTAGCATGTTCAAGTTGCGGTTTGATAAATAAAGGCGGTGACATACCCAGCTTTCCCAGAAGACGGACCCGCAAGGCGTTTTACGAGAGTTTCGGTCTCCTGCGACAAGTCTAGCTGAGGCTCAGACCCAGGTTCCATGCTAAGGCGATAGCACCTGGGGATTAAAGTGTTGCCTCTTCAGAGGCCGCATGATTGAAGTAGTCACACTTGTAACGTGATCACTATGTAAATTACATTTCAAATTAGGCGTCAACTGCTGCCTCCATCGAATATGAGCGCTGGACTCGTTTGCCAACAATGTAAAGAGCCTCTTCAGGTGTGTGACTGTCTGATTTTATCGCGTTCGTTCTGAGCATTCAGAATTAGCTTGATGCCTCTCTCGTCGATCTCGCGCCTTCGGCGTACGATATGATTGTCGCTACATTACCCTCATCACCCACACGCCCCGTTTCAGATAAACAACTAAGCGACTCGCCATCTTCGCCTGTGAAAGCTTCGAGGCAGCCTTCGAAGGCGTTTACTACGAGCAAGTCGGGGTCACCGCTATCTCCACGAGCTCAAGGGAAGCAGGCCCAGCGAACAGGCCCCCTTCCTACTGAATCCTTTGTACTTCTTCAAGACAGCGTAATCCGCAACATTCCAGCCCCACTTTCTTCTCCTCCTCGTTCAAAGAAAGGATTAGGCAAATCACGAAATAGCCCCAATGTTCCCCAACCAGCCAAACCTTTAGAACCCGAGCAGGAGGCCCCTTCCCCCCTCTCTCATCATCTCCGTTCGACAGCTCGCCTCTTTAACCTTCTATCCACCCGGACGGATATCGATCACCCCCTTTGTGCTGAATGCACCCAGATCCTGCTGAGTGATCTTCAAAAGCAGCTTGACGAAACAAAGAAAGAAAGGGATGGCTATATTGCCTTTGAAAGGGAGGTTCGAAAGGAGAGGGAGAGGGAGTCGCAGGCTATGACACTTGCAGAAGCTGAGAAGAGAATTGAAAAATTAAAGATGGAGGAAAAGTTTGCAATTGAACAGCTAGTTGAGGCGGAAAGAGAAAGGGGACAACTAGATGATGAATTACGCCTTCTGAATCTTGACGAGAAGGCTTTGGAGGCTGAAGAAGCAGAGTAAGTCGAACCATCTCTCTCCCTTTAATTTTTTTTTTTCAAGATTGTCAAAGGTTTTGGCGGACGCACAATGATCAACTCTTGCTGGCAGAGCAACAAGGCTCCCAGCTTGTAAGTTTACGAGCCGCTTATGCTGCAGATTCAGCAACACTCGAGAAGTTGGAACGAACCAATGTATACAACGATGCCTTCTGTATTGGTCACGACGGCGTGTTTGGGACAATCAACGGGCTTCGTCTAGGACGAGTGTCTGGGGTGCCAGTTAGCCTGCCCTGCCTCTGATTTAGATGAAAATGCTCATCGTAAAACAGGTTGAATGGGCTGAAATCAACGCCGCTTGGGGTCAAACATTGCTGCTTTTGTACACCATTGCAAGAAAGTTGGATTACTCATTTGAAAAGTTCGTCGCTCTATCCGTTATTTTCATTCATTCACGCCCTTCGTTCACAGTTATCGATTGGTTCCCATGGGTTCATTCTCGCGGATCGAGAAGATAACAGGTGATAAAGTTAACCATGAGTTATATGGCTCTGGTGATCTCCATTTTGGACGCCTTCTGCATAATCGCCGTTTCGATATTGCAATGGTTGCTTTCCTTGATTGTCTCAAGCACCTTATGGACCACATCAAATCTCAGGATCCAAACATCGATTTCCCCCATCAGTGCGTTTTTGTGAGAAGATGACCATCGTAGTCACTTACTCAATAAATTCAGGATCACCAGGGACAAAATCGGTGAAGTATCTGTGAAACTTCAGTTCAATCAGGAAGAGGCATGGACCCGGTCATTGCGCCATGTTCTCCTGGCCCTTAAAATATGTTTGAAATGGGCTACCAACGGTACTAATGGCTGAAGCCCAAGACTTGTTCCTCGGGTTAGACTCAATTCACGCCACGATGTGATTTCAGCGTGACAATACTTATTCAAACGCGAACCTTGGCCACAACTCAGCCTCAAGGCTAGAACGAAATTGAAACTTGGCGGACATTGATCTTTAATCAAACCCACTCTTTACCCCCCCCCCTCACGCTAGACGCCTTTCTGGAAGACAGCATTCTCCTCAGGCATCGATGTTTTTTTTCTCCTCTTGGGTGCAAATATATATACAGTTGCTGCAACCTCCTCCCTCAACTACCATGGCGAGGAAATCTACACTTCGGCCCTAGACCTCCCTTTCTCGTCTGTCATTGCTGTCGTCTATCCTACTTATTTATCAATATTTCGCTGGACAAATATTCCCCGCAAGGTGTGGCTAACCATTCTGAAATTCAAGGGGGATGCAGGGGCGGAACAAAAAATGAGATTCCAGCGCACGCGATCAGTATAAATGGGATAGTTTGGGCAGCGAGACCCAGACTGAGATACGCAAGAGCGTCCAACGATGGCATGCTTCAAGCTTCAAGCCGTTGCCAAGATAGCACTGTCAGTAAATGGTCTGGCGGAAATCTTATCAGATGTTATCTCGACTGTGGCCACGATCATGTCCCTTGATTTAGGCATCCTCCGCGGGGCAGCAGGCTGCAGCAGGGGGCAGCTGCAGCGTGCCTTCGAGGATGTATGATAAAAGGACAGGGGACGGAAGCAATGATGGGAATGATGGCGGAGTGGTGGATAGGGACCAGGCTGGACCAGGGTGATGGAGAAGTGGTTCCGTAAGTATGTATTGGGGGATCAAGAGTATATGTACTTAGAGGGTTGTATCTGGTTGTATTAATTGCGAATAAGGGACAGGTAATTGTGTGTGTGCCAGTGCACATTGTAGGCGTATAATAGGATGGGTAATGTATACAACTTGCAACTTCTACATCATTGAGCCTGGCTGATGTTCGGATAAGACAGGAATCGTTGTAGAAAGATGAGGTGCGCTCATTGAGGCGCTCTTCGACACCTCTTGTTATTCATCAAGTGATCTTTTTGCCGAACTCGTTACAATGTTGTAGATTACAATCATTACATTTCGAATATCTTCAAGTTACTTCCCTCTCCCTTTGGGCTCAGTCAGCCCGTGGAAACCGGGCCGGATCGTACACGTAAAGTCCGTTCCGAGTCCCTGGAAAGTTTGCTCACCAATCCTACATCCTCTAATCAGGGCCACTCGTATATTTAATAGCACTTGAAAGTTGAGACAGCTTGATAGTACTCTACCTCTGGGCGATGGGCCTCTTGTATCTCGGCACTCCTTTGCCTTGGGATGAAGCTAAAAAATATGCTGACCATGTGCGAACCCATGGAATCACTCAGTTCCTTCATATTTGGGATCGATTGAAGGACAGAACTGGCGACGAGCTACTATGGGGCGATGAGGTGAGTTGGAATTCGTTTGAGATGACGAGCTACCTTTCTCATTAAAATCAAGATCGAATATATGGTGGTAGCCTTCGATGAACAAGAAAAGAGTGCAAAACTCTCATTGAGGCAAACGGAAATTCTCGCAAAACTCAGTGATATAGTCCATGACATTTCTGCTGGCTGTCCGATCGAGTACGTTACGAGGTCGACACATTGATGTTATTAACAGATCATTTCAGCGTCGCTGTGCCGAACTTCCACCCAGAGTATGGACGATACATGCTTGAGTCTACCCCAGGTTCTCCCTACACTGGCTATATTCAAGATCTCTTGTCGGTTGAGTGCAATATGCGATACAGGTGTGTCTTGCGCCGAAAAGTTTTATCGATCGTTCATTGTATTACGCAGACGAGCTCTTGCTCGTAAACATCTCAAGCCGAATGAAATACCTTTGACCTTTACTTCGTTTCCTCTTTTGGGTGTGCAAGGTCACTTTACGGAACCATATTTCAATCCAAACGATGCTGTTTCAAGTCATAGCTTTTTTTTACCCGAAGAAATCACGAATCCGCATGCACGCTTCCCGTACGTACCTCAAAAGGTTCAATGACATGTGCCTACTTTCCTAACCCTTGCTTTTCAGCACCCTTACGGCCAATATCAGGAGTCGAAGAGGTTCCAAGGTTGCAATCAATTTACCAATTTTTTTCGACGAGAAGACCCCTCGTCCATTTGTCGACCCAACGATTCCCTGGGACCGCAACATTTACAAAGAAGATTCAGGTTTGTATTGCTTTACATGTCATTATTTTACTCAAAAAATTTGACCCGCAGATGCGAAGAATGGTGCAGCCCTCCCCGATCACATTTATCTTGACGCGATGGGCTTTGGAATGGGATGTTGCTGCCTTCAACTCACTTTCCAGGCATGCAATGTTTCTGACGCCAGGCGCCTGTATGATGGTTTGATTCCTATTGGCCCTATCTTGGTACGTTTCGGAGTTACTGAGAAGATCCAAGATGTTTATTATGAAGCTTAGCTGGCGTTGACGGGGGCCAGCCCTATATGGCGTGGGTACCTCGCTGATGTGGATTGTCGATGGAACGTTATTGCCGGCAGTGTCGATGATCGCACGGAGGAAGAGCGTGGCTTGAAGGTGTGTCACAGTCTATTTTGCTTCAACTGTTGTTGATTTACCTGTTGCAGCCCCTCAAAGGCAGTCGTTTTAGGATTCCAAAGTCTCGTTACGACAGCGTTGATCTGTACATCTCAAACGATGGATTCAACCGACCCGAGTATAACGATAACTATTTGCCGTACGACGAATCTATTTACGACCGCCTGCGCGCACATGGTAATCGTTGCCCTTATTGCATCAATGGTCTTCGTTCTCACACTTGACTCAGGAATCGATGATTTGCTCTCAAAGCACATGTCGCACCTCTTCATACGCGACCCTCTTGTCGTTTTCTCAGAAACAATCAACCAAGATGACACGTCCAGCAGTGATCATTTTGAGGTGCGTTATGCTCAATTCGTTGATGGAGCTGCAATTTATATGAGCAAAGAATATACAATCAACCAACTGGCAGACTCTCCGATTCAAACCCCCTCCGCCCAACTCACCGATTGGCTGGCGTGTTGAATTTCGTAGCATGGAGGTTCAAATAACGGATTTCGAGAATGCCGCTTTCGCTGTATTTGTTGTGCTGCTTTCACGCGCTATCCTTAGTTTCAATCTTAATCTCTACATTCCAATATCGAAGGTATATCCCCATGTCCATCTCAACATCTGGTCCTTTAATTGATCAAGTTAGGTCGACGAGAATATGGCCACGGCTCAGCGTAGGGACGCCGCTGCGAAAGCGAAGTTCCATTTTAGAAAAGACGTATACCCACCCGGCCGAAGTGGAGCGTCAAGCGTAGCCTCGTCATCTGGCGCTTGCTCTCCTACAGATGGCGCGCCCAGAAAGAAAGACAAAAAAATGAGGAATTGCTTCCCACGCTCCGCGCTGCCAGAGGACGGCTTCATTCCCCGCCCACCTGTGGAGGAGGAGTATGAGGAAATGAGCATGGACGAAATCATCAATGGCAAGGTAAGCATCGGTTTGGTAGCTCCTCCCATAATCATTGCATTCATATCTATACACAGGGGGACAATTTCCCAGGACTCCTGCGACTTATTTATGCCTATATTGACACGTTAGATATCGAGCCGCGAGAGTTGGCAAAGGTAGGGAGTTATCTAGATCTCATTAGACGGCGGGCCAACGGTTGGTTCCCTACTCACGTTCCCCATATTTGTTGATTTTGTTTCTCCGTTCAGGATCTCTCATAACTCCTGCAACTTGGATCAGAAATTTCGTACGGTCGCACCCGACTTATAAACACGACTCGGTTGTTTCACAGGAAATTAATTACGATCTATTGCTGGCCATAGATGAAATGTGAGTGCGGTGTCAACCTGCTGCTTGTAACCAGTCTCACTGGCTTTCTAGTGAAAGGGGAGTGCGCAGAGCCCCAGACCTACTTCCAAATGATTATACCGGCAGCGATAGAGATCAGGGATCGATTGGATTATGAGAACTCGTGAACAGTGTATCGTTATCAAAGTCATTTATCTGTTACGAAGGGATGGCTCGATTCTGATTGAAAAACTTGGCATGTATGCGTCCGATACTCGTTGGTGAATGATACAAGACACGAGGACTGAGGCAAGCCGTCTGTACGTTCGCTTGAAATTGAATTGACTTCTTGAAATACACGCAAACCGAACGAAATTAGGTACCCAGAGACGTAATATAAATCGAGGCGACCACTTCATCCCCCTGGTTACTTTAATCTTCGCAATATTCATCGAGTTCATTGAGGGCAGCTTGACCGAGCTCCGAGGTGTGTCCATGGTGTCCGGTTACAGATTTATTCTCGTCGCCGTGGTGGTTGTGATTGATCAGGCCGGGGCTCAAGTTGACTTTTGAATCACGAGGCAGAAGGTCGCCGACCGCAGCTACATTTTTGTCAACGGATTTCGCGACTTGGGTATCAGGGTTGGTATTGGGGTGATTTGCCGACTCAAAAAGAGGATGGGTATCTGCGAGCCTTCTTTTCTCCTTTGGCTTTGCCACTCTCCAGTTGATATCCCTATGGCCGTCGCCGCGGTGTTTTGCTAACATGCTATCTTGCAACGAATCTTCGGCGAGCATCGATCGTGAAACCAGGCGATTGGCTGAAGCAGGCTTGAAAGGTACCCTTGGCGGGGGCGAGCTCGCCTCGTAATCGGCACTATGAAATTGGCGTTTGTCAAAGAACCTCAAAGGGCGAGGGAGCAAAGGCGATGAGGCGGCAGTGGGGCTGGCGACGTTTTCCTCGAGAGGCACGCTAACGGCGAGAAGAGCGCAAACGAAGACAAGTAAGAGAGTAGAGTAGGAGCGCATATTGTGCCGGAGGTAGTAATGAACTTGAAAGTAGCGGACTGAATAGTTTTATCGTGAAACAAGTCAAGCGGCTGACCTGCCCAATTATCGCTGTCTATAAATAAGCTGAAATAATGTTCGTGCGTGACTGTAGTTGTTGAGGGATAACTACACGCAACATTTTTTCACTGAACTCGGCGACAACAGCAGATGACCGAGACTCACTGCCGCCGTTGTCCCAATCGTCGGCCACTAGATGCAATATTCGTCTCCGTTTGGGAGTGACGACTCTCCTGTTTAAACTTGGCAAAGGCACACTCAACGTGTAATTTTCTTGAGACATTTGAACTTCCTCAATCCAAGCAATTGGTGACGACGGTTCATGAATCAGAAACTTTTTTTATGGCGCCTGCCTTCGTGTAGGTGGATGCGATGTAGGCAGAAAAAATATTCGGGGGGTTCTGGGAAAGGGTATGAAACGGAGAACGAAGCAGCATCGTAGGGAAGGCTTTCGTGGAGAAGGATCCCCGCTAGTGACGTCACTACGTAGATGTTCGTGACTGTGGTGTGACACTGAACAGAACGCTTGCCAGTGGACCCACGAGCAGGCGTGCTTCCTCACATGGCGACTACTAAAATGCACCTTCCAAAGAGTTGGGATGACAAGAGTCTTCTAGGGGAAGAGCCTTTTCTCAGCACCTTTCTCGCTCAGAAACTGGAAACCACCAGGCGAAGCGATCTACGCAGCCTAACTGCAAACGTCGTTCAGCAGCTGAACCTGACCAAAGGCGGCGTGAGTGGTTCTCAAACTCATAGCTTCAAAACACGACTCGAATGTCACGGCTAGACTGCTGCTGCCCAGTCCTGGCTTGATCTCGCTTTTGTTCGTTACAATGGCCCTAATACCAAGCCAGCGCCTAGGGTCCTACTGGATAGTAAAACTCTCCACTTTTTTGTCACATTTTATTGGCATCTCTATTATTACGGCGAGAAGTCTGCCTTTCAGCTCCTGAAGAAGGAGTTGGAGTCCAGGGGTCGTTGGTATTACCCACAAGGTGCAGGGATCAAGCCAAACACCAATCCTCCTGGTGACTATTCGCGACGCCATGGCAGGGCTATTAAAAACCGGAAATTCAAACAATTACCAAAAGATACAAAACCCATAGAATTAGACTCCCTACCAGCAACTCCGTCTTCTTTTCAACTTGATATCATTTCACACGCCAATTCTCCACATGCTAATTCGCAACATATAATTCTTCCTGGCTCAACCAAGGACCAGAAACAACCTGTTGTTGTTGCCAAAGGACGGGCTATACCAGAAGGCCATGCAACCTGTGATACAAGTTTTGAACCCACCAGATTGACCGCAAAGAAGAAGAAAAGGACACGACCTAACAGGTCAAAGCCGCTGAATTCAATAAATTCAGTCCAACAAATTGCAGCGAATCCGGCGATTCTGCCTTCGCAATTGAAGAACAATCCGCCCGACTTAGGTTTGGATGTCACCGTTTCATTACCAGTGAAGGAACTAGCGACCAAAGAACAGTCGATTCTTAATGCTCATTCAACAGGCAAGTCACGTTACATTGAAGTGGTCACTCAATTTGAACCATCCTCTTGCCATCCTTAGAAAATCTTACTTCGTCGACGTGTTCAAATGAGACGCCATTGTCCCCCCCTCCGACTGATTCGCTGCCTGCATTTGTCATGCAGCAGTTTATTCCCTCTCCTTTGCCAATACCCCGTAACCATCACGAAAATATCTCTTGCCAACCGCCTGAATCGAACACTCATAATCTACTTGTACTGGATGAAGAAGCCACTCTTGAGAAAGCAGTTGTCAAGCAGGAGTTTATACCCTCTCCTTTGTCAACACCCCGTAATCATCACGAAAATATCTTTTGCCAACCGCCTGAATCGAACACTCATAATCTACTTGTACTGGGTGGAAAAGCCACTCTTGGGAAAGCAGGTAATGCCGAACCAGCATGTCAAATTCCGCTTTATCAAGAACCTTTGCCCCACCACCCCCCGATCTGGGCAGAAGTAAGTCCGAATCCCATCTGGTGATAACTTGATCATTTTTCTTGTGTTTAGACGCGTCAGGAAGTTTGCGAGTCGTTCGATTGGTTTAGAAGTTATCAAGGTGGGGTTTACCATACCCATGGCATCGTGAAAGGCTACCTCCTTAGCGCTTTCTCATCAAAGTCAGGTCGTGTGCACCAAAATTCTTTAACCTTGCTAATTTGCAGCAGACGCGACAGGTTTGAACATGGCGGCCGACTCATTATATCCCACGGGTAAGTTTTGTGACCTCAAATATATGGAATTGCTGACTGCGGTCAGTGGGGGCAAAGCGGAAAGTATCCATGCCCACGAAGGTAGATTTGCTCCGCAACCGGCTGAAGATCAACTTGCCCAGGATAAATCAGTCCGAGCTCTCTTAAAAAATTTCCAAGATAGTCGACCACTTGTTCTCCTCATCGACGACAAATATGTCCTTTTTCCGTATGATCTTGGTTCCAAGGACGTCACATATGCAGTCTTGGGATTTTACAAGATCGTGCATGTTTGGGGTATGTTGCCATATCGACTGTGTAAGTATTGGACAGTCACGGCCAATCATTTTACTTATAGCTGAATACCATCCATCGAATAATACGAGAGGGCAGGTCGTTAGGTACAAATTTGCTTTTCAATGGTGTGAAGGCCAGGTATGGTGATTTGTTCCCCGCCCCATGAATGTTCAAATACAGCCCCATCGATTTTAGGGAGAGCCTTGGTGGTTGTCTCGGTCACGGGAATATGGTAAGTTGGTTTACCATTTACCAGTCATGCGCCAGTTTCACTGCTCGTAACGTTCAGTAGAGCTCACTGCATCTCAGATGCCCAGAATGGGTGGTTCATCCAACCTGCCTCTTGGTAAGTTATTCCCTCATCCATGATAATTTAACGTCAACCTTGGTGTAAAGCGAAAGTTGAAGAGTACAACCTGAGCAGCTCAAGGTCAGGCATCCGTACCTCAGTCTCGTGGTATTCTTATCATTGGATCCACAGGCACTCATCGCCTGTCGGCATATCTTTCACTTGCCGTCACTGCCAGCTGGATTCTCCCCATGTTTATCATCAATCTTGGGCATGCTTGAACCCTTCTTGCCCACGTTTCTGGAAAACCAGCTATGGGCAGCACATGCCCGATCAACTCGAGTATCGCCCTGAATTTTTGGCGTTGAAGGAGGAATGTCACTTGCCTATGGGCTTTGGAGATCTCAGGCCGTCCGTACCTGCAGCCGACAGCGGAATTAATACGACCTATGCGTTTAGCAGGGGGTGGCATTGTCAAAAATGTGGTCGACTATCTTGCAGGTATGCGTTGATCAAGAGGGACAGTAGATGTTTGAGATTCAAGCCCCCTAGATTCAAGTGGCAAAAGTGGGAGTGCCGCTTCTGTCAGGTGCGCAATCCCCTTGCTTTCCTTTGCACCTTTCTTGATAACCCCAGCAGAGTACTTATTCAGTGCCAGGCAGCATTCGTCTGCCAAATGAATTTTGGCCTCTCGAAAGACAGATCCAGAAAAGCTGTCAAAGTCATCTTGTTGGCAAAAACTCAGGTACAGGTCCTTCGTTCGCTACTGGCAGCTGAATTGATATTTGTTATGGACGTTTAGGAGTTCAAAGAGAAGCCATGAAGCCTTTCGTTGTTGGGAGTACCACATGTCAATACCAGACGTTTATCCTACCAGAGGCGAGGTCAGCTTTTTCTTCGTGGCCAACTCATTATGAGCGACATCTTGAACGCAAAGGATTATAGAGGTCGTTTACACCACATCATGGGGGGTTCACCATTTTCGAGAGCGGAAGCGGACACAATTTTCAGAGAATATCAAGAGCAAGCCTTCAGCGGTGAACTCCCATTCCGCCGTTGGCCCTTAAGATCTGTACGCGACTCCTTGAATGTGCTTACGCTGCTGTTTTGATGCGTTTCCTCTTAGCATAAATGTGCGCTTCGTTCTTTGTTGAATTTCAGTGGAGTCCTGAAGGTTTTCGTAGGTCGTGGGACCCTTCTAACGCATTACTTTTCTCACAACAGTAAGTCGTGCTTGTCTCTTCGATGATTCGTTGAAAAATCTCGATAGCTGGGGAGCCCTACCAAGTAAGTGGGCCAATCGTTGAACTGCTCGCTTGGTCGATGATCATCAGTATGTTGGAGGTGCCGCCAATACTGTACCCTTTGACAGGGCGCCAGGCGCGGTTATCAAGGCCCGTGATTTGATCCAAAGTCGAATTTTGGCAGCGTTGAATATCACTGCCACATTCAATGAGGTGCTCAGGTATGTTATTATAGAATATGGCTTGTGAACATATTGAACGTCTTTCACCCACAGCGCTGCTTACATGGAAGGACAAAAAATGGCAGTTGGGTTTTGTCCCTTTTGCTGCGTATACCGTATTCTCAGTCCATTTTAAGTTTCACAGTGACAGTGAGATTGGTTTGGGACCTTTTGTTGCAGGACTATCCCTAGGAGCTCCCGCCATGATGCACTTTCGGCTGCATGCGAAGCATGATCCAGAAAGGAAACACAAGGGCTCAGCGATAAGTTTCATCTTGCGACATGTGGGGCTCCTCTAATCTGTAAATTTCTTGACGAGTATTCTGACAGCGTCTAGGGTGATATTCTAGTCATGGACGGGGCGGACGTACAGGAATACTATGAGTAAGCGGATTTTGTCTCGCTGCGTTGTACTCTGTCTGATTCTTGCAGACATACCGTTATACCCAGCGATTTCCGCATTGCCGCAACCGCTCGATTTATTAAGCCAGAGCACAACTAGCATCAATTACTCGCACTAATCATCACGTTTCTGGGCATACATTTACATAAATACCCTCGTTGAAAATATCACTCTCCGATTTCTGTCCAGTTATGTCCGCCTGGGATGGGGTAGTGGCCTCTGCCGTGTGGGTCGAAGCGTTGGCCTGCAGTTTTGGACCATCTGCTGCGACACAGGCTGGTTGATGTCGGCTGCTGCAAGAGGCTGTGTGAAGTCAGAAATAGTCAGAATGGTGTGGCTATGAATCTACTGTGTGCCTCACGTTTGTCGCTTGCTTCTGTTTGGAATAGAATGCGAATAGGTCAGCAATCTGATTCTCTATTGTTCGCTTGTCTTGATGGAGGCGGCGCACTTCCTCGGTCATACCCATTACCTCCTTATTTAGCTCCATTTTAAATTGTTCGACGTGTGCTTGAAATGGGAGAGCACCACTGGTCAGTAAAGCGGGAAGTAACATGAACATTTTACACACTTTGAACGTTTATTGCCGTTGCTTCTTTCATGGCTTCAACGAAGCGCAATCGTTCCCCTTTTATTTCGCTAGATATCTCTACCTAGGGATGAATAGACGATCTTCGCTGGCAACAAAATTGCGTACCATTCGTGAAGGTTCTAAGTAGATGTTCATGATCAAGGCGTTGCCTCTCGAGCATGCCAGCAATGGCCTGGGTTCCTTGGTGACTGTAAGTAGACGATCATTGTTCCGAAGGCGGGGCGGGGGGGCACACCTGATCCTTGCCGAGTCTCTGCACTTATAACTTCAAGAAGGCCGTTTACGCTGGCATGCAGCTCAGCCAGGTTTTGATCTCGCATCTGCATTCCAAGCGCAAGTTGGCGAATGTCGTTCAGTAAGTTAGGTGCACCAGGGGCGCCTTGCGGTTGCGCGGTGCAGCCCAAGTCCATGCAGAGTTGTTCCACGTTTGTAGCCAAACCTTGGATTTGAGAGGTTCCGTTATTCACGAACGACTCGAGCCACTGCATAGGAGGAACAGATTAAGAGATAGCGTTTGAACAGAAAAATGTCTTGCCGTATTGAGCTCGTTGAGATATCTGACAGTATCGGCTTGTTGATGAGTTTGTTGCAAGCGATTCTGGCTGTCTTCTTCAATATGGGATAGAATTTTTGCCAGCTAAGTAGGGATAGTTTTCAGTACTCAGCCCTCCTTTTTTTGAGTAACGCAGTACCTCTTGTCCTGAACCATCATTGTTTTCAAGTGGACGGTTCGACCTCATGTTGGTGGAACATAGCCTGACCAGCTCCTCTAGCTTCGTATGTAGAGAGGCATAATCGGCATCGACGGTCCCCACCGACTTCAGGGCGTCACCTTGATTCGCCCTTTCTCTCTCTTGTAAATCGGTCAACTTTGCCAGAACGACGGGAATATCGGCTGTTAGTTGCGTGCTGATTGCCCGTAGCTGCGCGGAAATTTGGGTGCTTTCTTCCTCAGGTCGAACGGATGATCGCTCCGCTAGTCCCTGCAAGATGTCTTGTATATAGTTGAGAGATTCTCCCGTTCCTTGGATGCGATGATCCAGACCAACAACAAGTTGTTGCACAGTTGGATAATTTGTCTCGCCACCAAGGATACTCTTTATGTCGGTCAGATCGTTCGCAATTTTGTGGTAGTTTATGGAGTTTTCCCGACCATCGAAACCTGCTGCGCTTGATAAATTCCTTTGGGGCGAGGTTTCAGATGGAGGCCATTGAAAAGACTGCTGAACGTCACCTCTAGGAGGTAACGTCTGTGATACCTTAAGTTGGGACCCCTGAGAGACCGGTGAACCGTGAATTCCGTTCTGGCTTTGCGGGTGATTTCGTTCTATCTGAGCCAATCGTTGTTTGACGACAGAGAGTTGGCCGAGGTTCGCTACGGAAGGACTGGCAGAACGGCAGCTTGTTGAGGAGACTGGCCTTGAAACGGGAGAATAGACGCTAGGAGAAATTGGGGTAAAGCCAGCGGGTGAAGGAAGTTTCGAAAAAGGGTTGCCTAATTTCCCTGGTATCATTAGTGTAGGTAGCGAAGGCTTCAAAGGAACTGGGGGAGCAGAGCCCTCGGGATAAGTAGGGCTTAATAGAGGACTAAGTATCGGCAATGGAGTTGGAATGGGACTTTCAACTTGCTCTGACACTTGGGTGTGGGAGGCGGTCAAGAATTTCGACGGACTACTTTCAGTTGTAACATCTTTTGATTCTTGAGAGGGCAATATCGTGTCCCTAAATGCCAGCCCATTCAGGATATTTATTTACGAAGGTATCAAAGGCATTTACCATATCCCGCTGATCCAGTTTGCTCGATCCTTGACTGAAGTCGCAGCAAACTTTTCCCGAGCTCTTCCTTCAAAAAGGATCTCAAAAACTTTGAGCTCTTCGCCTCCGGTGGAGGGTAAAAGGGATGCCTCTTCGGAATCCATGTATCTTAGCGAAAGTGAACGAATATCCGAGCAGCGAGCCAACGTAATCTCATGAATGCAAGGGTCGCCTAGGGGTGTGAACCAAGAAACGAGGATTTTGTTTCCTTTCAGATTCGCCGTACAAGATACCCATGCCAGGCCACCACTGTCCGACCGAATATGGGAATGGGAGAGATATAAGAGTTGACCAGAGATCTTTTTGTTTCTAGGGTTTTGTAATGGTCCTCGTTCGTCGAGGAGTGGAATGTCCTTTGCTGGCACATCAGGAGGACCATCGTAGGATTGGCCAGACTTGAGAAGATAGAGTCGGTCATCTGATCGTCGTTTAGACAATCCAGTGGTCGTTTTCTTGATAACTGAGAGGAGGTTGCGGAATGATTGGCGAATGGGAGATTTGTCCTTCTGGCCAGCCTGATTCACAGCCATCTTTGTTGGTGTTTCAAGAGAACCTCCGTTTTCGTGTCGATGCATGGGTCTTCTTGGCGTAGGTTCCTTGCCTGGAGATACGCTCATGGATTCATAGCGACTGATGAGCTGTTTCGTGGATTTCTGGCGCTGAAGATCGGTGCTTGCGCTATAATTGAAAGAACTTCGATGGAGAGGTTGAGTGGGTCCTGGGTTACTACTCGCACCCATAACACGCGGGCCTAACATAAATCGGCTACAACAGCGAATACGGTGAAGATGGCAAGGGTGGTTAATTTACTCAGGCAGAAAGGGGTATCAACCAAGGGATTACGGTTCGTGTGGTTGACGAGCAGACCCATTTCGAACGAGACGGTGAATGTCAACTGGTGATCATAGATTAGCAACTTAATCAAATCGGAAATGGGGTTGAGTAGTTGGTGTACTCAATGTGGACAAGAGGCGTCTCTAAATACAAAAGCCACTATTTTGCGAGGGCATGTTGCAACGACTCATACACATCGGCCTCAATGCGTGCCTCCATCTTCTCTGCCTCCGAACCGCTTCCAGCTGCCACCTTTAGTGCTTCTGCTAAGTTGCTACGAATAGCCTGGAGAGAATGTGAGTTGGATTTCGTCTTAGACTGCCGGCATACTACGCACCTCGATCGAAAAGTCTTCCAGCGGCGCACCCTCCACGACGTTAATCGTAAGCTTGTTGTTCGGGTGGACAGTAGCGAATCCGCCGGAGACTATGGTTTTTTATGAGAACTCGACGAGACCGTGAGTTGGAGGGCTCACCAAAAAACTTTTGAGAACCCGCGTTCGACTCAATGACCTCAATCACGCCTGGTCGTATAGCCTCGATGGATGGCACATGGTTGGAAAGGATACCCATGTCTCCGGATTCTGCAGGTATATTTACTTGGACGACATCCTGCGAAGTGAAGATTGACTGGTATCTGGGTCAGCAGAGAACTTGGTTGCAAGACGTCTGCAAACCTTGTGAGGAAGAGCCAGCGAGAGTTTCAACTTGTCGCTAACAGCCTCGGCATATCCACGTCGCGCTATTGAAAAAGTCGTTGCTCGGCGCACAGCAGAAGAAACGAGACGCAACGACGACATTTTGAAGTGAATGAGTTTGTGACAAGTGCCCCGTGTATTTCCGGATTTGTGGGCTCGGCAAATTCCGGCCACTCTAACAACTTGAATACAAGCACGATATATAGGTTCTTCCTGCTTCTAACTTATTAATCGAGTGTGAAGCACGAATTTATGAGGCTTGATATGATGCGGATGTAAAAATACAATGACAATGCTACAAAGTTGTCCAGCAAGAATGAACGTAAGAAAATACAAGTTGAAGATGGTGCAGGTCATTAAGCAGAAGAGGTACATTATGTTCGTGAAATGAGAACGACAATTCATCGCGGTCCGTAAAGTGGAGTTCAACGTGTTAGCATCAGAGTGCAACACCAAAAGGATTCGTAGGGATACTCTGCCTGACGTAGACAGGATTGTTATCGATCGTTACTCGGTGTTCATCATCGAAAGGCGTAATGAACGGGTTGATAGCGGAAGAATGGCGAGCGTCCATGGTTGTCAACAACCGCGACGCAGGCATTGCGACAGTGTGGTCGGAAGACTTGAATGTGGGATTCATGACCCTCAACGTAGAAGTTCGTCGCTGCTCATCATAAGGCGGGTTGGGCAGCTTGTTCGTACGGTACGGTGCAAAAGGAGGGGGAGGGGAAGTGTCCTTGCGTTCCGTCGTAGTTGCCTCTGCCCGAGCTGATGGGCGAGATTGAGAGCCTGAAAAGCCGTGATAGAGTGGCAAAGGGAGGGAGGCCGGAGCTCCAGATTTGCTAGAAAGGGAATCGTAGGATTGGTCAAGATCATGGATTGGTACGCCAGACTTGCGCGTAGAATAGCCGAACGGAGTCTGGAATGTTGCGGTGGTGGTTGTGCTCGTTTTCTTGCTGGGTGACATTACCTTCCCCCACGACGTTTGTGTGGCATCGGGTGAAGCAGACCATCGAGACTGCATGGTGTGGGAGCTGTACAGATTGGGACCAGCATCTGCGGAATCACGGTGAACATTGATCTGCAGCTTGGGGCGACCACGGGAGGGTTGATCCCAAAATTCCGAACTTTGTGGCACTGGTTCCTTTTTGGTCCACAACGTCGTGAATTTTCCGACCCACGTCGTACTCCTAATTCCCTCGTCCGAAGGTGACTTTTCAGATGAGGAGGATGTAGACTCTTCCCCGCCGTCGGCTTTGACACGTTCTTTCCCCATGGCCTTCCGTCCTATGGCCATTAGCCGGCTTGGCTTCTTAACGGTTGATTCAATAGGTTTTGGTGGAAAATCATCCCACTCTTCCTTCTGGATGGCAAAAGACTCAGCCGAGCCAGAGGGTTGATTTCCCATCGGAGAGTTAGATCGTGAACCCCAGAAGGGCTTGAAGGCACTTCTCCTCGGCGAGGGCAGAGGCGTGAAAGAGGGTAGGTCCAGAACCGCACCTTTCTCATTCTCAGATTCGACCCCAGACCTGAAAGGTACGACGATTCCGTTGATCCCAGAGCGTTGCTCAAGCTCATAACGTCGACGTCTCCTCTTCTTCAACAAGGCTTGGCCATATGTGTTCCAAATGAGAATGCAGACACCCATGAGGACAACTATTCCCCATAATGCCAGGAAAAGCCCGAACATCACACGCTCTTTCTTCAACGTCGCTGTATACGCTTTAACCAGTCGTCCAATGAGACCTTCCTTGTCGTTAGGGCCGCCTCCAATCGCTGCTGCTGCAATCGGAGCCGTAGCCTCGTGAACCGACGCCGGTGAAAGGACGAGAATGGAATCGTTGACCCGTGGAATGTCGATCTGTAAATTGTCGTGCAAGAATGTCAAGGCGTTCTCGATGGCGTCCACTTTGCCGCCAATGAAACACTTGATAAAATCATTGGCGGGGCTTTCCAGAACAGTGCCGTTGAATACAGTTGACACAGCCTTCTGAATATCAGTGTAGAACGCGTTGATCGTCGCATTCAAAGTGAAGGTGGTGCTGTTTACCCACCCAAACACACCGTTGTTAATGGTGGATTGAATGACGTCTACCCGACTGTTGATGTCATTGGCATAGAGTGCAGATTGGTTGAACATGCTGTCATTGATAGATGCCGCAATAACGTTGGAAAAATCGGATACAGCGGCTGCCGCACTATCCTCGAACTTGTGGACAATGGGGCCCATCGCGAGCAACTGGATTTCGACAGATAGTAAACCGAAGAAACCAATGAGGAAACAAGCGAGGGCAGGAGCATGGAAGATATAGTGGAGGAACCATCGAAGATTTGTGTGATGCGAAGGGCTGAAGCGAAGACGTGCTGATAACTGGTTCATTATGCGGGTGATTAGCGGATGAGCTGAGTTTGCATGGAGAATCATCAAGTTATGGTCGGTGAGGATAACCTGTGGTGGTGAGGATGAGGAGGTCTTTGTATGGATCATAGTGGGATCTGTGTTCCAAGCCTGGCGAGTATATTCCAGGTGTCTCTTCATGCAGCGCCATTTGTACCATGTCAAAAGGCAGTTGAAACCGATGAGGAGAAGGGCGAGGAGAATAATGATGACAACTCCAATCTTGGCAATTTTTATAAAGTCACGTCCGATCTCGTCAATGACGGACAAATCAACATCATTGCAAAAGGAGAGACGGTTCTGCTCCGGAACGGGAAGGATCGATGAGTTGAAAGATAGGCCGGTAAAAGTGTCATTGATGTCTGTCTTCAAAAGCTCGAAAGGAGTGTCGATGCTATAGAATAATAATGAGGTCAAGAAGGCATCATGCACCAGCTTGGGCTTACATTGATTCCAATGCGCCCTTCAGGTCTGCCACGGTTGGAATTGAGGCGTTCAAACTTGTCAGAGCATCTTGAAAGGAAGCAGGCAAAGTAACATTTTGCAGTGCATCAAGACTAGGTACGGCAATCTGGGGCGCATTGATGTTTCCAAATGGATTGACTTTGTTAATAGCATTGATGGCGTTCTGGATGACGCTGTTGGCAGAGGCAATATCACTCTGAATGCTGGTACGAAGGCTGCCCGTAACGCTTTGGAGAACAGTGTTGATCTGTAAATGATGAGAAAGGTAGTAAACAAAAGAAACGAGTAAACTGACCCCTTGAACAGCAGATATCAGGACTGCAAGACCCCCGGTGACCACAAGCTCCAAGAAACAAAAGAACGTAGAACGATAGGTGTCGATGATAAAGTTGATGATGGCTTCCATTGCAGTAAGCGAAACTACGAGAGCAACGCGTGCAGCATGCAAAGAGCCGTTGACTGCATCAGCAAACTGCTCGTTGGTTGCGAGGGCCATGTAGCGGGGCATGCTTGCGGCTGCAGTGGCAGCATGTTCTGCTGCCTTGCAGCTTGATAGAATATCTGACTTGACACTCAAAATGGAGTTCTCCAAAGATGTCATGGATAACTGAAGGCGAAAGGCGACGAATATGAGAGAAAGGATGGGGTAGGCAAGCCATGTCAGTGAGAGAAGGTGTGAAAGTTGGAGATAGGGTGTGAGTTGGGTATCTGCGGTGGTGGTTGCATCGTATGTCGGGGGCTGGGCGAGGGTAGACATGCCAGAAGTCGACCGGCGACGAGAAGTAGAGGGAAAAAGAAAGCAGAAAGCGTCGAAACCATCGCACCCGACATTGTACTTACATACTGGTAGAGGCCGTAAAGAGCACAATAAAATGTCACATTGTCACATAACGTCACACATCCCATTGTCTACTGTATCTGTCCCACCTCCTCCCTGTCACGGCTCGGACCAACTTGCACAGGTTCAGCCAACACCGGCTGCGAAAAATGCTCGCGTAGCCGAGCTGTCGCTTGTCTTTGGATCTGTAAAATACATCAGTTGAAATCCACGGAAATTCTTTCCAACATACTTCACTTCCGACCGTTCTGGTCACCTGGAAAAGAGGTCCCACCAGGCCGAGTTGTGCAATAATGTAACTTCGCAACAAAACCATCAATTAGTTACTGCGCGAGCGACAAGAAAGACCCTCACGATGTCGCCATAGCGAGAAGCAAGAATGCGAAATATAGTGGATTGAAAAGGACGAGCATGGCTTCATTCCATCCAAGAACCACCAGGACACCGTAAATCCAATACGGAATCTGTGCGATGCTTGCGACTGTACTCCGCTTCGCCTCGACGTAGTACGCATCTGCATCACGCCGAAACTTATTTGTCAGATCAAGGCATTTCGTCTCCGTAAATATGACCGGTGATGTCGACAAGTCGAAATCGTCGTTCGAAAATGAATCGTTAGATTCAGAGGGAAGATTAAATTCCAAAGAGGTATCTTTTGGAGATATTTTTGAGTATAACGGCACGAGGTCGAGAGTCTATTGAGCAGTTCAAAATTTCAGTAGAAAACAGAAGTCTAGATTAGACATACCTGATCTTTAGCTTTCATGAAGGCACTGTCAATGTCATCATCAGGTTTCCACACTCTTGGAACGCCCTGTTCATCGTAACGGAATCGCTCCTCGAAATGATTCCGAAGTTTGCCCAGTATAATAGGGTCGGCCGTTTGTTCATCAATCTTCGCCCGCAAGGCAACCCATCCACGCTTGCGAAGGGCGTCGAGAGCTGCTGTATTTTCTTCCTCGGTGCAATTGAAGCCTTCACAAACCGTCGTGAGACTCGCATGGTATGGTAGAGTGATTGAACAAACTTTTTGCCTTCGTCAGATATGTCTTCTCGGCTTTATCCAAGGTGTCTCGGAACACTCGAAGTATCTCGTCCCACATGTCTGGAGAGGCCTTTCCGAGATGCAATTCCACCGGCTCCGAAATGTGCTTCTTGAGATTTCGCTAAACTTTCTCATCAACCCTCAATCCGAAAATGCCATATGAAAGACAAAAACAAACCTCAATCAAATTGATCATCTTCGTTGTTTCATCCTTTCTACATTGATCAGCGACGGCGCGAATCTCATCCCTTAACAACTCCAGTTCCTCCTCCCAACTCCAATCTGTGCCCTCCACCAACGCCTCTTTTCCACCTTCGGAGAAAGTTCTTTCAGACTTTTCCCGTGCCCTCTTGAAGACGTTCGCAAAGTCATAATCCTCGCCATGCAAGCCATCCAACATCTCTTTTTTGAAGGTCACGAGACACGATTTGTGGAGATTCTTGAGTTGTCCAAGGAAGAGGGGGGAAAGTGTGGAGTCCAGCACTGCGACAAGATCAGCCCGTTTGCGGCCATACACACCTTTGTGATACCGCGAGGCATCCCTGTCGTAGCGCGCTGGTAAACCAATTCAGTTCAAAAGTTCGACACTATCCTGTTGGGCACTTACTCAAAGCTTGTGTTCTCCAGTTGTTCATCATTGCTCCCAGACCTTCGACAACACGGCCCCCCTCCACGGGTCGCTTTTGTGATTTAGCTTGTTCGTTGAATTCGGCCAGTGCCACGGCTGAGATTTCGTCACAACGGAATTGAGCCAATAGTTCCTGTTGTGTGGGCAAGTCGAGATCCTTATTTGTTTGAACTTGTTCCTTTTCAGTCGAATCGTTTCAGGCGTGTCTTCAAAGCCGCAGGGAAAAGCACTTACCCATATGCCTTCCATATAAAACGCCACTCCATCCGCAGGAATGCGTTTGTGGTAAGCAGGCTTGAAGAGATAGTCACTGCTTTCCTTGTCGACGAACCGAGTGCGAAGCTCTTGGACCTCCGACTCGAATTTGTCAGCCGAAAGTATTTTATGCGGGAGAGCAGTGAATGCCAAGTCAAAATAATCTGACAATAGGCGGTCTTTGAGATCAGTGGGCTTGCTCAAGCTTTCCCAAATGCGGTTCAAGTCGGCCGTGAGAGTTGCTTGCAAGTTGGCGAGGGGTGTTTGGCCGATGTGGTCGCGTATAACGAAGAGAAGGAGAGTGCGGCCGTTAGACCTGCAAAATCAGAGAAGTCAGTGGCCGCGGAACTTGACTGAACGGGTTGTAACATACCCATCTTGTGCTTTCTTACCAAAAAGTCCGAGGTTTACCTCAAATACCGTCTTGAGCAAGCCCATGTTGGCACCCTGATAGAGACCAACTTGGTGCTCCCAGAGGTTAACAATAAGGATTTCGGATGACGCCAAGGAGAACAACGCGGATTTTCGTTCAAAGTCCTAGACTCCTTGTGAACCAATGGTCACGTCATTATTCGAAGCTGCCTACCTGGTCTTCCCCTCGTTCGCGGCCATCCGTTCCCTCGACGTCCATTACCATGACGCCCATGTCCTTCCCGCGACACATCCAGATACCTATTCTGGGTTATACGGAATCATTTCCTCGAGACACAAGTCGCACCTTTGGTTGTCTGCTGTCGCCTAGTTTCGTCCATCACGTCGAAGGTGGTCCCAAACAACCTGTTCAAAAGTGTACCTTTGAAGCGGCGTGAGCATCGAGAGTGATTTCCAATGGGGCTACCCACTCTTCCCCGTTGACTGAGAACCAAAGACAGCTACTATGTTGTATGAGAAGCCAGCATCTCGAAGACCCCACCGTTCAATCTGCGTAGCAAGATCAGGACTGGAGACATGTGAACATAAATGAACAGCGAGAAGCACAACAATGGAAATAAATACGAACGTGAACTTCTTCTCGTCGTCGATTATTTGTATTCTCGCCGTGCTGCCAGTCTGTGACGATGACGTCGGGAGGCTGGTAGGGGGTACGTAGGGAGTATCTTGTGCTCGTAGGTTTATAGGGGCAGCTGACGCCATTAGGGGAGAGACTCAAGGTGTCCGTTGGAGAGTTACTCGAGTCCGTAGTGTATGTGGTGGTTCAACTAGAAAGTGCAGTTGAAGAACTGTCACTTGCCACGTGGGTTCAATGCAATTACTATGTGTAGCACACGCTCAAGCTTTATTTAAGTATGTATCTGAACAAAATTGAACGAGCTTCCTCGATCCCTTCATCAAGAACACACCACTCCGAACCATCGTATTTCAGAGGTACATATAGGACGCCACCCATAACCTCTCTCAAACCCCATTGCCGTCAACCCAAAGCATGCACCAGTACTTTGCAGACTCAAAGCCCCTATGGAAGCCCCGACGTCCCGCTGACTCTTGCGCGGATGCGCTTCGCCGCCAGATAAATCCCAAATATGGCCTGAAATTAGGTTGGCGTCTCCCAATCTTTACTTCTGTCTTATGCTTATCTTGCTTAGCGAATTATCATGATCTCCACAGATACTCCGTTGAGGATGACAATTTTTGGCTGGAGCTGTGGGAGTTTCTCGGGATAATATCCTCTGTACCACCGCAAAAGGTCTGTCATTTATTGCATCATTTCCTTCATCTGCTCAAAATCGGATCACAGACGAAAATATTGGAGAAAGGCGTCTTAGATGAGGTACCTCTATGGTTTCCTGGAGCGAGACTCAACTACGCGGAAAATCTGCTCCATAGGACAGACGACGCGATAGCAATAACTGCAACTGGAGAATCGGGAGTCATCACCAATCGCACCTTCCGGGAGTTACGCAACTGGTACGGGTCATGGCCGCGGCGTTGAAGGTTCACGGATTGAAAGTGGGTGATCGGGTCGCAGGTTAGCAGTCTTGTACCTTCAACGTTCTTCGTCAAACGTGAATGATTATCAGCAATCATAACCAACTCTCTACACAGTGTCGTCATTGCTCTGGCGACAGCAAGCATAGGAGGCATATTTTCAAGTACTGCGACGGACATGGGAACTTCTGTAAGGAATCTCGTCTCTTAACCAGTACCACAATAACCTTTTTAGGGCATCCTTGACAGGTATCGCCAAATCACACCCAAGTTCGTTTTCGCTGAAATAGAAGTTTCATACGGGGGAAAACCTGTGGATCTCCTTCCCAAAGTCACAGAGGTGATCAAGGACCTCTCTGACAAAGGTCTACAGCAAGCCGTTTTGCTACCGAGTCGTATAACCGGGTATGAAATAAATCTTCAGGATGCCGCGAGGTACGCCCGTGTCTTTTAGACACGCGAGTAGATGAAGAACGTCACCGACAGCATTACACTCTCCGCATTTCTAGAGTCTGCAGATGATCGCAAACTTAAATTCGAGCAACTTCCTTTTAGTCAGCCTCTCTTCATCTTATACAGCTCTGGGACGTCTGGAAAACCCAAGTGCATCGTTCATTCCGCAGGGGTGAGTTTTCGGCCAACGTTAGCTCCTTCATCCTCAGTTTCACGCCTGCAACAGGGTGTCCTTCTCCAAACAAAAAAAGATATCAAGATGACGTTCGATGCTTCTCCGGAGGACACTTACTTCCAGTACACAACTGTACGTCTGAAAGCAGCGACCACTATAGGTCTTGACCGAACGCCTCCTTAGACTGGTTGGATGATGTGGACTTTTATGTTGACGGGGCTTGCTTGTGGATCACGAATCATTCTTTACGATGGATCGCCCTTCCACCCTGATCTCAAAACTTTCCTCCAATTTATCAATAACCAAGGGTCCGTTATGACTCTACACCTGAATGTCTTCCTGACCCGTGGATAGGGTTTCGATCCTCGGGACGAGTCCTAGGTTCTTGGCCGAAATCCAAGGAAAAGGGATCAACCCTCGTAAAGCTTTGGTACATCTAAACCCCGCCATGTACTGAAGCTTTCTTTCAGTGGAATTGGGCTCGTTTGAAGCACTGAAAACTATCAGTTGCACAGGTGCCGTTCTAACACTACCTCTTTTCGAATGGGCATTCCACGCTTTTGGCGGCGACGTTCATCTCGTCTCAATGAGCGGAGGCACCGACATATCTGCATGTTGTGAGTGCATAACTTGAAAGCGGGGTTAATCTGAAAAATCCCAACCAGTCGTCGCCGGCACTCCATCCTTACCCGTGTATTCAGGAGGTGTGCAACTTTGGCAAAAGATAGATTTTATTACGATGACATCTTTTCAGAAATACAGTGCAAGTCACTTGGAATGAAGGTCGAAATTTTTGATCTAAGTGGGAACAATATCGAACATCTTGGCGAACCAGGCGAGCTGGTGTGTACGCGGCCCCATCCATCGCTGCCAGTGTGCTTCTGGGGTGATGAGGGAGGAAAGAAGTTTTTAGATGCTTATTTCAGCATGTATCCTGGTAGATATTTTTTCTTTGCATATTGATTTCTGGAGATTCTCATTTCTTTATTCAAGGAATTTGGAGGCAAGGCGATCTCATAGTAGTGAATCAGGCCACCAAGGGCATTATGATTTTAGGACGCAGGTGAGGCCAAAAATTGCTACTAGATAAATTCGATTTAACATTCTTCTCTCAGTGACGGTGTTCTCAATCCCAGTGGCGTTCGCTTTGGCTCTGCAGAAATTTATTCGGCCTTGGAGCCATTCTCCAAAGTGATCGATGATTCTCTTTGTATCGGGCAGCGTCGTTCGTATGATAGAGACGAGCGTGTGTTGCTGTTCGTTAAAATGCGTGCAGGGTACATTCTCTCCCCAGCACTCATTTCTCAAATACGCATCACCATAAGGAGGAGACTGAGTGCCCGGCATGTTCCCGCCTATATCTTTGAAGTTTCTGATATTCCGGTTGGTGAAATCAAGCAACTATTCTCCTCACATCACTCACCTCCACCCAGTACACGGTCAATGGAAAGAAGATTGAAATCGCTGTCAAGCAAATCGTCTCTGGATCAAACTTGCAGCCGAGTGGAACGGTGGCCAACCCCGAGTCACTTCAATTGTACTATAAATACCGAGACATTGAAAAGGTCGTGAAGATGAAGAAGGATGCTAAGCTGTAAGGAGCTGTAAGGTGGTCGATAGCGTTTGTACTTTATCCATGACCTTTGTTACAAAATTGGTTTGTTGTTCCCACGTGTGGGCTCGCGTGGCTGAGGGCTGCTTGGCAGGCTAGCTCACGTGGCGACTGTCTGCTATACAACATTGTACTCATTACTCACTTTGCCCCTTCATACCCTTGTATTCACCTGGATTCATTTGGATTTCCCCTCTCTTTCTCCTTCAGTCATGAATCTCTTCAAGCGCAAGTCCTCTCGCGGTGTTCCGCAAAAGCAACCTCCCTCTAGAAGACCCACACTACTCGTCGCTGCGCCCACTGTTCCCCCACCAACGACCATCACCAACTCTGCTTTGGACACGCCCACCTCTTATTCCTCTCTCCTTTTAGACGATAGCAACATCACGCCGTCGCCATCGTCTCCAGAATCTCAACATCGCAAACCAGCTATTGGCAGGAAAATCTTGAACGACCAGAACGCGAACGGCAGTCGCAGGTCAACGTCTGTCTCTTTTATACCCTCTTTCTGCGTTTTCCTACTAATTTTTATCCTTCTGCAGATCGTCTCGCTCCCATGCCTCCCAAAGCAACTGCGATCTGCCTTTGTTCTCTCAACCAAATGTTGTCACACCCACATCAAAAGACGGTAATGATCGCATGTATCTCCAGAATACACTCAATACCTTTACTTTTGGCGCTGCCCCACCCTCCTCGTTCTCATCAAGATCAGTCGACCCCCTTACTCGACCTCGTGATGAAACAGACTCAGACGAACTCATTTACAAAGCCGATACCACTCCTCGTCCATCTGTTGTTGGGCCACAGCCATCCTGCAGTCATTCCTCGCAATCACACAGTGCGGCAGGTGGGGCTCAGCCCTCCCATTCACCGTCGTCCGTCAGAGCACGCCGAGGCCGTTTACAAACAAAGGACACGGATACAGCGTCTTGCCATACTTTCGGCCAGTCATCGGCTTCCGCATCCGTTTCTTCTCTCTCGAGTGCGAGCGGCTTGAGTTCATTGGCGAATTCACAGATCAGCCCACAGTCAAACAACACACCCCAAACGTCGACCAATGAGCTCAGCTCTGATGATGATATCGATCACCGTCATCCCTTGCCTCCCAATTTTGTACCCTCCAGGCGTTCTGGTGCCGAATCCTCTACTTATCTCTCAGAGGAAGATTTTGACGACGACTCTGACTTTGATCAGGATGACCAAGAAATCTACGTGGGTTCCGTGAATGAGGGAAGCGACCGTGCCACCTATTTCGATCATGTCAGCCCGAGTCAAGAGAGTTTGCACGATAGCTTTCGGATGGCATACGGCGAAAGGAGAGGAAGCTTGGCTATCGCTACTTCAGGCATGCCTTCAAGTAGATTCCACGTTCAAGGCCGTTACCGCGAGGACAGTACCACAACGTTAAGAAGGCCGAGTAAAAGTTTGGAGTATCTGCGATCTTCTGACATGGGTGGACCTTCTCATCCAACCGAAGAGGTCCTAGCACCAACCTCCGTTCCACAAAGTGAAGGAGATTGGCGTGATCTACGGAAGAAATCGTTACAGCGGGACAAGGATGCCGTGCTACCCCTCGTAACGAGTCCTATGGCGGCCGGCATCACGCCTAATCCTACACCTGCCTCAGCGAATGACAGTGCGATGTCGGGCATTGATACTGCCTGGAATAACTGGGCGGGTGGCATCACTGGCTTCGATCAATCAGAAATGAATGATATTATTGCTCCTATGCCCACAGGGCGCCGACCGTCTGAGCGCGTGTTGCGGAGGGAAAGTACCACCAGTGAACGTCGTTTAAGCGTCGTTTCTTGTAATAGCGGCGATTTCTTCCACAAAACGTTGGCACGCAAATGGGGCGGAGAAGGTTATAAGAACCAGCAACAGAAGTGGACTTTCCAGAGGGAAAAAGCTGATCGTCTGCGATCTGAGGATGAGCCAAGGATGAGGGTTGACCGAGAGAGGCACAGCATTTCTAATTTTTTCGGCCCCCGCCCAAGCACTGCTCCCACTCCAAGTGCTGGTATTTTTGATGCGCTTGACCCAAGGGACAAGGCATCTGGAAAGGAAAAGGCCAAGGAGCAACATTGGAGAGGGATGGCTGTAGACGCGGAGGAATGGTGGTTCAGCCATACAAATGGGCGTTACAAAGTTAATCGAAAGAATGCTCAAGGTATGTTTTTTTTTAAAAAAAATACAGCTTATTGACGAGAGCCTAATTTCTTTCCCTACTAGCTGTCGAGCCGGGGAAGGCACCTCAACAGCGGTTGAACATTACTCATCATCGAACACCATACACGAACCAACGCGATCTGTCTGATGGCCCCATCGCTAGCATCCATAAACACTCAAAGGCCGTTGCCTTCTCGATAAGTCGCCACTACCGCATGACGTCAAAAACGACCGCATCGTCTTTGCGACCACCCACAACTTCCCGCATGCCTAGCACCCCAAATAATGTTGATGCAAACCGAAAGAAATCCACGAGCATGATTCTACTAGGTCCGCGTCGAGTTCAAGAAGCGTATACCAGCACAACTACTACAAGGAAGCTGGAATCGCATGGTCTCCTAGATGAGAGCGGGCGTACTAGCCCGCGAGATCTAGAAAGGATGAAGCGTGAACGGGACAACGAAAGGAGAGCGAAGGAAAAGGGCAAAAAGAAGGAAACGGAGGACGCAAAAAAGTCGAGAAGCAACAAGTCTAAGAAGTCTGACCGCCCAAAGCAGGACTTCAGCTCGGAGAGTAGCGTCAGTAGCGCAGGAGGTGCTATTTCCAGTGGCGGTAGCTTGACGCTTGTGAGTGGGCCGTCTCGTATTGCGGACTCCTCCCCAGCTGGCAATATCGTATACTCTACCGCATCGACCTCCCGTTCAATCATGACTCAAGAAACGACAACGACTTCATCCGATCGCACCGTCTCTCGCGGGCGATACCGCCGTCACGTAGGGGACGATGAAGACGATGACGATTTGTTTACCGGCATCAAACGGCCCACTCGTACGCCTCATCAGGAAGTATACGAGACAATACTCCATGACAGCTCGGAACCGCCCTCGTCGCAAGAGAATGGCTTCGGCAGCTTATTTAGCTGGGGAAAACAAAGGAATGCCTCAAATTACAAAGCCAAATCGTACAAGCCCCCTTGGGCGGTCGCCCCTTCTCGGCACAACTCTGAGGTCCGTAAAGGCATTGTAGACGACCTTAACACGTCTTTTCAAGATGTTGGGCTTCTTCCCGCCCTTCACGAGATCAAAGGCACCCACCACAGCTCACAAAAACGCAAACGCGAGCAACAAAACTCGAAAAATTCGAGACGTCTCACGAGCGATGCAGCACAAGCCGACATTTTCGAAGATATTCCTACGGACTCTTTATATATGCTTCTCCCTCTCTGGCCGGGTGAAACGGATGCAAAATCGGCACAGAAGTATCCCTACACGATGCCAACGATCTCCACTGACAGTCGACAATATTTACTTATATACTACAAAGTCCCTTTCCAGACGCACGCTGAGCAGGAGCAACAGAAAGTCAAGCAGACTGGGGGCAAGAATTCGAAACGTGCGCGCAACTCACCAACGTCATCACACGACTCCGTCAAAAATCGCGATCACGTCCTACTCACCACGTTCCACATCAGCGCTCGCGTTGTTGCATATCACGATCTACAAGGATCAGGCGTTCGCATTCCCGACCAGGGCTTGGCCGTTCAGGGCCCGCTAGCAGATGCATATGGAAGCATGCCAACTTCCATTCGCGACCAGGGTCTTGTTGACTGGGTCATTGGCGTATGTCACTCGCGTGAAGCGGGCATCGAATTTCTGCCTGAAAGTCTAGAGAAAATGGGCTTGTGTCGCAGCTTCCCAAACTCTCCTGCGTTATCAACCCGTGCTCTCAGAAATGAAGAGGATGAAGAAGTGGAGTCGGACCTTGTAATGACACCAATTGGGCGTGCCGTTATCGAAATGGCTTGGTTGGGTGGGATGGCTCTCACCAGCTTTGGACCAGGCATCTAGACACATAAATGTATCATACACTTATCTCTTTATTATGACTATACATGCTTCCAGACTATCCTTTTCTTTGTGCCGCATTTTTCAACGCCCCTTCGTGTATGTATATTTACATGGTTGTATCAAGGTTGTATATTGTCTTGCTTCTTTCGAACCATAGTAATGTTTTTGACTTCTGTATGTGGACAAACCCCATTCAACATTTGACGGTTAGCAGTCGGCTATGGTGTCTGGAACCAAATTCAAAAAGAATCCAAGGACTTGGTCCATACTTCACTACATCCCTAAGACTGGAGAGAGGAAAGAGAAAAGTCCAAAGTCAAGGTCATGGCCGGAAGAGCGTTCGTCAAGGGTAAGACATCTCTGGGGGTATATAAGACCACAGGAGTCTGTCTTCACTTTTGAAGTGATACTACTGCAGCACTCAACCCCTCCCTGGCACATATGTAGTATTGGTTCAAGACTAGCCTTCCTCGTCCCCATCATGGACGTCGTTGCACCTGCATATGATGAACCAAACTTTTCAGAAATCACCACTGAGAAATTAACTCACTACAAAGTCATTTGGCAAAAATGCAGCGACATCCTCAAGAAAGAACTCCAATATGATGAAGCTGCACTTACCCAAGTCTGTGACTATGGGTTGGAGAAACTCTCTGCTGACAATCCTGTGTTCCCTCCATCGCCCTTTACGATAGAAAATGTTTATGCATTTTACAAAAGTTGCGACAAGATTTGTGATGCGGATTTGAAGGAGATCTCGCACTGTCCACCTGAGTGCGTGTTTTTTTCCAACGAGTTACATATGGTAGAACAGTGAGGTCGACTTACAGCTTGTACCAAGTCTCCTCCACTGCCTCTCTTGGAATTCAATTCATCTCCCGTAAACTGCTTCCATGGATTCCAGATCAAGATCAGGCAGCAGAGATCGAGAGGGACAGCGTGCAATCGGCGTAAGTAGTGAATTTTTTTGGTTGCAAATGTGTCTTGAGTTCAAGACTCTGTATTTATGTAGGTTAGAAATTTGGCTGCACGATAACCCAGGATTTCAATCAGCGAATCTGCAATATCAAGCAGCATTAAACGAGGATATATTCACGCGCCCATCTCAGTTGATCCGCGTTGGAGACATTCTTTCTTATGACGACGGCGAGGAGAATGGAGTCCAGTCGGTTCGCATCAAAGACTACGGCTCCAGTGCAGTGAGGGGGGAATACTACGTTGTCACTCCGATTCTTGATCCTGATAGCCTAGACGATTCATGCGATGTCTGGGCGACTGGTTCGAAAATGCAGGATTGGCTTCAATGCCGGGTGAATGTTGAAGATGAGGTTGACGGTTGAAAGCAAGTTGAAAGATATACTTAGATAAGTATTTGAGTAGAAGTATATAAAGTGTTACTTTGCCCCTCCTCGCATTCTCACCGATGATCAAAAACGAGAGCGAAGACGTCCGTCATGGGAAAGGACGACAACGATAGGTTAGCCGACGGTATGTCAACAGCCAGAGGTACGTAGAGGAAAAAAAGGTATCAGTCACAACCGGTTCCCGATACACAGGCGCTATAGCCAAGCTATAGCGTAACTGGAGTCAATGCGGGGTTTCTACAATATTTAAGTGAATTCTATCTGATATTGATACACTGGGTTATAAAGCGGGGCTAATATCGACTAAGACTCCCTTCGTTATAAGAGGGAGACCAAGATGATGATCTTGTACAATATTTTGCACAACCGATAATCACGAGAACAAATAATGATAGAAACTCACTCTCCCTCCCACCAGGTCAATATGTCTCTTTGTTTGGCTTTTCCATCGGGCTGGAGTACGGGCAGGAGAGCGTGAAGGCGAAGACGCTGAACGCGCGGCGCGGCGGGAGAAACGTAGCGGGTGTGGTCTGTACAAACTGAATGGGTGCGCACGGCGGGGACTGGCGACATCGGCTGATTCAAGTTCTTCTTGGGTGGGCCCTTGTAAAGGTGATGATGGTGATAGCGATAGAGCCTCAACTTGAGATTCCACTTCTAGAATGTCTGCCTCCTCGATGTCGGCGTCGCCGACAAGGGACCATGAATCATCAGATGAGCCGATGCGCGGTGACACGGCCATTGCTGGCAGAGTGGGTTCGGCCACATCGACATCAGATTCTAGTTCTCGGTCTGTTATGAAGTCTGAATCAATGTTGTCATCGGTGTCCAAGTCTGGATTGGAGGAGTAATCCACATCAGTAACTGGGGGGGTGTCGAGTGCTACTGCGGCGTGGTGGTCTGGCCTTGTGACATTCGGACGAAGCAGATAAGTAAGTCGCTGATCAGAGTCCCCTTTACCTTTGAAAAGAGTGAGCATAATTAACATAGAACAAAAAAGCAACCTACTGAAGCTGACAACTTCATGGTAACGGGCACAGCAATGTACCACGTAACGCGCAAACGCATCGTCAGAGATGCGCCAAATGAGCTGCAATGGAGTCCGAGAGACCTCTGTGATGGAGCCCGTCTCCCCTACAGGGGTTCCATGCATATCATCGTTCACGAGCTGGCTGTCTACACCCCTTGGGGCGAGAAGGGTCCCACCCTGTCTCAGCCATTCAACCATCTCAGTCTCGATGTCCCTTACAAGAGCTTCGGCTCTACCCCCAGACCTCCTCAGCTCCTTTCGCATGCCTTTCAAGCTGAGAGAAAATCGACCCGCATTAGCCGAGGCGGGATCAGTGGTGGGCGGGGTAATGGCAGGCACCTTTGCGGTGCGTGGAAGGAAGGAAGGGAGGGGCTCTGGGAATGTAGCGCGGGCTTGTTGGGGATGTAGGACATAATCACTCTTGGTCGCGGCGATGACATGGGGGTTCCCGGCGAAGCGGGCTATTAGACGGAAGATGTTGGCACACACAGAGAAGGTTATGGAGAAGAAGCGGACCGTTATCTTTCCGTCTGAGCCAACGCTTGCCTTCGTTCTGGTCGCGCTGTTGAAGTTGTCGTTTCTTTGCCTGGTTGAGGTGAGCAAGACCTGGATTGCGAAGAATAGCAGGGAATGAGAGGACTAGTGGAGAAGTAACGTCGACGTCGTTCATGACAATGACTAGGACCTGAAAGTGACTCTTGAGTGACTCCGAGAGATATAGCATGATACAGGTTTATGTAAGTTTATGGTCATGTGATACAATCCTCTCAAGTTCAATAAGCGCTTGTGTGTGCGGGTGATGCCACAGCGCTTGTCCCGCACGATCATCAATCCCAACAAGAGGTTTCCGTGGAACTCCACCGTACCCATACAACTTCTCTAGAAGATATTTCGTTCCCGCAATCGATGCCTTCGCAATCGTAAAGTCTGCACGCGCAATGATTCCTTGCAATCGTAGCGCTTCGGGAAGCAGGGTTGCATCTTGCCTCGACGCTTCCGTAAGCGCAAAGAGCTTCGCAATCGCATGCTGTTGGGCACATAGCGTCAATTCTTGTCCAAGGCATAGAAAATACACACACTTACCGGTGCAACGTTCCCCAGACCAGTGATAGCACCATGTGCGTTCACGTAACTCGACGGAACCAGAAAGTCTATGAACCCGCCCAAAACAAGGAAAGGTGCTTGGGGATCCTTGCGAGGATACGCCGATGCAAAACTCGCGTCGCACACAACGTTCGCAATTCTCGTCAGTTTACCAACATTGCCGCATCTTTAGGGATCGTCAATTGCAGCAACTTGAGAAAACCAGTCTACGACGCACGTGAGTTTCACTCCACAAATGTTGGGACAGCTGGTGGCAAGTTCAGTGATAAGATCAGAATCCACATCTATGCCCCCGCTTGCTCCAGGATCTGCACGAAAACAGCTCAGCGAAAATCATGACTGAAAGGCGGGCAACCAACAGTTGTAAATCATGACTGGAATTGGACTCGTTTTTGAAACTTCTACCCAAAACGCTCGGAGCGCTTCACGATTGCCCGCCAACGCGCCGGCAAAGTACCCACTCGCAATAACAATGGCGTAATCCGCCCCAGCTTCTGCTGCCTCATTGGTGAGTTGGATAGTTTCTCTGGTACTCCCAGCACCAGTCCCAGCAATAAGGGGCACGTTCACAAGACCCGCTTCGTCCAATGCTTTACGTGCCTCCTGGATCAATTGCACACGCTCAACATGCGACAGATGGATTGCCTCTCCCATCGAACCAGCGATAAGGGGCCCGACCCCCACAGATGCGATGCGGACGACATGGGTTTTGAACGATGGAATGTCTGCAGGGACGATGAGCTGAACGAAGGACCGGGAAGCTAAGAATGCGCACCAAGATCTTCGCTTCCTGGGAGGAAGAAGGAAGGAATAGGGGCGTAGATACCTGGATTGAGGGGTCGAGATATCGAGTGAACGCCGTTGGTGCTGTTGGGTGACATTGTTGGAGGGAGGTGTGGGGTGATAGACGAAGTGCGAAGTCCAAGATATAAATAAGTCCAACACCCAAACCCGGTCCAACGGTCCGCTAAATACGGTCCGGCGAATCCGCCTCAAATTTGTGGTGAACGTCGGGTGGTACCTCGCCGTTGTACACCCCGGACAAATCCCTGGACTTTCCAATTCACGGACGGCGTTTACGTACCGATAGTAGTGCATGGCGCAAAGGTATAAGGTGCAGGCTTGCAGGCTTGCAGGCTTGTCCTAGACATCTTTCTCGTCAGACACGCGTCGAAATTCTGTGCCATTGCAAAAAACTCTGTTTCAAATTGGAAGGCGAATACAATAATTTACACATGAAAGCACCAATGCATGGGTACTTTCAAGTTATATAAGCTGAGATAGGATATATAATAGTAGAGGTTTGTGGTAACATACAACAGCGCATCGCCGAAGTTATATCCGTCTGGTTTACCCTGTAACAAGTCGCGCAAGCAAATATAAAGTTGACCCAGCAAAGCGCTGAAATATGATATCAGTTGTCTAAGCTGTAAGTAAGAACAATATGCACCCACAACTGAATTAGTGATTGCCGTAAAAGCAAGAATAAAAAGCAGATATGCTTTGGTCCTATTCACACCCGCCTGGACGCTAAACGTGTCCGATGACTGCACCCCGCCAAGAATGCCAACCAACAACAAGCCCTGAATGGAATAAAGTCAGCCGAGAAAAAGGAAAGAAAAAGGAAAAAACACATACGTTGGACAGGACCCACGCTAATAGGACGTTCGTCCTCACATTCGCGTAATAGTCTTTTGCGTTAGCCTCCTTTTCGGCCAGGGTAGGCAACCCTTTACCCTGGGTCTTTTCCACAGGTACACGATCCCGCAGATTCATGAGCGCCTCCTCATAAATACTATTTACGTCTGCGGCCTCAGTTAGCATCTCGACGTCAACTTGAGAGTGGCTATCTTGGATGACGGCTCCCAGATCTCTCTCTGGAGTGGAGTCTTGTTTTGTACCCCATGATATCTGCCATGATAAAATTTGTGTCGATGAGGGAAGAACAAGAATGAAGGACGTACATCATCAAGATTAGAAAATGCATAACTGATTTGAAGAGCGATCTCAGCCTGATAAGATGGATCTTATGGTGAAAATTTACTCACATATTCAGAATGTTGATGTACGTGGGTGAAAGAAGCATGTATGGTATGAAGCTAGTGAACATATGCCAGGGGTCGAAGGCCAAGAGACTGCTGAACGCGTACACTGGATATAAAGGCTCAGAACAAATACCAAACAATAGGAGATGAAAGCAAGAACTCACATCCATATGTGACGAGTACACTTAGAAGCATGACTGAATTTGCTGCGCCACCCTGCTTACCGGCCTGGATGCCGCAGATGATGGATGCAATAATCATGTAGAGCATGAGCACGCTTAGAATGATGGCTGTTGTCTTATATTTTATCTTTGCACTGAAACCGTATAAGTGACATTGGCGGGGAACTTCATAGGGAACGTAAGCTTACGCTTGTGGCTTGTTACCCATCGAGAAAAGAAAACAGGCCACGACCATAGACGCCATAACGTACTTGATGCAATGGGTGATGAAAATGCTAGACAGTAGCTAAGCGAACTACTCACCTGGACGAGCGTGTTAAAATATTTGATGCCCGTTATGCCAAAGGATTCATCTTCCAATGACGAAGTGAGAACGACCTGACCTTCACCACATCAACCGCAGAATGATGCTTACGAACTAAAACAACTTACGAAGAACAAATAAAAGTTCCCCTTCAAACCAAGACCGAATCAACAAGTATTTTATTGAGAAATAATCACCACTCACAATGCTAAACCACGAGAACACCAGGTTGATGATGTTATAAGCTGTCTCCGTCATCAATGCTACCTTACGCGCAAAACTGTGCCCAGAGCGCATTATCTGACCAACGTGAGCGATAGCATACGTAGCGGCGAAGAAGGACCCGTTTAACCATCGTCGCCGCTGACCGATAAACTCTGGAAGTGCGTCTGGAACATCTGTCTCGCCGATGGCGCCCTTGACGTACTTCAAAACCCTAGAAAGATCAATGTCTTTCAAACTGAATGAAGCATAAAGGAGGTGCCGCACCAGCTGGAATTAGCTTTGGCGACGAGCTCAAAGCACAAAATACGCTAAGTTGAAGGGTAAGTAGACACCTTGGTTTTGGGCGCACAAACTTACATCCTCTGCGAGATCTGTTGGCTCCAAAGATGTGAGAATGGAAGTGCAAAACAAATTCAAGACCACCCACACATATTCGACGTAAAGATGTCCGTATCGCGGCCGTGCAATACTTCACCCTTGAAATATGAAGCCAGTGGCCCAACCCCAAATTCGTCATTCTGTAATGCAATGTATCTATTTTCCTGTTGAATCACTCATCGAGATGGCTCCTGTGTATTCGACATACCTATAAGCCGAGAACGCTCCAGGCTTCAAGTTGTTAGCCAAAATGCAATAATACCGAAGAGGGTACTCACGAGGACGCTGATATAGCCAAACATGGACTCGGTAGGCTTGTCTAATATACAGCTGATTTTGTACTCAAAATTTTGGGCCGCGACTGAAAGGCAGATTGTAAACGTGAATTAGCTGAGAGAGACAAATGCTCACCTAGCGGATTCAAAAGAAGAGACCAATTTTTCCCTTTGTACGTTGATATCTCTCCGCAAGCACCACCCACGCTAGAATTCACGTCGAATGCCTTCCAAAGGCGGTATATGCTGTTGTTCCCCGGGCGTGTGCCAACATCCAATAGAACACAAACGTTCGGCTGGACAGAGTGAGCTCAGATACTGCCAAAAAGCCACCTAACACACCTGCAACATCGGCGCAAAGGCATTAAAAAACCATCTATGACTATTAATCTTCTTCTGGTTTTTCTCCTTCATACAAAATATAATCTGGGTGGGAACAATGCCTTTGTCCGGATAGCGAAAGTGGAGATTAGAGTCTAGGGCAAAGGAAGAGGTATATTCAAACAAATGGGCTGTGACTTCCTTGTTATTAACCATGTTCTTCATATGGTCACCGGGTTGGTAGACTCCAAGGAGAGTGAGGCAGTCGAGAACACGTGGGTGAATCTTTTTGCGTCCGTCGGCAACAATGCAGACTACGACCTGTGCATGATTTGATTTGGGCATGAGGGAGCACGGAGGGAGATTGCAATACCTTTTCCCAAGCGTTCGGGCCCCATGTTTGCGAGTTCTTACGCGTACAGAGGTGGGCAATATTCCTCATAACCCCATACATAGTCCGACAAAATAGAACTTCGTCTTCCTGTCATAGTGATATGGATGCGATTTTGATCAATGGAAGAAAAGAAAAGAGGGAGCAACTCACGTTGTACATAGTGATCACAATGAACAGTTCCGTCCTCCTTCCACTTTCGTTCTGTCTCAGAAAGAAGCCTTTCTTTTCGAACTCATCGGGGTCACATGTTACCGCAGTGTACCGGGTCTGCATTGTCTCTGCCTCTCCCCGCCAAGGGAGAACCAGCTTTGGCGGCACAGGAAGCTCGACGACGAGATTTCCGTTCGTCAGCTGTACGCGCTTCTTGGTCTTGTGGCGGCGCAGTACACGGCCTGTGGGCGCAGGACCAAAATGACGCGTCTCTGTGAGTATTTCGGGTGGAAGGGAGTACAGGGTCGAGGTTGGGGTTTCAGGCTCTGGGTCATACACAATTGTTTGGCCTGATCCAACGTATTGGTCTGCGTATTGATACACTGGCTTTTCAGGATCGTCGTTGGGATGCCCTGTGTAATGCACGCTCTCGTTTCCTACAACATAATAATCCTCATCGTCTACGGCAGGCGTGGGTGAGCGAGATCGTGGGGGGCGGTATGAGGTACGAGAATAGTTGCCTGAGGCATAAGCTTCGGCATCATGTTGAAAATGGTCAAAATCGGAACCTGCGGGAAGACCCTCCGGTTCATAAGACAAGTAAGAGTGATTAGATGGTGGGTGGTAGTCTTGGTCATAATAGTAGCCTGGGGAGAGCGAAGCTACAGGCGTTGATGGGTCGTGGAATGGGTCTGGGGCGTGAATTACTGGGGCGGGTGCCGAACCAATAATTTCATCTAGCTGTAGCGTCTCACCAGTAATGATTGGAGCTAGATATTGACCTGGTTGATATGGATGATATTCAACAGGTGGTTGTCGCTCGTGATACGAGTTGGCGCTGTGCTCTGCGGTGGATACGGGACTGTGGCTTCCTGGGTCGTAAAATAGATCGTTCTGGGCGGCTTGGGAGTAGCTTTGGTATACGGCGGTGTTGATGTTATTGTCGAGATCTTCATTCACGGGTTCGTTGACGACTGGGGGCCGTCTGGGCGCGTCAGAAAGGGAGTATCGTGTGAGTCGTGGGTCCGCTGGTTGATTCGAGTTAATTGAACCTCCCGAGTCGCCAACCGGGGTCTGATTTCTTGGGGGCGGTTTCCTGCTCACCGCCATGGTCGTTGAACTGAGGATGTCCTGCAATTGGTTGAACGCGTTCATCACGTGTCCGTGCCGTCATTCACACACTTGTGCCAGGAGCACTGAAGCGCTGAAGCGCTGAACAACGCTGGAACAACGTTCTCTCTCAGCGATACCTAAGCGATACTCAACAGTGACGGCGTCTTCAATTCCAGCGGAGCTCACAAAGCCTCTTATTGGCTGTCTAGATTTGTCTTTCGAGCGTGGTTTTCATTTCTCTGTCATATGTTCCAACACGAGGCCCCGTTCAGTTGCTGCTTATAAGCTATAACACACCCCACGCAGGTTCATCGTGGCCCCTCATTGCCATGTACATTCTTCGACTGCGACTCACAGATATCACGCAATGGACCTCTCTCTCTCTATCCTGACTGGCCTTGGTCTCCGCCTTTTCCTTCACAACCAACTCCTAGGCAACCTCAGCCCCGTTCTGCTTGGCCTCTGGGAAGGAGTCGTTGTGCATCAACTATCAAGTAGATCGTCAACCCCGGTGGATCACTATTTGGCCTATGGCCTGCGACTTACCGTCGATCTATTCGTCTCAGCGAACATTACAAGGTTGGCTATGGTCGTGCTGTGGACTGCACTTGGGGTCATCGTTTCAGAGTCCATGACCCCAGGAAGAACCCTTCGACATGCAGCGAAGCGCGAGCGACGCCAGAAGAAATCTACCACCCTCCCCTCTCACATACGAGTGTACCATACTCCTGATCCAGTTCAACCTCACTCATCGACCCCTCCATTTCTTCCCGCACAACCTCCACAATCTGCGACACCCCAACACCCTGCAGAAAGACCTGCTTCTCCCCCTAGTTTCTTTCTTCATGGTGGATCGGAGGGCTTCTCTCCGTCTCCCATTCCTGTTCAACTCCAACTTATCGAGAGTCCTCCAACAGCTCGGCCTCCTTCGGGCCTGGCTTCTTTCCTTGAACGGGAAGCAGAGTCAGGTTCGCCCCCCAGTAAACCTGTCCATCTCGCTACCCCTCCTGAGAGTGCCCCTTCAGACGGAATCGAACTTCAAAACACTCCCAACCGACTATCGACCATTGCAGAAATGCCATCTAGAGAAGAGATCACTCCTCCGAATCCCGAACTTGTCGTGGAGGAAGTCAATGTGATTCAAGAAACTCGCAACGGTGGCACATTTTATGCACCCTCAGCCACAATGACCGCTGTTCCAATACCCGTCCCCAACGCCAGCATACAATACGTTCAAATGCGCAGCAAATGGCATCATGACGAGGATGTTGACACAGCCGCCCCTTACTCCCAACCACGCACCAACCATACCCTTATGCATGTCCCCAATGCCACGACCCGAAGGATGTGGGAATCCGACAGTCCCACTCCCTTTGAGACCAGGGACGAGCTTCGAACCCCTGGTCCTTCGTCTCCGGAGTGGGGACCAGGCGTTGAAACGGATCTGGACAATGACGAACTTCAAACACCCATCGCTGACAAACATACGGTGGGAGAATTATCCCCCCTTGTCTTAGACGAGCAACTGAAGGCCAGTGAGCAAGGGTCATCGCAACAAGTTTCTTTTGGCACCATAGCAGCGAGGTTGACTCAAGCAACCGGACTGCAAGCACCTGCCTCGACTGAATTTACCATTCTCCAAGCTCCGGAAGTCATCCCGAGCGCTCTTCTCAGGAATGACGTGGCTGCAGAACCTGCTAAAGAATCGGATGCCCCTGACGATGACAATGTTCCCGATCCCGACCCAGGTGCCCTTTCAGACCCAGAGACACTCCACACTGAAGGGGACGAGTCGAGCATACTTTCGTCGCCTGCCCCTACTAAGCTGACACGGAAGGCTGAGAAGTTCCGAGAGGATGCCAAGAACGAGGAGAAAGAACGTTCGAGGTTGGACGCGGAGTGGAGACTTGCGTTGAGCGAGTCAAGGATTACTGATGCGTTGAAATTGAAAGGAAAGCTCAGGGAATCGGAGGCGCGGGTGTTGAAGCTTCATCAAAGTGCTGCGAGGCGACACTACGCAGGTCCGTTCTTGACGCTTATATCCAATGCGCCTTCATATTAATTGGTCTTGCTATCTCCTTTCGCAGCGCGCAATATATACGCAAAGCAGAAGCCAGATACTATCGACGTGCATGGACTGCGTCCTGGAGAGGCAATCGAAAAGACAGAATCCGCTCTACGGATGGCTTTAGAGAGAGGACAAGGCTCTCTACGGGTTATTGTTGGAAAGGGTCTCCATTCTGCCGGCGGCCGTGCGATATTAAAGGCTGTGGTTCAAAGGGAAATGGAAAGGTTCGTCCATGGTTAATCCGCTTCTTACTTGCATGCTCACTTTTATTTAATAAAGACAAAAGATACCATGCCGTGTAGATGTAAGAAATACTGGCGTACTGATATTGTCGCTTCCTCCTTGAATTGCTTTTCTTGATGTTTTCCATTTCCAATTAGGGCGTCGCATCGGCGCTTTCGCCTCTTTTTGTTCGCTTGCTCTCGTCGCTCTCGGATTTCTGCTACCCTCATACCTCAATGTACAAAAGGATACCCTATATCTTGTGTACCTACCAGATCGGTGACGACTCACCGGACAATGGACCCCTCCAAGTATTCACTATTTTGACCAGTGTAATTTTAATTTGCATATCTATCGAACGAGATCCTAAGCAGAGTTATATCGGGTGTCCCAATCTTTTGTTGTAGTATCACCGGGCTGTCCACAAGTACTATGTAGTGTTGACAATTGACCCTCAAAGACGTCAAACCATCGTTTTTATTCCGCCTTGAGGCGATATTTTCAATTATATTGGACAACTTCACGACAAAAAAAAACATGGAGAAAGGAAGTTGGCCAACATTTTCATATCTGACGCCGCCCCCTTCCAGCTCCCGCAGGCGCTTTGCGTTTACGAAAAAGGCTCCCTGCAGAAGAGCTGACATCCAAATTTGAAGAGGAGAGGTCGGGCAAAGTCTCTTCAATTTTAGCATATGAAGGGGCCACGTCTTCGCTTTTGGCTTCATCGACACCCAAAAATGGTGGGGAAGTATCCTCCATTTTTGTGGGTTCTGAAGCTGAACTCCATTGACTCTTCACCCACTTCGATGCGCGGTGTGTTGGCGCAGAAGTCGAAGACAAAGGGACATGTTCAACGGCAACGTCGGGTTTCACGTCCGGCGTCTCAACGTCAGCCTCTTTATTTTGCTGTTCTCCGACCGCTGTTCCTTTCAATTGGAGAGTTTTCCACTTTGGGAATTGAGTCGGATGGGCCGCTGGTGAAGCTGAAATCTGGGGCGTTGAGGTCGGTGGCGTTGTGCAGGATTCTTCCTCCTTCTTTTTCAGCTTGATAGGTATGAGCCCAGGATCATAGATTTCGCCGAAGCCTGTCAGTGTCTTTTTACGCAACTTAAAACTGCGGCTGTCCTCTTCATCAGGCAGCGCGGCATCAGCTGCTCGCTTGACGCCGACGTCAGTCAATACTCCCGGAGTTGAAGACGTAGAAGTTTGCGTGGGTGGTGTGACGATCTCCCACTCGCCAGCGACACCCTGTGATTGACGTTGCTTCAGTTCGGCGGCAATTCTGTCGGCATCAGGGTCAGTGTATCCAAGGGATTCTGCAGTGGAGTAATTGGCGAATGGATTAGAGGGTTTGGGGAGAGGTTTCGAAGGAGCTTTGGACGTAGAAGGAGCCGCACTCGTAGGTTTTGCGATGCCCGCGCCGACATCCTGTGCAAAAGCAGCATTTGCAGCCTGTAAAGTATGTGAGGAGGCAGAGTTTTCTCCAAGAAATCAAGACATTACCCGTTCCACCCTTGCCATCTCCCTCTTTTCCTCTTCTAAGTCCTTCTTTTGCTTCTCTCCAGACTTGTATATTCCTCGGATGAAACGCTCGACATTTCCCTTGTGTCGAAGGCCATTCTCGTGCTGCTGTCGAGAAGGGGCATCGTCTGCGATGTATATCTCACAGTACTTGCAAAAGTACCTCTTTTTGGAGACCCAGTATTCACTCATGGACGTGAAAGGAAGAGAGTTGCTGTATACTTGTGCACGTGTCCATGTACGCAGCGGCGGGAGCAGCTGCATTGGACTTCGGTTGACGTCAGACGCAAAGTTGACGCTATTCAAATAACTCATACATCCTCCACAAAACCGATAATTGTTATGTGCGATTTGAGTGCGGGGAAAGGAGTTGCGCTCGTTACAGATCAGAACGGAGCAAATGTCTATATAACTATTAAGTACTCACGACTTCATCGCCTTTGCACATGCTTTGCATCATCCAATTTGCACTCTCTTTTTCAACCACCCTCCAAGTTCTGACCAACGGTAATGGATCCGGAGAGCGTCACGTCAGTCGACGACAAGAAGCAGCAAATTTCCTCTGTTCTTTCCCTCCTCGATCAAGTTCAAGCTGAACCCACTCTGCATCATGACGCTAGAGACAATGGCCGTAGCAGCAATGCGGTCACTCAAAGCCAACCAGTGTACCGCCTTTACCGCCGTCGTTTTTTCGGGGTCGTTGGGCTGGTGAAGTCTAGAACTATGCCTCGTCTGGTCAGCTAACGGGAACGCAGGTTGTCTTAAACATCATTTCTGCGATGTCGTGGCCGTGGTTTGGCCCCATCTCCAACAACAGTGAGTCTGCTAGATTGGATATCTATGCCGTGACTTATCACCTTTCTGTCAAGTGGCCAAGGAATTTCATATCACCCTTGACCAAGTTAATTGGCTAGGGAATATCGTGGCCCTCATTTACTTGCCCGTCGCACTGGTAATCCCCCACATCGTCCAGAGATATGGAATTCGTAGATGTGTAGGCTTATTTCTCCCTTCTTATCTCAGTTGTTTGTACTAAGGACTTCCAGTGCGACATTGGAGCTGTAGCTATGATTCTATCGGCCTGGATAAGATATGCAGGAACTTCGAAATCTCTCTCTCCCAAGAGTGCATACGCCCTTCTCATGGTTGGCCAAGTTCGTCATGCTCATTTTATAATTTTGAAATTCCCATTGATATTCTCGCCCCCCAGCTTTTTGCCTCGATCGCCCAGCCCGTGTATCAGGTTCTTGGTCCAAAATACTCTGAAACATGGTTTGGCTTGAAAGGACGAACAACGGCCACTATGATCCTCGCTATTGGTAAGTATTGCTGCAGAAGACGACGCAGATTGTCATCTGACCTGTAACGTCAGCCAACCCCGTGGGTGGTGCAGTAGGACAACTGATAAGCCCTCTTGTAGGAGATACAAGACAATCAGTGCATCATCATCTCGCCTTTTTTTCTCTACTTCTGATAATTTTTTGACAGATTTTGGTTCTTGGAATCTTGTCTACCGCTGCAACACCATTCGCATTGCTGGTTGGGAAGGCCCCACCAACACCTCCCAGTACGTTCACTTAGCCATTTGTCAAAAACCTCTCATCTAGATCTTGCACCACACTTGTGGCAGCGTATGCTGGTTCTAAGGATTCTCCCTCGCTTATATCACTAGTGCGAGCCATTCTTGGCCTGCCGACCGATCGAAAGGCGCAAATGTCAAAACAAGAACGTTTTGACTTCTGTATTGTTGTGATTATATTTGGAGCGCTCGTTGCAGCGTCAGTCCTTTCTTATTACTCCCAAACGGGTATATATAACATTCAACAGGTCGAATACATTTGCCATCCTGTCAGCACAAATTCTTGTGAAGCTCACTTTGTTTTGAATTCCCACAAAAATTAACAGGTCTTGCTTGATAGCAACCTATGGGCTACTCGGCCGACGAAAGTGGATTTCTGGGAGCCTGCATGCTCTTGACAGGAATAGTCAGCGCCGTCGTCACTGCCCCGCTATTCGACCGCGTCTTCACCCATCACTTGGCTGTCACCAGCAAAGTTCTTGTCCCCATCGTTGGAGTGGGCTGGCTAGCACTCATCTGGGCTGGTATGCAACATTCTTCTGTGAGGTGATTTAACAATAATTCTCTCAGTGAAACCGCATAACATCGGAGGCCTGTTTGCCATCATGACACTCATTGGGGTCTCCTCCGTAACCATGCTTCCTGTTAGCCTGGAGTTAGCGTGTGAGTTGACTAGGAATGCCGATGGAAGCTCGGCCATTTTATGGTTCACGTATGTCTGGGTTTTATGGTTCTTATTTCAAGGTTGACGCAACGAAATAGGGGAAATTTATTTGGTGTTATTTTCGTCCTTTGTCCGCTTTCCCCCAACCTCGTACCTGCAACTACCACTAACGCCATTTCATTCTATAGCTCAAGGCGCTCTTCGTGCAGGCCCAAACGCATCCCCGCCGCTAAACATGTACCGTGCACTCGTCTTCAACGGTGTCTTCGTCATCACCGCTGCATCCACGGTCTTTCTCATCCGAGGCGTACAAAAACGGAAGCAATTGGATGAATTGAAACTGCAAGAGGCTCTATCAGTGCAAGCAGCATGAAGTCGGGCTCAAAACCAATTTTCATTTTTTTTCCATGGGATGTTCGAAGGCGGTAGGTGATGACTACCGTCGATTTTGATGTTTTGACTTGCTTTGGGATTGACCATCATGTATGTATCACCACAAAACGCGGGATCAATCTAACCAGAAACCCCCTTTTCGCGTGGAACCCTGGGTTTCTTCTGCATTTGGTAGAAATCCCCCTTCCATCAGTCGATGGGTTATTGTGAGGAACCCCATGTCGGAGTTAAATTCCTAGATGCCGACGCGTGTCGCGCTCAAATTTGGGGATCAATCTAACCAGAAACCCCCTTTTCGCGTGGAACCCTGGGTTTCTTCTGCATTTGGTAGAAATCCCCCTTCCATCAGTCGATGGGTTATTTTGAGGAACCCCATGTCGGAGTTAAATTCCTAGATGCCGACGCGTGTCGCGCTCAAATTTAAATTGATCTTGGCTCCCCGGGTCATGATGAGAAGAGAGCGCGACGAGTTGAACTCCATCATGCACATCCCTTGTCGCACACGTATCGTCGCGCGATGCGACGCGCCCACTCGACAAGTGGTTACCACGGTAAATAATATTGGTTCATGGTCTACACGATGCTACAAGATGAAAACAAGATGAGGGTTTGGACGGGTAGCTATACTTACATAGATGTAGGAGAGCGGGAGTGGTTTAGGGATGCCACTGCTCCCTTCCATAGTCCCTTGCTACTTGAAAGGTTGATGACCCCCGCCGCCAACTTGAACTTATGCATGTGCATGTGGTGGACTTCAAATATTCTGAGCTCCGCTTCTTGTGGAAACAAGGTTTCTACGCAAGCACTTTGGAAACCCTGGGTTGTTCAGGGGAAACCAGGGTTTCTGGATAGTTTAATCCCAAAACGCGCCCACACAAGGTCACTCATATGTATATGTAATTAACGAAACTCTATACCCACCTCAAATCTTATTGCCACCGTTCTAACGTTTTTTCTTACTCTCCGTCGTTTACAATCCCTTCACATAATGTCATTCAGACTGAAGTAGTTGCAGAGGTCTCAAGTGATTCGTCTTTCTGCGGCTTGAATCCCTGGAAGTACTTCTCTCGGAAGTCCCTGTGCGCAGGAACATGTTCCGTACCGCTCTTTGAAATGGTATCGAACGTCGGGCGGGGATATATTTGAGACGTAGTTTTCTTGATTGTTACCAACTATTCAAAAAATTTTAATTCGCCAAAGGGTGCAGAAAGGAAAATCTGCTCACCCTGCGGCCCCATGAACCGAAGTCTTGCAAAGAGTTGGCGATGACATCCATTCCCTCGCAAACCATCGTAGAAACATCAACTTCCTCGTATTCCTCTGTGACTGTTGGGAGGAAGAAAACCAGTCGGCCCCCAGGTTTCAAGAGGTATCGGGCGAGGATGACCAGGTCAGCTGCCAGATGGGAAAGTTCGTAAGGTCTGGTAGGAGGGATGTAAGGCTGATCGTCTCTATAGTTTGAAAGCGGGGTGTGTCTGCATTAGTAAACGCCAAAAAGGAATGGGACTGACGGACGACCAGACAAGCTGTACTGCATGCACAGGTCTCGTTGGGTAGGGGTAAGTTCTTTTTTCCGCCCTAGGCGTTTTGCGCCAGCTCGAACTCCATCTGATAAGCCAATGCGGTTAGAGCGTGAATGTCTGAATTAACGTGAACGGTCGCCTACAAGGAGGATCAGTGACAATCGCATCGAATAGCTCCCCACACCTCCATGGATTTCGAGTGACGTCGAAAGTCGAAAGGCCAAGGATTCGTGAGGCAACTCCGTACTGCGTAGCTGCGCGTATTACGCCTGGAACTTTTTCTGACAAAAGTATAGGCAAATTGGGGCCTAGAGCAACAACAATAACTCACCCTTTCCTCTCATTTGACGGCCATCAATATCCGAGCCGAACACCATGGCCCCAAAATGTGCCGTGGGCTAGGCCGTGCGTCAGACTGACAACTTTGGGTGCTCAATCGATCACTCACGTACGCCATACTACCCGTTCCCATAAAGGGGTCGTACAATAGTTTTCCGGGCGCGGCCTACGAACGCAACAGTGCTTAGAAGACATAACATTTTTAATGATGTCAAACATACCAGTGTTTGATTGGCCATTAATAGTGATATTTCGGATTCCATACTCGTATTTCCATAGTAGTTCCTCTTCTTGACGTCAAATTTAGCGATCAAAAGACGTGCAGAGCCTTCTTCCAGCTGCGACAGATTAAACTCAACGGAAACAATGGTGAGCAGACATACCAGCCTGCCAAAAAACACCTCTCGAAAGTGGCCATCTCCTTCGTGCTTTTCTCGAGTAGTCCCACGACAGTCATCGTCTAAAATTCGTGAGGCAGGCAGGCAAGGTTGGCCAAGAGGTGCAGCGCACATTCTTCAAAGCAAGTTAAAATTATATCTGGGTTCTTCAGGTCGATCTTTCCCAGAAATCCCATGTAAGAGAAACTTTCAATAACCTCCCTTTGTCTTGTCTGGGGGATCTTATGGTTGTAGGCTGTTACAAGAAAGCGAAAAGAGGTGTCATGGGTGAAGCGCGACCATTCGCCTTGGAGTGTTCGATTCGCAGCATGAAGTTCGTCGTAATTGAACCCTTGTCCGTAGAATACAAAGACGGATCTGTTTTCTCAATAAATATTCAATCGATAACGATATCTGTGCAGAGGCGTGCGCCACGACGTACTTGATCAAGATACATCTTCGAGCTAAAATTCTTGCATGTTCTTCGTCTTCTAGGCCAATGACCATGAATGGCCTCGTAGGATTGCGATGTTCTGGTTGAGGTGGGAGTGAAAGCGAAAAGCCATGGAGCTCAGCAACGGAGCTGAGCTCTGGTAGTCTAAATTCATGATGGACTTGAGCAAATTGGAAAAGATATGAATGCATCATAAAAAGGTTGTTTGGCGCCTACTGTCTATTCTAGATCATGTCCGATCTATGTCTCGCCGATGCAATAATCGAGTCCATCGTCGAAACTGATACGTGTACGCGTACCCGTTTACTTATGCTGTTTCTGAGCCTGAAGAACACACCAGTGTCTGACCAGTCTATAGCGAAACTGAACTCCATTTTTCCAGAAACCCTTGTGGTCGCAGCACTGGATCTCGTTGACCGCGAAAATAGTAAGGTTTAGAAACCCCTCGGGCCTGCGTTCTGGCTGACATGGAGGCCAGTCATAAAGTATGTCGTTTCATGGCGCCAGTCGGAATATGAAGTCCTCGGGTCCACGACAACTTACAATGTTCTGCTTGACTTGACGACGGCCCCTGTCCCCTACTTTTGCTCTTGCCCTGCCTTCGCCTATGCAGTCTTGTTGTGTCGCACCCATCTTATGGTTTGACTTTTTTTCTACTGCGTTCGTTGGTTTGACGACAGTACTACCTTGGCTATACAGTGTAAACACGTTCTGGCCACCCGCCTTGCAGTCAAATTATCCCGATGCATCGAACGCTATGTTACAGCAGATTCTCTCATTGAACTCTTCAACAAACAGTTATCCATTGGGGGATAGTGGTGTAATCGTGGGTTACTTGGGAGGTATGTGCAATAGTGATGTCAAATCGTGGGTTACTTGGAAGGTATGTGCAATGGCGATGTCAAGTATGTAAGTACTAATGGTTGCAAGTGTCAGTCTGAATGTATGTTAACAAACCAGTTGTCGGCGAGCTACGCCCCGTAAAATCGCGAGGTCGGAATGGGAGCGGCCTTGGGTATTCCTTGTGCATCAATCCGTTGCTGTTCCAATCCCTTGTCTTCTAGAGTGCGAAGCTCATTGAGCAGTGTTTCGCGCGACCTCCACTCCAGAAGGCCTGCATACGCTCTCAGATCTAGCACAAGCTGTTTGAGTTCGTCCATTTTGCGTTTGTTTAGTTTTGGTGTGGATGATGATGGAGCTGTAGTCACGTCCTCCTCATCCTCCAAGCCGCATTTGATAGTAATCCAATCCGCAACCTTCAAGATCTCCTCGGACTCCCCCAATGCCCACCAGCTTTCCCCACCTTCGCCATCGGAACTTTTGTCATGGCCCGCTGTCCGGGCTGGTGTTGCCTGGGGCTTCTTCCCCCACACAGCGATAAACCATGACCACTCTGTTAGCTCCTCACGTTTTGTGTCGCCAATGTTGCGAGCCTTTCTCTTCACCTTCGTGGGCTTATCGCTGGACAGTGCCTCTAGGTATTCAAGTGCAGCCTCCCGTTCTGGATATCCGGGTCTTAGAGCATAATACATCCGACCTTCATGGTCTGCGCCCAACGCCGAGAACCGTGGGGCAAATCCAGACGTCACGATTTTCAGTGCGTTGTCAATGTTCAATAGACGAGCCTTGTGTAACATTCTCTTCTCTACATTCTGTATGTCCTTTCGTTATCCATAGGGCCAAGTGGGAATTTACTTGGCAAACTTACCTCCTGTGTCTGTTTAGCATCTTTCTCTTTTCCCTTATTGGTCGTCTTTATTATGGTATGTTCCGCGGGCTTGCGAGCTTGCTCCCACTGGTCATTCTCCCGCTTGGCCGCTTCCCTGGCATCCCTTGCAGCATCTTTGCTATCCTTGATCCCTTGCTCCATTTCTTTGCGCGCTGCAGCGGTTTCCAGCGCAAGGTTGATGAGCGAGAGGATAACAGGAATCATTTGCGCGGTATGGCATACGGAGATAGTGGATGTTCCGGCAATACTACGAGTTGCGCGTATGTTGGCCGATGCAGGTGGCGGAAGGGGGTTAGGAAATGTCAAGACAGCCTGCGGCCGTCCCGATACTTCATTTGAGGTTGAGTTTGCAATGGTTTCACGCATGTCGGCGAGAATTTTCCATATCTTGTTCAAATTCATACCAGCGGAACGCAATTCTTTAACGTGTAATTTGATTATCTGAGAGTCATTACAGTTTTTCTAAGATTGGTGAGCATAGCCAAAGTACTCACTTTCGCGATATTGTTTTCATGATCATTGGCAAGGCACTCCAAGAGGCCCAGAACGATTGCCTTCAGGCATGGCTCACTGATCCAGCCCGCCAACTCGTCATTGTCATCCCGTAGCTTCTTCCGTCCCGATATCGTTTCCAGCTCCTCCAGGTGACCCTTGGCTATTGGTGGGTCCATAATTCTGCCAAACCTCTGAAAGAACTCGCGAATGCATATACGCTCTTCCGCTTCCGCTTGACTGAGGTTCGCGAGAATTGCTGTCCATTTGAGTGTCGGGAGAGCTTTAGGCTTAGATTTCTTCAAAATAGCCTTCTGAACAGCAGGCGTGACGGCGGTTTCTTTGATAACCTGGGTTTTGGACTTCTTTTCCCGTTTCGGATTATCAGCTTTTCCCTGCAGTGCGCTGCTTAAGTTCCCGGACATGATGGTGAGTCGGGAGCACGATTTCAGATATAGCTTGTTCAATCAACGTACCTCAAAGGTTCAAGACCCTTTGCTCTCTTGCACTTGGAACAATCACAGATGTCTCTGCAGCGTGGGCATCTGTGCAAAAGCAGATATAAATGCGAGAAGATGCTATGCCGCTAATGAGATACTCGCTTGAAGATGTATCCCTCGCCGACAACATGCCCAGATTGTGTTCTGGCATTTCGAGTCTGAGCTTTGATATCATCCACACTTTCCCCATAATGATTCATCAAGCAAGATTTGCAATATTTTACAAGGCAGCGCCTTTCCTGTGCACCTGCAGCAGTCGCCCGTGGCTTGAGTGAGGTACATTGAACACTGACTATGCACAAGGTGAACATACGGCAGAGGAGGGGTACAGAAACTTACCTTGGAGGTCGCGTTTCCTGTTGCATTGGTGACAGTAAATAAAACCGTTTGGATACTCTTCCTCTGGGGCATGTTGGGTCTGTTTGGCCGTTGAGGAGCTAGTCACCGTGTGCTTAGCCTTCTTTGTAGCAGACGCGATAGTGTGGGATGGTTGGTCGCGATCATCCATCTTTCGTTTATGTGATGAGGAAGATGGGTAGGATTGAAGGATGGAGACATAAAATGGTGGTAGAGGGATGTTTTCTTTCAGCTTAGTCGACGCGTGAAGCTGGGTTCCCTTGAGAGGACGATATTGGTCAAGGCTGATGGGAGACGGTGGAACGGAAACAAAGGCATTGTTGAGACGCTGAGCAACGGCGCGCGCCGGTGTCATGATAATTTAAAGCAGAACCAGCCAACTCGAGTTCAAGACTGAGTTCAACTCGTTTATTTAATGTCGCGTCCATCGTCACGTGATGCACTCTCCACGTGCCGCTTGGCAAAGGAAAGTTTCATTCTCCCACTGCTGAGTATCTGTATTCCGTTCAAAATAATCTCCCCTCCCCCCCCACTTCACAGACATGTCGCACGCTGATCACACACGAGACCCCTGGCAAGTCCACAGTTCTCGCTGTTTGACACACATCTCACTACCATCACAGCCCGTGGGTCATCCTCAACGATTTTGGCGGTGCTTTCTCTATGGGTGCAGTTGGTGGTGGCATATGGTATGGCATAAAAGGTGCCAGAAATTCTCCAAGGGTCTGTATCTTTTTCATCTTCATGTTATTCTGACCGTCTGACTTTTCTTCAGGGAGAACGTTTCGTTGGTGCCATCTCCTCAATGAAAGCACGCGCACCCGTCACAGGTGGAAACTTTGGTGTATGGGGTGGTATGTTCTCGACATTTGACTGCGCCGTCAAAGGCTGGCGGCAAAAAGAGGACGCATGGAATGCAATTATATCTGGTTTTATGACGGGTGGCTGTCTGGCCCTCCGGAGTGAATAGCTTTACTGTTTACTCAACCCTCGTGGAATCTGGGCTGATTTTTCAATTCAATAGGTGGTCCTAGATCGGCCTTGGGCTCTGCCATCGCTTGCGGTATTCTTTTGGGTGTATTTGAGGGTGTTGGTGTGCTAGTATCGAGAGTGTTTAGTGAAGGTCAACGGCCACAGATGGCACCGCGTGAGTCCTGTTATTATCCTTTCGCCTGAGCGGCAATGACTCTTTTTCATTACAGTACCAGCAGGCATGACACCACAATCCGAACACTCATCATCTATTCCTGGAATGCAATAGACACGCACACACTTATATTATATATCTCCATGTTCCTCTTCTGTTAATCACCCCATTTCATGACATATAGTCAAGGTTTTCGAGGGCGGCGTTACTACTCCAGCGGCTACCACCGTGATATTCGCGTAGATCCAAGAACCCACTCGCTGTCAAACTTGTAGACATGGCTTATTCCACGCTAATTCAAACGGATTCATCGCATCGTCTCAACTCCGCCTTTGCTTTTCGTTTTCATTCAAGGCTCCTTGTGACACCCATGGTCATATCAAAATTTCCAGGCAATACTCACATTGCTGGCAAAGCACCACGTGATTCAATTCGAGGTGACGTCATGAATCGCATAAATACTGCTTTTGCAATGTCTCTCGTTTCGACTGAACTACCATGTCTCCCATAAGCCTTGATCCATATTCAGCTCAGGCCAAGGATAATAGAAAGACGCTGGATGAGAAAATTATTGGTGCGTCTGCTTTCGTGAGTTGTCTGTAAGCGTACTGAATACTTTGGCATGCGTAGACCTCAAGAAAATAATCAAATCGACGAATACCGCAATGCTTACCACACGCGGGACTGATGGCCACATTCATTCGAGGGCCATGAACCCTGTCCATCGTAATTGACACGCATAGCCAAAACTTGAGTATACTTACGTTCTCTGTAGCTTCAAGCGAAATGGATCTTTCGTTGCTCTTCATTGCAAACAATGTCTCACACAAATTCGAAGAAATTCAAAATGACGCCCACGTGAATGTCAGCTTTTTGAATCCAGAGACGACCAACTAGGCTTCGTACGTCCTCGTTCAGCTGCAGTGACTACAAAATTATTCAGTGCCACAACAGCTTCTCTGGGAAGGCTAGAATCATTCAAGACCGGCAAGAAATCAAGAAGCACTGGACTCCAGCGTTAGCTTTTGTTGTCCTTCATTATCCACTCATGAGGTTGCTGATTGGACGGCAGGACTGCGTCTTGGTTTGGAGATCTTGGCGATGGTATCCACAGGGGGGACGAAAACGACCCTCGAGTAGCTGTGATCGAAGTTGTCCCTGATGAAATTAGGTACTGGTACACCACGAAGGGTAGGGCACCTGATGTTGAAATTGGTGCTGTAACGGGGAAGGTAGCATGCCCCGGAGACCTTCGGACTATCTCGCAAGATGAGGCAAGTAACTTCCTTGCAGCTTTGGTATCTAATAACTTGTCTAATAATTCGGTCTTCTTAGATCCAGCTATCAATCACCAAGTGATCAGATCTTATACTAGTCATGCATCAGCGCACATGTACTAAATAAGTTTGAACGTCGTTTCTGGTATAGGTTGGTGGGATTCATGACGTGGAAACCAGCAGCAGCGCCGAGTAAATGCGAAAGACAAAACTGATTTGTTCGCAGGTCTGCGCTGAGTCGAGTTACCACCAGTTTGGTGCAGGGTGGGCCGCGTCGAAGTCTATATCACGGCATATTTCTGCTTCGGAGGCGCCCGTTACAGCCTCAAGGTGCGATTGCCGTAAGGTATACCGCAAAGGGTTTCTAATGTGAGGTAAGGCTAATCTACAACCTCATCATCAACCTATAGATCAACTTGCTGATCAAGAATACAACCACATCATCCCAGTGAGGCCTAGCTCCTTGTGCCATACATTGTTCAAACATTACAGACATAGTACCAGGATCACGAAGAATGGTCTCACGAGTGCACAAGAAACATGGTAGTAAAGAACTTCTGCAAGATGACGAGTCACCGATATGCACCTTTCCCCCCGAAGTCCTATCTGCCATTTTCGCAGCAGGCAGGGAAATCGAGGAAACATCAAGCACCGATTCCAATCCTCTGTCTAGAGAGGCCGGTCTTTCTTTTGAACTTCTCATGTCACATATCTGCTCCTACTTTCGTGACATCGCCATCGGAACTCCTTCTCTGTGGACGAGCATTTTCATCGCTCCAACAACCAAACCGGAGAAAGTTTTAACATATATTGCCCGCTCGCTCGACTGCAGGCTTGATCTACGTGTGGATATGTCGGGGTGGGCATCTAGCGCGTTGGGAAGATATGCCATGATGGAGATGATCAACTTTGTTAGCGCACAGTCACATCGCTGGCGACGCCTCTCGATTGCTGCCGCAGGTGAAAGCGAAGACAACTCCATTGTCATGATGCTTTGCAGCAGAAATGCACCCGCCCTAGAGTATCTATCGATCTGCGTCGACAATGCTGAACACGTAGATGAGGCAGTCGTCCGTAAAAATGCTTACGAGCCTCGCATTTTCTCTCAAGGTGCACCGAGGCTGTCGTTCGTGCGTCTTCGGGGTCTTGCGATATACCTATTCCGACCACCGCTGCTGGAGCTTACAACACTCCATCTTGACCAGACAAAAGCACTTCCCATGCGGTTCTCCATGTTTCGTGACATAGTGACCCTTTCCCCAGCCTTGGCTCATCTCTCCCTTTACGGTGACATCATTGGAAACGAGTCGTGGTCCGGAAGGGCCTTGATTAGTTTACCTAATCTCCGTTCTTTGCGGATATGCGGGATCAGCGGTCGAGTGTATGGAGGAGCGTTGCAAGCAATTGATGCTCCACAGTTAGAATCCCTGGTATTAAAGGATTTACACGAGCACGATCTTGACGGGTTGTGGGACGACGCTGAAGCCGTAGCGAGGTATTGCCATCTAAAACATCTGACATTTTGTGATTTCGAAGTATCCAACTTCGCGTACAAACGCCTTCTTCGTGCATTCCCCGATATCACCGAATTTTCCTCGTTCTACTCATCTATTGGCACATCTCCGATATCACCAATCCTAGCGGCGGCAAACGACGTAGAATCTGACTTTGTGATAGGGAGGCCATGGCCTTTTCTGCAGACACTTGCATTTCTCCTTGACGTTGACGAGGATGAAGATTGGATAAAAAACGTAGTGACGAGACGTAAGGAGGCAGGTCGTCCACTGGTGAAGCTGCGGTTTGGCACAAATTATGCAGGGGTATTCAAGAGGTGGAAAAAGAACGTGGCCCTGGAAAACACCCTTAAAATCGAAACTTTCAGCGATATCGATAAATGGCCCGCCAACCGAAGCTACCCCGACCAAGACGATGGATTGTTTCCGTGAGTGAGTGTTGTGATCTCGAGTCTTTAGTCTTCAAACAGAGGTTGGAACATCTGAAGTACAGTTCTTGTCATGCATTATATCCACGGGGAACTGTGTTGCCCATACCTTTGATCTGTCATAGGACGATTGTGTAGTACCTAATTCTGTATCATCAATGATCTCGAATCTATCCTCCCCATTGCCTTGAAAGCCACAGCGTTGACCAAGATCTGGAGGTTGAGATGTAGAGCCAAACACAACCTCCTCGCCCTCCCCCTCAAGCATCTCTGTAAGCTCATCCATGGTGCCGACTTCTAATCCCGACGCTCGAAGCACAGCTTCATCAACAGCTGACAGCTGAGAGGAACTTGGGAGAAATAAAGGTTCCTGAACTTTTTCCATAGACGATGAGTCGTCAGGGAAGGAGGAGGGAGGTGGCATGTCGGTTTGACGGAATTCTCGACAGACCGTGGAGCTAGGCGCGCAAGATTGGGGTTCTGGGTTGGCATTGGGTTGATCTCGTTCCATCGCTAGACTGGGTTGAACAACCCTCATGGACCTCTTGATTTTGGTTGTTTGGCCTGGTGTTTCCTCTCGTTCACGCTTTTTGGTGTTTACATTACGGCGATGATTTGAAGCGGAAGCTCCTGCACTTGAAACATGGCTGGTGGAAATAACGAATAGAGCTTCCGAGCAGTCCCCCTCCACATCAATGAAAAGGGGGGCGGCAGGATCGGTAAATCGTAGCTCCATCCCTAGGGACATGCTATCTGCGTATGCAATCGTAGCCTAGGGAAGTGCATAAGACTTGATGTGTATGTAGCACACAAGACGCACATTGAATTCACGAAGGTGAAAAGCTATCGTTGTTGGAGGTTCATCTATGGCATATACCTCAAATTCCTCAGCGCTGATGGTGAGTTCCGTTGACAGTTGGCCTTTCCCTGGAACAGAAAGACCTTCGATCAATGAGTTGAGGGGAAAGCAACGGTCGTACCTCGACTGTCGATTGACGATTCCAGACTTTTTAATGCCACATCGTCATTTCCAAAACTCCACACCAATTGCGGATCTGCTTTTACACCCTTGGATACAGGGAAGTGCTCAATCATATCTTTTAAAGCCTTAGGACCAATCGTCAATCTTGATTCATTTGAATTGTTAGGAACCCCGGGCGCCATGAGAGATGTTGGTGTGAGGAGAAGGAGACGGTGAGTTTTCACGACACCTGCGGTATTCAGCTATTGCGCGGAAATGGCAATAGCCCGATTTTGTCCTCACCATGCTTACAATGCAACCTCACGATCAACCTGCTTTCAAGGCCGTCTTGACCTTCATTGCCGAGTTCGTTCCCAGCTTCTCCTTCAACGATAGATAATTCACACCTTTCAACTGCCTTTTCGATGGTGCGATGCCTCAGGATAGAGAGCAGCGACTGTGGTGAGATGAATCAGAATTTAATAAATCCGGAACGTAAGGCATACTTTCGTCAAAAGTTGTCCTGTTAATGTGAAATTCTCCGCATTGTCGCTTGTCTGGTCGTTTCTGCCTTCCTGATGGTCAGCCACACGGTATCTTGTAAAAAATTCTTTCTCGTATTTAATTCGACAATAAGCTGATTTAGAAGAGTTCGTGGCAGACAATGACAAGCGTTCCGGTGTTGCATATATCGAGAGCTCGTCGCCGTATTTCGACAAACATATCAGCGCCTTGGTGAAAGCTGTTGAATTTAGATACTGACAGTTCCACGAGAGCGCAAAAGCATACGTTTGAGAGAGGACGAGTCTAGGGTTGCCTGCATCGAACAATGACGCTGAACGAGTACTGAGTGTTGGCTGATGTGTTGTTGAAGATACGCGCGTGCGCGTTGTTATTTTCTATCGGTGTCGACCTCGGTCTCAAATAACTTTACCGCCTCAGAACGCCTCGCACTGAGAGCTCGCAAGTGACGACTCACCACGTCCAAATGTCCAGCGACCCCCTCTCTACTCGGGATCCATATCAGCTAGAACGGCTTGCAGAGGAATTGGCCGCTCGAGAATCATCCATTGCACACAAGTCTTCTTGGGAACAAGAGGGCGAGTTACACGAACTGCCTATCTCTACTCCACTCTCCCACAACAACAAGTATCTGACAGCACAGGTGTTCAATGCTGAAGAATTCTTATTATCACGCTCCCATACTTCGTTACCTGACTTACGCGCGGAATTACGTGAATACTTGTCCTTGCTGAAGGAAGAATTGGTCATGCTCATCAATGACGACTATGAGGCATTCATCAGCTTGAGTACCGACTTGCAGGACGAGGGTGCACGGCTCGTTAGACTCAAAATGCCTATCAGTAGCCTCCAACATCACGTCAATGTGAAGGGCCGTTCATTCATCAGTCTCTTTTTTAATTTGACAAAGCTTTGACAGATATCTCGCGAAGAACTCTGCGTCATTCAAGACGCGATTCAGCGGAAACTAACGAAGAGAAGTAATCTTCGCGAGGAAAAGGTTCGTTTCTATTGTACACTTGATGGTGTTCCTGACTCCGAAAGCAGGCTTTGCTTCACTTACTTTTGAAAATATCTGAATCGGTCAGCCGATTAGAATCGCTACTCCTCATCTCGACTTCCGATGGTGACCTCAAGGATGATCTAAATAATTCTAAACTTCCACACCTGATCAAGAATGTCGAAGAACCTCCAAATACTCAGTAGGTCCGCCACATTATCTTGGACAATCAAAAATTCTAATGAATAGACTCCGAGGAAACCGGGTAACACATCTGGCTCGTGTAGCCGTCGAGTATACACAACTGCTATATCACGCCTCCAAGGCTAGGGAAGAAAATTGTTCCTTCATCAATGAGATACAATGGGTTTGTGAGCTCCCTGTATTTGGTGTTCGAGCTCCTTCTCACATACGACACCAATGTTCTCAGCGCATTGACCGAATTCAGTCGACCATATCCTCGGATCTCGATAACCTCTTCTCTATGCAGATGGCAACTTTAATCGGCGGGAAAGGAGACCGTCGAACAACTGAATCGGAAAAATCCAAATGCATCGTAGACCTCACGGAGTGTCTGCGAACGTACGATATTTTGGGTCTTTGGCGGGACGCAGAAGATGTGATTCGACGGGACATCATGAGAAGCTTCGTAAAAAAGGTTGCTCCATTTTTATCGCCTTGTATGGATATACTTATCTCAAACGTCTGACAGACAATATATTCTGGCGGGTTGGCCGCGCCGCATTCTCCCCTCGTACCTCACACGCCATTCAACCCCTCTGCATTGCAATCAACATTAAACACCAATAATTACCCTCAGACACCATACACGCCATTTACCTTTCTGACACCTGAATCTCTTGCAACTTGCGACCAAAAGCCGAACAGACACCAAGCACACCTTTTAGAAGGCACTGACCCTTTGGTACACTTGTATAATCAGATACTGCGGTTCATTGAGAGAGACATGAGTCAAGTTATGGAGATTGCGGAGACTGTCGTGGCGAAACTAGTACCCGGCGCACAAACAGAAGGAGGCCCCTCGAGTTCGTCCAAAAGACAAGATAATAACAGATTCCAAATCATGGCAAACGTCATTTGGCCAGAGCTGGCCCATGCAATTATGGATGAGATTGGTGGGACTGTCTTTGCCGCAGGAAGGCCAGATGACTTCCGCAAAGTACGAAGCAACTTGTCTTAGACGGCGATGGCTGATTTTTCGAGACCAGAATTACGAGATAACTCAAGCATTTATTCGCTCCCTCGAACTTCTCGCACCTTCGAAACGCGCTGTTGAAGCATTGCGTGCCCATGCCGTTTATTTGGCCTTTGAACGACGGTGGCAGCTTCCAGTGTACTTTCAACTCCGATGGAAAGAGGTCATAGGAAGACTCGAGGAATCACTTTCTGTAAGCACGATTGAATGGTCTCTGGTTGGAGGTAAGTTTGCATTGTAGCCCTAACATAGGTCCTCACATTTTATCAATTAAGGCACAAATAACTTTGTGACAGTCCAAGCATCAGCAGTATGGGTGGCGATTTCTGCTTGTTGGAGTGCGGAAGTTTATATTCCTGAGCTCGCCCATAGGTTTTGGAGATTGACTTTACAGGTGCGGAAGTCACGTTCCCATTGCCAATCGCATCTCTAATATATAATGCATAACAACAGATCTTAAGTCGGTATAAGACATGGTTGGATACTTCCGTCGACTTTCCTCATGAGACTTTGGCAAATAATGTGTCCGAAAAGGTTTTCGTGTTGCATCTTCATTTTCCTATATCCAAGAGGCTAAACAAAATCAGGGAACGACTTCACCAACACCTCTTCCTCATTCCTTGACTTCAACTACGCAAAGCGAAACGCCATCAGCGGAGTCGACCACTGCTGACGACGATCTCTTACGACAATATGCGTCATTATTGATTGATATCAAATTGATGGAAACGCACATACTAGGACTTTGGCATCGACAGATTAGTACGACGCTGCCAGAGCTTTCAGATAATCACGATGCTACAGCCGAAGGTCATTTTTCAACGTTTTTCCCTTTTTTTTCATTATGATCTTACAGAATGATTTCAGACATCTTGCGAGGGTCGCTGGCAAAGCTGACCCTCTCAATAAAACCAGTATCCAACGAGATAATCAGAATATTGACGAAGCGCTGTTGCGATGCTCTTCTGCCCGTCAGAAGCATTCCATCGCAATTCAGGGCCATGTCGAACAAGCGGACGCCAACAGAGCCAAGTTATTTTGTGTCATCTATTCTTCGCCCAATCAAGCAATTCTTCGGAATCGGGTTTGCTGAAGGCCCAGGATCGCACCTGACAGATCACGTTCAAGATTATTCCACAGCAGTATTCAACAATGTTACTGTGAGGTGTGTCTTTTGTGTCTTTTACATAAGAAACGGAACATTTTTGCAAACATTCATTTCACTTACGCAGGTATATAACTTACTTGTCGTCCATGAAGAAGACCGAGGAGTCGTTGAAGAGGCTCAAAAAAGGGAAAAAGTCAAACTTTTCCCTATTTGGCACTGCTCCCGCAAACGACGAAGGAAGAGACGAAGAGCGCATTCGTGCCCAGATGATACTAGATGTTGAAGCCTTTGCAGGGGATGGCAGCACCTTGGGTGTCGACGTTGATACAAACCTACACTTGAAAACTCTGAAAGAGATGGTAGAAACGAATGATGGTCAGTAGGGTTTATCACGATGAAGCGCCATCTGATGGGAAGATATCACGAAGATATCAGCTGATTCCAAGGACTGAAGCTCGAGCTGGATTGCGAAGATGCAGGAGTGGGGAGGAGGTAAGCTGGCGTACACTATGGCTATCCTACGGGCAAACAACGTCTATGGGAAATCGCCCCAGATCGGAAGGCAACTATGGAAGGATCGTGACTGAGAGCCGGTATTGGATTTTCAGTGTGTGCCAACGGTTTGCGACAAGTGTTGCAAATGCCCCGATGAGGAGACCATCCTCGATCTCGCTCACGCTGATGGGCGGCAATAACATCAAACAGATCACTATCGACAAGATGTTTTGTCATTACCAACATGTCGCCGTCTGAACGATATGAGTCCAGCATACCCCCGAGGACGATCCTGAATTCTGTGTAATGGTTGCCCATAGATGTAGGGGCAGAATTAACAAGGCGTTTGAAAAGACGAGGGAACGACACAGCCCGTGTTGATGTGATTGACACCAGAGCCCCGAACGTTTCTTGTACAAGCGAGCGTGTTGAAGAAAGCATGTATTCCAAGTCATTACTTGTCATGAATTGTGAATCCCTGTCTTTCAAGGGCTGTGAGTCAGCGAGGAGCTGGACGGTCTGTATTTGACGGCTCAAAAGCAAAAACCACAAATCTTCCGAAGAGACTTTGGTGGTAGAGGGTCCCTGAGAATGTTCGAGGCATATAGTGGTCCCTATCCGACCCACGGCTTGCAAAATTTCCAGAGGATGTTGAGTGTTGCGCAAGGAACTCTCCAGAAGTGCTTGTGCGATTTGATGAGTCAGACGTTGCTGGTAGGAACCTGCTTGAACAAGCGCTTCTCGAGGACCGCTTATCTTGTTTGTTGTCCACACAGCAGCGTCGAGTACTTCATTTGCTTCGCAAGTCTGAAAAACCTGCGTCCAATCAAGCTTTTCCGACGGTAAATATTGAAGGAGCTCAATTACTTCCCCAGGATGGAGTTGGCATTGGAGAGCAATGAATAGTTGACGAAGATTTCCCAGATTATCCGACTTCTCGCTTCCGTGGTGAGTTGCGAAACCTTCATCATTGCCACCGAGGGGCCCAAGCAAGCAGTTAAGATATTCGAATTGACTCTGGTGGCCATCCTCATTGAGATCTAATGAGTCCAGAGCTTGTTGGTGGAGTTGTGGCAAATACTCTTCAAGGATGATCGCAGTACCCCGAATACTAGCACGCAATAGCTTCGGGAGAAAGTCGGAAATTGTCCCCGCAAGACCGGTAGGAACAACACTCTTGTTTGAACGGCATGAAAGAGAGAGCACTTCGTTCGCCTTCTTCAAAACGTCCGAGGTGGGAAACTGGGGATCATCGAAGTAAGTTGAAAGTAATTGCGGCCACCGCCTCTCTTGACGATACCACGACCGAAGGATCCGGTAGAAACCGGCCGCCACAAAGAGGGCGACAAATCGATCACTTTCGTGAGGATTGTACACAGATAGCAGATATTCAACTGCAAGCTGCCGATCCTCACGTGTTCTGCTATCAGGATCTTGGGCGAGGTTGACCAGAATAGCGTGAAGAACACTTGGTGCAACTTGTAAGAATTGAGGATATTTGGGCACGTTTCGTGCAATGAAAATATTCACAAAAGTGACGTCTTTCGGTGGCAGATCGCCTGAAGCTATGATTTCCAGCAGAATTCTGACAATGATTAAACGGTTGATATTCCTGGATTCCTCGTTTAAAAAGGCGTCTTCAAAGGCAATGTCGAGAGAATGAAGAAAGGACTCTGAATCGAATCGTAGAAGCTGACGAGCATAAGGGTACGTCGGCTCTGGTCCTCCTTCCTCATCCGAAGTCAAGACCAGCTGGCCATTTTCGCCGGGAGGCCAAACATTAGAACGGCCAAAAAAGAGAAATGTGTAAACATCAACCTTTGCCTTGACAGCGTCTAGGGCCGACAAGGGTTCCTCGCTTGGATAAATGAGCCCCAACAAAATGTTGGCTAAGTAGGGGTACACTTTGTACGCATTAGCAGTAATAGGTCCAATGGTGTCATCATCCAAGGCTAATCTTTGTTCTTCAAAAGACTTTGTCTGAGCTTTTTCATACTGCTGGACACGTCGGACGAGTCCAAGGAGTTCAACCACGGGCGCAACATAGTCTTGAAGCGCACGGATGTATATGTAGATGAGGGCGTCGTACAAGTGAAACTTCTGGCACAGGCGAATGGCTTGGTTCAAATCTAGACATGAAGGATCCATGTGCCAAATGATGCGCTCCACGTGCTCTGGTTGACCATCTTCCTCGTGAAGATGGATGAGTCTCTGGGTTATACGTGGAGGAACATGCCGAATTTCGTTGTCCAAAACAAAAGGTTCCAGCTGACGAAGATAGATCGTCGTTATACCTGCATCGTCGTACTTCTGGAACAAATCTTCAAACAAAAACTCGAAATCGGACAGTGCGATGCAAACACGACAACAAATCGTGACAAGGGCTTCAAATAGGGAGGTACGATCCACGCCACGACCATCTGGCGTTGAATGAGTTTCATCAGTCATGCGGTCTTCAGAAAATGCCCAGAGAGTGGAGGCGTTCATGAGGCTCTTCATCTTTTCACCGATGACCTCCTTTCGAAGATCAGGGTCATCAGGAAGTCCATTCCTATTTCCAGGTGCTTCATCGGAGTAGTATGCTCGTGTGAGGTCGATTGCCTTGAGAAAGTCTCCGGTTTGTACCAATGCGAGAATGCGATCAGCCCAAGTTAACAGCGTACCGACCTGAAATCGGTCTCTAGCCTACCATGTGACACGTTATTCAGGAATACAACTGAGGTAGAAAAAGAATGAGCGTACCAACAGGAAGATTTTTCCTTTATAAACGCGGACACGATGCGAGACGATGTGGATTGTATCCGCTCGTGCGGACGCGTTCGTCTCAGTACTCTGGTTCGATGGCGATAATGACATGCCATCAAAATCGACCTGTTCAATTAGACGACACAATGTGATGTCGTACACTCCTAAAGTCGTGGAAGTGACGACGACGATTTGCTGTATACCATATTACATCGTAAGATTTTCATCTTCTTAACACCATGAATTGAAGTGAACGAACCCACATTGACATTCAACCACTGGACAGAGAGAATATCGTCTTCCATTATCCATTTTCTCACAAGTTCATGAACAATCGTCCCGACTTCCATCTCAACCCCACCGGCTTTAGTTTTTTTTGCCGGTGCCTTAATTTTTGATTCCGACACGCGAACGAGACGAAGGGACGTTCCCCATGTAAATGCAAGCATCGGGGCGACTGAACTCTCACTCGACCCTTCTTTTTGCTTTCCGGCTTGACTTGCTTCGGGTAATCTCGATGTCGAACGTGAAATACTCGGAAACCAGGCCAGTACGCCTTTGCACCCAGACCTCGACGTTCCTTCACTTGGATCACGAGGAAATTTGAACCATGTTTTCGGGGTCGGTCGCAGACCGACGACGACCAATTTTGTGGGTGTAAGCAGAGCAACAAGATCGTAAGTGTCTGTCGGATTCGGTGTGCCTAGTGGCAAGGATGCCATAGCCAAGATGGTATATCGATTTGCACGCACATTAGGCCCTCGTTCAGGTCCATCATTTGGCAGATGTCGTGGTAGAGGCTTCAATGAAGGTGAGGAGTCAGGGTATCGCCCAAGAATGCGAAGAATGTCCGGTGCTTCTACAAAGAGCAGCTTTCCCAGAGAATGGAAAAATGCCAAGCCCTTTTCGTCTGCAGAAACAATCGCTGTATGTCTTCCAGCTATGAAGCCAATGCTGACAATACAAGAACCTTCCAAGTGGCCTTCTTTGCGACCAGAGGATACAGCAGATAAAGTGACGGGCGGCACAGATCGGAATGGGGAATTCGGTTTTTTTAAGTCATAAAGGTGAATATGACCAGTTATATGGCCAGAAGCTATACACGTATGGTCATCAGACAGTGCTATGGAGGTCACCGAGCCATGTTTGGCTTTTCCGAAAACATGAGCGATAGTCAATTCTTGGAGGAGCAAGCATACCTGTCAGGTCACTCCCACAGACTGCCTTTAGTGTCTGCTTGAAATCGTAGACGTATATTTTTCCTTGTTCAGTTCCAACGCAAAGCAGACCATTGGCAGCTAAGACGGTAGGTAACCCTGCTGAGAACGTGCCGAGGACCGAGGAAGCCTTTGCAGAGGGTTTGGGGTACATTTCCTGTGTTATTGCGCCGAGGTCGGTCCACCTGAACACGTCACGGTCAATAATATGAACCGGTTCATGAAATTGGTCGTTCTGTATGTCCCTGAGGTTGGATGAAGATGATAGGCGAGACATGGAGGAAAAGTGAGATGGCGAAGGTGAAGCGACGGTAAAGTGCGATGAAGACATCGCTGCTTCGTTGGCAAGCAAGATGGAGGGCTGAGGAGTGTAGGAACGGAGTCGGGAAACGGTAGGGTGCAAAAAGGGCCGAGATAGTTTCAAGCTTTGTATTCCTGGAGACGTAACTCTTGAAGGTGGTGACGACATCGTGCCAGAAGAGTAATGTAACAAGGAGTTAGAGTCATCGCGTTGCTAGTTTATGCATCAGCGTTCCAGCTCAGACTTCATTGAAGGTATAGAGACTGCTAACCAGTAGCTCTTCTTCGTCATCGACCGACGCCCTAGCGCCGCTGTCCAACGCCGGCGAGCGCTCCACCTCGTCCGCGTTTGAGTTATATTCCTCGTCCTCATTTTGTTCTAGAACATCTCGAAGTTGTTGCCGATATCCGACTGAGGCGTCCTCTGCGTCCATTCCAGTATATAAGAAACCCTCCTCTTCATCGGTAAGCTCGTCTTCTCCATCGTCTTTAGAGTCGTCGTCTGTGTCGTCAAAAAGTTCTTCCATTCGCTGAGAGTAATCTCCGTGGTGATCTTCATGTCCTCCATAGTCTTCGCTATCGGAGAGGTCGGGTGAGTCTTCCATGGAGTCTAAGAATCAAATATTATGACGAGCTAAGCTGAACTGACATGTGGCTGTGCACATTCATTCTCTCAAAAACAAAGGGCCAGAATGTCGACCGTGTATTATTACATTCATGTTAAGTAGAAAATGAGTGGTTATGTGTCATGAAGCACCAACATGCATTCTCCTCTCCCTCTCTCGGTTTTTTGCACCCGGTCCAAATCTCTCCTGGAATCCAATCAGTTCTTCCATAAGTTCCTCCATTATTTTCATTGTCGAAGGCAATGGGTGTGTTGTGTTGTGTATTAGATGACTGCTATGGTCTTGTCGAGAATCTGCCTCCACAGAGCACGCCAGGGATGGTTCCCCATTTCCAGCAGAAAAATTTGTTGCTTCAGTCTCGCCGGGATCGGAGGCCAGTTCATAAAGAGCCCTCTCCAAGGCGATCCTCCTACGCCCACGATCGAGAGCGCTTGCTTGTTCCCTCCCAACCCATTCCACCAGAGCCCTCACTCGCTTGTTCATATCGCCAACGCTCATGCGTTTACTTGGCCATTTAACCTTCACACCTCGCTCCATCGTCCGCTCTGTGCTCTCACCCCTTCCTCCAGCAGCAACTCCAGGACCCGCACGAACCTCTAGGGGCTGAGGAGTATCCGTTGGCAGCATCTCCTCAAGATGCGCGAGGTAATCCGGAAGATTCCATGATGTAAAAAGGGACTGTTGTGAAACTGCATATGCATGCGAACTCCGATATGCACGCGAGGATTCTGTGTTGACAGGTGCAACAGCTTGTCCAGCGACTCCTCCAGACTGATTTCGACGTGCGCTGTGGTCGTTCCCTGAACCGTGAGACCCAACATGAGAAAAAGGGGGTCGTTTTGCAGTCGTAGAGCCCTTCGAGCGACTGCTGTTGCCGGTACGTTTTGGTGCTGTGGGGGCTAAGCCTGATCAGCCAAGTTCAATTCCCATGTCTCATGTTTTTTTACCTTCATCCCCATCGACTGACGCGACTGTGTCAACATTGGCATTTTTCCGTCCACCTCGCTTATTCCGACCCGAGCTTTTGGGAGGTAATTGTGGGGCGACTGGGGCAAGTGGTTTTTCCAAGATCGCGAGTGGGGAAGCGTCGTCTTGAGGAATAATGGATGCACGATCAGACGCACTTGAAGCAGACCGCGTTCTCTTCTTCGGGACCCTGCTCACTGAACAGTTAACATCAAAACATTGTTAGATTAGAGAAACGAGGCATACACGTCATCCTCGCTACGTTTCCTTTTCCTTTTTGCGATTTGCTGAGCCTCAGTTTCTTCTTCCACCTCTTCAGTTGGAGAAACATCAACGGAAGGAACAGCAGAGATGACTGTGCCATGTGCAGCGGCTTCAGCAGCCGTTGCTTCGATAATTTCCTTTAAACTTTCATCGAATGCGGCATCCCTGCTATTCATAGTATTACGTCGTTTGGATGGTTGTTTGAGCGAATGAGATGGTGAGTGTGAACGAGACACCCTCGATGTGGAGGGAACTGGATTATGATGAGAACCCGCAGAGGTTTGACGCGGCCGCTTGGAAAGCTTTCTGAATCTTGAATCAGCGGCCAATTCAGAGACAAAATAGAAGGAATTCACTTGATAAGATCTACATGGAGCTCGGGTCTGCATTGCTCACAGTAATAGTCGTAGTCGTGAACCTGATCCTCGGATTGGTACCCCATACATAAGCCGTGCTGCCACACCTTGCAGGTTTCACACTGAACCATGAATTCCCCCGCATCCGGGTCATCCTCTCCTTACAATTTTTGCTATCAGTTAGCTAAAAAAGAGAATGGGAAGCGGACTGTCACCATACCAGAACTCCCACAAACGCATCTTGTGATCCCTTGCTCCTCCTCCTCTACAGCGTCGGGAGGGTGGTCTTCAGCAGAAGCGCTGGGAGGGTCTCCATGCTCATCGATCGCCAGCTGTTTGTCTTTTTCTTTCACTTTTCGTTTTGACTTTCCCCCTGGGACCGCGGTAGGGTTAGAGGCGAATGAGGTTGAGGCAGGGGTTGAGGTAGAAGATGAATTTCTTCTGTCATCAACGTTTTCTTCGAGGTCTTCTTGTTTCAAGCGTTTGGTTCTACCACCGTTGCCGGTAGAGGTGGGCGCTGGACGCGGCACGCCATCCTTCTGACGAGGAGGTTGATCCGAGTCTGGTGATTTGGAGGCGCTGGTGGAAGTAGAAGGAGCTGAGCGCCGACCTGAACGTCGAGTTTCCCTAGGGGAGAGAGGAGGCCCCATTGCAGCTTGAGCCATGGTCACAGTGAAAGCAATTCAAGCTTGATTCAGTCAGGTGATCACAACTACGAAGTTGTGGACTGGAAAAATCTCTTCCGTCAACGGTCAAACGGCCCAAATGTCTGCAATCATTGAATATGCCTCAAATGCTCCAGAGCCGCTTTCTTACCCTCGTCTTGCAAAACACCTTCTCTTACCATCTAATACACCCGATTATTTGAGGCTCATCCTCACCTCCAAAGTTTACGAGATTTTGAAGGAAACCCCATTGATCCTCGCAACCAATCTAAGCTCCAAGCTTGGGAACCAAATTTGGCTCAAGCGCGAAGATCTTCAGGAGGTCTTCAGCTTCAAGATCCGCGGCGCATACAATTTCATGGCTAGCTTATCCGATGAGGAGCGCTGGAAAGGCGTCGTGACATGCAGCGCTGGTCAGTGTGCGTATGATTGAAGTCACCACGCTTCTAATGCCCTCAGTTTTCCATGAAACTCATTCTTTTAATTCCATGTTGCAGGAAACCATGCCCAAGGTGTCGCCCTTTCTGGTGCACGTCTCGGAATTCCTTGCACGATCGTAATGCCGCAAGGTACTCCCTCTATAAAAGTGCGCAACGTAGCGCGTCTGGGTGCCAAGGTTATTTTACACGGAGTGGATTTTGACGAAGCCAAGATGGAATGTGCTCGTCTCGCTGCGGCCCACGGTCTGACCTTCGTCCCCCCATATGATGATCCCCTTGTCATCGCGGGTCAAGGTACCGTAGGGATGGAAATTCTAAAGCAGCTGGCCGATTCAGATCAGCTAGACTCAATCTTTGCTGCTGTTGGTGGGGGCGGCCTGGTAGCTGGAATCTGTGAGTACGTCAAAAGGATTGGTAGCCCGAATACCTTGGTCAGAGGTGTGGAAACCATCGATGGAGATGCGATGGACCGCAGCATCGAGAAGGGCACTCGTGTAACGTTGCGTGAGGTCGGACCTTTCAGTGACGGGACAGCTGTCAAGATTGTAGGAGAAGAGCCCTTCCGGATATGCCAAAATTTGCTTGACGGGATTGTCAAAGTCGACAACGATGAAATTTGTGCTGCGATAAAAGATATATTCGAAGGTAACCGTGTCCATGATATCTTCGAGAGTGGTGCAAATTTGACATTTTCTGCTCAAGAAACTCGATCAATCACTGAGCCAGCAGGGGCTCTAGCATTAGCAGGCCTGAAGCGTTACATTGCTGAAAATGATTTGGTTGGGGCACAAAAGAAATTTGTAGTAGTCGTGAGCGGTGCAAATATGAATTTCGACAGATTACGGTTCGTTGCAGAACGTGCAGAACTAGGAGAGGGTCGAGAAGCCCTCCTGAGCGTCGAGATCCCAGAAAAACCAGGAAGGTGTGTATCCACAATAGGTTTGGGTTGAAAGATGACGTTTTTTTACTTTATTTTTAGTTTCATTGCCTTACACTCCGTTATCCATCCACGCGCAGTGACAGAATTTATTTATCGATACAATATCTCTGGAGACCGAGCTCACGTCCTCATGTCCTTCAAACTGGAATCCAACTCCAGGGAGAGCGAGGTACGAGACGTACTTAAGGCTTTGGAGCAAGCGGATATGCAAGGTTTTGATATCAGCGACGATGAATTCGCTAAAAGCCACGTTCGATATATGATCGGGGGTTTGGCACAGGTATCTAACGAGAGAGTATTCAGATTCGGCGAGCATGTTTCAATCACACCCTCTCCATCTGGCGGCTAACGCCATCTCAGAATTTCCTGAGCGACCAGGGGCTCTCAGAAAGTTTCTGTTAGGCCTCCAGCTTGATTGGAATATATCCTTGTTCCATTATAGGAACCATGGAGCTGGTCAGTCAAAGGTGAACCAGTGAACCATTCACTAACACCTTTTCAAAAGATTTGGGCAAGGTTTTAGCGGGTATTCAGGTGCCACCAAGTGACAGTCAGGCTTTTGAAGAGTTTTTAACCAAGCTCGACTTCGCATATGTCGAGGAAACAAACAATCCTGTATACAAACGCTTTCTATGTGGTTGAAGCTCGGGTGCGTCAATCTATCTAGAGCCTATTCAAATAGGTCACAGAATGTCAATGTACAATGGCTAAAATCTACAAATTCCCATGGGCCTCAAGTTTCAACTGCCGCTAATTTCTATTGATTTCTTGAACTTCCCGCCGTGCCACATCCATTGTAATGAATTCTTGAAGGAATTGCTGCGAGCCTGTCTGCCGGAGAATAGGGAAGAACCATGATTGGGCGATTTCGTGGCAGCGGTTTTGAGAGGTTCTGAAGTTGCCTCGCATGGCTGACTCGTTGCCCTCAATGCGTTGAGTGCAAGAGCCGTTGTCAGACCACGATTGCCGATCCTGAGTCCTGATGACCCATACTTATAAATCCATCCTATTTCCCAACCACCGTCTTCGCATTGCAACGGAAGGAGAGAGCGCAAATCAATCTCATCCCTCAGCCCAACAAAATCACAGACGAGGATTCGCATGGCGAGCGCAATTGAGTCACCTTCGACACCGATGCGCTCCTGGATCCTTTCTCTAAGGAGTGGTTTGAGGAGAGCATGCAGCTCCCGATCCTCAGAACTGGCCAATAGACGGCTAAGGAAAAATAGAAAGCACTCTGCGGTTTGGTAATAACGTGTGCCATCCAGATATGCCCGGTTTAAGAGGACTTTGTGGATCCATTGGAGGGTCCGACTCAATTCTGAACCGCGACCGTGCGTATAGAAGAGCGTCAAGGCATTCACGCACACTACAGGATCAAATCTTGGTCGTCGATGGTCAAAGTACGTCTAGAGCCCACAATGTTAGCTGAAATGATGTTTTCATAGAGGGGGTTTCACCCTTACTTGAATGATGCCATCATGGTCGACATACTCCAGCATCTCGTTCATAACCGAATTCGCGACGGCCTTGTCCCGCTTCATGACAGTAAGGCCCAACGACGTTGTGTCAAGATCAAATGGAAATTCTTCCGTGGTTAGCTGACCTTTGCCTTGCTACGATGTCGGAATTGCGGTTCTGGAGAACTTGAGAAAAAACTCACCTTGGAAGAAGCTCCACGTTCGGGGATGTTCCACCAAATTAACTAGATTACTGAAAAATTGCAAGTCAGCGTCACGAATTCTGAGGCGGGCCTATGACCAACGCGTCACCAATCACTTCCAAAATAAGAAGCTGCGCAAAGTTTTCCTGCAACAAAACGGCTTCATGATTGTCGCTATTTTCCGTGACAGAGACAAGATTGCCAGCATTTTCGTGAAGGAACGCCTGGCCTCTAGCAAGAGGATCGCCAGTTAAATTACGGAGGGCCCGCTTGACTGGCTCAGGACTATCAAAGACGATGCCATGGAAACCCAGAGACCGGGCGGAGATCACATTCTCCAATTTGTCGTCAACAAAAATCGTCTGACGGGGGCCAACTCCCGTGCCCGCGAGGACGTGCTCGTAAAAGCCAAGGTTGGGCTTCCGTTCCCCCGCACTCCCAGATGTGAAAACCTGATCAAAGATCGACCAGTCCGCAGGCTTAGTTCGCAAAACGGCCCAATCGGGAGGAGAGATGTTGGACATGGCAAATATACGGAGACGGCCGTCGGATTGAGTTTTGAGGTCACGAATTAGATCAATGAGCGCCTCATCAGCGACGAGCGACTCCCGCGCCTGGTCAAATGCGCGTCGAACCTCTCCTGAGAGTAAGTTGAACTCCTCGCCTATTTGTTGGTAACACTCTTCTTCGGCCAATTGACCACGCTCGTAATTAAACCAGGTCGGAGAGGATAGTATGTCACGAAGCGTTCTCGAGGAGATGGATGTCTTGGTTTCGGGTGACCACTTGAATACAACATCTCCGAGGTCGAAGATAATGTTCGTGAATTGGGTAGCTCGGGTCATTTGAGGACACGACTGCGTAGTATGACACTCCCCGATTCTGCGGAAGTACTTATACTAAGCTGCTTTGGCGGCATCATGTCCAAACTTCTTTGAAGCGTAGTCACCGCTCCTCATAGTGAGAATATTTGCCTAGATTGCGCTGGGCAGACAGATGATTCGTAAAGGGTAATGATGGCCCATGACAATGGATTGTGAGCGTGAACAAAACCTCGAGGCGATTTTTGAAAGCTTCAAGGCTTCCTCCGACCAGTTGATGCCTGCTGTGCTTGTGTGTGTACTGTTGATGGCCTTGGTGTCGCTAACATTAGGTTTGGCTTGGGTTTGGCATTCCCCATACACAGATCGACGAGCGGAACTCAAAATCCAACTGATAGAGTTCCCGCCAACGCTACACTTGCGCTACACAATAAATCTTCCTAAGTATATGATCTCCGTCATTACTTGGTCATTACGACAAATATCCAGCTCGATTGGTTCCATTCCTTCTGATCCGCGTGTTGGCAGAACATGACAATCGCTGCCATGCAACTGCCATGAGCATCATAACGGCGTTCTACAACTATATTCCGAAACGCCCAGCCTCAGCCTCACTGGTACACTTGACACCTGGCTGGGACACTTTGATCGTGCATCGAAGGCTCGAAGTCCAGGAATGAGAGTTGTAAGAAGCACGATAGGGCGAGTGCGAATCGGAAATCTACCATGGAGTTCCAAGCAGTTGCGACTTGCTTATACCCGATACTCGGCAAAACGAGTGAACCTTTGAGAGTAGTCTGGCGGCCTGCAGGTCTTCTAAGCATAGCTGTCAATCGTAGCGCCTGCCGCGTAAAACGGAAGGGTGGACGATTCGCATAATGGTGTGTGCCCAGTCTGCGCCCACAGAGCCAGATGATTGCATCATTTGCGACACAAAATGATACTGAAAATTCGGGAATGCGTCGACAAATTCGGCCACCATGGTGAGCCGCGAAGGGTTGACGTGAAGTAGATGTGTCAATGGTGCATACACAAATTGCTCTGGCTACATCAAACTAGGCTTGAAACAGGTACATCGCGATGACATTTTGCGTTCTGTCATGGGTCGGATTGCTCAGGCTCTTCGATGTATGCACGGCTAGGCCACAAATCCATTTACTTCGGAGAAAGTCAGCCAGTAAATATCTAACAGTGGCGTATTGATACCCACCTCTAATGGTGTGATGCGTCCTGCGTCTGAGTACTAAGATATACATTGTCTGCTATGACATATGCGGTGAACGCAACTACCGCAATCCCAAAGCCAGGGAAGAGATTGCGGAACATCACGCGGTTAGAGAAAACGGGGCTTTTCCGCCATGCCTCTCGCTTCGCCCAGGGGTCTCTAAACAGAGGAAGGTTGGACATTTTGGCTGGTAGTGTGGTTCAATAATATTTTTGACCAATGAGAGAAGAAACTCACGTCCTAGGATTTGCGGGATAACAATAAGGCTTGGATGAGTGTTGGAAGTGGCAGGTGTCGTGATCTTTTTGTTCAGGGCAGGCCGAAATAACTTGTCTACGAGTTCAACTTCCTTACTCGTCTCTCACTCTCGACATCCTCCAACGCGTTTCGACTATTTCCTCTTCATATTCTGTCACATTCTCTTATGTCAGGTTCAGACCATGTCCCATCTCACAACGGTCACCATACTGCGGCTGCCATCAACGGTAATGGCCACGCCAAACTGGAAGAAGGGGACATCTCAATGAGCGATGGAGATGATTTGCCACTGGTATGCCACCATTGCACGCATTATGTTCTTCTGGGCTTATAGTCATTGCTTTACGTATATGTAGTCTCAAGCAAGTCGAAAACCAAGAGCTGACGCCCGAACCTCTCGCAATCTGAAACGGAAGAAGCCTGTTTACGCTGAGTCATCCTCCGACGAGGACATACCGTTAGCGTCATCTCCTGCTAAGCCGTCCAAATCCAACGGCAAAGTGGTCAAGCAGGAGTCTGATGTGGATGACGCTTACGCAGAGGAAACTAGTATCCCTAGAAAGAGCCAAGTTTCTAGGGGACGGAAACCTCCGAAGAAGAAGGTGAAAGAGCAGGGTGTTGCGGTGGAATCTTCGGGAGAGGATGATAAGCCACTCTTGTCTGCGAAATCATCTTCCCGAAAACGAAAGACGAAGTCTGAAGATAATGAAGAGGTGGCCGTAGCTAAGGGGAATAAATCCACGGCTCGAGGGAAGAGGGGAAAGGTAGAGGATGACGCGTCTGGCTTGGATATGCCGAAGCCTAAGAAAAAGAGAGGGGGGAAGGTAGATGGTGATCCCGCAAATGCGTCGCCTACCAAGGCCAAAGGCAAGAAGAAGGAAAAGAAGGAAGAGGAACCAGAGGAAGTATTTCGGTGGTGGGAACAGCAGGATCCGAATGGCGATGGTACTGTGAAATGGCAGACGTTGGAACACAACGGTGTTATCTTTCCTCCTCCGTATGAACCTCTGCCCCCCGCTATCAAAATGAAATACAACGGTATGCCATACTCATTTGCTACGTCTTTGGGAAGCTTCTACCGATCATACTGTAGGCAAACCGGTCGACCTTCCTCCGGAATCCGAGGAAGTTGCTGGTTTCTTCGCTACAATGTTGGAAACAGAGCACGCACTAGACTCAACCTTCAGAAAAAACTTCTTCGAAGACTGGAAGATTGTTTTGAAGCGGCACCCTCCTGTACGTTGCATTTGTTGGTCTCAAACAGTGACTCAATCTGGCATTCAACAGCGCGATGGTACAAAAATTATTTCATTTGATCTGTGCGACTTCCGTCCGATGTTTGAACATTTCGAAGCCGAGCGAGCCAGGAAGAAGGCTATGTCTACGGAGGAAAAGAAAGCGGCGAAAAAGGCGAAGGACGAGATGGAGGCGAAGTACACCACGTGTCTACTTGATGGTCGTAAGGAAAAGGTCGGAAATTTCAGAGTGGAACCCCCCGGTCTTTTCAGAGGACGTGGAGAACACCCCAAGAAAGGCGCACTGAAAGTGAGGATATGCTGCGCCCTCACAAACTTTGTCTCTGACTCTTGCATATCCCTCAAGTTTCGTGTACGTCCAGAGGATATTACTCTAAATATTGGAGTCGACGTGCCTATTCCCATTCCAAATATGCCAGGGAAGTGGAAGGCAGTCACCCACGACAACACTGTTACTTGGCTTGCGAACTGGACGGAAAACATCAACGGGAACCACAAGTATGTTTTCTTGGCTGCTGGAAGTTCGCTCAAAGGCCAGAGTGACATGATGAAGTTCGAGAAAGCTCGGGAGTTGAAGGTTAGAACAGCCTTCGTGCAATTGCCAATTCTCACCCCACTTTTTTCAGAATCACGTTGACCGTATTCGCCTCAACTACAATGCTGACCTGAAATCCAAAGTGATGGCAGACCGACAGCGAGCAACTGCGATGTATTTTATTGATAAACTTGCACTTCGTGCGGGAAACGAAAAAGGCGAAGACGAGGCGGACACGGTTGGCTGTTGTTCTCTTCGCTGTGAACACGTCACACTAGAGGCCCCCAACTTCATTGTGTTCGACTTTCTCGGTAAGGACTCCATCCGGTATTATAATCGGGTGGAAGTCGAAGCCCAGGTGTTCAAAAATATTCGGATCTTCAAAGAGAACAAGAATGATGACGATAACCTTTTTGATCGTGTGACTGTAAGAGATTCACATTGAGAACGCACCAGCAATCGCTGATCAGAACGCCAGACAAGTTCCTTGAACAAGCACCTCACATCCGAGATGAAGGGTCTCACAGCTAAAGTCTTCCGTACTTACAACGCTTCCTTCACCTTCCAGCGACTTCTGGATGAGGAAAGTTTGGAAGGAGCGACTTTGCAAGAGAAACTTAACGCTTACAATAAAGCGAATCGACGAGTTGCTATTCTATGTAACCATCAAAGGAGCGCTCCGAAAACCCATGACCAGTCTATGGAAAAAATGCGATACAAGGTTCGAGTGCCACTGTCCATCGCAGAACGTCCCCCTAACCGTCATTCTGGGACTTCAGCACCTTGCATTGAAATACGACCGTATGAAGTTGCGTCAACTCCTTTTTTCCCAGGACCCCAAATTCAAGAAAAAAGATAAATATGCTGGAGATGAGTCTGACATTGACGACGATTGGATTGCCGAACATGAAAATAACATGATGGAGAAGGAGATAGAGAAAGCGGAGAAGAAGTTCGCAAAAGAGAATGAGAAACTCAAGGAAGACGGAGAAAAGCCCCAAAGCGAATCTGTCTTGCAGGAGCGATTGTCTGGAATTAGGGAGGATTTTGAACAACTGGCAAAGGAAAGGCAGACCGGCAAGGCTTCGCAAAAGAAAGCTAGACCAATTGACAAAATAGAGGAATCGTTCGATAAACTCACAGAGAAGATTAAAGCGCACAAGTTACAGATCGTTGATAGAGATGAAACCAAAGAAGTTGCTCTGGGTACAAGGTCGGTGCTGAGTGTTTTATGATCGGCCCAATGCTAAATACCCTCGACAGTAAAATTAATTATCTGGATCCTAGGTATGTGGAGATTGGATCCAACCAGTGCTTGTTGCTCAGGTCATTTCTCTAGAATCACAAAAGCATGGTGCGAAACCCACGACGTACCGATTGAGAAACTGTTCTCAAAAACCCTTGTAACAAAATGTCGGTCGAACTTGTTTTCGTCCGAAATGCTGACTTATCCGACTCTTTTTCAGTCCCGTGGGCCATGGAGGTCGAAAAAGAGTGGAAGTTCTGAGAAGTTCTTCCAATCTAGTGCGACATGCAATATTTTAATTAGGTTTTCAGACAGACATTCAGACGCTGTAACCTACGCATTGTCGGAATTAGAGTATGTAAATCATTCCGTACCAGCAGCCAGGCAAGTAATACCTAGAGAGTCTGGTTGATCTCAATACATGTCTTCGTATTTTGTTGGTGCGTGGGGGTACGTACTACGTATTACATGAACAAGTCGGTGCCTAAACAGTCCATCCATTGGCCTGTGGGTTGGGGCTTGCCCAACCTGTGGCAGCCCCGCGACTCCAAGCGTTTGAGGCGCCGTTCGGACTTGACCCTCCCCACGTTGAAGCTGCGGCGCCCCTGGCTGGGCTCGTCGCGGTGCCTCCCCATCCACCACCACCACCACCACCTGCATTACCCCATGTGCCACCACCACCAGCGCCAGTCCAGCCAACCTCAGCAGCGTGAGTGTTAGGCTGCCCATCGGTCGTTAGCAGGTCAACCTCTGGCTGTGTTTTGAGTCCTAGAATGAGGTTGGCCAACTTTGTCTGTAGTTCTGCTAGGCCCTACAGTAGTGATAAATTTGCTGTAAGTCCTACGAAGCTTGTGGAGTACCTTCATAACAACTTCTTGTGGTCCCAGACTACCGTCAGTCTCGACCTCAAAGTAAAACTTGTTAGGTTTGGCATTGAAGTCGAAAGGTTCATCGTCTCTCGGTGGTTCTTCTTCTTTCCCATTGTCGCTCATGGGCCACTCCCCTCTCTCGTCGGTCTCGAACCAATATGTTGTATGTCGCAGCTTATTATATGGATCATATTCGAAAGATACAGCAGAACACGGGGACCACTTGGCATGTTCCTTTGCGATACCCTTTCACAAAGTATGAGAGGAGGCCGTTAACGTAATTTATAAATACCTTCTTTGCCACGCATTTAACTTTCAGCTCCTGCCCTTTTCTTATTTTACATATCAAAATGGGGGCAACTCCAGGTTCATCTGCGATGTGTCAGGTTGTCATATCGAGGGGAGGAAACGAGAAGCCCGTACTTTTTCCAACAGGGTGGCCAAAATACTCCCCTCTCTTGGACAATTCCTCTCCAGAATCTGAGGTATCAAGATTCTCTTCAGGGTAAGGAATGACATCGAGGTGGGCGCTCGTCACTTCCATTGTCGTGTCATCGTGGCAACCGACATTCAAGACCAACATGATTGCGCAGAACGAACATCCGGCGAGACAAGTACAGTCCTTTCGGATCGATTGGTGGTGACGACAGGGCATATTAATTGGATACTTACTCTCGTGGAGCGTATGGCTTCGTCGCAATTCGAGCTCAAAAGAGGTACCATGCCTAGGCGGTGCGCGATAAATTCGTCGGGAAGCACGGTTGTATTGATCTCGATCTCAACCATGTCAATAGCTGAAGTAGGAATTAGAGATCTTTCAAGGCTCAGATTCGCCAATCACGCATACCAACAGTGGGAATGTCTGCCATCATAACTCTCCTCAATGAGTTTGCAAACCTATTAAGCATACAGAGTCTGAGTACGAATAAATTGAGCAAAAAACGACCGCACGCAAGGTCCACATTTCCCAAAACGAAGTTGACCCTGTCCTTTTTCAATTCGCGGATTCGTACAGTCGGTTCCAAGTCGTCATGGCTTTGCATTATGGTTGAGAGTACAGGTAGTATGTTTTGAGTTTATGTGCGCATGTTATGAATGCTCCTCAACGGCTTCAAAGATCAACTATGCAGCGATCAACAACGCCATATAACAACGTCACGACCGAGTCCTTCGCCTCCTCACCTCCTTGAATCACCAATGAGCAGGTTCAGCACTCCTCCTCCACGCGCCCTCTTCGCCTCCAAAACTAATTTTGATGCTCTGGCCGTTGATTCTGGAGAAGACACTGAGGACGATGAAAATGTTTCTGAAGACACAACAGAAAAGTTTGACTTTTCACCTTTTGTCTTATTCTCGAGAATGACAAGTGAGAAGCTTAGTTGAACAACCAACGAAACCGACAAAGTCTGCAATAAAAAAGGCCAATCGTCTTGCGCGTCTAGAACGCAAGCAGCGTCAGAAATCGAAGACGCAACCACAGGCACACGAAGCTATCACGGAGGTAGAACCTCTTGTGACAGACCCTCCGCCTGTCTCTGCACCCGTTGCGCCAGCTATCCATACGCAAGATATAAGTTTGGAGTCACCTCTGCAGAACGTCGATGGCCCTTCCTCGTTTTCACCACCACCACCAGTAGTCGCTCCAAGAGAACTGGAAAGGCCCTTCGTTTCTTCTCCACCTATGGAATCTGAACATTCGGAACCCGACTCTTCAAGCAACTCAGAGTCACTTTCATCAATACAAGTCAAGCCCCCCGTAGCGACCCTTGAGAGTCCCATACATGAAGTCAGCGAAAAGACTTCGTTGCCAGATCTTTCGCCGCCTGCTCAACCGAACGTTCAAGATTCAGAGCAAACAAAGACACGGCAAAATTTGTTGACGCGTACTTTGTGGACGTTCATCATGATTGGTGGCTTCGTCGGTATGTATTTTCAACTATTCTGATGTCTCCGTTTATGAACACAATTTTAGGCCTCCTCCTTCTTGGGCATGCCTATATGGTTCTGTTGGTGATGCTCTGCCAGACTCTGGTGTATCGGGAAGTCACCGCCCTTTTCTCCCTGAAGTCTGCAACGCCAGAATCTCGTGATAAAGAGGATTTGAAGGGGAAGGATCCTTGGAGCAAAACTCTCAACTGGTATTTCTTTGCGGTAACGAACTACTTCTTGTACGGTGAAAGTATAATTTACTACTTCAAGGTGAGTTTTACTCTCCTTCGCCTGCTATTCCCTCACCCCCCTTACCATCAACTTCCAGCACGTCGTTTTCGCAGATGCTCAGCTCTTGCCATTCGCGACGAACCATCGTATGATCAGTTTTACGCTCTACACAATAGGGTTCATGGGGTTCGTGATGTCATTGAAGAAGGGTTATCTCAAACAGCAGTTTGGTCTCTTTTGTTGGGTCCATATGAGCTTGCTTCTCATCGTTATGTCGAGGTAAGTTGTGCGACCATCTTGACCAACACATCCTCATTCTCACGCTTCCAGCCACTTTATCGTGAACAATATCCTTGAGGGTCTCATCTGGTTTTGGGTTCCTGCATCTTTGGTGATCTGTAATGATTGCTTTGCATACATCTGGGGAAAAACTCTCGGTAGAACCCCCTTGATCAAGCTTTCGCCCAAAAAAACAGTAGAAGGTTTTGTAGGCGCGTTTTGGAGCACGGTTATTTTCGCCGTTATTTGGGGTACATACTTCATGCGGTTCAACTACATGATCTGCCCTGTCCACGATCTTGGCGTTAGTGCTTGGAGCTCCATGCAATGTGTCCCTAACCCGGTCTTTGTGTGGAAAACTCTGGAGCTTTGGCGCCCACTGGCTACACTTCTTACATGGGTGGTTCGTCATATTTGCTCTCTTATTTTGTCGCATCTCTGATGTGTTTCCTTTGGGATCCGTGAAATAGACGGGACATGCTGTATCGACTATCTCGTATGCGCCATACCAGCTTCATCTCCTACTATTAGCTTTTTTTGCTTCCCTTGTTGCTCCATTTGGAGGATTCTTTGCTTCAGGCTTCAAGCGCGCGTTCAATATCAAGGATTTCGGCCACAGCATTCCGGGACATGGTGGAATGACTGATCGAATGGACTGCCAGTATGTTATCTATGGTTGTCCGTCTAGACCTCTGCTAACATCAGCTTTTGCAGATTTCTCATGGGCGTATTCACATATGTCTATTATAGTAGTCTCATTCGCCAGAACAACGTTACTGTTGGAGGCATCCTGCAGACCATCGTTAGCGGTTTGACTGCGGAACAACAGCTGGAGCTTATTGCTGATTTGACGAGATACTTGGGGAGTCAGGGCATCAGTGTCCCGAAATAATGCCACACCCCAATACCACGAAGGCTAATGTTACGAAAACTATACCAATCTTGCGTTATGAATAATGATTAATCACACATAATGAATTTCATTCGGATGTCCACCTTGCCAACACACCAAACGACATACCCTTCCTACCAACGGAATTCTGGTATCCAAACACACCAAGGCCCTTTGCATCTTGGTCTGATATAACAGTGACAGAAAGAAGAGTCACCTCAGTACTTGGTGGAATGTTCAATGTGACGCTCCAACCTCCCTGGGTATTGGTCAAGGGAACCGACGCCCCTGACCCAGTGTTTAAAAGAAAGACATAGTTGTCAGCCTCGGCTGTCGACATATGCTCGCATCGTTTGTTGACAATGAACGTGGTAAATCGCCCGCCCTCTATCATCTTAGTGGAAGGTTGAAGGGAGTAGGGGTGAAGGTCGAGATCATAAAAGTTCCGGAAAAGCTGTGGTCCCTCTGGCTCGCATATATACTCTTCCCATGTGATTGGACCACCCTCGTCCTCTGACAGTAACTGATAGGTTGGATCGTCTGGAAAATGACGCCTGCCGAATTCAAGTGGGGGAGAAGTAAACCACGTCGGCGTGAAGCGTGGAGTGTACGTCGCACCGTCGAGGTATCCAGCACCCCAACAGGAATCGATAAGGTGCCACTCGCCATCCATTAGAATGCAATTCCATGCATGATTCATTTGTTTGGGAGGGATGGGATCGTTGGGCTCAAGTGCAGCGTAACCAACACCCTTGCCATGACCCGTCACCTTGTGCACTTGCAAACCGATACACTCTGCAAGGTATTTGAAAAGTCCTGCATATCCGTCGCAAACAGCGACGCCTGACGACAGCGTAGACTCTGGCGTTGCAGGTCTGATATTTCCGGAGAAGAACGACTCAGCGTCGTAGGCAATGTTGTGGTGAAGCCAAGTAAATATTGCCCTGGCCTTGTCTACCTCGCTGCCGAAAGGCTCTGTGAGTTCCTGAGATAAGGATTCCAAGGACACGACCGAATGGCGGGGGTAACATGCGGCATGGGCGTCGACGGATGAGAAGTCGCGACATTCCAAGCATGATGGATCGCTTTGGGTGATAACTTGCGCAACAAGAACTGGCTTAGTTGCGAAGTTTGGTATAGGAGGAGGTGTATAATTGGGCTTAATGGGAGGTTTATGTTGGTGTTGGAATTCTTCACGAGAGTGGTCCAACGGGACAGAGCGCGTCGAGCGTCTAGGGGGTGGGGGCGGGCGGCGAGCAAGTAACCTGGCGAGGTCACTATTTACTGACGGCAAGGGCGGTTGCTTTGGTCTGCGAGGGGGCAACGCAGGTGTCTCAAGCGTTTCCGGCAATTTGGGAAGGCTATACCTCGGGGGAGGTGGAGGTACTTTCCGACGAGGACCGTTCATAATCAAGCCTCAAATAAATCATCTCTTGATCATCTCACTGGCTAATCTTATATACATAGCCGAAGGACAAATCACTGTAGCGTACGGCAACATTCTCTAGCCAGGCTCGCTTAATGCTTCATCCAAAGTTTATCTCAACATAACATGTCATAGATTTTTGGATGATGAAGAGTACAACATGGCCATAGTAGGAGGAAGAGTATCCAGCGTTTATGATCTGGGCTTTTCCTATGTAACATAGAGTTTGGCCAACATGTTAGAGACTCGAATAAGACGACACGGACCTTTTTCTCTTTCCATAGAGCCAGAAGGCCGACACCAGAAACCTTCACCACTTTGAATCGGACACCTGGAATATCACCTTTCGCCTTTCCACGACGACCGAATCCAGAAATGAGAACCTCGTCATTCTCATCGACAAAGTTCAGGCAACCATCGTTCTGGATAAGAGGTGAAGGATGCACAACACAAAAAGTAAGATGTGAACGCACTGGTACGAAAGCGGTGACCTTCTTTCCATTCTTAATCAGCTGCACACGGACACATTTGCGGATGGCTGAGTTGGGTTGCTTGGCCTCAACGCCCACTTTCTCCAAAACGATTCCCTTCGCATGCGAGGAACCTCCAGTAGGCGAGGTCTTGTAGATGTTTCCAAGGGCGCGCTTTTTGTACGCTTTATCTGCCTGTTTAATGTGTTGTGAGATGATTGAACAAGTGGATGATTGCTGGACAAACCCAGCGATTTTCCCGTCGGTCGGTACGGAGTTTGCGAGCGGCTTGAAGTCCACGAGGTTTGTTGGCTAACCAGCATGCAGATTAGAGGTACTGAAATAAAAGACGAGCAAAGGAATATAGACAACGTACAGCCCATTCTTGCGGTCGAGAGCGATGGGGATGAAGTCGATTGAGAATGGCGATGACCGATAAACCTTAGTTTGAAAACTATAACAGCTCTCGGGATATCCCGGAAATAATTAATAATAGTAATAATAATATATTAATTGTTATGATACCACGAAGATCTGTGCAGTTTCTACTTGGAGTATATAACAAACGCAGGCTTACTACAAGCTCTGTCATTAACCATCCACCTGAACTTTTGGACGACCTTGTTCGCAGAGGATTCATTCACGATGTCACCAGGTATGTATCCCTCGCACTCATAGGCCTTCTGCTGACACCCACTCCTACAGACGCGATCACCTCCGTGTTTCGCTCCAAACAACGCAGGGTGTATACGCGGGAATAGATCCTACTGCAAGCTCATTGCATGTTGGCCACTTGATCCCTCTTATGTGCCTTCTTCATTTCCATCTTCGCGGCCACAGAGTCATCCCCCTCGTAAGTATCGCTCTTCTGCGCTTCAGCACTTCCCGTGATATAAACAGTATTCCATTGCTAGATAGGTGGAGCAACAGGGCGCGTTGGGGACCCTTCGGGGCGATCGGTTGAGCGGCAATTAGCAGACGTCGAACAGGTTGAAAACAATGTTCAGTGTCTTCAAAAAAGTGTGCGGTCCTTTTTTAGCCGAGCTGTGGCCTACGCAGAAACGCGTCATGGAGCAGTGCAGGAAGAGCGCTTTCTTCCTGTCGTGGAAAGCAATCTAAAATGGCATTCGCAACTCACCATGCTTGATTTTCTTCAATCTGTCGGTATCCATGCACGCGTCAACACAATGCTAAACAGGGAGAGGTGCGAGTCCATGCCTTTGCCCTCAATTAATATATCTCATGCTATCTGGCTAGCGTGCGAGCACGGTTAAGTTCCCAGCAGGGCTTATCGTTTACGGAGTTCACCTACCAACTCCTCCAAGCTTACGATTTTTACCATCTCTACAAGCATCATAACTGTTCCATCCAAGTTGGCGGGTCAGATCAATGGGGAAACATTTTGGCAGGGTTGGAACTCATTGGCCGGCTTGATGATGGTCCTAGCGCACCGGCGACAAGTCATACAGGAGCATACGGAATTACAACCCCTCTGTTGACTACTTCCTCTGGAGAGAAATTTGGGAAGAGTGCAGGCAACGCCATTTGGCTCAACCCAGACCAAACTAGTGTTTTTGATTTTTACCAGGTGATTCGTAGCTTTCTCGCTAGGTCTTCGTATTCTAACCCGCCATACCAGTACTTCTTGAAAGTATCCGATGCAGATGTTGAAAGGTACCTGAACCTTTTTACACTGATGACTTCGCAAGATATTCAAAATGTCATGGGGGTTCATGTCGTTCGTACTACATGTCAAATATCGCCAGCAATTTCGCTTACGCTCTCGTTCAGGACCATCCCGAAAAAAGAGTTGCTCAGCGTCGTCTTGCAGCCGAAGTGACAGAAATGGTTCACACTCGTGAGCAGTTTTTTTCTTAGCGAGATCTCTCACTGAACTCACCCACATCAGCTGAGGGGCTGGTAAATGCGGAGACGCTGACTGGTCTTTTCTTTGAGTCGGATTATGCTGGTCTCAAAGTCAAGGACATTCTCTTGGCTCTCAAGGACGATCCACGACTTGTTCTGGTTTCCGAGGAGGAGATGAGAGCGACGCCTATTTATAAACTAGCAAGCAGGCATGGGCTCGCTTCCTCTAATTGTACGTGCTGGTCTCCCTACCAGACTCAATCTCATTGCATTTTTACTTGAATAGCCGCTGCACGGGCACTGGTGGCATCACGAGGCCTGTATGTGAACGACATCGTTGTTTGCGATATTCAAACACATATCCCAATCGAACATCTCATCGACGGACGGGTTGCCATTATGCGAGCCGGGAAAGACAAGATTTGCATTTTGATTCTGGAAACATCTTAATGCATCGAGGATGACTCAGAATTTCTATCTTTTGGCTCACGGAGAGATATGTGTACACGAATCTCAGGCTCTAATCAATGCGAATGGCACTGTAGAGTCTACGAACGGCCCAATATGATGCCAAGAATCCAATGGTACCTATATACCAGCTCAATCGGCGGATCAGGCCAAAGTGATGGAGGCTTACCTGTGATCAAAAAGTCGAGCAGAGCAATAAGGAACAGGTATCCAAGGTAGAGGACGACGCTTGATAGAGAGTCGAGCGAAAGCCGAGATGCCCAATAGAATATCCCGTATGCCATGACCCAGAATGCACTTCCACCACCAATAAGGAACGACCGCCAATGCCACCTACACAAACACAAGATCAGGATAGGGGAAGCGCAAACAGAAGTTCCATACCTGTACTCTTCGGCACAAAGGATGAAATAGGTGAAAAGGATGGTCACCGTGGCCGTCGTCAGGGACACAACGGCTGCTGTCAACGCCAAGAATCCAAACGCATAGTATGCGCGGGAGGCGAAGAGACTCGAAAGTACGAAGTACAGCTCAACGAATGCAGCGCCTAGGTGTCGCAATTGAGTTCAAGAAAGGTTGATATATGAGAAGGCGAACCGAAAGGGAGAATACCACTTAGCAAAGCCGCGATCTATCAATCAATAGCATAAGACCTTTCTAGGAGAACTTTAAGGTATGATGATTATCTTACCCATGGTTTGAGGTATTTAGGTCCAGGGGGAATTTGGCGAGGGATTTGGTGAACGCGTACGGGGTGACGTATACCCTGTAGGGAAATTTAACGACAGTTTTACAATAGAATTGCAATGTTAGCATACCCCATGCTTTGAACCAAAATATGACCCAATGGCAGACAGTGGTGCAGAAATGCCAAACCACAGCAGGATAATAAGCACCATGGTACCTGAAGAAAAAATGTAATGAAATTCAAACAAAAGGTAGAGGCCACAACACCCACCAAATGGAACAGCCCCCGAAGAGCCCGCAGTGAGTAGGAAAAGGTTCAAAAGAAAGACGATGATGAATATAACGCTGAATACCACAAATGAGATACTTTTCCTGCTTTCCAAGAAAAACATACACTGGTAAGATGGTAGCAGTCAAGAAAGCAGTTTTTCTTCGATCGGTGCCACCTAAAGAAGCATAAACACGACTAGAAAAATACCCTCCGATCCTGGACAATGTTTGTTGGGATAGGTATGGGACAACAGAGCATTGACATACCCGCCGAAGAGAGTCCAGCACACCATCATTACAGTTGCGAGCGAACCTCGATTGGAAGGCGAGAGGAAGCCCAAAAGTGCGAATACTGGGAGAATTTAGTGCGCGCCCTAATTTATGCACAGCTGCCTGACCTAGAGTAACCGCGACCATCGCGCATAGCTGAGAACCATTCCCAACCATGACAGAAAGGATTAGGGGATTTGTAGGAGTGCGGAAAACTTCCCCATGAACCAACTTCCATCCCCAATCTTCTTGAACATCCTCCTGCGAGTGGTTGAGTGGATACACCTCAAGAACAACGAGGAAAGACTTACACTGAGATCGATGGCGTTGTACCGAGATATCTGGAGGTCGAGTGAGCCATAAATTTTGACAAATTTGTTGCAAACAGGTATACATCACGAGTAACACTCCGGATCAGAATCATCGATACCATCACGCAGAGAAACACGACGATGACAAGCGAGTTAATGAGACTGAACCAGTGAATCCGGGGATCAAAAATGTGAAGATAGTTATCCCATCGAGTTGCCTAAAAACAAAACGAGTTCAGGGAAAAGACTTTCGCAAGACAATGTAGAACCTGCCCATGGTGTATCAGATTCCTGAAAAAAAAAGGTGCATTGATATCAGGAATGTATGCTATTTGCCTTCACTCACATTCCAGGTAACACGATAGCTATAACGAATGGGTTGGCTATGGTCCTCACTCAAAATTAGGGGAACAGCCGGGTCGCAGCTTGCGGCAGAGTCTTGAGGACCACCTATGCTAATTGACATTATCAGACAGGATGACATTAAATGTATAAAATGGACGACAAACCTCGCAGGCCATACGAGAACTCCGACGATGCGGAATGTGTCTGGAGTAGGCTTGTGATATCTGAACATGGTCATGGTCATTTCTACGTCAGATTTGAAGGAAGGTCGTGGCTTACCTCAGAACAATTTCGTAGTGATTGTTCATCGTCGGCAAATTCTGGCGTGGACCTTCATTATCTCCGAGGTTAAACCCCATGTCAAAAAATAAGTCGTTATTCCGCAGGTCAATTTTCATCTCGGCAGCCGGGAGTCCGTCGACGAGCCAGTTAAGAGCATAGTCTTCTCGGATCCGGTCATTAATGAACTTTGCTTCCTCTCCTGTTACATTGGGAACTACACAGAGTGTCTCGCAGGTGCCATTTTTCTGCAGCATTTTGATCTAGGAAATGTATAAACTTCTCAAATCTTCTCAGACCACAGGTGAACGGACTCACCTTGTACGGGGAGTTAAAAATTCTATCACCAAACAAAATCGACCCCAGTGACTCGGGTTGCTTCACTGGCCCTCCTTCAGGCTCACAGAAATGAAAATTTGGATGATAATAGTCATCTGAAATAAGGAGTTGGTACGACATTTCTTGAGCGTGCGGCCTGCTCACAGTTGATGAGAGATTTCTACGAGGAAAGTCAAGCAGGACAAAGAGCGTCATTCCAAGAAATGACTGGTACCAATTTTGCATCATTGCTTCCAGTAAGCATGGGTGTGAGGGCATTCACAAAGATGTCGACCTGTTCACCCTCGACATAGTTGCGGGGAGCGGCGCCTGGCAGATAGAAAGCCGTAATGGTAGGAATAATATAAAGCCATATGACAGCCAGAAAGCGGGAGCGCATTGCGGGGATCAGCGATGAGCAGCAGGCTGTTGACCTGTTGTCGACGTGCTGGACAACTTGAATTATGTCACGTGTTGACGCATTCATCAAGCCTCATTCTGCCTGCCTGCTGCCTCATCAAGCTCTTCCTGCCCCAAATTAAGTATTAATTCTGGCAAGAAGTAATTATCTAGGCCGCATAGCAATGCAGTTCGAGATCATCGCGAAGTGCCATACGACGAAAGCTCGCGTCTCGCGGATGACACTTGCTCGTAAGCATTGCTCTCGATCGACAGAACTCTCTTGATTTTCCTTGAAGATGGAGTAACCATGCTTCCAACATTCATGCCTGTGGCGACACAAGCAGCAATCAAAGGCTTAACCCCTCAGCAAGTAGAACTTCTCGGTGTGACCCTTATCCTAAATAACACCTATCACTTGAACCTGCGCCCTGGATTGAAAGTCTTAAACGAGGCAGGAGGGGCCCACAAATTTCAGGGATGGCATAGGAACTTGCTGACAGTACGCTACTATGCATTCTTGTTGATGCTGTAATTTTAATTGTGTTTCCTTTTGACAGGATAGTGGAGGATTTCAGCTTGTTTCGCTGAGCAAATTTACAACGATAACTGAAGAGGGCGCCCTGTTCGCCAGCCCTTTCACCGGTGAACCGACGATGCTTACTGTGAGCAGTTTCATATGGGACACTTATTTTTGATCGCCGACCGTCAAGGTAGCCAGAAGAAAGTATATCCATTCAACATGCCATTGGTGCGGACATCATTATGCAACTTGACGATGTAGGTCAGTCATTTCTTAATCTTAAACGGGTTGTGCTAATTTTACGGCCAGTTTCAAGTTTGACGACTGGCCCACGAGTGGGGGAGGCTATGGAGCGATCTGTGAGATGGCTTGACAGATGCATCAGGCAACACGAGCAATCAGGAAAAAAAGACACCCAGAACCTATTTGCCATTGTTCAAGGGGGTCTCGACCCTGCTCTTCGAGATCGATGCTTAGATGAGATGATTGCACGGAGAGACGGAGTTGCTGGATATGCAATTGGTGGTCTTAGCGGGGGTGAGGAGAAAGGTGAATTCAAAGTTTTAACAACGTCAACCTTCTCATAGAGGGCGATCCAGATACATTCTGGCGCATGTAAGAAAGATTCTCTTGTGATAGCAAACAAGCTAAGTGGAGCACAGAATCAAGCAATGCGCGGATAAGCTCCCCGAAGAAAGTAAGCAGTTGGTGTTCGCTGATCTCCTAGCTTACCGCGCTCACAGGACCTCGCTACTCCATGGGCATTGGCTTTGCTGAAGGTGCGATTGACAATACAGCGGTCAACAACTGTTTTAATCATCACCTTCAGACCTCCTCGTCTGTGTTGCTCTTGGGGTAGACATGGTGAGATTGTGTTTCATACCTACCTCTCTTTCTCATAGTGTTTCAGGCAGACTGTGTTTTTCCGACGCGGACTGCTCGCTTTGGAGTCGCTCTGACCCACCAGGGACCTCTCAACCTCAGTGAGAAGCTCGAATCAGACACGTATAGTCGTGCTGAGGTCCATTTGCAGAGCTAAGCAAACATGCCCAAGATTTCGGGCCAATCGACGAAGCATGTCCCTGTCCTACTTGCTCTGAGAAAACATCGCGCGCCATGCTACATCACATCGTCACGCATGAAACAGTGGCTGCTCATGGTAATGAGATTTTAGCTCGTGGAGCCTGCCCATCCTAATTTCGTTCACCAGCCCTCACCATACACAACATAGTGTTCCAGGCGCAAGTTATGGGCCGCGCACGCTCCGCTATTATCGCTGGGACATTTCCCGATTATTTACGTTCATTTTTTTCGAACTACTTCGGTGACACAGGTTATCCTGAGTGGTGTGTCAACGCTCTTCGGTCTGTGGGGGTTGATCTGCTAGAAAACAATCCCGCAAACGTCGTACCTGGCAAGGGTGCAAAATGGGAATATGCAAAGTCTCCATGATACCCAGCCGGAAATAGCCCAATGCAATAAATCCTTCACCACAACCCTTAACCACAACTAACGTCGTCCGTTCTTGCTACCACGAGATGGCCTAGCATTTTTCGCCTTCCGCCGTTCTGACTTCTTTCTCTCTTTCCGGATTTGTTCACTTGACTTGAGTTCCGTTTTCACGCGTCCGTAGGATTTTCCTCCGTATCGGCTTCTTCCATGTTTTTCTGGTCGTGATGGGGTTCCATCGGTTTCTTCTTTCTTTTTCAGTTGTCTGACTTTGCGCTCGTAAGTCAAGCTGAGCTTGTCCAACTGTTTCGGAGCAACAATCTTGTTGTGTTTGAACTTTTGGCCGGCAGGTCTACGTCCAACCGTTGCGCTGTTTTCTTGCTCACCAATGCGAGGCAGAGATACTCGATTTTTGGCTTTCCATTCGTCGAAACGGCCACTACGGTATGTCGCTGGGAGCCGTGTCCCATTTTCCGTCCTCACCATTTTCACGTTGTCGGCGCCAACGCCATCTCCTTTAATGAACCTTTTCTTTTTCTTATCCCAGTTGAGCTGATTTTTTCGCGCTGCAGCACCCTCATCTCCCTCTAACTGGAATGAGATCTTTTGAGCTTGTTTGGCGAACGAAGATGCTCCGTCCGTCAGGGAATAACTAAAAACAAATCAATCAATGAGTTGGGTAAATATAAAAGCTAGGCCAACCCTTTTTCAGTCATGGCGTTTTTTTGATAATGAGACATATAAAATTCTTCGTCTCGGTAGCCCTGCCTCTTATCAGAATCATTGAAAACAGCCTGAACAGACGCATTTGAGAAATATTTATGAAATAAGGAAGGGAGTCATACGGCGATATCGTCTTCATCTGCCATTTCAACATGTTGATTGGATGTTGAGTTATCTTGTTCCGATTCGGCCTCAACCTTGCTGGCAGACAATGCAGTTCTCTCAGCGCATCTCTCTAACGCCTTGCGTCGTTCTTTCATCAGGCCAGCGTTGGCGGAGCTTCCCTTCGAACCGAGTTCAAAGACGGTTTCGGAAGGACTGAACGAGTTGACGGTGCGCAGCAAATTTTTTCTTGCTTCCTCGATCTTCCTTTTCTGGTCTGCATCTGTGCCTCGAAGAAGGACAGGATGTATGCCAGAATCTGATCCAGCAAGCATCCACTTTGAGTCTTTCATCATCTCCTTTGCTCGTTTATAACTCTGAGGGCTTGCCTTTCCCTTACTGCGTTCATACATGGCTTGACCCCGCTTCATGACTTCCCGAAGGGTCGACAGGCTATGGTTGACACCGTCGAGAGACCTGAGGTATTCTACCTCGTCGTCGATGGCGTCACGCTGGAATGTCCCCAGGACCAGCGCTTCCGTATAAATTTGGTCGCCTCCATCCGTGGAAATGTCACTAACGAGTGGTCGACCTAGGAACAATTGAAGGTCGAGCAAGAAAGGTAGTTCAGGATTGGTTATGAAAGACCAAGCCCATCCTTGCCGTCCAGCTCTGGCAGTACGCCCAACGCGATGAACGAAAACCCTTGCACCCTGCGGGAAATCATAATTGATGACATTTTCCAATACGGGGATGTCTATACCGCGAGCGGCGACATCTGTGACAACCAGAATGTTGGTGAGTCCGCGACGAAACTGATCCATTTGGATTGAACGAGCTGTCTGGTCGAGGGAACCATATATATGAGATACAGCGTAACCTGCTGTGGTCAATAAATTCAGAAGATATTCCACATGATGTTTTGTTGCAGCGAAAATAAGTGTTTGATGAGGAGCAGTGAACTGTTCCGGATGTTTAGATTTCCCTTTACGTTTTTTGTCCGAAACGTTGGTATCAAGTTCAACATTGCTGGCTCCGAAGGGAACTTTGATGACGTTGCGTAAGAGTGTTAGGAGACAAGCATCCTTTTCGGTGTGTTTTACGGAGAAAAAGGCCATCTTCAAATCCGAGCTAATCTTGCTTTCAGCATCCAATCGTACCAGTTTGGGATCTTGAAGACCTGCTTTAGCAAACTCCACCAAAGATTTTGGAAGAGTCGCTGAGAAGAGGACCGTTTGACGAGATGCAGGAAGACGATGAAGAATTTCATTCAAGGACGTTTCAAACCCCATTTCAAAAAGGCGATCCGCTTCGTCAAACACGACATATTGGACTGATCTCAAATCAAGATTCATCTCAACGATGAGGTGCAGTAGTCGTCCTGGAGTCGCTATTATGCTGAGTTAACAATATGAGAATGTGTACTTGTTGATGGCAGTGTCAAACTCACATATCCGGATTGCTTGTAACCATTTCAAACTGCTCGTCCAGACCCTCGCCACCGACAACAAGGCCCCACCTTAGATTTTGACCTTTCAAAGAGCTCCCTTCATCTTTATCTTTATCTCCAGCATGATCGCCTTGGCTTTGCCATCCTCGGGCCAATTCCTTGCCAACTTTCAAGACCTGTAGGGCCAACTCGCGCGTTGGAAGCAAAATAAGAGCTCTGGCACCAAAACTGCTAGAATGTCGGCCATTGAGCCTTTGCACAAGAGGCACCATATACGCCAAAGATTTGCCTGAACCTGTCCGAGCCATACCGACAAGATCTCGCGGTGGATCCGCGAGAAGGGCTGGTATCGAGAGACGCTGTATTGGAGTTGGAATTCGATAGCCTTGAAGGGTTAGGGAACGGAGAAGAGATGCATGTAGGCCTGTGATACGCTTTAGGACACTTTCAAAAGCAGAAAAACTTAAATAACCCATGCTCTGAAAGCTTCCCCCTCCAACTTCCCCTTTGGCCATTTTTGATTTACCTTTGGCCATTTTCACGACTTGTGTACCCTCTTTTACATCTCGTTTTGTAATGGATGCCTTGATGAGTCTTAAGAGGTCTTCATCTTCGTCACCGTGAGCTTGTCCCGTCTTTGGTTTTTTTCCCATCAGGGCAGAGGAAATATCTATGTTTTCATCCTGTCGCTTATCCAAATCATCATCGTAGGAAGGGCGTTTACGTTTGCAAGCAAGCATCAAGTTTAGTTGAAAGATGGTAGAGTGGTGGACGCCGGTGTGACCTGGTGTGACATCACAGTTCACGACTACCATCCATGATCCAGCCAATAATCTTCCTTTTCTAAGCCTTCCCACTCTTGACTGGCGTCCTCCTATCTTTGGTATAAACTATGGAACCGCAATCACCGCATGTCAGATACTGGCCTGTAATGAGGATGGCTATCTCTCCACTTCTCGTGATCGCCATGCTCATGGACGCATAAATGATGACCTGAATTCAATTATGCCCCCCGGGATATATTACTACCAAATCAGTTCCCAAAAATCTGAAGCACTATACCCAATATGCTGTGATTTTTCTTGCTGTGAATTTCCGCATGCACAACTCCCGGCCTGGGAGACCGAGCCCCCCAATCAAATGACTGGCGTTTGGCCTTCAAATTGGACTGCAATAAGCGAAAACCGAGACACTAAGTGTCTCGTATCGGAATGGCAGGATTGCCTTGCTACTGTCCATGTTGTTCCCAAGAATAACAAGAAATGGGTATGCAAAATGCTTGTCCTCGACATAGGTTTATCGCCGATCTGGCATCTTGTCGGCTGTATCAAAATAATATGCATGTCTACCTAAGTGGTGACCAACTTTCACTCATAAACAGCTCCAGCAACCTCTTCACTCTTCGGTGGGATCTACATTTGGGCTTATTTGATCAGGCGGGATTTGTTATCGTCCCAAACTCGTTGTTCATTTCCTCAAACCCACTCAAAGTACCCAACTATATCACAACGTTTAATTCGATCACAAAAACACATTGTCTCATGAAGCTCTCTATGCTCGTTTCGCGTGGGCGTTGATGGAGATTGTCAAGGGCTCCTCGGTGGCAGACATGAAAGAGTTTAGATTTCTGACGGCCTCAGACACTGATGATGGAGGTGATGAAAGTGGCGGAGACGAAGGCGGTGGTGGGGACGAACTCGGTACTTAGTGGTGGAGGAGAAGAAGGCGGCGGACGCAGTGGTGGCGGTGGTATTAGAGGCGGACGCGGTGGTGGTAGAGGCGGACGCGGACGCGGTGGTGGCGGAAACCAAGGCAGTGGTGGCGGTCCCGGTGGTGTAAAACGCAAACGCAAACGCGAGGATGAAAATGAAGATGTTGAATCACATCGTGGTATGGGTGCAACGTCCGATCAAGGTAGCGATTGGAGAAACGGCAGCCACGTTACGCCTGATGCCTGTCCACGAGAAGGTAGAGCCCGGCCAACATCACACCTTTCAGAGTTGTATGCTGATATTATTGAGCCAGATGATAGCTAGCTGTTGCTTGATAGTGAAGCCCGAGAATTTGAAGAGGACATGGAGACTGCAAGTCACATTCTTCTATCTTCGGTAACGTGTGATGTACATATGCGTTTAAAACCTTGACATATCAATCATAGTGGATCCAAATGTCAAGCGTCCGCTAGGCACTATGAGAATATCACTTGGTACCCAGGGAGGGCGATTGTCGACAGGAGAAAACAAGCCTACTTTGATGCCCATCCGCAGATTAGGGCTCGCAGTGGTCAACTTTTACCAGCTGACTATAACTCCTCCTCCGATGAGAATTTGGTGTAATATCACAACTTCAATCATTGTTTGCTACCTCTTGGGCAACAAATTGACCAGTGAGATGTCCATGCATGTAGATGACAAAATCGGGTAAGAGCCGTTGGAAGTGTTCTGAACCTGGAAAACCGAGGACAGCGGTGGGTTCATGGGTTTGGACGGCCGCTCTGTCGGAAAAATCGAAATTAGCATATCAGTGGTTGCGGCAGCTGATGAACATATGCGAACTGATCAGCTTCTTGCGGGCAGCCTTTTCAGTCGGCTATTAGATCATGTCACCACTGGTAAGCTGCTGGTCCGAACAACCAGTATGTAATAAGTTTTTTCCTGGCAAGCATATCAGAAGGTTATCACCTCACATCATCTCTGGTACCTCTAACAAGCCTTGTCCAGCCTACGAGGAGGAGGGATATCATATCTGAGGTGCCGAGGTCATATCGTTTTCAGTGCTGACCGCTATCATGATTTGATCATGATCTGACAAGCATTCCCAACAAAGTTATCGCATCACGGCAAATTATTTCCATCGTAAACGTCCGAACTGTCTGGAACCCATCAACGACAGAGTCCCTCTGTCTAATCTCTTCGTCGTTTTCAACTGTCCATCGCCACCCGTAATACCGCAGTGCTGGGCAGCCATACCTTGCGATGTCCGGTGCAATGTGGTCTCCAATTGTGCTGTTTGAACTCCTGTGGAGTTCAGGAGTGTTGGAGAGAACATACTCCACATCATTGGAGTGGCAGTCGTCATGCTCCAACCTCGTTCCTGTTGCCCTCAAACGTATATAATGTGCAAACACTGTGAGTGAATTCTGCCATGAATCCTCAGCTTCGTCTCATCCCACTTTATTCTCACCCTCTCCTCATCAGACCCACATTGGGTCAGGATGCGACGAGCAGACCGACCAAGACTTTCCGCCAATCCGAATATTCAGGAGCACACCCAACTCTTCTCCTTCTCCTCCATGTAACCGTCCTCATCCTCGTCGCCGTTCTCCAGTAGTTTGGAGACACTCCGAATGATGTTCCTCACTCAGCAAAGAGCCAAGGTTGAGCCAAGGCCCTCTCAATCACGATGTCACCCGCCAAACACCGGACTTGGGACTAGGATTCGGAATCATATCGAACAATAGAGGCTAGCACATCGGCACGGCGTGGGCCTGGCAAGGTGAGATATTAAACTCTGGTCCGGAAGCGGTGGTTCTTGCGTATGTTCGGGAATTATCTGGAGTCTAGTAGCACTGGCATGTAGATATCAATGTATAATCTTGGTATAATCACAAAACTATTCCGTTACCTTCATATGACTGCCATATTATTAATTGGATAACGTACGACCCCAAATTATCCCAAACCCTCCCCGTCGATGTTGACTCTGGTGGCCGTTGTCATCACTATTGCCAGTGTTGATCATTTTCACCAGGTAATCGCCCTTGTCAGAAATAATCACGCTGGTCAATAGATATCATGGTGATCATTCTCACAATCCGATATAAATGATTACTGAGCCATATTTTTCCCCCGAAAAGGTGACGGACTGATATGTGCTGATCTCTTCATGTCTCTACATATATCCTAATTTTGATTTTCCCGACATCACGAAAATTGTTCGTGCAAAAACAATATGCGAGCTACACTGTAACGTCGAGCACAAGACTAACCGAACTGACGCTTGGTCAATGATTGCGAGCGCAGCAGGCAATAATTTTAGTTGCAAATGTTACAGGTTGTACTTCCGCAAATATGTAAATGGTGTCGGTCTTGGACGAAAGCGGCATTCGTTCCGCGGATCGAGTGGTCACTCTTACAGCTGATTGCGAAACGTTAGAGCAGCTCGGTTCCCGTTCCAGCTCAACCGTGTGTTTGTTTGCGGCGGACACCAAAGCCAAATAAATCTGATCGATAGGGCTTTTCAGAACATTTGACGCGACGTGGTAGCAAGCATTTTATTGAGAGGTTATGCAATGTGTCTTCTGTGACCATTCCGCGCCATTATTATTCGAGGAGAAGGAGAGGTGAAGGTATGTAGATAAGACTGGGAAAAGTTGAAGCAAAGCTTGAGCAAAGCAGGTGCTGCTTTTGGAAGGTGCTGATGTCCAGCCATCAACAAACAAACAGATGGTTGGGCTGGAACGGGAAGCAAGCTGCTCTAACGTTTCGCAATCAGCTGTAACCAGAAGTTCAGTTGGCGACATGGACCATGTACTTTGTGTATCGTTATTTGTGCATGCTGACGCAAAGCGCTAATACTTAGATTGTAGTATGTACTTGGTGATTTGTGGACTTCCAATCCCACAATGTTTGTTGTAGCTACCTCCCTTCGCACCGCTCTACGGAAGTCTCCACATTGCAAGCTTGTCCTGTCACCTCTGTCGCAGTTTTGTGCTCCTCACTTTACTTTCATGTCTACCTCTCTGGCTCCCAATGTTAAACGACCTTTCGACGAGTCTTCCACCAGTGTGCGGATCAACGACAAAGAGGATGGCGAAGAATTTGTTTGTGACGAAGAGCCACACATGCTGTCACCTGAGCAAGGCTTTGGGTACTACCCTATTGCCTTAGGACAGAAGCTGGGGGAGGGCAAGCTTGAGATTGTGAGGAAACTCGGATGGGCCGGTTATTCCAGCGTCTGGCTCGCGCGCACACTCGGGTATGTGCATCTTTGGGCAACTATCTGTTCATGAAATTAGTCATGTTAGAAATGCATACCCTGCGAATTACGTCGCTGTCAAGGTTCTTACCGTCAACGCCACGGTCGGCGTGCTGGATGGACTGCTGGTCGAGGCGAACTCTCTTAGAACCATCAAATCGGCCAATCCTAATCACCCGGGCTACAGACACTGCCTTCATCTATACGATGCGACCTACGATACAAGCTACCATGGTCCTCACATTTGTCTCGTCACCAACGTTCTTGGGGCAAACGTCAACAGCCTCCGAAGGTCGCAGCCCAACGGTCAGGGTGTCATCCGTGTTGCTGTCACTAAACGCATCATCAAACAAACACTTCTCGCTTTGGACTACCTTCACAGCCAGTGCAACCTCGTGCACACAGGTATATGTTTCAGTTCTCCCGGCGGAACGTAGCTAACGACTGATCTTCAGATCTGAAACCCGATAACACTCTCATTTATATTGACCACGAAGATGCGGCTGTAACTCGTTTCCTCGAAGAAACGCCCTCCGCCACATATGAGCCTCGTATTGAGCCCGATTTATCTCCTAGTCCTATTATCACGGTCAAATCGCAGCCCCTCCCTAATTTTGGTCTTCGAGAAGATGCAAGCAACCTCAATATTTGTTTGATCGATTACGGTCACGGTAAGCAATCTCACGTGGGAACGATGGTTTCTTATCCGCTCAGCCGTCTATAGCAACACCCGCCCAGGAACACATACTAAAGCAGGTTCAACCTACTCTCCTCCGCGCACCAGAAGTTATCCTTGGCCATCCGTGGTCTACGCCCGTCGATATATGGTCATTGGGGTGCCTGGTAGGATATAGATCGTCTTTCCATACCGATCGACTAAAAGATGGCCATCTAGGTATTCGAGTACCTAACTGGTGTAGTTCTTTTTAAACTATGGGATTCCTCCTTCATGAGTTTGGAGGATGTTCACCTCCAGCGGATCCTTGAACATATTGGTCCTTTTCCCTCTAGCTTTTTACAGGCTTGCCAACGTCGGCCAGATTTCTTTGACGAACAAGGTAAGATATCACATCTTGACCTATCAGGTAGCGGATCTTAATTTCTTTATAAAGGATCGCTGCTTCGCGTGCATAATCTGTTCCCTCAAGCAATAGAAATATGTCTCCGTGCATATAAGGTCATGGATGAGAAGGAAATTGCGCCTGCTGCTATCTTCATTCGAAAGTGTTTGACCATCGATCCTCGCATACGACCTACAGCCTCGGAGCTCTTGGATGACAAGTGGCTCAAGGATGTGGGAGAGGCTAGCACTAGAACACTGTAGTTGACGGTGCTGCTGATGAAATTTCGTTAGTTACTGTGGGTGTCACCTGTGTTGATATGAGCGGCTGGCCGAAAGTGAGCTCGACATCGAGAATCTAAGTTTTATGTTATGGCGGTTGTTCTGCACATCCAATGACGCCTAGGCTTTGCGTGATGCAGAGGCGATGTGACTGACTGAGTGATAAGGGAATAGCCAAAGTCAGGAAGATCAGGCGCGGCGCGCGCCTGATTCCGACGTATTTCCACTCGAGGTATGGCTATAATCCTATATGAAGAAAAAGAAAAAAAGGGGTGATGAGATCACGTAGTGATTGATGTGAGGAGCGAGGGGAAAAAATAGGAGGGAATACATGCGTGTATATATGTAGAAAAGGGATACGTCCATGTCGTGGGGGATGAGGGGGTTGGGAAAGTCTGTAGAAGTAAAAGATAAAAAAGTCTGTGAGTAAGTAAAAGTCTGTAATAGTAAGAGGAAAATTAGGAATCCAAGGCGTGGATGTATGATGATGCGGAGCGCGCAGTTTGGCCAAACAGCAAGGCTTGGATGAGAACGGGGTTCTTGCGGATGTAGATTTTGAAGGCATCTGATGCCCATCTACCGATTGCTTGAATAATTGCAGGTGGCACCCCATTTTCAGCAAGGGAAGTTGCCCCTCCTGCTCTGAGTGATTGGCCGGCGGTGTCAGAGTCAAAGAAACGACGCAAGCGTTTGATGAAGAAAGATCGGGTAGGGATGACACCCTTGCTAGTCAACCAAAAGGGGGGAGCTGAAGGGGAATTTGCTGTCGCGTGCGTTGATGTATGCGAGGAAACGTTTGTGGGGGTCGAAGACATGCCCATTCTTTCGAATGATAATGGTATTCCCTTCAAAGAATCTGTCGGCCTTATGGCCAGGCAGAAAAAATTGATAGGAAAGGTCGGAAAAACGTACAGAAGTTCGTTTTGTGACTTTTCGGGGGTCACGGAGTTGCGGGTCGTCTGGGTAGGTCATTTCTCCCAAGCGGAAAAGGGCAAAGAAGCCAGTAAGCAGTTGTGCGAGAAAAAGGATGTCGTCGTAGTCAGAGGAATCTCCTAGTGCGTTGACAACCAATTCAAGGTCGTCTAGAGTGAGGGCGCGTTTACGAGAAGTTGGCGTACCACGCAGACGCCTGCACCCCTGCAATGTACGGTGTACAAGAGCAGAGTTGCGTGCTTTGCGTATGTCGGGGAAATAAGGTTCTAGTTGCTGGCAAATGCCAGAGAGGTACGTTGCGACGGATCCAGGTTTGATATGGTGACACATGTAGACTGTAAATAGACTAAGGGTGTCAGGGGTTGGATCAAGGGGGAAGTCATGTAATTTGATGAAGTTTAGGTAGGAGTTGAGGGCGGAACCATAGGTCTTCCATGTGGAGTTGTCGATGGTTTGTCCGAGGGCGATAGCTCGCTCTCTGAAAAGCTTCTCCCGTGACCAGGCTTCCCTCTGAGGTTGCCAGGACCCCGGTCAATAGCAGAAATGGTCTGGTCCCGATCCGGACAAAAAATTTGGATTTTTGCAAATCGGCCGGGAGCCAGTCCGGACAGAAAGTGACCAAACGTTGAAACTAGCCAGAACCCCAGCCCGGACAGGATTGCTCAGGGCACATACACCCTCAGGCAGCAATCCGGACAGAAGGTCTCTTAGCTGAGTCGTGAAGCGCGCGATATGGCGTGTGCCACTCTTCCCTGAGAATGAGTGTTCGATCCTTGCACTAAACATTTTGTGCACTGTCCTTACTTTTCACGTGTTTTTGTAGTTGTTATGCTCAATAAGCCCGGATAGCCTGTCAGCCATTCCAGGAACCTCATGGACTTTGTAGATAGATCGAGAATACTGATTCTTGTCTGTTGAAGCTCTGGGGGCGTCTCTGGACTCTTTGCGCCTACCTGGGCCGATTTTTACGCCCTGGAATGGCTAGATCTGCAAATCCGGACGAATTTTTGCCGAAAAACCCCCAGATCCACCAACCCGGACAAATTTACAAAATTTGAGGTAGGCCAGGTACAATCCGGACAGAAACTGCGAAATGGCGTCCGGACAAAACCCCCATTTTCGGGATCAGACCGTTTCTGCTATTGACCGGGGTCCTAGGTTGCCTGGCACGCACAGTTGTAGGGATCATTTTTTTGGAGCCCCCAGCGGCAATCGAGGGGGTATGAAAGGTGAAATGATAAGGTCAGGGACGTACTGACGTGCGACATTAAAGTTGTTCCTCGAGATGGCATCGGCGACACAGTTCAGCTCTCCGGCGATGTGGAGGACTCTGAGTTGTAAGTTGTAATTGATACATGTGTCGGCGGCATCGATGAGGATTGTGTTGTAATGGGGGAGGCATCTGAGCCTATTGAAAATGGCGACTGTATTGTCGTTATCAGTGTAGATGAGGACTTTGGTGGCTGGGGGGACTCGGAGGATATCGGTGACATGGTGAATGGCAGATAGGACACATAACGCTTCGAAGAAGAATATGTGCTCGTCGGTCGTGCCATCAGGGGTGGGTGAGTAGAAACCGACACGGTCGTCAGGTAACCAGAAACCCATACCTTCAAGGCAGGCATCACAGAAAATCGTTAAGTCTGCAGCATTCGCATCCCAGTAAATTTGATGGATGAGCTTGACACCGCTGTCACGCTCCAGGTGGTCTGCGGCCCAGGCGAGGTCAGCGCGGACGGCGTTGTTGATTCGGATGAATTGGTTTGGGGCAGATTTACCACCTATTTTCGCATAAAAGTTGTTTAGTGCAGGTCTGAGTAAGGGGAATACGTTGAAACTCCAATTTATCCAGCCCGCTAGCCTCTGCCATTCGCGCAAGGTGAATTTGTGCTTCGTGGAGATGAAGTTGCGGATTGCGGTAATCAATTGTTGGAGGCTTTCGGCGCACATATATCAGTCACTGTGTCACGTACCAAACATAGTAGCCGGACATGACAATGACTCGTAATGAACGGGCCAGCCGGTCCCGGCCGGACTTTCCAAAACATCCCTTTACCAACTAGAGTTTGACATTGTTCCAATGTCAACAAAAACCTTGCTTGTATTTCATGCAAGATAAGAATAAAAAATCTTATAGTGCTGAGTACTGACTCCTACGGGCGCAAAGCCGGCAATGACATAAAAATGAAATGAAATTTCTTCAGAGTAAGTTTGTGATCTTTTATTGGCTGCTCGTCGCCGAACCACTTGCGCGGTTCGCTCCTCGCAGCCATTGGAAGTACTATCACGTGGGGGGAGTTGGACCGTTTTCAGTGTCTGGCTCCGTAGCACAATAAATACAACACATTTTCTTTGCTTGTAGGGAGAAAAGGCTGCAGTTGTTACTGCTTAATGTAAGTCTCAGCAGAAGTTAACGGAATTTTATTGATGTGGTGCTACTGTAGCTTGATTTCGACGAAACAAGTTCATTTGCATACACCGAAGGGTGTCTTGGTCCAATCGTCACACGTTTGTCACATCGGTTTGTAGCGTCGCAATTGGCATGCAGCGGAGTCTCAACTTGTCACCAGGATCCGTGGTGTAACTGGCTGTCCCTGCAATATGCACTTCACAGAGCACTTGGACGGGATTCAATTACTAGAATACATTGAAAAAGATTATATGATATACTTGAGATAGTTTTTTGAACGAACTTTGGCCATATGCTCGTGTATCTACCAAATTTGGGTGTGTCACAACTTGGTGTAAACACTTTACATTTGTCTCGAGAACAAGCCACAAGTTAGAAATAATTGTGTAAAGAACCTGAATCAGTTTGAGAGACATCTATCTATCTATGTCCAATTCTTGGAGGCCAACAGATGATCGTGGAAGAAGGAAGAGATGAAATAGTAAAATGGTCCAACCCAATACGACGGTCCAACTCCCCCCACGTGATAGTAGTAGTCGAAAACCTGGCACGACAACAAATGCAAAAGGGTTATAGTACTGTTACCAGTAAGTAGTATTGTATAAGTTGCAGAGTTTGAGCAGATTTGTTGAAGACAGTAAGTAAATTGAGTAACTTTCTCAGAAATCTCTGAGTCTCCGCAACTGGCGATGGCGAATTTGCTTCGTTAGGTTTGGCAGCAGTCTAGAGCAGTCTCTAACGTTTCGGCGTCAATAAAAGGGATATATGACCTTGGGGGTCAGTACAATGAATTTGTATGGTTAGGTTTGGCAGTAGTCTAGAGCGGTCTCTAACGTTTCGGCGTCAATAAAAGGGATATATGACCTTGGGGGCCAGCAGGACGGATTACATAATTATGACCGTGGTAATAGACCTTGCCAAGCAAGGTAATGGACCAGCCGGATGCATACAAATGGCTTGCGGGCACGGCGTCTCTTGCCGCGGCAGCTACCTACGGCAGCCTTCTGGGTGTCCCGTCAGCATCACACCATAGTTCCCCAATCTTTACTAGAACAACTGTAATACTGTTACCTGCTTTGATGTTGTACTGTTTGCTTCTATCAGTAGTAGCTAATTGTAAACCTCCACCCTAAGCTACTTGCTCTACCACACAGCTGCTGGTCAGCAAAGCATGCTGTATATACCCCAACCTGCTCCAATGGTAAATTACCTGTGTCCATAATATTAATAAATGACATCTATTGAAATTGAATATGTCAACTCTGGTTAAGCATTTGATTGACTCCAATGGGGCGGTTATTTCAACTCCCATGGGGCATTTGATTCACTCTGGCAGAGAATTTTTAGCTGAGTATGTCAACCACCATGGGCATTTAAATTTGACTATTTTGACTCCATGAAGAATTTGATTGACTTGAGGGGTTATTATGTTTAATTGTAAATGCATTTCCAGAGTTGACATACTCAATTTCAAATGCCCTGGAGGAGTGAACCCAATGCCCCATGGGAGTCAACATATTTGATTTAAAATACCCTGTCAGAGTAAATA